AATCGCCTTCGTAAGAAAAACGGTAGAATCGGTTAATATAAATAATACGCGTAAGCGCGCGCGATAATAATAAAGGAGATTAAATCCTAGTATTAATACTAAAGCTACTATTACTATTACTATATTACTTATATAGCTAACTACTGCTTAATCGAAAGCGAATAATTATACGAATAATTATACGAATAATTATTTTCATTTATAATAAATTATAAAGTATTAAGTAAGAAATACGAAAAGTATATAACCTAGGAGAAAATACTATTAATAATAAACCGGAGCATATACGAATAAGGGAATATAAGAAAGCCCGAGATAAGGCACCTAGTAATCGATTAACCTTAACGAGATATAACGAAACTAAGGAATAACTTCTTAGGTTATTATCGTAAGTAAAGGACTATAGTTAACCTTACTATCGTAAGCTTAACTAGGGGATATATTACGTAAGTATATACCCCTAGTAGGAACTATCTAGCTTACCTAAGCTAGTTAAGTATTACTATATATACTATAGTAGTGCGGTGGATCTAGGCTACGTAGCCTTTTCGATGTATATTTATATAGGTCGCGCACTCATATTTTCATTAGCCAGACTTAGACATATAGATATCACGACCTACAGCCATTCACTCGTTTCTTGCCATACCTTTCTAGCCATCCTCCTCTTTTGCCTTTTCTAGTCCCCCCTTTCCTAGCTGCCGTTTTTAGCTGGCCGATTAACCGATTATAGCTATTTATAGCTATAATCTTGGTTGATCGGTACTGGGCTAGTTATTAGCAGTTAGGTAGCCCTTGTTTCGTGCCTCCGTTAGCGTGCCTACGCTGCTCCTGTTCAGTAGCGACCACCTAGTAGCTCGTTCTTACCTCATCTTAGGAGTAACCTTTTACGACCGTTTTTATAGTCATTAGGTTCAGGATTCGTCGATCAGGAGATTCCCTGTTTTTCAGTTGATTAGGAGCTGTTTTCGTGGCTCCATAGCCGTTTTCGTGGCTTTCGGATTAAGCCTTTTTAGGCCGTAGCCTAAATTTTCAGGTGGCTGGATCAATAGGAAGGGCAGACAACCATGGCGACCATCAATAACCACGCCCTCCTATTAGCTTTTAATTAGCTTACCTAAAAGCTCGTTCGCCGATTAGTGGATCTATCTTATCCTTATTTCTTAGTTATTTCTTTTAAAGGAGCTATATCCGTTTTTACCTGGTTTTACTTCCGTCGTTTTTTACTAGTACCTAGATAGTAGTTTTCTCGCCCTTAGTTAATCTAACCAAGTTACCGCCACTACCCCTTTTATAATAATAACCTCGCACGAGCTTAAAGGCATCCGTTCGTTATTAATCAGTCTATTTTAATCGCAAGAGGCTTGCCGATAGCTCGATTACCCTTGTTTTATCCCAGCCAGCCAGTTACGGCACCTAGGGAGGTTTCTCTTTAACCGATAGGTGCCACGATGCCCTTATAATAAAATACCGACAGACCTTATACCTACGAACCTAATCGGGACCTACCGATTAACGCACGAAGACCTATAAACGATACCGATACGAACGAATTGAATAGATATTAAACAAGATAGCCCAGAAAAAAAAAACAGTCACAAGTTACAGTCGAGAATAGTTACAGTATTACCCAGAGACCCCTCTTGTCGCCCTTACCGATATATAGTTAGTAGGAAGAGCCTAGAGAGCCCCTAGAACCACGTACAGGGGAGGAATCGAGGGTCAAGGGAAGCCCGGTAGATGCTACCGGACGAATAATAGTTAGATACGAATCAAACGGAAACAGTCGGGTATGAATAAGATATATCAATTAATTTACAGGATTAGGATTAATTAAAAAGGATCGGTAATAACCATAGACGAGAAGGACGGAGATTACGTTGCATCGTATGGGATTATTTCTTTCGTTTCTTACGGGAGCTACGCTTATTTTACCTACCCGTTATAGTTTCTGTTTTCCTAACGGATCCTTATTATTTCTTAATGGCCTTAATGGACCTGGCTCGCTCCTAGTTAATCAGGGTTAATTAGGAATAGGTTAATTAGGTTAGTTTATAAGTTATAGCTCCGCTAGCCTAGTTCTTATTATTAGATCTTTCTTATTTCCTATTAATCGTTAATTAAACTAGCTCAGCTCCTAGTTGGTAGCGATTAAATAGGTTCGGGATTGATTAGGAATCAGGTTCAGTCAGGCACGGCTGCAGTTAGTCACCCACCCCACCACCTACTTGTTGTAGTTGTAATTATCTCCCGTTATTTTAGGATTACCTATTTTCCTGACTTATCCTGTTAGCCTTTAATTAAACTGGCTAACTTTTAGTTGATTAGGGTTAATCGGGATTAGGTTGATTAGGTTATTCAGGATTAACAGGAACGAGAGCTACCGCACCTATTGTTAGGAGTTTAATTACTCCTTGCGGATTAATTAAACTAGGGAGGCTGTAGTAGTACGGTAGATCTAGGCCACGTAGCCTTTTCGATATATATTTATATAGGTCGCGCACTTATATTTTCATTAGCTAGACTTAGACCTATAGATATTAGGACCTATAGCCATTTACTCGTTTCTTACCATGCCTTTCTAGCCATCCATCCTCGTCTTTGCTTTTCCAGTCCCCCCTTTCCCAGCTACCGTTTTCAGCTAGCCGATCAACCGATTATAGCTATTTACAGCTATAATCTTAGTTAATCGGCACTAGGCCAGTTATTAGCAGTTAGGTAGCCCTTATTTCGTGCCTCCGTCAGCGTGCCCACGCTGCTCCTATTCAATACCTATAGATCGCTTTATATTCTTTAATAGCTTTCCTTCTTTTCTAGTTAGTTAATATATACCTTCTTACCCTTATTCCATTACTTTCTTTACGAATAACCTATTAACCTAAGCTTAGCTCTCGCCAGCTACGTAACATAGAAATAGTTAGGATTACCTAGAGACCCCTCTTATCGCCCTTACCGATATATAGTTAGTAGGAAGAGCCTAGAAAGCCCTTAGAACCACGTATAAGGGAGGGATCGAGGGTCAAGGGAAGCCCGGTAGATGCTACCGGACGAATAACGGTTATACGAGAATAGCTAGAAACGAGTCATAAAAACGGGCATTAAATAGGATATATTAGTTAATTTATAGGATTAGAAATTAATTAAAAAGGATTAGTAATAACCATAGAAGAAAAGGACAGAGATTACGTTACATCGTATAGGATTATTTCTTTCGTTTCTTACGGGAGCTACGCTTATTTTACCTACCCGTTATAGTTCCTATTTTCTAATTAATCCCTATTATTTCTTAATAGCCCTAATAGACCTAGCTCGCTCCTAATTAATTAAGGTTAATTAGGAATAAATTAATTAAGTTAGTTTATAGGTTATAGCTCCGCTAGCCTAGTTCTCATTATTAGATCTTTCCTATTTCCTATTAATCGTTAATTAAACTGGCTTAGCGCCTAGTTAGCAGCGATTAAATAGGTTCGGGATTGATTAGGAATTAGGTTTAGGATTAGGTACGGTTGCAGTTACCTACCCCACCACCCACTTATTGCTGTTGCAATCGTTCCTAGTTGGCCCTATTTCCTAACTTATCCTATTAGCCTTTGATTAAACTGGCTAGCTTTTAATTAATCAGGGTTAATCGGGATTAGGTTATTTAGGATCAATAGGAAACGAGAGCTACCGTACCTATTATTATTAGGAGTTTAATTACTCCTTACGGATTAATTAAACTAGGAAGGCTATAGTAGTACGGTAGATCTAGGCCACGTAGCCTTTTCGATGTATATTTATATGAGTCGCGTACTTATATTTTCATTAGTTAGACTTAGACTAATAGATATCACGACCTATAGCTATTTACTCCTTTTGCTATGCCTTTCTAGCTATCCTCGTTACCCTTGCCCTTTTCTAATCCCCTTTCTCAGCTACCGTTTTAGCTAGCCGATTAACCGATCACAGCTATTTATAGCTATAATCTTGGTTAATCGGTACTAGGCTAGTTATTAGCAGTTAGGCAGTCCTTGTTTCGTACCTCTATTATAGCGTACCCACGCTGCTCCTGTTCATTATTTAATTTATTATTTTAAAAAAACTACGTTTTTAAACAGGTTAAAACTTTCTAAAATTGTACCTATTTTCACAGTAAGAATTCCACCTTTCCGACTGTCCTATTTTTCCATACAAAGAAGTTCTAAAAAAGAACACTAAAAATTAACGTTTTTAAGATTTATTTAATTTAATAAAAATTAGAAAAATAAAAAGAAAGAAGTTTACGTAATCTTAACTATCATTCTATTTATAGTATAAAGGATTAGGTAATAGACCCACTCTATTACCGCGAAAAAATTAGGTTAAGAGGCCGATATAGAGCACAATTAACAGATTTACTAATAAATTATATGGCAAACTATTAGTGCAGTTTCAAAAAACCTAAAATCGTATATAACTTCTTATATTAGTAAGCAAAAAATTCGAAAAACTTACATGTTAACTTAATCAAGCCAATTGATTACGTAAGTAAATGTCAGATGTTTCCGATTTTTTCCCGGTTTTTTACGGGGATAAATCGTTTGTATATAAACCCATACAAAATACCCGGCTCGCGAAGGGGTGGCTCGTGAAGCGGTAACCTAACTTAGTGTGGTGAAACTAGGCTACGTAGCCTTTTAGATGAGTATTTGTATAGGTCTCGCACCCACATTTTCATAGATTAGACTTACTCGTGTAGCCATCACTTTAGGCATCACCATCTATAGTATTCACTCCTTTCTTAAACTGCCTTTTCTCGCTATCCCATCTTCGTTTTCTAGTCTTTCCCAGCTGCCGTTTTCAGCTAGCCGATCAACCGATTACAGCTGTTTACAGCTGTGATCTAGGTCTGATCGGCACTGGGCCAGTTGTTGGCAGTTGGGTAGTTGTTCCTGCCTCCATCACAGCGTGCCCACGCTGCTCCTGTTCAATAAGTAAAAATCGTTTATATAAATATATATATATAAGGGTAGCTCGCGAAGAGGTAGCTCGTAGAGCGGTACCCTAACTTATTGCTAACATAGAAAGCAGTCGATAATCGCAGAAGAGAATGCTGCGAGCGAAATTAAATTGCCGTGGAACAGCATGCCCAGCCAGGCCACAGACTCTTCACATGACACCTCACATTCCTACTCTGTACAACCAACGTCCTGCTAAGCCTGCTTCAATGAGGCACGGCGACAAAGGTCTGGCAGACACAGGGCGCCGGCAGCATCAGCTTCGGGTGATACAAACAGTCTACTACGAACCCCCCTTGCCTTATCGCCGCCTAGTATCCCTGCCCACATTGCAGGAGAAGGACTCACTACTGACCATTCGACCGTGGAGAAAACAAAGGCACCTTTGCCGGTTGGCCCGCCCTATGAGTCTCCTGAACCTGGCTGGGCTCGTCTGCCCGCGGAGCAAGACGCCGGATGGAGAGAGATGGGCAAACAAACGCCGTCGTACCTAGCTTTGAGATTTCAAGCATACGAGTTGCTTACTACTCGGTTCGCGGTAATAAGTAGGTTGCTGGTTGGCACTTCGTTCTTCCCCATCCAACAAGCCTTTTACCACAAACAAGTTCCTTGTGTAGCACGCTGCTTCAGCTACTCCTTCTCCGTCTTTGTCTGTGCAGGGTTCGTCTCCGACATCATGTCCTCTATCCTCATCACCGGTGCCAACCAGGGTAAGCGAAAGCCTTTCTGGCAAGATTGCTCGCATTTTCCCTACCGGCTACCAGGGTTCTGGTCTTCATGCTGATAGACGGGCCTCTGTCTGGCAGGTATCGGGCGCGCACTCGTTGAGGCCTACCTCTCGCGTCCAAACCACACCATCATCGGGGCCGTCCGCAACCCGGAAAGCACCACGCTCAAGAACGTTAAGCCGGCCGAAGGTAGTAAGCTGCTGCTGGTCAAGATCGAGGCCACGTCCGAGACGGACCCCGCTGCGGCAATTGAGCAGATCAGGGCCGCTGGTATCACTTCCCTCGATGTGGTTATAGCCGTAGCTGGCATCAACCCAGCCAGTGCCTTCGCCGACGTCAAAGACATGGACGTCAAGGCCTTGCGCGACGTCTTCGACGTTAACACATTCTCTTTCGTGAGCCTCTTTAAGGCCATACACCCGCTCCTCAAAGCATCGGCCAGCTCGCCCAAGTTGCTAGCTATCAGCTCCAACGCCAGCCAGATAGTCGAAATGGAGCCCACCATCCCCGTCAAGGTTGGTGTTTACGGTGCCAGCAAGGCTGCGCTCAACTACCTCGTCCGGCGTGCACATTTCGAGAACCCGTGGCTAACTGCCTGGGTAATGAACCCGGGTTTCGTGCAAACGGCCACCGGGAACGCCCACGCCCAGCTTTGGGGCATGGAGAAGGCACCTCATTCCATAGACGACATCATCCCAGGTCTGCTGGGAAAGATTGACGAGGCTACGCGCGCGGAGACGTCGGGCAATTTTTATAACTTCGATGGCACGCCGCTAACCTATTGAGATGAGACATGGAGAAACTCGATAATACTTAGCGATCATAAATGAGGATAGTCTGCCCAACTAATATTGTGAATTTTATTATCAATCCTTTCCCGCTGGACTTTATGTATTGTTAATATTAGGTCAACCACACCGATCGATCTACCCCGTCTTTCTTCATAATGATTCTTTACCTAGGTACCCATATAAACATTCCCGACTCTTCGTTCTAGTAGGTAACACGATGCAACCTAAGCCCCAGCTGGGCGAAGGAGCTTAATACACGCAGTAAGGGGGGTCTGAAGCCCAGACGTAAGGCAGCGGCACTAGAAGAGACCGAGTTATTACCCACACTACAAGGAGTCATCCAAGCCTTTACACAAGTCAACGTCCGCTACCTTGTCCTCGCCTTTCCATGCGCTCACTGACCCCAGTAGCTGGAGGCTAATAATAGTTTCCAGCGTACTACGCCGGCCGTTCCTAGCAACGTATCAAGACCTTACTGGCTGTGAAATGCTGGCCCTTCGCCGAGGACCCGACAGCCCGATTCAGCACTCCTCGCCGCGGCTCCATTATTGACATGTAATATGGCGCACGCTCAGCCTGTGCCAGCTGACAGGAGCTGTGCAGGTTGTCACATGTGCGGCAATGTCACACTGTGGGCCGGACTTAATAACAACCTTCCAGCAACTGGGATAAATATCTCGTCGCGCGGCTGCTCCGAGCTGCTATCATCACCGTCGCGCCTCTGAACACGGAGGCCATCCTTTCTCTCTCTTGCATTCGCACCCGTTCTGCAGCAGCCTTACCTGCCCCTAGTCCGCAACATGGGCGCTCGATCGCTCCGCTCGCTGGTACCCGCCGCGCTCGTGGCGAGCAGCTTCGCGTCCGTGCTGGCGGCGCCCGGCACGTCCGTCGAGCGGCCGCCGCCGCACCGAGACCATTGCCGCTGCTTCCCCGGCGACGCGTGCTGGCCGACGCCGGCGGAATGGGCGGCGTTCAACGCGACGGTGGGCGGCCGCCTCGTGGCCACGACACCCCTCGCGGCGCCCTGCCACCAGTCGAGCCTGGGCGACTACGATGCGGCGGCCTGCCGCGCCGTGCGCGACGCGTGGTGGCTCCCGCAGACGCACCTGGCCTCGTCCTCGTCGCCGATGGCGCCCTTCTTCGCCAACGCCAGCTGCGACCCGTTCACGGCGCCCGCGGCCCCGTGCCGCCTCGGCGCCTACGTTCGCTACGCGGTGAGGGCCGCCGGCGTCGCCGACTACCGCGCCACGCTCACCTTCGCCGCAGCTAGGAACATCCGCCTCGTCCTCCGCAACACCGGCCACGACTACTTCGGCAAGTCGACGGGGCCCGGCGCGCTCGCCCTCTGGACCCATTTCCTGAAGGACACCCAGCTCATAGACAGCTACGAGTCCCCCGCCTACACCGGCAAAGCTCTCAGGCTCGGCGCCGGCATCGGAGTCCTGGAAGCGTACCAGGTTGCCGACAGAGCTGGCGTGGCCATCGTCGGTGGCGCTTGTGCTACCGTAGGCGTGGTCGGCGGGTTCACCCAGGGCGGCGGCCACGGCCCCCTCAACTCCGTCTTCGGCCTCGGCGCCGATCAGGTCCTCGAGTGGGAGGTCGTCACGGCCGGGGGCCAGCACGTCGTGGCCAGCCCGGCGAAGAACAGCCGTCTATACTGGGCGCTATCGGGCGGCGGCGGAGGCACCTATGCTGCGGTTGTCTCCGTCGTGGTGAGGGCGCACCAGCTCACGAAGGTGTCTGCCGCGACCTTGCGTTTCTCCACAAGTGCGAACGTCTCTACGGACCTGTTCAACCGTGCTGTGAAGACTTTTCTCTTGACGCTGCCCAGGATGGGGGAGGCGGGGACTTGGAGTTCCTGGTTGATCTTCTCTGGTGCGTTTGTACTGGAACCTATTGTCGGTCCTAACCTTGATAAAGACCAGCTCCAGGCTCTCCTCGAGCCTACGTTGTCCTTTCTGGATAATAACGGCATCGCATACAGTAAGCAATCTGAGTGAACGGGTCGTGTCGTATTAGCACAAGACATTGTACTTATACTAACCTATTACCGCGTAGACTACCAGATCCAACAGTATAATACTTTCCTAGAAACCTACACAAGAATGTTTCCGGTTAATAACATTACCGAGTACAACATTGGTGGGCGGTTGGTTCCCAAGTCGCTGCTCCAGACCAATTCTTCGGCAGAGTCGCTTTTGGATGCGATCAACTTTATTACCTCCCGAGGCGGGGTGGTGTCTGGCAACTCCATGGACGTGTCGAGCTTTCCGAGCGGCGGTGTCCGTAATTCCGTCAACCCGGTTTGGCGGACTGCCGTCCTGGATCTGGTCATCGGCCTGTAGGTGCTCCCATGCGTGCCTAGATGGTCCCGGTGTCGTTTCCTGACAATCCTTCAAATCCATACTGACGCTCGTTGCTCTTCGCAGCGCCTACGACGCCTACGATTTCCAAGCCAACATCGCGCTGCAGGACGAGATCACCAATACCCTGTTACCACGACTCGAGGCGCTGACGCCCGGCGGCGGGGCGTACCTTAACGAAGGAGATTTCCGGCAGCCCGACTGGCAAGCCGACTTTTACGGTGCCAACTATGCCAAGTTGCTGTCGGTCAAGGACGAGTACGACCCCGACGGTTTATTCTACGGCTTGACGGCGGTCGGTAGCGAGAGGTGGGCTGTTCGGACGGACGGGCGGCTTTGCCGGACATCATGACCTTACTCCTTACAGACGGGATATATTTGGTGTTATTTCGTAGATCGGAAGAGCTACGTAGGAACCGAGGTTGCTCTGCTGGGAGCAACGAAATGTGGGAAGAAGAAGTTGAATTAACTGACTAGCTAAGAAGGAAGGAAATAAATAAAGGAGATACGAGCTACCTATATATAAACAATAGGGAGCTGCGAGCTATATTATATAAGCGAGTTAGGAGCTAGATTAAGTAAGCGAGTAAACGGAGAATGAATAGAGAGCCATGTATAGGTGGCTCTCTACGTGACATATATTATCAGTGTTATATATTGTAGTGGTGCGGTGGATCTAGGCCACGTAGCCTTTTGGATGTGTATTTATATGGGTCGCGCACTCATATTTTCATCAGTTAGACTTAGACCTGTAGCCATCACTAGTTATAGCTATTCACTCGTTTCTTGCTATGCCTTTTCTCGCCATCCTCGTTGCCCTTTTCTAGTCTCTTCCTTTCCTAGCTGCCGTTTTCAGCTGGCCGATTGACCGATTACAGCTGTTTACAGCTGTGATCTTGAGTTGATCGGCACTGGGCCAGTTGTTGGCAGTTGGGTAGCCGTTTCGTGCCTCCGTCAGCGTGCCCACGCTGCTCCTGTTCAGTATATGACCAAAACACGCGACGCCTGTTTCGCCTCTCATTGTGTAGGCGGGTTGTGACATCTATAGAAGAGTTGAGTTGATGTATTTTAGGGTCGACAAAGTCTAGGGATGCCTTGGCTCGAGGGCGACGCCCGGACCCTGTAAACCTGTTGATCTATACCTACATAATACAGCATCACCGATATGGTCATGTGCTGACGCGCCTTCGACGCGTTCTTTATTTCCTCACCTATCACACAAGCACTACGCCAAGGCTGCCAAGGGCGCCTAGGTGAGGGGTAAGGGGGCACCAGAGCCAACGCGCCTAAGATAGGTGCAGACAGAAATCTGTTGGTAATTTACAGTCACGGACGAAGGTCCGTCGCCGCGATGATAGGAAGATAAATAGGTAGCCCTAGAAGAAGACAGGATGACTCAGGAGGGCGAGAGCACAACAGCAGGCCTTACTAAATTCTCAATTGGATCAAACCGCAGTTCCAAGCTGCCCTCCTTGCGTGAACACCTTCTGACCTTTTGCTGCATCACGTCTTGGATCCGCGTTTTGAGTGTAATAAAAATGTTCAGGTCTGCCGGCATATCGGCGAGTAATTCCCAGCAGACGCAAATCGTCAAGCTTGAAGCTCTTGACGCGTCACAGTCGTATTTCTCTCAAGTTCCCAACTTCAACCCGAACGATGACGCTGGTTTCGAGGAAGAGTTCGGCCGTTTCGCGTCGTCACAGAATATAACCCCAGGTTCAAGTGCCTGGCGGCAGCATCGCACAAAGGCAATTCGCCGTGAGTCATTACTATGGTCTCATTGATACCTGCCAGCCATCGGTGTTGTCGTGATAGATGATATTGTCTTTTTTTTTTTACTTTCGTCAAAACAGGGCCTGCAAAGCTTTGTGGCAATTGAGTAAGCATTTAATTGGTTCATACAGATGAGATGATATTCCATTATTCGCAACAAGTCAAATCCGATGACGATGAAGTTAGTGACGACGACAAGGTGAAGAAGGAACATGGCGCTCCAGCCGGCTTCGGCAAAAAGAAGACGCCACAGCGGAAGCTCCAGGTATACCAGAACATGTGCCGCGAGGTTGGTCTTGAACCGCTCGATACGATCGATGGATGTGTGGCGAATCTCAAAAGCCAGCTGGTGAATATCGTCGACTATATCGACGCTAAGCGACACGGCAGCGCGGTCGTGGTGTGGGAGCCGGAGAGGTTCGAAGAGTTTAAGCGCTATACGCTCGCTCCCAGTAAGCGAATCGACCAAAAGGAAGCCAGAAGAGGGGATGGTTTCCTCGCAGCTCTGTTACAAAATCTCAGAAGCTCAGACGCTGCCAACACGTACAAAAGACGGCGAGACATTGCAGTGGTGGCCAGGGACCGACACACAAATCGCGTCTCAAGGGGCATCTCTGGCCCGCGGAATACAACACGACCGTTCGCCATCAAGCAAGAATTACACCTGGGTGCCACAAACAAAGGCGTGAAACAGGAATCCGAAGTGGATTACATTCATGGGTTGGAGTCGAATTTCACGTCACCCGAGCGGAACCTCGAAAACGATCCGGACACAGATGGGAAATATGAGGGCTTTTCTATTCACAACTCGGAATCTAGTCTCTCATTACCTCAATGGACCATCGGAGAGGGCACTACCGACACACGCGCAGGCAGCCCCACTAGCAGCATCGCATCTTTGGGGCCTGATGAGATCCCACCCTCCTCGCAGAAAAGGGCCAAGCGTAAGCTACATGCCTCGACACAAGTCGAGGATTCTTCTTCCCAAGACGCACTCGCCTCAAGACCTGGGTTTAAGCGTTCCCGGACACAAGGTCTCTAGAGCTAGATATCTGGATAAAATCTAGGTGTTGATTTGGCACATTATGTAGTTTTAGATGAGACAACTATTTCCTATTGTCGCGTAAAACGTAGACGCCTACATTTACGCTGTGCGGTATGGAGGCATATAAAGGCTGGTTCAATTGCTACGTGACACCTATATAAAGCCGTACCGTCAATGACCTGTATCCTAGCTACTATATACAACTGCAATCTCAAATCTGTTTGATAGTACTCGGCCAAGGGAAAACGACGTCAATTCTAGGACATCCATAAAAGAAGCATAAACCATGAATCCAGCGCCGAGTGCGTAAAAGTGGCAGCTGTCCTTTGCCGACGGTGTAGTCAACCTCTAGTGACACATGCCTATCGACGTCGTCCGGGAGGTGCCTGTCATGACCGGCCTCCTTCTCTCGTGAGGCTGTAAAAACGTAATCCGGTAAATTATCCGGTCCGGATTGATCGCATATAAAAATGCCACGATATGGACTATACTTATCGGACGGGCTCCACAGCGCCCCCAACCGTAGCAACCTACCTTCACTTACTGCTGTTGCCAACTCTTTAGCCATGTAGTATTGATATTCCTCCGCAAAGGAGTTTCTATACCGAAAAGTACCGCCACGCTTGAGATATATATAAATCTCCTCGTAGAGACAGCTGAACCCCTCCTCGCCTAACTTGTTCGCTAGAAGCATAAGATTGCGTCGTTCGTCACGGCTTAAGCTACCGTTGTCTTCGACATATGAAAGCGTCTTAGGAAGCTTAGAGGTGTCGATACAACAACGTAGCTTCCATAGATGCCCTCGAGTTCTTATTCCACGTCTTGTAAGCTTCACGTCGATGAACCTGCAGCTCTTATTATACGTAAGACCGTGCGCTAACTGGGGTGGTGAATACCGGTTGAAGGCTTGCGCGTTCAAGAAGTGGGTGACATTGTTATGCGCAACCGAAACGCGGATCTCGTTATCTGGTCTATTATAGAGTATCTCCCCATTCAAGAGAAATAACGCTAGGATGGCGAGGCTAACGCTGTGGCCCCTTTTCACGAGCTCTGTGCCGTCGAGGCGAACGCGATATTGACAGCAGTTTGCGATAATGGGTAGGCGATCCAACGGGAGCCTCAACTGTCGCTTCTCAATGTCTTCAATGATGAGGGGTGACATAGACCTCGTTGCAAGGTTGCGACCATAGAGGTCGGGCTTCTCTAAGAGGAGAGTGTATTTTCTCGCTCGCTCGAGCACAAGCTCTTTGGCTTCCGTCAGGCCAGCAGGGGGGTCGAACGCTCTTCGCCAACGCCCAACGCATAAGGTTGCAGTCTACGGCGGCGTATCGGGTATATGTAGGTACAATCCCACTCGGATCCTCGTGTGCACAACGAGCTTATCCTTATCGGCTGCCAACAGCTACCCCGCGCGGGGCGTAGGCTTCGGTTGATCCCGTAGCCCCACTTGCTCTCTTCACACCATGCACATCAGGTACCTACACGTAGGTATACTGCTCTACCTAGGTATAATAGGAGCCCGCTTCGGGAAAACAAAAATCCATCCAACGCCTTGGAGATGGTCCATGTCGTTCTTCTCCGGACCGAATGACCTGCTTTCGTCAGGTATACAAGCATAATAATCACTAAGCCTAGCAATCCCGATAATCATCCCAGTCGAAAGCGCAGACCCTTTCCAGGCTCGAGCCCAGCCCCTGGGTAAGAATACGTCACATAGGTCCATCGCTTCGGGCCGCCACTGTCTCTTGGCGGGGTCTCTAAGGACAGACGCAACCTTAGCTCGACAGCAGATGAATCGCGTAACCATTGCAGGAGAGTCAGCTAGTAGCTTGGCTTCGGAATCTCGATCCAACCTAGCACTACCATGGTATTCTTCGGAGTCGACCGCACGAGCGCGTAAATTTTAAAAGGTCCTGTAGACAGTACCAGGTAACTAATTCTAGTAATGGCAAAGCTGACACGGACGCCAAGACGGGTGCGCTGCCCAGCCTTTCTCCCCTGAATCGCAAGTAGGGGGACCAGTACTATTTCTATGTTACCTATCCGTTAACTTCTTAATCCACTCGCAATAAGTCACGGCGGTCGTCAACTCGGCGAAATAGGCACGATAGGTAAGAAGAGGTTGAGGAACGGAGCGGTAGATGGGAGAGTGGCTAGTCACGTTCTTCATTTTTCCCCTCATCAAACGTGGCGAAGTGGGGCGGGGCTGGATTAACCCTCGGGCTGCGTTGGGCCCTTGACCATACCTACGACTTCAAAACCAGCCCTCTCCACGCGCCCCCTGTGTCTGTCAACAATTTGGCTGTCGCCCTTACAAGTCCTCCACTCGGTATATGCTCTTTCAAGTCCGCTACTTGAGGGCATGTGGGACACCAGATTTCAGAAGAAAAAGGTGTACCTCGAATGGGAGAGGATATTCTCTACCTTTGAGAATTCACGCTTGCGGAAACAGAAAGCCATCCGGGCCGTCGTGCAACGATATGACCCGATAGTCCTCCTTTACAATCCAGATGTTGTGAAAACATTGCAAGCCCTATTGAAAGAGAACATATTCCAGAACAGTTGGGCAGCGCCCCGTGCCTTTCCCGAGCTTTTTCCATCCGAGGCCAAACCGGACACAGCACCTCCGCAACAGCCAGCTGGCTCTACCACTCAGGCCGTGTTCGGTATGGACGGACCATCTAAGGAGCTGTTAACTTCCTTCAAACAGTATCTTCCCCTTTCCTATCTGTATTTTTCCGTGATGCTGATGTAACCCTCGACAGGCTTTACGCCCGTGGAGAATACGCAGATCTCGTCATCACTTGTCATGGGAAGCAGCACCAGGTACATAAGGCCATTGTATGCCCACGGTCTGACTTTTTTGCCGCAGCCTGTCGCGGAGATATGAAGGTATGGGTCCCACTAACGTATGATAGTTTCTTTCAGCTAAACGTCTGAGTTAGGAGGCGCGCACCGGAATCATCGATCTTCCTGATGATGACCCCCAGGTCGTTGACATGATGGTTTATTACTTCTACCACCTTGACTACAGTACGCCTCCGCTACACATAATCAAAGGCAAGGAGGTTACCGACCAGATGGATACTCATGGTGACGGTGACGATGTCACGGCATCGCGTCCTTGCTATTCGGATCTCGTTGTACATGCGAAGATTTACGCCCTTGCAGGGAAGTATTTTATCGGTGGCCTTAAGGCCCTCGCACTACAAAAGTTTGAGGCGGCAACCCAGAAGCACTGGGCCCCAGGTGATTTCCTAGAAGCAGCGCAAGAGGTGTACACGTCTACTCTCGACTCCGACAGAGGACTAAGGGATGCTATAGTCAAGACTCTTTTTGAACATCGCGACTTGCTGGTTCAGGAAAACACTCGAGGCGTCCTCAAGCGATTAGATACCTTGACATATGATCTCCTCATGTATGTTAACCAGAAGGTTACACACTGGCGCTGAGATCCTAAAGAAATAGGTATGTCCTTTCTAATAGCCAGCCGTGCCCGCCGAGAATCGTCTCACCATCCCCCGTATTATATTCCTGGTCTAACGCTCTGGATTGCCTAGCGGTATTGGCCGGATCTCGGATATGCAGTCAAGCTCTTAGCAAATATGCATGAGGCTTAAGCGAGGCGACGTCCCATGACGTACATGTATCAGAAACTTCTGATAGAAGAAATATCGCCGTGACTAGAAATTGCCGCAAAGCGTAGGGGATGCCGAAGCCAAGTTGGAGAATGCCTAAGGAGTTGATTTTTACTGTATAGCGCAGGCCTTATGAGGAGATCAGCAGATACCTATTAATTGATATTAAGTAATTCAGGACACATTGAGGGAATAAAGATAACGTTCCTGCATTTGGGCGTCTTAGTTCTTGTTAGGCCCCACTCGGGCGCACGTTATCGCGCATGTACGAGCGAAAGACCCAGCCGAAGGTCTGGCTCGCCTCCAGACCGTAATGACAGCCTACGGTGACCATGCATTACTGTTAGCGTGGCTACTCCCGCCGAATTATGCCCCGGCGAAAGGGGGAACCAACCAGCTCGACCGCCACGTTAGGCGAATCGAGGATTTTCCCGCCTTTGCTGCTGACGGTCCAACAACCAAGACGAAGTGGCTTAGCGATGTAACAGAGCAACGCCCCCACCCCCTCCCACAGGTCGAATGCGTCGAAAGCACACAAGAGAAAAAGGCTCGCCCCTTCCCCACATGCGCGCGCCATCTATTCCTCTATATCGACTCTGCCAGCTAGCCTCCTGGGGTCCTGGAGCCTCGCGAGCTCGAGCAGGAGGCGGTAAGCGTATATGGCGAGGTCCTCTCGACGGAAAGCACGGGCGAACCAGTCGCGGCCCTGGTCAGCGACCTGGCGGGCGGCCTGGCGACCCGCCGGCGTCGACGCGAGATAGCGGACGAGCTCGGGCAGGTCGGTCAGCGATTGGCTGACGGGCACGTAGTGTACCCAGGCGGCGAGGCGCTCGTCGTGCCACTCGCGCAGCAGTGTCTGCTTGAGCAGCGCCGACCGCGACGCCAGCAGCTTGTAGTAGCGCCCGCTGATCCCGTTGCCGTCCAGGTCGAACGCAAGCCGCGACCCCAGCGCCTGGTCCGCCGCCGCCCACGGTCGTCGCCCGAAGTACGCCCGCTGCTCCCGGCACTGCCGCCGCCCGCACTGAAAGATCCGCGTGAACCCCACGTCGTACAGCCGCCCGTCCAGGAACGACGATCGTACCACGCCGTCGTCGGCCTGCTCGCTCAGATACTGGTGCTGCCGACCCTGCAGATTCTGCGCTAGTGCGACAAATCTCTGCCGGTGGTGATTCCGCCACTGGCCGTCCACGGCGAACCCGCCCGTCGTCGAGCCGGCCCAGTAGAGGTTGTTCCGCTTCTGGTCCCAGTCGACGTCGTTAGCTTCGACATATTGGAACTCGGACTCGATATAGGCCGGGCTGGGGTAAAGAATGTCGCCCATCGTCGACGGGGAGCCGGTTGATAGCACTGGCACCAAGCCTTCAATTAGCCGAAATGACGTAGAGCTTATGTGGAACCCGTGCATATCACTGTACTCGGGGTGCTGACATAGGTCTTTGGCCGAGGAAGCATTGGTGATGAATAAGTCGTCGGACGCTTCTATCGTGTGGCTAGTCGAAAGGTCCCTCCTATTATCCTGGGAAGGGCAAAATTTTGTGAGGATATCCCAAGCACGTTGTCTCGACAGATCAGTTATATTAAATACATTATCTGGGCCCGGTTGCTCCCTTGATCCCGGTGGAATCAAGACCCTCGGTTCGTCAAGGTGATTGACAAGAAACTTGACATCTGGCAAAACACCGCGCAGTTCGCCCAACAGCGTGTCAAATAAGAGCGGCACGTGTCTGTCAAAAGTGCGCCATTGGTGATTACAATCGGCCCTAGCCGCAAGACCAGAAAACGTACAGAGCCAGAGTTCGCTATTCGGGTCATTTCGCGCGACAGTCATGATCTCTAGAACCTGCTGGCCGCTCAGTTTCCAAAACGGCGAAATGCCACGATAAATCGTGTCGAACTCGTCGATAATTGGCGAATCGTGCGATCTTGCGAACTCGTACCAAGCTTTGAAGCCCGGCGGAGGCTCTACGCCATACCGGCGGCGGTACTCATCGTGAGCTGCCGAATAGGTTGTAGATTGCTTTTGGAGCAACGCCTCGAAATCGGCCCGAGCATCGTGAATTAAACCCTGGATAGGATGCTCCCGCAGATGGAGAAATGAAGACTGCGCGATTCTGATAGCGAGGATATTGGAAAGATACGGAAGGAGAGAGACGAAACAAAACGTCCAGAGAGCAGACTTGGTCCTTGCTTGCTTAGGAAGGACATAAATCAGCTGGCCGAGTGCAAGAACGGAAGCTACTACGTGCGACAAGGCCTGGGTGCCAGAAGATTGGATGAAGGGATCAAGAGTGGACATAGTCCCGAATGTTCCTATCACAGTAGCCGAGAGCCACGAATATTGCCGAGCCTGAAACGCCGATAAGCACTATGAAAGGAGACCAGGGACGGGGAAAGTATCAGTTAATACATACTGTCTGAATTGTAAAGTACCAAGTCAAAGCCTTAACCAAGCTCAATGGTAGCGTCACTAAAGTTATGCTAGGGAGACCGAACAAGCCAACCTCTCCGCCGACGGCAAGCCCCAAGATAGACACGACACGCCATGTCAACGAGCGAGCCGTGTCCTGGATGTCGAAGATCGGGAGGAACCGGGAGGCCTTCTCGCACTTGGGGATAAGAGCCAAGTAGACGACTAGCAGAGACACAACAGGAATCGCGGATAGGGCATATTGCCGACTTCCCCACCCGGATAAACTGTCCCAGCTTGCGAAAGAGACGACGGTGAATGCGGCGACTAGAGTTGTGCCCCACAGGCTAGCGGCCAGAAGAGACAAGACTGATGTATCAGACCTTGCTGAAGTGCGGTCCTCAGGCCCAAGATACTTCTGAGTTAGCAGAAGCAGCGGAGTCAATACTGGCTACCACGCGTCAGCTGAATGAAGAGGCGGAACGCGGACAGAAAAGTAGGCGTCTTACCAAAAAGTCGACCGTTCCATTCTCAATTTTAAAGATGCAGAATACAGCGACACCAAACGCAACCACCCATAACAAAAGGGGGGGTGCGGGCCGAGACACCAGACTATTATTAGTCTGAGGGTTGCCAAGAGGAAGCGGGGATGCCCTCGGAAACCTATTCGCAACGTCACGCGGAGCAGCTCCGAAGATGACGGGGAGCAGTAGAAAGCCCAGAATATCAGAGCACAGTTCAGGCTGCCAGGGGGTCAGGACTTGGGTCAAGACGCTGCCAAGTAGAGCCGCGCCGGCGGTTCTGGTGACCGGGTCGAAGTGGACAGCGAAGCGCGTCCATAAGGCGTCCATAGGTGCTTTGCCGTTTTCCGGGGCATGCTACCTAGGTAACGAGGTGAGCTAGGAAGTCTCGCGGAGGGGTGGGGGTCCGAGCGACGGCGACAGTGAAAATGGAGGCTTGCGAAATCATTGAGAGGCGATTCGCTTAAGTGAGGAAGAATCGAGGAAGGATGCTAGAAGTGAGAGATAATTAAAAGACACAACTTGCCCATCCGCGAATTAGGCGATCGGGATGGTATCTAAATACGGGTTAGTCAGCAGCTCCGCATTGCGGCGGTGTCCGGGGGTGTGCTTACGTAACACGCTAAGGAGACGCGACCAGATGATCTTGGTGGGCTGGAGACTGGAGCCAGGTACCTAAATATGCCTACCTCTAGGTACTTACATCTAAGCTACAGAGAAGCCATCACCGGTTTTTAAGGATTATCGATGTACATCGGCGTGAAGACAAGTAAAACTTCGGCATAATGCATCTCTCTTGATGACAACGAAGGCACCAAAGGTACCTACCTGTGGTAATATTCTTCAATATTCCTAGTTTTGGCCCTTGAACCTACAAACAGGCTTCCACCCATCCACCTCGTCTCCCTTCATACAAAACAACTACCTACGTCCTGGGCAAGTTAGGTAGGTATATCACATCTCAGACAACCTCAAATGTTGTGCGTACGGTATAGGCATAAGGCATACATACCCTTTACTAGTCAGGTCAGCTTAATCAACCCCCGACGAATCCTAATTATGGAGAGATAATCTGAGAGGCCCGGAAGACTCGCGATCCGCAACCAGTCACACCACGCTGTTAACAAATGGCAACATGCTACGGCAGATAAGCTGCAGACGGAGGGTGCATAGACGAGGGTTCCCCGGTTCCTGAGCCCTCTCAAACGTACATGCTCGTCACCGCTGACTCGACATTCCGCTCTCTTTGCTTTGCGATGTTCGGTCGATTCTGCCTTTTTGGGACGCTTATCAACCCGGTCCATCGCTGGACCAGACTCGGCCGGCTGGCGAGACGGAGATCGGCAACATCCTACTTCTCTCCGGGCCGTCATCTGCGCTACCCTACCCTATAATAATACACGAATAGAAAATAGAATGCACCCCTGGAAGCCTTCATGTAGAAGACACCCTTTTCTTCCTGTTATCAACCCACCCAAAGAAGAGTGAAATCCGTGATTGTAGCCCAAAACTAGAATCACTCGGACACCTATTATGGATTAGTTGCTAATAGATTCGGCACGGAAGTTCCAAAAAGTCAGGCGTGACCACCGCCTCGTCAGCCTACGGAGCCGTAGATCGCCATCTACGTCGGTGGTCGCGGATGAATCCTGGCACGGAGGACGCTAGGAAGGGGTGGCTAAGACAAAATCGGGACCAGATCATCGACGGATAGCCACACAGGAATGTAGGCTGCACTGGTTGACATCCGCGAAGGATTCCGGCTCTTCTTAATATGCAAGCGTCATTTAACCTCCCAGGCCTCAGTACTCTTTAACGCCGTAGGGGCCAGTCATGTGTCCGAAGGAAGGATTGTCGTCGTAGTCATATCATGAGGCATCACGGGCAATCTATGCCAGCGGCTAGGTTGTTATATCCACTCTCTGATCATAACCAGCATGAGTATTGGACCACAACAACGGGGTGCCAAAGTCCTCCTCGACCGCCTTCTAGCACCCGCCCACTTGCCGCTCAACATCTTCACTTACCAAGTAAATAAAGCTCGCCACAACTGCGACCGTACCGACAGTTCTCCAGGTCATGAACATGCGATATCCCAGAAGCGCGCAAACCGAATAGACAGAGAGATCTGGGGATTCAGGCGATAATCGATGTATGAGCAACAAGACTCCCTCAACATTCAACCTAGATCGCCACCACATACTTCTCCAAATTGCCTACGAAGATCGAATGGCGTAACTGCTTACGCGGGTATCATGTTTACTCCAAACACTGGTACCACGGGACACTGTACAACGTAGAACTTAGTTGGTCCGAAGAAGCGGTCGCGCTGATCAACGCGTAGGACTGTATCCTGTTCTAATTTTGCACACCGATTCCTCGACATCGAGACGCTGTCACTTCCTCTGCTGAGGGACGAGATTGGGCGTGCAAGGATCCCTAACCAAGAATGATCTGGGACACGGAGTTCTGATGGGTATAAAGACCCTGCCTCTCTGCCCTCTTCTTGGCCTCGATTCAGCACCAACAAGCGCAACTATCAGCATCAAGCATCTCCTCTCAACTTCGAAGAAAGCTTGCACACATCACTCTCATCCCAGAAAATCCGTTTTCCGTCACCCCGCGCCAAAGCTCGCCCAATATGATGTTCATCCGCCTCGCTGCCGTAGCTGTGGCTGCTTTTCTCACGGCTCCGGCCCTGGCTTGCAAGTGCTTCGTGGACGGCGGACAGGACGACGCCCGAACCCAGTCATGCTGCGGTGAACTCAACGGGATCACCGCGGGCGATGACTGCCGGGCCAATTCGATCTCGGAGCACCTCTCCGATTTCCGCTCCTGCTGCGGCGGCCAGTCCGACTGCGACTTCTAGAGTTCCTACAGGGAATTTCGAGGGCTTATCGAGGGCCTACTGAGGCTACACAGCTATGAACCCTGTTTCCCTTCTACCCGAAGCTTCATGGCATGACCACGGCCAAGCTCTCCGGCCTGCTTCTCTTTCATATAAGGGCCATTTTCTCGCCACTCTCGCTGTCGTCGGAAAGTTGAATTGGGGAGCGGGGCAATGTTGGAACTAGAGACTGGAGAGGTTAAACCTTGAGTGGTACACAGTGGAATGGGTGTGTAGCAGGTAGCAATTGTCCGTAGTGGTTGAACCCGAATACACTTACCTAACGGAATTATAACTTGGCGCTGAGAGTTGCTAGCCTGTTTGAGCCGAGGTGCTATTAAAGAAATGTTCACGTGGCCAATCCTATAATTCCCGGGATAAGTATGCGAATGAGTGAGTAAATCGGGCACTCCACGACTGGGTAAAATAGAGATACAGTATCAATAGTTACGAAGGCCCCTCTCGCCAAGGCCAGGAAATGAAATGCAGTATTTCCCAGGTAGGGACCAAATTCACGGGAAGAGCCGCAGTTGGAGCCGATATCTGGTACGAAAGTGCGAACTTATTTGGGAAACAGCTTAGTAATTAATTGCGGTCCTATAGGATGGGCAGCGAACGTACGATCAATCAGAACATATCACGGCCTTCTTTTACGGCTCGGCTAGGTACCTAGTCAACAAGTCGAGCTCAGTGCCGAAATCATTTACTGATTCTAGTTCGCACCCAGTCTCCAGCCTCGTAGATACGAATGATTTCGTTGTATAGTTCCCTCAGAAGCTGTTTAGCAGCTTAGCAGCGGGGCACTACGATGTTCTATCCGGGGTGCACAACAGACGGAGCAAACTGTCAGCTTTCGTTTATCACCTTCATTAAAATGGTGATGTTATATTAATGAAAGAAGTCGGTGGGACTTTTTATTACAACGTGATAAGAGCAGACTTGTCGCTGGCCAGACGTTTCGCTTGGATTGCTGACGGTTTCTTGGGTTGAGAGTCTCTCTCTCTCCTTGCTCGAGTAGGAAATCAGAAATGACAACATTGCTATTCAAGCACGGCTCAAGTTATAGCTAGGTAATTAGGTATGTTGTGCATATTATTCCGCATTCCTAGATGTTATGATTCTCAGTAAAATCACGTATTTGGCGATGTCGCTGTGCTTTCGTGATGTTTCAGCTAAGAATTTCATACCTACGTCATCAACATGTGAGGTAGCACGGACGTCACGACCTCCTCCTTCTCTTCACACAGGACCAATTCCCCGTCTCCACTGGTCTTGTTCCAACCTCGACCTACACCCACCAACCGACATCCACCACCATTCGCCCTCAGCCTTAGTTCCCTAGAGTAGATTAGGTGCTTTGTTCTCATCACCACTTAACTTCGGCGTTCGCTTGTCTCTCTCTAGAGACCCGTTCGCAGCCGAAAATGTCGGAGCAGAGCAGGGTCAGAAGCTGGTTCGGTGGAAGCAAGGTCGACAGTGCCCAAGACCAGCCTCAAGAGGCCACGCCTCCAGGCACAGCCGCGGAACAGGACCGCTATGGGAACTCCTTCGGTGGGGACAAGCTCCCCCCCGTTGATCGTCACGCCGGGATGAGACTGCCCGAGGTCTCCGGAGCCGAGCAGGATAGGTACGAGCATTGGTTTGGGGGGGATAAGCTACCTTCTAGAGCCGATATCGAGAAGAGGCTGCCTCACACCTCCGGCGCCGAGCAGGATACGTATGGGCGTTGGTTCTCACACGAGAGGGCCCCTCCGACCACCATCATCGACAGTGACCCGTCCCTCGCTTCTAGTTCCGAGCCGAGACACTACGAAATCCACTTCAGACCCGGTCCTGCCCACATAATCCGACCCAATAGCACCGCCTCTACACTCGGCCTTCTCGAGCACGCCGTCTTGCCGTCGTTCTGCTTCCACTCGGGTTTAGGTGTCATCGCCTATGGCATAGGTCGTTATACCAACAGAGTGGACGTCAAGGACATTGCGTGGCCCAGTGGCCAGGTCGCCAACGCTTGGTGGAGCGCCATCGGAATCCCCGTTGTGTACTACGGGGTGCCCGTTCTCGTGGCCTGGGAAACGTTGACATATAACCAGAAGCTTCTCCTAGCTGGCGTCAGCGCCTGGGGACTCCGACTCCTCTATCGCATCGTGTTACGCAGCCTCCGGCGCGGCTCGGACGATCCCCGTTACGAGACCGCCGCCAGAAAGCAGTCAGATTTCTGGAACAAGGCCAGCCTCACCACGTTCCTCCCCGATACGCTCGCCCAGGCCTTAATCTCCCTGCCATTCACCTTGTCATTCCGCGCTCCCGCCGTCAGTACTGCCGTCGCTGTGCCGCTTCCGGAAGGCTCTACTATTTCCCACAGTCTGGCCGTCTTCCTTTTCACCACCGGCTACGCTCTTGAAGCCCTGGCCGACTCGCAGCTAGAGGCCCACAGCCGTAAGGCGAAGAACGAGATCAGCACTAGTGGGGTTTGGAGCATCGTCCGCCATCCTAAGTAAGTCGTCCTATGCACCCGGGGGGGACATTTAAAATGAAAAAGAGGAAAAGCGGAGGACTAATCCACCAATTCTCGAACAGCTACCTCGGCGACGCGCTATGCCACCTCTCCTTCCCCTTCCTACTCTACAGCGCAGGCCAGCTGCACCCACTCACGCTAGTCGGCCCCGTCGCGAATTACGTTTTCCTACGCTTCATCCGCGGGGATAGGGAGAACGAGAAGAATCAGGAGAAGCGCTACTCCCGGGAGAACCCCGTCAAGTACCAGGAGCTACAGCAGTACAAGAGCGCCAAGAATAGCTTCTGGCCCGGCCCGGCCGAGATCGGTAACAAGTGGCTGTGGGCCGTCGTGGCCGCCGGAGCTAGTGCCGTCGTCGTGGAGCGTGCAGCGCTTGCGTATACGAGGTCATGAAACATCTAGGCCGCTTATGGTGGAAAGTCGGTCCATGGTATGTTGTGCTCTTTTTCCCATCGACCTTATGTGGTTAATATAATGGGGGAAAGGGCCTCGTCGTCTGGGGACGGCCTCGCGAACCCCTTCTCAGCGGCGTATTTCTCACATGTAATATTATAGTGGATAATACTGTATTATTGCTATTGCCTCACCACACTCATGTTTTCGACCCTAATTCTAATCAATATGCAACTGTACCGTCATTCGAAGAACAGGGCATTCATGCCTATATAAGGAATAATAAATTGATATAGCTCGCGCCATGATAAGATGTGTGAGAGGACTAGATACCTATGTATGATTTAAACGTGGTCAAGGCATGCCAACGCGCATGATCCCTTAAGAACATGAGAATATCCCTACAAAGACATTGTAATAAGCGCGACCCAGTCTACTGGTCGTCCCCAGTAATGCATATATCGTTAACATCATTACGATTTGTGAGTAGGGTCCAAATCAATGGGAACACGAATCGGCATCACGTAGAAAAGTACGGTTGGGGTGAGGAATATATACGCGGCTAGCTTTCCAACACATGTATATGTATGTTATGTATATATACGTAGATACACGGCGGCGGTCACCTCTCTTTCTCTCTCTCTCGTCGCGGGCCCACGATGGCCGGTTACACCTCTGCTTTTTCCCATTTTCATTCCTCTCCCTCCCCCTCTCATTTCCATTGTCGCCTCCGGCGCCACCGCCGCCGATACCGTCCGTCGGCTGGGTAAGGGGTAGCAGGAGGAGCAGGAGCAGTAAGAGGGGAAGGGGGGCTGCTGCGTTCCCTGCCTGACCCCTACGGGAGAGCCGAGGGGGCCGCTTAGACCGTGACGGTGGAGCCGACGGGGCCGAAGCGGATGTTGGACCAGACGACCTTGCTGGAGGCTGCTGTTAGCGGAGTGCGGAATAGGGTGGGGGCCGGGGGGAGGGGGGGGTGTTACGTACGCGTCGGGGATCGAGGACTCGACCTCGGAGGGGACGCCGGAGTCCTGGGGGCAGTCGCCACGGTCGCCGCCGGGCTGGCCGGCCTTCTCGGGGGGGTAGCTGGAGTCGAGCCAGAGCATGTTGGCGTAGTGCTAGAGAGAGAGGTGAGGTGAGCGAGGGGTCAGAGCGGAAGCAGGGGAAGAAGAAGACTCACGTCGTCCCAGATGGACATAACCAGGACCATGGGAAGGGCGAGGGCCTTGTTGAGCTGGTCGAAGCCGCCGACCTCGCTGAAGCGGTCGCGGTCGCCGAAGATCTCGAACTGCTTGCTGCAGAACTCGGGGGTGATGTTGCTGCTCGCGGGGAGGCCCTCGTACGTCGAGCCGGGGATCTCGATCTTCCTGCCGTTCTGCACGAAGAACTGCGACATCTTGTTCTGCTCGAACCGGGTCACGACGCTGTTTCCGCCGCCGGCGCCTCGTCAGCAACACGCAAGCACCACATCTCGGGGTCGGGGTCCCGCGCTTCTCGCCCGCACTTACGTGAACTTCTTGCTCGTGTCGACCGTCTTGCCCTTGCCGTAGAAGTCCTTGTTCCCCATGCGGTACGGGTTGTAGTCGCACCCGTTGGCGTCGCACTTGCCGGCGAACCGGTCGTCCGAGTACGTGCCGCCGCAGCCGTCGTTCTCGCACACGTGGTACTCATTTTGGGTGCAGGGGTGGGGCGTCAGGGCGAAGGAGTGCGAGTTGGACTCCCTGTTTGCCAAGCACGGGTCAGCTCTACGTTCTGTCGGTGTCCCCGCTCGAGCAGAGGACGATCCCATCAGGAGAGAGGAGGGGGCGAGAGTAAGGGGGCTCACCAGACGTCGATCTCAGCGCAGCAGGCACCGTACGGGCCAACACCGGCGTTCGCGTCGTTGGTGGACGGCTTCCACCCCTCAACGTTGGCCTAAGCAGCGTCTTAGTTAGCGTCTGCGTCCGAGCAGCGGAAGCGGGGGGGAGAGACATACTTTGCCGCCGACGAACTTCAGGTCACGAGCGCACTGAGCATCGCAGTAACCGGTGCCGTACTTGGCACCGGCCTTGTTGCTGGAGTAGCTAGCCATGCCGCCGTCTTCCTCCATGGCGACGAAGTAAAGAGCAGCGTTGAGACCGCAGTCGACGGTCGAGAGATCGACGTCGAAGGCGAACTCGTTGCCGAGCAGATTGAAGGTCTGGTACTTGCTAGCGCCGTTCATGAGGTAGAAGCGGGAGCCGATGTTGGTGCCGTAGTCGTGCTTGGTGACGAACTTGAGGGTCAGGGCGTCGCCGCTGGTGGACGCGCCGTAGGTCTTGCTGTAGTCGGCGCCCTCTATGGCGCACTTGGTGGCGCAGTCGGTAGCGGAGCTGCACTTCGACGTCCACTGGTTGCCGTCGTAGCAGTTTTCCGTGCCCTCCGTAGAGTGCAGCCATCGCCAGTTGGAGTCGATGGTCACCTCGGCGCTGACCGTCGAGCACGAGCCGCCGCTGGAGCATCTCTTCCAGCTCAGCTTGGGGTGGGTCTCGGTCTGCTGCTTTCCGACCTGCTGGGCGGAGGCGAGCCCGAGCAGGGCTGCGGACACGGCGAGAGACAGCATGGTGGCTGGTACCTGTAACTTCACCAAGGTGGGAGGGGAGTTTCTTCAACCTAGAGAGCGGTGGTGAGGTGAAAAAAGGTAACGGCATGGTGTGACATCCGGGAGTTGGTTCATTATATACGCGATACAGAGATCCCGTTTCTCTTTGTCCGTCGTATACTCTGCCGCGTAGCAATACGCACTCTCGCATTCGATATTACCGGCAACGAGCTCCGCCTCGACGTGACCGAATCGCGGTATGGCAGAGTCGATCACTGGCCGTCTCGGCCTTACGATCATCTAGGATTAGATTAAACAGCCAGGGTCGCTACTTAAAACCCGACGGCTGTTCCGTCTACGCACGCTCTGGTTGGTTCCAGTAGCAGAACGTGGCCTACGCCATGGTCGTCTTCGAACCCTGGGGGCGAACGGTGCCAGAAGAATCGAGCCGCTGTCCAAACCGGTATTCGCACGCAAGGGTGGCCAATAGGGGGGGCGGCCGTAGAAAGCGACGGCGATCAGAATAATGAACCAAGACTGACATTACCAGCCCTCGTGTCCTGACGGGGGAGTTCAGGACAACGACCTCCGACGCAATATAAATTGGATGTATAAGTTTCAGGACCATGGTCCGAAGTAACCTGGGGTATTTGCGGGGAATGGGGAGACGATGCTGATTAGGGCGAGGTAGGGGGCCCAACCTGTAGGTATATGCCCCAGAGACGCTGGCTCCGCGGCCCGTTACGTCCACAGCACGGAGATGGAGTCGCCGTCTGGAGAGAGTGAGATCACAAAGCGGGGAGGCCCTCCCCCCTCGAGAGACCTAAGAGGAGAGCGGAAGGCTGGGAGCGGAGGGTTGCGGCTCTCCCGAGCTAAGCGAACGCAGAAAACGGCGATCACGCGGAGAAGCCCTAGGCAGACCGACGGGGCCCTCCGTGTTCTCGAGAGAAACTAGTCGGCCGTAAGTTTACGTGTAAATCTAGAGAGCTGGAGATAGATAGAAGGGGTCTCGCGAAAGCGCTGAACATCCCTTGACACCGCGCCCCCTCGCCGCACTGTCATACTTAAGTGGTGATGGTAGAGCAACACAGAACAACAGGGGGGATATCTGCGAGATCTGGTGTAACGCGGTCAAAGACACAGCCATTGGCCGGGTAACTTGGCACGGGAGGGGGTGGACAGCTGGAGGTGCCGTTCGCATTGCTGATGCCGAGGCTAGGGTCGTGGAAAATATCGACGGCAGATTACCCAGGGGTGTACCGGACGCCAAGTTTGGCAAAGCTCCGTCAAATAACCCCAGTCATGGTCAATAAAACATTTATCCAATTGCCGCAGAGCTCTCTGGTGTAGTAGGCTGCACGTCTGTAGGTCCTCGCGTGGCGTGGTTTGTTGTCGCGGTCGCGGTCGTCTCGTGCTATCTGTGGTACACCTCGCCAGGTGGGCTTCGGCATACGCATCAGAGCCAACGAAGAAGCTGTTTATATTTAACCCCCGTAAACTACACCGGTAGGGTGCCGCGGACGTATACATAGATGTAAGCAATGCTGCGGTCCGTCCAGCCCACCGAAGCCACATACCCCTTTTCTCCAGGCAGGCAATGCGGAGAGGCACGAGTAGCTCAAGCATGCTGGCAAAGTCTTGGCTGGGTATATATCACTGACAGCTAAGCCTCGCCATATTTGCTTATATTTGCGTGGCGCTTTAAGCCGAGGATCTGCCTAGCGAGACGACTTTAGGCAAGTCGAGTTGCGGCGACCGACCCAGTCCGAGATTACCACAGCCAGCGATGAGGCCGACAGAGTGGGCGCTCGGCTGACCTATCGGTGAATAGCCTCCATTTCGCTCATGTTGCCATTAATATACGAAATTGAGCCATAGCTCACTTCTTCGCTGTGGTGGGGTGGTCTTCATGCGCCTTGTCGCTGCAAGTATCAGACTAGGTGGTGATATCAGGACCTACGGTAATCTACATGCTTGAGGGATGATCGACCGACACGAGGTCTTCTCGAACTTGCCAAGTATACGGCGGTTACGTAGCCGCGATTCCATATCGCCGGACCTATCATAGAGGTTGAGTACCCGTCTCGTCGCAAGCTGGCCAGATCGGCCGAGGCTGGGTACGGGTTAAGGGGGTGGATGACAGGCGACAGTGACTAAACGCTTAACCATCTAAAGGACTCAGGGGGCCTCGTAGCATCTTCAGTGAAGAGAAGTGCTCATGCACAGCCTCGAAAATTAATTATCAACCCTGACCTTAAATCCCGGCTCATCTCCTGCGGGTAAAGGCAGAGTGCCGAAGTTCTAGCGAGTGTGTTGGGTCCGATATGAAGCTTAAGAGGTGCCTTATGATACCACTTCGGAAAGTATATGTGTAGATCGCTGTTTAAGATGTAATTTATCCTTTGAGCTTGGATGACCATCTTGGCTCCTCAAGAGGCTTGCTTGCTTGGTGGAGGCGCTCATGACTATTCATATTGGACACTCCAATACAAAGCGTCTTGCTTAGACCCTCCATAGAAGCCGTCCATTGGCTTTCCTTGCCGGCCACGCCAAGGGCATTCTACCCATAGAAATGTCTGGATACCCACCTCGGGGGCTCTAGTTGGAAGGAAAGGGGAAGCCCCTTGGCCGATAAAGGGGCCACACACAGCTAGCATCAATAGAGAGCCTGCGTTTTAAGGGCCATCTTGCCGCGCAGACTAGTACAACAGTAGCAATCTCAAGGTTACTACATAGTCGAGGTAACTGAACAGAGCTCAACTCTGTGCGTGGCACGATCGAGTTGCTAGGAGAGGATAGACAGGAGTGGCACACTGTAACCACCGAATTCTCACCCCTGACGGGAAAGGGGGGATCCCCAGAAGTTCATACGCGAACAAACAGATAGATTAATATCGCAAATACACTCTAGTTGTCGTTCTCGAAATCCTACAGCCTGGCAACCGCAGCTACCTATGCCGGCCGTGCGATGAGCCCGACGTCCATGTTCAGACCCATATCCGGCTCCAAATTCAGGTCCGGCCATTAATGAACCCCGACATAGACAACGCAGACAAAACACAGATCCGGCCGTTATTACTCAGGTCCCTAGAAAACAGAGAAAAGAAGAAGAAAAGGTGAAAAAAAGGAAAATATACAAGGCGGGGGGGTATCCTCTGGAATGACGGTAGATGCGGGACCATCCGATAGAGCTCGTCTCGCCTCCTTCTGCCTTGGCTCCCTTGCCTCGTCAACCATATCGTATCTTTCTCATTCTCTCATGCACGTCCGCCTGTCCCTCCCGTCCATCCGTATGACCCTGGATCCGACCCTGTTTCCCGACCCTCATTACTACGTCAAGTCGTCATCGTCAGCGAGCGCCGCCGTCGCCGTGGCGTCGTCCCACTTCTTCGCCGGCAGCTTCCGGACCTTCTTGGTCGGGCTGCCGGCGCTCGACACCTTCAGCACCTTTTTCTTGATGCCGCCGCCGGTGCCCGGGGCCTTGCGCTGGCCCTCGTCGTCGGCCAGGCTGCCGTGGCTGCTCAGTCGCAGCTGGTCGAGCCGGCTGCCGAGCCCGGCCATCTCGGACCGGACGCTGGGCACGTCGCCGCGCTCCTGCAGCGGCGCGCGCTTGCTCGGCGTGCGGTTCGCCAGCTCGCGCTTGAGGACCGCCATCTCGCGACGCAGCCGCTCGTTCTCCTGCTCCAGGTTCTCGATCAGCACGTTCTCCTTGTCGTCGTCGCCGTCGCTGCCGCTGCCGTCCTGGCTCGGCGCCGTCACCACCACCGCCCCGACCCCGCGCGCCAGCACCTCCACCTTCCGGTCCCAGTGCGCCTCCCCCCACTCCTGCTCCTGCGACCGCGACGCCTTCCACCGCCCCATCTCCGCCGCCAGCCGCGCCTCGAAGTCCGCGTAGCACTCCTCCCGCACCTCCTGCTCCAGCTCCGCCGCCCGCTCCTCCGCCGACTCCAGGTGCGCCTCCGCCGCCACCCGCGCCGCCCGCTCCCGCTCCAGCTCCGCCTGCAGCTGCTCGATCGCCTCCGCCATGCGCGCGATCTCCAGCGCCGCGTTCTCCATCGTCGCGCGCTCCGTGTCCGACGCCGGCGAGAACGTGCGCCACGGCCGCTCGTGCTCGCGCTCACGGCGGCGACGAGGCGGCGGAGGCGGCGGCGATGGCGGCACCTCGTAGCGCCGCGGCCGCCGGTGCTGCTGCTGGTGGTGCCGGTACGTCACGGGCGAGCTCGTCGCGCTGCGCGACCCCTCGCTCGGCTCCGACTGGTCACCGCGCTGCGAGCCCGCGCCGGACCCGGGCCGAGCGGACACCGCCGCCACCGCGGCCGCCGCTGCGGCCGTCGCGAGGATTGTCGACGTGATCGACGGCACGCGCGGCACCGTGACCTCGCGCGCCAACGCGCTGTAGCGCAGGATCTGCGACGTCGCGTTGAAGTCGCCGAGCGGGTCCGCCGTGACGATCATGACCGCCTTCTGGGGCGCGCGCCGGCTCGACGCGCTCTGCGACAGCGACGCCGACGACGGGAACGAGTTCGAGAACAGGAGCTCCGTGAGCTTGCACTGACGGAAGGGGACTAGGTTCGGCTGTTACATCGCTGTCAGCAGGGGGGGCGTCACGTGCCCACGCGCCCTTCTCGCTCCTCGGTAGGGGATGCTTACCTTGGCCATGCTGCTGGCGTCGCTCTGCATCTGCAAGCACTGGCCCAGATACATCAGGCTCTCGTTGATCTTGCCGGCCTCGGCCAGGGTGGCGCCGTGGGTCTTGGCGTCGCGCGCGCGCTCGCTGCCGGCTAGGTCGACGACGCTCAGGGTGCTCGTGCCCCAGCGGCCGTGGGCGCGGCCGCGCCGGCGCTTCTTGACCTCGACGCAGAAGAAGCCGTGGCTCCGCGACGACACGCTGTTGCTGCCGGTGCCGGCGACGCGCCGCTCGAGCAGCCCGGCCTCGAGCACCATCAGCGCGTCGCGGAAGCTGCCGCAGATGACCTTGCGCAGGCCGGCGACGACCTTGCGGTCCGGGGATAGCTCGGTCGACTTGAAGAGGAGCGGGCGGCGGCGGTACTCCTTCGTGGCGTTCGACTTCAGCGGCGACGTCAGGAGGTCGAAGATTCGGTCGTTGTACACCTCGTACATGGAGATGACGATCGCGTACTCGGCCGAGGGGTCGCAGGACGCTCGAATCGAACTGATATCTGGCGCTTGCGGGAAGGCGGAAGGTCGTTGTAGGCGGCGTCCCGACGTGGGCGACGGGTAATCGCTCTTTATGGGAGATTTAGTAACATTCTTATATCTCGCGGCCGAGGTGAGGGCCATGTAATGCTTGTTGGGTGAACGGTAGGCCAACTTTGGCCTACCTGGCGTGACTTGCGCCGAGGAGGGTGCCAGTACACCCTCCCGCTGGCTGGGCGGCGTCGAAAGCTGGGCGATATTCAACAAGTCATCTTGATGACGAACGAGTCGAACGCTTCCGGGACTTGCTGGGAATTGCCCGGGGAGTTGGGGAGGAACATTAGGTGTGGAAGGTCGTACAGTCAAAGGCGTCGGAGCTCTAGAGCCAGCCCGAGACGTGATGAGAGCGTCTCCGTAGACAGTATCGAGGAACGCTGACGCGGACAAGATGGTGGCCTCCGACGCGTCGGAAGTCCGTATACTGGCTTCCAACGTCGGAGTAGTATCGCAATCGACAATGTTGGATTCGATGGATCGAAACACAACGTCAAGAGCTAGCTGGGTCAAACCGCGCTGACTTCGAGATCCGAGAATTGTATGCGACTAGGGCGTGTTCGTGATTAGTTACAGCAAATATCACGTATTTAGAAGCACGAGGAATAAATCATAGGTTCGCAAAAGCGTACTTTGCCCGAGCCGGTGACTCCCAGCGTCGCCAATAGGCCGTCCGTGCCATCGCCGCCGTGGGGTGCTAACACGCCTTCAACCAGAGGAAGCACTCGGGTGCCCTGGAATAAGTCAAGCTGCGTGGCGTCCTCTTCGAATACCCGCGTGAATGCGAATTTCTCGATGGCTCGCCGCCGGTCGTTGGGGGGGTTTAACGTGATGTGCGTGGGCGACTCGTCGTCGGCAGGGTCCTCGACCAAGAGGAAACGCTCGCCACTAGCATTCCCAGCGGGAGGGGGGCGCAAGCGCAGATAGACCTGGAAGAGGTTCGCATGTGCCTTTTGTGGCTCCATCTTTGCTCGAGGCGAAGAAGGTGAAGAGAAGCGGTGAGAATGTGGTAAAAGGGGGGGAAATTAAAAAGATAAAACAGATAACCGATGGAGAGATGGAACGCAATGACATGCAGGTTTATGCAGAGTCGGGGTTCGCGGCCATGCTGTAGTCCGACGATGCACGAAATGTCCCGCTCGACGTAGGCGAATGCAGCCCGTCGCTGGACAAGCGAACGGTACGGCATGCTAGCGCCGTCAATATTTACTTTGCGAAGTTTGGCAGTTGTCTCCGTCTCGCCAGCAACCGGCAGCGCAAGCCATAACGGTGGGGAGCGTATCGATAGCCCTGCATATAAACCCTGGTCGGTGTGGCTGGGCTCCGGGCCGTTGAGGCTGACGAGTGGCGCACCCCCTTTTCTTCCCGGATCGGTGGAAATCTGACAATCACAACACGATCCCGTACCGGGATATGTACATAATCTGTGTAAGACCATACAAGACCAATAATATGCAGCCATCCAGCACATACATGGATGCGGCAGATGCACCGAATAGCTGAGCCCTCCCTTCAAATGCTATTCGACCATCTGTTAATTGCCCGCGCGATCATCATGTCTGGTTTTCCCCTTCTCTCGCTACGCAGCACCTCCACCCCCTCGCCTCGTCGCATGACCACGTCCGGTTCCATTCCCTAAGCGCTCGTCCTCGAGCACGGGGCATGTTGAGAGAGCATCGTGTACCCAGAGTGCGTAACGTGGGCTTGAGTAACATCGGCCACGTATTTGACGACCCCATCAGGTGGGTAATTTGCTCGGGATGCTATAGGGAAAAGGGAACCACAGCGTGCGGCCTGCCAGAGAGAGTGGCCCAATGAGACGAGTGCCCATCGCAGATGGGACCGAATATACCGGATCGACTACTCGGCTACACCCCCAGAGCTATTCGGAGGTGGCCCAACCCCGAATGAAATAGTCTCAATTTCAACGCGCGCAGGGGCTCGTGGTGGCTTGTCTGCAACGGCGTTTCTTTCGCCATGCCCCTGACGCTGGTGGACGAATGCGTGGGTATCGTGAGTACGAGTAGGTGGGTTTCTAGGATTACGAGCAGTTCCCGCCGGAGGCTTTGGGAATATCGCAAATTAGAGCAATTCGGGAGCAGAGATCTCGATCGGGCACGAGATGCACGTCACTCTCGCTACTGGGGGCGTCTCCTGAAGTGGAGAGTGAGTACTGGGCTGTGGGAGGCCGATACGGGACGTGGCTAGACGGAAGCGCTGAGCAGATACAGAGCGCGTTCCAAGGCGAGGGTCTACTTTTTATGTAACTGCGCAGGTCCCTATTGGGGCTCGGCTGGAGTTCGCGTCGATTTGCTGGTCGCCTGGTAGGGAGCGGAGAGCTTGTGGGTAAAATGCCCCTGTTTCTGCAGGTGTGTATCGTCATCGTCGCCGAGCGGTCGGATGGGTCGATGGGGATGGGGTGTCGGGGGCACAAGCAAGGCGGCGAACGGGACGTGCTCGAATGCGAGAGGCCCCTCTCGCGTAATTATCCGCTTCTAGGCCTATTGAATTACACGCATACATATATGCACGCACACATACGCACGCACACGACACAAGCACACACACACGCTCACCAGGTGAAAAAAAAAAAAAGAATACTCTACATACCTACCGCTACCAGGTTCTTTTTTCAATTTTTTTCCCTCGTGAAGACATCTTGACAACATCATTCTATGGCCGTATGCGTGGATGGGGTGATGCAGGTTCTCCGTCCCCGGCACCCCTGCTTACCCTGCGTCATGTCTCGCCTAGATCGCTTCCGGAACCCCTTCTCACACCAACAACTAATAAATGGCTTATACGTAGGAGGAAATCCATGGGTCTATCGACTCTCATACACGATAGGGCCAAGTTAAGCCGCCCCGCCCTCCCCTCTAGAGGTGCCCAAGTTATTATATGTAGGCACCTGCAATACAACGGATCCGAGGAGATAAGCTGGGAGACTGAGCTGGTCTGTAACCTGGGTGCTACGGGCTTTTCTCGACGCAAGGGTCTCTCAGAATAAATTCAGGTCGGGCGTATCAGCCGTACTACGGCGTTAGGAATCTACCATATGTGACTTGGATGCAACCGTGTCATTCATCTCCCTTCTCAACCTCACGTCTACGCCAGCCCAAGCAAGGCACTCCACACCGTTAGTTTGTTGGCTGGCCCAGCTCGACCGGAGGTCCCAGCTAGACCCCTCATCACAGGCTGATATCATTATACTGATCTGGGTGCTGTTATTAGCTCCCGCTCTAGAGCGAGCCATAAAAAACATCTGCAGCGTTGTATAGGCTCGGTCAAAGTCGGCCGATGAATAACAGAGTAAATAGGCCAAGCAAGAACCGGCGGAGTATTGCACCCGGCCAGTCACCAGGAAAAGTGGCTGGACTAGGCGTCACATTTCGGGATGGAACCGAAAATCTACGGCTCGGCTTGTCGTAGGAGCACCGGACCGACTTCTAGGGGAATACAGCGAGGAGACGAGCGCGAAGGGCTGGCATGCAATGCCGCACGCAACACGAAATGTCGTGTCCTCTGTGGCTCCCCTAGAGGTAGGTGGCGTGTGCGGAGGCACCAAAAAGTGGCCTATCAAGCTATCTGGTTAGATGCATTACCGCCGTCTCCCCCCGAAATTCGAGATCATCTGCGTCAAGACCAGCCGGCAAGAGAAAAAAAAAAGAATCATCGGGAGCTTCTACCATGTAGAATGAACCTTGGAAGCTAAGAAGCAAGCTAAGCAGAAAGCTAAGCAACGTCCTCGTCCAGAGGGGCGAAAGCAATATGTAGGCCAGAACCTACCCGCAGAGGCGGTTCCTGGAGCAGAGACTCAAACCCTGAAAGGATAGGTACACGTAGCATACCCTCCCGGACGGGGTGGTTAAGGTAGCAAAGTGGCCGGGACTCTGTTGAAACCAGGCTTTCCCCGTCGTCCTATCGCAAAGGATGTGTCGATGGCTGCTACCGAGGAGCTCTTTGGTGTGCTTATGGCCTCGACCGATGCTTCGAGGTGCCGGCGCTTCCGTATAACATCAAGCGAGTGTCTGCACTGCCGCGTCGCCGGGACCGGGTCAAAAGAATACCGGGTCTTGCGTATGAGCAACAAGTGACACGAATACAAGATATATTTGATTCCATCGTCATGCCATGCCGAAGAGGGGCCAGCTTGTTTCCCGTATGATCGGGTGAAGATGCCTCTACCTCGCGTTACCTCCTATGGTCTAGGTAGGTACCCAGGTACCTAGGCGCCTCCGCTACTAACCTAAGTACCTAAAGGTACCCAAGGGTCGATGCAAGTAAGAATATGGGTGGACTTAGCCCTAGATGTTAGCGCACAGGACGAAGGCAACTAAAACTGGCGGTGACGCAGCACTACAAAACCGGCCGGTCCCCCTCTCGCGCACCGCTCACGAATCACGGCCTGTACTTACTGATACCTCATACCTACCAAGGTACATACCTATATTGCTACACTTGTGCGTATAGATACGTGCAGATACATGGCTGGCAGTACAACGCGGGTGCGGGAGCTCAGGGCCACCCCGCCTATTCTTGAAAAAAAAAAAAAGTGAGGGGAATAGGTAGGTGGACACTAGAGGGTAAAAAGACAACCTACCTACCTGATGGAGGGGGAACTGGTCCCCCCAAAGTACCCCAGTACATATATGATATACCTACCTCCCAAACAGGTACCCAGGTACCTACATACCTTAGTATATTGGGCAGGTACATTCCTCACGTACCTTCCACGCCTGCGAAACCAGCGTGAGAGATAGAAGTACCCATGTACACAGGAGGACGGCGTGTGAATATCCCTACCTGTCCACCATTTTTCCCCCGAGCCTTCGTTTGCATTTTTTTTTCCCTTCTCCTACTTTTCCTTCCAGGAAAAAGCCAACCCGCAACAGACAACGAAGTCGCACTACACCCGCTCTCCATAGCATACCATTCAGACCATATAAAAACTTCGTCGAGAATCATGCCTTCGGCCGTCGCTGAGCTGTAAACACCCACTGCGGGACGTGCCTGGACTGGGCGTGTCCCGCAGTCCGTCAGTTCACCGAGATATTCAACCGCACTTTCGACCCTCGACGAAGTTCAACAGGCTTTCACTGTCCAGTGTGCCCTTCCCAAGCCGAAGGTCACCCTCCCGGAAGTCTGAATTCCTGTCAGAATCACTGCGACTTTCGCCCCTCCTTCTGCTCCGGGCTCTGGAACCCTCGACCTCGGTGGCCTCGATCTCCGATATTATACAAACCCTCCCCTTCCTTCCCCCCCTCCCCCCTTTTCTCTCCCCTCCCCCCTCTGCAATCGCCACCCATATTACGCCCCAATCTATATCGGTTACCGCGTATATATCACTACGGCACCCTACCCAGAGGTAGAACATAGAGAAGGGAGGGAAATTCGACAGGGCAACCAGCCTAGAGATATACCTTTCGGCAGACTATAAATACGTAATTTCTCGGACTACTATCGACTGGGCTTCACCGCTGTTTGTTTCGATAGCCATCAACCCTAGAGACGAGGGTTCCACCCCCGTCTACCCCTGCTCGCCTCACATATCCCACATCACCACATCACCACACAAACCTACTTGACAATGTCCCCGAACGTACGGGCCCAGGGACCACCTGCTACCCTGGTCAAGGTATCCAGACGTCGTGGCTCCGACGTCTCCTCTTCTATCGACCTCTCGGACGAAGGCGGCTACTCCGCAGTCGAGGATATTAGCGATTCCGAGGACGACGACGAGGAGGATGTCAACGCGGCCGAGGAGGAGCATATCCTTACGGGCGAGCTGCTAGGTATCCACAGCACCCGCTCCCCTCGGCCGCATCCCGGCAAAGACGAGCAAGACGACAGTGAAGAAGGCGATGATGAAGACGATGACGATTACGAGGGGGACAACGATGAGGACGCTGACGAGACCGGCAGCTGGAACGGCATCGCCTCGGAGGCCGATATCGAAAGCCAGGTCGTCGACCAGGGATATGCTAGCACGGAGCGCCGTGTCCGCTTCGACATTCCCGACTCGTCAGACGACGACACTGAGACGGATGAGGATGTCGGCCAGGGCTTTTTCCCCGACCTCTTTGTTGATAAGAGCGCCCTCGACCCATCTTTCCGTCGGGAGATCGAGCACGATCCCGACCCCTACGACTCCTCTACTTCGGAAGCGTTCTGGGACCACTATGGCGCGTCCGGCGAGTTGGAGAACGACCCTGACGAGCCAGGTTCCGATTTTGAAGCTTTGATGCATGTGATTGAAGATGAGGACAGCACGCCCATCGCCACTCCCATGACGAGCCACGAGCTGTCCACTGGCCTTTCGACTCCTACTGGTCTTTTTGGGAACGACGACGAGTCGCTGGACGGGTATCAAAGTGAGTACACGTGATTTGGGACGCCTCTTGAAGCGCGTATACAGACTAATCGGCCCCATCTAGCCGATGGGGATACCACCGATGAAGAAGACCCACCTGAAAACCCTCTTCGGCGTAAGACTCGACGGGAGCTTGTGGACGATTCCTCGGATTCTGACGTAGTACCCCTTATCCGACCCCGCCGCGGTCAGCCGCGCGTCGGCCGATTCAATCTCGACAAGTCTAGCAAGAAGCCCATCGCCATCTTGAATCCGAGGACGGGCAAGATGATGATCTTCACACCCCAATGCGTGAAAGGGAGGGGCTTCGACCTTTCCCCAGAGCAGTTCAACTTCCAATATTTCGACCAATCCCAGTCGTCCCCCATTCTAAGCAACCCTGGCAACATCATGATGAGCGGGATGATCTCATCCAGCACTTACGGCGATTTTATGAACACGCATGCCATCGGCCCAGCCGAGGCCTGGTACGCCCAGGCGTCAGACGGCGGGAACGCTATCGGGTCGTCCGATTCCGACGACCACGTCGTGGATGAAGCCGAGAAGAGCCTGAGGCTTGAAGACTTTATCACCATAGATGATGATGATGACGATGATGATGATGATGACTTGTCCGAGGACGAGAAGGACCTGGAACAAGGCACCGCCGACGACGGGATATTTTGCACACCCGCCCGGCCGGGCACCTCGTCCAGTGATGTCGCGTCTCTGCTCGATCACTTCCAGCACAATGCCAACATCGTCGGGGCGTTTCGTCGAGACCAGGTGAATCACCAGCTGATTAGCCGTAGCAAGGCTACCCGTGAATCGCTAGCGTTCTCCGGCCCTTATTTTGAAGGCACCCTCCGCGGCATCAAGGATGGGCGCATCGCTACCGCCAATGTTCCCATATCCCCCTTGCGGAAACAGAAGAAGATGCCTGATATCGCCAGCAGCCCTCTGTCGGCGATGTCCCAGAAGAGGAAGGCATCATCGGAGCACCATATCGACCACAAACGGCAGAGAAGCATCCCAGATGTGGATCTTCTGAGGATTTAATTTCCCCGGTGGTCGATCCTCGCCCGATGCAGTATATCAAAAGACGCCAATGGACGGTGTGACCTTAAATTATAAGTCATTTCCTGGCCATTGAACCCATTACAACTATAGAAAATTCTCAATGTTTCCTACTGCAGCTTACCTATGTCTAACGTGATTCCCCTTTCCTTTTTCTTTTCCTCTACTCGAGTGTAGCTAGCGATGGCGTCTCGCCTCTCGAAGGTGTCCTAGGGACACGTTTCTTTTTTTTTTAAAAAAAAGTATTCCCTTGATTCTCTGCTCCGAACCCCTCATACGTAATGGACGCTTTACGATGTTACGAGTTCATCTCAGCGCATTTGGGCGGGTTAGAAAAAAAGGGCTCGAGCATCAACACTGGTTTATTTGCATCCTTCCCCTTTCCTCTCTCTTTCTCTCTCCTTTTATTTGTCCAAGTCGAGCGAATCTATAGCGCGACCACCCGAAACCGAACTAGTTGTGGTCGTTCTTCGCGGTTCGCGACAGGGGTGGAGAGATGACGCGCGACGTTCGTCGGACAGGGCTGGGCGGCGTCTGTGCGCGAGATGGGCGGGGGCGGGGCGATCCGTGTCTTACCGCGAGCCGGAAGGTCGGGTTGGGTAGGGTGAGGGAGGAGGAGGGGAGGGGAGGGGGGGGAGATCCCGACCGTTTCGTCCCCCCCCCCTACCACCACGGTCTCGTCGCCGCTCTTGGGCTGGGCTGGGAGAAAACTGCTAGACTTAGAACCTCGTGCTGCTGCCCTCCGGGTCGAGCGCGAGACGTTCATGCTACACTAAAATATACACAGAAAGCTGCTTCCTCTTGTTACGACGCCGCGCATTCCCCTGGGGACGTCTCGTTCAACAGTGATGGGCAGCGAAAGTACCCGTCGTCGTGCTCTGCGCATCTGGCACCTGGTGGACTCTCGTATCCGGCGTGCCTGCTGCTTCGCATCCCTACCCAGGCCGTAGGTAGGTAGGTAAGGCTTGTAATACGGGTCTCGTCGAGCTTGCTCTCTCAATATATCCTCGTAGGTGAGCGTGTTAGATGTGTCGATCGACGGGACGTATGATGTAGGCATGTGTGGGTGAGAGAAGGAGAAAACGGACAGGTCTGGGACGAGTTATCTAGCACCAACCACTGTCGTCATAAGTTGGCGGATATAACGTCCATTCTAGTTTCTCACTAAATACATCCCATTTTACTGTTCCTACTGCACAGCTACCGTTAGCTTGACTATGAACGTAGCTATTATTAACTAGGCCAGACCATTGGCATTCTCTCTTTAATCTATCCTGCCCAGCTCTCGTTTTACCTCTTCTAGCCTTACCAACCCTTGCGTGCTCATCTCAACGCCGCCTCCCTCCTCCCCCACCACCCCCTTTCTCGTAAAGTAAGAGATCCTTTAGACTACATTAAACCACCTGACGTAGCAACTAACGTGTATGGCTTTCCACACGTATTCCTGTACTCGTGAGCACCTACCTACCTACCTACCTACCTACCTACCTACCTACCTAGGGATGTAGGTAATGACGGCCAACCAGTGCTAGTCCGCGCCGCACAGACGACTAGCACAGTCGGATCCCGCGCAGGAAAAGTCCAAGCGAAACAAGACAGAACACACCCGAATACTCAACGCCTTGAGACCACCTCGTATGCAAATCAGCGGAGCTGTGTTCTCAAGACCTCCCGGGCTTGAGCACAGCCCCAGTCTCGTTGACAGTCGTCTTTCGTCCTAGTCTCTAATCGTTTCTCGGCGTTCACATTCCTCCGGATGTCAATAACTTCCTATACAAGTGCCTCATAGTTCGCCCTTAGTCTCCGGCGACTCCCTCGAGGTTTTGGGGTAAGAATTGAGATAGCTTAACGCCCACTGGTAAGCACCCTGGATTCTCTCTGTGATCTTCCCAAATATAGCTCCTGTTGGGCTGTTGGTGCCATACTTGAAGTACGTCGAATGCTTGCGTGCCTCAGCTTTGAGCTGATTAACGTCAGAACCCTGTGGGACAGGCTGAAATGGCAAGTGTTAAGGTTAGCAGGCATCGGTTGAAGAAATTGTGAGCATTCATGAGGTGGAAATGACTTACGACTCCGTAGCTATCTAGATAGGCTTTCAGATCACTCTCACTCCAGGTGTCAAACGCGCTCCTCTTAGCCGCCTCGGTGGCTTGGACCAGATAGCTTGTGGCCGAAGCGTACGAAGTGCCGCCCGCGGCGTATGCTGAGGAGTATGCGGATTCGGCGGCTTCTACCAGTTCATGGCGGGTGGCTGAGCCGCGCTCTCCAACCTTTTTAGCCGTAGCGCTGCCACTTTCGGCAAGATACTTCTTCAGGTTATCGTAGGATAAGTCGTTCCAGGTCCAGGCGCCGTCTCGGGTCGCGACCGTGTGTGCGTTCTGGCGAACCAGAGCGCGCAGCTCGTCGGTCTTTGAGGTCTGGGGAACCGGGAAGCCACGGGCATCGAGAAACGCTTTTAGTCTGCTCCCAGACCAGGTTTTTATCGCCGCGTTGAAGGCGTCCTGGACAGCTAGACTGGCATCGTTGGTGGCTCGGGCGTACTCGTTGCCAGCTTTACTTGTGGCCGCACCGAAAGCATCCGAAGCAGATGCGGGCAAGTTGTCACGGAGGAGCTTAGATCGGTGTCGGCGGGCCAGGGCACGAAGTTCGTTGACCTTGCTCCCATGAGGAACTAATGATATCAGATCAGTAAGGAACACCCTAACCATCCAAGACAAGTGACTTACCATTGATACCGTTCTTGTCGCAGAACCCCTTAAGTTGAGACTCGCCCCAGGAGTCGATAAGCTCATCAGTGAGGGTCGCAATAGCGGCATGAGCACTAGCAATAGCGGAAGCTTTCTGATCTTGGAATCGGAGGTGGGCGAGGTAGGAGTTGCGGCGGACCGATGCGACCAGCTTATCACGCTATCATTATGTTCAATGCCCAATTCTTACGCTTGACGGCCAGTGAGAGGGAGGAAACTTACGTCAGTAACCTGAGGAGACGGAAATCCATGGGTATCTAGCCACTCCTTCAGGTCCGACACCGACCAGGTATCATAAAGCCAATTTCCAGGGTACGCATAGGCTTCTCCGGCTTTCTTAGCTACCGTCTGGAAGTTGGAGCGTATCTTCTGGAGGAGGGTATCACGAGTCCGAGGTTGAGGAACTGTAGAAGTGATTAGCATCGATGATATACCTATGAATTCCGGGGCCTCGGGCTATACCAGGGATGCCATGCTTGTCGGCAAAAGCCTTCAGCGTACTCTCAGACCAGGTGTCCAGGATCCAGTCCTGCACGTTAGCCCAAGCCCCTTGGGCCTTGTCTTCGGACTCGTGCCAGGCGTTAGCAACCTGGGACACAAGCGCGTCCTTGTTCGACTTGGTGGAGTCCTTAATCTCCACGCCCTTGGAATGCAGATAGCTTGTGAGCTTTTCGGAGTCCCAGTTCTTGTAGGGAGCGACGGCATAGTATTCCCAGTTCTTCTGGATCAGGATCTCCAGGTCCCTGCGGTCAGCGGGTGTGGGGTAAGGGATGCCATTGTCGGACAGCCAGCGCTCGATCTCGGTCTCATGCCACTTGTTGTAAGCTAAGAATGGTGTATCGGCAGGTTAGCGACCATCCCTTCTGATGCCAGCTTGATTCCCCGCGTAAAGAGGCATGATATCGAATAGCTCACCTGCTTTGCCGAACCAGGCGTTGCCCACAGCAACGTCGGCCACCAGGACCAGGGAGAGGAGGGTCGATAACAGCCTCATGATGGGCTGGTATATCAGCGACGACCCGATATCGCGTGATTGTGGTGTCGTTAGTTACTCCCGAGATGGCCGGAGTGTTGGGGAACTTTGGCTAGAGGGAAGGCAGTAGGGCTGATGGTTGTGATGAGAATCGCAGCACTTATGGTTGGGATGAGGGTGGGGAGAAGGCTGAAGCTGCTTTTGTGGGTGCGAGGGGGAGAGGGACGAAGGAGGGGCGTGGAGTTGACGAATTATGACGACGGCGAAGAGGGCGATTGTGGTGCAGAAATGCATCACGTCACTACCTACTTACGCTCCTTTATGCTAGTCCTAGAGAGGGTTGGCCTAGAAGGCGCTAGCCTGGGGCCATCGACGCCACCTCACTTGACTTAGGTGCAGGTACCTCCTACGACTGTCTGGTGAAAAGCTAGGTACATCCGCCAAGGTTGGGCCTCTCAGCCAACCTCAGGTACCTACCCGCACGGGATCGAACGGCTAACTGAAGGAGACACCTGCCCGGGTGTTACTCTGGTGCGTTAGATGCAGATGACGTAGAAGGCCGTAGCTCATCTTGGCTAGGCACATCTAAGACATGTCTAGGTAGGTACCTAGGCAGGTTGGGTAAGGTAGGCAGGTTAGGTAAGGGCTTAACTGGGACCGCACCGGCACCTCTCGCGCTGCTGCTTATCTCTAAACGAAGCCTTCGTCTCCTCTGCCCTGTTATTGCACTTTGCGGGAATGGCATAATGCCAAGACTACGCCGCCGTCCTGGTCCGAATAACAACATGCCTGCCGGACTAAAACCCATGGTGATGTCATACTCCTCGTCGCCGACACCCACACCCGTGAGTACCCAGTACCTGGTGTATGGCTACGTACCTAAGTAGAGCAGGCGCCGGCTGTTGCTCTCAGGCTACAACCTCGCACAAGCTGGCAGGTGGGGCAGCCAAAGCAGCTTTTCTACTTGCACAGCTTGTGTATCTGTGGGGAAGGAATGACCCGGCTAGGGTGGATAGGGTAAGTACCTCTTGTGGAGACGCAGGGACCATTCAAATAGTGGATGCTCAACATCCCCCCCATAGATCCCTGCCGGCTGGCAGTTGGCCGGCATATTAGGTACCTACCTTGAGCTACCTTTAGTAAGAGGTACTTATAACGGTAAATCAAACTACCCCTGTTTCCCACGCGAGCTTTCTCATCCTCTCCGTAACCCCCCTCACCTGCAACCGCCAAACCCGCGACGAAGACACTACCTAAGTACAAGTAGATATGCGAACTTCGAAACCCGTCAACAGAGGGAGATAGATATATGCGACAAGCACCCAACTACCGCGATACCGTGGCACCACCAGATGAAAAATGCCCACCTACGGAGAGAGCGCCAAGGACGATCGATATCCGACCCTGGCTACCGCCGAGTCTCGAGACCCCTTCCCCATTACAACCCATCAAGACCCAGAACTGCCCATAGTCATCCTCCGCATCTTGATCGTCGGCAAACCAAAGCTCTGCTTCTTGGGCTTGTTCAGGGAATCCCCGTCGTCAGCTTCGCGTTGCCAGTTCGCAGTCTCCCGTAACGACTCAGTCCTGACGTGGGATCGTGGGAAGATGCCTGATTTGCCGTTCTTCTTCGTGGCGAACCAGCACCAGTCGTCCATGTTGATCCCTGTTTCAAGACGAGTGCCGCCCATTAGCTACCCGAGAGCCATAGCAATGCCCGAATTGTCAGAGGAGTGGGAAGAGGACTGACTTACAGCTGACATTAGACAAGGTCTCGTCCTTATCGAATGATATCCACCCCACCGTCGAGTCTTTAACGTCCCATTTCCAGCGCGTCGTAACGAACACTCCTTCTGCAGCCGTTGCCATTCCTGGGGTGCGCGCTGGCCCTTCGAGGATGACATGCTTCAAGGGAAAAGTGCCCCATTGCCCATCGTGCCAACCAACGCACCACTTGCCTTTCCACTTCTCCGGAAACTCGATCCCTACGACGCGACCGCCCTCTAAGAACCGCAAAACCTGATCCGAGTTCCCCTCCGGATCCGTCACGTCGCGTCCGTACCGCTTGACGTGACCCTTGACGGCTATGGCTGACGGAAGCCTGGATAGGCTCGCTATATCGGGAAGCTGGCTCGCGACCGGGGGATTTTGAAAATGCAGATCGTAGTCTTCGACCTGGGCGTCCTGACTATATAAGACTACGACGCCGGGGATCTCTGGTAATGGCTGCGGATGTCGTGATAGGTGCGTGAATAGCTGATCCTGCGTTGAAAAGACGGTCGCATCGTCCGCGTAGACCGTTTGGCCCTTCTGCGCGCAGAATAGGCAGCCGAACTGCATCATGAACGCCGAGGTCGAAACTATATGGGACTTGTACAAGAAACGGAGACGGTATAAGACGCCGGCTTTGCAGAAATTCCCGCTTGCTAATAGCGCCATGGCAAGTTAGTCCCGCTAACGCTCGCCGGCTCGGGTCTCCGCTTACAGTCCTGCCCGTCATCAAGTTCCACCTCGATCAGGCTCTGCGCAAATTCGCAGTCGGTGCACCGGGCCACACTCTGCCTCGTCCCCTATACGTTCCATGAGCACAAATTGATTTTTCCTCCAATACGCGGCCGATGTTTTCTCAATTGTATATCTCGAAGCGGGGGAAAACGGGAAGGGGGGCCGTCGTGGCTCTATGGGGGACATGGCAGCAGGTGACGCGCTCCTCTTTACTCACATATTCCATGACGGACTTCGTGGCGCTCGCACGTCCCTTGACGCGAAACGTTTGCGCGCCAGAACACAAGCCCTTCTGTAGGTACAGGCTGCTATCCAACCCGATTTGGTAACCAGAAAACGCAATTGATCCTCGCGCAGAGAGCTCGTTGGTCAATATTAGCCCGTCCTCGTAGAGGCTGCGCGGGACCAAGAGTGGTTGTAGATCGGGCTCTCTCGGCCCGTCATTCTCGGGCGAGTTCGGCACAGGTCGGGAGAGTGACCTCGTCCTCTGCTCGCTCGTGGGGATATTGCTAATCGACCTAGGGCCCGAGGTATAACTGCCGGTATTAGTGTACCAAGACGCCCGGTTCTGTAAGCCGTCCGGACTATAGGGAACGTTAAGCGGCTTCGGGGTATCCGGGCTGCGCATGGTAACCGTGTCGAGGTTGTTCGAGATGCTGGGATGGGTTACAAAGTACTCGTTCTTGGAGATCGAATCGTTGAGGGGCCGCAGCATAGACGCGGTCGTCTGCTCATTGACCCATGCGTCTATTCGCGACGTTGAGGCGAGGAACGCCGGGCTGGTGGGCGTGGGTACGAGGCTTACGCACTCGCGCTCTGCCCCTAGAATGTCAGGACTAGAAGGCCGTCTGGCGGGGGTGATGGTACCAGTATCGGTAGGTTCGTTTGTCCCTATTGGGGAACTGGCTCTTGTTTTCTCGCGGCCTTTGCCGTCCGGAGCCTGAGATGATGGCGGGTCAGGAGGCGTTGGGGCAGCGGGCGCACTCTCTTCGAGATGTAATCGCTTAATGGTCTCCATGAGAGCGAGAGCAAACGACTTCGAGGCCGCCTGGACGTCGGAGAACCGCTCCGCGTCGAACGAATCTAACTCGACGAAATCATCGAGGTCGTAGAGCAGATCCTCTAACCGTCTCTGGCTATCGACGATCTGTTCTGCAAGCCGGGGTCAGCAACCCAACGCATAGAGCACGCCGCTGTCGACACCAGAAGTTCGCCTGGACGACGCCGCCTCCGGAACAAGAATAGGTAAACTCACCGTTCTGTCGCATCGCCTCCGTAAATGCGTCTCCGTACTTGTCAACTTGGGCCTTCCACAGTGGTAGTAGCCTCTGCAGAGCTCGTTCGCCCTCCCTCACCAGTGCCCGCGCGGCTTTGAGCATTTCTCTCGCATCCCGGCCGCTGGAAGCTTTGGGATCGTTCTCGTCAGCGTCGTCGGCGGCCGCCTCAGCATTCGCAACAGCATCTTTACCCCGCTCCACTACCTCGTGGAAGGGTTGGATGACGAGCTCTTCGACGTCGATAGCCATTGCGGGCTGTCAACGCGCACGCGAACGTGCCGTGTATTCAACATAAATAACAGACCAGCAGGTATCCGATGGACGAGGGAGGAGGGGGATATGCTATATTTGAAGTGCACGCGTTCCCCGCTGGACTATTGCGAGACTAGACTACCGCATAACCTAAGCTCACCTAGCTGGGCCGCACGGCGACAGCGTAGACTCGGGGGGAAAAAAAAGAGAGCGCAATGCTATGACCAGGGGGAGGTGGACCAGAGGAGATCGGACCGTCCGTCCACACCGCAGCATACAGCCGAGTTCGCATGCGGTCGCGGCAGGCACATAATTGATTTCGGTTCCCGTAGCAGGACGCTCTCCTCTGCATTTTCTACGCCTCGCGACGTTGGGGGTACAAGTCGTGTGACGAGACCTGACTTTTCAGGCAAATCATCCAGCTCGCCTGCTCTATGAAGACTAGACGAATCCGGCATCCCGGTTCGCCCAGGTGGCATTATGCACGGATGGGAGCCAGCAAATCACGGCACCTCCAGCTCGCACCTCGCGCGGGATTGGGCGCTCTCTCGCCGAGTTTTGTTCGCATATTACACTCATTCTTCCTCTACGACAAGGTCGTAGGTAGGCTAGGTAGGCCGCCAGAGCTGAGACTCGACGACATGCCCGTGGTAGCAGCAGCGTCGTGTCGAACCTGGATTAGGGACTGGGGGACGTCTGTCGTCGACTTGGCGGCTCTTGGTAGTCCTCCCACGTGGGATGGCGTACCGACGTCTATGGCTGTCTGAAGACTTTCCAAGCTTTCCAAGACCGGCCGGTCCCCGTGCTAGTCTGTCACGGCCAGGGGATCGTACCGCTGCCGCACGACGTTATCCACCCTGATCTGGCACGCGATCGAGCACGGTTTCAGCTTAATCGATCACGTGCACCGGCTCACGACTCGACGGCATTCCCAAGGCCAGAAGTCCGCAGCGGTAAGGGCAGGCGGTACGAACCCTAACGTCCCAATGTCGTCAGAGTCGCGCTTCTAGACAAGAATATTACTGCATTTTAAGTACTCGTTGCCAGCCGTGTTTTGTCCGAAGCCTGTAAGCGCCCGCCCAGCGCCGTCAGCGTAGCCTCACCTTGGTTCGCTTTCCCGCCGTTGACGAGGGAGGCTGACGATGGTGGAGGAAGGGTTCGAAGCTGGCGGACACTCCCAGCCGACAATAGGGGAAAGGAAGAAGAAGAAGTAGGAGAAGGAAAAACAGGAGAGAAAAAAAATAACGTCACAGGCATCTACCTAGGTACCTCTTAGGTACCCGCCTGGGGCACACAGGGCATTGCTGACTGTATCTATATGCATAGAACTAGATCGGGGATTTCGTGACATCTCTTATACTACTTGTAGGCACCTGTACAGCTGACACCCACGCATACTGCCGACAGCCACATAAGCACTATAGAACGCCCAAGAAATCGACCTGCATCTTCTCGACGCATCAGGGGGCTGCTAGCTTGGTATGCCTACCGTATGGACCATAGCCTCTTATCTCGGGTACCTAGTAGGTACCTACCTAGGTAATCAAGCCACCTCTTCCACAAGGTACTACACTATAAAAGCTGTAGACATTTTTCTACACCCTTACGCCACGGGGGAAATCAAAACCGAACCCTGAGCGCATTGAGGCACCTGGAAATCGGACCGTAGGAATCCCCATAGGAGACTACGCGGCACAATCTCCTCAGCAGGTTCTAGGGGAGTTGTGTAAACTGTCTCCTCCTTATTTACACACCATACAGATGCTGTAGGAACGTGTCCCAGGAAATTAGCTGCCTCTTGCGCATTGATACCTAGCTTGGATAATTTGGCAAATCGACAGGAACCAGCTCAAGTGCTATCAGCCTCGATGCTTTGGCCGTCGCGGGATGGGCACGACTAGAGGCAGCCCGGCCTCGTTGAAGGTGACTCGCTGTCCTCAGTTAACATCGCATCGGGCTAGGGAAGCGAAACAACGAAGTGCCCTGAAATACCCAGCCAACTTCTGTGGCGCTACGAGCGGCTGCCGGTAGCAGAGCCTGACTGGCTGAAATTTCCTGATGCGGTCACGATTCGGACAACACCGAATTCGCACCGTTTCCTTTCCCCTTACCATTGCGGCCTTTCCCCTCACTATCTACCCGCCATCGCACAACGCACCTTGCTCGACGGGTAGCCTACCGACCGCAGGCAATGGCGGTGGGAGAGCGTAGAAGCGCGAGCGGGCGGACGCCTTTCGGTCTGAGCGTGGCTGCAGCAGCGCCGGATCGGTGGCCAAGGGGAGGCAGTCGAGGCGTCCTCCGTCTCTGACGTGGCGGACGCCTCTCCTCAGAGCCGAGCCGCCGTCAAGCTCACCGAGCGAGCCGACGCAGGCGCCTCCAGGGACGGCGGGCAGTGTGCCCCCCCCCGCAAGGCGCCGACTTCGGCGTCCTCAGACCCTCGGCTGCCAGGGAAATGGGGGCCGCCGCGACGAGGAAGGACAGGTACAGCCTCGCGGCAGATCGAGCGGCACGTACGCTAGGACACGCCCCTTTGCGGCTGCGCGCAGCGCCGTCTAGCGGGCGTTCTACTCGGAGTCTGGGAAGGACCGGCTAGCCGCAGGACCCTGCGCCCATCGGTAGCCGTGTCGCGCGGGAAGCTATACCTACCGGCCCGCATCTCCAAGTGCAAACGCAGCATAGGCTTCTGACCAGGCAGCTTGCCCCCCTCCTGTCTTCACCGGGTCCGTCATCAGCCCGTTCGTCTCGGCAATCTCATGCGATCACGCGGTTCCTCCTCCCCACTGAAGGCGGGTATTGCGACGCCGAGGTCGCCGCTGGCTCTACCCACAGCGGAAACTCTGCTGCCGCCTTCCGCTTCCGCAGGCGCCGCCGTATCAGGAATATCAGCGCCGCCGCGATCACCACCGCCCCTGTCGCGCACGAGGGTGCGGTTAGCGTGCGCGTAGATGATCGGGGGAGGTCTAGCTTCGCGCCGAGGCAGCCTCACCGAGCACGCCGAAGGCTACAGCTCTATCTCGAGCCGTGTTTGGCCCGCCCAACCCTCCTAACTGTGCCGGTAGAGGCTCTTGGTCGCTGGCCGGGCCCCCTCCGAGGTGCTCTGACTGGGCGGGCTCGTGCTCGTAGGGACTGTGGGTGCGTAGCGCCGGATCCGCAACAGGCACGCTGGTGCTGGCGAGAACGTGGCGGCGCGAGTAAGACCTACGCTCTGGAGGGCGGCGGACAGAGGGTGGTAGGTTTTGAAGGCGTTAAGTATCCGAGAGGCGGGCGCCCGTGGTTAGGGGGCCGGGCGACTCTGGAGCTGGCCGTATCGCGAAGTGGCAGGGCAGTCATACTGTGACGAGGGCGAAGAGATTGCTATTACCATGGTGTTGTATAGGACATCCCGATGGGACGGGGTGTACAGTCACAAGCATCTCGCCCGCCACTCGCGCTAGTCACACACCCGCCCCATACACTGTCCGTTTTCTCATATACCGCGCAGATATTCCCCAGACGCGAAGTGTTCTCGTCTCTTCTTTGGTTCGTCGTGCCTACCGGACTCCTACCCCACCCCTCCGCTCCGGCAAGCTCTCCAACCTTCAGATGCAAACGTCGCCCCGGGTCTTGGGCGCGGGCATTCGGCGTAAAGATCTATCGACGAGGCGGCGAGGAGAGAGCGAATGCTTCCGAGAAGCGATGCCAACCCGGCCGTCTATAACCGCCGAGACAGAGCCCCTAAAAGCATGCCTTCCTCCCCCTCGCGCCGAAACCCCCGCGCGAACCCCCGTCTCGGTGCTGAGGGCAAGCGCTCTCCCCCGCCTCATCATCCGATGGACGAGTAAGTGACGCGGACTCTCTACGCTGGTATGGGCAGGCGGGTAGACATGCAACGGCCTAGTCGACAGAAGGTATATCACATCTTACGCCCGACCGGTAGACAGCTCACGCGCAGCGTGTTGGAAACAAGAAAAGTCAAGACGACGACGCCCTGCTCGTCGAGTCTAAGTAAAGACGTCCGGACTTCGTGAGCTATAAGCTCTCATTGAACCAAACAAGATCTCTTTTCTCTCTAAACTGACCCGGTGCGAGGGGAAAGAGTGTGAGAACGGCGAGAGGATTCATGTTAACGGCATGACGCTCCCCCCTCGTACTTCGCCCTCCCGCACCCCGCTCGCGAAGCTGGTGGTATCTATAGTATATAATATATATCATGCCGCGTAATGAGAAATAGAAATACAAATCCTGGTGAATGCCGCCGTTGCTATTTGGCATTGCTAATCTGCCGACCTGCTGCCTCGAGAACCGAAGTCGTGAACCAAAAAAAAGGACGAGACCTTGTGCCCCTCTTATTTACCGCCTGGCTTTCTTGTTGGTGTTGCAAACTTGCTGAGCCCGGGTGTTAGTAACGCGTGTTTCTCAAGGCTTCCAAGGGTGCCCTATTTCCTACTTCCGAAGAAACAGACCAAAGAGGGGAGGGGAGGGGGGAGGGGATGGGAAGAAAGAGGACCTACCGAACGTCGCTGGGCGAAATCGGCGTAGAAGCTGTTCCACAGATCCCGAGAGGCGCAGTTCTCCTGGCCGTTCTTCGTCTCGCACTTTGGCTGCTTGTCCTGGCGCATCGACTCGGACATCGGGATCCAGGGCTTAGGCACGGGCCAGTCCGAGAAGTGCAGGAATTTGGCCTCGTTGAAGATGGCAACGGGGTCCCACTCCTCGCGGTCGGTGCCGAGGTAGTTGCGGTGGTCGTCGCCGCGGAACTCCCCCGTCAGCAGGTCATAAGGGCGGTGCGGCAGGATCATGGCGCTGTCCTCGTACAGCTGATTGACAATCTCCATGTCGTAGTCGTTACTACCGGCAGACTCAATCTTCTTCATGATGCGGTCAAACTCGACAGCGCTCGGCTGCACCAGCATCAGCTGCGAGGACAAGATCTTATCTTTGGGGAAGAGCCAGTAGGCGCGGGGCATGGCCACCGGGCAAGACGGCATGAGGAACAGCTCGTCCATCGTCTGGAGGATGGTGGCATCGGAGTCGACGTTCAGGACGCGGGCGTACTGGGTCTGGTTGAAGGCGAGAAGCTTGGTGAAGGATTCGGCCCAGGTAGCTGAAAACAAGGGAGCGGGTCAGAGGACGATGACGGATAAGGAGTACGCGACGCGGACGCGAGACGGAAGGGGCATCTTACAATCGCCGCCGGGCCTCCGCTGAACGGAGACGGGCACCAGCTTGACCCCGTACTGGTCGCGGGCCTTGGCGAGCAGCTTGGCCTCTTCGGTCGAGGGCTGAGTCTCGGCCGGGTCCATCATCTTCTCGGGGTACATCATGACGCGGTCGGCCTTGCTGCCGAGGCGGAACAGGGTCTCGAAGATCATGACAGAGTTACAGAGGTAGGCGGCGTTGGTGACATATTGGGTATAGGCATATCGCGACCAGTCGACCTGGGAATCTTGGAAGGGGGGCACGACGGCGGGAGGGCAATCCGAGTGCGAGTTGACGGGGGCGGCGGTCCCGCCTCGCAGGGTATCCATGGAGGGGAGACGGTCGTAATTGTGGAAGGCGAGGAGGAAGAGACCGAGGATAGCGAAGGCGGAGAGAGCATAGCGGACCCGCTTCGACATGAGGATCTGGCCGATGCTCGGCTTGAGGTGGGAGGAGGAGGAGTCGACGGTGGAGCTCGTTGCGGTGCTTTGTTCGCCGTTCTGGACGGGGCTGTAGCCACGGAGGGAGGACCAGGCGGAAGACCACGAAGAGCCCCAGAGCGGAGCCATGGCTGCTAGCTACCTATATAGCTCGGCTACAGCTCACTCTAGCTGCTGCTGCTGCTGCTTGCGAGAGTTTTGAGGTTCGCCGTAAAAGCGAAGTTGGATCGGTAAGGAGGGAGGGAGGGCGAGCGTAGAGAGGGAGGGAAGGAAGGGGTAGCAGGGAGGGGGGGGGGGGGGTGTTGCAATCAATACCGGCCGCTAAACGGTGAAACAGCAGACATCGGAAGCGGGAGGCTCGGGAGAGATAGCAGGATGTTGGCGACTCTGGCGCGTGCGAGGGCGCGATGGGATCTCTGCACGACGTACGGCTACGCTGTAGGTATTTGCAACCGTCGCTGGTTTGAGGTGGTAGGTGGTGAGGAGGATTCACCCACCACGGCTATAGAAGTAGAGGGCAGAGGCAAAGGAGAGAAATAGAGGCGCCTAGGCAGGTAAGAATAATGGACGCGTGTAATTGCCAGGTTTTGCTGCTGCGGAAGGGAGCCATGGATGGCGATGTGGCTTGGATAGGTGGGTTAAGCGCCCTTGTAGGTAGGTACCTCTGTCGGTACCTGGGCATGCAGACTGCGCAGGCGGCGATTGCATGTACTCGCACATCTATCAATAGGTACCGCCCCCCCCCTACGAACTCCGGGCAGGAAATGCAGAGACGGAAGCGAGGGGCAGAGAGGGAGTGGATTCGCAGAGGTCTCCGTACTGGCTACCCACATACCTACAAGGAGTCGATATTACGACGACGTTAGGCACCTAGGTATATAAGTAGTGCCCACATAGGACGGGATCATCAAGGATAGAGGTAGGTAGATTGGGTGGTTGTCTTGGTATCGAGCTCCCAAGTAGCCCGGGTGCGGCCCTTGAATCTTCCCCGCAGCCTACCTACCTCGCCTAGGTCGGTACCTAAACGTGCCTACATACAGGTACCTACCTAGATAGGCACCTACCTGTATGTACGCGGCGTAGGGATGTACTGCTGCCCACGTGGAGGTACCTCCCGGCGGGAACCGATAGGCAGTCCAAAAACTTTAGGGACTGGTAATACCTACGTCGAGATGAGGCGCCTCCCTCCGATCCGTCCCACGCCTCCCGTCTTCCCTTACGCAATACCTGCAACATCGATCGATGTAAGGAGGTAGGTACCCGGGGTACCTGTTGGGTTGAAAAAAATCGAGGCAGGCTGTTGAAAACCCCGTCTCGCGAACAGCTTCATCACGATGCCAACCTCATCCCCTCCTACCCACCCCCAATCAACCACAATCTCGCGTGGCCTGCGTTGCTCTTTGGGGTCCTTTTTTTTCTCTCGTCCGGGTCGTCGTCACTGGCCCGAGATAATTCACCAATACCTCACACCAATACAACTACTCTACCAATGACACCAATGCCTACTATATTACGCCCAAGTTTCACCCCTTCGAAGGATCCGTCCCGTCTTAGTCGGGCGCAATGCGCTCGATCCTAGATACGCGACCATCGCGCACCCTCCTTGCCTGTCTCCCGCGACCGCGCTCTCCCCGGACCTCACCACTTGAAACCCGCATCCGTCTCGCCAGAGTCAGCTCGTCTACGCACTCGCCCACTTCCTCTCCGTCATCTAGCCCCGCTTAGAGCCAGGCCCGTCCCGTTGGGCGTACTCCCCGAGTTCCCCCGTGGCTCGATGTGAGAATAGATATCGTTGTGAGGCACTGCATAGGATGCAATGCGGCAATCCACACCCCTGCATACAGCCATACTCTAGGTATGTATGAACATACTACCTACGGAGTGCGTTGACATGCACATATGCGTATGTTTACACGTACTCGTATGCATACAGGCAGGACCCGTACCCCAGGAAGACCGGTGTGGTGACGATGATTACCTGGTTATTTCTATAGGAATCCGCCTGGCTAAGCCCTATTCGGTTCGATTATGTTCGGCCCCCAAACCCCGGGCCAAACTTCAACCCAAGTCCAGCCCGTCGCGAGCAAGCCGGCCCCGAAACTATTGCAGACAAGCATTAGCAAGCGACTACGGCGCGTATTGGTTGCTGCCGACCCAGCCGTCCCCGATTTCCTTGTTGATCCCCCCTAGGTTGCGGAACTGCTGGTATAGTAGTGCCTACATTATGTGCTACATACCGATCTTGGTGTAGCTGGTGGCTCGAGATCATCGATAACAACGATCCGGCTCAGCCTCGAGGACTAGAGGGGAGTTGCAGGCTTTGAAGACGAGGACGGCGGCCCCCTGCGCGATGCTTAATTTGCTCCTGGCCATGGCAGAGCAGGCAAGGGGCGCAGCTGACTGGTCGGCAGTCCTTCGTCGAGCTCTGCAGCGAGAAGCTGATTGAAAGTCTTATCCGAGTCGGGTCTAGGGTTGCCAGCATGCAAATCCTTCTACCAGCCCGTGGAGCCATCGCCATATACACGCAGACAAGCGTGTCTTGCGATCCACAAGCCTCGTCTCCTATCATAGTATGAGATCTTCAGACTCTCCCCTTGGCGTGCCTACACGGTTGGATACGTATCGAGATACTCATAGACAGGCAGGGTATTGTCTGTCCGTGTATATACATATGTATGCACATACGTGCTCTCTGTCGATGTACCTGTACGAGACGACGCGGGCCCCCTTCCTCGTCGTGCCCCGTTTCGTCGGCGGCGGTCTTATGGGTGGGCCTTCGTCCTCTCCCATCTCTCTTCTGTGCTCGCATTCCCTCTTTTCCCTCGTGGCAACTCCTTTCTCTCGTTTCTTCTCCTCTCTACCGTGGCATCGTGCTGCCCCCTCGTTCCGAGCCGCATATTTGTGCGCCACTGGCTCTGCACCACCGCGTGCCCATAATCATGGCGGCTTCTCTCTCGCTACCACTTTCTCTTCTTTCCTATCTACTCGTCTTGAGTCCCGTCTACGCGGCCACCGCGCCGGTTGCTGCGACATGGTCCGACTCGACATTTGGACCGGACGGCCCCTGGCCGGCTATCGAGGTCACCCTAGGCAGCAGCCAGAGGATAGCCATGTATCCGGGGCGGGAATTCCAGAGCTTCCTTCTTACCAGCAACTACTGCAGCTATAACTCGTCACTCCCTTGCTACACTACCCAAGCAGGGCTATACAACGAAGACCGGTCGGGATCATCAGCTTCCATCCAGTGGCAGCCAGGTTCGGATTTTATGTTTGGCGTGCCTATCAAGGGCGACAAGGCGACGTCGTGGGTAGACAGCGTGCTCTTCGGCGACCAAACCATCGAAAGCGCTTCTCTGGCCTTGGTCGGCAAGTCCTTCATGGAGTATCCAGATGGCACATGGTATCCGCTCACTGTGGGTTGCTTGGGGATCGGGGCACCCGAGACCGTCAACCAATCCTTCTCGAACGGTGCCGAGCCGTCGACCAACGCCAGTCTTCTACCTGGATACCTGTGGGAAAACGGCCAGACGGCGTCAAACTCGTTTGGCATGCACATCGGCTCGGCGAACCCCCGAATGCCGGGTTCGTTCTATTTCGGAGGCTACGATCAGAACCGCATTGTTGGGGAGATCCTGAGCTACAAAGATGACTACACGAACCAGATACCCTTGAAGGACATTGGAATCAGGGTTGTGAACGGTTCCTCGCCGTGGGAATTCGAGTCTTTGGGTGGCCTCCTGGCTTCGGGGAACTCGTCGATTAATTCGGGCGGCCTCCAAGTATCCGTTGATGGCTGCTCGCCTTACCTGTCGCTGCCTAGATCCACCTGCGATGCCATCGCTGCGCGTTTGCCGGTGACGTTCAACGAACGGCTAGGTCTCTATTTCTGGAATACGCAAGATCCGAAGTACACGCAAATAGTCACCTCGGCCTCAGCCCTTGAGTTTGTCTTCCTTGGCGTTTCTAACACGAGGAATGTGACGATATCGGTCCCCTTTCTGCACTTAAATCTTACCCTGTCGGCGCCACTAGTCGAGGAACCCACGCCGTATTTTCCCTGCTACGCAGGGCCGGCCCCCGCATACACCCTCGGGCGCGCGTTTTTGCAGGACGCATTTGTCGGTGCGGATTGGGGCTCTAGGTCGTGGTGGCTCGCGCAGGCACCCGGACCGAACATCCCACCTGCGTCCGTCGTTGAGCTCATGCAAGGGGATTCGCTCAAAGCTAGCGAAAATGACTGGCAGGCGTCGTGGTCCGGCTTCTGGACGGCGCTCCCCCCCTCTGCGACTAGCGCAGCAGGCAGTAGTCCGAGCAGATCGATAGACGCAGAACCCGCCCCTCCGTCGGGTGGTCTCACGAAGGAGGCTCAGATCGGTGTCGGGGTAGGTGTCGGTGTCGTAGGCTTAGGCATCATCGGCGCTCTTATCTTTTTCTTCTTACGCCGCCGCAAGTCAAAAACGGAAGAGAACGGAGTAGCGCCGAACGCAGCATATCCTGCCCCTGACAGACAAGAGCAGGGATATTACGTTCCTGTCAAGAACCACAACTCTTTGGAAATAACGGATATGCCTTCGATCGCTTCAGGAAACCCCTCGAGTATGATGTTCAACCAGTATGGCCAGCCTTATCCCCCTCAACCGTACCCCCAAACGTTCCCTCAACCTTACGGCCAACCATACGGCCAGCCATACGGTCAACCATATACTAGTGAGCTGTCAGGCGTCAGCAAGACAACACCGACGGAGCTGCCCGGGTCGACGTACGAACCACAACTGCTGGACGGAACTCAGGTGGTCAACCACACGCCCTCCCCTCCGAGTCAAGCGTCGCCGCATTCACTACATCCGTCGAACCACGATACCGATCAGCCGCCACCGCGCGAGTAATGTGGCTCAGTGATAGCACGCGACTCCGATTTCGTTCTAGCTGGCGTTACGGACACGGGAGGAGCGGAGGAGCAAAAAGGAATGAAAAGTGCCCTCGGAGGAGTTACTGAATAGCATAGTAACTGCTCCAATTCTTGCCTACCTTATTGTCTCCTTGAAAACCTCGGGTTTCTTTTTTTTCGTTGGATACTCTATCAACTGTTCGAAGGGTTCTTTATTATTCTGCGAGGCCACACGCGATTTATGCATAGTAGATGCATGTAAAATTTCAGGATGACAGGGGAGATGGGAGGACTCCGCGTCAGCAAGGCCATACACATCACACGACGTAAAGAGGGGGAGTGAAAGGGGGGGCAAAGAGAAAGGGATACACATTTTGTATAGGGATTGATACCATCTAGGCGGACATAGGGACGGAGGCGCGGAACAAAGGGGAGGATTCTCGCATCATTTGAGGTATCGGGGAATATACGACGGGATCCTGCTTAGTGATTAATGGGAGCTACCTAGATCTTGATTTTCCCTCAGCCCTACCTCCTTCCCCGGTCGAGGTAGGGAAGGGTACTATAGTGGACTCTAGATTATACAGAAAGAGAAAAGAAATGAGCGGAAAGAGAAGAAAGTTAAACGGACAGGAAGGAAAGGTGGCCACCAGCATCGCCGTAACCCTATTGTCTCTTCACAGTGTCGCTATATTGAGTCACTAGATCGGCTAACCATGCAATTCCGTGAGTTTTACTTTCATCCAGCGGCGCCACGCTGGGCGTACACACCCTCGTCGCGCCACAGCATCATAACGACCATTGCCGTCTCCCCCCCCCCCCCCCCCCTGCCCCCCATCCTCGGTGTATATCCCTATTTGCTCACTTTTCTCCCTCGACACTTGCATACATACCTGAAACACGGGTCAGCCTGGGGTTGTATTATACTGCTGTATGACGTCCGGGACGCTCCGCGAGGGAAGAAGGAAAAAACTCGCCCAAAACAACCCGCGAAGACAGAAGGGAAGAAAACGAATTAAGCGTGGTCGCCAAGGACTAAGCGAGCCAGAGGCAAATGCTACGGAACACCGTGAGATGCATGCACAACCACCCTGGTCTGGGCATACTGTAGGTAGATGGACGCTGCGGGCATGTACCTACATACCATAGGTACTACCTAACGGAGTAGCATTAGCGTGGTAAGCGACAGAAGGGGGCTAGCGGACTTCGCGTACCCAAGCCCCCGGATGCGGGCGAGGCGGTGGTGGGGGGTGGTACGAGGAGAGGCGCCAGATCCTGGAGGACAGGGGAAGGGGAGCTCAGCGCGCTTATTGTTGTGATGCCGGGAAAAATCGAGTAGGCCAGTATTTGCCTGCCTACCTACGCCGGTATGTAGGCACATAATTGGGAGCAGCAAAAAGTCCCGTACATGCACATAGCGGTGACGATAGGACCGGCCTGGGTGGCGGCGGAAGCGACCCCGTCGAATGTGGGCGCCGCCGCCGGAGATCGTTGCACTATACAGAATATGTGTAACGGATGTGCTAGAAAATTGAGGGCGCGTTACGGAGCATGAATGACGAGTCAGTCGATCTGGTGTTGCACTATCGAGTTCGCGACGATGGAATATAGGTGAGCCACGGTTGATACGGATAGATGAATGTACAGTACATGGGCGCAATGTACGGGGATTAGTGCGAGCTGGTGTGCTGGGGGGGGAGGGTGTGCGCTAGGCAGACACACCTTGCCTTGTATCCTTGTGTATACATAACAGGGGCGGGCTTGGGATTCCCCAGGCAACCACCCATTGGCGTATAGGCAAGCCTGTGCCGGCGGAGAGGCGCCACCGGGTGAGCCTGGAGAATCTAGCCTCTATTATAGACGGTGTGGCGGCGGCTATGTAGAGGAGGGTACAAATTCGGAATAAAGTAAACTGAGACAATGCTGTAAGAAAGGAGAGAAGGTAAGCTTTTAAATGGCTCTTTTACGCGGCATATATTTTTGTCATACCAAGGCCTTCATCATCTCCCCGCGACCTACCTGGTAAGTACCTCCCAAGGTAGGTACCTGGTAGGTACCTCCTCCTGGCAGCTCCATCTAGCTACACACATGATATAAGGAACCTCAAGAAGCATGCACCTCCGCACGTAGGTATGCAGCGTCTTCAAGTGACTTGCTTTTTTTTTTTTTTTAAAAAAAAAAGACGTCCCATGTACCGGGTAATGGGGATGTTAATTCGGGCTTTTGTAGTAGGTATGGTTGGAGGTACGGAGCGCAATAGCAGCGGTGCGATAAGCGCCCGCTTCCGGCGTCTAATCGGTGTCGCCGGCAAATGGGTGCGGACACACAGGCAAATCGCCGAGACGACGCCGAGACGGGCAATTAATATACATCCATCGCGTCTGCCTGAATATACCTACCTCTAGACCTTAGGCACCAATGTGCATGTAGAGGATCTGGCGTCAGCACGCCGAGTGCGGTATAGGCGCATATGGTATATGTGCATATACCTAGGTACTTAGGGGTGATGAACCCGCGACCCGACTCGATCACGGACGCGGTTCCGGTTGCTGACGCCAGCCGCGTCGTCGAGAGGCGACGATCCTCATGTCCCCCTCGCCAACTTTGAGCTGCTTTCGATGTCGACGTCGAATCTCTGCGAATCCCTACCTACCTGCAAGGAGTGGAACTTAGCTTAGCATACTAGGTACATCAAAGGCTCTCTTCGGAGCTCGGGGGGATAGATATTAGAGGTAGGTAGGTAATAGTTACGACATCGAGCTTTTTCCATCGTCCAAGGTCCTTCGTATTGCCGTGTGCTAGAGGTAGATACTAGCGCCTCTCGGAACAACGGACAAGGCCTTCGGAACGATACCCACCTGCGATACCCAAGCTCTATTACGCAACAATCCCGTGGCATACGATGCCGGCGAAGACAGGACTGCCTCGAGGTCGGCGACCAAGAGGCCTTTCGACTACCACTTATTACTAAGCACCTACCTAACCTAACTTACTAAGTACCTAGGCAGGTAGGCACGTACGGAACGCCCTCAGGTAGGTAGGTAGGTACGTCGTCATTGCGTAGAAGTACCTACCTTACTGGTTGGCTGCCGTGGCGCGCACCCGCCCAAGGTACCTAAGGCAAGCGTGAGTCGGGGCGGAAAGAGGGACTCGAGAAGAGGGGAGGAGGTGAAGGGGGCAGCCATGACGTAGGCACAGCGTTGGAGGAAGGGCTACCTCTGCCTACCTATTTATCCGCTCCACCGAACACCACCACCACCACTTTGACCTTTCCCACCCACGAAAACCACGCTCTCTACTCATCCTGTTTCTCCACCAAAGCCCGTCGACCTACTTGATCTCCACGCCCGCTGGGGCTGGTTCATTTCCTGCTGTACCCACCAAGCCATTCCCCGGTCGATACGGCAGGCCGTCACGCTCGCTGTAATATCTGTTTCCGCCAGCCAGGCAACGTCGGTAAGTAGGCAATAGGCATTTTGCCCCGTTTCCCGCTTACGAAGTCCAGGGCTCCGCCGGACACTTAAGTCCGCGGTGGTGGTAGAGATGTTGGCTCGCACGAGCGTTACGGAGCCTTCGCTATCAACGGCTGTATCCATCGTGGCCCGGCCCGACATGGCGGCGCCGCAGCCGTCGTTTCCCGAGCTCCGGCGTCGACTTAAGCTTATATCGAGCGGCCGGAGTCGCAGGACACGCCACGTCCTTGGACTTTCTTACGTCTGGGGCTGCCTCACCTTGATATACCATCAGGAGGTTATCGGCTAACGGCACCATAACATAAAACATCGACCCGCCACGTTTACCTCATAGACTCAACACATCGGTAGCCAGTCTGGTCTCGGGGCTAATTCGAGGTGAGAACAAAATGGACCGAGTCCATGCCACCAGTTATCAGCTTTCCGTGGCCTAGGATAGAAGCTAGCACTCATGATGACTCTCTATTCATCCGTGGGCGGAGTAGTCCACGGATCTCTTCCCACAACAGGCGAGATCCTGAAGGAGAGAACACCACAGACTGCTTATATACCCTCTTTTCAGACTTCATCGGCTCCGTTTTTAGTGGCCGGCTAAGTTGAACGAGAGTCCCTCCTCCCCTCCTCGACTCGTCGTCATGCCGCCATCACCGACACGCTCGACGGCTACGTCGGCGGAATTCCGTCATGAGAACGCCATCGTGCTAGAGATTCGAGCCTCGTCCGTACGCACGCCGATACGCCTATATATTAAGCAGCTTGGTCCGCGAAGAGGACAAAGTGATCTGAACCCATCAAGGCTTCTCTTCCTTCGTAGTGCTCATCGAAACCGGAGCACTTGTATCAAACGGCAGTCGTTCAATATCAAAATCAATAACTCAGCCTACTTACCCCCTCTTTCCGTCGATTCTCAAGATATCCTCTCATATATCACAGTTCCAGGGAAGGAAAAGAGGGAAAAAAAGAAAAACCATGCAGGGAAAGCTGCTCCTCGTGTCCGCCTTCGCGGCCATATTCTCCGTCCCCACCATCGTCGCGTCAGTCGCTCCGCACGTCAGCGTCAAGGACGGTGTTATCGTCGTCGCGCGCCAGGATACGGCGGCGACGGACGCGACCACCGACGTCACCAACACCGCTGCCGACACCGCTGCCGATACCGCCACTGAAACCGCTGCCGATACTGCCACTGAGACTGCCGCAGATACTGCCACCGGTTACCCTACCGACACCGGTGGCACTGATGCCGCCACTGAAACTGCTACGGAAACTGCCACAGAAACTGCCACCGGTTACCCTACCGACACCGGTGGCACTGATACATCGTCGTTGGTTGTATCGCCGACCGACTCGAGCAGCGGCGAACCCACACAGCCGGCTGACTCCTCCGCTCCCGCGACTGACTCTGGCATCGTTGCCCCCACCTCCTCGTGGGGCGAGGGTGGCGTCACTTCAGAGACGGTGGGCCCCACCGCCGGTGCCGGCGACACGGGCGTTGCTGGGACCCCTGCCGGCGACGCGGGTATTGCTGGGACCCCTGCCGGCGAGACAGGCGGCGCCACGGCAACGCCGCTCCCGAGCCCAACAGAGTCGGCCTCGATAAGCCCGCCTGTTGCGACTGGCGATGCGGTTGCTGTCATCGCCGGTATGGCGGGCCCGGCTGCGGGTGTCGCGGCCGCGGCTGGTGTGATGGCGGCGCTGCTGGTGTAGAGAGCAAGGGAATCCCGACTTCGCGAGTGGTTCATTGCTGCGCCGCTCTAGGACGACTAATTGAGAGATCTGCTGAGAGTGAGCTGAGGTGGTGTGGTGGGACGCAAGGCTCTACTCTGGTCTCTCGGGGTACGATAGGGGAGACAGGAACGGCGGGGAGGATGTCATAGAGTGGCGTGGCGGTTGGTATGCTCACTTGGCTCGGAACGGTGGACACATCTCTCGAGTTTCTATTCATTTCTCGCTATAGAACAGGGTGTATCATGGGATTAGAAACGGGGAACTTAATTTTGTAATGTGATATAGTACCTAGTGCATAGGCATATAATAACATTCCTTATTATCAGCATTGTTGGTAGCTTAGGGATACCGACGAGATTAGTGTTACGTATCGTGCACGCTTCTGATCTAAGTGTGAAGTGCGTACGAGTCTCTCATTCCTGGTCGTGTCCTCATTAAGGGAAACTGAATTCGCAATGGTATGTGGTATCATCTCGCCTTTCGTGTCTTTCACCTTCTCTCTTAAAGGTCTCACGATGAGGAGTGTATATACATTGAGAGTTGTTTCGAATTAGATACCTACTATAACTATCTACTTGTTTACGGCCCTGCTGACCGCCTACGAAAAGTCGTGCACGTTAGCACTGCGCACCGCCGCCCCTCTCCTTTTCTTCCATCGGCGCGCGCGTGGACTGATCTCACACAAGAGCTTAAGCTGAACCTAGGTTCGATTCCATCGAGACGATTCGTAGCCCGAATTGGGAACTCGTCGGCTGCCGCGCGTTCTCCTCACTACCTTGCTTGGCGCGGAGGGCACCCCTCTCCCAAGCTCCCCCCCCCCCCTAGATGCGGCCGGACGCCCACTCCGTAGATATCCCGCTGCGGCGGTGGACCTTCCACCGGGAGCTATGCCATGGCCTACCGATAGCGTCCTCGATTTGGAGAGTAGAGTTCGCATTCTCGATGCCGGTGCTGAAGGGGGTGGAGAATAAGTGATGCATACAAGCTAGGCCAAGAGATGGCTGCTACCGTCATCGACAGGCACCGCCCGCGCCCCTCCTAGGTGGCTAGCGCAAGACTGCAGGCTGACCCGGCCTCTCTCGTCCTCGTTAGCCTGCCGGAGTCCTGACCGCACACTTCCCGAGCGCCGATGCCGGGCGACGGGCGGGCAGGTAGCGAGGTTCTGCCCGCGGGACCGCCCCGCAAATCATTACGAGAAAACAAAGCTTCTCCGGCCGCGACGCGAGTCGTGTCCCGAGATTTTTCGACGGCGAGAACGGCACTTCGAGAAGGGCCGACAGGGCGGGAGTTTGCTTCAGCAGGGGGAGGCGGGCAGCAGACGGACGAAGGAGAGGAGAGGGACTGCTGCATCTTCCTCCACACAAGCAAGCAGGCAAAACGTCCAAGGGCCACAAATCGATACAGCATCTACTGCCAGCCGCTCCCAGTAAGCCGGAGCGAGACAGCAGCAGGATATCGCCTTACCTATATTTTATCGACGCGGGAGAGTGAAGGACCGAGCGACGCGATGGTTCTGCTCGCTCTCGCCACGCGACCTCGCAGAAAGCCGAATGTGCTGTGTGCCTGCGCCACTCTCGCGCACGCCTACGCGGAATCGAAACCAACAGGCTATACACACTTACTACCGTTCTACTCTGCGCTCGTTAGATACGCGAGCTCAGAACCCGTGGGGGGAAAAATAAGAAGAGGAGAGGAGAGACCCGCGCCGCATAATAGCTGGCACATCGCCGTCCTGTTCGTTGTCACGACAGGTGCGACGGCTGGTTGATGCGGCCTCCGAGCCTGGCTGGGCGTACACCTGCTCCCCCGAATAGACCCGGATATGATCGAGAGATTCGTCCTGCTCGGCATCGGGCTGACGCTGATCGGGCTCCGGCTCTACGTCCGGGCCCGGGTGGTCGGGTGGCGGGGGCTCTGGGTCGACGACTACATGATGATAGTCGTGGCGGTATGTTCTGAATACCTATATATATATAGCTATATCTCTCTATTTGTCCCTCCCGCCCGCCGTGCTTGCTGACGCCCGACGCCCAAAGATGGTGTACGCCGCGCTCACCGCCGGCTGCTACTTCCTGCTCGTGGTCTACCGCGGCCTCGCCAACAACGGCCTGACGCCCGAGCAGCGCGCCGCGCTCGAGCCCGGCGGGCTCGAGTACGCGCAGCGGTAAGCCGCCGTCGACCCCAGCGACGGGCTCTTGGCCCCGCACCGAGCAGACGCTGACTCTCGCCGCAGGATCGGGGGCTCCAAGGCTACGATATACTGCCGCATCTTGTACACGGTCGTCTGCTGGATGACGAAGGGCGCCATGCTGGCGTTCTGTCTCCGGCTCACGGTAAGTCGCTTCCCGTTCGGTGGCGAGTGTGCGCCTCGCCGCAGGAGTGGGAGACAGTAGGATAACAAATTGCGCCTCTCTCTCTCTCTTTGCCTAGGAACGATTCGGAAAGTACGAAAAGCGCATCCGCGCCGGCTTCGTGATCCTGGTCGTGTCGTGGGTCGCCGACTTCCTCATCACCATGCTCAGCTGCCGGCCGTTCCACGACTACTGGCAGATCTGGCCGGACCCGGGAGGTAAGTAATACCCACCCCCCCCCCCCTCCTCCCCGCCCTCTTTCCGCCGCTCGGAACGAAGCTAACCCGCGGGGCGGGCGCCAGAGATGTGCCAGCCGGCGCTGTCGCCGTACAGCGTGTACGGGACGATGGGGCTGAACGTGGCGACGAGCGCGTACGTGTTCTGGGTGCCGCTGCCGGTACTGTGGATGGCGGGGCTGCAGCTGTGGAAGAAGCTGGGGCTGGTGGTGCTGGTGCTGGGCAACGCGTTCGTGATGGCGATCGCGATCCTGTGCGGCGCGCGCGTCGCCTCCCGCGCCGGCCCGGACGCCTTCGAGGCCGGCGCCTGGGCCCAGCGCGTCGCCTTCGCCGCCGTCCTCACCAGCAACCTGCCCCTGCTCTTCCCCCTCGTCAGCCGCCGCCTCGAGCGCCTCCAGCGCGCCCGCGCCGACGCCGCCCGACGCGCCCACGATCCCCGCCCGAGCCCCGCCAAGCGCCCCCGGCGCGCCTCCTGCGCCGCCGCCGCCGCTGCCGCCCCCAAGATCGACTACGAGAGCATCGGCGAGTCCGCCGCCCGCGGCCGCGGCGCCGCCGACCGCTGCCCGCTGGACGCCGACGACGCCGACGGCATCGCCATGCTGCTCTCCCCCCCGCCCCGGGCGCACGCGCGGGGCCCGCGCAGCATCGAGTGGATGGTCTAAGCAAGAGCGCGGTAGAGAGAGGAATAGACGATACGAGAGGGTGTGGGGATATAGGTAATGTTGGTTGGGGTTAGCACCGGGAATTGTAGACGAGACCCCGGCGGCCAAAAGAGGCCGTATCTGCTACCCCGAGAGAAAAAAAAAAACAAAAGGGGCTAGATTGGGGGGCGTGGCGATGAATTTCCGCAGCTCGCGGGCTGAGCCCCAGAAACTTGGAACTTGGGGAGAGAGGTACCTCACGCTACTAGACTTCGAACGCGGAACCTGCGGGCGAGGATGCATTTCTGTACTGCGGTGTCGTCTGCGTAGGTAGGTAGCCGATGGGAGACAAGAGAAAGGAGGACTATTAGAGAGGAAGAGAGGAACCCGGGCTGCACTTCTATACGCATGGACCCCTTTCCCCCCGTCCACGTCGAGATGCCCCGGCCACCGGCGCCAACCACGCCCCAGACTATTTGCCAGCTATATAGTAGGCTCGTCTCCGACGGGTCGTGCTTTTGAACCCCCTGCCCCATTCCCCGCCTTCTATGTCTCCGTTACGAAAAGGATGACCTTCGTACATAGTTCCAAGTCGAACCCGCGTCGCAGTCTGAGCGGCGCGGGTGAATAGGGGGCCGGGGGCAGCGGGCGGAAGCGCGCGTCTTGTTCTGCCGGGAGCAGCGAGGCGGGCCGGGGAAGAGGAGGAGGAGCCCGCGGTCCGCGGCGCCGGCAAGGACCTGCTGGGCCTGCGCCTCTCACTCAGTAGGGCGTGTGGCAGAAGAAAGCGCCGATGCCGGTGGGGGGCAGGCAGCAGCGCGGGTTCTTGCGCATGCGGGCGCAGATGGCGATGAAGCCCTCGAGCGAGGTCGGGGCCTGGGGCAGGACGTTGCAGTTGCGGTTGTAGACGCCGGTGCTGACCCACGAGCAGCACAGCGCCGTCAGCACGCCGCCGCCGCACGGCACGAACGGGGGGCTGGTGCCGCCGCCGCCGCACTGCGAGCCGTTCCCGCCGCCGCCGCCGCCATCTCGGATCGGGTACACCCCCTTCGTCAGATTGCTGAACCTCCGTCCGCCGCCCAGGACGCTGCCGTGGTTGCGCTGCACCGGGTGGCCCCAGTGCTCGGCTCTGCCGCCGGCGGGAGTGTGCCCGGGGGCGCCGAGCGCCGCGCTCGTCCAGAGGAAGATTCCGACGAGGGCTAGGGCGGCGCTGTATAGCCTCATCTTGGGTAGACACACACCAACATAAATCCTGCTAGCAGTGGCCCTCTTTCGTGCCGAGTACGAGATCAGATGATGGGGGGCGCCCGAAGAAGAATGAGGTGCCCGCCGCGTCTCCGATGAGGTGCTGAGGACAGTGGTCGAGTCTGCTGTCCGTCGAGAGGAAGAGCCAGAGGCTTTATACACGCCTCCTGCCTCCTGTACCCGACACCTCGATCTCGTTCCGTCTTCTTCGAGCGGGGCCGCGCGATCTAGTTACCGAGGTGCGGCACTGAACACGGCGAGACCTGTCCTACCCGCGACGATCGCGTCCCCCAGAGCCGAGTCAAGCTCCACTTCCCGCGTCCACACTAGGCTGCGGGATTTTCAGCAGGTGTAGCCTTCCGTGCTAGGGGGATCTGGACATGGTACCTTGCTCTGAAACTAGTTGTAGCGTTCTCATAAACCAGGGCACCGTTGGACCGCCTGCGTGCTACAGCATCTCGGGAGGTGTCGACACCACGCAGAGAGCGCGACTGAGCGGCAGATGAGAGGAAGAGCTGTATCCCGGTGTGTGATTTGTGCCGATAGACAGACAGCCCAGGTGCCGGCCAGGCGTATCCGGGGAAAGGGCACTGCAACCACACCAAAGGGGGGTTTCCGGGTACGTCTCGATGTTATGCTGAGCTTCCTGTACGTAGCGTTACTTGTTGTCTGGGCCGTAATGCGATGGACACGATAGGGGTGTTGATGAACGCGATGCATTGCAGAAAAGTCTTTTCAAGTGGTAGAGAGCTGGCCGACTAGATCGGAGGGGGAGGGGGGTAGTATTAGATGTCGGTCTCCGGAGCCACTTGGAGATACCGTCCAACGTAGGAGAACCGGCTCTAGGATATACTCACAGAGAGCTCCTTGATTCCGGTGTAGGGGAGAAGAAGAAGGAAGGGAAGGACAGTAGTACCGAGATGTAGCATTCAACTAAGACACCGTCATACTAATCCGACCACGAGACGGTCATACTACGCGAAGCGATCATCGATGCCCAACACCGAAGCGAATGCGAGATGGGGGTCAAAATAATATCGATGACCTTGAGAGTGTTTTCCACCCCCATACTGGCTTCTTGACGTCTTCTGTCGTGCTGTCAGCTTATGCTTCTCGGCGGAAAATGCCTCGCAATATCGAGTGCCCCCTTCCTGTCTAGGCGTCCGACTTAGGAATTGTAAGACACGATCTCTACGTTGCTAGAGGACATCGGTATTGCAACATAGCCCTCAACGCTAATACGGAGAACCCCACCTGTTGTTGTCTCTGGTAGATGATACACGTGTTATGAGGTCAAGATAGTCTGCGTATCTGGTCTATCGCGAAAGATAGAACAGCGTCGTATTCGTGCTCTAAAACGTGTAACCAGGTGTTTCCTTAACAATCAGGGAACAACCTCAATAGAGGAAACTATCTACTACGTCTATTAGTTAGTGTGAGGCCAAGTTCTAGCAGAAGCACGCACAGCACATGGAGCTGTGCCGTGATAACGAACTTGGGCGGCCTCTTTAATAACGGCAGCAGTTTGCAGTAGCCGGCGAATCGTTTGAATGGGAGGATGAGCCAAGTATATTACAAATCGTCCCGGAGTCTGACTGCACAATCCCCCAACCCATGATTGCATTTTATCACCGCGACGAGACTAGGAATGTGTTTATGCGTAGAAGTTGACCGTCTGTGACACGTGTTAGCCTGGGACGGATCACGACCGAGAGAGCTCGCGTTGAAACCTACCTCCTTCTTCTTGGCCTGCACCTCAGAAATGGCATCCACGTAGTGCTCATGGCTGATCTTGTTCTTGCCCATGCGTAGAGCGATCATGCCCGCCTCGACACAGACCGCCTTGAGCATGGCGCCTCCGAACTCGTCCGTACTTCGGGCGAGCTCACCCCAGTTGACACTGGCATCAACCGTCATTTTACGGGAGTGGATCTTGAGAATCTGGGCCCTGGCCTCCTCGTTGGGAAGAGGGAACTCTATTTTCCGATCCAGACGACCTGATCGCAGGAGAGCGGGGTCGAGCACGTCGACACGGTTTGTGGCAGCCAAGACCTTGATGCGGTCGTCCGACGCGAAGCCGTCGAGCTGGTTCAGCAGCTCAAGCATAGTCCGTTGAACTTCTCTGTCGCCGCTCTTCTCGCTATCGAACCGCTTGGTGCCGACGGCGTCGAGCTCGTCGATGAAGATAATCGCCGGAGCCTTCTCCTTAGCCAATGCGAAGCAGTCACGAACTAACTTAGCGCCGTCACCGATAAACATTTGCACTAGCTGCGGCCCAGCTAACTTGAGGAAAGTGGCGTCGGTTTGAGCGGCGCAAGCCCGAGCCAGAAGAGTCTTGCCCGTTCCGGGAGGTCCGTACATCAGGGCGCCTAGCAGAAGACGATGAGAAAAGCGTAACCTACGGGCAGCGGGATTGTCGCGGCTCACATACCTTTGGGCGCCTTAATGCCGATCTTCTTGAACCTCTCGGCTTCCTTCATCGGCCACACGATAGCCTCGACAAGTTCCTCTATCTGTTTGTCCAACCCGCCCACGTCGTTGTACTTTTCGGCTGGCTTCTCGTCAACCTCCATGGCCTTGACACGGCTGTCGTACTCGGCCGGTAAGGTATCTAGGATCAGATAAGAGTCCTTATTCACGCCGATTAGATCGCCGGGCTTGAGCGTATTCGGGTCAACGAGGCCGATCAGAGGCAAGAAGATGGTTTGTCTCGTAGACGTCTTGATGACCGCCGATTTGCCGACTCGCGTAGCATCTAGGTCGATGTTGGCGCCCTCCTCGGACGATTCCGCCGTGGGGTCTAGGTCCAGCAGCTCCACGACGTTGCCGACCAGGTACGGCAACTGCCTGCGAGGGGGGTTAGTTGGCTCGGCAGAGAGGCCAGGGACAGCGGTGCTAGGGGTGGGCAAGCCAACCGGTTATTCGCAATCTTCTCATTATTCTCCTTGATCTTCTCGCCCATCGTCGCCTTCTCGTGAGATAACCGCTGGAACTCGCTCTTCATGATTCTAGCGTCATTCTCCAGCAGACGTTTTCGGGTTTGCAGGTCCTGCGTGCTGAGGCCGAGGATTTCCTCATCTAAAATCTCGTCTTCCTCGGGCTCGGCGTCCTTCATCTCGGCATCGCCATCGTTGTTAACTCTGGTGCTGTCCCTTGCCGCATCGTCGCCTTGGCCGTCCTTCTTGTCCTTACCATCGTCAGACCCGCGGCGCTCGACGCCGGGCAGATCTTGGGTACTTGACATGGTAGACAGGCAGGTAGCTGAGAGGCTAGAGGGACGGGTGCAGAGATGCGGATGCGACGTGCGAGTATGGTGCTGCCGTGGATATCGGGTGCTAGGCGGACGTGAGCGGGCGAAGCAGATCTTTTTCTTGTTAGGTGAGGGTTGCGGTTGTTGTAGGTAGAATGGACGGCCCGGTTGAAAATGCTGATGAATCGGAATGGAGAGGGAGGTCAACGGGATGGGTGAGCTTCGAAGCTGGCCCGGGGCGTACCTACGTAGGTACCTATGTATCGATGGCTTCAGGGGTACCTCTGCGCGAGGCTGCCCCAAGTACCGAACAGGGCTGGCGCTGCCGGTAGGTACCAGGAGATGCGCTCACCCTTGCGTACCCTGCCTCGCTATGGAAGATTCACCTCGCCCAGGCAGGCGTTGTCGCGTAATCCGCCTCGCCCCTTCTCATTATTACTTGCCATTTCCTCGTTGTCATTGCGAGCATTTAGAATACTCCCTTTAATCCATATTGTCGCCCCACAGACTTCACCTATGCCCATATCACGTTTAGCCGCATACCAACATTCGAGGCAGTCCGACCCGTCTAACGATTCTATTCTTTTACCGTCATCTATTCAGCTTCGTCCTCACTTTTTGGCCTTTTCTCTAAGCGCGAGTTCCCGACTCGGACCTCGACATCCGCCTTCTGATGTGTCGAATGAGAGAGTTTACCTAGCAATGACTCTCCGGCTCTACGAATCTAGTCCCTAGACTACTGTATAATCTACAAGCGCGAACCCCGTCACGCTGGCTGGATTTCTCTGGTCTCGAAGGCCGGCTGCTCCGACGGACGCCACCGATGTGACGAGTCCCTCTCCGAGACGTGCCTCCAGCGTTACCATGACCGAGCCCTCGGCTCACCCCCATCTGGCGCCGCAGTTCTGCTTCTCAACTGTAGCCCTTAGAGGTGCGACCTTCCCGCTGGCAATCGGCGTCTGAGCGCTCGCGCTTACGTTTGGCAAAGATTTTCTACGGACGTCTCGCGGCGCCATAGACGACTCGATAGCTCAGAACCTCAATGCGCTCGTGACACCTGCGCGGTCAGGCTTCGACCCCGCCTCGACCTCGGTTCGAACCCCGCGGGCGTCCAGCCAGCCCATCGACCCACGCGCGTGCCGGACATTCCAGGACAAGGTCCTATTCCCTTCCTGGCAAGCCAGATCCGACGTCCTGACCTATTGCGCTTACGTGGCCACGAGCCCAGATCCGGATGACCCCGAAATGGCTCTGCGAGCGGCCGAGACGGAGAAGAACCGCGAGCGGGTAGTCGACGAAAGGTTAGACCCGTACTCGGGGCGGTACTTCCCCCGGGAGCCTCGCACAGAGCAATTGGCCGATCTCCTGCGGCAAGAGAGGAGCGTGGAGAAGATCGTTCGTTCCCGGACGTGGGGTTTGGTTCGAGAGCGCTGCGGCGATGGCTTCCAGGAGGCCGAGGACGCGCTTAACCATTGGAGAAGGGGGCGTGAGCGCCACGGCTCGGGATAACGGTGACGATGCTTAGAAAAACAAGAACATCCCTATTCTGGAGCAATGTGTACCTATACTAATGCGATGCGAACATTTAAGCCACCCCATGAGGAATGGAACCGTTGGCTCGTGCCGAGAATATCCCCACCAGCTAGACCACGGATACCTGCCGACAGAGATGTGCATATATCGGGTCGCTAGATATACGCAGCGTCTCCTAAGATACCGGCGAGGTGCATGTTGATGTGGTTGTGTGCAAATTCAGCGATGAAGAAACGACAATCAGTCAGTCCGTGGATAGTGAGGCACACATCACGCAAAATTGCCAGTACGAAAAGGATGCCGTACTCTGTAGGTATCTCACCTAGACACGTAGAGTATACCCAATGTAAACACCGTAGATCAGTTTGTCGTGGACAACATCAGCGGACAACATCAGCGATGCAACTGCATTGCACGGCATCGTACTGGTTAGCATCGTGTACTCTACTACGTAGGTACCTAGGAGAGTAGTCTCAAACGACAGGCCTTGGGACCCTCCACGCGTCAACGAATCCAGCCCTGCTGCGAGGGGTGCTGGTGGGTTAGGTGATGGTGTGCTCCGGCTAATTCTCGGCATAGATACCTGGTCCTGATAAAAGTTCTTAAGGTAAGGTACCCCCGCCTACATGTAGGTTGAGATATGTACAGGAGGTACCTAGGTAGGTAGCCTGACGTCTAAACCCTCCCTTCGGTAGACGTCAGGTTAGGTACCTTGCCTTAGAGGTACCTACCTACATACGTACCTATCTTAGGTACCTCCTTCGCGCATGGCTTCAGGGCTGACAGGCTGGATCTCGGCCCTACCTGGCACCTGAGGTACCCAAGGTACCCAGGCGGGTTGGGTGTGGGGGAGGGGTACCCGCTCGAGGGTACCCTACTAGGCAGGTACATATCGCAGCAGGCCGACGATGTAGGTAAATTAATTTTCCAACAATTTTCGAACGTGCCCGAGGCGGGACGGCCATCCATCCTTCCATCCCACCTCGTCTCCCGCCGCCTGCTGGTCGCTGCCACTAACACACACGACCCAAAGCTCCGAGCTCGAAACCAACCCTCAAACCCGCAGCACACGACCTACCCATCCGCACCCATTTTATATACATGCCAAGCTCGAACCTGGCCCGTTTCGTGAGTCCCAGACTGCCAATTGCTTCCCTGGTCAGGGGTTTGAAGGCCAGGGTAAACCATCCCGAGTACGTCTTAGGTATACCCGGGTCCTACCCGTTGCCTCTGACCGTTCAGAACAAGCCAGTCCTCCACCCCCTCCGCCCGCCCTCCCCAGTCCCTCCGCCAGCAAATACGCCCTGCGATACAGATCCTCGTCTACAAAAAGCCGCCGCGAGAACCCAAGAACATCTGGTACGCCTGACATCACGGCCCTGGCGGCGAGAGGAACTGCCCACTATCACCAACCATGCCGCAACCCCTCAGCTCGAAGGAGAGCTCTCTCTTTCGGCAAGTCATCCGCAACTACGAGGACAAGCAATACAAGAGGGGGTTGAAGGCGGCCGAGCAGATCCTCAAGAAGAACCCTAAGCATGGAGATACCATGGCCATGAAGGCCCTGATAATCAACCAACAAGGGAAGACGGACGAGGCCTTTGCCTTGGGGAAAGAGGCTCTGACCGCTGACATGAAGTCGCACATATGCTGGCATGTCTACGGTTTGTTGTACCGCCACCAGAAGAACTTCGAGGAGGCTATCAAGGCGTACAAGTACGCGCTCAAGCTAGAGCCGGAATCGCACCAGATCCAGAGGGACCTAGCCTTTCTCCAGGTCCAGATGCGCGATTACCAAGGCTATGTACAGAGCAGAGCAGCCATGCTTCAGGCGAAGCCCCAGCTGAGGCAGAACTGGACTGCCCTCGCTGTCGCGCATCACCTGTCTGGGAACCTAGCCCTGGCCGAAAAGGTGCTAACCACCTACGAGAATTCTTTGAAGACGCCGCCGTCTAAGACCGACTACGAGAATTCGGAGGCCGTGCTGTACAAAAACTCGATCATCGCCGAAATGCAAGACTACCAGCGGGCTTTGGATCACCTGGAGTCCGTTGCGAAGCACAACCTGGATCGTCTCGCCGTCTTGGAGCTCCGTGCAGAGTATCTGTCGAAGCTCGGTAGAAAGGAAGAGGCGGCCGATGCCTACCGCGCCCTGCTTGCCCGAAACTCGGAACATCCCGAGTACTATGCGAAGCTTGTGGACGCCTTGGGCATTAATCCCGAGGATCACAGTGTCCGAAAGGCCATTTATGACGAATATGCCCAAAAGAACCCCCGCTGCGATGCCGCCAAACGGCTACCCTTGGACTTTCTTGTGGGTTAGTCATGCCGAGTGCGTCTTCTCGTAGCTGCCGAACGCTCACGTGTTTCTCTAGGCGACGACTTCCGCGAAGCAGCCCGGAACTATTTGGCATTTATGCTTGATAAGGGGGTCCCGTCGACGTTCGCCAATCTCAAGCATCTCTACGCTGATCCGTTCAAGAAGAACACGCTTGGGTCCCTAGCACATGAGTATCTCGAGGCGAAGCGTGCGTCGGCCGGGGAAAACGGGGCGCTCAATGGCGACGCGCTCAAGGGAGAGCCAGCAGCACTGTATTACCTCTCGCAGCACTACAACTACCACCTCAGCCGGGACCTGACCAAAGCGATGGAATTCGTAGACCGTGGAATCGAACTGTTGCCCAAGAATGTCGAGTTCCACATGACTAAGGCCAGGATATGGAAGCACTTCGGAAATACCCAAAAGGCCTCCGAGACTATGGATCAGGCCCGCAAGCTTGACTTGAAAGACAGGTACATCAACACTAAAGCGGCAAAGTACCAACTACGAAACAACGAGAGCGAAGCCGCCCTTGAGACTATGGGTCTCTTTACGCGAACCGACTCTCCGGGCGGCCCACTGAACGACCTCCTTGACATGCAGAGCGTGTGGTATCTAACAGAGGATGGCGAGTCGTGGGTGCGCAACGGAAATATCGGACTTGCTCTGAAGCGATTCCACGCCGTCTACAACATATTCGATGTGTGGCAAGAAGATCAATTCGATTTCCACAGCTTCTCGTTGCGGAAGGGACAGATTCGCGCCTACGTGGACATGATCCGGTGGGAGGATCGCATCCGCGAACATCCGTTCTACACACGCGCCGCTCTAGGAGCCGTCGCCGTCTATTTGAGCATGTACGACAGCACCCGACTCATTAACGGCGCGGGAGGACCGACGGATGCCAACGGAGACGAGGCTGCGGAGAGGAAGAAGGCAGCCAAGAAAGCTAAAAAAGAGCTTCAGAAAGCCGAGCGCGAGGCGGCTGAGAAGGTTGCCAAGCAAGACCCCAACAAGCCGAAAGGGACCAACCCCGAACCCGTTAGGAAGGATGACGATCCGAACGGATATAAGCTTGCCACGACGGCCGACCCCTTGGCCGAAGCTACCAAATTCGTTGCCCCTATCCTTCAGTTTAGCCCCAAGTATCTCGATGGGCAGGTAGCCGGATTCGAGGTCTTCATGAGGAGAGGTAACGCCGACAATCACCCTCCACAAATCACTGGTACTAATTCGTAATAGAGAAATACCTTCTCGCCCTTCGCTGCCTGAATGCCGCGCTGACCATCGACGCTGAAAACCCCACTATCCACGAACAGGTGGTCCGATTTCGCCAAGCTCTTAATTCGAAGATCGATTCTCTGCCTTCGAAGACCGTCGAAGTACTCAAGTCTGTATTTACCCTGGTAGATAGTTCTACAGACCTTAAGAACTACAATGCCGACTTTTGGGAGAAACATAAGGATAGCGCGGCGCACGTCATATCTGCGATCAAGATCGAGAGATTTCTGGGAGGGGACAAGGCGAAGACCGAGAAAGATATCGCTACTGTGCTCGACATTCAAGACGTGCATTACGAGCAAGCGGAAGAGGCCCTAGCCATTTTAAGGCAATGGCGCAGCAGCGAGGCGGACGCTTTTAAAGCGGCTGCCCATGAGAAGTGGCCCAACGTTACCGCATTCGTGTGATGGCCTCTCAGGCTTCCCTCGAAAGCGGCCTCATTTTCCTGCCTATCTCTACCACTGTCTTCCATATTGAAATCCCTCCCGTTGACAATTCTAGGGACGAAGAAGGGGGGGGGATCTTCTCGTCGCATTCGGTTCTCAACAAGGTAGACAACGTTTGAGTGTCACATCATGCATGGATCGGGGGTCCGGTTAACAGCTACGTAGCAGGGAAAGGAGGGAGGTGAAAAAGTGAAGGGGTGAAGGCAGCGGATAGATGTATGCATGCTTATGAGTGGCAGTAAATAGCAGGGAGGGATAAAGCAACTCGAAAAGGGACAAATAGATTCCCCAGTACTCTTCGAAAAGACATGTAGGCGAGGACATTCAGTCGAAGATGGTCTGGGCGTGTATCAGTAAGATGAAGGTCCCTGGGCGCCACATATATATATATATATATGTAGGTAGTGATCATGATTGCTCCATGATTAGCCCACGCAAAGGGGGGTTGAAAGATCTTGAATAACCAACTGAAACCGCATCGGGGTATCGGCGATAGATTATATTATGAGTTAGGTAGAGACCTACCCTGATCTCCTATTCTAAGATATAATGGTAGTTATTTCAAATCCGTCCGCGTAGCTCGCTTATCCACCCCCTACGTGTCGACCCCCAGCCGCTGCTATGTCTTTCGGGGAGCGTACGTCATCCTATATCAAAGACACGTATGGAGCTCGAAGGATTAAGGCGGACCTCCGTAGTACTTGATGGCCACACCTAATGGAGTTTCTTTTTGAGTTATTGTCGTACTCTAGGATCGGGTCCGGCGCATTACGAGTTGCGTTTATTGCCCCTGGACCAACGAGGCCTCCTACACGTCTCTGGGCTACTTATCCGGGCACACCTCCCACCTCCGGGTGGTCTACTCGATTCCACCGCCCTCTCCTCCTTCTCTGTACCAAGGTACTGCCAGGAGAATCGTCGGGGCAACTCCTCGGGGGAAGGGAGGAGAGGGTATATAGCTAAATAAGAGATCCTCCTATTAGCCTTCCCCGTACCATAGGGCGTATCCCTGGGTTGAACTGTGGCTAGAGAAAACCACCCGAGGTTGCCTATTAGCCAGACCGGTTGAGTTGCAAACCGCCGTGACTTCGATGACTGGGGCTTCCCACCGTGGTTTTTCGTAGGTTGTCGGTTCGAGCCGACAGCCGAGCTTTTTTTGCTGTTCTCTTCCCCCTTCCCACACATGCTACAGTACTTGTTCGCTTTCATGTATCTCTGTTTCAACACTGCTGTGCATTTCTCTCCATCCCGTACTCTGTTCTTGGCACTACAACTTGTGATGCTACTTGTTTTGCAACCCGCCATCCTAGACTTCTCCCCCTTCCCCCTTTATGACTACATGCCCTCCACGACACAACGCATACCCGTCCTGCCGCTGTGTTTACATGTCTACGAAAACTAACCTTCGCTTTGATCGAGTTTCTGGGAGGATAGGGAGGCACCATTCCGCATTACTTTTTCTTACGCACTGCAACATACCGCTCCAGTTCACGCCACTTCCCAATATTACAGGGAACAGCACCAGAGCTGTCAGGCCTTTATGAATGTCCTCGAGTTCCCCGATTGGTCACGTGCGTCTCCTGCAATGCCGCCAACGGCCTCGTCAACGCAATGATGCGCATAGCTGCATCATTACCTATATTTAATATATGAAAATACCAGGGTATAAGAATATTAGCTCACCTGTAGTCGAGTCAGGTATCCGCCCCGTCTTCTCTCTTCTTCTCCATCGACACCATTGATAATGCCCCCAGGTCTTTAAAACATAGGCCCGACACGGCTCGCTTTACAAAGCTGGTTTTATTCTTCTTTTCCTACCTACAAATTATTTACATGGTAAGGCTCTGGCGACGTCGAAACTACCAACGTATGAATCCCTAGTAGCAGATGGCCGTCCTGTATGTCCTTCGGTCGACTTCCGTCGGCTACGCTAGTATCTCAAAGGCTCGATCAAGGGCTCGATCACGGTACTCGAGGACGTCACTGACCCGCTTTCGGCGCAGCATCCATACCAAGCCACTATTATCACCGCGCCTGACGGGCAGACGATCGTTCAGCGGCGCCCCGTATCGGCATCCAGCGTCATGGAGCCGCCGATATCCGCAATCGTGTCTCGTCGAGGCAACGACTAAGCCCTTCGTTACTATCCGCGATTTTGTCAAGACCGCCCATCCGTGGTTGATTGCCCTCGAAGGCGCCGTCCGCAGGGCCAAGGATATTATCCGGGCGAGTCCCGTGCCCGTGACTGCTGAAATGTGTGTGAATGGCATTAGTCCAAACCCGTTTATGGCCTCGACTTCGTATGGGCCTTCGGCACGGATAGCTGAGGAGTGGAGAGGGCTTGCGATGTCAGTTACTATGATGATCCGGAAGAGACAAGTTGAAGATGCTGGTTTGACACAGACATAACTGCAATATTCGTTTTTCCTCCTACTCTAAACAGTAAGGGGCGCACGTATGCTTCTTCCTGCTCCTCCCTCCTCTTCTTGACATTTCTACTATTAGACTTACGCGAATAATATGTCTACAGATCATTGTTAGGGTCCCTATAGGTTAAAGCGTTTCGTGACGGAGACAAGTTATTATCGCTTACACCCCACAGGGCTTGTATCGCGAAGGATACGGCTACTAATAGACGTTCTGGCTTCCCCTGACAATGAAACCTTGGGAGTATAACCGCCGTCGAAGTCACCGCCGTCGTAGCCGTAGCTCGGATTTCCGGCTATCTTGCCGACGATGCCCTCGAAAGGCTATGGCGATTTTGGTACCGACTAGTAGTACGGTGACTCCGTTTGTAGCATGCCGACAAATACCTGTGTTATTTGCCCTGTTGAGGTTGTACTGGTAGTAGACAGCATGCTTGGAAGACGTTCCGTATAGCCACGTCGTCCCCCGGCTTTCGACTAGGAGGCCACGGCCCACACATATGGATGTTTGGACTTGGATCGTGAGAGGTTAGATTCGTCTTTCTCTTGGCTAATGACAGTAGTGTACTTATCATCGTGTTGTTCGCGCCGTTGAGATCAGGATCACTAAAAGAACGCAGAGTGTCAATACCCAGCTAAGTCTATATGAAAGCCGCCAAGAATCATAGAAAAGGGGGGGCAGGATAAGGATCGGACGAACTCAATATCGTAGTCAGCCACCCAAAGCCACACATTATCAAAGTATCCGGAGGCTTTGGATGCAATATGCGTCGTCAAGCTCGCTCCGTGGCAGTCAGGGTTGATGCCGCTCGTCCCGGTGACGCCTCCTATGCGGACATGGCAGTCTAGAGTTAAAGATTGTCAGTATGTATCAGCATCAGACGGCAGAAACTTCTGTAAACCCAGTCCGCAATCCGGCCGATCTTAGACTTCGGCTTTCAATGTTCTATTCGACCAGAATAGCACCAGCCGTTGGGCTCTGAGTGGTGGAGAAGAGATCCTGCATTTCTACATCGCTGACCTCGCCCGGGCTGTCGACTCTGGTCATAACTTTCGGATCACTAGACGTACCAATGTTCAGCCTAGGTCTATCGGGACGGTCGGAAGTACCAGGGGGGGTTACCTCGCGTCTGGGAATGCCAGCCCGAAGGCGGCGACTTGCGACCACGTCTCTCCAATGTGCTTTGTCTCAGGACAGTTGGCGGATTGTTCGCCTATATATATTGGTCGGTATTCTGGCCTTCTAGTAGCTAAAGCGGGAAACTCACGTCGCCGATGACCTGAGTGCCGAAGGGGATCTTGATGGTCTTGGAGGTGTCCGCGTACGAGAACAAGGAAAACAACACAAAGACTTCCGCTGTCTAGAATCAGTAGCGCAATCATCACAAACCAGCAAGTCTTTCGGTCATATATTCTGGAGAGCACGTAGGTATATGACTCCATGCCCGTCGCTCTAGATGAATAGAGGTGGAGATGGAGAGAGAAAGGAAAGGGAGATTGTACCTGGGGGTCCAGTTGCCCAGTCCCAGGCTTATACCGTTTCGAGAGGAAGCCGAGTCTTGGCGTCATTTCGACAAGCGCAATTCCAGTAATGAACCGTAATTCCGGTGATTACGGGCTCGCTTACCTGGTAACGCTGTTACCCCCTTTCCTGGAGCCGATCGTGTTCCGCCTGGCCACCAGTACTATAGCGGGCTAGTCGCGCGCACCCTCAATTCCCGAGCAGACGGATCAAGGCGGTAACAGGTATGATGATATGTGTGTGTTGCGAGGTAACCGCATAACAAGAGGGAAAGGGGGGACTGGGGCAACCTCCAAACTGCTCCGTCCTTTTTTGGTTCTTGCAAATGAAGGTTTTCTTGTTTAAAAGGGAACGAAAAAAGGTGACTCACAGGGAACGAGGAAAAATAATACCTACCTCTAGGAGGCCTCGAAAATATCCCTCGTCAGCGCCCTGTGGGTTACGAGGGAGGTGCAAATGCCAAATTGGCCGCTTGCGACGGCGGTGAGTATTAATAGGACGTGACGCCCGAGCCCGTGTCGTCGAAACCACCAAGCAGCTAGCAGCGATCGGCTACGGTACGGGGGAGGTGCCTGCGTTTGGGTGGAAATTGGGAAGCAAAGGTAGAGACGCTCGTTGCCATACCTGGCTGGGTGTTAGGGACGCGGCTACTGGCGTTGTCGCTTCAACTTGCCGCCGGCTGCGCTACCCGATGAGGTTGCGGGATCCGCATGGCGACAGGGTCAGGCGCCCGTGGAGCGGCGGGTGAAACCGCGGATCCCCACGTTCTCAGATCCCACCCCTGGCTCGCATCTATCGTGAGACGACGGCTACCGTGCGCGGCGGAGCGCCGTCCATGGACTTGGGCGAGCGCCTCACGAGCTAAGATGAGACGAGCCCTGTCCGCCGTCGCGCTGGGCGATCCAGAACCCTGGGGCCGTCGGCGCATCTGCTGCCCCTGTCGCGGCGACGATCGTCGGTATAAAGAGTCCTGCCCGACCTGTCGTCACCGTCTAGAGACTCGTCCACCTCATTTAGTTCTCGATCTCAGCCTATCGCTTTTCGATTTCCTGTTTATTCTCTCATTCTCTTTGGCTGGGCCATCTCTATTTTCGCTGCTCCCGTTTCCTACTTCCTTTGGAAGCGCTAGTCGCAGGTCGTCTCTCCCTCTCTTATTTCCGCACTCGGTTTATATACCTACATCACCGATATCATGAAGCTCCTCAACGTCCTTCTCCTCGCCACCTCCGTGTCGGCTCTCGCCATCGACCGCACGCATACCGACGTTGCAAGGTCCGCGGACCTAGAGGAGGTCTCGGCTCTGCTAGCGAGACACCACGCGGGCCGCCCTGCCGCCGGTGCCAACGGCAACAACCGCAACGGTGCCAACGGCCGCAATGGTGGAAACCGGAACGGTGGCAATGGCGCCAACACCGGCAACAACAATAACGGCAACGGTGCCAACGCCGGAAACGGCACGAGTACTGGCAACGGCGGGGCCGACACTAGCACCTCCGGCAACACCCTCGTCCTCAAGGAGGTCAACGGCGTGCCAGGCAACGAGTGCCTGACCTTCCGCAATAACGGCACGTTCTCCCACCCCCCAACCCTTATCCCGCGCACCCACACACTAACCCACCCCTGCAGGCGAGATCGTCGACGCGGCGTGCGTCAACGCGGCGGCGGACCGGCAGATCACGCCGACGACGGTCGACGGGGCGGCGGCGCTGCGGGTGCAGCGCAGCTTCGCGGCGGGCTTCCGGCCGGACCTGGTGGGCGTGGCGGCGTGCGTCGGCTTCAACGGCACGCACTTCCGCGCCGAGGACTGCGCGGCGGCGGGCATCGAGCTCGTGCAGCTCGACGGCGCCGCGCTCCGCACCCCCAGCGGCGCCTGCGCCAGCGGCCACGACAACCTCGCCCAGGTCACCGTCGACCCCACCGGCGCCGCCTGCGCCTCCTTCGAGTCCACCGTCGTCGCCCCGACCGCCCCGTAGTGGAGCGAGGAGCGAGGAGCGTGGGCTTGTCGGAGCGGGAAAGGCGACCGAGGGTGCGGTACTATGGGTACGCCGCCGAGCTCGTGCCGCAGAGAGAGACGGGGCTGCGAGGTATTGGACGCGGCGAAGCGATGAATAGATTTTACAACCCCCTTTTTTTTCCTTCATCTGCCGCGACCTTTCTGTGAGGCCGCGCCCTCGGCCGTCGGGGCGCGGCATGTAAGCATACTTCGTAATCCTACTACGTAGGCAAGGCCTAATACAGGCACGTGTATATCAGCACACTCGAGTGGGAGAGGGACCAGTGACGTTCATAAAACCAACACGATCCGTACATAGTCCCTAGTCCGAAATACCTACTCTCTCTCTGGCGACTTCCCGACCAGCGGCGCGTTGAGCTACGCATATATATGGGCGGTAGTGTTTGCAAAGACTCCCACGTCAATCGTCCTACTTTTCGCGCTCCTCACGATCTGAACGCCATCGCTGCTGGCAGACCCCTCCCGAAATCCGGCGTCTCAATGTCTAGGTTCCAAACTCCGCTAGCTCTATATGTCGCCCGATCTTCCTTATATAGGTCATTCCCGTCATGCCCCGCGGGATCCTGGGTGCGGATGATAGCGTACCCTTCTTTAGTACCCACCGGAGCGACGAACCCGTCCGCGAGCCAGAACCGCGTTCGCAAGGACGTACCTAGTAGCCTTCCGTTTCGTTGTCGCCAGTTTTAGCCTCTTAGGGCGCTCCTTTTCTCTGCCTCCCCCCCCCTCGTTTCTTTCTTTTGCTCCCCTTCTCTCGCCCCCCCCGAGACTCGTATCTTCTGCTCTGGGGCTACCTTCCCCCGCGCTTCTAGAGGGACCGCGCCGGCACACTTCTTTCTACAAGAGGACTAAGCGAACTGGCCCTGGCGGGCCTACAATCGGGATCCAGTGCGTGCCCACCACCAGGCCAGTAGGGCTATTGAGGGGGCTACATTGGGTACGCAGACAAAGTCGTCCAAGGAGCTCTGGCTGTGCTTCGTGCCGCGCAGCCAGGGATAGACGGGCCGCAGAAAAAAAAACTGTGGGAGGCGAGAGTTGCGCAACGAATACGAAACGCTCCCGGGGGCCTTATCCTTGGGTGGTTCTGTGCCATTGCCCGGGCAAGATAAGAAAAAAAGAGAGAGAAATAGGGTACGAGACTATATCCTGGGCCAGGGTAGGCTCAACGGCAAATTAGGATGACTTCGTTCGAGGAAGCACCTATCTGCAAGTCGGTATCACAAATAGTAGTCTTTTGCGAGCCACCCGGCCGCCTCTCTCCCGGCGTAGATGCCTCGCGTCTCTTGTGCCCCGTATCAGCGCGGTATGCCCTACGCAGATGAGCGACCCTGCGGTGCCCTATCTCTTTCCTGGGCCACTAATATGCGCTGTCCAGCTTCCTCGGTAGAAGCTGAGTTTGCGGATGGGAAACCAGGTGCGTATTGTTTCTAGATAGAAAAGTGTAGCAGTACTTAAGCTACAGGGTAGGGCAGAACAGAGAACGCTCGTCGTATTACCTATACGGACTTTCTCCCTTTCCACTCACGTCTAATGTATAAGCTAGCCAGTGGGCCGGGCTCGTTTTAGTCTATGGACCCTTGCGCTCCCCTTTCTCCTATCCTCCGCACGCCACCACTTCCCTCCAGCTAACCCGTCCAATCGGACCCTCTCATACGTCGACGACGTTCCGCAGCGGCTGGCCGGCGATGAAGCGGCGGAGGTTGTCGGCGATGAGGGCCTCGGCGTCCTGGGGGCGGCCGCCGGCGGCGTGGGGGCTGAGGATGAGGTTGGGCGCGTCCCAGAGGCGGGACTCGGCCGGCAGGGGCTCGGTCTTGAAGACGTCGAGGGCGGCGCCGGCGAGGTCGCCCTTCTCAAGCGCGTCGGCCAGCGCGTCCTCGTCGATGCTCGTCCCGCGCCCGACGTTCACCACCCACGCGTGGCGCGGCAGCAGCGCCAGCCGCTCGCGGTTCAGCGCGTCGCGCGTCGCCTCCGACCCCGGCAGGATCATGACCAGCGCGTCCGTCTGCGACAGCAGCTCGGCCAGCGCCGCCTCGCCGTGCACCTCGACGCCGTCGCGCACGCCCGGCGTCCGCGCCACGCCCGTGACGCGCGCCCCGAGCGCCGTCAGGTGCGGCGCCAGCGTCCGCGCGATGTTGCCGTAGCCCCAGACGAGCACGCGCGCGTCGCGCAGCGTGGTGAAGCGCCCGGCCGGCCGGTCGGGCTGCGCCCCACCGAGGTGGCCCGGCCACGCGCGGCGGGCCTGCCAGAGCCGCATTTCGTCGAGGCGGCGCGCCGCGGCCAGCAGCAGCGCGAGGGCGTGCTCGGCGACGGTGCGGTCGTGCAAGCCCGATCCCGTCGTCACCGCCACCGTCGGCGCGAACCCGGCCGCCAGCACGTCGTTGGGCCCCGCGGCCAGCGACTGCACCCATCGCAGCCGCGTTAGCCGTGTCGCCGCGTCCCGCAGGTTCGCCGCGCTGTTCGTCCACGTCACTAATACCTCCGCGTCCGTGTGCGCCGCCGGGATCTCCGCCGCTTTCACGTCATACGGCTGCAGATCCACCGAGAACCCCTCGAGGCTCTGCACGTCGAGCTTGAGCGAGGTCGGGTAGAGGAGCTTCATCTTGCCGGTGCTGTGGTTAGTCCTGGTGCTGGTTTTGGTGCGGGCCGAGGTCGAGAACGGGGAGCAGGGCGCGGTGGCGACGGTAATGGGGAGCGCGCGTGTGTTGCAGTGATTGATGGTGGATACAGAAGAGGATAGAAGACGTTGAAGAGAGAATCTAGTCAACGCGCGCAGCATAGGGCCAGGAACAGAAAGAGAGAGAAGACGACGACGAGCGAGGCCCCTCAAGAACCCGGCTAGCCTATTCTTCTTAGACAACCGGAACTCCCCCTTCTTTCGCCGTAGCTGACGTGTATAGTAGCAATCGTGGGTTTGGCGCGTCCTTGGAGTGAACACCCTCGAAGTTAATAGTGGGTTGGTTAAAATAAGACTAAGGGGAACGAGGGGGAAGGGGGGGAAAAAGGTGTACGCAAGGAAACAGACTTAGACCTGGTCAGGCCAACGGGAGTTCGCCAGCGCAATAGTGATAGATGCGATGTGCCGTCCGACGTTCGACGGCAGAGGGAGGGGAGGTCCCACGCCGAGAGGGGGATCCCGAGAGACGCCCGCCTATATCGGCCTCGCTTGCTGCCCACCTCCCCGCCCGGGCCATTTTAGGCCGAGTTAGCTCGAAAGCCCACTGGGAGAGATCGAGAGGCGTCTGCAGCCATCCCGCCACCTTCGGGCCTAGGTTATCCCCCCTCGCTAACCGGCTCGTCCAATACTGCCGCCATACTCGGCCCGGATTGTGACATGCACGCAGTGGTATAGAGTGAGAGGCAGAGACCGAAGTACGTGGATCGGACATAGAAAGGGAAGGGAAAAAAAAAAGGAAAAAAAAGTAGACGCATACACATCACATATACCTCCGTGTAGGGACACGGTGCATAATAAGCACCTAGAGACTCTCTGTGCTTCACGGATCGAGATAAGCAGATGGGAGAGAGAATCGATATGGACTGGGTAGGTAACCTTGGTTTTCTTGTCTTTCTTCTTCTATTTGCATATCTAGGACGGTCATTACCTTGCTGATCTCGAGTCCCGGCTTGGCCACCCAAACTCGTGACACACATCCGCCATTCTAGCGCTGACGAAAGAACAGGGCGAATCGGGGTATGTCAGTATTATTGCACGGCGCAACTTCGCCAACGGAGGAGATAATGGAGGGGGAGGCGGGGTATATCTTTGTGAACGACGCCAGTCTCGTCAGTCAGGAGCCGTAGGAAGGGGCGAGAACCCTGAACTGGGAAATCCACGCACAGCCGGGAATTGTACAAGAAGAAAAGGAAGGGGATAGCGGAATAAGAAATAGAAAAAACGATACGATGATGGGGTCACAATCTCAGCAAAAAAGTCGTACCATGGATGTCCTCGATTGCGTCTGCGTTCCCTACAGAGCGAAGAATCGCGCAAGACCAACCAACTTAACAGTTACCACGATATATCCTCTTTGCTTCATTGTGCGCGCCAGCATCTACCTGCCTGTCTCCCAGACACCTATGCTATGCCGTGCTATGTCATGCCGTGCCTCATCTCATTGATCTCGTCGAGTGGTGGACGACGGAAGAATAATGAAAAAAAAAAAAAAATTTTTTTTAAAGGGATGAAAAAAAGACAAATGATAGAACGCCACGTGTTATGACCACCCGGAGAGTAAAGAGACGGCGAGTCATGGCCGGTTGGGTAGGTGGGCAAATCAAGCCGACGTCAAGGCGCACCCCAGAGTGGGCAACTCAACCTGGGCAGGGCGAAACGTACGCGCGAGCTCTGTTTCAAGAGCAAGGGCGTCGAAAGCACGAGGGAAGCATACCCGAGAGAAACAGATACCGGCCTATGGAATCACCCAGATGGCGAGTCGTGTTTCATGCTTCCGCGGAGAGGGTGTCGACCGTGATGCCAGCCAAGGACCGCCCGAGCCGACGATTAGGCCGAAGCGTCGGGGGTCATGATGAAACAGAGCAACACGAAGACGGAAGTGCGACCAAAGAGAAGCAGCGAAAAGGCGACAACTTCGTCCGCGACGACGTGCGGCAGCTCTCCCATCCCGCAGCGTGTGGCCTCTTCTCTGGGGCGACCCCGAACCCCTCTTCCTCGGCTGTTCCTAGCCGTGTCATCGTCCTCGGTATCATCAATCCCTCAACACCTAGTTGACGGGAAGACGATCCATGCGTCCAGCGCCCTTCGAAGTGAGCCAATCTTTCTCGACTAGATTCTCGCGGGCCTGGTACAGGAAACGATAGGCTGTCTTGATAGTGCCGTCGCTAACGCCTGCCACACCGGCGATGTCTCGGGAGGTTCGCGGATCGCCCATGAGGTGCGACGCCATGTAGATGCAGGCGGCGGCGACGGACAGCGGCGATCGCCCCGCAAGGTCCTTGACTGAGGAACTCTTCTCCGCCAATACCTTGGAGATCTTCTCCATGAGATGGGGATTCTTGAAGGAGAGATTGTTGCAGTAGCGAGCGCAGAGCTCGGTAGCACTAGTAGTGCCGGTCGATTCGTAGTTCTCGACCATGAGGAACGAGCCGGTAGTGTTGGCCTCACGGTTGCTCTGTAGGAATTTCTCCAGCTGCTTGAAGGTCCTGCCAATCTCCTTCTTGGACACCTTGGTCAAGGCGTACACCTCGCGGAACGTTCTCGGCACCTTGGCCTGGCGGCAGGCGACGAAGATGCAACCGGCGATGACAGCCTCCTGCGGCTTTCCCTTGAACAGCTTGTTGTCTTCGGTCAGCTTGAAGATGTGCTTCGCCGAATCCTGGACGGCCTTCGGGATGCCGATGGCCTCGCAGAGGTTGCTGATCTCACGATACGCAGACAATAGACCCTTGGTGGCCTTGTCGTTTTGAGAGCGGTTCTGGGCGCGGTGCAGCTCTCGCGAGCGCATGCCCTCGCCGAAAGCGATGTTGGTCTCGAGCTGGGAGCCGTTGAGGAGGGGGTTGATGCTGTCGCCGACACGGGAGGGATCGTCGTTGCCTTGGTCATCGTTGGCGAAAGTACGCCACTCGGATCGCGTGTCGATGATGCGGTCGCCGAGGACCATGCCGCACGAGGCGCAGACCATGTCGCCCGACGAGAACTCCTCGACGAGGTTCGGGGGGTCTTCGTTGCAGTCGGGGCAGATGAGACGCTGGTTCAGATTCTCGCGGTACTCGCCGTTCTGGTCGATGCCGAAGCCACCGGCAGGGCGAGCCTGGCCAGGGATGTCGACGTCGGGGCGAAAGGCGACGGACGCCATGCTGACAGAAACGTGCGGGAGGACGAAAGGATCAGGACGTCCGGTAGGTCCGGTGGCGCAGGTAAAGAATGATGGCACAGAGTGCGGCGGCTCGACGACTCGGACGTCTCGATGTCTCGATGTCTCGAGAATGTATGCTCGCGGGTGGTGGTGGGCACGAGGAGAAGGGAGCGAAAGGCGTGCAGGGTGGAAGAGTTGGCAGGCTGGAGACGTCGGAGGAAAGTAAGGCTGACCGATATCAGAGAATTGCACCTGGCAGTGTCCGGAAGATGACTCAGCAGGTTAGGGATATGAATTCAACCCACACCCCTAAAATAGGTCAGGTACTCGGGTACCTCAGGCGCCTAGGTACCTGTGCGATGGAATTGTGCGTGGGTGACTTGTACCCCGGTACTTGCCAAGGTATTGCAGGTCAGTGGAATTGCGAAGTCTTCAGGCGGAGGAAGGGAAAGCAGCCGAATTCGAAGGCGAGACAAGATCCGTGAAAGTGATGGTTTAAGAGTAGGGGGAGGTGGGATGAAAGAAGGAAAGAAATACTAGGGCAAGTTGCAACGGGACAATCGCTTTGTTTTGTGTTTCTCGCAATGGTTCCGTTCTTTTTGCTCGCCTTTTTCTCCCTTGTTCTTGAGGTCGTTGTTGTTGCTGTCATCGTTGTTTAAGACCTTGAGTGGGTAGGTACCTAGGTAGTTGCTGAGGTACCCTATGATAAGCTATTGCAACCACTAGGGTACCTAAGGCAATGCCTAGATGTAGGTAGGTATCCGCCTACTAAGTCCCTACCCGCCTTAGCTATGCCCCTTAGCCATATGCTAATACAGGCAACCAGATGCCAGGAAATACAGGGAGATCGGGTACCTCATCAGTAAACACAAAGGTGGGAGATATGGAATCATCAAAAAGTCAAATTGCTATCGCCCGGCCCTGTTTATCCGACGATGCGCCTTACGACCTAAATGTGCTCTTCCAGGGCGAATGACACCGAGCTTGCCCAGTCCCCCCCAAACGCCTGAGGAGGTGTCCTCCCGTGGTATCAATCCGACACCGTGCCAGTCCTCCCACGCCACCCTCTCAACCATCATAACATGTCGTGAAGCCACGCAATCGACTGATATCCAGCGCCACCGCCATCGACCCAACCCCTAACATGGAGGCTCGTACTGCGAGTCTGCACCCGACGACTCTCCGTCGGCTCGAGCCTTGCAATTTGTTTGTTCAGGGCCCTGGCGGGCCCGTGTACGGTACAGGGTCGTGAGAGAGGAAGAGAGAAAGAGGGAGAAGGAAAGGGAAAATATAATCATGACCAGCGATGGCAAAGTAATCAATCATGTGCGCCCGGTCGGCGATGTGCCTCGCAACGGCTCCAGCACAGCTAATTGTGGTTGGGGTAGCAGCGCAGGATGAACTCCGAGGTCGACGTCCCGGAAATGCGACGCGATGCTGTAGCGGCTTTGTGCTGTCGCCTCCCACTCCTTCCACTGGTCTCCGTTCCTCGGCGCCATCGGCTCGCGCTCTCCGGCCTCTGCTTGGTAGAAGTCCTCCGACGGCAACTCGGGCGTCGGCCCTCGGGAGTTGTTCGTGCTCAGCGAATTCCGGCTCGCCAGTGACTTCCGGATCATCGTCGTCCTCTCCGCCTCCTCTGCCGCTCGCTGATCCATCGGGGTCATCTTGTGCTTTTTCAGGCCCTTCCGGCCCAGCGGATCCTGCCCCTTCTCTTGCGCGAGTCGACGTTTTCTTCGAATCAGGTACATCACGAGCAGTAGAACTAGGGTCACCGCGATCGCGGCCCCGATGACGACGACGGCAATTAGCCACGGGGTCGTCTCCATGCTAGGCCCATCGCTGGTTTCGTGTTGGTCGTTGGCTTGCGTATCGAATGCGGCATCGCTCTCTCGCCGATGCGATGACGGTGCCATGGTAACTAGGTAGGTGGGGGAAAGGAAAAGAAGCCAGGAAAACGGCTCGACAGGATGCGCCGTGGGGCCATGTATGGAACACAGGGCAGAAATTCGGATGCGAGCCGTGCAGGTAGGGTCGGAAGCCATGGCAACCCTTTTATGTGCCGACCATCCTGGTGCTGCCTCAGTCGGGTCCAGCCTTACTGCTACCCCATAGGAAATACGAGAGGCGCGGCAATCGACGGACCGAGCACAGGATTCTATAATTGGTCCAATCAAGCCGGCGTTGCCCTTCGCAGGGGGTTGCATTGCGCACAGCGTATGGAGGCGTCGTCGTCACCCACGCACACGAGGCAGCCAAGATGAGCACCGTCTAGTGCATACCGTGTTGCGAGTAGTCTGGATCCCTGCGTGCCAGGCCGGGGAGATGGTGGCACTGCCAGTCTCCGTCGTTCGTTCCAACCAACATCGTCGAACAGCCAGCCCAGCTTCGCCAATCTTCCAAAGTGGTCGGGAGGACCCCAAGGGTCCCCGGCCGCTCTGTTAGGGAAAACAACTTGCAGGGGCCCCGGGGAATGCTCCTCTGCCCTGTATCCTCTGTCACTAACCGCCCGTCCGTTACCTATCAGAGGGCTTGGGAGGTAGCATCGGTCCCGAATCCGTCGCAGGTGTTCGAGGCTATGCCTCTCGGCTCAGGTCTCATCGCGCCCCTGCAAGCAATATGTACGTAGTACATACATACACACCTGCATGCATGCAGACATACTTCGTACCGCGCCGTGTGCCCAGCCGGGGCGGCGCAGACAAGTATAGGCCATCTGCTAGGTTAGTAAAATGTACGAAGACGCAGCCAACCGACGCGGGTTAGGTCACCGCGAATGAAGGGAAGGCGTACGGCTCGGCTGGGAGAGAGGACCCGACAACGAAGACGATGAGGTGAGACGGGTGGGTGAGACAAGACGGCAAAAGTATTCCCGCCCGGCCATGCGCGGCACCCAACATACCTATATGTCTCGGCCAACCCTCGCCGCGCTGGAGGGCTCCTCAGAGACATAGGTAATAATCGGACCACAGACGTTGCGTTAAGCCCAACTGTGTGAACCAATTAGCCACATACCAAGCCGCAACCATAGGCTCGGAACCGGTCTATCAGTAGTAGTCGAAGCGTCCGCCATGCCTTTTTTTTTTCTTCTTTCCTTCCTTCGGTTCCTTTGTGCTTCTGTGTTCCTGACTACTCATTGCACCGCCTCTCTTTTCGCCAGGGGTTTCCCGGGTTAGGTTAGAGCTGAATACCGGAGTTCAGATGAGAGACCGGCCTGAACGATCTATTTTGGAGAGAAGAGCTGCCGGCGACCAAAACACTACAGCTATTAGCCCGTCGTCGTTAACCAGGACATGAATTCCAGCGGCGATAAGCAGAGAGCTATGTTGAGTTAACCTGGCTACCTGGTGCTAATAATAGGCCAGGTAGGTATGCCACCTAACATTCCACCTACGTAGTAGACCTGGGTGCTCGATTGTCCTGGTGATAGATTGTGGGGTAGGCAGCGAATAGAGGAGATGATTCGGAGAACTGCGATGCCTCGGGATTAGTGGCGGCTTCTCGCTAGTGGAGATCTCCGCAGCGGAATTCGGACCCCATCAACCGGGAACTTGAATGCCTACTCTTTTATTTTTTATTTTTCGAATTAACGAATACTGTCTACATCTGCTCCTTTGGAGAGGTCGGGGTCTTATTGACAAGCCCTAATTTGAGCCCCTGGCGTCCCCGTTACGTCTAGCGTAGTGAGGAGCGGGAAGCGACTCTGTCTGCGAATCGCTTCACCTCAGACATCGGCCGATATCGCCCCCCTCCCCTTTTCTACTTTCGAGCAACCGGAGATAGAATATCGTCGATACCTAACCTCGTCATGTTAGGTCGCACGATTTTCCGTGCTGCTCGTAGCACAGGTTTCCTCAGAAGCCCGTACGGCTTGAGCCAAGCGCAGAGGTATTCTGCGGTGGCCCATGAGGCAGCATCTCTCCCCTTGGCGGGCTACCGCGTGCTCGACATGACTAGGGTCCTAGCCGGTGTAGGTGGTCAAACGATCAATCCAAGCCCACTGTCAAGCAATGTTCACGTCCACTTACTCTTGCAAACCCTGTAGCCATATTCCACGCAGATTCTTGGCGATCTTGGGTACTAGAGACACGCATCGCCCGAAACCGAAGGAATGCTCTAAGCTAATATCGGACCAAATGTAAGCGCAGAAGTCATCAAAGTCGAGCATCCTACGCGCGGAGACGATACACGTGCTTGGGGGCCACCCTACGCGACGTACCGAGAAGGATCCGACCTGGAAGGACCTGGCGAGTCTGCTTACTTTCTTGCTGTAAGTAGCCTAATTGTCAACAGACGCCGGCTTTTATTTCTTTGGTTCCTCCTTACTTGCAATCGCCCAAGTCCTAACCTCTGCTAGATCAACCGTAACAAGAAGTCGCTGGGCCTCTCATTCCAGCACCCCGAGGGTGTGGAGATCCTGCACAAACTCGCAGCGAAATGTGATATTCTCGTAGAGAACTACCTCCCGGGGACTCTCAAGAAGTACGGGATGGACTTCGAGACATTACACAAGATCAACCCGGCCCTGATCTACGCATCAATAACGGGGTTCGGCCAGAATGGGCCGTACTCGCAGCGGGCCGGGTACGACGTCATGGTCGAAGCGGAGTTCGGGTTAATGCACATTACCGGTAATCGGGATGGACCGCCGGTTAAAGTCGGCGTCGCCGTCACGGACCTGACAACGGGGCTTTATACGAGCAATAGCATCATGGCCGCGCTTCTGTCTCGGGCCAGGACTGGCCGTGGTCAGCATATCGACATCGCCTTGAGCGACTGCCAGCTCGCGACCCTCGCCAATATCGCAAGCAGCTGTCTGATCAGCGGGAAGAAGGACTCGGGCCGATGGGGCACGGCTCATCGTAAGCACCGAGTCCCCCCCTCGGATTACCCCCGCTGACAGCTTCGTAGCGTCGATAGTCCCGTACAAGTCGTTCAAGACCAAGGACGGCGATATCTTGTTCGGGGGAGGCAATGACCGTTTGTTCGGGGTGCTGTGCGATGGTCTCGGCCGGCCGGAATGGAAGACAGATCCGAAGTACGGCGTGAACTCGCAACGGGTCGCCAATCGGGCCGAGCTCGAGGCTGAGATCGAGAAGATCAGCGTCCAGAAGACGACGCAGGAGTGGCTAGACATTTTCGAAGGGAAGGGCATGCCGTACGCCGCGGTCAACGACGTCCAGGCCTCCCTACACCACGAGCAATCCAAGGCGCGGGATATGGTGGTGGAGGTGGAACACGAGCAGTGTGGGCCGATCAAGCTGGTGAACACGCCGGTCAAGTATAGCGAAAGCAAACCGCGCATCCGAACCGCGCCCCCGACTCTAGGTCAGCACACGGACGAGATCCTCGGCGACCTGCTAGGCCTAGAGGCCGGCGAGGTATCGGTACTAAAGGAGAAAGGGGCGGTGAGGTAGGGTTGGGGTTCCTCGGACACGAACTGTTGACGTGTTGGGCTGCTATAAGGAATCCTAATAGCTGATTCGCTACGTCGAGTGCTATTTTAGACTTAGAATCACCAAGCAGATGCCAACTACCTGTAGGTACCCGCTCGGGTCAAATCAACAATCCCTTCGTTGACGAGTCCATTCGCTGGATGGGGCAGTGGGACAGGACGAAAAGCTAGGCTCAAGCTGGTGTCGGCTGCTGACATCCATGCATAATGATAAAGCTTGGTTAGTATCGGCGTGTCTGAGGAGAGAGGGTAAGGCGAACGCTTGCTCTCCCCCGGCATCAAAATCGGTCGGGTGCTTTTTGGTTGTGGTGCTTTGGCGACCTGAATTCGCCCAGAACCAGGTAGGCGTCTACATGGGTAGTGAGGTCACGGCAGGTAACAGTAGGTCACGAGTAGGTAACGTAGACCTCCGTAAATTGAATCAGGATCAGAAGCCAATTAGGTACCTGTCCAGAATGCCCTTCCGAGCCGTTGCCACACTGTCACGTGGCTTCAGAAGTATATTGGCCCCAGATCTTCCGATCCGGGAATCACACCATCACGTGGATATCACGTGTATTAGCCTCCACCTATGAATTTCGACCTCCCTTACCGATTCATCTTCTCGGACATCTCTAACAAGACGTAACGAATGTGCATGTGTATCTGCTTCAAGAGGGCATTTCATGGAGGTGGTGAACGCGCCCTCGACGCCCTTCCGGTAGTGGGTACTGCCCCTAAATCATCGCCTCCTTACTGCCGGCCACTAACAGACCCTGCTGGGACAGATTTACCTATCGACCACAGCAGCATCCTTCCTGCTGGCTCGACGCTGGTCGAGAGGAGAGAATCAACATGCACGCTAGCAATGAAGGCAAAGGCGGCGCCACCTCCGTGCCTCCTCCGGACCCTGCTCCGCCCCAGCCGGCGCCGTCAGAAAACCCAACCCAGACCTCGCCTCCGGAAACCCCCGCTTCCTCCTCCTCCTCCACACTGACAAACGCGGGGCTGAGTTCCGTTAGCTCGCCCGGCCGCCCACCCTACATACCGCAATTCTCCGCCTCGACGCAGATGATCTTGAAGCGCATTAATGGGCAGCCTGGCAGCCTATCGTCCGCGCTTTCGTCCGCATCCCCCTTCGCCACCGGCATCGAGCGGTCCACCTTCGAGGACGCCAAGCGCCGACTGGTTATGAACATGAGCACGTCTCTCAACATGACAATCCCCTCGCCTCGCCCCGCAAGTTCCTACTCGGCAGCTCGCTCGGCCGCCACCCTGCCGCTGCCCATGAACGACGCCTTCCAGCTCCGCACGCCCGCCCCGACTAAGCTACTGCCCGCCGCGGAGGGCCCCGCGCCGGCCCCCAAGGCGCCAGCGCCTGCTCAGAAGGAGAACGGGAGGGGGCCCCGCCCCGCGAAACGCAAGAGAGCCAACGGCAACGAAAGGGACAACAACGAGGTGTCCTCGAGCCTAAGCGACCTATCCGAGAGCGAAATCGACGCCGCCGCTTCCGCCGCCGCCGCTTCCGCCAAGGACCAGGCCACCCCGACCATGACGAAGTCCGGTCGCCAGGTGCAGAAGCCGTCGCAGTACAACCCCTCGCCGCCCTCGACCCAGTCATCGCAGTCCCGACGCAAACACTCCGGCGGCGGCAGCAGCAGCAGCAAGAGGATGGCCGATCAGGTGCTGTGCAAGGTATGCACGCGCGGGCTGAGCCCCGCCGGCAACCGTATCGTCTTCTGCGACAGCTGCAACGGCTGCTGGCACCAGCTGTGCCACCAGCCCTACATCGACGACGACGTGGTCGAGGACGAGTCGCGCGTCTGGTTCTGCAGCTTCTGCACCGCCAAGCGCGAGAGGCTGCTCGCCCGCAAGAAGGGCCTCGACGCGCACAGGGGCGTGAGCTGGGCCGCGAAGAGCGCCGACCAGGTAACGTTATCTGTCTCTCCCCCTCTCTCTTACGCGATTTCCCTATGCTACGAAGAGCTTCCGCATTCCCGGGCCGCTAACGTTCTCCCACAGAAGCGCAACTACCTCAACGGGGTGCCGCACGCGCAGCTCGTCAACATCATCATGTACTGCACCGAGCTCCACCCGGACCTGCCCATATTCCCGTCCAACGAGTCGGGGCGGCGCGCCGGCGGCGGTGGTCCGGCGTTTGATAGCCCCATTCGCTACACCCGCAAGGTGTCGACGCCGGACTCCCACCTGCCGAGCGGCGGCGGCGGCGGCGGCGGTGCTAGCAAGAGCAAGTTGGCCGCCGACTCGGACCGCGACCGGGTCAGGCGGGGGTCGTCGGCCGATTCGGTGCCGCCGGCGTGGCCCCAGGTGGGCAAGGGCTGCCTCGACGGCCTGCCGGTGGACGAGGACGACTTGCGCGACGACAACGACTACGAGGCCTTCAGCGTCACTACCTACGACGATAAGGGCAACAAGATCGTCGAGAACGGCATGCGCGTCTGAGCGCGGACCGCCGGCGGCGCAGGCCCCGGCGCGGAAGGGAGATCGGAGGAGGCGCGGGCGATTCAGGTCCCTGTGATACGGCCCGCTGCTTAGTGTAGGAGGCGTCTCATCTCGTACGGATATTCTCGGGCGCGCAATGCGCAATGCGTCGGGCCCCAAGCCTTGTGCTAGGATTGTAGGACACGTTTACTTGGTTTTTTTTTTCACTTTCTGAGGCGGGGCGAAGGGGGGGGAGGACCCATCAGTGAGATTACCACTAATCTACGAGGACATCTCGCGAAGCTGCGATATGCGCCGGCCTGTACGTAGACCACGGGCGAGACTCATCGCCTGGAGCACGCGGCTCCTACATGTCACGGCTGCCACACGAAGTGGCCTGGGGAGATTAACCTAGACACAGACAGGTCTAGAATAGAAGAGATTTGGCTGTGCCCCGGCGCTGCCGCGCTCTGGGATGTAGACTGGGACAGCAGAATCTGTGTCCACTCAAACCCACCTCGTGTGCACCGACCGAATACACCCAGCCCCCGCGCAATTGGATAGGAGGAGGTATCGGGGCGAGTACATGCAAATAGCGTTTAGAAGGCCGTACGGGAGTCAACATCTTCTGCCCCTCCCCCTCCTCCTCCCCCGAGTGCTCAACGAGTACGGGAGCAAAGTTCTGTTTAAGACGGCGGCTGATAATCTTCAGAGCCTCGCCCGCCTCTTTTCTCGTCCTGCTTCCGGCAAGGCATAATCATAGATATGAAGTATGAGGACGTCGCCGCGGCCGTCATCCGTAACGGCGAAGACCAGAGATTTGTTACTACCTTCACCAGGGGAGATCTGTACCCCGTGTGCCGACACGAACCCGTCGCGTAAAACCGTAGCCTCTTGACATCGATGTTACTAAGGCAGACAAGACCAACAGAGCTGCTTGACGAGTCCCATCTTGACGAGCTTTGTGGTTAACAGCCCAGGGGCGACAGGGTGGATAGTGTCAACGAAGATTCTGTGAGTTCCCTTGGGCTTCAAGACATTAACCTAGTGGGCGCTGGGGTTAGACTTGCCGTTGGGATCGCTTGGAGTCGTGGAAGATTCACAAAATACAACCGGAGGTCGATTGCGTATTACCTAGGTAGTTCGCTGTCCACATTCCGTTGTGGTCCAGAGTTAAACTACCCCTGCCGGGTTCCTGACTCCGGCTCCGCAGTCTGTACATCTCAGGGATCGTCGTCCCGTGGGCAGGAGCGGGCTTCGTAGGTGCGCAAGCCGTCAGCACAAGCTCGATTCCAGCAGGACGGCGTATTGCTACTGTCTCTCTCGATAGGTAACTGTGGCACCCGTTGGCTCTCCTGGTACAAGTACGAAGCGCACGCAAGGGTCGGCTGGATGGCCGACTGAACAGCCTGGTGTTAATAATAGCCAAGGGAGGACTGTCCAATGAAACGCGAATCACGAACATCAAACATAACGCACAGCTGTAGGGTAGTCCCTTAGGCGAGGCAAGAACCAAGCTGGCCCCTAACAGAGTCGACGTTCGCTCAACATCTTGCATTGCCTGCCAAAGAGGCCTTGCCCGAAGGAGGAGATCATGGGAGGTTTCGGTGTTGCTAAAAGCATCACCAGCTTTGCACCGTAATATATGCTCAGTCGTCTGTGTGGTTGTGGATGGTAAGCGGTTGTGAAGTAGTAGTTGGGAAATAAGAAAAAAAAGGGCTGTAGTAAGAACAAGTCATCAATTCCTGCTTGCCTAGGTAGCTGATGAAGTGAAGATTGTGTATGAATGGGTGTGAAACCCATACATATACATAAGAAAACCCTACAAGAGCTAGTCTAACCGCACTATTAAAAATTAATAAAAAATCCCCACACAACCCTTTAATTATCAATCTTCGGAGTTTTTCTTTCTAATCGTACATACACGATGCAGGCTTATATCGGCAGTATTCTCTTATGTAGCAGGGCATCCTGTATATGTACCTAGGCAACTTATATACCTGATATCAACAGGTACCTACCTACGTAAGCTTACCTACTACGCACCTAGCTAAAAGCACAACCCCGCAATCACCTAAACAATGACTATAGTAGGTATAGGTATATCGAGCTAGCTGCCGGCCTTAGTTAGCTTAGCCTAGCGCAAACAAAATTCGGACGCCAGCAGCACCGAAAGGCACTTAACTTAGGTCGCAACAGCAAGGCTCTCCTTCATCGGATCCACCCCCCGATGCAAGAAATCCTGCATAGGGCTGCCTGGCGAAATGGTATCGCGTCACTTTCCGGTCCCCGGAACATGGTGAAGATTGCGGGTTCGAGTCCCGTGGTGGTCGTCTACTTTTATCTTTTGCCTCTTTGAAGCCTCACATGCATCTTCTCCTACCCGATCAAAACGACAAAGTTTGTTCTTCCTTCACCGATCGATATTTTCCTCCTTCTATCTCCTCCTACTTTCTCCCTCTTTTTTTCTCTGTTTTACTCGTGTCTGCTTTTACCTTTTACGACGGCCCCCATCAAATGAATGCAGCTAGTAGGTATAAATAAAAAGCGCTCAATTGGTGCATGCTCTTCCTCTCCCCTGCTTCGCTTTCTAGTAAGCCTCAGCGTATGGGTATGCATATACGTATACAGAGGTCCCTTCTAAACACTCGCTCAAGCCGACGGGCCATCAATAGCAACCCCCTACCATATAGCCTGATGGTAGTACCAAATCATATCCTCTCCCTCTCCATTATCCCCCCCTCCTTCTTGCTCTCTTTCCTCCTTCTCCTTCCCGCTCTCCTTCTCCTTCTCCCTCTCCCTCTCCCTCTTGCCCCCCCCCTCTCTCTTGCTCCCCCCCCTCCCTCTTCCTCTTCCCCTCCCTCTTTCTCTCTCTCTTGCTCCCCCCCCCTCCCTCTCCCTCTTCCTCTCCCTCTCCCTCCTCCTCTCCCTCTCGCCCTCCCTCTTGCTCTCGCTCTTCCCCTTCCCCTTCCCCTTCCCCTTCCCCTTCCCCTTCCCCTTCCCCTTCCCCTTCCCCTTCCCCTTCCCCTTCCCCTTCCCCTTCCCCTTCCCCTTCCCCTTCCCCTTCCCCTTCCCCTTCCCCTTCCCCTTCCCCTTCCCCTTCCCCTCCCTCCTGTAGCCAGCGCATCGAGTTGGCCCAGTAGTAGTCTCCTTCCAACATATCCTTATACAGCGGCGAATCGCGCGGGACGTACTCTTCCAGCTCGTCCATCAGCCAAACCTTGCGGGCGAAGTATTTCAGGGCGTTGACGCTCACTACGACATCCACCTCCCCCGGCTGCCGGGGCCGGCGGAACATCTTCTTAAAATCCAGTTCCAAGGGCCCCGAAACGTCGAACTCCGGCGGGTGCGCCCGGGTCCGGGTGATTTGGATTTTCTGACTCTCCACCTGCACGACGGTGAAATCGGGACTCTCGCCCGCCGTGTCCGCAGCGGCCTCGGGGAGCCGCGAGAACTCCTCCTCCCACTTCCCTATCCTAATCATGCCCTCGTGGCGGTAGATCTTGACGATGATGGAGAGGTTGACTCTGGGATTCGTCCGGGTGAAAAAGTCCTCCATCTCCTCCTCTAGCTGCTCCATCGAGCTAGAATCCCCGGCGTGGATGACTAGAGATGGCGCGTCCTTGCTTGAGGAGGGGCCACCGCTCATGTCGGCCTCTGGGTTGCCGACGAAGCTGGTCCAACCCTGAACCAATCCCAGGGCTTGCATTGTAGATATGATCATATCGTAGAGACCGTGGTGGAGCTCTTCGTGGGCCAGCGTCTGGACCATGAGGAGCGCAGTCTGGGTGTTCCCGCCAAAATGCCGGAGCTTGAGCTTGAGCCCGCGCTCGGTTATCGCCGAGCGAATCAGTTTGTATTGCTCGTTGGGGATGCCTATACGCACGACGATAGTTAGCAGACGTGAGCGCCAGGCGTAGGTTGCCGAATTTACATGCCGGTGATCACAAAAGAGTTTTCGCGGTTGCGGTTGGCGACCTGGTCGAAGAGATTGTCGATCGTGGTGAAAAGGAGGGTTCGGGTGGTGAAAAGGAGGGTTCGGGTGGTGAATTGCTCCGGCAATCGTACTGCTGTCGTCGCCGCCGGACCACGAACTTCAGGAGGTGCGGAGCGGGATCGCGGTAGCCGTGGCGATGACTATAGCGAAGGCGATGCCATGATCCACGCACTGGGCCGGGCTGGGCCGGCCACCAGGCACTGTAGCAGCACACAGGCCTATCAGGTCGATTCTTGTATGGTGCACAGGAGACCGGTAAAATACCTAGGTAAATAGCGAGCAGGGGAGATAGAGGATAAAGATGCAGCTCGGGATGCCAGCTTGGTGCAAACAAGAAGGACGATGAGAGGAGACTCGAGATCAGATGAGAAGGGTGGAAGCCAGCTTGCCTCCATGAGACTGTCGCCTGAATTTATGTCCATCACGACTCCTTCCCCCCCTCTCCCCCTCCCTTGCCTATCTATCTGTCAGGTACGATGCGCTTACATTTACGCGCCCCCCCGAAGAAGGTGTGCCGGAGAGATGTATCAGAGACCCGCGAGACGACGTGAACCTCGTGTATAGTTCCGAATCCCGTCCACCCCCTTAATTTTTATCGGCGGGGATTCCGACAGAATAGCCAGGCATGCATATCCCCGTTATATACCTATATATCAGGTCTATATATCAGGTCTATCGTATATATCCACCACTTTTTAACACCAAGTCTAGACAGAAACCAAAAGTGCCTCGCTAGTCGCTTCGGTATAGTCCTCAAGGGGCTTGCGACCCGCGTCGCGTCCTTGGCCGTTGCCAGGCGAGCGAGGGGAAAGATCAGCTAGCTAGTCGCCCACCCGCGCTCCCTCTTGAACCATCTAATGGTGTCCATGCCCGTCTGCACGCGCATGCCGATCCGCGCGTCCAGTATGAAGGCTTCCCATCTGGCCACCTTCTCGAGCCACGACTGACATTCCTCCGTCTTCTCGCGCAGCCACTCCTCCTCCTCCTCCTCCTCCTCCTCCTCTTTCTCTGCGTCGCTGCCGTCGCCATCGCTCTTTCGCGCTTTGCGTTTTTGCACCTCGACCCAAGCGAGTGCCGCCATCTCGTAGTTCGCCGCCGGTAGCGGGTAGTCGTCCCTGTTGCCGTCCTTGAAAGCGAATCTGCAGCTGCGGGTTAGTCCACGTTCAAGCACCCCCAGGTCGTCATTGTCGTCGTCGGTGTCCGTCTCCGCGTATAGCGATACTTACTTGTCCATGGCCAGGACGCTGTTTAGTAGTTCGCGCGACTCGTCGTACTTGCCAAGCGACCGCGCCACCGCCGCCCGGCAGACGTCGCGCACTGCCTCCTCGTCTATCTCCGCCATAATCTGGCTCCGCGCCTCCTTAGGCGCCGTCAGCCGGCCCCAGGACAGCATCTTCTCGGACATCTCGAGGTCGTGCGAGGACATCTTCTTCGCGCCGTTCCAGAGGAAGATCATCTCCTCCACCGGGCTGACGCCGACCGCGTCGGCAAGGTCGACGCCGAGCTTCTTCGACCTGTCTTCCCACTTCTGGATCTTACGCGCGACAAACTGCTCGAACGGGAGTGGCTTGGCTAGAAAGCGTTTCTTACCCGCGACCGTGGGCGCCTTGCGAAAGAGCTCTTCCGCCTTCTTCTTGTGAACTTGTGCTCGGGACACATCTCCGGCCGTGCCATGAAACGCGTTTCGGTAACTCTCCAGCTCGGCGGATCCGGCCATGTAGTAGTAGAGCGCGTGGCTCCAATCGTTGAGCTCGATGCAGTAGAGGAAATTGTCTCGCATGTCGGGGAAGTCGTGAACGTACATGGAGCACACCGCCGTCTCGAAGTTGTTCAGCGCGCTGACCTGTCGCATCTTCGATTTCGTGTTGCTCTTGAGTATCTTGAGGGAGCCGCGCAAGTCCTTGCTATGTCCTAGCACTCGAGCCTCTTCAAATCGCCAGAGCCCGCTGTCGGGATACCGCGAACGCATCAGCGCGATCAGGGCCGAACATCTCGACCGCGGATATCCGACGAGCGCACCGTTCTCGACATCTTCTTCGGAGGGGAGAATGTCCGAAAAGCTCAAGAGACCGTTGTAGTAAGCCAGCAGCATGAGCCCGGCCACGGCCCCGTTGATATTATCGAACTGGGAGCTCTGCCAGAGCATCTGCACGCCTCGCTCTCGATCGCCCTTGAAGCCGATTATGGACAGCAGACGTGAAAAGGCCGGCGGGACCATGGAGAGGATAAGCAGGAGAGAACCGAAGCACATATTGGCGCCGCTGTGCACGAAAATATCGACCGGATTGTTGAATATCTCCGAGTCGGGACTAACGCTGAACCCATTAGGGAACGTGGGGGTAATCGGCGTCTTCGCCTTCTCTGCCGGTGGTTTTGAGGTAGCATTGGAGTCCAGGGATAATCGGCTGAGTTTCTCCTCCGCAGACTCGGTGGGCTTGCTAAGGTGACCCCCGTAAGTCAACGGTGTCTGCGCTCCAGAGTGGGCCTCATCTGCGTCTACGAATTCGAGATCAGTATCGTCCGTATCGTCGTTAGAGCTACCACGGCCGCTGGCGATCGAATGCGAAGATGGAGTATTCTGCCCTTTGGCGGCGCCCGAGTGAAGGCCCTTTCTCTTCAGATAAGCGGCCTCGGACTGCATGAGCCCATCGACGGTGATATAAGCTTTTCGTAGCTTGTAGAAACCTCTGAGGCCCTCGGTCAGACTCTCGTGCAAGACGGCTACGATGGCGGACATAAGCTGGGCGTCTGCCAAGACTAGCGCGAACTCGCTCCCCGGAGGATAGATCCTATCCTCGCTAACCCCGCCGGCAGTTCCAGCCTCCCTCTGAGCCTTTTTCAGCCCATTCCACGCGCTGGTCTCGCACTGGTTGAGGCGATCGCTCGCTTCTACCATGATGGCTTTCTCGAATCCGAGAATGCTCCTCATGAACGTGCAGATACCCATCCCCAAGTGATGAAAGGCCGAGTCTCCTGTTCGCAGCCTCTCCTCCGCGCCGTCGATGTCGTCGTTCATGATCAGGGCGGCGCCGATCATGGCTTCCTCCATCTGGGCGATCTCCTGAGCGCGAAGATCCACCTGAGACACTGCCGGACTTGAGCCCGAGCTGGATCTCGGGGTGGAAGCCCGGAACCAGGCCCCTAGGCGACTCATGGTATCACGGAGCTCGGAAGCATACGATGATCTTGGGGAAAGGTCAAAAGGCGTCGGTGGTAGGGGGCGAATGGCTATGCACCGAAGGTTGCTGCTCCACTCCCACGGGTGTTCCGGGTTATTGTGGCGACGCGACCTTTGTTATCGGAGATAATTCAGAGGCACGACGCCGAGGCGGATGGGTTCTCCCTCTAAGCCCCGTGGTTAAAATTTGAGAGAGCAGACAACGGCTCTAGAAGAAGAATCAAAAATGCTTCCCCCTAGCTATAAAAATAAGCTGCGAATAGCTTATGTAAAGTGAGGACGGGACGGGCAGGCTCCGGTAGGATGGATGCGTGGATGGCGCGAATGCCGGAACGTGTCATATCTAGCATGTAGGTACGTAACCCTCGTCCTTCGAATGGTGGCTGAAATTCGAAATCACCGAGCCATTCCTGCTTCTGGCCGAATTGGGGGGGACGGACTCGAGAAGCGAGGGTGAGTTAGACAAGACAGGCTGACGTCGCAAAGCCCAGGGCAGACAGGATTTCCATACCTATATTCCCCTGGCTACGTATGTCTGTACGGCATGTAAGGGATTACTGTGAAGAAAGCGGTGCGGACAGGGGGCTACCTACCTACCTAAGTAGGTATTAAACGAGACTTGGGGGGGGAACCTTGAGAGAGGTAGGAATATCTAGGTCCGGCGGCGCAAGAAATGTGGAAGAAAGGAGAGAGAGAGAGAGAGAGACGGAAGAGGGAGAGATGCACTGAGACTCAGCACACGAGATAGAGGTTAAGGCAGAGGCGAGACGGCGGACGTACCTCTTCCCAGGTCTGGATGCACAACGAAACCGCGTAGGGGAGAGGTAGGGAGCAGCCAACTTAGGCGGCCTACGTGAGGAGGTACATGGTACGCCCTGTCGCAGCGCCCCGATTAGGCGGCCGGGTGCCGCCCTAGCGGTAAGGTTGAGCCCCAGAGGATGCCTTGGCTGCCAGCGGATCGCCTCGTAGGGGCCTGTAACAGGTACAATGATACGACGCGATAAGCCGTCCGATCTGCCTGCATCTCCCGAGACTTGTCGGAACGCGCAACGATTGGCTGAGCGGCGATAAGCCCAGGCTAGCCTCGGAGCATCGGCCCTTACCACACCCGTCGGCTAGGTGCGACCCATCGCAGCCCCGCTCCCGGACGTATGCAACAACCCGATTGCATTCCCCTAACGGGACGTCTCCTTACCACTCGACCTTAGGTAATTTGCCCACAGGCACACGGCCGTTGACGTCGGCAAGAGAGCCCAAGCCCAGCTTCAAAGCCTTGTTTCCTGTTCCCACACGCGCCCTCGTCCCTCTCAGCCTTGCGGGACACACGAGCCAACCGGGAGACGAGCTGACGGATCTCAGAGCGCGCGAAGCCATCCCTAGCAGCTAGGTACATCCGTCCGTCCACCCATCCATCCATCCATCTACATATCCCTCGATATTTCCCGCGCCCCAAGTTCCCCCTTCCAATTCCGCCACCGCGTCCGCACCAAGCTGAAACGACGCGAGCAGCAGAACCCGAATACCACCGACCCGACAGCCACCGCCATGGCCGCGCCCACCAACACGCAGGACAAGTCCGCCGGCGACGCGAAGCCGGAGCAGCCGTCGTCGTCACAGCAGCAAAAGTCCGCCGCCGCGCTCGAGGAGGACGATGAGTTCGAGGACTTCCCCGTCGAAGGCAAGCCTCCCTCCTTCCCCCCCCCCCCTACCCCCCATCTCAAGCAGAAACCCCACAGACAGAGAGAGGGGGAGGGAGAGAAGCACGACCAAATGCACCCCCTGCTAACCGCGCCGCAGACTGGCCCGCGGAGGAGACCGAGGCCGCCGCCGTAGCGGCCGCGACCACAACGACGGGCGCCACGGGCGCCGACGGCACCGGCACCGCGACGCAGCACCTGTGGGAGGAGAGCTGGGACGACGACGACACGTCGGACGACTTCTCCGCGCAGCTGAGGTATGCACACCGCTCGGCATCGCACTCCCCCCGTCCCCTCTGCTCTCGGTCCGCGCGCAGCAGTATCCTAACATGTCCGTCTCCAGGGAAGAGCTCAGGCGCGTCGAGGCCGCGAAGAGGCGATAGCTGGGCCCTCTCTCTTTTTCTCTGTAGAGAGCCGCGCACCCACGCACCCTTCCTCTCGTCCCGTTTCTTTCCGACTCTCCCTGCGTGTCTCCCTCTCGACGCGGCTCCAACTATATTGGCGCAGATCCGCTCTACGGGACGAGTAACAACAACTAAAAACAAGAAAAAAAACCGCCACTCCGACCTGCGGATGTTTACGGCAGAGGGATGGGGCCAGGGTGGGGGAAAGCAAGAGAGCATGGCCAAAAGATAAGAGTTATCGTACCGTAGCGGTCTGGCTTGAATTGGGGGTGCGTCCGGCCGGTACGGCTGGGGCCGGAACAGGGATATGTTAATCAAGGTAGACCCAAAGCAAAAGAAAAAGGAGACCAGAGACACGTATTCGCGTGTCTCTTTTGGTGGCACGGAATGGGAGTGGAGTTTCATTTCAGTCGCCGATGCCAAACAGCTGTTGTGCATCGCAACCTCCGTATGCTTGCTGCTCCTACCCCTATTCCCATATGCTTTCTCCCTTCATTTACCTAGGTTGGTGGGTATATGAAGATCCAAGTGCCTGAAGGTTGGCATGGTACCTACCTACGTAAGTCTTAGGCAAAGCAGCAAGACTCTGCACATACGAAACCTAACGAAACCTGACAAAAACCAGCACATCTAAACCCAGCCAAAGTTTGATCGAAATTTGGTATTCATCTCTAAGTCGGGGTGATTTTCTCTAGCAGTGGCAGAATCTCGTACCTAACGAGGCCGATACGTAAAAAAACGCAGTTGGGTGCTACTAAAAACAGGATGCCCTCTCCCCTGGAATCATCCAGGCCTCCCTGGCCGAATGTACCGCGTATTAAACCAACACCTGAGCCCTATCAGTCCAAGGAGAAACGTTCCACCGTATCACGGCTTCTCCTGCACCGCTTGATCCTCTCCTGCTTCAACCCCGATGGCCGATCCCGGTTCATAGCCGCATCGGCCTCTCTGACCTTCATTTGGTGCTCAGGGCCACCACACCGGGGAGTGCCTTGCCCTCGAGCAGCTCGAGCGAGGCGCCGCCGCCGGTCGAGACGTGCGAGCACTTGGCCTCGGCGCCGTACTTAGCAGCGACAGTGGCAGTGTCTCCGCCACCGATAATGCCAATCTTGCCGTCAGCGACTGCCGCGGTGAAGGCGTCTAGAGTAGCCTTGGTGCCGTTGGCGAACTTCTCAAACTCGAACACGCCGGGGGGGCCGTTCCATAGGATGGTCTGGGCCGAGTTGATGGCCTCTTGGTACAGCTTGATGGACTCGGGGCCGCAGTCGAGACCCATCCAGCCCTCGGGGATGCCTTCCTTATCGGTGGCAGTGCCCGTCTTAGCGTCCTTGTCGAATTTATCCGCGGTCACGTAGTCGACGGGAAGGACCACCTTGACGTTGTTCTTCTTGGCCTTCTCGATCAGCTGAGCGACGTTCTTCGAGCCGGCCTCGTCAAAGAGAGAGTTGCCGATGCTGACGCCCTCGAGAGTCTTCTTGAAGGTGAAAGCCATGCCACCGCAGATGATGATGCTGTTAACCTTGTCCAGAAGGTTGTCGATAAGCTGAATCTTGTCAGATACCTTGGCGCCTCCGAGGATGGCGAGGAAAGGACGCTTGGGTGATTCAAGAGCCTGGGCGAAGTAGTCCAGCTCCTTCTTCATTAAGAAACCCGCAGCCTTCTGAGGCAGGTCAACGCCAACCATAGATGAGTGTGCTCGGTGAGCAGTTCCGAAGGCGTCGTCTGAACCAATGGTGGTTAGCCTAAGTGTCATTGGTGCGTTGTCAAGCAGGGAGAGAAGAATATGGCGTACGAGGCACTTGGGGGACACTTACTGATATAGACATCGCCGAGGGCAGTCAACCCCTTGCGGAATTCGTCAACCTTGGCCTTGTCGGCCTTGACCTTCTTACCCTCGGCATCCTTTGACGATCCCTCTTCCTCGGCGTGGAAGCGCAGGTTCTCCAGTAGGACGACCTGGCCGTTATCCGCCTTGTTCACGATGGCCTCGACCTCGGGTCCGACAGAGTCCGGTGCAAACTCGACGCTCTTGCCCAGCAGCTTCTCCAACTCGGGCACGACGGGCTTCAGGCTGTACTTGGGATTGACCTTGCCATCAGGGCGGCCAAGGTGGGACATGAGAATGACAGCCTTGGCACCGTTGTCGACGGCATACTTGATGGTGGGGATAGCCCCAGCAATACGCTGGTTGTTTGTGACCTTCTTGTCGGCATCGAGGGGAACGTTGAAGTCAACCTAGCACGAGCAGATAGTATGTCAGTTTAGTGAGTAAGAGCTTGGAAGTAACAAAACCTTGCAGCATCCATTGCTAGCAGGGTAGGAGTAGGCAGATCATGCAAACGGAGGGGAACGTATTTAGAGCGGAAGGGGGAAGAGGGATAGATTTCGGCCTCACATACCCGGATGAGCACCCTCTTGCCCTTGAGGTCGACGTCAGTGATGGACAACTTGCTGGAAAGAGACATTCTGGCGGAGGCAGGGCTTCAATCGGTGGTTTTGGCGCACAGGAATCTCTGTGGGAAGAAAGAGGGAGCGGTTACGATGAGAAGACGGAAAGAAGCGGGAAGCTGAGGTATTTGGAGGAATTAGAGACGAGCTGGGATTTTGTCCAGCGAGAGAAGGAAAAGCCCGCAGTACCCCGAGCAACGACAAACAGCAGCAGCAGCCAACAATCAGCTAAAGACGGCGGTTTCCCTACCTACCTACCTATATAATACCTTAAGCAGGTCAGTAGGTACCTACCCGCATGCGTTCGGCAGGTACTTTCCATACAACCACTCCAGGTCTATAAAGGCAGGTATAGAGTACGCCCGGACTAGCCTCTCCGCATATGCGGACTACGCAGAATACAACCAACCGCCTTAGCTATCCGTAGGAATAGCCGGGTACTATGTACGTACGCTGGCTACGATAGTTAGTACCTGTAGGTAGGCACCTACTAGAGAGAGATGGGCGGTTGTATCTCATAATGGAGGGGTAGAGGGGTAGCAGCAGCCCGCTGGCAAGAAAAAACCACTGCTCGGTGGGGTGAGGTCAGGAAGTAGGACGGGTGACGTCCGCTGCATTAGCCTGCCACGCTAGGGAACCGAGGTACCTCCGCCACTGAGAAAGGCGGTTGCCGGTACCTGCGAATCCCCGCCTTGCTGCACACCCGTTCCGAAGCTGTCCATAGGAGATGCCCGCCTAGTATCTCCAGGTCGCCCGCCTCCGGCTCCCCGTTCTTGCTTAGTTGCCGTCTCTCTCTGCCCGTTAGAATATGTCTAGGCCCGGATGTTCGTCCGAGTGGTGTGACTACTATTATCTGCCCATATTTCCTCTCCGTCCTCTGCACCTCCCTCCTTTTTCCCTTCCCTCCCTCTTACACGTACGCTACCGAACCGAAGTCTCTTCTATCGACACCTCAGATCCCCCCCCATGCCCTCCCAGCCGTCTGGTCTGGCCACCAAGACATGGGTGTGTCACGGCTGGGCAGTTCTGGGCGGTTATGCCTCGTATTAGATTCTCGAGGAGGGCATTGATCCAGTTGGGCCGACCTGATATCTTAAGCAGGTGATTATATAGGTTCCTATGAAGACGGGATTCGGTAGCATTGTGCAGATTCATATACACAACCAGTCAAATATGCCTCGGGACGGTGTGGATTCGACATGCCCAGGTATGGAGGTGAGAAAGAAACAGTTCGTTCTTTCGTTGGCTGTGTGGGGGGGTTTTTTTTTAATAAACAAATTTCTTTTGTATAACCGTATAATGTATAACCGTACAACTATACCTTCCCTCGAGTTCTATTAACCCAAGCGTATGCAAGAATTCGAGAAGCGAGGGGGTAAACCGTACCCCATCGCATCGCACCGCGTTAACGTGTTCAGCCGGCCTGAAACCACGGATGCCCCTGCGACGCCAAAACCCCAGCCAAGCCGACCGATTCCTCCCGGACACGTCTGTTAGAGCAAGAAAAATGTGGGTGTAGGCAGCTAGTAATTTTACTGGAGCCGGATACGAGGAGAATACGGCGCCGACTTTTGCAGCTCGGCATCTTCCGACGCATTCGTGAGCGAGAGGTACGCCGTCCAAGAGATACCGATCGTGGACACGAACGGCTATAATCAGTGATCAGTAACCTGGAAATCTCCCGTGGGCAGGCATCGGAGTGTCGACTCACAAGTTGGTATTGCACAGGCATCAACCGAAAATTGATGATCTGCACGGCGGGCCACACCATCAAGTTGGCCTTGAGGGTCGGGACGAACATGTCCCTAAGCTTGTGCGCCACCGCCCTCCGGCCACCTCCTTCGGCGACGGTCATGACGGTAAAGAAGCACGCGATGCCGAACGGCGCAAAGATCAGCTGGTCGAAGGCCACCCGCTTCATTGCCGGCGCGAACGCGCTCGTCTTAGTGATGGGGAACGCCCGCGACAGGAAGCTGAACCACTTGTATTGTAGAGGGGCCATGGCGAAACCGTAGGCCATGAATCTCGTCAACCTTTCGAAGTCGAAGGCGGGCGGCAGGTTTTTCGATTCGGGCATCAGGTCTCGTTCCCAGGAATCCTTGCGGTCCAGCTCGTGGATCTCGATGGCGATTCTTTCATCGTCCGAGATGCCGACGGACTTCTGCAGTGCTCGCTGCTGAACCGAAGTGATGGTTTGGGCAACAGTATCGGCGATACCTCCGAGAACGGCGTTGGTTACCATCATGGTAAGGACTAGAGCGAACAGTGTGAGTTCATGACAGGGGCACGAGCAGAAAGCGGGGAGGCGAAGCAAGAGGGAATACCTGGTCGTCCATCGTAGTAGGCGTTGAACCGCGATGCCAGCCGCGCGATGATGGCCATCTCGATGAAGAAAATGACGGCATGGAGGAGGGGCTAGGTAGGCGAGAAGACACAAGTTAGCAAGCCGAGCAGGGGCGTAGAAGTGAGTAGAACCGTCGTCTTGTCTGTGTATGTATGTGTGACTCTGTCGACGGCGGGCGTATGGGAGTGGCTGAGGGGATTGGTTGTGTGAGAACGATCGTGGCAGATGTGATGGCGAACGGGGGCGACGGGAGAAGGGCCAAGGCCGGCCAGAGAGGAGATGTGTCGTGAACGTACGATGCGATCGAATATGAATTTGCTGTTGGCGGCGCGGGCGAAGCGTCGCTTGGTAAGTTCCCAAGACATGGCGAGAGAAGTGGGTAATATAGCCAGATGGAACAGAGTAGAACAGGAGCACTATTGGCAAGGCCCGTCGTCGAAGCTCGCGGGGGGGGGGAGGCAATCAGGCTTCACAGAGGCCGGTCGTGCGCGCTGGCTGGGTCTTGGGGGTACCGTTTACGAATCGATGACGACAGATTGAATAACTCGAGGGGAACCCCGATAAGGGAAAGAGGCCCCGTTCTCCTCTATTCGTACCCTCGTCCGACCCGGAGCCCCGGTGGCCTTCGCTTTCCTATGCTCGTGTTAAGATGTCTACCCGCGGGTAAAGGAGAGAAAGAGCGTGAAGAAGGGAAAATCTGTAGCACTCGGGCGAGGTCAGGAGGAAAGGAGAGCATTGAGTCGATCCCGGGTGCTTCCACGTCGGAAGTAAAAGGGGATTGCGCACGCGGATGGTCGAGGGCTACGGGCACTGGCTGGAGAGCGGAAGAGATTACTACTGCTACCAGGTACACAGTATCTATCAAATACTAAGGTTACTTGCGCAGGCGGCAGTACACAGTACACAGCCGGTCCCGATCGGCACATCTCCTCCGCAACCCCTTGTAACACTGGCCGCTACCTCCGTACCTTTTATGGCCAGCCTGTAGGAGCTGCTTATAATAGCCGAATTTCAAGTTTTTATGTGTACTGAGAACCTAAGGTAGACACCTATGCGCTTCCCCTAGGAGGTACCTAGTACGTCATCGACCAGACGTTCCCAGGGAGGTACCTGACTAGCAGCATAGGTACCTACCTAGGTAACCACTGCCCAGAATATCGGTTTGTCTCGATTAGAATATTCCTTTAAATAGATATACCAAGCTCATTCATTAGCCATGTGCCTTGCTAGGACGAAGGTAGGCTGTGTATATATACTACGTACAATTAGTATGAATCCAGTGGGACCCGCAATCCATTCAGGACGCATTTGCTCTTAGCCGAATATGCATACAGTGATATATTCTTCTATCGAACATGGAAGTTGCCATAAGAGTATAACCAGTGTGGACCTACCAATCGACTCCGGCCACTTCTAGGATCATCTTAATGCCACTCTTGTGTGGCCAACTCGTAGCAACAACCGACCGCAGTGCAGTGCTACTCCCAGCTATTAAGCATGGAGCCAAGGTGGCCTTTGGGCCGATCTCACAAGACGCCGTATTGCTGCTCACATTGCCCCAACTCCGGAAATGGAGTGCACACGCGCGGGTCAGTGTCCCTACTCACCTGTCCGAAGCCCCCGACCAGCGCAGTCAAGCTCCTCTCGGAATGGTAGGGGGGTGCAAACACACCCAAACGTTGGGATCAGAGGGGGACACAATGCGTAGGGGCCTTTGCCCTCACCGATGTTGGAGAACGGAAGGGGACCAAAGCCCTAGCCTAGGTTACCTATTACCAGGAAATTATCACCCATCGCATACCGTTCGATGGCGAAGGTGACCCGGTTAAACGATTCGCCAGCCACGCGTGTAGACAAATCAGCTAACTCGACTCTCCCAGCCTACGGCATTCCCGAGAGAGCGCCTCAACCCGACTTGCCGAAGGAAATCTCATCAATGAGGGGCAGTGGTTGGCCGCCCTCGTTGTCCCGGAGCAGGTTCGGGTTGGCGCGCGGCACCACCTGGTGTTGTTGTGCCCGCCGAACGCGTCCTAAGATGTCATTGTCGTCCCGCCGACTCCTACCTCGGCCGCAGACAGTACATGCCTTCGCGCGACGGCGACGTAAACTCCTCTATCCCCGGCCTCTACCATCGCAGGAAGCGTCACGCGGCCGCCGTTGTGTACCCGGTGGAGGCTCAGGTTATTGTGGGAAATGGTGCCGCCAAGAGCATCTGGCCGTTTGATTTTATGCTCAAGACACCATGACAGTATTTGTGATGGCTGTTTGCTCCTTTCCCGATTGGGTCACTTCAATGTGAGCTCAAACACAAGCGTACAGTTGAGCGTTGTGTCCAGTCTCGTAACACGTGGTATAATATGCCGGCCTGCCTCTACAACACTTATTACAACCGGCCTAGGCATGCAGAGCAGCCCGAGAAGACGTCATTGCCACCCCTCGAGACACCCACCCAGATGACGTTGGTTGACATAGGATGATGTTTCAGCTAATTATCCTGGTATAGGGTGTTTCCGCACTATTGCTGCCTGAATCTCTATATGGCCATGTCGCGAAGCCTATGTGTCGAGAACACATACACAGGGACGCGGGCGATGTGTGCGCTTCTTTTGCTCATAACCACAGCCACGCGGGTGGTTAACCCATACCGAGCAGAAAACATTGGTTCTAAGGTAAAGTCAAGTATTTCCTTGTTAGTTCTTCACCTCCATGAGACGACCCATTTGCCTCGCATCACCCCTGCTGAAGGATGGGTTGACGAAAGGCTACCTGCCATGACCGGTGCCACTATGACTTTGACTGAGGACCGTGGGAAAGACAATCCCCGGCGTGGTTTGATTATGGGGTTACGATGGAGAGTATAAATATATAATATTGTCGAATATCATTTTAGACACGGGGTTGGGTGCGTATAAATAGATACCTGATTACGAATTATTAGACTGTAGATGTCCATGGCTGACATTCTAGTTTGGTTGTTGGTTGTGGCATCATCCCAGCATGATAGGCAACGCCGCCCAGCCTTGGGAACGAGATTCTCTTTTTAACACCCGTAACAGCCCATCTCCCATCTATTACGCCTAGCTGAGTGCGAGAACTCGGGTCTCTTATCTAGCTGCCGGGACGAATATCACATGTTCACACGCAACCTCAGCCTCCCAACACTCGACTCCCCTTCTAACCCCCCTAGCTGCACTATGGGAATTTCTGACAATGCTGATGGTGCCTTAGTTAGCTATGGCAGTGATAGCGTCAGATCTGCCGCCTGCCTTGTTCCTGGGGTACTGCGATGTCTAACACGATGTCTCCGGGGTCAGAGGCCAACCGGACCTCAGGGACGCCATGGGGTATCACGCGGTGAGCATACGGCTCCTCATCCGAATCAGGCGAATATTGCTCAATTAGGAGCCGTTACTAAGCTCCGTCGTCCTCAACTGTCAGCAATATTTGATATTCTGGTTTATCATCGCTTAAATCTGACATCCCCGGAAGGCAACTGCGTTAGAACGGCTCCCTTTTTCTGATGTCAGCAGATATTCCCACCCACGACTACCGATGCTAGTCTCCCCTCTTCCAATAACACCGAGACCTAGGTGACATCACGAAATTGGCGGGTATTGCCACCTTATAGCCGATCCTGGTGTTGATAGTATCGGAAGAAACCCCAAATAATGAAGGGTAGCAGGATATCGATCCCTCGGCAAAATATGCCGGAGGTCTGTCTCGGGGTCTCGTCCTGGCGTGCCCAGATACTCGGATTCTCCATCCACTTGAAGCCGTATAGCATCTTGTCTGGGAGCTAATGAGAAAGTTGCACGCATACTCTCAAGGAGCTCGAGAATGCAACAGTATCAAACTTGCCGGTCTAATTTGAACAAAAATACTAGGCCTGGGTGCCCACAATAGTTCCCTATGTCACGTAGATACATGACCTCCTCTATTGTCGTGGGAATAGAGAAAAGAACCCGCCGTCTATCTTCTCCATCCGTAGCCCATGTCCGCCACAACGCCAACCTCCATATCAAGGCAAATGAGCACACCCATCTTTTAGGTAGACGTAGACCAACCTTTTCCCCCCTCCCCCCCCCTAGAAATCCAACTCCCCTTCGCATTCCCGTCTCAGCGTCGCTCTATTCAGCGCGAACCGGGCTTCCGCCGCGACGCGCCGGCGTCGTCGTCGTCGTCGGACGACTGGTTGACGTAGTAGTCGGGGCTGTTGTTCTCGACGTTCATCATGGCGGCGTTGTAGCGCTTGAAGGCGCTCTCGACGAGGAGGCCGACCTCCTTGCGGTTGCGGCCGATGACGCCGACGGCGAGCAGGGCCTCGGTCTCCTCGATCCAGTCCTTGAGGCGGCGGAAGCCGATGCAGTCCTTCTCGAGGCGCTCCGGCTGCCCGGAGCCCTTGATCAGCGCCAGCGTGCCCGCCAGCACCGTGTTGAGCGCGCCCATCACCGTGATCACGATCTCGTACCGCCCCGACGTCGGCCCCATCGCCGTCAGCGCCGCCCCGATCACGATCTGCACGAAGTAGCACAGGAACAGGAACACGTTCAGCAGCGCGTGGTGCAGCGACTTCTTCCGCTGCGAGTCCAGCACCGACTTGTAGATCCCCACCGCCGACTTGCGCCCTTCCTCGAGCGTGCCGCTGTCGGCCCCCGCCCGGTTGTAGTTGATCCCCAGCGCCTTCCGGAAGATGACGAGGTTCTCGTCGTTCGGCCCGCGGATAGCGAGGCCCGCCGGCTCCCCCCACGACATGTTGGTGTCCGCCTTGAGGGGCATCGGGTCGATCGGCGTCGGGTTGGTCTGCGCATGGTTCTGCGCCGAGGCGGGCGGCTTGGGCGGCCTAGGGACCGAAGGCGAACCTAGCTGAGGGACAGAAACCCTCGAACCCGGTGTAAGGAGGGGCGAGTGGACATCTTTGGCATCGGACATGATCGTAAACGAGTGCGTATAGCCACGAATGTAGTATAATGGTGTCCGCCTGTTTCAAGACTGGGGACGGAAATACCTGCGGTTCTCAATGACACCAATGTCAGAAACGACTTGACTAGAGGGAAACCTCTATCTATCTATATATCTGGTCGGTATAATGGTTAATTCTGGGGGGCATGTATGTCATCTTGCGGTTGCCAAGCGGTCATATCCCGCGGCACTGACCCTACTAGTCTTCTCTCGTGCTTGTCATTGCTCACACACTCATTCATCGGTATAAGACGTCGCTAGTTGCTCACATAATTCTTCGGGGACCCCTGGATTCTAAAAAAGGGTTACATTGGGATGATCGTTTCACGTGTTCCCGCCAGAAGTAGGGTGTTGGTTACATTATCGAAGCCATATCAGTTGGTAACGGAAAGAAGTGTGAATATCAAAGTAATCGCGAGGCTATACCGCCCGGAGGAGCAGGTGTATGGTCATCGGTATTTGCGATGAGATGAGACAGCCTGGTATCCTTTTAGTGCGATAATAATCACAGGGCGCGAGCCGAGCGGCTGATCATCTCGAAAGGGGTGCTTTCACCTCGCCTCGCTGGCAGGGGTGAACCAACACCTACCCCCCGAGTGGATAGGATTGCGATTTTCAGTATGTCGACTCGTGTCGGTCGTTTTTCCTTTGGACTTGTGACCGTGGACGTCATGATCCAGCTCGGTCATCGCCGAGAAGACACGATATCTGCCACTGGAGCGAGCCCCTGATGCAAGCATGAGTTGCTAATAATATCCCACCGCGCTGCTAGATACAACAATCTCTACTAACGCCTTTCAAGTCTTTACCTAGCTATGCTAGTATAACGTAATTCGCGAGTAGTAGCCGTCTAGATTCTCCCCTTGTCGAGTTCGGGTTGCTTGGCTCACTAGGTATCACCGTCCGTGAGTAACTTAGAAATCCCTCGCACATGGGCTCCGCCCGAAGCCCGGGGATCTTATCATTCTCGACTAAGTGAGCAGCACCTGACTGCTCGGATTTATATATAGGTACGTAACGGTATGCTTCTGTGGCGTAGCAACCTACCCATATATGTCAACGTACCCTAACGAGGAAACTTAGGCTCGTCTACCTACGTTTTATTGTGACGCCATGCCATATACTATCCGGTACAATGGGATCATCGGCCTGAGTGGCGGAGCCCGTAGTATGCATTTTTCTAAGAGTAGGTATGTCCCGCAATATTCTTAATTATGTCAGTATCTAGCTCCGTATCTGAAGTTATTTGTACAACTTTTAGGACGGGTACAGGCTTATACGGTCTGCTCAACGTTGGCGTAATAAGATATAGGTGAGTACTTATCGTGTGCTGTTATTTGGGAACAAGGGACAAAATAAACTAGACGGACGGCCACGTGGAGATAGTGATCTGTAGGTAATTCAACTCGAACTGAAAGCACTTACGGCTGAAGAGTCTGATTCTTGGTCCTAGACGTTTTCATGCCTCGTGCCTGGAAGGAGAGCGTGACAAACTCACGATACACGTTGCTCTCCAGGGGCTCAACCGTAAAGAGGCTGATCCATTCGGAAGCATCGCCTCTAAGAGGAGAGATATTTAGGAAGGGGAGGAAGGGTTCGTAGATTATGAGTCAATATTGCAAGCTAACCGTTGCTTTATGTACATCACTACGTACGTGAGATATACAGATGAATTCTTTCCTCTTCCTAAAGGTAATATTAAGGATCCGACTCCTCAGTACTCATACGTACGTAATCAACACCTACCAATGATCACGTGCAAGTCGAGAAGAGATGCCCAGAAATATATACCTTTCCCGCCAGCAATATATTGATTCTCATTGCTCCCTCACCATCACAACGAAACCCATCACCGCGGCCCTTCGGTCAGTAGTAGGCACCTCGAACTCAGGGTTGAGTTGGGGGCTGCGACGCCCCGTAGCATACGATCGTCGTGTCGGCTCGTCACCTCCGCTCCGCCACCTGCACCCAGAAGTCGTCGATGAGAAAGCTCGAGTAGCCCCGGCACCGCCAGGGGGACTCTGGGTTGGCGACTTGGAAGTCGAAGTTGCGCAGGAGCTAGCCGGACTCTCTCTCAGCACCGGCACTCACTCGCTTCCGCACTAGAGAGCGTAGGTAGGCGGAGGAGACTCACCTCGACAAAGATCTTGTTGAGCTCGAGCCAGGCGAGCGTCTTCCCGGGGCACATCCAGCGGCCGTGGCCGAAGGCGAGGTCGACGTGGCGGAGGAGGCGGGCGCGCGCGGCGGCATCGCCCTCGAGGAAGCGCTCGGGCCGGAACACGTCGGCGTCGGCGCCGAACGCCTCGCGGTCGCGCAGCAGGCTCCAGAGGTTGACGAAGACGCCCGTGCCCGCCGGCACGAACGCGCCGCACACCGTGTCGCCGCCCGCCGGCACCTTCTTCGGGAACCCCGTAATCGCCGGCGGCACCATCCGGATGCCCTCGTGTATCACCGCCTACCTCCGTCGTCAGCTGAGAAGGGGGGGGAGCTGAAACGCGTCTTGGCGGCATCGGGCGACTCCATCCTCACCTGCAAATACGGCAGCCTCTTGGCTTCCTCGTTCGTGATCGGGCTCGAGATGCGCCCCTCGCGGATGCCCGCCGAGATCTCCTCCTGTAGTCTCCGGTAGATAGCCGGCGCGGTGAACAGATGTAGTAGTACGCCTCGGATCGCCGTGGTCGACGTCTCGGACCCTGCGGGCACTTGGACGGCGAGTTCCAGCTCGCATTCCCGGCGCGTCAGCCCGTGTTTGATCCACTCATCCTGCGCGGGAGGCCGGCTTAGCGATACGACGGTCATATAATAGTGCGCAGCTTAGTACGGCTGAGACAGTGCCCGAGGAGAAAAGGCGCGTTGCCACTTACGAGCATGCACCCTTCAGCAGTCTCTCGGTGCGTACTCTCGCTGAAGCGCTTCTCTACGATCCCCTTGATAATTCTATATAATTGCACCAACATCAGCCGAGGAGACCAGCAGACGGATCGCTTCTCCGTGAGACTCACCCTAGAAACCTCCCCATCCCCTTCTCGTCGGTTGGCTTGGGGCCCGCTATGCTGAGGAAGAAGGTCGACGCGAAGAAGTCGCGGAAGAGCGGGATCATCATGAAGGAGTGCAGGAAGGGGACGACGTTATCCGCGATGGAGATGAAGTCGAAGTGATCCGTCTCGCTGACGAGGTCGCCCCACGGCTCGCCCGAGCCCACGAGCGTGACGAGGTCGACTTGGAAGAACCGGATAAGTCGGCCAAAGTCGACGATGCTCGTCCGGCCGTCCGTACCGGCGCAGTTCTTCCTGAGCACGTCCACGAGAACTGCGATCTGCGAGTCGACTTTCTGCTCCAGGTTCACGGCCCCCTTGCCCGCGTAACCAGACCCGATCTGGGCCTTCCTCTTGTCGTGCTTGGCGGTATCCGGCTCGGACAGGACGCTGTGCCCGTAGGGGTCGAACTGGATGCTCGCGTACCAGTCACCGCGGCCATACTCCGAGCGGACATTGTTTATATGCCACAAGGTCTGCGGGTCGTATACGAGCAGCTCGTTGGGGCCTATGCGCATGATCTTCCCGTACTTGCCCTGCTCTTCGGCGAGGATATGGTGCATACGGCCGGACCTCATGGCGAAGTATCCCCAGAGATACGAGAAGGACGCCAGGCTGGGCCCGGGAAACTTCCTCAACCAGTGCCATGATATGACTACCACGATGAGGCGCCATACGATAAAGGCAACGAAGACGGTCGCGATAGCAAGACTACTTTGTGAAGCGAACATGGGCGAGTCAGTCCAGGGAGACATTTTCACAATCAGACAGGCTTTATCCTATAGCTATAACCCGTTAGGCAAGAGCCGAATTTAAGGAGACGGGACAGACAAGAAACGAATAAGAGACAGGGGTTAATTTATTATTATTATTTAGTATCGCCGCCCCAGTGCGTCGGAAGAAGGATCTCTTCTCTGTATGTCAGGGCCATTACTAGCTCGCCTTGCCCAGGCCTGTTATCACGACCCCTTAACGAGAGTGTGGGTATTAAATGCAGAGGACTATAGCTCTAGGCGCGTAGGTGAACAGCTTCCCCCCCCCGTCCCCGTCTGCTCGCCTCCTGCACCTAGGCGTGTCTCGAAAATTACTGGTTTGCTTTCACCGTTGGTCCGAAGCCTAAGGGCGACCTAGCACTCCCTGGGAGGAATGGATCCGTGGAGAGAATGGCGTAATAGTAGATCTTGGAAGTTGTGAAGGGTTTAGTAGGTCTCGTCCGAGGCGGGCGAGCCCGTCGGTCCACGCGTCTAGGACTGCTGAAGCCTAATTCCCTGATATTAACAGCGCCAAATAATCTCTAGTAGATCGCACGTGTATATGATATCGCCTACGTGTTGACCATGCCCAAGGAAGCGCTAAGCGCTTCGGGACCGGAGCTCTGCGCAAGGGAGGTCTAGTCTTCGCTAGCATAGGGTCGCTAGCAATACATAATATGCCCGCCCATCCATACTCATATAAAGTAGGGATAAGGACACGATCCACGCTTCTATAGCTAAACAGGGGTGGGCAGATTAAGATGAACGGCAGCTTGGGCTGTCTTTTTGGGTAAGGCGTGATCTGCCACGAAGGGCCTACCGGGTTCCTGGGCCTCTGGCACGCGCGTCTCGACCGCCGTTGGCGGCTCTGGGCATGCTCGCGGCAAGACATCTCCAAGGCCTTCCATCGCCTCGGGAACGTTTCCGGGTTCCTGGGACGGCCCTATCGACGCAATTCGGAGGAAGACGACTGGCTATTACCGCGCCACCATGTACTCATACGTCCATAGTAAGACACCATCCGTCTACGCATGTCTAAGGCAAAAAGGCCGCGGGAAGCCAACGACAAAGGACAGGAAGGAGGGTGATCGCCCGGCACATGCTTTTGAGAACGCCCAGTCTATCTCCATTTACACGAGGCCTCTCCTGTCGTCAAGCAAGAGCTGAAAAGGGATAGTTACACAGCACGGCTACGCAAACTCGGTTTACCTAGGTATATCTCTAACTACCGGCGAGTAACGGCGGCGTATATTCTCTACTATCTACCGAGGCATTGCTTGTTAAGACGTATTCCAACCTCGCCTTCACAACTGCGTCTGACCGGGCCAAGCGGCGCGACTAACACACCACTCGACGAGCTCTGCCAGCGCCGCTACCTGTTTCCCGTCGCGAGGGATGTCGCGGGCGCCGGCGTGCGCGTGTGTCTTTCGGATGTAAGGGTCGCAGAGGCCGGCGAGCTGGACGGCGGCTGGGAACAGGGGGTCTGCCTCGCCCCACACGTGGACGGTCGGGATCCTGATCTTCAGCTCGAGGGGCACCCTGTTGAGGTTGAGGCCGAAGCAGTCGTCCGAGTCGAACAGGGCGCGCCGCGCCCTGGCGGCGTGGGCTCGCAGCGGGCCCAGCCGTCGGTCTCGCTGCAGCTCCGCCTCCGCCGCCACGCGCTCTGCCTCCCTCGACACCGGCACCCCGATCCCCTTCAGCACCTCGAGCGGCAGGCTTCCGCTCAGGAAGACGGCGAACCGGAAGGGAGCCGGCAGCTCGTGCTCGTACCACTGCCGGCACAGGAGGAAGCTCGACACCAGTGCCGCGCCTTGAGAATAGGCGATGACGCCGTCGTAGCCGCCGTCCCGGTCTAGCTTCGCCGCTAGCCACTCGTGGGATTTGCGGATGTCTCTAGCCTCCGCCGTCCGGAAGAATTTGTAACCGGACCGCTCACCATCCACGCATGGCAATGGGCCGTCGGCGAGCTCGAATGAGAGACCACGGTCCAGATGCTTCAATTGCGATAGGAGCGGGACTGGCTGCGTGAGCAACGAATATTCAACCATACAGGCAGGTGACGGACGGCCACATACCGAGATCGGATTGGAGGGTTTCTCCGCTCTGGCCGTCGCCGTGGAGGCAGAGTATTCTCATGATAGCGTCAGAGGATGCATTTGTATATTGCTCGGCGCATGCCTAGGCAGGATAGGGCAGATGTATATTCACTGTCAGACAGCGACTCGGTTTCGGAACAGATTGCCCGGCGTTCAGCCAGCCAGCCCAGATTCGTTCGTTGTCTGACACGGGCGGACATCCGTTGATTCCGGGGGTCCGGTGACCGTAAGCCTCACTTCGCCAACCGACTGCATGCTTTAGGTACGTACCTAGATACGATCGAAAAGGAGGGCCGCTCTGTCAGCGTCAAAAAAAGAAGAATTCGTCTTCAGGGCGGTGGCAAGCAGATATCAGTTAGGGATATATTGCTGCTGCGACCGTGCTCAACAATAATGCGTGTAAACATGAGTAACACTGCAAATTTCTCAAGAATCAAGCGTGGAGAAGTATACAATCACACACGAGGCTTCAAAATAAGCAAGCAAGCCACTACCTATAGTGTCGGTTTACATAGTTATTCCTCATCCAGCCACACAGCAGCGCGATCTCATCTTGCCACCACCCCGTGACCAAGATCTCGGGAGGCCACAAACGAAGCAGCCTACCGTCTGGTACGAAGCCACATCCCCAGATAGGCAGGTTGACGCGCTGTCGATTGTGGAATTCCCTTCGCCAGGCCTGCGGGCTGGGCCAATGGCCAAGCCAGTTCTCAGCCGCAACGTCAGGGGGGTCGCGAATTGCGTTCCGGAGTGGCGCCCAATGCGCTGTCAGATCGGATGTCTCAGTTCCTCGCGTTGCATTAGCGAGATCTTCAGTATTGTGCAGAGAGGGGAGAGCAGCAGTCTGGTTTACGCGGGCGAGAAAATTGGTCCACGATGGTAAGAAGCCGGGGGGGAAAGGGGGAGAGGCAAGCCTGCTACGCCGTAGACAAATGCTACACATATCACATACATATACGAAGCGAATGTCACTATGAGGTAGCAAACTACGGTCTGCAAGTGAGGTCGTTTAATCTCTGGGCATTCATTCGCTGGCACCGAATCCGAGACAGGGTACGATGGGCGAGCCACCGCCCCTTTCCAGACTGATCATCGTCTCCCGATCAGACCCATAAAGATATCATATGCCCATCGCCTATGCATAGCGGCCCAGACGAAGCCGGCGTGCACAAGACGCCACGTAAAATGTATGTTTTGCACAAGCTGTCGAGCCGAGGAGCGGTCCGCATAGAGAGGGAGGGGGTGGTGGTGGGCGGTTGCTGTTGTTGTCGTGCTCAGCAACCTTCCTACATCCCGTCCCGATCGTCGGGTATATAACCCCCACGCACTGGCGCGAATGCGTCGACAACAGGGAAGCACGCCAAGGCCTCTTCTGCGCCGTAGGGCGGCGACGCTACGTGCCATGCACAGCTCCCGAGCAGAAAGCCCGCCCGATCCCTCGGCTTACGCCCATCAAAGACTTCGGGAGGGGGTGGCGAAAGGGGGGAGCAGATAGAGAGGGCGGGAATAGGCAGACGCGCGTAACAGCAGCCCAGGCTCAGCAGATCCCAAGCGGGCCGCAAAACCCATCTTCTTGGCCTCTTCCCCCCCTTCTCTTTTCCATCGATGAAGGCCAGGACGCGCAGAAGGGAGCCGACCGGCCCAGCCGTCGGGGCCTGCCGCATGCGGTCAGCCTCCCACTCTCGAGAGCCCGTGGTTCTTGGCCGCAGTCACACCGAGCGCCTCTGGCAGCTAGGAAAGGGGGGCCGCGTAGTGTAGGAGTATCTTGCATGTGGTGGTGAAAAGGGTTAAGGATTAACGGGTGGGAAAGGGGTTAGGGGGTTCAGAAGAGGAACGGCACCAGTAGAGAGGCCCAAGGAAAAAAGGAGCAAGAGGAATCTCGAAATGGAACTATACGTCCACACACAATATCGCGAATACATTAGGCACATACCACGCTCCTTAACCTGCCAGCGGTGCTTGCTGAACGATCGCGGCTATCGCGGCGGGTCGGTTTACGGGCCACATCGTTACCCACACGCCCGGTTGTATTCGTACCACGGTATAGAGACAACTTGATAAGAGGCTACGAAGACGGGACGGGCCTTCTCAACTCGGTGCAATGAATGCTCTCCTATTTTCAGAACCTGGGAGCATGAGTTCTCGGCGCCCCTCCACCCCCATTCGTTGCCCTTCCTTTCTGGTATTCGTGACTCGGGAAGCGGGACGAGTACTACTAGATTAATTGGTCGACACACCATGGTAGGGCATCTCGCTCGCGCTCTCTCAGTCAACCTTTCCGTCACATTCCCCGGGCCGCGAACAGGCGCCTGTGGAAAGAAGCTACAGGGTACACATGGAATTTCTTCCGCTATTTTAACCCTCTTTTTATAATAAAACTTTTGCTCTGCCAGAGTCCCCTAAATAAAGAGCGCTGTATTAGCATCGGAACGTGCGGTCTATTATCAACCCCCCGTCCGAAGATCTTCAAGTAAAACTTACACGGGCACCCGAATGTTCATCGTCTTGCCGGACACCGTTGCCGCTGTGGCGAGGGGGCGATGGTCGCGTGAAGAGACGCCGTGATACAGGACGCGTTCGTAGAATATCTTGATGTCCATCCCCTCGAAGCATGCTTCCTTTCCAACTCGACGCGTATATTCCTTCTCCTAGAAACCTCCGTGCGCGCCATGCCTTGCACATCCTCGCGCTGTATTACCCCCCCCCCCCCCCCCCCGGTATCCTGACTTGCGCTGGTCCTCCCCTCTGTGCATAGCCTGGCTAGCATAACTAGCTAGACGAAGCCGCTCGCCGCCGCCCCCCTTCACCGCCTGCCGGGCAGGCCCGGGACGCCGACGTAGCGCTCCTCGCGCTCGGTGAGGAACATGACCTGGACCCAGAACTCCTTGAGGTCGGCGTCCCACCAGGTCCAGTAGCGGTCGGCGGCGCGGTCGATCTCGCGGGCCTGGAGCTTGAAGCCGCACGTCTCGTAGGGCTCCGCGGCGACGAGCATGTACTGGAACGCCTTGTCCGGCGGCTCCTCGACGCGCTGCTCGAACGCGCTCATGAACCGCACCTTGGGCGTCGTCCCCGCCCCGATCTCCGGGTACTGCAGCTGGAACAGCAGCCCCTGCTGCCGCGTCACCTGGTCCCGCACCTTCGTGATCTTGTACCCCGGCCGCCCGATCTTCACCGTGTTGCGCCGGATCAGCGCCCCCGCCCCGAACCCCGCGCCCGCCACCCCCGCCGGCAGGCCCGTGTTCGGGTCGATCGCGCCCCCCTTGCCCTCCTTCTGCTCCCGCGCCGCCCGCCGCGCCAGGTTCGTCTGGTGCTTCTTCCCCTGCGTGTGCGCCAGGTACGACCCGTCGTTCTGGTGCACCGTCAGGCACAGCCGGCACTCGAACGACCCCACGTGGTTCTTGAAGAAGTACGGGTCCTTTTCGAGGTCGATGGTCTCGAGCGCCAACTTCCGTAGCCGCTCCCGTCGGTCCGCATTCGTCGCGCTATGCGAGGCGACGCCACCGCCGCCGAACTTGGAGCCCGCGCGGTTCTGGTAGTCCATGTTGGCTTCTTTCTTCTTCGGGTTGTTGTAGGTGTATGCAGGGCTGGGCTATGGATTCGCGGTGAGAAGGCTGAGCCGATATCACCTCGAGGCGTCCTGATTGTACTGCCGCAGGCTCGAGAACCTTTCGCGTGAAGTTCGTGCTTGCTTACTCGACGTTAAATGGTCTCCCGGATAGCTGTTTATAGATAGAATTTGTAGATGGACGGATGGACGGGCGGATAGGCGAGATATGTCATGGGGGTAGAAATGCGAGTTGAAGGAGAGAAAAGCTCCAGATGAATTGAGTCCGCGCGTTGGCCGGGGCGATAAGATAGCGACAGCTGGACCCACCCTGAAAACAGCTGTCAGGAACCTAGGCCCAGGTACGTACCCACCTTAGGTGTCGCCCCTTTTGGATTTACACACTTGTGCTTCGATTGCAATTCTACTCTGTTCACTTCCTTTCCTAGAGGCACCTCTCTCAACCGCCTCAGATATTCCATTGCAGTATATATACCTCAACTTGAATTCCTCTCGACGTTACTCACGAAAAGGAATCAAAGGGTCCACAAATAGCGAGGAATTAGAACTGAGCCGTATCGTCTATCTATTCTGCCTTACGGTAACTATGGACATATGTACTCTTTGCTGAGGTCTCGCCGCTTCATCCCTAAGTCGTCGCGACGACTTTGTCCACCTGTCGTTATCTTGCGAAGCATCGTCAGGCCTCGAAACAGATGGATGTCGTTGCCCTCGCCGCATCGTCGGCCTCGTAACAAAGAACAATTTTTAAGATACAAAGAGCTACTGGAGCACTGCCCACCAGTCCCCCGGCGGAAAGATGTCAAGAGGGGTTTGGCCGACATGATTCCTTCTCTTTCCTAGACGTGACTCGACATTTCTCATCAGAGACTGCCAGGTCTCGCTCCAACCGCACATCCCCACGTCTAGCCATCATGCCGCGGTCGCGAACACGTACTGGACAGGATGGTGGGTCATAACTCTAGCATTGACGTAAATTCCAACCCTCTCTCTCACTCTTCGACCCTCGGGAAACACCATCCCCCCACCTCCCACCAAAAAAACAACAAGGAGAAGCCGGGCCATCGATATCTCTTAGAGCGGACAGGGTACGGCTGATTAGCGGAAGTTGTTATCAAACCGCTTGAAGGTGTATCCAATAAACGGCAGGCTCATCTCGGGTGATTCTTCGACCTGCTTGCCCGTCGAGAGGGCCTGGTTCCGCAGCGCCGTCGCGTTATCGGTCTGGTCGATCTCGTCTGTCGGGAAGTACGTCGTGTCGATAGCCGAGGTCAGCCGCGGCTCGAACGGAGCGCGAATGCGGCGGAGGCTGTCGAACTCCACCCCGCGGAAGAATGCGTGGCCTTTTATCTCCTGAGCCCCGCTTCGTCCCAGTCTGACCTCAGTATTGCAGATGAGGCTGCCGTCCGGTTAGTCTCCGTGAATGTCAAGCTTATGTGGGTGGTGAGAACTTGCCTTCGGATCAGATGCTCCGCTTCCGCGCCAAGCGTAATGTCGTCCGGGAAGTACAGGGATTGGCGCCAGTTCACGATCTTACGGTACGTATCGTGGCTATCTTCTGCGCAGAAGGGGGGCCACCCAACCAGGCATTCGAACATAATGGTGCCCAGCGACCACCAATCGCAATCAAACGTGTAACCGTGTCCGGTAAAGATCTCGGGTGCGATGTAGTCGGGCGTCCCCACCGTCGAGTAGGCCATCAGTCTCCGAGACTTCCTCCAGTCGTTGATTTGAGAACGGTTGCTGACCGTCAGGTTGATTTGGTCGAGAGCAACAGAGTTCCGGTCCTTCGGCCGATTCGACTTGCCCTGGAGGAGCTGCTGGTAATAGTTGTTATCGTGGAGCTTATGGAAACCGGTAGACAGACCAAAGTCGGTAAGCTTAACGTGCCCGCCTCGGTCAAGCAGGATATTGTCGGGCTTTATGTCACTACGCCATCCGAGTTAGCAACGGGGCAATCCAGCTACGGCGCGTAACACGGCTTCGGGAGAGCATACCGATGAATGAAGCCAAGCTTGTGAACCGCCTCGATGGCTAATACGATTTCTGCAATGTAAAATCGCGTGATATCCTCCGAGAAGATCTCATACTTAATAAGCATCGTCATCAGATCACCACCGGGCAGGAATTCCATAAGCATGTATAGGAAATTGGCATCCTGGAAAGTCGTGAAGAGCTTAACCACCCAGGGGCTGTCGGACTCAGCGAGGATATCTCGCTCGGCCCGTACGTGAGCCAGTTGGTCCTTTTTAAACATTTCGGTCTTGATAAGGGACTTCATAGCGTAGACCTGACCGTCCGACTTCTTCTGGACCAGCTTCACCTCTCCGAAAGCGCCCTTGCCGATGATCTTGACCGTGACGTAGTTCTCCGGCTTGTCCTTAGTCCGCAGAAACCGTAGATAGCGAGCCTCCTTCTTCCCGCCGTTCTGCCAGATCTGCTCGCGTCTCGACGAGGACTGGCCTGACTCCTGCAGCTTCTGCTCCATCTCGCTCTGCCTATCCGAAAATTAGCAACGATTCTGGGACGTGGTCGGCGATACCCCGCCCGCTACTTATAGGCATGGCAAGGACGACTCACCTCAGATTGCGCTCTCGAGCGCGCTTCACGCTATCCTTAAAGAAATCGGCAGCCAATTGCGAGCACTTCTTCTGATTATTGTTCGCGCCCAGCCCGTATTTTTCGGGGTTCCGCTCGGGCGCGGGCTGGAAGTCGGACGTTTGACGGTTTCCTGAGGTGGGGAGCGGAGGCGCGTTCGCGTGGCCGTAGCCCGGCTGGCCGGAGGAGCCAGCGGTTCGAGGTCGCTGGCTGGACGCGCCACGCGACCCGTAGGCACCCCGAGCCGCCCCTCCCAGATTCTGGTGGGAGAATTGGTGAGCTAGGCCCACGTTGGGGTCATTAGTACCCGGGGTGTTGGATCGCGGCTGGTACGAGCCGCCCTGAGCGCCATGCTGATTCGGCGGAAAGTAATTGTTCGCAGGAGCGTAACCACCACTACCGCCATACTGCTGGCCGCCCGGGGCTTGTTGGGAACCGAAAACAGGCTGGGGGAAGGTCGAGGGTGTGGTGGGATACTGTCGGTCGGAAGAGCCCAGTCGCTCGTTGCCATTGCCGAAGTTGAGGTAGAGACGGTTATTAGGATCCATGGTGGTCGCGACTGGTGGAGGAGAGCTGGTTCGCTGGGATTCGTCGTTTACGCCTGTGCTGGAGAGATTGGTTCCTGGTGTTCTGGTCTTGGCTCGTTTCGTGTCGCCTAATCTGATTCGACCGCGGTGATCGGCGATAAGATTGCGAGGGTGGTGGTATATAAGTCAAGGGAGAGAGGCGCCAGACGAGTGAAGCCACAGCTGAACTCTACCTAGACACTGTAGATGTGCGTGGATTTGCCGAGACGGTCGATCCTACAGCTTGAGATGATGAGCCTTGCTTAGTTGACTGGGTTTTTTTTTTTACGATGAGGAACTATCGACGCGAGAAGTAGCAGCTGGGCTATGCGAAACGTCGAGGCCCGGGAGACAGGGAGCGAGCGAGGGTAGAAGAAGAAAGGCAATGGTGGTAAAGGGGGGTACCAACGCAAAAGACGGTAAATAGGCCTGATCTTTTTTTTAGGTGGTATTCGAGTTGCGGCCCGTCAGGTAAGCTAAGGTTGTTTTTTTTTTCTGGCACGCGAGATGCGCCGCCGTCGAGGATGCCAACAAGGCCTAGGTGTTGTTCGCTCTCGCTTACACGCCGGCTCGTGTCGCTTTTGATCCTGCGGTGTTTCTTATTTTTTGTTTTGGCGTCCACGAACGGGTGAGGGATGTCGGAGGAGGAAGACAGCGACCGAGTTGCCCCTGGCTGTTCCAGACGAGATTTCGAGAATGGCGGTAGGAAAGGTGTGAGAGGGGAGGGATCCTTTTCGCGGTGCAGTGGAATATACCTATGAAGTCGGGTTCGATGGATCCTCCAGCAACTGGGCGGAAGAAAAATGCTACTTACTGGTCGAGGTGATTCCCTAAACCGGACAGCAGTGGGTGCACCAAGCCCCTGAAAACACCACCCAGCAGAGCACTGGCCAGCGCTGCCAACACTTGCCAACAACGCCAAACCCGCCTGGGGGCCAGGAGTGATTGGGAGATTTTGGGGAGGGGAAGGGGGGTGACAGAGTAGGGGTTACGTGGGCGCTATCACCGTGGAGATTACCCCTACAGGATTAGCCTGCCGAGACGCCGGGCCCTCCCTTGTCATTGACGGAGAGAGAGGGGGAAGAGAAGGGCCAGATGCCCACGGAGCAGGCATAGGCGGCCGGGCAGAGGCGCGGAGACGTGGAAGGCAAAAGAGGGCGAGAAGAGTTGGAACGGGACGAGGGTGATCCGGACGAAAATACCTAGCTGATTGAAGGCTCGACACCAGATAGATGATTCTACTCAGCAGGTAGTAAAAGAGTTATGGTATAGGGCGCCAAGAAACAGGGGTCTAGATTTATACTCTTTACCTTTTAATATTTTAAGTTTAATATTAATATTAAAGTTATAATTCGTATTATAATATCTTTTATAAAAATCCACTAATTATATAATTAAATAAGTTTATATATTGATATTTTATTAAGTTAAATATATAATTATTATTATAATAGTATAGTAAATTTAAATTATATAACTTATTAATAAGTATTAATATAAGTTTCATAACTTTAAGCTATAATTAATATAAATGGAATATATATAAAGTATTGAGTAATTATCTATATAAAAGTTATAAAACTAGACTTCTGCTTCTTAGCGTTCTATACTATAAATCTTTTACCACCTACCACCGAGTATTGCCATGCTCGCCGACGCTTTTCCGGTCGACAACCACACCGATTGGTCTGCAGAATGTACCCGGGTACGTAGTGCACCTATACATAGGCTTGCCTATAGCAGGCTGGGCACGTCCTTTGGGCCTGGGTACCTACCCGAAGCACCCATATAACAGCTGGGTTGGGAGAGGAGGTACCTCGGGTTATTGGGGGGGTACATCTTCGCTAGCAGGGGTGTGCGGGGTCTGGGCGCCCGAGATCGTTTCTGACAGCATTCGGACGATGGTGGCACGCCCAACGTATAAGGACTGGATAGGGCATCGCACCATAGCGCCGTTAGCTGCTACAACAGATAGGCCGTTAGGTAATTCGCCGACTCACCGACAGGGCCTACATAGATCCGGCCCGGTCCACGTTTACCTCTTATCGGCGGGCTTGCGTCGGCTTGCGCCTTATCGCATCCCCTCCTAACCAACGCCTAATCAACGGATTTTTGCTACTAGCAGCGCTCGCTGCGATCGACAATGCCTTTTTCTTGCTCACACCCATCCCGGTCCCAGCCACAGCTCTCTCGACTTTGTTCCTCAGCAACGCTCCGGGTTCTGTAGCTCTCGCCGATGACCCGAGCCGGGAATCCTGTTGGCGACACTAGCAGCGACACCCGCTGAGAGGCCGGCCATCTTCGACCGCGCTCGCCCACACCAACCCTCCTCCATGGCAGAGCCCAAGACCCCGCCAACCGCGGCGGCGGGAGCTGGGCCTGCTGCTGCTGCATCTGTAAGTCGGCGACTAAGGACAACACTAAGAAAGAAGAAGTGGAAGAGGGAAAAAACCAAACTTGACGTCTTGGCTGCGATCTAACGCTCCGACGGGTGAACGAGTGAATGAATGAGAATGGCTCTGCTAAACGCGTGCGACCGCAGACGGCGACCGCTCCTCCCTCAGCAGCCGCCCCTCCCAGCACGTACAAAGCCCCGACCGCGAACCCGGCGCTGCGCATGATGGGCATCCCGGGGCTGCCGAAGAAGCTGCCGTCGCGGAACTGGCTCATCTTCTTCGCGGTCGCGGGCTCCTTCACCGCCGCGGTCGTCTACGACAAGCGTGAGAAGCGTCGCGCGACTGCGCGCTGGTCGCGCGCCGTCGCCCACCTCGCGCGCGAGCCCGTCGCCGACCCGAACCAGCTCCCGCGCAAGCTCGCCGTCTTCCTCGAGTCGCCCCCCGGCGACGGCCTGCGCGTCGCCCAGGACCACTTCACCGAGTACGTCAAGCCCGTCCTCGCCGCCTCCGGCCTCGACTGGGAGTTCGTCCAGGGCCGCAAGGAGGGCGACATCCGCGCCGCCGTCGCCGAGCGGATACGCCGCGCCCGCCAGCCCGAAGCCGCCGCCGCCGCCGCCGCTAAGACCCAGGACGAGATCGTGCAGAGCGTGCGCCGCAAGAACGCCACCCCCGAATGGCAGGGCCTCCGCGGCGACATCGTCGTCGGCCGGCACACGTGGAAGGAGTACGTGCGGGGCTTGCACGAGGGCTGGCTCGGCCCGCTCGTCGCGCCGGAACCGGAACCGAAACCGAACGCGGCCGCGGCTGGCCCCGCCGAGGGCGAGGAGAAGACGGAGGAGGGCCCGAAGCCCGAAGAGAAGCCGGAGCGGCCGCCGCAGCCGCCCCCGTACAACACGACGGACGACTACCCGACGTCAGCGCTGCCACGGCTCATCCCGGCCGAGTTCTCGCCGTCGGCGCCCGTCGAGTTCCCGCACATCCTCGGCTTCTCCAACACGCTGATCCGGCTGCGGCGCTTCCTCAACCGCCGGCGGCTCGCCGACGACATCGGGCGCGAGGTGGCGGCCGTGTGCCTGGCGGCGGCCGTGCGCGAGTACCGCGACGGCGACGGCGACGGCGGCGCCGCCGCGGACGGGCAGCCGTCCGAGCAGGAGGCCGCGCTCGCCCACGAGGAGAAGAACTGGGTCAAGTCGGTGTGGAAGGCGCCGGACGCGCCCCGGGAGCCGAAGAAGAAGACAGAGGGCGAAGGTGACGCAGCAACCGCGGTCGCGGCCCGGCCGGCGGAGCGCATCTGGGCCAGCCCGATGGTGCTCGACCCGCGGATCGCCATGCGCATGCGGCGGTTCGAGCTGCGGGGCGAGGACGAGGAGCGCGCGCGCGCCATCGAGGTCCCCGAGGAGGAGGTCGAGGGCTGGATCAAGGGCAGCCTGCGCGGGCTGTACCGCTGGGCGGTCACGAAGCCGGCGCCGAACCCGTCGTGGCCGGACGAAGACTGAGCCCGGCCGGTAGTCTCACTGGTGTCACGGCACCAAGGGCCGTCGACGCGATCACGTACTCCCGTATATCCCGAAATATATGCGCGCCAGCGAGGCATGAAGAGAGAGGAGGAGAGGGGGACCGTGTAGAATTACGTGTAACGATACCTCCTCCCTACCATTCTGTTACTTCTTCCACCCTCCGTGTACTATACCATATTACACCATACCACACTACACCATAACTCACCACGCATCCCCCCAAGGCTCAGCATGGCATGGCGCACACGCGTACACTACGCATTGGATTCTGCCGCCCTACGGACATAGACTGAATTTTCTTTTCTTCTTCGCATATGCCGAAAGACGGCTATGACGGCGGGGCGTCTCTTGGCTACCTCTACAAGGGGGGGGGGCAGTGATACCGACTAGGCGGGGAGGATTTGGGGGTGATTTAGAAGTGAGGAGCGCGAGGAAGGGTAGGGGGGGGGTAAAACGCGTAAGGGCGGTAGATAGAAGAGGATAGACGAGCGAAGGTCGCGGCCTACGCATGCCACCCATCCACCGGACCTGTCTGCGAGTTGGGTTGCGAACCGTAGGCGACCCCTCTACCGGGGATACAGACGCGCCCGCACAGAATAGAGCGATCCCAACTCTGCCCGTTCCCCGCTTGCTTCCTCCCCCCTGGTCGATGACGCTGTGATGACGACTACGCCAACGGTAACGAAGATGATATCCGAAAAGAGAAAACAAGGCAGGGAAATAGTATGCTACTAGTGCCCGTGTTGGCGGTCGTTGCGGTGGTATCGACAGCTATCTCTCGCCCACAGCGCGAAATGTGCTCGTTTAGATAGAATAAATACGCATTACCGCGATCCGATGGCGAGACTCTCGCGGGATCCGGTTCTCCAAATAGACAGACAGCCCTAGGCACAAACCGCATAACCGTGCGCACGGTAACACTGAGGCCGCGGCCGCAACGTCGATCACTGACCGGTACTGGTAGTGTTTGCAGGAAAGCAGATGAGGGCAGGATCTCGACCCAAGCGTTAGCTAGGCGGAAACAGGTCCGACGCATCGGAGAGCTTTGGGCCCCGCGGAATCGGTCAGGCCCATTGACTTGGTCGCTCGATCTGCGCGAGGAGTCGGAGGCTTCACCCCCAGACGCGGGTGACTGCTTCGATGAGCCTCAGCGAGAATCGCTGCCGCCGTTGCCCGAGGTTCATGTGTACCATAGTAGGTTGACCATCATCAGCACATCCCTCGACGTCGGGGTGACCCCGCTCCCTCTTACCAGCGCGAGTCTCCGCTCTACTGCCGCTCCTCTACCTCGCCTCGAAGTACAAGCAACGACCGGTAGGGATCCGAGAAAACCCGCCAGGTCTGAGGGCCGGAGCCGTTACAAGTTTGCGCTTATCGCTTCGCAATCAATCACCCTTCAGTCAGCCAGCGCAGCCGAGCTCCCCGACAATGCAGTCCTAGTCGTCGTCCTCGTCTGAGCCGTAATCCACGAGACTCAGCTTAGATTGCGCTGGTTTCGCGGCTGGAGCCTTCGGTTTCTCTTCCGCCGCCGGCGGAATACGGGGAGCTGGGGAGCCGCGGTCCGCGTCGGTGTTGGTGGCTGGCGTAGAAGCAGCGGTAGAAGTATCGGTCCGTGTCTCGCCATCTCCCGACCCGGACCTCACCTCAGGCGCTGCCGCCTCGTTTTCTTTCTCGGTTACGCTCGTCCTCCTCTTCAGCAGACCTCTTACCACCCCTTCCCTCTCCCTCTCCCTCTTGCGCTTCCTGGCCCCGCCCCACGCGACCGAGCTCAACTCGCCATCGCCAGTTTTACGATCGTCGACATCCCCCGTGTCTCCCTCGGCCGCCGCCGCCGCTGCTGCTGCCGCGGCGGCAGCGGCCCTCTGCGCCTCGCGGAACCCGGCGAGCCGCTCCTCGGTCTCGCGGCGCACGCGCTCTTCCTCGCCGCGCCGCCCGTCCAGCACGTCGTCGAGGAAGGCCACCTCGTCGTCGTCGAGGGCTCGGAACTGGTTCCGCAGCCGGTTCTGCTCCTCGAACGCCGCCTGCTTTGCCGCTGCATCGTCGTGTCCGCCCCGACCCGGCGCATCGGTTTAGCGCAACGCACTGGCCCGTAAAACGATGGCAGGGATAGATAGATGGAGGAAGACGACGGCTGAGGAAGGGAGAGGAAGCAAGCTGCCGTTGCGGCTCGCTGCAGCTGCTAGTACGTACCTTTGTTCGCCTGCAGTATATCGTACAGGGACCTGTTCTCCCCTGCTCCGCCGCCCTCGATCCGCGCGCGGCGCGCTTCCTCGCGCCGCCGACGGTCCGCCTCGAGGTCGCGCTGCACAGCCTCCCACTCGACGCTACGTGTGCGCGTGGCGTCTCCCCCCGCGCCCATTCCCCTGTCGCTGCCCTCTCCCCCGCTATCCTCCTCCCTACCCCCCCACCGCACCGTCTTCGGCGGTGACACGGCCGTTGGCGTCGAGGCGGGGGCGAGCGTTGTCTGGGGTGTCGGTGCAGGGCGCGGTTCATGGTGGTTACTACTGTTGCTGCGGCCACTGCCACCGTCACCAACAATCGTGCCGCCCGACACGAAGCGCGAGACCATCGTGTTCTCCTTTGATCTTCGGTCTCGGACGGTGGGACTACGCTGGCGCTCGGCGGTGTTGATGGTGGCGGTGGAGTATTGCCGAAGCTCGACGAATGGGGATCGGGGAAAATAGTTAAGATGTCTAAAGACACACATGCAAAGGAGAGGGTTAGCCACATGTACGGAGTTGAGTGGGTGATACGGACCTAGGTAGAAACCAAGAGGACTTTTGTGATAGGTAGGGAGATGGAGAGAAGGTATTATGGCAGGGGGATGGGCGAAGAGAGAGATAACAGAACTACTATGGCCTACATGGGATTCTCTTCCACTGGTGCCAGCTGGTGGCACATTTACCCACTTGCCGCAGGGACTCTCTTCTGCCACCTGGCTAAGCATACGCGCCAATTCGCCATTCCGCCTGGTACCCGTGCCAAAGCAGGAAGACAACGACTTGACACAAATACCAACCAACACCATATGCATACCTCCTACTGAATTGATATCACATATCTGTCTGCATGGCTGCATGGCTCCATTATCTCGAGTTCAAAGTAGGCTAGCTGATTAGGAGATGGGACCTCAGGCCCCTACCTACCTAACTAAAGTGTGTCGTCGTCAACACCCAGCCAGTTGAAGGAGTTGTACGCGCACACGGACACATGCACATCCGACATAACATATACTCCCATGAGCTCTGGCAAGTGGTTGTAAAGTTTACACACTTTAATATTTTTGCTCTAGGTTTATAAGTTATATTGTGATCACAAAGGCAAAATACCTCACTGTGCTGTCGGTCATGGTCCTCTTTTTTCCCCTTGTCTTCTCTTAACAATGACCATGACCATGCAAACTTCGGACAGCCCACTCTCCGTCAGTCCCTTGGTCGCGACAAATACTCGCGAGATACCTTTTCTCTGCCCTAGTCATCCAAAGCCCTAACCCCAACCAGGCCCGTCACCACACACCTGGGTTGTAGTCGTGGCAGTCGTGAAAGAAATCAATAGAAACACCCATCAAGAGAGGGCAGAAGGAGAACAGTACAGCTGACAACTCCCCAGTACACTATTAAACCCGGCCCAGAACCTAAAAAACAACATCACTTTTTCCCTTCGTTATCAGGTAATGAAACCAGTTCTCGATAGCCTCGAGTCAAGGCGTATTTTTTCTTTTTGTAGGAATTTCTTCACCCTACAAACATGTAGGAATTGAGGGCCATCCGTGTATGTCCCTCTTGAACTGAGTCGACGTGGGCAACACAGCGTGGTCATTGCTGCCGACCACTCCCAAGGCGAAAAGGAGAAAGGAGACGACAAAAAAAGATAACAAGGAAAAAAAGACAACGCAAGGGAATAACAACCCAATTTTCGTCCATCCCAACCCCGTTACCCATAACTGCTCACTATTGCCTTTCCTGTGGTATCGAAGGCTTAAAGAGAGAATAAAAGGACGGATAACCGGAACGACCGCCTGGCATATGTAGGATCATATGTCTAAGCAACGAGCATTCGGGACGCAAATATCGATGGGAGGGTTTCCCTGCGACGTCGTGGCATGGCTCGAAGCATCGAGAAACTCAGGGTCGGGTTTCATCGTACCAGTCTCGGGTAGTCTGCGGATACCGTATCGTGAATCGAAGTAACGTAAAAATCGTAAGAGCCACAAGGCGGAAGAATGCCACTCGCGGTTCCGGAGGGGAAAAAACGTGAGGGGTAATGGGTTGTCGAGGAACCCTGAATTCAGAAGGCGACTGGGCAGCTGCCTCCGGAAAAGCGACACATCTATCGTTCGCAAAATAGACTGGGTAGTATGGACAAGCGACCGGACTATGAGGCGGGTGCGACGGTCCATCTTTAAAACGCCTAAGCCTCGACTTTTTGCCGCCGTCGCCTTTAGGAATGCGAACCCGAATGGAAAAATGCTGGAATCTATCGCATATAAAAGGGAATTTGTTGAAGGGGAAAAACACGAAGGAAAGAAAAAACAATATGCCACCTGGGAATTCCGAAACCAATTAACGCCGTTATTATCGATGCGAATTCATAAAGGGAGGAGTGGCCCGGAAGAGAGGATGGCCATGCAACTAAACGTGGGAATCACGTCGCGCCATTTGCGAACCGAAAGGATCGGGCTCTTCGCCGTAAAACGTAAATGCGGGCGAGGGCATCGTCGAGGGGAGCCGGTGGAGGAGCGCCCTAAGCCTAGAGACCCTAGAGATCGGTGCGAGAACCGCGAGTTCCGCCTGTTTAGTTTGATGAAACAATCCTTCTGCCTGTCATACGAAAACTCCGAGGGGTATCTGAACAGTAAATGTATGTCCCTGAACATGCCGGTGAATAATGCCGGAGTAGACATTAATGCAAGTATTCCCAACCCATTGCAACCAGGTCGATCAATGAAAACTCGACCACATCCATGCCCTGTGTAAATGATACAATAGAACATGCCATCAGAAACAAGATAGGACCTAGCCTAGCACGGCTTGGCTAAAACCGTGCTGGAAGTAAGATCCTGTCTTGTGGAGCTGGGGCATGCACTGGATGCAGCTGCATTCAGCTGCGTGCGAATCCCACATACCCGGGCCGTAGTGGCTAGGGAAGTGCTGGTGATATTGATGGCCGTTCTGCGGTCCGTAACCGGGCGGGCCGGGAGGCTTGTAGTGTCCGCGATACTTGTTGGCTAGAGCTTGGGAGAACCACTCATCATATGAAGAGTTCACCGAGGTAGCCGAGTTGAGGTACTCGGGCGTGCCGTAGCCAGAATCAGGAGGCGTCAGAGGAGCCTGCGCCTGCGACCAAGGGTTTCCGGGATACTGGCCCTGCCACGAACCCTCTCTGCAGCGAAATGCAGCCGCGCCCGTGTGGGGGAGTCGAGTGTTGATGCTGAGACGTTCGTGCTCAGCGATCTCCTCATGGGTCCAACCTTGGTAGGCGAGAGGGTGGTGCTGTCTCGCAGGCTCTCTGTGGAGGGCGGTAACGATAGGTGCCAGCCTCTCGCGCATAGCAATCTGGGACTGCTGCTGTTGATGCTGGTGGAACTTTTTGCCCTCTTCCCACTCCTTCCAGTTCTTGAGCCAGGCGTTGTAGTCTTGGCTCTGGTCCAGATTGACATACAACGACCAACCAATGTGCTTCAACCACTCATTCTCCATCGTGTTGAGCTCCAACACGGAAATACCACTTACATCGGACCACGAACGGTTCTGGAACGTATTATCGTCCAAGAACTTGCTGCCCAGTAAGAGCGATGTGGTAAGCATTTTCCACATCTGACCTTCCGTAGGCTTGAACGTGCCGGCCTGCTTGAGCATATTAACTCGCTTGGCGAGATAGTTCATCCCCAGGAGAATGGTGGTGCTTGGAAGACGGGTGGATGTGAGGATCTGGTTGACAAATTTCCGAAAAGCACCAGAAACTGAGGACTCCGGAAGGACAACTCGTACAGTCATCTCAGCCACATACTCAGCCATCATATCGGTCTCATAGTCGAGAACCGCACAGACGCCGCCTGGCATGATGACGGATGGGTGGGTGGGCCTCTTGAAAGATTTCTCTGCGTGAGCTTTGTCGAAATGTTCTGTGTCAAACACAGAAAGAGAAAATCAGGCTGAGGCAAGACCACAACACGATCGGCAGGTAGTCCTGCAACTGGAGAGAGGGTAGGGGTAATCGACAAGAGCGGTCGTTAAGGAGCCTATTGAGGTGCTCGAGCCATGAATTTGATGCCTTGGTGCTTGACGAATCTTGAAAACAAGGCCGTTGGTTGACAGAACAAGGACTCGCCCCTCAGGATGCTGAGGGGGTATCGAGGCCCTAAGAGGCTCCTAGATTACAGGGTCCACAGTTTTGTCGGGCTCGGTGATCTTGAGTCCTTGACAGCGGCCGATTGGGGTTGAGGGGATCGGAGGAGCCGTTTCTAGGTCGAGAAAGGGGAAACCGACGAATATTAAAAGGAAGGAAAACAGGGACTGAGGAACACCCCTAAGAGCTAGAAGGAATAGATGTTAGCAGCTAGCAAGAGAATCGTAGCTGTGCAGAACAATGGGTCTCCTTTCAACAAAAGGCTGTTCCCTGTCATAGGGTTTGTTATGGTCCAAGGCTAAGTCTGTGCCAGAGCAGGGGGGTATGGAAGACTGTGTTGCTAGCAAAGGAGGGATTCCCTCTGCGTGTGGTAACAGCGAAGCAGTCCGATGCCTCAGGTTGTTCAAGCAAGTATCGGAGCAAGGTTTGCCTTGATACAGCAGACCTTCAACTAGGTACCAAGCAAAGACAGCAACCTATTGGTATGCTGAGATGCACTGAGATTCGGGGCCACGGGATGGAGAAGCGCAATCGTAATAATGAGATTTGAGCAGAAGGAGGACAGGTAAGAAAAACAGTCTGGCAGATGGATGGACGTAGTTGCGTATACGAAAATATGGTTACTTGCCTGGTCGGATGGATGCTGACAAGGACGACTGGAAGAGTCGACTTGCTAGTTGGTTCACAAAGGAGTGAGGGTGTGCGAGTCCAGTCGATGTCCCTAGTCAGCAACAGCCCTGGTGTTGAACGGGGTGGATTTGGTCGTTGCAGGCCCGTGGTGTTCGCTCGTGCGGTCGTTCGCTCGTCAAGATCGTCAAAACGCCAGTTTGGATGATGATGAGCGGCCACACACCCCGGTGTCAAGGTGTAGGACCAAGCTGTTACTTCCCAGCGCGACCACCTTTCTCCTACACAACAAAGTGCAACTCTGCTGTGCCTCTCTTTTACTGCTTCGTTTTTCTTCTTCTCCGGAATGTCGTATGGAGGAACCTGAACCCCGACGTCTCAACAGGACCGAGAATCGAATTTCGGTCGAGGTCGAGAATGTTGACAAGCGGCAGGATTGCAAGGTACGAAAAAGAAAAAGAAGAAAGGAAAAAAAAGAGGGAGACGGTTGAAGAAGCGGGAAGATGGCGAGGGAGTGGAGTGGTCGAGGTTCGGAGGATGGGGGGGGAGAGAGAAAGAGGAAAGAAATTGGGATGATTAGGAATGGTAGGTAATCAAGTATGATGAGACGAACAGGTTGTTGACCAGAGGCGGACAAAAAACCAGGACCTAGGAGCCACTAAGCCTGAACGCTGGAGTGGCAGGTACCGTACCAGTTTCCAAGGTAGGTACGGCTTGGTTTAGGTACACAAGGTACGAAGTAAGAGGTACCAGTCTTGGTACAATCACAATCTTCAATTACATATACACGTACTGCAGCTAACGAGCCCTTGTGTTAGGTACCGCTACTGGGCAGGCGCCTACCTACCAGGTAGGTACCTAAGGCAGATACCTCATCTGTTAAGAGGGCGTATTTTTTATATGATAACTAGTACACAAGGTACCTATAGAAAAAGGTAGCATCGCACTGCTTAAGTGGAAGTTAATGTACTTAAGTACTTTAAGAGGAGGGTACAGGTACCTCCTAAGCGGACTTCAAATAAGAGGTACCTAGGTACCTTCTAAATAAGAAGATATCACTACATCTGTGCCCTGCGCAGCTTACCTAGGTACCTAGGCTTCAGGACGGTTCCAGCCTTCTGTCCCTCCTTAGAACTATGCCTTCAATGTCTTTTCCTACTGCTTGGGAGTCCAGATCTCTTATGAGCCTGTAGCATAGGCTTAGTAAAATGCCTGTCATTAGCACTGCAGGTATGTAGGTACCTACTTAAACAAATACATACAGCTGTTATCGAAATATCAGGAACTCCTCCAGGCCCGTGCGACCCCAAACTTGACGCGTGGTTAAGGTGTTCTTTGAAGGAGACCCTGACCGCTAGGATGTACCTAGGTACCTCAGTAATGCAAGGCTTGCGTCGGGTATCTCATATGTACTCTGCTAGTATGTAGGTACTTCGGGAACCTAGGTACCTAAGGTAGGTGATGCAGTTTATCAACTTGGGCAAAGAGCTGGACACGCCTTCCCCTTGCCACAGCACCTCGGTGCAGGTATCTCTGGTACCTATTAAACTACACACACCTCTTGATGCCAGAGAGGTACGTGATCCTGTGAGGTACCTAGGTACCTATGCAGCAGTAAGGTTTGTCAGGGGATGCTCTGATCAACGAAGCGGAGAGAACGGTGGCTGTAACAACCCACTACAACGCCAGCAGCACGATGGGGACGAGGGGAGGACCCATTTCAGAAATCGCTCGGGTGCAGGATTTGCTTGGAAATGAAGAATGACCGGCGAATCCCTTGCTCCTTTTAGCTGCTCGGGCGGACCCCCATGGCCTGCTAGGTTTACAGGCTCCATGCGCCCGTGGTAGGTACACGGAACCAGCCCAGCATTGCTCTGGTAGGTAATTCTGTGAAGGAAGAGAAGGGCGGGGACAGGGGTCAACAGCAGCGTTGAGGGTGAGGGTGTGCAGTTTTGCCGTCCTTCTGTAAGGTAGGTAGGTACGTATGTATACATTCAGCCGTTGCAGGCAGCGTAGGTACAACGCCTAGGAGGTAGGTACCCTAGGTACCTCTAGGTTCTAAGTAAGAGGTAGGCAACTTAAGGTTACCTGTAGGATGTACCCCTCCCTACACGCGTAGGCCGGCGTTGGCATAGAACCCAAGGTACCTCTCTGCGCTTGCCACTCTGCCAGGAATCCGTCAACCCATAACTACCACCTTCCAGCCAGTCCTCCCGCAAGGTTTCATCAGCAGCACGTCCCTCCCACCAGCATGGAAGATTTCAACAATTGATGCCGTGCAGTATTTAGGGGCACACCCCCTCCCAACCCGACCGAGGCACCTGTTACTCGCCTATCTTGTCGTGGTCTCAGCAGATAGCCCCTGTGTGGATGTGTGCTGGTCCAACCGTGTATCATCGAGAGAGAGCGCACCCAACTGAATTCCCATCAGCAAACACGCGCAGCGGTGCCATGCCGTTTTACATTTCCTTCCTTTTTTCTTCTTCCTGCTGCCTCTTGACACCGCTGCGCAGCAGGTAGATACTTCCCGGCCTATCCAAGGGTAAGAGTATCCAACACACACACACACACACACACACACACATCCACGTACACGCATGGCTGGAGGACGGAAATTGAAATGTTCCCTCCCTCCGGAATCCAAGCCCCCCCGGGTGCACTCCTTGGAGTCAGGAGGGGGCATGTGGCATCGAGAACCACATACATAGTACAGGGGGCATCGGCGGTTCTCCGTTTCCTTCTCCATGTAGGGCTCATCGATAGATCGCGACCAAACTGGTAGGCCTACCACGTAGGGTGAGATGAAGAGGCCATAGGGGTCCCAGGGTCCTTATTCAGTCTGTTGTTATTGTACGTACCCATGTATAAACCTCGCGTACTACGCCAGAGCAGATCCAGCCCACCTGTGATGTTGTTGGCTTTAGTAAAGTTTATTCGCATTCTTACCTCTTTGGTCCCCTTCGATGCTTCGAGTCCTGCGCAACGACGGTAAGATGAGACGAGGCAGATCTGCTAATAGGGTTCTGGACAACAACCGAGGTCTTCCACCTTGTGCTAACACCCTCCCCTCCTCATGGGAACCGCAATTCTCCGAATCTCGAGGCGCCAAGCCGCGACTCGGGGTTCCTGGGCTTCGACGCGCACACTGCTCTGGTGTTTCGCTAACAGCCTCGCTTGAACGAGGACCGTTGCCCCTTTACGTACATGCCTGCGCTGTATATGCATGTATGCATGGCATCCATGCAACTTGGTATTTTCGGGTTCCTTTGTCTAGTACCTACCTCCTACCTACCTACCTATGTATAAACTAACCCTGCCCAGCGTCATTTCGCCTGTGGTAAAGGGAGTCCGCCACGTCGTACTAAATCTTTGAGCAAAGGATTAGACAAGCATCCCGCCAGCCCAGGCCGGCAAAATACGTGTATGAGTAGACGAGAGAGAGAGACAGATATGGTATTTAAAAAAAAGGGGGGGGGGGGGGGACGGAAGGGGGGACTTCCTAGATTGTGGTACAATAAGGGCAAACTAGATGGGACAGGTTACAGTCACGTTATCTAGCAAGCAAGCAAGCAGAGCACGTTGAGCATGTCTGTAGGCCGAACGGTGCAACGCCCGTTATCAATCAACGATCTGTCTGGTTGGGGGGACCAGACGTATAAACCGCTCTGCCTCCTTCTTATTCCGGAGCCTTCGTCTCCTCATTTGTTTTGACATCCGTTGCATCCGCCCATCTGGATAAAAGGGTCAGACCACGATCTGGTCGAGACGGGATTCTTTTCCTCGCACGTGGAATACCAAGCTACTACGTAGCAGGCGTTAGGGCAGCCAAGCTTGCTAGGAGCAGGCAGTCGGGGGAGGACGTAGGTATCTATACCTCTAAGGCTAAGCAGACCAAGTGGTAATAGCACTATCTTTATTCTTACGAAAAACCACGTATATCCCATTTTAGGAATCGACATCTCCGTGTATGTTAGGGATTTCGCTTTAGCTAGGTCTGATACGGTACTATCCAAGCCAACAAGCAGGAATCCTACCTCTAGCGATTTTTTTTTTTTTTGGTCTCCTTTACCCAACCTGGCCTTCCGCATGATCAGGCACTTGGGCCGAAATGAAACCCAATTCACGACTACTATGTATGAACGTAGGCGCTGTATCCGTAGAATCTGACCATGATGGTAAAGGAAGCTTACCTGAGACGTTCCCTGCGATGGAGTAGGGCACAATAGAAAGTGTCGAGCTTAACGCAATCTCGCCTGCCAGGCACTTCGCGATACTTCTTCCTTTTGCTGGTTGACGTACACATACGTATACATGCATACGTCAGAGCACGTAGGCACTTACTCATAGGTGTACTGTAAGAGAAAGAAGCAAGGCACCGAAAATACCTATAGGACCAAAGTACAGAGCTGCCTGGATTATGTGGGTAGGTACCTAACCTAAGCTACATGCTGTACACACCTTTCTGGTACACACTTTGCTGATCCCTATGTACGTATATACATATCCTGCATAAATATTGATATACATATATACGTGTACATGTGTGAGTATACGTAAAAGGTAATAGGAATGGAGTAAATAATGGCCCATGCCGTTGCAATATGCGTAGAGATTCGGTACGTATAAAATTAGTTTATCTAACAAGGCGCTGGGCGTTTCTTTATCCATCTCGAAGGAGGAGAAGAAGAAAACAAGTTCAACAAAGATCCAGGGGTCGTGGAATCCGGCACGGACGACAGAGGCCCATCCGAGCCCTCCGCCCGGGACAACATGCATGGGCGCGCTATATAGGTATGTACCGCTACCTAGTAGAGAGGGGTTTCCACTTACAGATACCCCAGGAGGCAAGTACCTATAGGTACCTAGCTACATAGCACTTACGCACATACTTTAGGTACCTATCTCTACCTGCTGAAGCCAGTATCCATGTATCCATACGCATGCCTACCTATATACATATACAAACACCTCAGTGCCTGCAGGTACCCACCTACCTGGAGAGGTACCTCATAATTCGTACATTAGGCATGTGTATGCACATTGGAAATCCATGCAGTCTACATTGAATGGCGCTGCGCATGGCCAATCCAGGCAGGCAAATCAGCCATAATACCTCTGAAGATGACGATGTCATTATCGCGCCCCACGCCCACGCTCACGTCCCGTGCCCAAGCCTCAAGCTCTGAATCGCCTGCCCGGAAGCGGAATAGCATCATTTCCAAGACCAAAGCTTGTGATTTCCGAGGAGGAGGCGGGTTGACAACCAATGCTGTTCTATGAATTTCGTATGATTTTTGCCTAGCCATGGCCCAGCAAAACACCACGAATCTCCGTACCAGAGGGGAGCGCTGGGCAGCTCCGGGGACGAAGCCGTGTCTGACACGGATGGGCAACAAAGTCTCGATGCCATATTTTCCTTCATCAGCAGCTAACCAACCGATGCACCGGCCGGCCGCCAATCACTAAACCCAACCAACAAGATCCGGGACGGTAACTAGCTCTCAGCAGTCATCACGACTACCACGTGTGTACTATATGGTAGTTTGTACGTGTAGGCGAGTTTGAAGAAATTGGATACGGAACGGGTGCACAAGTGCCGAGACACAGACCTCATCCTCCTTACCAGCCCCGCCTGGGCGATGATGGATGGGAGTACTGGAGGTGGACTAATATCCAGCCGACCGGACCGGACAAGCCAGCCTCGGATCCGCGGGCATGGATGCTGTTCAGATGGCGCTCACACATGTATGAGGAGGCGCCTCCTCCCCCAGCATGTGCGTTTTGGCGGTTCACTTTCGTGGCCTCGCTGCCTTGGTTATAGGGTATGCAGGGCGTGTTGGGGGCTGGGCTTAACTTATTGGTTAAAAGGAGGTAAAATCTCGATGCTAAAACGGCGATTGAATAGCTTTAAATATAGTTGTGAATCGATTATATTCTTTTGAACTATTCTAGAATCCATATAACCCCCTTTCCTCCTAAGGGTCGTTCTCGATCCTTAATATCCGTGTTCCATGATAATTTTTAGCGTTTTAGACGTTTTAGGTTATCTCGAGCTGACCTCTCGACCACAAGCTGTATACAAAGTGTCCGCCGTCTGCGTACGCTGAAAATGGCTGGGTTCTGTTGATAGTCGTAAATTGCTACGCTCGTAAAATGGCCTATTTAGTCTCAACGTTAGCTTCCTCTAGTATAGAGGCAGCGATGGTGCCCTAAGGCTCTGGTGTAGCGGCGGCGGTAGCGGCGGCGGCGACGGCGCCCTGGGGCTCTAGCGTAGCAACGGCGGTAGCGGCGGCGCCTTGGAATTCCAGCGCCTGTGGAAGCAGCGCTTGATTCGGAGCCGTGCTAGTAAGAGGAGAGCTCGTTGAAGATGGGGCAGCAGGAAGTGCAGTAGAAGGAGCAGTGGGGGGAGCGCCAGGAGGAGCAATAGGTTGTTCAAGCCGGCGTTGAGATGCTCTCCCAACGCTTTTTCCAGTCGACGGAAGCGTCAGCTGGATACGCTCCAGCTGAGTAGGTAGATAGCTGCTTGTATAGCTCCTATTTACCAAGAAAGCTGTGAATCGATCGAAGCGTTCATTTAAGAAGGCTGTGAATCGATCGAAGCGTTCATTTAAAAAGGCTATGAATTGATCGAAGCCTTCATTTAAAAAGGCTGTGAATCGATCGAAGTCTTCATTTAAGAAAGCTGCAAATTGGTCAAAGCATTGATCGAAGCCTTGGTGTAAATTATCGAAGCCTTGGCGTAAATTATCGAAGCCTTGATCCAAACGTGTAGATGAACGATCAAAGCCTTGATTCAAACGTTCCAAACGTGTAGATAAATCATCGAGACGGGAGTTTATCATGGCGCAGAGGTCGTTGATGTTGAGCTTAGAGCTCAGTTCTCTAACGGGAGAGGGCATCGTGGGGTACTTGTTTTATCTGAGACCAAATTAAGAAAGTTGAAAATAGCTATTGGCGGTTTGCCTGTAGTAAATAGCTATTTATATATTTTGGTAATTTACTTTCACAGCCTCGCTGCCTTAATTATAAGGCATACAAAATATATTAAATACTAATCCTAACTTATTGATTGAAAAAGGCAAAATCTAAGTGCTAAAACGACGATTGAACAACTCTAAACACAGTTGCAAATCAACTAATTACAGGGCTCCTTTTAGAGTCTATTAGGATCCACAAGCATACTCTTAAGATCATACTAAAGCTATGTTAAGTCTGTAGGTACGTGTGTCATTTTCAGAATGAGCACCTAGATGGGCGGGATTACGGGCCAATAAAGTCAAAGGGAATTCATAAGGCGCATTCTCCCCGCCCCTACTGTGTACATATATACTTATACATACCTACTCGTAGTAAACCCAAACGCGGATGCATATGTATAGGACCACGCCTTTGCTCCCACCCCCAGAAGCCCCATCAAGTTAATCTGGTAGGTATTTTGAAGATGCTTGGAAACACCATCTGAGGGATTTTACGCCGACGAAGACGAGTATATCACAACTGACTTCCGCGCCTACGTACTCAGTAAGGTATCGACATGTCTTGGTGCGCCTCTTGCCTCTCGGCCTACCCCAAGGCGAGGTCACCATGCACGATCACCCTCCATGCCTCCCTTTCCTACAAGCGCCGCCGGAATCCGTTACCCACCTTATTGTAGGTAAGTTACACATGCGTTGCGTGTCTAGAAATATAATGTGTGTGCATTTGAAGCGTGACAGGCTTCGAGTTAGTTCGTGTTAGGAGACGAGAAGGGGAAGGGAAGGGAACACGAGGGAAAAAAAAAAAAAGAGAAACAAAGAGAGGTGGCTGGGGGACGTCTTGTTTATTTGCCAGATTTTTTCTGCCTGTTGACCGAACCCCTAAACCTCCCCTACCTCTCAACTCAACACGTAACGCGCGTTGTCCCTCCACCCATGGCTCGCCCGTACGTCACCGCCACATTAAGTCTCCGAGATCAGTGCCAGCAGCAATCTAGACGAACGAGGTTTCGAGGTGGTCGAACCATTCCCCTAATTATTAGTCAGGGATGCACGACATCCTTCACAGCTCAGCCTCGCTAATGAGGTGATCTCGAGACCCAAACCCGCAGAGACATGGATGGATAGGGATGTATACCTACATACACAGAATAAGATTAGGTACAGGCAGGGCGTATGTATGTATGCATGCATGTGCGTACCATATGTGCGTACACACACACTACCTACATATGTATGTACGCGCCCTCCCCACGATGGATTCGGGTTTGTCGAGTACTCTCATACGGCGGCCAGTGACGGGATTCTTCTCCTCCCAATCCACACCACCACCGCAGCACCCTAACAGGTACCTAAGACCGAAGAGGCGATGGTGTACTACGTACATTGTGTACGTACGTGTAAAGATTAGCCGGACCCCCGCCGTCGGGACATCCATCCATCGTCCACCCCGGGGGCAAGCTTTGCCCCAACAGCGCCGACGACTCGCCTCCTCGGGCAACTTTTACTACGAGTACATACGTATGAGTACACTGTTACTATGAATACCCACCCACCCCGGCTACCCAAAGCATGACGCTCCCCGTCAAATCCGGCCGGGCTGGGCTGGCCAGGTGACCGAATCAGAGCAGCAGTCCGTCTCCTTCTCGAGGCCGGACGGCCTTTTTTCCATCCCACCTACACCTACGCCTACGGTCGAGGTTATGATGAGGTGCCAGGTGCTTGCGGTTCGGCGATGCAATACGCCGGCGCAACCGCAGCAGAAAGTACGCACATACCTAACCAAAGAGCACCGCCTCAGAGGTACCTAACCTACCTAGGTCGGGTGTACGTCCCGTATCGCCAAAAAGCTCCGCGGTGCCACAACAGCCGCCATAAGTCGATCGTCGACGGTATGTCCAGCAGCAGCCATCAATCAATCAAATGGTGCATGCATCCACAGGTAGGTAGCTCGAAGCTCGCTAAGTTGGGGATCCTGTCATCTTGCCGGTAGACAGTCCGGGTGGACTGTCAAATCAAGACGTCCCGCGTTCGTCCCTCCAGTGAAGCCAGACAGACGCCCCACCGCCGCCCCATGGACATCCCGCTTCGTGCTGGGCGGGCCAGGGTGGCCCAGACCATGGACCTCTCTCCTCTTCTCGCAGCGCTCCGCAGGCGCCGGTGGATTTCCTGGGAAACCCCGTCGACAACAGCGACTCGCTTGTTCCGTCTCTCTTCCCTCTCTACCGTCCTTCCCTTTCCCCTTCCCCCTCTTTTTTTTTTTTTTTTTTTCCTTCCTTTGCCCCTCAATCCAGACACGATTTTTTTTTCTTTCGCGCACGAGTCCGCCTCCACTGCGGTAGCGTATTAAGACTCCTCGAAAAAAAATTTCAACGGCGAGCGGGTCTGCCAGCCATTCATCCTAGCTACTACTAACTTACTACGTTGTATGTGTCTGGAGGAGCGTTCCGTGGCATCGGACGCGTGGGAACGACGACATCTTGGCCGCGTCAGACCCCTCCCGTCAACCTGCCCAGGTACGCATTCTCGCATCTACGATAGCGGTAGGTAGTATGTGGGCGTGGTGTCTCGTGTGTCTCTGTGTGTCTGTGTCTTGTGTCCGTGTGTGTGCTGTGTATGATGTGTGTGTGTGTGTGTGTGTGTGCTCTGCGTGTGCTGCGTGTGCCGTGCCGCGAGTGCTGGCTGTGAGGGTTGCGGTTGCGACCAGTCCTAAAAAGAAAAGATGAGAAAAGGGGGCGAGTTCCTTCAAGATGCCCCCCCCAAAGATCGGATGAGTTGGACGTCACAGAGTTGCAGAGCCGTCTCAGGCCTGTCGTTCCGAACAACGCAAGCACGGCGCCACTCTGGCCGCGGCCTGGGTCGCTCGTGAGTTCATAGTGATCCTCCGCATCTTGAGACTCGCCCGAGGAGTCACACATCCGTCATGGCCGCCTTAGCATCCCTCCACGTGCTGCTACCGTATCGCAGTGACACCGTGACACAGTGACGCAGGCGACGCAGCGACGCGACGGAATAGGAAGCAGGCGGCGCCATCATACCATACCACGACATCAGTTCCCAGCAGTGACTTGCACGCCTACCTCTTACTGTTGCTCGTGCCGGCACGCTAGGCTGGGAGCGGTCTCGTTCGACCGTCTCGGTCACAGATGGTTTCTGCAGCCGCTCGTGCCCCTCAAATACCGCTGTTCGTTCAGAAATGGCGGTTCGTTCAGAAGTGATGCTCACCCGCGCCGCCGCCCCGGCTGATTCGCTCGGTTACCATCTTGGTCCGCCAATGCGAACAGGAAGATACGGGTAGGCAGCTAGGTACACGTTATATGGCTGTTGTGTGTGTGGTAGGGTACCCGTACACATATCTAACCTCACGGCCGCACAGGGCTTGTTGAGATGGGCGAAACACACGCTGGGAATGCAGCACCAGATCAGAACCGTTCTAGCGGTGTGCGCAGACAGCTCCAGATCCGGGTGGGAAGCGCCTCTCCCACGACCCCTCACGAGCGCCCCCCCGCCGTCTCCGCAGCTGGGCAGGGTATTGTGGTCGTTCCAAAGCCACCCTCCATCGCATCCCAACTACCCATTCGAGAGAAGGATACCTAACTGGCCCCAGTCCTGCCGCCGGGAAGGGGATGCAGGCACCGACCTCCTCAAGCGACGAAGGCCGGCGGCCGACGCTGCGTCGCTAGCTCACGCATCCCTTGGTAGGCGTCTGCGCCCTCTCGACGGGCCAAATATCCGTGCGGAGTCGTCGTTCGTGCCGCCAACGCGTTACCCACCCTAACTCGTAACAATTCCTTCCTGGGAGGGGGGGGGGGACGGTGGGCAATCCACTCGCTGCCTACCAGGCACGGGCGTCCGCTCCCACGCCTCTACGTAGTCTCTCTCTCACGTACGATAGCACAGCCGGGCTGCGTCATTTGTCCGCCGCTCCGGCATCGACTGGGCCGCTCCCACACGCTCCGGACCTCCTTGCTGGCGCTCGCCTAGTGAATCCTGGCGACGCGTTCCCCTCTTCGTTGAGTCACGGATGCAGCCCGCCACCTGGCCGAGTCTCCGTATGTATATGTATGAGTGTATGGGCGTATGAGTGTTTGTATGCACGTGTGTGTCGCCGGCGGGCGTTTATACGTCTCTGGTGCGAGGGGAAGACGAGGTGGGATGCGCGCGTGCACGATGGTTATTGCCAGCGGTCGGTCTTGGTCCGTACCAACGAATCCCCTCTCGCCCCCATTCCTAACTACCCGGTCTTCCCAAAAAGAATGACCCGCGTCCGGGTTGGGACCGGCCACTCTGGCGGGTTTATTCCAGAACGAGTCGAATGGAGGATCGGCAGCGAGTTAGGTCTGTTCTATTTTTTGCGCTTCCCCAGTCGACGGCGGTAAGGAAATTTCCGCCTCCACCCGCCCAACGGGAGCAGTTCAACCACACACGCTGCGCACATACCAGAACATGCGCACATACTCATAGTTGCGCCCAGGCAGAGACGCATCTGCTCGATATTACCACCGTCTACCCAACACGATCTCTCCAATACGAGAGGAGAAGCCGCCGAAGGGGCGTTTCCCCCGACGGGCCATCGCACCACGACTGATACGAAACAAGGATAGGAATTCGCGCCAAAGAGTACCAACCCGGTCTCGCTCTCGTTAACGTAAGAGGTAGGTAGGTAGGTAGGTATAAATCCTTCCCGTCCGTGTATATGGTATAGTGTAGCACATCGCAGGTACCAAAGTATAGTAATATTCGTCTACGTACCTATCTACCTGACCTATCTACATTATTAACCCGCGGCCAGATGCAGACGGTGCCAGTGGTCCCGCGGGTAATCAAGACTGCATGGTCACAGACAGCAAAGCGGAGCCCGTATGATGTCGTAGGTAGGGATCAGAGGCATGGCAGGCTGGGAGGGGAGGCAGATGTGTCTTGGGGGCTAACTATCTTAACCAACTCTTGCAGGTTCGCTACATACCTCCGCCTTGCCTAGGTAGTAGGTAGGCAAAGTTAGTCGGGAACCGAGTTAGTTGGGCAGTCTGCGCAAAGAGCATACATTAGCGCTTCTTACCCTCATACGATCGATCGGCGCCGGCGCCAGCGCCAGCGCCAGCAGCAGCAGCCGTTTTTTTTTTTTTTCCCTCTCTTTCTCTCCGGGGTCGTGTCGACGGCACAATCCCGAGGGCGGCGCGAGGGAAGTCCGCATAGAGCAAGTTAAACCGAAGGCAAGCCGTGGCAAGTCAGAAAAGAGACGGAAAAATTTTTTAGATGCGAACATAGGTATATTCAGAGACAAAGACGTCGGATAGGGTCACCCAACCGAAGTACCCATATTATTCATAGACTGGCCGCAGACACATAGCCTAGTTTACCAAGGTTACGGCTGTTATTCTGCGTCTGTAAGTCACTCTTCGATAGACAAATGCCCTTTTTTTTCCCCTTCCCCCTCTTTCCTCGACGGGATAGGATAGATGCCCATCACATCCGCCTACATAGCATTAGTTGCATCTTGTACCGCTCGTTTATACTAACACATCTTTCCCTTTTTGAGAAATTTCTCTCACTTCCCCCTCCTCCTCCTCTCCCCCTCTCTCCCTCACACGTGCTAAGCAGGAGTGTATCAAGGCGGGCCCCCCTTTTCTGGTTTTGTTTTCGTTCTCCTTTTCTTCCTCCTTCTTCTACGATCCTAGCTTCGGACGTGACGTGGGTCAGGAGACCATCGTTCAGAGAAGGGTGGCGAGAGTTCTCGATCCGGATCCTATCTCGAGCGGTACATACCATATCCATGAGTACCCAACACACGCAGGCACGCAGGCACGTACGCATGTGCGTCCGTCGGCACGCAGAAACGGACGCACACCTAGGCAGACGGACGGACGTAGCACGGCGGCGATGTGGTCAAGTTGTGTGTGTGCATATGTAGCCCAGGTTCCACACTGCCGATCACCGACAGCGTCCCAACATCTCTCTGGCATTACCTGTCTGTATTACCACCGCTATCGTAATCAGCTGCTTCCAATGGCCTTCTCTTCCTCAGCTCCCTCCCTTTTCTTTTCTTCTTTATTCCGTTATTCTTCTTATTCTTCCCTCCTTCTCGACCCAAAGAAAAAAAAAAACAACCTCTAAGCGACCCCCAGCCGGCCAGCAATCCCGGATGGGCCACACACCAACACATACATGCCTACATGTCTGCACATGTTCGCTCCTCGCCTATGATTTCCCGCGCCCCCCTCCCGGAAGTCCACCACCTATTAAACTGCCTGACTATATATCTATCTATCTAAACTGACTGGCCCATCACTTTCTTTGCGCCACCTGTACCACTATATCCGACTCTACCCGGCCTCGCACGTGCGCCAGGCAAAACGAAGCCGCGGAAAGTGAGGAATGTAGCCACTAGTATCAGACGGAGGCAGGCCAGAGAAAGCAGACAGAGAGAAAAGGCTGACCCGCCGATCGCCCGGCCGGTTCGTTACGCTCCTCGGGGCCCTGAGCCAGACCGGCTAGCAGCCCGCTAGCGCCTCTATCTCCAACCGTCCCTCCATCCACCCCCCCCCCCCCTCTCCCCTCCCGTTGATCTGCCTCTGCGTCTGTATGCCCGTCTGTCTGGGTTAACTCGCTCGCCCGCCCACCCCTGATTCGGGTCTCGGGTGCGGCAAGTCGGTCAGCCAGCCAGCCAGAGCCGGTTCGTTAGTTTAGCCCCGCGCCTCAACCCCCTCCTTGACAGCCTCAACAACTCCTCTCTTCTCCCCCCTTCCCCCCTAACTCGGTTAGATCTCGACAAATGCTGGGAGACGGGGTGGAGCGGGGGGAGAGAGGGAGGAGAAGCAGAAGCAGGTGGCTGAGGCGAGACCATCCGCGCCCGCGCGGTTGCGACCCCTCGGCGGGCGAGGGCGAGCTAGCTACCCGCTAGCTGCCTGAGTTGGCTGGGCAAGGAGGTAGAATAGGGCAGGGCAGGGCAGGGCAAGGGCAAGTTAGCTCAGCGTAGGGCGTGTTCTCGTCTGTCGACGAACACACGCACGTAGACCATCTGCTGCACCCTTCCCCCCCTTTTTTTTTCAACTTGTTCTCTCTAGGCTCCTCCCCTCGGAACACGCCACACGCACCGCCGCGCGCCCGACCGGCGGCGATGAAGTCGCCCGAGGGGGGGGCTGGCTGGCCTTTCACGGCGGAGAGCCGGTGTCGCGCAGGCCCCCGTCTCAGCGCAGCGGAAGGGATGCCGCGGCCGGCAGACTGTGCGCGTCCCCGTCCCTCGTCTTCTTGTCGTTTTTTTTCTCTCTCTCGCCCCCTCGCCCCGTTGCGGTGCCCGAGACTAGGGTGGCGCGGCGTCTGCTAGCTCGGCGAGTAGTCTCCCCCCCCCCCCCTCCTCCCTCCCTCCTTGGCCCTCCGCGGAGTCGTCGTGCGACGCCCGGCACCAGAGCCCGGGCCACAGCCGCGGCCGGCGCGTCGGACTAAGCCCGGCTAGCGGATCCCGCCTCCCAGTGGCGAACCGCCCTGTTTCTGTTGCCCCCCCTCCCCGGGCGTAGGTGGGCGGCGGAGATGCTATCGCCTGGGGGTCGCCTCCGGCCTGCTGGCGAACCGCGACGCTGGAGAAGGACGGCTAGGCGCAAGGGGGGTGGGGGGTCTGCGCGGCGGGAGCGAGGGCGGTCTGCGCCAGTGGCGAACGCGAGGGGAGGGGCGCGGACGGCCGCGTTTGACCATCGAGGCCGTCTCGTTTGGCGCACCGTCGATCGTCGGCCGCGCGGCCGCGCGTGGTTCTGGACCGCGCTGTGCGGCGGCTGCCGAGCGTCCATCACCGCGGCGAGACGCGGAAAGGGCGCCGCGCGTTCTTGTCTAGCTCCTGGCTGGAGAGTCGCGGCGTTGTAGGTAGGTAGGTATGTCGTCTCTAGCGGCAACGCGTGTCGGGACACGGCGGGCACCTGTGTCGTGTGCTACCGATGTCGGGGGGTGCGGTTTGATGCCCTCTCCCCCTGCCGGCGAGATACTGCGGCGTGCTGCCGGCTGTCTGGTCCTAGGTAGCCCGCCCCGGCTATGGACTCTGGTGACGCGCAAGATAGATATTTTCCTCCCGCACGCAGGTACCTCTGTACTGAGCCGCCGGTACCGGTTACCCTTTCGAGGACTCCTCCTCTACCTGGGGTAATAGTGGTGTCGATCACGTCGCCTTGTTTCGGCGCGTCGCCGCGTCAGAGGAGAGGGAGGAGATGGGAGGGGGTGGGGAGGGGGGGAGGGGGGGGGGGGGTTAAGTGGCGCGGGGATTCCGGGGGTGGTGGGGAGCGCCCGGTGGGCGGAATCGCGGAGTAAATGCGCCAGGGGTTGCGATCTGGCACCCGGACAGCCCTCTTCCGAACGGCTCGCGTCGGCGTCGAGTTGGTTGTCTGAACCTCGACAGCTCCCCCCCCTCCCCCCTCTGTCCGCCGGCGGCGCCTCCCGGCATAGTCGGGCCGCTTCCGTTACGACGGCACATCTCGCCGTTGGAGGCCGTGGAACTGTCGAGGGCCCTCCCGTCGCGGCATATCTCCTCCATAGTGACAGTTGCGGGCTGGCGGCGACCTTCGCAGAAATGGGCTGTGGGCTTCGTGGTGGAATTGTTGAAATGCCCAGGCTACCAGGTCGCTGGTGGCGCTGGAGCGTTTTTCTGCTTTGTGGGAGGAACAGGGGATCGCAACTGGAGGTGTGCAGTGGTTGGCGCAGCTGATTGTTGCTCAGTTCACTCGCAACGTTATCAGCTAGGAGACTGGATCAGGGGCCATGGTTATTATTGATTGGCTTCTTGATGTCTAGTGGGAATAGGGGGCCGCTCGAGTTATCGTAGCTACGGGTGGCTTGTATTTCCTCCCCATTGCTATATTGAACAGACAACTGGCAGAATATTTCCGCGCTGATATCTTGAGTAGCGCCTGACGACAAGTTCCTCGAGCTTTGTTATGGGGGCATTCGCGTTCGTCTGACTGCGATGGCCCTGCCCGCGTACACTGCGCATCTTTCTATACTGCCCCTTCCGTGAGCATTACGCCTTGCCTGGCTGCTAGGGATGAAGGGGCCGTCGAGGAATAAACATGAGCGTGTCTAAACCCGCAGCGTACGGTGGGCTCGGAACTACCTCTTTCTCGACAACCCCTTCATCCCTCACGTCGGCCTCCATCCCCCTCTCTTCTAGGTGATAAACGCATCCACGGGCATCTTATTCTCGGACAACGTACACGCGATGGCATCCGCGATGGAATTGATACCGGGCGAAATATTGATTAACATACTAGCCTACGTGGAGGGGTCGCCTCACGGATCTTCAGATCTGATACAGTGCCTGCAAGTTTGCAAACGATGGCACGAGATCGGAAGCTCGATATTGTACCGAAATATTGTGGTGGGCACTGACCGTATGCCGAAATTCCGGAAACGCTTCAATTTCCAGATGGCGGACCGCGTTCGCTCCTTGACGATAAAGCTCGGCGGAGACTTGCCGTCCGAAACAGTCAGATTCGTCGTCGCCGCCCGTCTGCTCTGTTTTCAGAACGTGTTGCCAAAGCTCCAAAGGTTACGGTCTTTCTCGCTGCGCCTAATTCCGAGAGACTCTCAACGGTTCGAGGTGTCTGACCAGCCGATCTCGAAGTTGCTCAGACAGCTACCCCTTAGTTGTGTCGACTTGGAGATCTCGACCACTATGCGGGAACGGTTTGGGTTGGGCGACCTCTGGAATAAACCTCGGTTTTACCATTTGTGCAATGTGATTCGCTCGCTGTTGCCTCGGATGCATCATGTCCGTCTCCATCTTGCCTACCTATGCCCTGCGTTGTTGTCCTCCTCGTTGGATTGGCCATGCGAAACCCAGGGAGAGACCACGATGACGCTGCCGAGAATGAGGACTCTCTCAATCAACAGCGGATGGCCTTGGTATCTGGCAAGCCTATGTCTGGTTCGCGCGGATGGTAGCTCGGCCACGCCTTGGGACTCTGTGACTCGGCGTCTAGAACAGATAGCCTGCCAGCCGGAAGGCTACGCCCCGTCTGTCAATATTGTCGCTATCAGCCTCGCCGATAAGTCCTATATAAGCGCCGACAATTACCAGACAATAATCCGCGCCGATATGCTCTCTCGCACCCGTCAGCGCTTTCCGGTCGTACGGCTATCCTGGCTATAGGAAGAGTGGTTAATGCGGAGGGGCGAGGGGCGAGGGATCATCTCCCCGCGTATAGAGCCTCTGATGCAAGTCGCCGAGGGAGAGTTCTGGAGAACACTCGAGGGCGGTGCCAGGTTGCCTTCAGCCCGGGTCTGGGACCCGGACGCACCCGAAGAATCCAGTGGCCTCCTCCTGAACGAGGCTACCTGCAGAGCCGTCCATCCGAATCACGCGACCGCATTTTGGCAGGAGGAGGAAGAGGCCGGGACCATCCTCTTAGATGCCGATACGGAAACGGATCCCAGCACTTACCTGAAGTTAGACCCGTTGAAGATGAAGAAAGTGAAAAAAAAGTAGGGAGAGTAAAAATTCTTGATACCTAGGATGGGATACTCATACCTAGATGTTGGATGGGCTCTGAGACGCTGTTGGGCGATCCGAGTCTGGTTCGCTTCTGGTCACATCCGCCAAGCGAGAACTTCTTTTCTTAATCTGTTGGCGTACGACGATGGCTAATATGGCCGCGTCCTAGCGTAATATTGTTAGGTCCGATGCCTCTTGGTGGACGAGGCGGGCCTCTATTTGGCGCCTCAGACTAGGTAGGTATTTTATACACAGCGCCAGTCGGCAGGTCTCCATATTCCAGACCTAGGACCGGCCTGTAAAGCCTAACTCAGCAACTCGTTGTCTCATACCGACGTTGCGGAACGCCAATCACCTCGAGGCCATGTTATGGATCTCAGCGTCTCCACGGCTGTTGGTCGTTGTTTTTATATGTAGTTGGCTCTGTTACGGGTCTACGGGGCGATGACTGATTGGTCATACCTATCTCATCGCCGCCCCATTGTGCTGCCTCCGCTACAGCGACAGGGTTCCCTCACCCCCGGACCCATCCCCATACGCGTTGAAGCCTGTTCTGCAATGCAATTTTAGCACCCGCACTTGTCGAAACTCACCAGAGGTGGGAAGAGGCAAACCAAGGGCACCAGCGTCACGGCGAACAATCCCGCGGGTACAGGGAGACGATGTGCAGGACACTCCCATCCCGCCTTCAGGCTCGATGATGCCTAGAGACGGTCTCAGACCGGTCAGTATCAGACGTAACTTATACCGGAGCTGGCCTCGTAATACGCCTCACTGGATCTGGTGGCTCAAACGTAGGTACTGCAAATTTGTTACCTACCTAGGTGAGTTACTGTGCCCGAAAGGCTCTCGGCCACTGTCGAATAGGAGAGACCTTCCCCAGCCACATTTCCCGCGGCTCAACGCCAGCGAACGAGACTTGCGAATGTACCTAGCGCCTCGCCGAGTTGGACGAAACAACTGCCCTTCAGCCGTGAGCCAACGCAAGTGGTTAAGAGTATAGCTGGTTCTCCCTAAGTACACTTGAAGACGAGGTTGGCCAAGCTTAACGGCCCGGCTTCGATGACAGGCGGGCCCGTCCATGCACGGCGGCAAGACGGAGCAATTGAGGCATATCTAGGTAGGTAGGTAACGGCTGCATGCTCCTCTTACGGCTACTCGCGAACTATTAATGACCCATAACCCAAAGCCTGCCACCAACAGAAATGCCACCAAAAGACAGCTGCTTTTCCACTACACACACACAAAACTGCCAGATCGGTTGCGATCGAACCCTTTGCCCGCGTCGTATCGTCTTCTCCGTTGACATCTTTACGCGGATGCCTGTTTTGAAATACCACGGCGAAAATGACGGTCTACGATAAAGTTGCCGAGGCAAACGCCGATGATGAATGCCGGGCTTGGGTGCGTCAGCTCATCGACGCGAAAGATGAAGTCGTGGCATTTGTCGATGCCCGCTTAGACGGCAAAGGAACCGGGGCGTACCTTGGTTTCTTCAAAGGATCATTCAACCTCAGCTTCCACATCGGATTCGGGGGGCAACGGCCAGGCGTTCTTATTCGTTTTGCGAAACCAGGCCATATACATTCGCCGTGGAGGGCCGAAAAGGTCGTAAACGAAGTGTGTATTATTGAGTATCTCCGCCAGCACACCACTATTCCCTTGCCTCATATACGCTGCTGGGGTTTGGCCGAGGAGAGCCCACATCAGTTGGGACCATTTATCATCATGGATTTCATCGAAGGGACCCGACTCTCGACGCTCCTCAAACAACCAACCGAGGACGAGTATGCGGAGATGATCCTTAACCCAGCTATTGAAGAGGAGACGCTTGACGTTATCTATAATCAACTAGCCGACTTTATTCTCCAAATTTCTCGGCTCGAGTTCCCTCTCATCGGAGCCATCTCTAAGGATGCTTCGGAGACGTGGACTGTTACCGGCAGGCCCCTGACATACGATATGAACGAGTTGGCAACCGGGACAGGATATCCAGCGGACCAACTTCCCACTGCGCAGTTCCGTCGTGCAAGTGACTTCTTCCAGTCGATTTCGAACCAACGCCTCCTCCATCTTAAGACTCAGCGGAACCTCGCTGAAGACGAGGCCGATGTTCGAAGGCGTTTCATCGCCCGTCATCGGTTTAAGCAGCTTATCCCGGAATACTGCATCGATGATGACGGCCCGTTCAAAGTCTTCTGCGACGACATGCAACCTGCAAACATGCTCATCGACCCCAAAACCCTTCGCATCACCGCCGTGCTTGACTTCGAGTTCACGAATAGCATGCCGGCGCAGTTCACCTATGACCCGCCCTGGTGGTTGCTGTTACGGGGGCCAGACGTGTGGCTCGATCAGGATCGCATAGATGAGTTCTTAGCGCGGTATGTCCCCAGGATGGAGCAGTTCTTGCGAGCGCTGGAGCGAGCGGAAGAAAAGTCGGCTGCGGAAGGAGACGAACGGCTAGAGAAGGAGCCGCGTCTCTCTACCCGGATGAGAGATTCGTGGAAGACCGGGCGCTTCTGGTTTAACTACGCCGCAAGGACGTGCTTGGATATGGACGACATATATTGGCATGCTTTGCATCATCAGGTGGACGGCGACGGTTTCGACTTGCTCGACGAGGCGACGCGGGCGGAGCTTGAGCCGTTGGTACGGATGAAGACGGAGCAGCGAAAAGCTTACGAAGAGGAGTGTGCGGTTCGGTTTCCCGATGACGAGTAAGGGTGAGGGGAGTGTCTCGTGCTCAACAAAAGACGCGCATGTGCTTTAAGAAGTGCCATGCTACAGGTCTCGCCAACCCGGATGCCAAGGACTCAAATGGTCGGACGCCACTATCGCCGGCAGCAGAAAACGGGTGTGAGATGACAGTGGAGCGCTGCTACTCGCCGGCGGTAAGGTCGATGTTGGCTCGAAGGGTAATGACGGCAATGGAGTCGGTCTACTGGGCGATAGGAAACGGCAGCCATTCCAAGGTGGGGCGGATTTTGGAGTCTTTCAAACGAGAACCGCCGGGCTCGCAGATCGGATCTCGAGGATCTCGAGTGTTTGAGACTAGGGGCGCCTAACTCTAGGCGTCAACGATCTCTCTCGGCGGATAGCCAGCGGCTCGCATCGAGCTCAGAGGATCAAACCCTCAAGATCCGGGATGCCAGTTCGGGCGCGTGCGCGGGTCGATGCATCGCAAACGGAGTCCGCTCGGCTTCGGCAACCGTCGAAGGCGATGCTGGTGAGTTCCCACCCGGAAGCGGTAGTTGATACGGGTGGGGGGCTTCGCCTCGACCGCGTCGTCGTCCTTATCTCCTCCTACGTCGTGGATCTCGCATCGTCGGCCACGTGAGGGATTCACCCAGATCAGCCTATGACGCTGCTTGGTAGCCCCTATTCCTGTTCACCCCAGACCCGCCACGATGGCAAGCGACTCGATCCCGAATATCGACTTCTCCGGTACATTCTCTACTGCAATTCTCGCTGGCCGCATCGCGGCAGTCGACGGGAGGCTTACACACGCCCGGCGACCGGCTCAGCAAGTACTAGCCCCGACGGGGCCGTCAGAGATGCGCTAGTGCAGCAGCTACGCGCGGCCTGCGAGAGCCACGGCTTCTTCGAGCTCACCGGGCACGGGGTGCCGCAGTCGCTGCTCGGCGAGGTGCCGGAGCAGAGCGAGAAGCTGTTCGCCCTGCCGCTGGAGGTTAAGGAGAAGCATAGTAAGGGTAGGTACCTGTCGCGCTCCTCCTCTCCCTACGTAGCCACCGCCTAGGCAGCCTGTGGGGAGAGCTGGACTAGACGAAGCTGACGAGCCCGGCGCGCGCCCGGGACCAGACCTCAGCCTGTGCGGGCGCAGGTACGAGCGGCTGCGGTCGCAGAACTTTGAGAAGCGGACCGCCGGCGACCTCAAGGAGGGGTTCGACCTGGGGGGGGACCTGGCGTCAGACCACCTGAGCGTCGCGGCCGGCCGGTTCATCACGGGGCCCAAACACGTACCCGGACGCGGTCGCGGACCCGCAGCGCTTCCGCCGCGTCGTCGACGAGTACTTCGCCGCCATGCTCGACCTCTCCAAGCGCGTCGTGCGCGTGCTCTGGCGCGCGCTGGACCTCTCCACCGACTCCTACGGCCGCCCCGAGGCGGCTGCCTCCCCCCCCCCCCCCCGGTCGCCGAGCTCGCCCGCGCCCAGATGGACGCCGCTACCGTCGTGGCGTAGCGTGTGTAGAGGAGCAGACACATCGGCGAGTTGGGTTGTAAAGTAAAGTAAGATAACCGACAAAAGAAGGGGAAGAAAGGAGGAAGCTTCGTTTCCTGAAGGCTAGAGCAAAAGGCCTTCCCCGAGGCATAGGTATATATATCTATCTCGCGAGGAGTCGGGCACGCTTTAATGCCCCGGCTGGCTCTGTCCCCCCTTTTTCATTTTCGCCAGCGCACACCGACCCCCCTCTGAGGTCTCGGTGTCCGACCACCCCCTACTTAGTTCTTCCCTGTCTCCGCTTTCACCCGGCTGGTCCGCCGTCGCCCACTCGTGTATGCGTGCGTGTGCGTGCTCGTCCGTATGCGGTACCTCGGATCCGGGCCCATGTCCCGGTCTTGTCTGTCGTATTAATACTGCTGCTTCCCCCCCCTGCTTGGTTCTGCCTAGGGCCCTACGATCTCTTTTCGTGTGTATAACGCGCCCTGCGCTGCGGCTCTGCTGGTTAGGGTCGTGACACGCCCAGTAACGAAGCACACGGCTCTTCGCGTCTTCGTTTCTATTTTCCTGCGAACATTATTACATCTATTATTCTTACCACTAACCTGCCGTGCTGTGCTATACCGTGTTGTGCCTTCTGCATTATGTATACAACACCAGGTTAACTCTACCCGATTCCGCTCTCGGGAATTTTGGCCACATTGTTGCGTAGTAAGTAAACCCTGGACGCCGTTCCCGTCCCTCCGCTGTAATTTTTTAAAGCATCTCTTTACCCCGGCTTCCCCCCCTTTTCCTTAGTCCCATGCGCGGTCAACAAGACGGACGTGCCTCTGCGTCGGCGTAGAGAGGCATACTTATATCCAACGGTCCGGGATCCGGTGGCCGTCCCTAAGTCCATCTAGCCTTTAATAAGTGTGCCGAAACGTAACCACCTATCGAAAAAGCCAACACTGCTGCAAAGTTGAAACCCCGAGAAAATACGCACCCATCAAGTTTCTCGGACTCGCGTTGCTCAATACTATCCCTGTGACTGCCCTGGCTCGGTAGCCGACTTCACTGGCCGAGCAGCTTGCTCGCTAGGTCAGCCTTCTCGTCCTCGGTGAGCTCCTTCTGCGCCTTGGCCTTGGCCTCCTTCGCGACGTCGAAGCGCCATAGGCCACCCGTCTTGTCCGCGTCACCGTTGGCGCTAAGTCCTACTACTGGCGCTAGCTCCTCGAGGATAGCGTCAGGTCCGGGGAGAGCCGTGAAGTACCGCCGCTCCCACTCCCGGCCCTCGGACTGCTCCTGCTTCCGCATCGCCCGCTGAGCCTGCTCGATCTTGGCCTTCTCGCGGCCGACGTAGTCCATGTCGCCCTTGGCGATGCCCACGGCGACGTTGGCCCACGCGCGGCGTGACTCGAGCGGGTGCTGCTTCTCGACCGGCGCCACTATGAGCCCCGAAGCGGGGGTCTCTGCCGGGTCCCACGAACCGATCAGCGTTTTGGACGAGTTGTACTTCACCGGGCCCGAGTGAATCTCGAAAGCCTTGGTCCACTGGCCGGAGCAATTGTAGATCACGTCCTTCTCTTGACCAGTCGGGTACAGCGTCGCCGTAAACGAGTTCTTCTTGCCGCCTATCCAGCCCTTACCGCTGTAGTCGATTTTTGCCGTGTACCCTGTCGACGAGGTGATGTACGACGCGCTATCGAGTTCGATAAAAGGCGCGCCGAATATCAGGCCTTCCACGTGGAGCGACGGTAGCGTGATCAAGAACGTGTCAAAGGCGCCGTCTTGGGTAGGATCTGGCACGGTCAGGACGGCATGTCCGATCTGTTTGATGTTGATGGTCTTGGAGAAGGTGGCCTTTTGGGCATTGTACCCCTCGAGGTGCACCTTGGTGGACTCGTTGGTAATACTGTATGCGGTCGCCGGAGGGTGATGGCTAGACTGTCCGTCAGCATCGTGCTCCGACCGCGGCAGCTGGAACCGGCCTGATCGGCTTGAGCTTACTTTACTTGTTCGCTGATCAGCACGGTCGTGCCTGCGTCATCCTCCCACTTGCCCAGAAACAGCTCTCCTAGGAAGGGATTGAGCGGCTTCTTCTCGTTGCCATACTGTTCGCTCCGGCTCGCGTATTGCTGCTTCAGAGTGGTCAAGAACCACTTGAGCACCAACAAGGCTCTCTTGGCGGGATCCGGTTCTCTGGCCGGGGCGGCAAAGACGCTAGGGTGCTCGCACCAGTAGGAGCTGAACTCGGTGAGACTTGTGGAGGAGAGGATGAAAGGCGGAGCAGTCAGGGAGGACAGGTCGCCGTTAAAAGAGGCGATTGACTGGAGGCAGAGCTTCATCAGTGGCGAGCAAGAGGCGAAGGCTGTGTCGAGGGAAGCAGAGCTGCAGACTAACCTTGAGAAAGGCAGACCAGCTGGAGCCTGTGGCCTGGGCGTTGGGCACGGGTTCTGACATTACTATGACGTTCCGGAGGCGCTGGCCAGGCCGGGATTTGCACGGTGCTCGAGTTAGATTCGAGGTTTGCTTGTCCTCGAGCGAGGACGGGTGTGTGTGTTTTATCGTGGGGAGGTTATGCGCCCGGAGGGAACAAAGAGAGCAGGTCTAAGCGCGGGAAACTCGGGTCAGTCAATATCGGAAAAGGTCAGAGTCCATAGAGACGGGCAGCCGACGAAGCTGGGACGGTGGAGGCGGCAGCACCGAGCTATGGCGGCCGTGGGGCTTCTACCTAATCTAGCCGGAAGAGAGGTCGGTCTTGCCCGTGCGACTAGTCTAGATGTGAAGACGCGTCGTGCGGCAGCCGGTTAGCCAGGTAATTAGTATCTGGTATGCGAACCGGACGTGGTGTGCAGTAAGGTTGTTTCTGGCGGTACAGGCGAGCGTGCGACGACGGGTTTAGTGCGAAGACGGCGGGATGGGCGGACCAGAGAGGAGGTGGAGGAGAAGGAAGATCAGCAGCGATGACAAGGACACCTAAGAGTATATGGCCCCAGTAACGGAGGCCGGTTGCAAGAGGGAGTAACAGTAATAGTAGCAGGGTTGATGAGTAATAGCGAGGCGGATAAGGTGGGCGGTTTAGAGGTATATACCTGTTAGGGCATGCCGAAGTGGACACTAGATTTGACGTCAAGAAGGACGAGATGAAGGCGGCCCGTTTCATCACCAAAATTCCCCCCTCGACTTTTCCTGCCCTTCCTCTCTCCACACGTCATCGACCCTGGGCCTGGTTGGGTGCTAGCCAGGTATGCACTGGGTGCCCGCCCTTGCCTGGCGCCGGCGGGGCGGGGCTAACCCCTACGGGGCGTAGCGCCATCTGGACAGAATCAAATCGCGTGCCCAACTTCCTGACTATATAATCCCATTCCCGCAGGCTATTGGCTGATGCCGGCTCGGGGCAGGTGCAGGTGGGGCGAGAGTTCTGGCAGCGCTCGGAGATATGAGTAGGTACCTTATGCATGTGTATACCTAGGTAGGTAGGTATGTACCTTTGCTCTGTCCGTACATATGCTACCTTAGGTACCTACCTGACCTTAGGGACGTCTGTCGGGAGAGGTATGTGCCGGTGTTAGGTAGATACTTGCTACTTCCTGACCGGAGCCTATGATCGGGCTCGACAGGTGCTGCTGCCGACCCTTACCCGATCGCAGATGTAAATCTGTAACTGGGGAAAGCTTCGCGTTATAAGGGGCAATCCAGCCCGCAGCACGCCTCCTCCGAAATCGGCACATGCCTACCTACCTAAGTACCACAGGTGTCGTACCTGCCTATGCTATGCTTGCCGTGATTACCAGGGCACTAGACGTGTGGCGAACCTGGTCATACCGCTAAAGAGTGCAACGAGCCGCGCAACGTTATCTGCCGCACTGTGGCACCTGAGGCATCCAGGCATCAAGAATGGAGGCCTGCGATTGGTCAGGTTGACGAAAAACGCACAACTGTCAATTGACCTGAAAACGCTGTATTTAAGCTGTTTCCAGTAGCTAGCTCAATTCCTTCAATTCAACAACAACAACAACAACAACAACAGGTTCAGCTTTCAACACGTCTTGTATGTCTTACAATTAAGGCAGCGAGGCCCTGAAAGTGAACCGCCAACACGCACACAACTTCCAGGAGTCCGGCCATGTGGCTAGAGACTGCACCGAGAAGCTTAACACCACCTGCCGCAACTGCAGCGAGATCGGCCACAAGTCCGCAAGTGCCCGACTCCTTTCTGCACTCGATGCAAGGAAACAGGACCCAAGGAAACAGGACATACGCAGGGGAGCTGCAAAAATGCTCCTCCAAAGTGCGCCAAATGCGGCTTCGCGCACCGGACGCAGGATTGCACCGACTCTGCCGGGATGAAGAAGACTTCGAGGACCTCCCTCCCGAGCTGGTTTATCCCAAAGCCGACAAGTGACGATGGCGGCAATGATAGCGGCTCTGGAAACTGGGGCAGCACTAGCAACTGGGGCAATGGCGGCGGCGATCAATCTACCCAATGTAGTCTGGGGCATGGTCTATGAAGCAGGCATCCCGTTGCCACCGCAAGGGAGCTGCTTGATCATTTCCCCCCCCCGGTCGCGTCCCTGCTAATCGTGTCGTCGCGACTAGCCGCCGACTGCTTCGCCCCTGTTTATATGTACCTCTCAGAGGACAAGGTGTCGCGAAACGTGCGAGCCATGTTTACGACCACGGCCAAGCAGGTGCTCTCGACGTTGAAATCTTTCGAGGACGGGTTGGAGCCTGAAACTGTGAGAGATATCCTAGCTAAGGTCGTACCCGTAAGAGCGATTACGGACCCCCGGCTCCCAACCGTGCTCTCCGGCCTCTACAGCCTTATCCAGCAGGACCTAGAGCGTTTCCGGGACAGGCAGGAAGACGAACTCATTCACCAGTCTCCAGCAAGAGTAAGTCACAGCATATTCTCTCTCAAGACTCTCCTCCACAGGTGATTGTACGGGTCATTACCTAACAAAATATTGCAGCTCGACTTCTCTCGGTACCCCGATGTTCCTGCCAACCCAGCTTTCAGACTTGCAGCGCCCTTTCCGTCAGATACATAGCGCAGGCCCGAGATTTCCCAGTTGGCGGGCTCGAGGCTTCCCGCTATGATCTTTTGACTTGCATTTGCAACCCCCCCCCACGGCTACAAAAGGTGGCTTCAACAGCTCTCCCCCCTCCACAAATATCTCCCCCCTCCACAAATATCTCCCCCCTCCACAAATTTCTTTCCTTCTCCACTGTCATCGCTCTCAACACATCAACATACCGCACAGCGTAAATGTGGGCGTCTACGTTTTACGCGACAATCAATTATCTCACTTCTTGCTGCTTCCTGGATATTTCGTGATGGACACCGACCACGTCGCTGTAGTTGAGGCGGGGGAGGTATTAAGGTCAGTCCTCGACAGGATCAACCAGGTCGGCGACCAACTTCTCGCTAACTTCGCAACCCTCCAGGCGGATTTCAACACCCTCAAGGCGGAGATCGGTACCAAGCCCGCAACGCTCGAGACGGAGCTTCGTGCGAATAGCACTTCGCTCATGTTCCGCCTCATTGCCTTGTAGGTCCTCCGTCCTTATCTTTGAGTGCGTACTCTAATATCTCAAGACGCGAGAATGAATGGCGAAAACAGCGAAACGCCGCGGCTGTCACCTTGGACCCTAATGCAAACCTACTACCTCTCCTCAACGTATACACCGCGACAGAAATAGCGGGGTCTCAAGACGCGAGAACGAATGGCGAAAACAGCGAAACGCCGCGGCTGTCACCTTGGACCCTAATGCAAACCTACTACCTCTCCTCAACGTATACACCGCGACAGAAATAGCGGGGTCTCAAGACGCGAGAATGAATGGCGAAAATAGCGAAACGCCGCGGCTGTCACCTTGGACCCTCACGCGAACCTGTCACCTCTACTCAATATCCATACTGCGACCGAGATATCGGGGTTCCCTCGAGACATTCGGTCCCTATCTGAGCTGGACGGTATGTGCTCTGACATTGTCTATAGGATATAAGCTGACTTCTTTTAGCCGTGGCTACCAGGCGTATTTTGGAAGCTCTCCAAATTCCAATCGACGGCGCAGATATGGTGGAACTAAGGGAGAGGCTAGGAAGAGTCACTCTTTGACTTCTAGAGGTCGACGGGGCAGATGTGGTGGATCTGAGGGAGAGACTACGTAGAGTCGCTCTTTAATTCAGAGGCCAACGGTGCAGATGTGGTGGAACTGAGGGAGAGGCTACGTAGAGTCGCTCTTTGACTTCTAGAGATTGACGGGGCGGATGTGGTGGATCTGAGGGAGAGCCTACGTAGAGTCGCTCTGCCACGTAGCAATTGAACCAACCCTTATATGCCTACATACCGCACAGCGTAATGTAGGCGTCTACGTTTTACGCGACACACCCTTCAACTTCTTTTTTTTTTCTAGCAGAGATCTCTGTTAACATTAAGAGATAGAATAATACAGGGTTGGCGTACTCTTGTCCCTGTTAACCGAATCAATCCTGGAGCTTTGGCTCATGAACGTGTGGAGGTTAGTCCTGCTCACACTACAACCCGTATTCAGGCGGCAGAGACCCGCCACCTGATTTGCCCTTGGCAACCACCCCCAGCCGGACGTTAAGTCAATCCCCAAATGAGGCCGTCGTCAAGCTGCTACCGGAAACCAGCGCTCACTCGGCCACTAGCAATAGTAGAATAATACACTTTGATCATCCACTCGTCCCGCACCATATAGCAGTACGGCCGGCGGCGTCGCGGAGCAGAGCCGGGCGCCGGGTTGGTTCACGTATGCCACCGGCGGAGGCGCCAAAAATGGAGGCGCTGTCGGCCGTGTCCCGGATCACCTGCCCTCCTCCTCTTCCCGGGCAGCAGGCGGGCAAGCGGGGTACTCGCTCCGTAAGGTCCTAAAAACGGTCCCCTTCCAGGCGTTGAAAATAGGCCCTCCAGCTCCTGGAATTAGGCCCTTCTAGATGCCGGAAATGGCCACTGGGTGTTGGAATCGGGCCCAGCAGATGTCACGCAGATCTTCAGTTGCTCTATTTACCCCATGATACTTATTCAGTACTGGCTGGGTCATCCAAACACGGAAAGACTAATACGACGGATACCACACCTAGTATCCCGAGCCACAACGATGTTCCGTACAGATAACACAGTAGTCGACTGATCCAGCACTCCAGCTCCCGCAGGACCTCTCTATGGGCAATACGTCATGACCCCATTCACACGGAACCAACAAGGTCTCGGCCTTTGCGGTGAGGTTCGACCTTTATGGCTTACGAGCGCCCTCTCTGGCACTCCGGAAGCTTGCTTGCTCAAACCTCAACACTCGGTGTGATGACGTATACTGCCCACGGAGGCCGTGGAGCTGGACTTAGCCGACCAAAATATCATTTTTATTTCTCACACATTACGTCTCCTCGGCGAGGAGACTTTCAAGTAGTATATGGTCCGTAACTTGGGATGCCGAGAACACCCATTTCGCTCATAGGTGTACCTAGGGGAAGCGGTACCTAGGGGAAGCGGTAAGGATGCAAAGGAAGGACTACTATAGAATATGTTGGCGCTAAATCCAGTACCTGGAGGGGTCCATTTCCAGCGCTTAGAGGGGTTTATTTCCAGCACCTGGAGGGGTCTATTTCTAGTACTTAAAGGGGTCTATTCCAAAACCTACAGGGGTTTATTCTAGAACCTGTAGGGGGGTTTCCAGAACCTACAGGGGCCCATTTCCAGTACGGAACGGTCATTGCTCCCAAACCGGCTCCAACCAGTCCCTCTACAGCCGACAGCACAAGGCTGAGGCCCAAGGTCCACGCGGATGAGTTCGGCGTACCATGGCTGTTTACACCTGACAACCCATCATATTCTATGTCCAACATGTCGCCCTGGGCCCTCTCTGGCTCATCATTCGCCAATGCTGCTTCACAGCATCCTCAATTCGCTCTAGTTTGCCAGCAATCCACGGCCAGTCTTTGTTCTCCTTCACATACCTACCTATGACCTCAACCGTTGCTCATCGAGAGGTAACCAACGAGCACGCCTACCACCGACCTGGCCGCCCCCCGCTTGCGTCCCACTTCATCGTCGATATTAGATTCGCCGTTTCTCTCGACGCCTTCGGAAAGATCGCTATGGCCATCGTCGTCACCATCATCATCGGAGAACAAATCGCTGACACTCGATATAACACTGCCCGTCTCTTCCATCTCGCCGCATTCAGGCAACACCTTCGTGGGCTGGATGAGATGGTTCGAATCGTCCTTCAACCGTGACCATTTCCCCGGCGTAGCCGCGGATGGATCCAAGGCACAGCCGCAGCATCACCGCACTCTTGCCGGCGTCAGAGATCCCAGTACTATCCTCGAGCAGAGCTTCAAAGAACGAATCGTCCTTCGAGACCCATTTCCATGCCATATCAACCAACCGCACAAGGTGCCCGGCACGAAACCCGCAGACAGGACAACCATCCATCGAAATCTCTCTCGAGCTTGGAGATGAGCCACAGTAGTGTTCGCCCGAGACCGTCCGACTACAGTTCGCGATGGAACCTGGGTTGTTCTGAGGATTGTTTCTCCTGCTCGCTCGACGTCCCCGGACACGGCTATATTCTAGGTGTTTGCCCGCTTCGGTTGGCACAGTCTATAGACTAATAATAGACGGCGCACACCTTGTCCAGGGATTCGGCCGTCCGTAGCTGTGCGTGTTGCCATTGTCGCATCGCGGTGACAAGTCTTATCGGCTCCGTGGACGGGCCGGTCTCCCCGTACTTGGGTTAGCCGGTTTTAATTCATACCGACAAGCCCCGTCACTCTGGGCCAAAGTATGAGTGGGTGGCTGGCGGAAGGGCTTCGTTAGAGCCATATTGCCGAGCTCATCTTCCGAGGTCGACGATAAACTCCATCCAAGCCCCCTCTTAGCGACGGAATAATCGGTCCTATGGACAGACGCACCGCTATGAACGGCTTATAGCTTTGGTCGTTTGGCCGTGGCTGTGCGGCGAGGGGATTGTAGTACAGGCCATGCTCGGCGCCACGCTCGCCGCCATGCTCGGAATTATGGTGTCGGGCTCGTGCCGCCTAGGGAAAGTCTGAGAACTGCGCGAGCTGGGCCGTCGCGTCTCGGTTGGGTATGTCCTCGATGGGCTCTATTGTGATTGCGTTGCCCGTAAATCCCGTACCATTGTCGTTACTCTCGTTACAGTTACTATCGTTTTCAATAGCGATTATTCCGTCTGCAATCCCGAATCAGGAACCAACCCGACCGACCGTTTGGGAAACGTACCATTCTATTTAACTTCACTTTTAGCATTGGGCAAACCCTGCCCTATCTAAGACTACCTAGGTCGGTGAGGGGCTTCGGTTGCAAGCTTCGAAGGTGTCCAGTAGGGCTACCTTCAGACAAGAGTTCTACCCAACTTTCGTTTATATTCCCGCTCGTAGAATGGTCCAGCAAGCGTAACTGACCCTCTAATGGTCTTACCTGAAAATACCGACCTTCTTTTGTTTACCTGTGTATATCCAAGTTTGAGTGCCTTGAGTGGAGGTATGTATCAGTACAAGGATAAGATACATACATATAGTAGGCGTCTCGAGAAATAATAACCTCATCTCTCGTCGGTATTACTTATATTAATAGAATCCCTGGATGGGTCGGCACATCTTGCATTTCAGCTTGGTACTGCTCTGTTCTTGTTCTCGCCCGTTGCTGTTGGCTGATTGGCTGAGTTCTCGCAGGTATCTAGGTATCCCTTCCCTCCCGCCCCCTTTCTGCTTCCCCCCCTTTTTTGTGAAAACCCCCCTCCCCACCCCCCTTTTTTTTCTTCCCAATGTTTTCGTAGAAGCGCACATTTGTGTTGTCCCCATCGCGCTTTTCGCTTTAGCATTAATGTGTGAGCATGGGACAGTAGGTATGTATAGGCTTATTAGCACGCGTATAGAGGGGAGCTTTGAGTACGCGTAATCCTGGTTGTGCACGGATCCTTTTGTGCCTCGGGTGATATGGCTCCAATTATGTACGTACACCGTTTATGAGTATAGTGCCTAAGCAAGAGAACACCTCCTGGCGGCTGCAGCGACCGCAACGTCGTCGGAAACCGGACTCAATAGCGTATATGGATGCCCTGCTACGTGCATATCACTTCCCTAGCCGGTACATACGCAGGTAACCAGGTATGCGCCTAGCCTGCCCGCCTATCTACCTAACGAGGACCCATCGAGCTAGCGAGCCGTGCTAAGGCTAGCCTGTCCGGGCATCTACACACTGGCAACAAATCGCGACATAGGAGGCGGCCTACTGCGTCTGCATCTCCCGTCCCGTCGCTCTTCTTTCAACAACGGGTTCCAAGTTCTCAATGCCCAGGATTCCCAGGATTCCCACTACGCCTCTTGTCCGACCAACTTTTTGCTTTTCTTCCACCTCTGGCGCTGTTGATCTTCGCCACATCTACCTGCCTACCGCTACCACTGGCTCTAGGTCTCTCTTCGTTTTCTCCCCTTCTCTCATCCAGCACACTTACCCACCCTCTCCTCTTTCTTAAAACACCTTCTCTTCGCCTCCCTCCTTTACCCCCGCCCCCCTTTCCCAGCTGCTCACCCACCTACCTGCTCGTCCGCCCGCATCGACTTTTTTTTTTTTTTTGGTGCGCTGTCACGTTATCCGCAAGCCATCGCCATCCTCCTGCTCCCCCCGACACTCGTTTCCCCCCCTACTACGCATGTTCTCCGTTCCGTGAATCGCCAACTTCGGGCAGTTGGTTGCCATCGCACAGCCCGCAACCAAACCACGCCAACTCTCAAACACGTCGCCAGGATGGGTATCGTCGAAAGGAAGTCGATCCGCGCCTGCATCACGCGCCCGTCTCGCCCGCAGAAGATCACATTGGCCGTGCTCGTCCTCCTCTTCGTCTTCTATTCGCTGACGCCGTACGACAGCCCGCTGAGGTCCTTCTTCAGATTCCAGCACAATGTCGTGCAGGATTATTATCAAAATGCCCTCCCCAGCGATGCCTGGCTCTTCAGCCCCCAGCCATACCCGATCGATCCGGACAACGACGTCGCTATCATAATCAAGACCGGGTTTGGGACGAGAAATCGGGTGCCCCGGACCCTACAGGCGCTGAGCAACGAGTCCTTCTTTGCCGATGTACTCGTCGTCCAGGATTTCCCCGCGCTACGGAACCAGTACTACGCTTTGTCAAACGGCAAAAAGGTGCCCGTCATCGACATTATCGGGTGGAACCTGGACCGGGGGGCTCTCAAGGGCCAGGAGTGGCAGGAACGAGTAATGAGATACACCAGTCTGGCCGACGCCGTCGAAGCCGAAGAGTGGGTGCTCGCCGACGGGCTGGGCAAAGACATCGGTTGGGAACTGGACGCTATGAAGGTTGGACACGCCCAAGACCGTAAATGAACGCTGGACTTTTGTAGGTGTTGGCTAACCCCGATGGCAGTTTCTTCCCAGCCTCGAGTATGTCTGGCAGACGATGCCGAAGAAGAAGTGGTACATCATGACTGACGACGACACCTACCTGATTAAATCATCGTTGGCTCTGCTCTTGGGCCATCTGAATTACGCGAAGCCGCACTTCATTGGCAATCCCGTAGGTGATTACAAGGGTCGTTTCCCCCACGGTGGGTCCTCGGTAGTCATGTCGGGCGCCGCTGTCAGCAGGCTCTACGACGGACACCCCGAGGTCGTCATCGAAGGCCACCAAGAATCGCCCACCGCAATCTGGGGCGACAAGCTGCTCTCCACCACCTTCATGAAGATCGGGATCTACCTCGACGAGACCTACCGGCGGTTTTTCAACGGAGAACCGCCGTGGATGACACGGATGTGGATAGACCGGTTCTGCCTACCCCTAGTGTCGTTCCACGGCCTGGGCAGCGGTGACGCCATGGTACACGTGGGCGAGACATTTAGGAATATGACCGAGCCGATGTTCTGGCGACAGCTGGGCAGGGTTTACGGTGCACCAGACTTTGCATCCTTCGTTGCCGAGCCTATCCGGGCCAACATCGACTACGTCGGGCGCCTCGACGAGCACAGCACTACGGTAGACAAGGTCACCGAAGTGGAGGAGTGTGTCAAGATATGCCGCGAGCACTCGACGGGCTGTCTCGCCTGGACATTCGACCCCGGCCGGCAGCAGTGCAGCTTCGGGCGGTGGGCCATCCTAGGCGACCACGCCGAAGGGCGCTTCTCGGGCATCGACGGGCAGACGGCCCAGAAGATTGAAAGCCTATGCCATTCGTCCCCGTAGGACGACCACATCTCACTTCCCCTTCTTCGCTCAGGCTCTGAGCCGTGTATTATGTATACGGATGGGACACTATAAAACGGCAGGTCTTGCCTAGCGGTAGTGGAAGCGCCACCTGCAATTTTTTTTTCTTTCTGTAAAAAGGGGATAAAGGCAGGAATATCATGACTTGGTTTGGAATGATACCCGGAACGATTGGTTAATTTGTAATAGAAGGGGGTGATAGAATGGGCACGAGATGAGCCGAAGGGGCCCTCTCGATCCTACCCGGTGGAATTCCGAATCACAGTGTTCCTTTCTTCTACCATTCCCGCTAGGTAGGCGAATAAGATCAGACCCTTCTACGATATAGTCGTCACGCATGTCTCTGGCCTCGTTTCCTACTCTGCCTCATTCCACGCGCATCGCTCTCGTGACGGAGATAAGGCGGCAAACAGGAGGTAATTTCTTGGAAATGCGCGCGGGCAATGCAATGCAACGCTGCCCAGTCCGCGGACTGGCACCGTGTAAGTAGCACGAGTGCATGTCTCCGACGGCAAGAGTAAGTACCTGACCTAAGGTACCAGGGAACTTAAGGCAGGTACCATCAAAGAATTACGGCAGCTTCCGTCCCCACGAACCTACGACTGCTTAATTGAATATATCGTACGTACTAACTGCACCCCTTCCTACCTCAGGGTCCACCTATCAAAAGAATCGTTTCTTCCCAGATATAGCTATACGACTCCATACTATGGCTTACTCTTGCTGGAGACTGGTGAATGTTGCCCCGCTGGTGAGAGTCTCATAGCGGCAGTCTCGGCCGGGGCAGTTTAAGGTCAGGACCAACACGCCATGATATAGCACGAATACGGGACATGATAATGGATCAATCCGTTCCATTCTATCTATCTGTGTTACATTAAAGATGAGTTGCTACGTGGTCCGGTGGATCGATGCCTTTTTCCTGTCCCCCCAAGCCCTGTCCTCCATCCTCAGGCCGGTGACTCCGGAACAAACCAGCTCGGGAAGCGGGCCCTCAAACTCTTCTTCGTAGAGCCGGTGCAATCCTGTGTCCGATGCGGGAAGCCGCATTTGGCGCACTTTGGGGGAGCATTTTTGCAGCTCCCCAGCGTATGCCCTGTTTCTTTGCATCGGACGCAGAAAGGAGTCGGGCACTGGGCTTGACGATGGCCTTCCTCGCCACAACGCTTGCACGTCTGCCTCGGACAATTTGCAGACCTGTGACCGATTTCGCTGCAGTTGCGGCAGATTCCGTACCCAATTCCTTTGCAGTCCTTGGGGAACTGTTTGCAATTTTCCGTGCGATGGCCGGGCTGGTCGCAGTTGAGGCAGTAGAACGCGCTCATGGTGTTTGCGGTGGCGGGGCACCCAAGTCCGGCATGTCCTGACCTGCCACAGCGAGGACAGATAAAGTCCCTCTCGCACGCGGTGGCATTGTGCCCGTGGAGCTTGCAGTTCCGGCAAATCTGAAAGGGGCAGTGCGCTGTGGGGTGATTGGCATCTCTCTTGTCGATTTTCTGGCAGCCGCGCTGGCAGAGATGGTTGGTGGTATCCTTCGGTGCGTCGACATCTCTGAGGCGGAGGCGACAGTTTGCGCGATGAGAGTTAAAGAGCTTGAAAAGCTCATAGGCAACCTGTGCCAGCGGATTGGCTGTGTTATCCGGATCGCCTCGTCCGACGAACGATCCGCGGTTGAGAAGCGTGATGGTCATTCCGCGGGCCCTCGTGCTCGATAGCCCTGTGCGCCATTGCGCTCCTGTGAATCCAGGATGGGTCACATTGACGAAGTCGACAAAGACTATATCAGCTTCAGCGCCTTGGGCGCTGTCGAGAGTCTTGACCACGACCCGATCCCGGATGGCGCTCTCGCTTAGTTCCTTGCAGTCGATCATGGTGCGGATGCTCTGCCTGTACTCCGTGACTTGCGCTGCGTACAAGGCGATGAGCATGACGGAGACTGGGCAGCCGTCGTTCTTCCCGAGGCCGGTGAGGGTCGAGTCCATGAGGCGCTTGACCTGGTCGAGAACCCAAGCCCGATGGAGGATGTTGGTGCGCGACGTGCCGACGTTGGTCACATACGCCTTGGGAAACTCGACCAGGATGCTGGTCTGCTTGGAGGGGATATCTTTGCTGATGGACTCCTGGAAGTGTTGGGCCATGTCGTCCAGAGGCTTCACCCATAGCACTCTAACACCGTATATCATTATCGTGTTGTACGCCACGCTGTTGGCAACAGCGAGGGAATTGCCATGGCCGCGATTGTTGACTCGCAGATACGCCATCGTCTCGCCGGCTAGGACCGCCCGCTCGAGTGTGGACATGCCGTATTGGTCGACGAACGGATTGGACGACGTCTGGCCTGAATCGAGGTTGTGCTCGGCCGTCACGAAGGGGGGCCGCTGCTGGATGTCGCCGAGTAAGAGCCACGCCAGGGGAGCGAAAAAGGCGATGGCGATCAGGGTAGTAAGTTCGTGCATTGTCGCAGCCTCATCCAGGATGACTAGGGCCGGCTTGAAATTCTCGCGGAACATGCGGACGGATGCGCCAACGGGAGTGGTGACGATGGTTCCTTTGAACTGCCTGAGAAAGTCGCAGCACAAGACCTTGATACATGACTTGAGCATCGACTTGTCTGCCGCGCTTAGCTCCTGGCTGCCCTGGACCCGACCTAGCAACTCGCCGAGTTCGGTATAATTGCTGCGCTTCTCTTCGAAGAAAGCAAGGGCGTGGGAATGCAGAGAGCTGTCCTGATTGAGACGACGGGCTCTGCGGGTGTTGATCTCCAGTGACATTTTGTGAATGGCGTAGACGGCCAGAAAGTGATCCTCAATAGCCTCGCATTCCGCAGCGGCAGCTTCCTCGTCAAAGATCTTAGTGGAGTCGCCTTGGGGCGCCTTGTCTTTGCCACCTGCCTCGATCTCACCATCCATCGGATATAGGCGCACAACGGGAAGCGCGTGGGTGATGCCGAGACGCTCCTGGGTCTTGCGGTGGCGCGTAACAAAGTTTTCCACTCCCTCATTGTTGTCGACGAGATATAGAACCTGAAGTCCGGCAGGCTCAACGTCGCGTGGGCCCTTGTCCTGTCCGGATGCGCCATACTGAGAAAACAACATGGCCATCTCGCCCATGTATGTCTTGCCGCATCCTGCGACGCCGGGCACGAAGCAGACGCCCGCCGGGAGGTTGCCCATAATCTCGAAGGCCTCACGCATTGGCCGGTTCATCTCGAGGAAAGCTTTTCGGAGAAAATGAGGAGCTGTCGCCCCTTCAGGCTTGACCACCGCTCCGAGGCCTGGCAAATCGGCTAGGAGATTGACGCGAGGAGCTCTGGAGTCGAAGTTGACGAGATACCGGTAGGCAGCCACGGATCGCTCCGACGGTGGTGGCTGCGCAGACGACGGATGCTTGAGGGCACTCACGGCGCCGACCTGAGCCCGGAGAGTCTTGTCGGACGCGACACGCTTGACACGGACTACTTGGCGGTTGCTCATCGGGTCGGTGCATTGGGCGAAATAGTCCGACGCGGCCTGTTCCTTCGTCGGCATCTGTGCGTGCTTGTACTCTATCTGTCGAGGGACCGGCTCGCCGTCAGCGCCCTTGTCTGTCGGCACCCAGAGGAGGTATGTCTGCCAGTACGGTGCTAGATAAGGGGAAGCGAAATCGATACCTAGAGAGAGAAGCCATAGTAAGCAGTGGTCCAAAGCATCAATAGAGAGGGGCTCACATACGGCAGGCTGACCAAGCGCTGTCGTCATCCGGGCCGTTTTGAGCTGTAGCCGGGCTGATGAGATCGTCTCGGTGCGCCGACACCTAGTCGACTACACGCAAGTAATGCTTGTCATCGGCTGCTTCGCGGACCTCGTCGCGGGTGGGGAGAAGGTCGTTTATCGGACCGTCAAAGACTTGCTGGTCTCGGAAGTACATTCCCACGCTGGCCTTCATGGCAGTGGCAAAACCCGCTTCACCTTGGAGTCTCTCTACCCCCCCGTGTATCTCGTGGGCAATGTCCTCGAACTGGGTGTCGGTGACACGATCAGTTGAGGCGGTGACAGGCTTGGCTTCGGGAAAGTGCATCTTGCACATCTCGCCAATCTTGGGGAGCAGATCCTCCTTGCCGCGAGGGTCGATGAGGCAAACGATGCGGCGCTGCATCTGCACGTGCGGGAGCGGCAGCAGGTGCCCGTGGAACTCCGTCGACGGCAAGTCATGAACAGCCTGGAACCGCAGGCATGCGTCGTAGTACGTGCCGGCAACATTGTAGAGAATATGTTGGTCAGCGTTAGCAAAGTGTACTAGGCGCCGGCCTCGAACGTTCGAGGGAAATCCGGGGCCGTTTGGCACAGGGCAATGGCCAACGTGGAAGACCCTGGCATTCGGCGAGTGCTGGAAGTATTTCGCAAGAGGCGACACGGCCGCCTGTGCGGCTTTGGCTGCGACGAGGGATGCCTGCCAATTCTGGAGCTCGCACACGTTATCCTCCGAGACGTAAAACTGGAAGGTAAGCTTGCGCTGCTCCTTGGCCACTTGGAAGACTGTGCGTAGATTCCTCAGACGGGCTGCGATTTGTCTGCCCTCCCCCTGTATGTCTGCGTCCCACAGCTTCGTGTGGATGGCGAAGGGAAGAGATAGTTCTGCCGTCTGGGCCGTTACCGTGAAACGCGCCACTCCGGTGTCGACTTTCGCTAGCGCCGGGCTGAAACGGCCTAGTTCAGATACCGCTTCGGTGTCGGGGACTACATCCACAGTAATTGCAGTGATGTCATCCGCCCAGATGTGAATACTGCCGATGTTCTCGTCATCGAGTGCCAAATCGCGGACGAGGAGCTTGTAGTAAAGAGCGTCGAAGTCTTCGGGGTTGTGGTACATGACTAGGGCGATGGTGATGGACTCTGATGACGGATTCTTTAGCGACCGGGCCGCCTCCGCGCTGGGCGAGCTAACGTGAAAGTCTTGGGTACGAAGATATCCGAAGATGGGTGCCGTCCACTGCTGCTTTTCTCCTCCGTCCTTGTTGTTCATGATCAAGGCCTTGTCCAGCACCCGCACCTATAGAGTGTTAGCTTCCACTTGGTCTGGGGCATAGCAAGATGGGCCGGGGGAAAGGGGTGACGGGGACACAGGATGAGGAAGAGGGGCGGGATGCGAGTCCCGGGACACCTAGCAATACGGCAGCGGCAAGGGTGGGAGACTTACGGGCTCGTTCTCGTCGGGCTGAGTGAAATTGTTCTCGTCGCCCTGGGTGGACTCGGTATCGTCCTTGCGAGTATTCTCGGCGCTCTCGGTAAGTGCGTGGTCCTGAGTGCAGAAGAACGTGTGAGCACACTGTGAGCAAAGTCAGGGATAGCTACCTAGTAGTCGACTTACCTCGCGAGTGGAGTTATGCTCGATGGCATCCTCGCCTTGGGCGAGCGGATGCTCGTTCGGCGCGGTGGGTGCGTGATCCTGCATCTGTTGGTCTTCTTGCTTCGTGAGATGGGGTCAAGAACTTACCATGATGTCGTCGTTGGGAGCAGGGTCGACGCTGCGGGTGTTGATGTGAGGTTGGAGGAGGGCGGGGGAAAATGGCAGGCGGGGGGGGCGCCGCTACAATATATATGCGTTCATTATGTACGTTGAATAATTTCAACATCCGATACTTGACCTATAGGTTACTCACCTTAGATACCTACCTGCCCAAGGTAAAAGGTAGACAGGCAGGTGCGTGCAACTACCTTCCTCGAAACCTCATCACATTCGAGCTCTCAAGACGTGCCTACCTACATACACCCGGGCAATTCCGGAATGCTACGTCAACGAGTAGGTACCTACATAGGTATAATGCGCCTACCGCTCTCCGCGGGCCACCGCGGACGATCCTGGCGATCAGCCCTACTACGACCCGTACTGGGGGCTCGAATATTCTAACCAATGAGGTTGGGGGATCGTCGACGGGCATCGATCTTACCTTAATAGTCGTGATGGCCGGGATCGAACTGGACAGGCCGAGGCTTCTTTAGGCGGGTTGAACTTGTTGATTTATCGTACGCCACTTGCCCCCCCCCCTTCCTACCTACCTACTTACCCAGTGCCTCGTATTGATCTCGGGATCAGATCGCGGTAGCTACCCAGAAGGGCATACTCTCTCCTTTGATCTCCATAGCGGGAAGGGGGGGGGGTCTATGGACAGTATGTTTGCAATACTGACACAGTATAGACATAATCTCCATATAATGTAATACGTCATAGTATGGATTTTATCATAATCTAATATAAGCATTACAATGTAGTTATTCTAATAAGGTAGCCTGATATTATATTAATTCAGATATACATTCTAGCTTAACATTATATAGGACAGCTATTTTATCCTTAGAAAGAGCCATTAGATTGATATGGTGTTCGTATTATACCTATATCGCATCCTGAATTTAATTCGCTTTAGTGTAGCTATGGAAATACTTTCAGCTGTAGTGATCCTTTCTAGAGAGGGTGATAGTACGTGACATGGTGCCGACAGACCCCCATCCCCCTGTATCGGGCTTAATTGTTGGATACGTATATTCACATTCCAGTCCTCCAAATACCTACCTATCCTTCCCAGACACACTCGCCAATACTTGATCCGACGTGAAGTGCTGGCAGCCAGTTCCTATCGATTTCGCCCGACACTCGTACTCTCAACGAAGCGTCGTGATGGCTATGGTGGATTCAAAATACCTCGATAGGTATTCGCCCTCCTAGAACCTGGGAGATCCGCACGTCCCCGACGACTCTTGGGGTATCCTAGCTCCCTCCCATCCTCTTTGCCGGCTGCTGGCGTCAACCCCGAAGGAACTAAACTAGGTAGTTCGTGTATGCCAGGTACGTGCATGGGTCATCGTGGCGTCTGTTGATAGGAACACCGTGGACGTCGAGACGTTTCGAAGTTGCCCGGCTTCTAGTTTGCTGGATGATATGGCCGAGCAATCGCCCCATGGGTCTAGATCACTTTATAGTCCATCTAGGATCTTTTGTCCTTGTGCAGTGCTTGACCTCCAAGACATTGACCGTCGTTTAAAGTAGAATTATTCAAAACGGCCGAGCTCTCCAGTTCCTTTACAAGCTCGCGAGCCGTACCCTCAGCCTCCCTCCCTTCATCAATTTTTGGGCGACTCGAGAGAAAGTAAGATGTTGCGGTTTCCAGGGCCTTCGGGCGCCTACGACCTTTCGGTCTTGTTGAAGGCCGTCGGATATCTCACCCTGATCGGCCTCGCGAGATTTCTCTATCTCCTATATCAGAATCGGATGCTATTCCGACGAGTCCAGAAGGACTACGGAATTGTAAGTGTGTCCGGATGGTGGATGGCCGTGGAGTGGACCTACTCCTGGGAAATGGAGAGGACCCGACCTCCTTCTTCGCCGCGCTACCAAGCACACCGCATTTCACCGACCGAGTTGCTCGTCCAAACTCGAAAGCGTGCCGTATACTGATGAAAATTTTACAGGCGATGCTGCCTCACTCGCTTCTTTTCGGCCACCTACCCGTCATTGCTAAGGTCGCTATGAAGTACAAGATGCCGCGGGATGCCCACGGCCACTGGATGATCCTCTACCTCAAGCGGGAATATCCTGAGATCACGAATAAAGGCATCATCTATATGGATGTCTGGCCCGTGGGATATCCGATGGTTGCTGTCTACGACCCGGACATGATGGCGCAGTTCACCCAGGAGCACAGTCTTCCCAAATTCTGGGCGATGGGACAGGTCGAGTTCAAACCCTTCACCAACGGCGAGGACCTCGTAACCCTCGAGGGACCGGAGTGGAAGGCCGCTCGCAGTCTGTTCAACCCCGGCTTCTCCATGAAGAACCTGCTCTCGCTTGTCCCGGACATGATAGAGGAGACCCTCGTCTTCCGTGAGCGGCTGCGGAAAGCTGCCGAGTCCGGCGAGATCGTGAAACTCGAGGAGTACACGACCGACGTAACCGTGGACGTGATCGGACGCACCGTGCTGTAAGCCCACCCCGATGTCCTCTCCCTTTTTCATGTTTCCCTTTTCTGCACATACCTACATATTTGATTTTAGTCGTAAATGGACGCAAAAAAAAAAAATCAGCTCGTTAACAGCAGCTTTGCTCGAAGCGGCACCCGTCTAGAGACGCAAAAGAAGCCGAACCTGCTGATGCGCACGATGAGGTCGCAGCTCGCGCTGCTCTACTTCGAGCTCAACTTTGCCAAGCTCCTTAACCCGCTTCGACCGCTGCGCCACTGGTTGTATAACCGCACAATCCGCCGCGAGATCATGCCGTATATCCTCGATACGGCCCGCAACTACGAGAGGATCGAGGGGCCCAAGACGATCATCGCGCTCGCGCTCAAGACGTTCGCTGCCGAGAAAGGGGCGGTAGCAACAGGCCGAGGGGGCCTTAGTCGCAGCGACGTTGACAACATCCCCGCCGCCTTTCTCGAGCGCATCGTCAAGCACATCAAGATATTCATGTTCGCGGGTCATGACACGACTGCGACTGCGCTCGCGTATGCCTACGCGCTGCTCGGTCAGCACCCGGACAAGCTAGCGGCCCTACGCGCCGAGCACAACGCTGTGCTGGGCCCAGACCCGCGTGATGCGGCGGACCGCCTGCGCGCTGACCCAGCGCTTCTCGGGAAGCTGCCGTACACACTGGCCGTGCTTCGCGAGACGCTGCGCCTGTTCCCGCCGGTCGGCGGGTCGATCCGGCAAGCCCCACCAGGCCACCTTCTCGTGGACCCGGTGACGGGCGTGCCGACGTATCCGACGCACGGCTTTATGCTGCACTCGTCGGCGGCGACAACGCAGCGAGACCCTGACCGGTGGCCTGACGCCGACACATTCGTGCCCGAGCGGTTCCTCCCGGCAACGGCGGGGGCTGGGAAGGAGGGTGGGGGAGATAACCCGCTGCGCGTGCCGCGCGGCGCCTGGCGCCCCTTTGAGATGGGACCCCGCAACTGCATCGGCCAGGAGCTCGTCTCCGTCGAGGTCCGGCTCATCCTTGCTCTGACCGCACGCGAGTTCGCCGTCGAGCAGGCGTACCCCGCCGGCGCCCCGGTGTGGATGGGAACACCTGCCTACCAAGTCTCCGACCCGGAGCTCGTGGCCACAGCGCACATCAAGGATGGCCTGCCGGTCCGGGTCAAGGCCAGCGGTAGGTAGGACAGACGACAGCCTGCTGTTGGGTGAATAATCGCCCCTTTCTTGCAGATGTGTGGTGAATGGAATAGTTTCGATGCTCTCGTGGTTGGATAGCATTGTTTTTCGCTCCAGACTGAGGGGCACTTCCCATGTGTTTACTTGCTCTAACAGCTTTCCAATGAGGCTTCGCTTAATATCTATGAAATCGCCAAATACTCACAGCAATAGGCAGCGATTATCATGTTTGCCGCAGCGTCCGATCGTCTAAGCAAGGACATGTATAAAAGTAGTCTATCCCACATTCAAGGGACTGCTATGTTCTACTCCTATATGTCGTCGTCGTCGCCCACTACCGATTCTTTAGTCACGGGTACGTAAAGGTCACAGAGCGTAGCATTGGTACTCTGGCCAGGAATGGCGCCCGCCCGTTTGACGAGAGGACTCGGGTGCCCCCCAAGTAGTAGTCTCATCTAGGCGAGTACCCTATGATAGTCGACATCATGACACCATCCTCTCCCTTCTTCCACCATTACACCGAATGGACCGAAGTCAACCCACATACACACGCATACATACCCATATAATATATCTACCACCGGTGACGCCTTGGCTGAGCAGCAAGTCCCCCCTGCGCCTCATACGGCCCGTACTCATAAACTATAAAAGACTCGCCGTGTTAGAAAAGGGGCTGAAGATAGAACGAGAGAGGGAGAGAACACCTCTACCCCAATCCCTCTTCACCTCCTGTAGTGTTCCTCCACTCCCCACTCCCGCTCTGCCCCCTTCCCATACTCCAGTGGGGTATGATGATATGGTATAGCGGCGCAGTGACAGGGTAAAGAATGTGGGGGTGAGGGAAGTCAGTATGCAGCACCATCGTAGGCTAACACCTGGACACAAGACTCGTAGGCCTGGCTCGCCGGGCGCCCGCACCACTTGCAGTCGTAGTGCGCCGCCGTGTCCTCGGCGACGCGGCAGCCGTCGTACGGGATGGCCAGCGTCGTGCCGTAGCCGGGAGTGCGCCCGCACCGCCCGCAACACGTGTAGAGTGCCATTATCGGCGGTGAGCGGTAGTGGTGGTGGTCGTAGTAGTTGTATTAATGAAGTAAGAGTTGCCGGAGGCGTAAGACGCCCCTTCGAATAGAGGTGCTAGGTTGGGACGTGGATCGGTGTTTACCGAGGGGTCGGAACAGGGCGGACGTGGGGAGAGAAACGGTCTAGAAAGGGGGGAATGCTGCGAAGGGGGGGGGGGCGGTGGCCTTTATATAGGTATATCAAATCTGGAGCCTCCTCCCCGTGCTTCCCCCTCCCTCCCAAGGACAAGGAGGAGAGGGGAGGAGGGCGGAGGGATATAAAAAACCGGCAAGGACATAACTCGATTCCCCGTCTCTTACTTACACATGAGCAAGGCTAGACACAGAGAGGAGGGGAGAGAAAGAGAGAGAGAAAAAAGGCGCGGCATGGCGTCTTACGACAACGACGATCATGATGGTAGGCTGCGGTACCTAGGTATGTGAAGCCATTGGATCACGCCGCTGGATGGCACCCTGCGAACATACGGCAGCCCGGCCCCCACCGGACATCAGACAGTAGCAGCAGCGAGGGGGGATGAGAAATCTCTAGAATGTAAGTGGGAGAGCCTTCGAGCGGCTGAGGGGCCTTAGCAGGGCAAGATCGCCTCGAAGTACCTACGTCGAGAAAAACGGCGGACTTCAGGACGTGTGCGGTGCAGATCCAATGCTCGGTGAGGGTAAAACAGACTCTCGGTCAGGTAGGCTGTCAACTGGACTGACTGGCATGTAGAATAGAACAGGGCGGGACAGGACAGGACAGGACAGGACAGGACAGGACAGGACAGGACAGGACAGGACGGGACGGGACGGGACGGGATAGGCTAGAATAGGATAGGCCATAACGGCTACAGTTTGGAAGTTGGTATTTGAGGGGGATATAGTGGGCTGGTTATCTAGCGTGTTGTTGAGCTGAGCTGTGTAGTGGGCGCCTTTGTTGCGGAGATCGGATAGCCTTCTTCTCCTGGGTAGCCTCCTTCTCCGGGTTGTAGGCATGAGTTTGGTTATCGCAGCAGAGTCAAGCCTGAATTTACCAGGCGGGCTGACGCATGGCGCTGGGGCAACCAGCAAGTCCTAGGTACTTAGTAAACTCAGCCACTGATTACGTAGCAAGAGCTTGCTATGACTATCCTCACAGGAAGCGATTTTTCCCTAGGACTAAGATCCCGAGATTCTTTGATTACCTAGGTAGACAAAATAGCTCTCTTGTGTAGGGTTAGACAAGTAACGTGAGTGAGTTCCCGATCCCGGTTTTAGGTACCTACCTAAATGTTATTGATGTGCAACTGAATCGCTCTAGAAGGGGTAGCATTAGGTACATACCTATCGTTATCTGTACCCCCCCTAACGAGTCTTAAAACAGGTACCTAACGGCCGTCCAGAAAAGCAACGTGCTGTCACAAGACAGGTGGCATAAGAGAGGGAATAAACAGCGCATAGCTAGAGGATTTCTCTCTATTTCGCAACACCAATTGGTGGTGAGGGCAGCAAAAAAATTGGACGAGCAGGGAGTCGAACCCTGGGCTTCTCGCAGTTTCTGCACTGGTGCAAAGCGAGCACTCTACCACTGAGTTACAGGCCCTATTAGGCTGGTGTGTCTCCACAGATGGCCGTAGTGATCTTAATTTTGCTTACTAGATAGATTGCAGCTAGTCCCCGACGGCAACCCCCACCTGCTAGCCCTTTGACCGGAGCTACGGTGAAGTACCCCAGGTCGACAGATTGGTTGCCAATGTATACCTGCTTCTCTCCTCTCCTCTCATCGTTTCCAGCCTCGATGTGGATTTCCAGGGCGTGTGAAGCATGGCTTGAATATTGCATCTCCATTGCGTTCCCTTCTAGGGTACCTACGATTTCCTAACGCCGGCAGATCCGGTGACAGCGTCGCAGTGCATCCCACAGACCGGACAGGTTAGGGTGTTCCAGCCCAGCGGTCAACTTTGCCGCTTGTACCCGGAGCATTCCCATTGCCAATTCGGTTCCAAGCTGCGAATGTGTTAGGTACCTAGTTCGGTACCCGGAGAGGCACGTTACATCCCTATGCAGCCAACCATTCCTGCGTATACGCATACGTCTACGTCACGTTGAAGATTCCCAAGAGTAATAATGATGGTGATAGTAAGATGCGAAGAAAGGGAACGAATGGGCAGGGGATATATAGCTCGCCTATATTGTCTACATTCGGCTGGTTGACTCTCGGGACTGGCCTCGCTGTAATAGGTATTTCTTGCTGTATCCAATCTACATGTGTTATCGATAGGTACAAGTGCGTATGCAAGTATCCGATCGAGGTCTTGTCCTAGATGGCTAGTCTGATAGAGAGAGAGAGAGAGAGAGAGAAGGTTATGGAGGCAGTCGAGTCGAAACTATCTCTCGTCTCACTCCGAGGAATACCCAAACCAACCTGCTGTAACCAAACTCGCCAGCTACCTACCCACCCAAATTTATGCCAAGACGCTTCGCAGGTCCCGGTTGGCGATAGGTTCCTACTTCGGCGCGCCGACGAGGCGAAAACACCACTAGGAGGACCCGGGAAACCAATCAACCCTGGCCCGATAGGCTCGGGAGGCTGTTGGAACTCGACGCTCTGCTTCGCCGTGTCAGCCTGACCTATCACGATCCGTCGCCAGCTCACACGCTCGCCTCTCTGTGCCCGTCTCTCCTATCCCCCTATCGTGTTTCGCATCCGCACCCGAGTCGGGCACAAACCAACCCCTCTCCTATCTCCCCGGCATTTGCTTCGCGTCGGCATGCAGGCCGGGGGGGATAAGAACCCCCTTTCACCCTCGTCCCATCGCCGGTTCTCCAATCTCCGCTGTCTCTAACATCAGCATTCCCGCCCTCTCGAATCTACGGTTAGCTTAGACCTGAACGTAGCCGGCCGTAGCTGGGCATCCCCCGAGCTGGAACCTCTCTCCTGCTGCTCCTCTATCCTCGCCCCTCTCTCCTGTCTTACTTCTCCCGCTTTTTCTTAGCGTCCCCTGTGCCGCTTGAGCCGCGACTACTTACTTGTCACCATCACCACCATCGCTCAAAGCCATTACCAGCTCCTACTAACCGCCCCGAACCACCACCATGGCCCCGCACAACATCCAGGACGAGGGCCTCGCCGACCTCGAGAACGAACCCGCCGCGGCGGCCGAGGTCCGCCCGCCGACGCCGCCCCCCATGTCCGCGTCTCCGCCGCGCGTCCTCATCATCGGCGCCGGCTCGCGCGGCCGCGTCTACGGCCGCTGCACCCTGGAGTCCAGCAACGGCGTCGTCGCCTGCGTCTGCGAGCCCGACGCGTACAAGCGGCGCGAGTACCTCCGCACCTTCGTCCACCCGGGCCCCGGCCCGGCGCCCGAGGGCTCCAGCTTCGCCGACTGGCACGACTTCGTCGCGTGGGAGGCGGGCCGGCGCCGCCGCGCCGCCGCCGGCGAGCCCGTCCCCGAGGGCGTCGACGCCGCCTTCGTCTGCGTCCGCGACGAGATGCACCACGACGTGGTCCTCGCGCTCGCCCCGCTCGGCCTGCACATCCTGTGCGAGAAGCCGCTCGCCACCACGCTCGACGACTGCGTGCGCATGTACCGCGCCCTCGCCCCGCTGCAGGCCACCCGCGTCTTCTCCGTCGGCCACGTGCTGCGCTACTCGCCCCACAACATCGCCCTGCGCAAGCTGCTGCTCGAGGACCGCGCCGTCGGCGACATCCTCAGCGTCGTGCACACCGAGCCCGTCGGCTTCTGGCACTTCGCGCACTCCTACGTCCGCGGCAACTGGCGCCGCGAGTCCACCACCGCGCCCTCGCTGCTGACCAAGAGCTGCCACGACATCGACCTCCTGCTGTGGCTGCTCTGCTCGCCGCCCGAGTCCCCCGGCGCCGCCGCCGCCGCCGCCGCCGCCGAGCCCCCGCACCTGCCCGCCGAGGTCGCCTCCTCCGGGTCGCTCCAGTTCTTCCGCCGCGCCCGCAAGCCCCGCGCCGCCGGCGCCGCCACCAACTGCCTGCGCTGCGCCGCCGAGCCCGACTGCCTGTACTCGAGCCGGCGCGTGTACGAGAGCGCGCGCCACGAGGGGCTCGAGACCGGCAACACGCGCTGGCCGCTGAGCGTGGTGCTGCCGGACATCGAGAGCTTCGGCGGCGACGTCGAGCGCGCGCGCGCGGCGCTGCTGGCCCGGCTCGCCGAGGACTACGGGCCGGACACGCCGCAGGCCGAGATCGACGCGCGCAACTGGTTCGGGCGGTGCGTGTTCGAGAGCGACAACGACGTGTGCGACGAGCAGGTGGTGACGATCCGGTGGGAGGACGACCCGCTACCGGGCGGCGCCGGCGCCGGCAACGAAGGCGGCGGCGGCGGCGACGCGCTCGGCCGCCGCGGCGCCAAGCAGGCCACCTTCCACATGGTGGCGCAGACGAAGCGCCAGTGCCACCGCTTCACGCACGTGTACGGGACGCGCGGCGAGGTGTACGCGGACTCGCGGACGATCGCGGTCGAGGACTTCGCCTCGGGCGCGCGCCGCGAGCTCCGCCCCAAGCTCGAGTCGCTCGGCCACGGCGGCGGCGACCACGGCCTCACCCGCCAGTTCGTCCTCGCCGTCGACCGCGTCAAGAACCACGCCTGGCCCGCCCCCCGCGCCCAGCGCGAGCTCGTCGGCTGCTCCCTCGAGGACGTCGTCCGCAGCCACGCCCTCGTCTTCGCCGCCGAGGAGGCCCGCCGCCGCCGCTGCGCCGTCGACTGGCCCGACTGGTGGCGCCGCAACGTCGGCAGCGTCGTCGACGCGGCGGCGGAGGCCGGCCCGCCGGCCGCCGCCTAAAGAGACGCCTGGAGTGGAGGGGATAGGTAGGCGATGGTGGGATTTCAGGGATTCAGAGGGGTTTGGAGAGCAGAGGGGAGAGGGAAGGCTCGCGGTCTGGGATAACGCTTGCCTGTCTGTCAACGGCGATAACTGATTAATGAGTGAGTACTCAGGTGATCTTACAACATCGCTCCAAGTGTGAGCAAATAACCAGCTATTCCGGCGTGGCTATATGGGTTCTATTGCGTCCACACCCGTAGAATCACGAGGATGTTCTTGTAGCCAGGGAGGACAATAGTGATAGGGACAACGGAAGCGTGTTCTCCAAATATCACTTGGAATCGTTCACTGTGTATCCTTTGAACAAATATCTCCGTGATCCTTGTCTTCCTGCAGGGTAAAACCAACCCTCCCCAGACGCCCCAGATTATACTACCTACATTGCTCATATAACTGGCGTTACGTCCGCCCTCCTCCCCTCTTCTCTCCAGTTACTTTTCCTCGAATAAGTACCAATTCAATCACACCTGCAATAGAAGCCAGGAAGCTGGAATAAACCCAGTCGTCATTCATCATTATGTAGGAAACCGAGAGAGAGAGAGAGAGAAACAGTGTTTCGCCTTCCCGTAGAAATAATACGACAAGAAATAATAGTCTCCACAACAAAGAGAAGGAAACTCACGGCGAGTTGGGTGTCCTCGGCAGCTCCTCGTGCCCAATGCCCCCCCGAAGCTCCTCGAAGTAGTCTCGCAGGCCATCCTCGCGGCGGCGGTGCACGGCGAGCTGCTGTGTGGTGTCGCCGGCTTCGCGGTGCCACGCCTCGAGAGTTGCCATGTCGTCGAAGATCTGTGACTCGTTGAAGCCGCGGCCGGCTTGAGCGGCGTCGACGGCCTTCCCAAGGGCGTAGCGCGCGAGCGCATGGCGCGGGTTCATCGCCGCCGCGGCGCCCTCGGCGTCGCCGCACCGGCTGCGGTGGAAGCGGGCGATGACGCGCCACGATACCCAGTAGATCCAGTCGTAGCGGTTCGATGCGTCGTCGGCGAGCTGGAGCGATGCGTACGCGAGCTGCGCCGAGTGCTCGTCGTAAGGGCCGTGCTGCCAGAGGTAGGCGGCGGGCTCGACGAAGCGCATGACACTTGGCGCGTCGCTGTACCCCTGTGGCAACGACGACAGGATGGTCGACACGGAGGCGACGGCGCGCTGGAGCGAGGGCAGGTTTGTCCGCGTCGAGTCGAAGAGGATGAGGTCGCCGAGAAGGAAGAAGCTGAGAGACGGCGCGATCGTCTGCGCGAAGTCGCCCGTCTCGAGCAGCATCCCGAGTATGCTCTCCATGCAACTGAAGATGAAGTCGACCCCCGTCTCGAGCGTATTGGTCCGGAACACTTCGTCGAGCGCCGTGAACAACCGGCAGAGCGTGCTCCACGGCCCCAGCGTCGCGTCCGCGTAGGCGGCGAGGTACTTCCACAGTTCCTTGACCAGTCCGTAGTCCGGCGATATAACGCTAGCTATCAGCAGGTCGAACAGGCCGAGGGCGGATGGTGCCTTAATGAGGAGATGCAGCGAGGAGAAGGCTCTCTGACTAAGCAAGGCACCGTGGGAGTTGTGTCCTCGCGAAAAGAACCAGCATGCTCTGCTGAAGTCTCTCGTTGCCTCGCATAGAGCCCCGTCGAAATAGATATTGAAATCTTCTTCAAACGAAGCGGCCGATACTATCGAGTCTCGCCAGCTCGAGGTGAGGTTCTTATAGCAGGAGACGAGAATGTCTTGGGCGTGAAGATGAGAGGGTAAGGTCATATGCTGGGGTTCGGCCGGCGGGGGGGTAAGCGCACGCAGGTATTCCGGGAGCTCGACTTCGAGGGCGGGTACGGCGAGCTCGATATTCGAGATACCTTTTCGCTTCATGTAAGTTTCGATGTCGATCGACCTCCCATGTCGACGGAACGTTGTTGGCTTGCCCGCGGCGTTCCTCTGACGCTGTAGTCGGAGCATCATCGCCACATCCTTCTGCTTATTGTTCTTGACGAACCCCCATTGGGCAAATTTCGCCTTGTACATTCGGGGACTGCCGGCAAGTTAGCGAGTACGCGTCCAAGGCTGGATGGGCCGTTAGTACACTAACGTAGCCTTGAATCCCTTGCCGCTCATTATCTCCATCAACTCACTCAGCGGTTTGTTCTGCTCGATGTAGAGGTCGTGTATGTCGTCTTTGTAGCGTTCCCATACGGCCGGCTGGAGGTGATGGCGCGTCTGCTTGCCCCGAGATGACTGCTTTTGTTCCGCGGACTGGACTTCAGCGCTTGCTGAGACTTTGTGAGTGTGGCATTCATCCGGGCTACTGGACGACTTTGGATTACGGTGCAGTATGGGCAGGGGCCCATGCGCAGACGAGGCCGGCGACGACAGATCTGAGTCGCGATCATAACCGGCCGTAGACGACGAATCCGCGCCGACCGAGCACTTCTCGGGCGACACCGGAGAGCTGCCGAGGACCCCATGGTACCGGCTCAGGCCAGCGCTGGGACTCCGACTCTCGACCTTCACGCTCTGGCTCGGAGAGGAAGCGTCGGGAGCGGCGGCGCGGCCCTGCCATTCGGACGTCTCGCACGGCTCGTCCAGATTTGCCGTGGGTGTTGGATTCTGCCCCACTGACTCGGAAGAAAAATCTGGCCTCATGTGTGATACATCAACAGAACCGGTTTGATGGTCGCCAGGAGCTGGTGCGGCCCGTACATATCCTAGCTCGAAGGGTTTGGGTAGAACTAGGCAGTCTTCAAATAGGGCAGACTAGCAATTGGCCGGGGCATGTTAACGAAGGAGCAGATCGAGGAATACAGGGCGACAATTCGAGAGACGGATCGTATTCCCGTGAAGTTCGACCACGCCGACACGGCTAGGGAGTAGGGTATGGCTTGGCAGGCACCCTAATTGGCCTCTTCCTAGCCTCTCTTCCCACTCACGCCACCGACTTTGGGACCGACGGTGGGCAAAAGGCGCCTTACCCGTCGACAATTCCTCCCGGGAAAACGGACCTGGTATAACTAGCGGCTGTCTGAATCTGGATAACTCTCTCGCTCGCGTGGCAAATGGGAAGTGGGCACAGATGCAGATATCGGGCAGGGCGCAGTATGGCCACATGGTTGCTGCATCCATCATGGTTGACGAGAGGCTAGACTAGTACCGTCTGTCGGTATTCGTGCTCTCTCGCCAATGGCCAGGGCTACCAACTCGGCATACCAGAGCCCCCCTCCCTCCCTCTCCGTGCGATTGAAGGAAAACGACCAGCCTTGGCTCAAGTGGGATAGGTCTCCCGGAAGCCCACATCATACCTCTCTAGGTCGCATCTCCCACGAGACCCCGCCCGAAGCGACGGACGAGTTACATTGCGCACCGATCTCACCACGGGCCAGATCAGGATGGCGGCGGCACGTAGCTGAAAGCTAGGAGTGTCGCACAGATTATCGACTAAGCAGCTCGCGAGCGAGAGGCAGATGGGAATTAGATGGACGATCCGTCGAATCCCATCGGCCGCTCAATGCGACCCGGACGAGTGCGGCAAGAAAAAAACGTGTTTTCAGCCGCATCGACAAAGGGAGAACGATCGCTGGTGCATACGCCCTACTGGTACCTCACCTCTGCAGTGAAACACGCAAGAGGGAAACGAGGCCTTGTCGCCGATGCGCCACCACTGCCCACCACGGCGAGCCGGCAGGGCCGTCCCCGCTCAGCAGCGAAGGCAGGGCCAGGGGGCGGAATCCCACGACGCCGTCGGAGGAGCGAAGATGGGACGGACGCAGTCGACGCTGAGGAGCGCGGCCAGGGTTGTCGGGGCTTGGAAAACGCATCTGATATGCGGTTGGAATGCAGCGGAAATTCAGGAGGTGCCATTGCTCGCGATAAGTTTCAACTCGGAGATGTTTCTAAATATGAAGGACGACCCACGTAGTGTAATAATAGGCACAGCGTCAGGGGAGGTTTGGAGGAGGAGGTACCTAGGTAGGTATGTGCCTTAGGTACTGCCTACCTACCTTGTAGCCACCTCTTTCGGCACAGGTAGGCACTACCCTTCCACGCCCTGCCATCGCGCCTTACGCCATGTTACCGAGGTGTAGGTACCTAGTACCTTAGTCACTGCCTGTAGGGAGACGCTACGTCCCCTTGGGTACCTATACCTAGCCTACGTGAGTGTCTCAGTACCTCAAGTAGGTGGGTGACGTGGGATAGGTACCTAACCTACCTCCACGTGGATGTCCTAGGTATCTGCTACAGAAAGCTATCCGCCATAGTGGGGCCGGCGGGCCCTTCCCCGAAAGGCAGGCATGTCCTGACATGCTAAGGCTTGTCAAGAAGTGGTTTCTTTAATGCCTGGTATTATAGGCACCTACCTCTTGTAGACTGGGTATGGGTTGGTGGCTTTTTTTTTCCTCAACCTCGTCACCGTCGTTTTGTTTAATTAACCAAACCTGTGTAGGTAAGCGCCGTTTCTACCCATATAGTAGACGTTGTCTATCCCAGCCGGTATTCCCTCTGTAGCCTCCATGGCGAATCCTGGTGGGAGCTTCACCCGGCTTCTTGGGTGCTAACGGAACAGGCGCGGCGCTTGGCTGGGCCTACGATGTTGCGATTGGCAAAAGCGCACGAGTCATCCTCCGCGGGCTCCCGTGCTCAACTCCCCCAACAGAGACACCTGGCCGCTACTATTCGTTCGCTGGGTTCGCGATGCTCGAAAGTAGGGAGAGGAGGATTTGTAAGCCGAAAACTGGCATCTGGCGTCAGCGCTACACGCATGCCCGATGATGCCGCGAGGACCCCAGCACCTCCATGTCCTGTAGGACTTGCCATTGTCGTCGACGTGAGGAACGAGATACCAAGGCGACTCGACCGCATCAGCCATTCCTTTCCTCGCCTGCACGCCACCTGCCCGTATGGCGCGCCCGCGTTGGGAAGATCTGGCTGTGCCAATCCCTCCCAGGTGATCCTTTGATGGCAATGTGATGGCGGGAATTGTGTTGCGGCCTTTGGGTGTTTCGATGGGTACCAGTCGGCTTCTTGGGGAATCCGATCCCCTACTGATTACCCCCATCGAATCAGACAAGACTCTAGAGTCTAGGTGCTTCGGTCTTGTGACTGTCTACCCTCTCGAGTAGCCACAGGATCGTTCCACTGCAAGGCATCGCTTTGCTCTCGCTCATTATTGTTACAACTACCATGGTCCGGCCTCGTGGGGTGCCGCATCCCCCTCCACTTTGCCTGACTCGTGTACATCCTGGGGACCGAGACCCGGCGGCATGGGCTTCCACTGGCAAGCCTCCTACAGGTTACCTGTGTATTGCACATGCGTACCCCCGAATAGGGGTCGATGTACCTACCGCTAGGTAAGTGTACTAGAGTCATGACATCCATCCGTCCACGCGTCGTGCGTGGAGCTGCAATGCGTCGTGCCTCCATATTACCTCTCTTAACTTGGATCACTACCACTGCCCGCCTGCCCGCATAGATCGCTGGGATACCACCGCAACCCAAGCCTGTCGAAAGGCTCGTGTCCAACGTCCCATCCGCCATCCACGTTTTACTCGTCCGAACTAGTAATATCGAGGCCTGTCCCGGTAGGTAGAATAGCCATCTGGGCATACACGCCTGCATCGCCTGCCTCCCATACCTGCTCCATCCGCAGTTCCATTCATCCGAACCCATCCTATGAGAGCGGATCGTTGGACGTCGGGATCAGCTTCGCAGTAAGATCTGCCTCGTTACATTCGCGATCAAACGGCCACATTGGTCGCTGGATCCTCTTGTGACCCAACCTCTGCAGATCTTGATCGACGCCGCCCGGTGTCAGCCCTAGCATCCAGTCTGCCGCCATGGCGTATAGTTCCGGCTCCAGGTAGCCGATCTTGACGATGACGATAGCAGCCGAGCGCGGCGCGAGGCCGAGCTCGGTGAAGTCGCTCTCGTAGTGGTACGGCTTCCGCAGTTTGGTCAGGACCGCGAAGACGCTGCCCACTTGCAGCACCACCTCCACTTCCGCGTGCCTGTCGCCATGTTTGATCGCATGAACCCGGCCTGTCATAGTAATCGGGCCCGCGTGGATAGCGTCCACCTCCGCCCCAGCTGTCACCGTTACAGTCGTCCCAACCCCTGCAGCAACCGCCTTCCCGACTGCCTCAGGCCCCGGCACGCTGGCATAGATGACCTTGGGGCCTGACTCCAACCGGAACTCGGGACGCGCAAGCAGCTGGGTCAGGCCCCAAGTCACATCGCCGGATCCTCCCGCCGTGGGATTGTCGCCCGAGTCTGATATGAAGTATGGGTGCTTAGCAGAGGCTAGCGCCGCGTCTAGACATTCCTGAAATGACCCCGTGGGAGCGACGAAACGGAATTCCTTGCGCGAGTCCCAGAATAGACGTGCCAGGCGCTCCGCGCCCCGAGCGACCGCCTCCTCGTCCCAGCCGGTGACCACAACAGCAGCACGGTTTCTCGGTTCGTCGGCCCAGGCGTAGCCGACCCAGATCGCCGCGTCTAGAACCCCTTCGGAAGCCTCTACTTCGGGGACGGCCGCGTAAATACGGGTTGCTGGCTCGTCCCTCGTCGACGTCTGCTCCCCCGGAAGCAGGATCGGGACCGGTATCCAGGCCTTGAGCGGGCGCACAATCTTCTCGCCACCCGCTCGCCGCTGGAGTAGCTGGAGCAAGTTCCGGCATGCCCGCTCCTTTGTCTCAGAGACGTCTATGTGGGGCGCCGTACGATAGCAGGTTATCAGGTCTGTCTGATGCACAAGTTCGCGGGAGACGTTTCCGTGTAGGTCCATCGACGCCGACACTAGTACGTCGGGCCCGATGACCTTGCGACAGCGCCTCAGAAGCTCGTACTCTACATCATCCAGACCCTCGACGCACATGGCTCCATGTATGTCGAACCAGAACCCGTCGAGTTTTGTCGACGCCACTATCTCGGTAAGGCGGGTGACGATTTCTGCCGAGAGCGATTCGAAGGCATCTCTAGTCACGATGCCGCCCGGCAGCGCATGGCCGGTCAACGCACCACGCCATTCAGCGGCGTCGCCTAGAGACGTGCCACGTTGTATGAAGGGGTATCTCGTTATTATCTCGACGCCCCGCTCGGGTTGGAACGCCGGTGCCAACGTTCTCGACGGCGTAAAAGTCGAGGTCTCGCATGCAAGCCCCGCAATAGCGATGACCGGACGGTGCGCCATAGTCGCTGTCGTCCGCTCTCTGCTTTCCATGCGCCGTGAACCAGGACATACCCGATGAAGTTGGGTGGCTCGAAGCCTTATCGCCTCGGGAGCTGGGCACACTCACTCCCCCGGATACGATGCGACCCACCACCGCCTACACCACCCCCTTGTCTTCCCCGCAGAGAAGCTCCCTCGTCCCGGTAAGTACAATCCGAATGTGACCTACTAGATAGGTAACTTTACAAAGATTATGTGAACAAGCAAAAAGAACTTGCACGCTCGGAATGTTTTGGATAGGAAAACATCGATGGCACCTTAGCTGGTTTTCTTTTTTGGTTTTTGGTTCGTTTTTTTTCTCCTGTGTTGAATTGGTCTTATTTCGGGCATCTTGATTTCGTGGTCGGTCGGCCGGCTACCTTATGGCCAGAGCCAGCCCGACATCGAATAAGTGCGGAATCGAAACTAAAGAAATCTAAATAACTAGCGGGTGCTTTTGACTTATTGCCTAGAAACATCTGGGCAAGTGGCCTGAAGACATCGGCAGTAGATGGTTCACGCCAACGTCCGAAAAGAGCCTTCGCCAGTCGTCTTTTGTCTCAGCGCCCTCAATATAAGACGAAGCAGTAGCCAATAGGTGAGCTCGTCCTCGCAGGCCGACCACATGGCTATTCCCTGTCTCAGACCGCGGGAACGTAGACGATATGGACAGTTACTAACCTAAGACGACCATCATAGGCCGGTTATTGGGCATGTTTACACTGCACTCAGTGGCAGGATATACCTATCATATCCCACGTACGGAAACATGTTACAACCTAACACATGATTTACCCCGGACGCGTTTCTGCTCCGAGAGAAGCCCAGTATCGGGCGTCAGAAGGAATGAGATATTCGAGATCCCAGGTAGGCGTCACGGTCTCACCTTCAAAGTCCCTCGCCCAATGTTTTACTCTGTAACTGACGGGCAGCTTTTTAACATTGCTCAGCATTGTCCGAGATAGACTTAATAGAAGGGTTAAAGATGGCGGAGGACCAACGACGAGGCTATTTACTAACACCATCATGTCGGTGTTACCTTTATTTTTCTCCCTTCTCTAGGTCCCTGGCCCTGCTCAATTCAGTCGTGTCGCTATGCGCGAGGGGAAACGTGCAGAAATGGTATCGGCAACAACAACCTCATCAGACGCCTTCGTGTGGCCCACTCTGTCACTTGGCCCGCTAACCACGGCATTCACGGCACCTTCGAGCTGCGATAGAGGCAATACCCTCCTTTCCCCGCTCACCCTGCAAGGCGAGGTGTACGATTTCCACCCAGCCGGCCCAGTCAGTCCTAACGAAGACTGCGTGCCCTCTCCGTGGGCCATCAACGGCTACTACCTGCCGGGAGTGTGCCCGGACGGGTACACCGCGGCGTGCTCACGAACACGAGACGAGACGCGGATGACGATATGCTGCCCGACGTAGGTAAAACCGCTTTGTATAACCACTCCATCTCGAACGGGTAAGCTCTGTCAAACTTACTCGGTGTTCGCCGCCGGCAGGTTCGAGGAATTCGCTTGCGAGTCGACGCTTGCAGACAGCGTGTTCGGCTGTCACTCGGGCTATGACACGTCCCTCAACGTAATCGAGCTCACGGACCCCGAGTTTGTTGAGACGTACTACGACGCGCGCGCGACCCTCCGCGCGTTCAGCATCGCGGTGGGGGGTAACGTCGCCACTACTGCCGCCACTGCCACGACAACATCAAGCTCCTCCTCCTCCTCCTCGGCCATGGACACGGAGGCTTCCTCAGCGCCTCGACTTTTGCCGGACGAACGGTCGCTGTCCAGGGGCGCGATCGGTGGCATCGTCGTAGGGGTCATCGCTGCCGTGGCGCTAGGTGCGGCCGGCGCGTTCCTGCTCTCGCGCCGCCGCCCGTCGTTATCACGGCCGCCCCCTTCGCCAACGCCCGACTTGCTGATGCGGCGAAGCAGCTCCGGGCGGCAGTCAAAAGTCGTGCGCTACGAGCTCGAGGCGGAACCCTGGCCCGCTGCCGAAGTGCCACATAGGCGGAGGAGCAGAGAGCAAGAGCAGCCGATGTGTGAGCTTTCTGCGTGATCAGGACGAGACTTGAGGAGCCCCTCGTCTTGCGCCGGCGGGGGGGCTCTCTCAGAGAACGGGATTTTGTTTTGTTGGGGGCTACAGGGCTAGGGAAAGCATCTACGGACGTCGACTCGATCAACGAATAAGGAACACGGGGGATTCTCTTCGGACGACTGGCGTTTTACCGCCTAGAGCGAGGCATTACGATTAGAGACGGTCGAGTAGCTAATGCGAGCACGCCAGATACTTGGGAACGGTGAAAGAGGGGAGTTTGGCTGGGGAGATTTCAGTCACTGCTAAATAGCCATGGAGTTGATTCCGTGCGCGCGCGGAGTGAATGCTGGGCAGAGAGACGCGTATTACGATTTCTGGTGTGCAATAATAGGGGCAGTTCATAAGCCACTAATTTAATATAACTCGGGAGTTTGGACGTGTATTTGTATTCGGCACTCCCTTATATGCGGTAGAGCAGGCAACGGAGTAATCGTCATAGTATCGAGACGAGGTCGAGTCGGTCATTTATTAGCTATAAGACCAACAATACTCAACAATCTTGGTACCATGACCAAAAGATAATAGGACCCAACTCCCCGTCAGAACCGACTCCCTAACCTTCGAAGACTCCTGGCCGCTACAGGCCTCGACGATAAGATACCTAGCGAATGCGCGACTTGTCTCGGCACTCGTCCCAGCGACACCACGCGGCGTGCAGCGAGGCTGAGACAGGACCTCGCTGCGCGACCGGCCCAAACAGAGTGTGATCTGGGACGGGGCGCGTGGGAGGGGGGCACGCGATGTCGACTTAGCCGCGGGCGGACAGGTGAGGAGGTGAGGGGGGGCGGAGGGGAAGACGAGGGGAGGGGGGGGGGGGGTAAGGCGAGATATATGCGGCCGAGACAGAATGTCACCCCGAGACGCAGTGGCGGCGCCGGCCGCGGTTTTGGTTGCAGGGCGCGTAAGCGGGTCGGGGCCCTGCGGAATGCTGGGAGAGTGGGTTGGCGCCTTAATTCGAGGCCGCGGACGGGGGGAGGTTGAGAGGGATTCTCTGACTCGGTAGGGGGGTTGCGGCAGAAGCGGCTTCTTGGGGGAGGTAGTCTTGCTTATTATAATGTCGCTCTGTAGGTACGATACCAATGGCTTGCTATAGTCCGGCAACGCCCACCCTCTGCTTCCGGCGCAAGAAGCTAAGTGTCGCGGAACCCGGGATGGGCCTCTGTCCCGGGTCGGAGGGCCTTTTGGCGGAAAATATGTTTTGTTGTGAACGAGCCGGAGATGGTAGGCCGAAATACGACGGGCCTCGACCGTGTGTGCCTACGCGATGCTCGGGGGATAAAGCCAGCGTGAAGGGAAACGTGTTTATATGACTAGCTACGGGGACAACACGAATGATATAGACTAACTAATATGTATGTATATATATATATTCCTACTCCAAGCTGCCAGCAACTCCTTTAGCATCCATACCTCTCTCCGGCCCTCTGTAACATACCACCCCTGAATCTGCAATAGCCCACGGCATATAACCCCGACCATCAACACACTCCTACCTCCAGCATCTCCTTGTAAGCCCCTCCCAGGTATTAAGCACGTTCCGCCTACGCAGATGGCTTATATATACAGCCACGGCCAGCTCATACCTAACATACGAGGCGACCCAACGCGCACCTCTTCGGCACCAGCCCCTATCCCTACCACAGCCCTCCCATTTCCACCGTACACCCCAGCCTCCTCTACCCCTTTTCTCACCCCCTTAACCCACACCTGCCCGCCCCTTCCCTCGCCTCTCCTTCTCCCGCGCGCCGCCGCACACAGGTAGGTATGTATAGCCCGCAATTAGGCCCCTGCCCCTCTAACCAGCAGGCGCGGGAGCGCAGGCGAACAACACACCATCATCGTCCAGCGGTTAGGATACCAGGTTTTCAAGCACGGCCGCTCGCGATCCCCTGGGGACCGGGGTTCGAATCCCCGTGATGGTATTAGGCGCTCTCGTCCGTCTTTCGTTCCTTTTGTTTTATATACCTACCTATTTCGACTTCGTGGGCGTTCGGCCCCTCTGTTTTTTCGCGCCTGCCTTCCTCTTTCTAGGTACGTGGTGAACCGAGAAGACTGTCTCCCGCGGAAAGGAAAGCCGCGGCGGCCGGTGCGTGGTCAAGTGCGGGATCGCGACTTTCGGACGGGACGGGGGCCGGCCGCTTCTCCCGGCTGTCTGCTTCCTCCGCCGCCCAATGCTTTTCTCTTGGTTAGATAGGTCGGTTCTATATATTACGCCGCTGCATCTGTGGTTGTCAATATGATACATACTCTAGTTAGGTGCCTGAGGTATAGATAGCAATTAGCATAAGAGGTATCTCCCCCTCGGGGTGGAGTTATATTACAAGTAACAAGTAACCAGGCTACCGAGTTACGTTAGATACGCCTGTCAGGAGGCATCCAGAGGTACCTAGACAGCCATAGGGTTAGACGGACCATAGGATAGAAGATAAGACGCCCGCTATATTTCAGCCTCGACTATGAACATAGACAACTAACCAGCTTATACGGATGGATATCTCCTACTCTTGTCCGCCCCTTCTTTTCCTTTAAAAAAAAACAAACTTCAGACCTCATTACTCGGGTACGCCACCGTCTCGGCGGGCACGAACTCCTCCTTGAGGCTGCGCAGGCTCACGAACCGGGTCAGGATGTTGGCGCTGCCGGCCTTGTCGTTGGTGCCGCTGGCCCGCGCGCCGCCGAACGGCTGCTGCCCGACCACGGCCCCCGTGCTCTTGCAGTTGACGTAGAAGTTGCCCGCCGCGCCGCGCAGCGCCTCCTCCGCCGCCCGCACCGCCGCCCGGTCGCGCGCGAACACCGACCCCGTGAGCCCGTACGCGCTCGTCCCGTCCGCCAGCGCGCACGCCTGCGCGAACGCTCGCGCCTCCGCTTCCGCCCCCGCCCCCGCCGCGTCCTCGTACACGTACGTCGTCAGGATCGGCCCGAACAGCTCCGTCGACAGCAGCGGGTGCGCCGGGTTCGTCGTCCGGTACACCGTCGGCTGCACGAAGTACCCCCTCGACCCGTCGTACGTCCCGCCCGCCAGCAGCTCGAGCTCGGGGTCCTTCTTCGCCTCGTCAATGACGCGGGCGAGCCGTTCGAAGGCTGCGCGGTGGATCACGGGCCCGACGAACGCTGCCGGCTCCCACGGTGCGCCGACGCGGAGCTCCCGTATCTCGTGGATGAGCCGCCGCGACAGCTCCGGCCATAGTGACTGTGGCACGTACAGCCGGCTCGTCGCGCTACACTTTTGTCCCTGGTATTCGAACGCGCCGCGCACCGTGTGCGTCACAGCGTTGCCTACGTCCGCCGACCTATGCACGAGGTGGAAGTTCTTGCCGCCCGTCTCGCCGACGATGCGCGGGTAGCTCCGGTACCGGCCCTCGGCCGTCCCCTGCCCGATCTGCCCGTACAACTGGCGGAACACGGCCGTGCTGCCCGTGAAGTGGAGAGCGGCGAACTCAGGCCGTGCGAGGACAGCGCCGGTCACCTCCACCGGGTCGCCGGGGACGAACTGGACCACGTTCTCAGGCAGGCCCGCCTCGAGCAGGATCTTGTGCAGCAACCAGCCGGAGGCGACGGCCGAGTCGGACGGCTTCCAGATGACGACGTTACCGAGGAGGGCGGGTGCGCCGACGAGGTTTCCACCGATGGCGGTGAAATTGAAGGGGCTGACGGCATAGACGAAGCCCTCGAGCGGGCGGTACTCCAACCGGTTCCATACTCCGGGAGAGTTGTGGGCGGGCTGCTGCGCGTACAGCTCCTCAGCGTGCTGGACGTTGAAGCGGAAGAAATCGCACAGCTCGGCGGCCGCGTCGATCTCGGCCTGCCACGCGTTCTTGCCCTGGCCGAGCATCGTGGCGGCCATGATCTCGTACCGGTACTTCGTAGAGATGAGGTCTGCCGCCTTGAGGAAGACGGCGGCTCGGTCGGCGAAGGGCAGAGCCTCCCACGCCGGCTTCGCGGCCAGGGCGGCATCGATGGCGGCGTCGACATCAGCGGCGGTAGCAACAGAGTAGTTGGCTACAGCGGTAGCGTGGTCGGACGGGTTATACTGGGTGGACCTTTTCGCCGTTTTGACCTGCCCGGCGCGTTAGAGGTTACCACGCTCTAGCGCCATGGGAGGTTAGAGGTATTAGTACGCGGGTGATAGACATACCTCTTTGCTCCCTATTACCAGCGGAATATCTACCGCTCCTTTCTTCTGTTGGGTGGTAACGGTAGCTAGGAGGCCTGCTCTCTGCGCGGAGCCCTTCCCGTAATGATGCTGCATAGCGCATTAGTTTGATTCTCGGCCTGGTTGCGTCTCACACGCGCAGCTGACGTACGTTGGGCTCGTTGATTGCTCTAGGCGGCTTGAAGGTAGCAAGAACCGACGCTTTGGCGCTCGTCGTGCTCAGGGCCCTCGCGCCGCTCGGGACTCGAAGGGCTAATGAGCATCGGGAGCAGACCCTCGCGAGGCCGTAGCCTTTCGGTACGGAAGCCATATGGGCCGGCGAAGAGATATGAAGGGTACCCGCTGCTGGCTTTGAGGACTCACGGGGCACAGATGGGGGTCTCAATTCGACTGATACGGGGCTAGGATAGCTACTCGAGGACGGGGTGGAACGAACAGTTGTAGCTGGGCGCAGGTGCTAAGAACGGGGTAATTTCGACTCCCTACCATACACGGATTCGCTTGACCTCACGATCAAACCTTGAGGAGCCAGGCACGGTAAAATAGGTAGGCATAGGCATGTATATTCTGTAGGGGGTGGGAGGCAGATGTAAGGAGAGGAGCTCCATCGGCGCCGACCCCTCCGATGATAACATATCACCTTGGTGAGTGCGCTGTGCGCTCGCTTTGTGACGGCATAACTACCCTGACCCCGCGGAGGGGAGGAGCTTGCCGCATCCCCATCGCACAGCAGCTGCCAATCAGGGGCTGGGTAATTGCTGTGGACCAGCCGAATTCGGCATGAGCTGGGTGAAGTGGCTACCTAGGTACCTACCTAGGTACCTAGAGGTGTTAGGTACATAGCCTACAGGTCTTGACGGGCACCTGCTCAATAGGTATCCGCATGTAGCGATTAACTCAAGGCAGTGTGTAGGTACCTAAGGCGGGCAGGAGGTACCTCTGGGTGTAGCCAACCCTCAGTTCGGACGGCTAGACCAGCTGGACAGACCATAAAACCCCTAGGTTATTAGGTATCTCTTAGTGACCCAAGTTCCTTACATTCGCACCTCCACCGCCATCCTGTCCGTATTCACACACCTGAGAAAATACCCAGCCTGCGAGGCCGCGGCCATACCGTTCTGCCGATTACAGATCATCATTAGTAGTAGCGCATAAGACACGAAACTATTGTAGGCATACAAAATGGGAACTGTCAACATCCAAGGCTTCTCATAGCAATTCCGCTTTCGCGTGGGTATTTGTCCTCCTCTTACTTCCTACCAATTACTTTTTTTTTCCTTTCCTCCCCCCCCCTGCGTCACTACCACTACTCGATACGATCCCAACACCACCACGACAGCCACGAAAACGGGTGACGGACAGCAAGCCTCTCCTCATTCCGTCTCCTCTCGGCCAATCACCGCCAAGCCGGCGCACCCGCAGGTCGAAACCGGCCGCTTCGCTATCTCCCCCTTCCTTCTCGCCTACTGCCGAGGTAGCTACCGATTACGTGATGCGAAAACGAGCATATCCGCGCCAACCATGACCCTGTCCCGCGCTGCCCCACTCAGTCGATAATCACGTCCCTAGAGAAGCGGCGCGGCTCGGGACCGTCGTGCTCACCGCCGTGTCCGGCCGGCTTCGGTGCCGATGCAGGTGGAGGCCGTATCCGTTGGTTCCGTACTTGCCGGGCTCGTAGTTGAGAGCGGGGATCGTCAGACCGTACGGCTCCGTCTTGCCTTCTTTGTCGTGCTGGTCAATCTCCACGCGGATGCAGCAGTCGAGCGAGCCGTCGTTGCCCCGCCCGTGAGTCTCGAACGAGGCCGCCTTGTGGTTCGTCCCCGCGTTGAGCTCGCCCTGGTGCAGGAACGAGTGCCCGTCTTTGCCATCGAACGGATTCTCTGGTCCGTCTGGCACCACCGGCACTTCCGTGTAGCCGTTTGCGGCGGGGTTGTTTGGCGAATTCTCCGTGAGCATGGCAAAGTTTCGACTAGGCATCGTTACATTATTTGACGCCATCGTCTTGCTAGAATTCCCAGGATCTTTGTCGAATAGAGACAACAGTGTCTCGTCCGTGTCCGGGTTGAGGTGATGGATCTTGTTACGACTGGCTAGGAGATTGGCGATCGCCGCCGGCGGTGGCTTATTCACTATCGCCGAAGATATCACGTTCACCATGTAGCGATGGTCTTCCTCGGTGGGGATGTGCAGGTTCGGGTTCGAGTAGAACCGCCCGAGGGCCGCTAAATGGACATCACCTCCCAGAATCGTAAGCCGGACCGAGAATTCCGAGCAGACAGTCTGTAGCCGCTCGATGAGAGCGTTCCGCTCCTTCTTGTGGGTTCTGGCCGTATAGTGGTCATCCAGGTCGTCGAGGAGATCCACGCTGCCATCAAAGTGGTTGAAAACACCGCCACCTACTCTTGTCGTAAGCAATCAAGATAACCAAAACACGTCTAGTCGTCTCCTCCACTTACCAAATCCAAAGCGTCGGTTCAGGAATTTTACCGGCGCGATCAGCGGGCTACTGAACACATTTTCGAGCCATGTGAGACGCTAGTCGCTGTTAGCCGAAGGGCCGCAGTTGAGAGAATGGGATCGTCATACCGGATATGCAATCGGGATCCCCAGCAGAAGAATCAAGTGCCGGAAGGGCTGGCCAGCACTTGCTGCTGCGCGAAGCTCGTTCCTCACACGATCAAAGATGAGGTCGTACGTCTCGGGGTAATTGACCTGGTGTCGCGTTCGCTCTATGCGAGCGTCTATCCCCATGAACGCGATCCTAGCTCCCAGTTTGGAGAACATGTTCATCGATCGTTGCGCAACGTAAGGTCCCGGCATGTTGCCGATAATGTAGGAAGAGTCGAAAGATTGCTCTCTAACGTACGTATCAACGAGTTGCGCTGCATCCTCTGGGGTTCCGGGTTGCGCGGCTTCGGGCGCATCCGAGGTGTACGTAGACGCGGGCGGCGCAAGGTGGTGCTGGAACAGCATGTAGTATTTATGAGCGGTGCCGCCGATACCCCGGAAGACGTCGCACTTCATGAACTCGTTGACGTACGACCCGAAGCCATCGATGATATCGTGATCATCCCATATGTTCAGCTGCGGTATTTGGCCGTTAGCCGAGGCGAATGGTTCGATCGAGTACCATCGAATGTAGTTATTTAGGTAATAGTCGTCGCAATCTGCTCGCAGACTTTCTGGGAAAGGAAATTCGCGCCGCTTCTTCGGGTTGCCGATATCCGTCCACGGACGTAAGGGGCCGTTCACTCGAATACCATCGTTGTAGATCTGGTCACCACCCCCTATCATGACGTGAAAAGGGGACCGAGCATGAGTTCTCAGCACATCGTTCCATAGCGCCGGTCCGCTCCAGGCCTCTTCGTCCGTGCCGACGCTAAAGCCGTTGCATGAATGAAACATGATTCGCATCGACTCATTGATGGCGGGGATGAAGAAGTGGTTCGTCGTCGCCTGGGTCGTGGACCTGTAACGAACGTCGGAAACCGAGTACGCCCATTTCGTTTCTGTATCGGCAATGTCGCAAACGAGGGGGAATTGCCAGAATGTATTCCTAGGGTCGGAGTAGAGGCAGATGCCTGCGACTTTCGTCCCGTGGCGGCTTTGAAAGCCACCAGCACCATCGACCGGCGTATTTTCCTCGACACGGCCAAGGGTTAGAGTGGGTTGGAAGCTCTGGGTCTTTCCCCCGCCTTTGGTGACGATCAAGACGCTACCGTGCCATGCCCTGCCCTCCATGCGCCGGTAGTTAATCAGGGGACCGCACACCACCTCTCTTCCGTCCTCGACGGCTCCATCTGTCGCACCGTCGGCGCCACCCACAACAATTGGCGTGTAACTTCCCGTCCCATTAGTTCTCGCCCGATCGCCCTCAACTCGGCTGGAGTTGAAGAAATTGGATAGGCTGCTCGTCTCCGTGCTTGAGGAAGCTATGGCGGCGCGAGCGTAGGCGGAGGATTCCTGGTGCCTCCATTTGTTGGCCGAGGCGTAAGGGTTGGGCGTGTCCTCTTCGGTGTAGGAGTGCTCCTTCCCGTGCTCGCTCATGATGGCCCCGAGTTTCGTAAAGCTGTGGCAAGCGTGTCTTGAGCTGGGATTGAGCTTATCGTGCAGGCACTACTTCTACGGGAGGACAAGCATGCAAGTTTGAAGAGACGAATTCGGCGGCGACGCAGCAGGACGGGACAACAGCGGGCTACGAGGTTGGATGGGTGGGTTGTCTATGTTGTGGTTAAGTTCCAGGACAGTGAGAAAGCTCGAGAAACGTGAAGGGCGGCGGCGCATCGAGGCCGGACGAGACCTACCGGAATCGTCGCACGCGGAAGGGAGAAAGCAGGCGAAACTTGAATCGTCGGCTACCCACACCAGAACATGGGAGGGAAACTACAGCGGGAACGGGCGGGCAGAGACGTTGGTGTGGCGACGCGACAGAGATCCCGTCCAGGTATCCAAGATCGGCCTCTTAGCTCGGTGGTCTTATCAACAGGGGCCGGATGTCAAAATAATAGAAAAACAAGCACACAGACGTATGCCAAGGAAGAGGCGAAAATGGTGATGACATCCAATGCTCTTTATAATCCAGGAACGGCAGGCAGCGAGGTACGTCGGCGGAGTCGAGTACGCAAGAGTTTATCACGTACGGCAGGCAATCGGCGCGAAAGGGAGGGAAGCCAGGGAAGACGAGAAAGAAGAAGAGGCCAATAATGGAGTTGAGATTCGAGGAGGCCAATTTCTCGTGTCCGAACGACGACCGACTCTAAAAACCAATGGCGCGAACCAGAGGACGGAAACGAAGTGGAAGAGGAGAAGAGAAAGGAGGGAGAGAAGCAGAGCAGCAACGATCATAATAATAAAAATAATAAAAGAAATAAATCAGGGTGAGACAGACAGCAGCACGACTTGCCCTAGTTACCTGAGCGGCTGCCGACTCCGAAGATGAGCGTGAGCTGGCTGCCTGAGGTCCTTCTCTCCGTAGTACCTGCACCTGTGGTAGGTATCTACATGGGCGGCTCCAGGTAGGTTAGGTACCTACACCAAACCTGGGCGGGCGGGACTTACCTAAACCCAGGTACCTCTCGACGGAGTATAGGACGAAAGCAAAAAAAAAGGTACACGGAGTGCCAAAGAAAGAAAAGCACGATAAGACATTGAAACGCGATCTCACGATCAGCAGGTTGCCCCCGTTGTGTCAACAACGAACCATCTCATCCCTGCCGGCGGGGCGCCGCCATGTACACAACCGGCGCAGGGTACGACGCAGCCTGCAGCGAGCAGGTACTGCCGCATGCGAATTTATACAGAGGGTTACACCGGGCGAGGTCGCGCCAGGTACCGCGTAGTGGTTCCGTCTCGGGCGCAATACATCATCGCCTGCACGCAGTCATTTATTAGCACCTGCGCGCTGCTTACGGAGCACCTAAGTCAGAGGCAGAATACGCCTGTACGTGTAGGGCAGAGGAGCGGCCTGCGGCCACCTGTCCGCCGGTCAGTCGGCCATAGACGTGCACCCTGCCTTAGGTACCGCGTCTACCTCAGGTACCCAGGTAGGTATCTCCTCAAGGTACCCTACTACGTAGGCGGCTTCCCACGATTACCTCCCCGCGCGTGTGAGTGGTCGGGTCGGAAAGAAAGGCACAGAGTAGTGGGGGGGCAGCGTATCCCAATTTTAGGTCTTGGCGCCTGGGCATCCCCCCCCATTCCCCGGCCAGCCCATTACCTGCCTACCCCTCTTAGCCCTCAACCGGTGCCGGCCCACACCTTCGCCTACCCACGCCGCCTTTGCCGTGTATCCGCCCACCTGCAGGGGTCCCTCGGCCAGCGGGACAGGGGGAGGAGGGAGACCGCTCTGTGAGGCCTCACGGCACGCACACGTAACTCGCGTGTGTACGTAGTAGGGGTGTTGCACATCGCAGAGGCGTGATAGCCTCACTTCCCGACCTCATTATCGGCCGATTCTCATACACGGCTTCTCCTGCTTTGGGCCTAATACCATCCCTTCTAGCCGGTTATTGGCGATGCTACCTCCGTCAGGCCCGTGCCTTCAGCTCTCCCCGGGCTCCCTCCCTCGTCTCGGCGCAACCAACCTGTCGACACACGTAAATATTCGTGCGCCAGTTCCCTTCTGGCCTCGTCCTCGGCAGCGAGGTGCACGACACTGCAAGGTTCGCTATATATACATGCCTGCTGTGCCTACCATCGGGGCGGATAATTGTGAAAAAGAAAAGGAAAAGACCTAGGTACGAGAGAGGTTGACCACACCATGCGCGTCGTCGGCATACGCGACAATCCAAAGCCACACACGTTCCCGTTCTACACCCACACATCGAGTCCAGTTGCTCCCAATCTCCACGGAACGACGTACCGAGGTAAGGCGCCGGACAGCGAAGCAATATATCACCATGGGATGATTGCGGTAAGACTTGTTTTACGCCACAGCCCCGTTCCACCTATGCATGGTCATTAATATACAGTTTATATACCTAAAATAAGGCCCGAATTATTCTACGAAGCAGAATAATTCGGGCTTATTTTTAACGTAAACGCTAAAAATAATAACCTATCCGGAAGATAGAGAGATATAGAAAGTATACTTAGTTTATTTAATAACGATTTTTAAAGCTACGAACTTTATTTATTATAGAAAACCTAGAAAACGTAAGAAATTATATATAGAAAACTTATAATTTATACGAAACTATCTTTTATAAATTCGAAACTAGTTTAAATTTTTACGTTAACGTATATTATATTAAGTAAAGCGTATATTATTTACGATAAAAAACGTATATAGTAAAACGAATTTAAGAAGAATAAAACATAAAAGAAATCTAATATAAAAAAATTTTTTTAAAGTTAAAATTACGTAGGTACGTAATTTCTATATTAAAAAAGGGCGCTATGCCTAATAAAACTACGAAACCCTTAAACTTATATCTTTATTACTTCTTTTTACGTTTCTTTTCTACTTTTTTTTACGTATCCGTATTTTTTTCTCGTAATATACGTAGGATTTCTCGTAATAATTCGTTACTAAAAAGAGCGTTAATATCTAATCCTTATTACTTTATAACCCGCTCTTCCGCCTTCCGGATTACCTTTCTAGTTTTCTTATAGACTTTATTAAAAGCTTACTTTAAATTAAAATTTCTACGCTAGCGTACTTTATTACGTATTAACGTACCTTTTTATTAATTTTTTTAAAATCGAAAGCTTTTTTTAATTCCATAAATTTAACGAGCTCTAGCTCGGCCTCCCGGGGTACCTTAGCGTAAGCGTAGTAGCCCTTATAATAATAATAGTAGCGATTATCTTTTATACTTATTAATTATCGCGTATACGTAACTTTTCGCGTTTTCTACGTTATTTTATATACCGGTTCTTTTTACGTAAGCGTTCGCTTATAATCGATTAATTCGTTTAAAGTATACCTTATAAGGTAACGCTTTTTTCTCGTCGCCGTCGTCGTCGCTACCGTCGTCGCTACCGTCGTCGCTACCGTCGTCGTCGTCGTTATTATCGTTACTAGTAAAAAAGCGGACTCGGTTTATAAGTAGATTCTATATAATAAAATTAACGCTTACGTATATTATTACTTAATCGCGTACTTTTTTTTATACCATAAAGTTCGTAAAGCATAACTTACTTTATAAGGTATACTAAGGGGGGGAAGGTCGCTACCGCCGCCGGCGGCCGCTAGGCCGTTAGTACTACCTATCGTAGTATTAATACTAACTACGCGGCGGGCGTCGTTAGCCGATAGCTAATCGAGGCCTAGGTTAATAAGCTCGGTAATCGAAATCCTAAATACTATTTTAATTAACTAAATCTATCGCGCGCGTATTAAATTTCTTACTTTTTTTAATTACTTTAATCTTATTTCATTAAATAAAAGACTACGAAATATCGTTAGCGTTCGTTTTAAGCTTAATTAACTATATACGAAGGTTTAAACTTACGTAGTTATAAGAAGGATAAAAGGCGTAAGAAAAAAGGAAAGGAAATAATAAAAGTAATTAATAATAAAAAATAGGTTATTTTATTTCGTAAATAAGGAAGCGTTATAGGAAGTCGCGATTAAAGGAAGATACGGCGTTAGTTATTAAAGAAGTCGCGATATCTTTATACGTTAGAAAGGAACGGCGTACTTTAAAAGACGCTCCGTAATTAAAGTAAGAAAAACGTATTCCTATATAGAAAATAATATATCTACGTTACTTTTATACCCGTATTCTTTACTTTTACGCGGTCTAGCTATATAAAGATTAATTAAAGTATTATAAACTATACTTATTCGATAGAATTAACGTATATACGTTACTCCTATTCGTTATTTATAGCGCTAAAGTACGTTATTTATAAGGATATCGTAATAGGTATAGAGATTAAGTAAATAGCTATATACGTAAACGGAAATCTCTATCTTCTAGCTTAGCTTTTATACCTACGAAATATATATTAACTTAAATATTAACGAACGTAAAAAGAAACTTATTATTTATTAGCTCCTTATATACCGTATTCCTATAAAACGACTCGTCGAATATTAAGCCTTATAACGAAATAATCTTAGAGTAGGCGACGTAATTTAACCCTAACGCGAATTCCTTTTTTATAATTTTAACGATAACGTAAAGAATAGTAATACTTTACGCTTTATAAACGGTTATTACGTATAAGATAATTAAAGGGAACTATTCTCGTATATAAGAGATACCCTTATAATCGAACTCCTAGCGCTCGCGTAATATTAATATTACCTTTTTCCTTCGAAAATCGCATAGCTTATTTCCCTAAGTATTTTTAAACCCGGGCCTATCGTAATCGTCGAAAGCTATTATAATTATTATTAACGGCTCGCGTTTAGAATTAACGCCTTACGTTTAATTTATATCGTAAATAAAGCCTTAAGAGCTATTTATAAGTCGTATTTCGGAAGAAATATTACGTAATAATATTACTCGAGCGCTTATATAAAGTAGTAGCTTAAAGGAAAGGTTACCGGCTAGGTCGCTAGGCGCGTTTAACGCTCCTCGGCCGTAATAAATAACGTACGTTTAAATAACTAGCGAATTAAGCGTTACGAGATAGTTAAAATTATATTAAAGTACTTCTTTACGCGTAAAATATATACGTATCGCTTCTTTAAAGCCGAAACGATCTTACTTAGTTAATACCGCGGCTACTTTCGTAAATAAGAGCTAGAACGATTCGGCGGAAACTTACGTTAAGCGTAACTCGTTTAGCGCTTTTCGAAAAAGCGCTTAGTCCTCGCCTACTTAACGCTAAACTACCGATAGAAATACCGACTTAGAAAAAGCTCTATACGTATTATAACCGACGAATTCGTTTACCGAAAGATACGTCGAATTAAGAGTATAAATAAGCTTTAATAATACTAAGGGTAATTAAAAAAAGTCGCCGATTAAAATTATATTTACGTTATTAAAAACCCGCGAGTTACGTAGAAATATCTACCGTAAACGGCGGTTAATAAACTTAAGTATACGTAGCCTTAATATATTCTTTTCGTCGATAATTAAATAGCGAAGGTTAATAAGGCGTCGTTATACCTTAGCGAAAGCGTTATTAAAAAGCGGCTTAAAGCTACGCTTTATAGGTAAACGAAGGAAAAAATATATCGTTCTCCCGCGAATATTATTACTCGTAACGCTAATTAAAGTAATAAGGGCTACCGAGTCTTAAGTAAGAGCCTAGCGAACGTAAGAGGCTAAAATCTTAATTAAATACGATTTTTTAATACCGCTATTACCGTCGATTTAAAATAGAAGCTAGTTTTAGCTACGACTTTATACGTAGCTAAGAACGGTATCGTAAATTAGCCTTTGTTCCGGATTTAACGTATTACGGGTATCTAAGGAAACGATCTCCTATTCCGGCGTATCCGTAGTACTTATTATTTCGCGCTAATAAATAAAATCGTAAAAGTAAGGATACTTATATCGGGCTACGTATATAGCTTAATCGTAATTTACGTCGATATTTTTATTCTTAAATACGTTAAATATTTCCTACGTAGGCGCTTAATTCGGGAATAAACGCGTTAATTTAGCTTAATTCTTTTCGTTTAAAGCCTATTCTTCTTCCTTTAGAAACTCGAACTTCTCTTCGTCGGATCCGGGAAGGTCGCCGTAATAGTTATCCTCGTATTAATAGGTTATTTAATATCGCGTATATGTTAATATATACGTTAGAAATTAAATACCGTTAATTAAAAGTAGCTCGTCCTCGCTAATATACGGATAGTTTAATATAAGTTTAACGCGGTAAAACGACTCTAGCTCGTTAGGGCCTTTATTTATACGGTAGATAAGGTAATAATTAAGTATACGTTTTTCTACGTTACGTTAAAAAGGGCGTTAATCGTAAGCGTATAACTTATTAAAATTCTAAATCGATACGAAGTAAAAGAAGCTTAATTTAATAACCTTTAGTACCTTTAAATCGCGCTAGAGATACTTTTTATAAGCATTACGCCCGTTAAAAACGTCGCTAGAGCCGAGCTCGAGGCTATAGTTTTATTCTGCTAAGGGCCGGTAATTTACGTTACGTATAATACGCGAATTAATTTATAAAGGTAGTCCATATAATATATAGTAAACCTCTTACGTAGAGTAATTTCGTTTCCCGATTAATTTATTTATTAACTTCGATATAAAAGAGAAAAGAGGATTTACGTTAAAAACCTTTAGGAGGATTTACTTAGTAAGGACGTTATAATTATCGGTCTTAATTTCCGTTTTAAAGTAATACTTCGCTACGTAATTTATAATAACTTCTACGCTAGTATAGAGCGAAATATCGATATTAATTAACTAAGTAAAGGTAATTATTCGATTATATTAATTTAATTATTCGTCGTTACGTTACGCTTTAAATAATTACTAGGTTTTATACGGCCGTATAATAATCTCGGCGTAAGCGCGGTACGGCCGCGGGAAAAGAAATCGGTATTTTAAAGGTAGTAAAACGCTATTACCTTATTCCGCTTCTCGCGCTTTATACTTATTAATACGGAGGTAATATACGGGAGAGTATTTATAGCGTTAATAACGATTAATAATTTAAAAAAGCTAACGAAACGACGGCCGCGCGTTTAAAAGCCGTAATACAAACGGATTACCTTTATTTTAATTTAAGCGCCGGCGCGGCTCTAGGTTAACCGTAAAGGCGTAGTAGCTCTAAATGTAAGCGTAGTTTTAGCGCTATTTAAAAGAGGTTATATTAAGTAACGGATTACCTTCGAATTAAAATAACCCGTAATAATACGTACTCCTACGCCTTTAAAATTCGTATCGATATTAATAATCGCGTAAGCCGAACTTCTTAACTAAAACGATATTATAGAAAAGTTAATTCCGAGCGTAAAAATACTACGCGGTAATATAGGGATTAGTTTTTAATAGCTCGCGGAATAAGCGTATACGTTAGATTTTAAAAAAGGAGAGTTATTCTTAAAAGCGTAGCATATATTAAAAAAGGCTCCGCTAGTAAAGATTAGTAAGGCTTAAGGTAAGAAAAGCGCTAGGAACCCCGAGGTACTTAGTAAAAGTAACGTATTCGCGTTTTCGTTTAAATTAAAAAAACCGCGTATCCTTTAAATAAATTATAACGCGCGTAATACTTCTTAATAACGCATTAGCCTCGGTACTCTTAAGGTTCTTTAACGCTTACTCGAGATTTTACCGCGTAATTTATTACTATTAAGCGCCTTTTTTTCTTACGAAATATTTACTTATTATTATCGCTTATTAGCGTATAAGTATATTAAACGCGATAAAGCGGAAAGTAAGGTATTACGCGAATCGATTATCGCGTTAACGTATAATATGTTATACTTAATCGTCGAAATCGATCTTACGCTACCTTAGATATATAAATTTAACTTCTCTACGCGGAAATAAGGTAGGAAACGCTAATAAAAATAACATAGTTAAACGTATGAATTCGTTAATAAAGGTCTAGCGAATAAAAGGTATAAATAAATAATAAGTACTTATAAACTTAACGGGATAACCTTTAAAAATAAGCGCCCCCTTTAATTCTAACTTTAAACGTTTTATCTTAATTTACTTTAACGTAACGTTTAGTATAATAGATTTATCGTATTAAGCCTTTAATCCTTCTAGGTCGTCCTCCGTAATTAAGTTAATCTAAAGCGCTTAACCGTTATCGACGAAGTTTTAAATATTAAGCTACTTAAAAACATTACCGTCGTTAGGTAGTTCTTCTAACGCGACGCGATTTTATTTAAAGTCTTTATAACTTAGGTAGTTATATCTTAAATATTTAAGCTATACCTCGATAACGCGCCGGCGTATTCTAAACTTAGTTCGAAACTAGGTTATTTACTTAAGATTTTACGTTAGTTCGCGTAGGCGTAATAAAACGATATTAAAATATTAAAGGAAGAGGGGAAAATAGTCGTATACTTTACTAACGTTACGTATAAAGTATACGACGTAGCCGCGATATTTATATTATTAGCCGCGGATTATAAGTATATTTATTATTACGTAAACCCGCGTAATAAGTAATTCTTCGATTATTATTAGCTTTAGTAATAAATTAAAAAAAGGAAGGATACTAAAGTTAAGATAATTACCTACGTTAAAAAAGAAGGACTTATTTACGCGCCTCTTTTAGTTTTTATTACGATAACGTTTATAAATACCTACGGTATTTAAATCTATATTAAACTAATACTTTCCGTAACGACTATAATATTTACGTCGTTCTTACTTTAGCGCTAACTAGAACCGTATTAAAATCGCGTAATCGGTATCGCTAACCGCGCTAGCGTTAAGGTCTTTTTCCTACCGTAGCGGCTTAATTATAAACGAACTCTAACGATTAAAAACGCTACTAAGTTCCTAAGAACGAGCGGTATTTAAAGGGGAGGTCTAATTAAAAGGTCGGCCTAGGCGCGGTTACTCTCGCGCTAATTTTAACGTAAACGCGCGTAAAGGTCGGCTTCGACGAACTAACTCTCGCGTTTATTCTAAGGTAGGCGTACGTAAAGGTCGGCTTCGACGAATTAATTCTCGCGTAGGTACTCGAGGAGGTCGCTCTCGGGGCGCTAGTTCTAGCGCTACCGCTAAATCCGTTAGTTATAATTATATTATTAACGAAGAAAGTAAAGGAATAAGAAAAGGATTACCGTTATTACGTCGGGTTATCTTATACCGTTTTCGAATTTACTATCGTAATACGTTACCTACGCGTAAAGCTACCTCTTTAGCGCTTAAACTATATACCCGAAGTTACGCGGTAATAGAATATAATCGATAATAAGTAACATTTAATCGCGGAACCGGTTAAAGCGTTTTAAGCGTAAGATAAGATCGGGAATCTTATATAGAATTAACGGTAAAGCATAAACTACTAATAAAAAATATTAACCTAAATAAAATAACGTATATTTTCGCGGTAAGAGAGATAATTTTTTATAGATATAACGTAATTTCGTAGATTAATAAATTATTCGATAGCTTAAATTCTTCCGTATATACGACATTTTTTAACTTAAAGCGACTTTATTTTAATTAAATTAAGGATAGATTATAAGAATAAATTATAAGATACGGAAAAGAATAAGAATTATATAAATAAAAGTAAAAACGTATAAATAAACGCGTTAATAAATATACGTAAGGATCTTAAGGGATAATAGGGATATATTAAATAAGAAAAACTCTATTTATCCCGTCGTTTTTATTAGGTATACGTATTTTTAGGGACCCATAGCGCGTTTTTTAGCTAATAAAAACAGAGTTTCCCCTAAATAATACCCCTTTATAGGGGTATTTATAAGGGTATTTAACTCCGTAATTAATTAGCATAACAGGGGGTTATACGTATTATAACTATCCTCCGGATAGGATCATCTATAGATACTCTTGTCTTATGTAATGCGGTACACGCTTTTTCTAGGTAGGTATATATAGCTATGCACCGCGCGTCAAATCCCTAGTTTCGCCGTTTTGGAGTATGTGTGATATAGGCATGCGGACAGAGGGACCTCGAGGGAATACATGAGGACGGACCTACTACCCGTGGGGTAATAAATAAATAAATAAAAAAGGGGGGGGGGGGGGGGATGCCCCGATGCCCCGCAGATTAGTATTCCGCAAGTCAGACTGTCATTAATGAGCAGCGCTCAGCGGTTGGCAGCCGGTGGTGCAGCGTCCTGTTCCGGTTCCCTTACCTGCGTGTCGGCAATCTTCAGTCTCTCGGCGCGGGCCCGCGCCTTCGCGTCCATCCGGCGGCGGAGGAACTCAGCCCCAGCCCACCCGGCCGCGATGCCGCCGAAGTGCGACGGGATGTCGATGCTGTGCGGGCGGCGCGCGATCAGCGGGAGGAGGTGCATACCGAGGATGAGACCGATGAAGGCGAGGCCCTGCGGGCCCGACATCGGGTCGGGCGGGTAGCCGAATAGCTTGAACTCGTCGAAGCGGTGCAGCCAGAAGAAGGCTGTCACGATCCCGTACACGGCCCCTGACGCCCCCAGAGACGTGTACTCGAACCCGCGCCGCAGCACGAGGGACGTCAGGCTCGTCATGAACCCCAGGGTCCCTGACGCGAAGTATATCGCCAAGAACCCGCCGCGTCCCACCTCGTCGTGCAGCCGCGTGCCGAAGAACCAGAGCACCATCATGTTCAGCGCCGCGTGGCCGAGTTTGTGGTGCGAGAACATCGCCCCGACCAGCTGCAGCGGCCGCGGTGTCGCCACCACCACGATGAAGTACCGGTTGAGCAGCGCCCACAGCGGCGGCACCCTCCAGCACATCCAGACCACCAGGTTCAGCCCCATGAGGCCGAGGCAGGTCGCCGCCGCGGGTGGGATGTCCGGCCACAACCGCGACGACCGCTTGGGAGGCTTGTATGTGACGGCGAACGCGGCACACCCGAGACAGACCAGTACCGTCAACGCAAACGAAGGCAGCAGGCGCTCCCAGGCCGTCATGCGGGGCGGCTCCGTCAGTTCTGATGTCGCGCGCTCCATGTACTTCTTCACGAACGGACTCATCTCCCGGGGCTTCTGTTGCTGGGTCTGCAGGGTTCCGATGTTGCCCTTCGCCTCCTCTTCCTCGCGTTTCTTCCGCTCCTCCTCGAGCCGCATCTCCTCGGCCTCGCGCTTCGCGATGTTGGCCGCGCGGATGCGGTCGAACGAACTCTCCCCGTAGGGCGAGTCGGATTTGCGCCGCGGCAGCGGAAGCCTGCCGGTTGGGCCTTTGGCACTTTGCGGCGCCGCGTTCACATCCTTCGCTTTTTGCGATGATGGGCTTGACGGGGTTGGTTTTTCGACCCGTATGACTATATCGAAGCCCTCCTCCCCGTGTTCCCGCGCGTCTAGATATTGGAGCTCGTCTTCCGCCCGCAGGCCGGCGTTGATGACCTCATCTACAGGAACGTTCGCACGCAGGTAGCGCAAGGCTTTTTCCATATCGGATTTTTTAAAAGAATCCGTGTTCAGCTGGAGAACAGGGTCATCTAGCGTCCCCGCTACTCGCCGGCCGTGCAAGATGCGCAGAAGCTTGTTGGCCCTGTCAGCGGGGAGGTGCGCTCCGAATATCGCGTTCACTTCTCTCTGCCGGAGATCCTCCTTTCGAAATGGGAGTCCCGTAGGGTCTTCATAATCCTCGGGCAGGTGTGAGTAATGCGTAATCGCGCGGAACCGTGAAAATGTTCGACCGGGCGTCTGGGGTGGGGTAGGTGTTTGCGAATAGTGCTTCTTCAGAATCGTCGAAGGGCCGATGGGCACCTTGGCGCTGTATTGGAAACACAATTTGAGCGGGGGACGTCTCGCCGCGAAGGATGGAGGAGCCGAGCAGCTCAGGAACTTCCCAGCATTGCCTACTACCGTCCGCAAGCCCAGGCGGAAACTTGACGGCGGGGGAAATACGGGGAGGGCAGGCATGGTACAGCTATAATACCATCATGTCGTTCGGGATCGATTAATCTTGCGACTTCCATGAGGTGTACGACGGAAACCGAGCCGAAGACTCCAAGCTGCGGTGCGACTTATGAGGCGCGCGAGTAACCATCGGGAACCTCGACAAGCTTGCCTGCGACGAATTTCGGGCGGATTGACAGTGCTAGGTGGTGAGTTGCGGCAATTTGTTAGGCACCCCTGATAGATGATTACCTAAGGCGACCACAGACCATCCAAAACTCCAGATGGAGAAGCACGTGCAACCCGCCTCTCGGGAGCCCATCGGAGACTACCACAGACATTCCAACCTCCATTAAATGTCCCAATTATAGGGACCAGTTACGATGTATGGCGAGCCACGATACAAGTGTCGAGTCGAAACCCCAGATACGAATTGCCTATGTGGGGAACTACCTAGATAGGTATGTGAACAGGCACACGCGCACACAGGCATTTACAACTCCCCGATATCGACCTGCTTCTCCAACGGCGCCGCATCCGACGCATCAAAGTTCCTGATCAGGTCGTAATAAAATCTCAAGGCTTCCATGTGCGAATCCATGTCAATCCGCTCATCCACCGTGTGGGCATTGGCAGAGTGCCCCTGCCGAGTGGGCGTCCAACGGTAAATATGACTAGTCAAGTCTAGAGGCATCCGGAGTCAGCAATTCATGGTCACGCACACGCCGTATAGGTTCACGCAGTCGTCGTTTGGCTCCACTTACTGAGATAATGACGGGTATCCGTATTTCCGTTCATCAGTTCACCCACCGGGATGACCTTACCACCCTCGAAAGCGAAGCTGTATTGAATCGTCCCCGAGAAGACGTCCCAAACGGGCCCGGATGCGGGCGCGATCGGAGCCGCCAAAGTGGGCTGCGACGACGTGAGAATGAGTGTGCCGTTGTAATCGACTTCATACATCGGGTCTACAGCACCACCCTTGCCGATCTCTGCCAGTTCGATGTCGGGGTTGTGGTCTTCCCCTTTGAACGCACTGACGGTCAAGTCAAACTTCTTCACTGCGGGCTGAATCCGCTTGAGGATGTTGGCTTTGACCGAGGCTATGGAGTCCTGGGGAGCGATGCGGTGATTGACGCCGACCTTAATATACTCCGGCATAGCGTTGATCTTCACCCCTCCGTGGAAATAGTCGACAGCCTGCGAGGTTTGTATGCGGTACTGCGTCGGCCGATCGATCGTTGCCAGCTCCGAAGCCAACACCTCCAAGTCTCCTCGCTTGATCAGCTCGGTAATCTTGGGCGCCGCCTCGGGCGAGTACTTGGCCTGGCAGACGAAGTGGTTATAGATGGGTGAATCCTTGATGAGCTTGGGCTCCCACGGGTTGGATTCTAATTCGTTAACGATCTCGGCAATGATACCAATGCCTGTATGGGGGAATGGGATCGACGAGTGCCCTCCGTTGACGTATAGTTCTAGCCAGATGTCGACATGGCCTTTCTCCGTGACGGCAGGGAGCGCATCTATTCATCCGGTCAGTTAGAGGGTCTGAGAACTCGGGGCTGGATATCTACGTATGCGGTATCACTCACATAGCGTGTCGTCGCCGAGCAGTTCTAGGCCTATCCCACCTTCGTCCAGGATCAGAGCTATCGAATCGGGGCCATACAACTTTTCTAGGTATGGACCGATGTGACCGGCGCCCCGGTGACCCGAGGATTCCTCGTCGAATCCCAGTGCGACAATTATCGTTCGTCTCGGCACCCAGGCAGAATTCGACAACAACGCTTCCAGGGCGGACAAGAGACCAGTCAGGCTATTCTTATCGTCCGACGCCCCCCGTCCCCACAGCCACTGCCCATCGAAGTAGCCCGAAAATGGCGGATACGTCCAGGTTGAGGCGTCAGCAACGGGAACCACGTCCTGATGCGCTGCAAGCAAGAGGGGTTTGAGCGAAGTTTCCGATCCTTTGATTGTGTATACCAGGCCAAGCGTATTCACCGTCTCGCGGGCCATCCGGCGATGACTATAAAGCTCGGTCAGTCGGGAAGTGCAGCGAGGAATAATACTTACTAAATCATACACGAGACGGTCACTTACACGTTGGGATACAGCTGGGCAAAGGCGGCGTGGAGGTGGTAAAAAACGTCCCATCTTGGGTCCTCGCCGGGCTCCCCATTGTCATCGTACGAGATGGAAGGTATCTTGACAATCGTAGAGTGCCTCTCGACCTGGAGCAGCAGTGCCTCGTGGCTAGAAAAGATATCTCGAGCAGCTGGTAACCCATCTCCCGATGGATCTAATACGGCCGGAATATCGCATTTCAAGTCTGCTGTCGGGCCACGTCCCTGGACTCTGGGGCCGTCGTCGTGATAAATTAAACGGGCAAAGGCACTCGCCGATAGAGCACCGGCCACCAGAGCTAGTCGTGACGCGATCATGATGTTGTCGGTATTCTTACCCCTTGAAGAGCACACCGACGGTTACGGTTAGAAACTCTGCCAAATAGAATCGGAAAGGGATGAAGAAGCTGTACACAATAAAGCTACCGTGAACTTATAAAGAGAGGGCGGCTTCGGCAACACCTATCCCGGCCATCAGACGGGAAGCCATGGTAGGATTTCACAACACTGCGGGGAATGCATGGACCACGACTGGTCGGTGGAGACGGGCTCCCTCCGCAAAGCAAGGCGAGATAACAACAACAAGCTATACGCTACCTATAGCATTGGCTACGATGCCCTGAAGCGGCGGGACGTCGGAGAGATGCCGAAATACAGGGTTCTTATCACACCATTGCTAGATGTCTTTGGTCGCGCAGGCTGATAAGGACGGAGAGACACGGGCCAGGACGCGGCATCTGGGAAGCTCCCCACCCCGTCCGAGTATCGGCATTAGGAGGTACCTACCTCTGCTACCAGGTACCTATGAGTATGTACTACCTACGCCTACCTAAGGTCCATAGGTACCTAGGTAGGTACGTTAAGTTGCTGCGCAAGTAACCTGCCGGACCTCCCCGGGCATCACGCCGCCCCGTATACACCCACCTAGATTAGGTACTTGGGATGGGTCCGAAGGTACCTAAGGTACTTACGCCTCCACGTTAGCAAGAGTAGGGTGGCCCAAGCTCCTTTGAAGCACCCCCTCTCCCCATCGCACCTCCCCCACGCCACTTTAGTCAGCCCGGAGAGCTCCAAGGCATCTAGATTACGAATCTCCAGCTTGACCTATCGAGGACCATCCGCATCCTCAGGCTACAGGGAGACCCTGAGCCGATACTGTTCATCGACGTCGTTCTTCTCCTCAGGAGCCTGCCGACTCCAGTCTAGCTCGGGAAAGATACATACCATGTCGTCCGAATCGCAACCCATATCACCAGCACGCTTCGCCGAAGCTCTGAGAGAGCTGCCGGCCAGCACCCTGGCGATTAAGGTCCTCGAACTACGCAACTCGATAGCCCATCTCGATTACTCCAACGCCGAGCTGAAGCCGTTTGCCGAGGGTCACGCACCGACTCTCGAGCAGCAGCAGACGGGCGCGGCAGCCGGGCAGCCGGACCAAGACTGCGTCGATGCCATCGCTGAGAACGAGGCCGTCATCGCGCGCATGCAAGAGCGCATCGAGCTGATCAAGGCCGAGGTCGAGGCCCGGGGGCTCAGCTGGCGCGAGTTCCAGGGCAAAGCCGACGAAGACGAAGGCGACGGCGACGGCGAGAAGGCGCCTGCTGCAGCGGACGCGTCGTCGGCGTCGAGCGTACCTAACGGCACCGTGAACGGACACGGACCGGCGGGTCCGCAGACTGAACAGCAAGAACAACACCCGGCATGGAGCGACGGCACATTCCAGATCGGAACTGTTGGCCAGCTGCAGGAAGTCGACCAAGAGCTCCTCCGCCGGCTTCAGAGTCGGATTCCACCCGAAAATGGCGAGGAAGGAGATGGTCCGGAGGGTGGAGTGTACTTATGACCTCGTTTCTTCTAGACACGGTTGAAAATTACACCTGGTATAAGAGTACAAGACGATTTATTTGCCGGCCGGCAATGGGAAAATAGGGGTTCCGGGGTTTGTCGTCGACAAGGGTCTCCATATCACGCAGAGGAGGGGCGGATGGAAACCTACAGAGATTGGCATACGCTGTGAGTCCACCTAGGGAGAAATCTGAACGGTGCTGATATTTGTATTTATCAGGACACTGAGCCTCACCATGGCGCCGCCGTGTCTGTGTCTCGTCACCATCTGGATAATAGCACATAGCAGTGCCAGTGCGTCATGTGCGAATAGAATATTGAGTGAGCACAGAGGATAATTAGATGTTTCTCTAATGAAACCGCAGTGCTTCTATGTAGTGACAGACTGGCATACAGCACGTATTAACGAAATAAAATCCCGCCTCCATACGTGCCCCTAATCACTCGCTAAAGGGCTCCTCAAAACCAGTAAATATGGTGCGTCCCGGTATCTACCTCCTGGACGACGATCTCTCCCCCACATCTTTCGCCGACGAAGTCTGACTCTCCTCCCGTTACATGATAACCACCCGAACGCCCTTGCTGCCGTCCTTCGGCAGCGGCACGAACATGTCATGGTCGTAGCGGACGTCTGCCTCCGTCGTCTCGAATAGGCGCATGCGCGGGAAGACACGCAGCGTTAGCGCCGCTAGCGCAAGGTGCAGCTCACAGAGGGCGAGACTAACACGTAGTCGTCAGCGAAGCTCTCTCCGGGAAACGGGATACTAGGTGGGAAAATAGTGATGGTTGGAAAAGGCGATCCGGAGTAGTACCAGTCAAAGGGAGAGGGGGGAGAAAGAGGGGAGACTCACTTCAACCCCGGGCACGCCCGGCTCCCCTTCGAGAACGATAGGAGGTATCGCTCAGGCTCGCGCCGCCGCTCCTTTAGGTTGGCATCAAGCCACCGCTCGGGCGCGAACGCGTACGAATCTGGGAACAGCGCTTCGTCGTGGTGCGTGATGACGGGCGACATGCCGATCGCGTAGCCACGCGGGATCTTATACTCGAGGGCAACGGCGCATTTTCTGCCCTCGTCGTCTCCATCCCTAACCCCGTCACCGAGATCTCCGGAAGATGGTGTTGCCCACGATCCGCGGTACACCAGGTCCTCGTCGGTCGCCACCCGAGCCGTGCGTGCCGACACGCCGTACGAGAGGCGGAGGCCCTCCTGCACGACGGCGCCGAGGTAGGGTAGACGCTCAAGCGCCGTCCACGAGGGCAGCTCTAACCCGTCACCCCCGTCTCTAGGGGAAAAGTCACCGAAGGCGGCCCGCAGCTCCGCAGTCAGCCGCGCCAGCGTGCCAGGCTGCGTCAGCAGGAAGTACGTGATGACGGCGAGCGTCCAGCTACCCGTCTCGGTGCCGCCACCGAGAACCGACGCCGCCTCGTCCGTCAACCGCCGCAGTGACTTCTCGTGCGGTGGCAGGTCCGACGCCAGCAGCTCGCCGAAGACGGTCAGCTGCGCATCCGTGGCAGCCTTCTCGGCACCGGCGTGCTTGATTTGGGCCGGTATATCGACCTTGTTAGTTATTCGGGAAATTAGTACGGGGTGTCTTGTGGGTAATGCGTCCTGTGCGAAGAACAGAGATCGCAAGGGAAGAAAGGGGTTAAGAGACGCACGTTTAAAGTCCGGATAAATAAGGCGACATCCTTAGGCAAGTAGTTGGAGAACCTGAGCCCAGCATTTCTCCATCAGTACCGAGTGCTTTATGGGCTCTGTCTCTTTGAAACATGGGGGCGCAACTCACCAGGCGCTCAAGAAGGATATATGATTGAGGAAGGGGAAGAAGCGAAAGACGAACACATTCCGGAGGAGGGAACTGAGCGGGCGGCGGAAGTTCGGCTCCCAGCTGGCGGAATTGTCGCGCGCGAGGAAGCCGAAGCCCTTGCCGAAGCAGTAATCAGAGACGACGTCGGAAGTGAAGCAGCTGTAGGCCATGGTTACGTCGAAGGGCTCCGGGTCGCCAGCTCGTGCCAGGAGCCGCTCGCACAACCGCACCGCAAGCCCCTGGACCTTGGGCTCGAGTCGCGCAATCTGGCTCCGCGAGAAGAACTTGGCGAGCGGCCCACGCCGCAGCCGGTGGCGGTCGTGGTCCGACGTTCCAAAGCTAGATTGGCTCATGCTAGTGCGCGTTAGGGACGCGGTTCTCTTTCGCAAGGCCCTCAATACTGGGATGGAAAATGTGGAGGAGAAAAAGGAGAAAGTGCGGCAAAGACATCTTACGCTACGCCATTAACTTGGTGCTTGGGCTTGTCGCGCTTGCGGCCACCCGCGGCGTAGATCTCGTCGATGAACCGGGCATCGTTGCAGTGCACCTCATCAGGGCTTATGCGGACTATAGGGCCTGATCTGGAGTCAGTTCACGAGATCTCCACGGGTATCTACAATCGTTACGGCCCAGTCATACCATATCTATCATGCATCCGCTTGATCTCCTTGGTATAATGGCCGAACTTGACCGCGTCATACCAGAACTCGGGGAGATACGTGGCGGCGGCCAGCTTCGGACCCGGGATGTGGCTGAGAGGGTGGAAGGGAGAGATGTTCCACGCGGTCCGGAGGAGTTGGTAGACTATCCAGCCGCAGCCGAGGACGATGAGAATATTATACGGAGTTATAGCGGGAAGAAAGTCCTTCTGGGAGGCCAGAGAGGCCAACACGGCATCCCGGGACGCCATGAGAAGGAAGATACGGGACAGGTAAGGATAGCGACAACAGCTACGCAGATACCGGGCGGGATGAGTCGCATAATAAGAGTGAGACGGGATGCCAATTCTAATCGGGGCCGTAGGGGCGTCTTATATTTTAATATGCCAAGTAAACAGCATTCACACCATACCAACCGTTCACGCACCACTACCGCCACCACCCAATATCCTCTGCAGTTCTGCTGCTGCGGGGAAGAACTATCTGGTAGGGCATGTTCGTCAGTTCGCTAGCCGTTTAAGGAGTCATGGTGTTAAGTCGTCCATGGCGTCGAACCTGCTTAGAATTTCCGTTCTTGACCCTTCGGCCTTCTCTTTGTTATCCTCGATCACCTAGTCGTGGCGTACGCCGGTCCCGACTTGGCCCAGCCGATCACCTTATACAGCTCCTTATCCGTTTTGTCCCCGTTGATCCGCCGGTGCCAGGACTAATACAGATAAGGTGAAGCCTAGACTCTCTGACATCGAAGAATAAGCAACGGGGGGGTCCCTATTCCAGCAGTCTACAGCAAGTGGTGATACCCCAATTGTGTGGCTGGTTCGACCACTACCCCTGTCTCCCACACAGAGTGTCGATGTTGCAGAAGTTGATCAGTTATCATGTCCAGCCGATTCGCCCACACACAACACCGAGACCTCTCACGTAGGTGACTTGGGTGGTATTCTCCGAAAGCAATCTCCTAGCCTAACCTCAGGTATGGGTCAACGTACATCACCGGCGTTACATCGGCTCGGCAATCTTGACATCGTTTGTAAAAGCTTGGTATGCTGTTGCATGCCTCTCCCCTCTCAGTATCACGGGTCAATGATAATAGGGCAAAGGGGGGCAAGGGAGCGAGGGGGTTGAATAACGATACACCAACATAGGAAGCCGGCGAGAGACGATACCGAAAACAACGATGTGATGCCGTCTACGCAGATACCAGCGTCATGGGTGCCATGTCGGCCCAGTGATCCAGGAGGGCGGGATACGCATGCAAGGCCTTACTAAGCAACGACGATCAGCAAGACAGATCGGGATCGAAAGGCAGTCGATCTTTAATGAAAATCCCGTCCCCACCTGTCCTCGAAACACGCCCGTACGCCATCTCTCCAACTGATCTGCGCCCTCGCAGCCAACCATACGCAAGGCTAGACGATGCGGTGAGGGTTGGAGAGCGCTTAGGTCAGAGGAGATCCGTTTGGCCTGGAATCGGTGGACAGGAAAAAGCATTATCGACTCGAGGACGGCTCACGAAGCCTCGTACGAGACTTCTGTCAGATTTCTTTTCTTTTTTCCCTCCCCTCTTCCTCCCCTTTCCCCTCCCCGTTTGCTGCACCTGGCGCGGTACGGCGGTGGCGATCCCAGGACCACGGATACTGTTCCCCCCTTGTCTTTGTTTGTTGCAGCGCCGTGCTCGTTGCTCTCCTTCCCGGGTACCGGGGTCTCGAGCTCCCCCCCTCCCCAGGGCTGCACCTCGTGTGCGAGGGGGCGCGCTCTTCGCTACCCGCTTCGAGAAAGCTTCGCGGATCGAGTCTGTTGCTTATTCGGACGGCTGGCGTCGCCGCTCCTGCTGCCACTCCTAGCCCCGGCCGCCTTCTCCCATTTCTCACGTCCTCGCTTCACACGCATACACATACGTAAACTCAGAGGGAGAGCATGCGTGTGTACATATGAGTATGTGCATGTCGGGATAGGCTTCGGTAGAGAAAATCCCCCCTTCTCCCCCGGGGTTACTTAGGCGAGGGAGGCTTGTTTCGTTGGGATTTGGAGGTTGGGGTGAGGGTAGGGAAGGACGGGACATAAAAAAAAGAAAAAACGAAAAGGGACAAGAAATTGCCCTCCTAGCAGTGACGCTCCTAGCTTGAATCCGAAGTCGTGGCCAGTTTGAGTGAGTTATGCCGTCGTATAAGAGCCGAAAGCAGCGCCAGCAGCGCCGCGTTAGAGAGTCCTCAGGGGTTCTCCTCTAGCGAATGGTGCTGGCCTCCTCCTCCTGCTGCTGCTTCTCTGCACCCTCGTAAAACGTCATGGCGGTTGACCCAGCCGTTAGATCCATCCCCCTAGAGGGCCTTTCTCTGGCGATAGTCGTCGTGTCTCTGATCTTTCTCGTGTTTTCAGTGCTCGCGGTGGGAGGGAGAACGTACGGTAAGTGTTGATTTTTTTTTCGTTCCTGTTGTTCCTTACTGTTGCTCGCACTACGAGCAGAACAGTCTTAGTTAACCCTAGATTCCAGTTAGATTATCAGAACGCTCGTTCGGGCTCGACGATGGCTTGATGCTCTTCGGAACGGTAAGACCCAACCCGCCGTCCCGGCACACGCACACCCGCTTTCTCCCGCCCGACTCCCCCTCTCCCCCCTTACAGCTTTTCCCTACCACCTCCGCGAGAGCGGGCACGAAAAGACAAAAAAAAAAGAGAGACTCTTTAATAACAGAGACTCCCAGCTCGTGTACATGGCCGAGGTGGCGCTCTCGAGCTACGCCTCGTTCGTGGGGCTGGGCACGCACGACGGGCGGCACAACGAGTTCCTGGCGGAGGAGGGCAAGAAGTGGTTCACGATCTGGATCCTGGTGTACGTGCACGCGCTGGCGACGGTGAAGAGCTCGGTGTGCGTGACGCTGCTGCGGATCGCGGGCGGCGCGCGCCGGCGCCTGCGGCTCGCCGTCTGGGCGCTGCTCGCCGTCACCTGGGCCTCGTACCTCGTCACCTTCGTCGGCGACGTGCTCGTCTGCCGGCCCCTCGAGGCCTCCTGGGACGCCCGCCTCGTCCGCGCCGGCGCCGCCGACTGCGCCCCCATGCGGCTCATGATCGGCCTCAGCCACACCGCCACCGGCTCCTCCGTCGCCACCGACCTCGCCTGCGCCGTCCTCCCCGGCTTCGTCCTCTGGAACACCCAGATGGACAGGAGGGCCAAGCTCTCCGCCTACGGGCTCCTGTCCTTCGCGTCGATGTGAGCCTCCCATGGTCCCCCTCCCTCACTTCTCGTCCGTGTCACCCCTTTTCCTCCCGGGAGAGGGCGAACAGAGAAACGAGAGGACCCGGTCTAACTAACCTTCCTCTCACCGCCAGCGCATCCATCGTCACCATAATCCGCGCGTTCTACATCCAGCACTACAACGCGCCCGACGACAACCTCCTCTGTAAGTTGCCCCCCCCCCCCCCCCCCCCTCTCCCCCCGTTACACTCCCGGACCCTACCCCCGCGCTAACAACTCTCCAACCCCCATAGTCTGGGTCGGGCACATCGCGCTGTTCTCGAACGTCGAGATCGGGATCGGGTGCATCGCGGGGTCGGTGCCGCCGCTGCGGCGCATCTTCGCGCGGCGGTCGCGCGCGGGCCCCTTCCGCGCCTCGCCGTCGTCGTCGTCGTCCTCGGGCTCCTGCTCGTCCGGCGGCGGCGGCGCGGCGCGCAAGCCGCGGTCCCTCGTCACCTTCGGCCGCCTGCCCGCCGACGGCCGCTCCCGCTCCCGCTCCCGCTCCACCTCCCGCTTCCGCAACCCCACCGACGTCGGCTTCAGCCGGACCACCGTCCGCGCCGCCCCCGCCGCCGGCCCCGCCCGCGACCGGGAGCTCCCGCGACACCCCGCCGCCCCCAAACCCGACCTGCTCGCCGAGGGCTCCGTCTGCGGCGACAGCCACGGCATCCACACCGACTACACCTACACGGTGGAGCGCTCCCCGCCGCGGCCCGCCGCTGCCGCCGACGACAAGGTCTGACGGCCCCCGGCCGGTGCCCCCCCCCCCCCCCCCCTCTTGGGAGCGCGCGGTGCGCGCGGCTGCATGCGTCGGTGCCTACCTATACGTTCTAGCCTGTACCTACATCCTCAGCATCCGCGTGTATATAACCTACCCATCCCGTCTGGATCTTTCTCCCTTTGCCCCTCCTCCCGGCCGGCCAGCCCGCGCCGTAGGTAGAACGCCGCGCGTTGCAGGAGCAGAGACCTGCCAGCTCCGAGACCGCGGCCAAACACGCGCAACCTCTCGCTGACAGGGCGGGGTAGCTGCGCTCGCTAGCACCGGAGGGTCCATCGTCCCCTCGCCGTAGAAATTGCACCCCCCCCCCCCTGCTGCGTGTCCGACTCTGCCCGGGCCAGAGAGGGCTTGCCGTGGACAGCATCCATCGCGCCCAGGAACCGACCCGTCGTAGGCGCAGCGTGCGTGCCTCCCCCGCGAGCAGTAGGTAAGACCGCGGGAAGAGCGCGGCTGCTGGGCAGTGCGGCAGCGAGTAATAAAAGTTGGTGTAATTCAATAGGTACCTCCGCTGTCCGTAGCCGGGCTGACCGCCTCGTCGTTCAACGCGCATTCGTGAACGGCCGTGGGGTGAACGGAAGCCCGGGACCAAGTTGCGCAGAAACACGAGAAGAAGCATAGTTCCTTTAGCTAGTAGTCATCACACGTCCACTGCAGAACTACAACGGCAGGTAAATAACCGAGAGTGGAGAGAGTGGAGAGAGAGAGAGAGAGAGGGTAGAACACGCGACCCACGGGCCTAACAACCTGTCATATATTACTACGGCGGCAATATGGTAAGGATGGGAGTACAGAGGGAGGGAGAGTGACGTAGAGCGGAGCGGCGTCCGGACTCTCGACGTCGTCATCCACTCCCTCCGCCGCACCACCTCCCGGGAGGCGTCTTGTCATCCCCGCCTCTCGATAATTGCGTGTACGTGTACTACAGTTCCTGCTGCACCTCGGGCACGTACGACACACCGCCGGTTCGACAGGCTTCACTTTACAAAAGCAAAACTCTACACCGCGAATCCCGGCGGAACGTCCGCCGGTGCTTCTTCTTGACAGGCTCCCGATTGAACCCTATCCTCTCCGCCGAGGATACTGACCATAACCCTCAGCTCGTCTGAGGCTGAGGTTGCCCTCCTACCGAACGCCATTTTTGTACATATACACCCCAAAAAGAGGCTACTGCCCTCGAAAGCATGCCGAGCCGGTACGCCTTGCATGCTAAAATGCCGCCCTATCCTTCCCCCCCAGTAGCCGAACAAAAGAAAAAGGTTACCATCTATCTTGGGGGAGGGTGAAAGCAATTTGCCTGGCTTGTCTGCCTGCCTTTTCTCCTTCTTTTGGTCATCTGGCCACACGGTGTTGCCCATTTGGCAAACTTCCGACTCCCTAGTTCTCTGCTGTCCGGGGCTGGTCGTCCTCGAATGTTTCTGCCCGATCTGGCTGTAGGCCTGTCCCACCGATTCTACGAGGAGAGTTCTGCCACCGGACCTAGTGCGGTGAAGGAGGGGGTTCTGACTTCGCCTTTCTGTTGCGGGTTCTCGTCGTTTGCGGCGACGACTCCCGAGGCCTGTTTCAACGGCGACGAGTTGGTGCTGCTCGAGATGTTGGCGAGGGCAAGGCTGGCGGATCGGGTGAGCGTCGCATCTCCCGTCCTGGCCAGCACATTTTGCGAATCTCTCTCGCTTTCTTGGGAACTCGATATCGACTGCAGTGTCGGCCGTCGAGCAACTCTCCTGCCACGTCCGAACGAATCCGAGCTCCGCAGGTAGTAGCAGTCCTCCTCTGACGATGAGTCGGTGTCGGGGATGATGGATCGCCTCCGTCGGTGACTTTTCCGCCTCGGGGTCTCGTCTGAGATATCTGAGGATTCCAGGGACATGCTCCGCCGCCTCCGGTTCGAGGTAGTATTCTTGGGGATGGTTTTGTGGAGGGTCGACGTCGACTCGAAGTCGAAAGGAAGCTCGCCGCTCCTAAGCTTGGCTTCCATGGCCCTCTCGTGAACCAGACGGCTTAGCCTGGAGTTGGCCCCATCGCCCGTGGTGGTCTTACGACTGACGTAGCTTGCCGTGCTCCCGGTCCTACTGACGGGCACCTTTCCCTCCATGATTTTGGCCGGCGGGGGGGGCTGCAACATCCACATGTGGGCATTTTGGTGGGCGGGCCGCTGGCGCACGATCGGGGGGTGATAATCGTTAACCGGGGGGTTCCTTGGGGCGAAGTAGAAGTTGTGTCTGTCTTCGTCGGTGATGGTCTTGGGTTCCTTTCCTAGACCCACTTCGAGAAGTCGGCCGGCTGATGAGCCCGCATGCTTAATAGCGTCCATCAGCTTGTGCCCTGTCCAAGATCGCTGATCGTGGCCCCATAATTCTTCGTCCTCCCTCTGATACCGCTTCCGGTTCCAGTCGTCGGACAGGGTGGTGGAGAAGCTGAGCTTGGCATCGTCTACGACGACGGTATGGCTGCTGCCCGGGCTCGTGCTGTTGACCCTCGTACTGCTGCTTGCGGCTATGCTCGAGTTCTCTTTTCCGGAGCTATTCAAGCGTTTCTGACTGATATTCTTACTCCCGCTTTGGTACTTTTTAGACTCTATGTGGGGACCCATCATGATTTCCTCGGACCAGTACGGGTTGGTGTTGAAGGGGTCCGGGTGCTGGTACGATCCGGGATTCTTGGCCAATATGCGTGCCTTCTCCTCACGCTCCTTCTTGGCTAACGCCTTGGATTGCTGGTGGTGTCTTGCCTGGAGACATGGTGCACAGGAGACGAAGTAGAAGATGGCAGACTGGACAGCAACGGCAAACGACATGGTCAGCTCCGGGGGATAGGGGGGCAGACTCTTTGAACGAGACGTTAGGACGTGCCGAGCGGTGGCCTATGTCGAAAACGAGGTGGCAATCAACGGCAGCTGCATTGGGGATGTTCTTTCGGGTCGGTCGATACTCTGTAGAGGGCGGTGTCGGCAGTATTGTTCTTGGGGTCGGCTGGAGGGAGCTAGAGGACAGAACAATGGTTTATGCGTGTTTGTGAACAAGGCCAGACGACTTCACGTGGGACGGGCGTGCATATGGCCAAGAAACTGCACTTCTTGAAGAGGCGGGGAGGGGGGACTAATCAATTTGGACGGACGACAACCCAAGACTAGCACATCAAGGTTTGCTCCAGGTTCATTCGAAAAGGAGAAGGCTGCCTGAGGTTGAGCTCAGCCTTAGAGGTGAGAGTAGAACGTTGCTCAGGCCCTAGAGCGGAGGGGCGGGCTGACACAGACACAATGGGTATATATAGGGGGGGAGGGGGGAGGGGGCAGTCTGTAGTAGTAACGGTTGGTTAAATAGGGAACTCGGTAGGTAGGTCGGTATAGAGAGATGACGATTAGAAACGGACCGATCGGCGGAGTGGTCGAGTCTGCGACATCAGAGAGAACGGAACTAGTTGGTGTTGGTGTGTCGGCGTGTCGTCGGAACGCTTCGAGCGGAAATAAGGGTACAAACGAGCGGCGGCTAGGATGATGACAGGTGGGATTACGGAATCCGCGGTAGAGGGGAGTAGGAGGATGGGGGGTAGGGGGGGAGGGGGGATCCCAAGTAGCAGGAAGTGGTGGTGGATGTTGGTGTTGGCGACGTCAACGTCGACGTCGACGGAGTGGAAGAATAATGTCAAGAGTCTCTCCTATCCGTATTGGTGGACGAATCGAAAGTATGGACACAAGAGAAGGAGAAGGGAGATTGAAACGAACGGGCTAAGGGAGAGACTAGCAGAACAAGGACGGTTAGAACAATGGGCAAAGGAAGGGAGACCAGCCGGCAGTGCGGCGTGGAGAGGGTGTGTGTGTGTGTGTGAGAGAAACAGGCAGAGAGGAGGAGCTGCGTTGTCCGATTCTGGTAAGTCGAAGGTGTTGTAAGTTGTTCTCCTCTCCTCGCTAGTGGCCTCCCCCCCCCCGGCACAAGGTGGCGTCGGTCCAAGTGGGTGGAATTGGAATTGAAATTGGGATTGGGATTGGATCGCGAGGGCATTGGAAACGCAAGGCAAATGGGCGAAGAAGGGAGATCTCAGGGGGGGGGGTGGGAAGAGGTGGAGGGGTGGAGAACTCCTATCTTTTCCCTGGCCGGGTTTTGGCAGGGGTCGCACGCTTCATCTAAGGCGTGCCTGCTTACTTGGGTAGGTAGGTACCTAACTCATAAGGTACCTAGCTAACTCTAAGGTACAGGGCTAGCCTATTGGGGGCTTGCTGTCGGATACGCTCTCCGGACAGAGGACGGAGGTACCGGCGTGCGTACTCATCGACCTCTGCTGCCCGTGTTTCCCCCCCTTCGTAACTGTTTTAGGTACCTACCCTCCTACATAGAGATACCTACACATGTATGTACCGCCACGAGAGGTACCGGTCACCTGACCATCTCCGCAACAACCTTCCGGCGCGGCCCCGCCGTCCCGCCTGGCGTCGCTGAGTGGTTCGTCGACGTCGCTGCGGGGGCCGCCCATTACACGAGTTGGAATTGGACAATGCAAATCCGAAGGGAATCCAACTATACCCACTATGTACATACGTACATACCGACCTGCACATGCAACTCCCCCCCCCCACCACCACCGCCCGAGCATCCGTGTACGTACCTACGTACATACAATATACTCATACATGTACATCCCCTCAGAGGCACCTCCATCCGATACAGCGCAGGCACGAAACAACAAACAGCAGGCAGATCCCATCACCACTTACGTAGTACTTCCTCTATCTATGAGTAGAGGTAGTCCTCTCCTCTCCTCTCCTCTCTCCTCTCGCCCTCTCTCTCTCACCATATATATATAGAGAGAGAGAGAGAGATTCGTTACGTGTACGTGTGCATCGCATTCCTCATTCCCATGCCGAATCGCATCCCGTGCCCCGCACGCCGTAGCAATTCCCCACGAGCCTGCCACACATCTGTTACCTACGCGCGTAGTATACGTGGATTACGTCTACGTACGGACAATTGCCTTAGGTAGGTACAATAAACCTACCCAAACGTGCATGCATGCGCGTCCTACGTTGAGGGTGCATTTCGCTGTCGAACCGAAATGCATAATTCCCTGCATTAATATGGGACGAGCCCCTCCCTCCCCCCTCCCTGCCTAGTCCCTCCCCGCCCTTCCGCCCTCTGCTCAATCCGCCTAGGAATTCCAAACCTCTCCCCCTTCCCCCCCCGTGCCGCTTTGCCGCTCCGTAACTGGGTGAGACAGTTGCTACAGAAATAGGTAAATAAATAAAAAAGACACGCAGGTGTGCGGAGAGAGGGAGTCGGCAGCAGCATGTGAAGAAGAGGATCAAGTGACGAGATCACACCCAACCCAGCGCTCACACGTGCTGTGGTTCGCGGCATCGCTACGACTACCCTGCCTACTTCTCTCTGAAACGCTGACCTGCAAATGAGGTTACGAGGTGAAGATACCTGGGCAGGGGGGAAGTGGGAGGGGGAGGGGAGGGGGTGCATGGATTATGATATATACGGTAGGTACATGCAAATATAGAATGGAGGGTGTATGTAGAGGTACCTAGGCAGGTTGTGTTGCAGTAGTACGCGTTACGCCTCCGACTCCACGTGGCGGGACATCCCCCCCTTCCCATCGCCGCCGTTCTCCCAGACAGCAGCACCCGGAGGCCGACCGTCGTCGTCATCCAAAGCCAAAAAAAAAAAAAAAACAGAGGCGCGCAAGATTGCGGATGCCATCTCCCCCCATCCGCCGCATCATAGACATGCTTTCCTGCGGGCCCGGACTCGAGAGCGAGAGAATGCACCCGATCAATAAAAACGCCGCAAAGTACCGAGTTGGCAAATAGGCAGTGTATCGTCAGGTGCGCCGCCCCACCAGCCAGCAGCAAGGCAGCGTCAAAATTGCAATAGCTGCCGCCGTGTGCGCGCAGAGGCACATATATGTATGCCTCACGCACCCGGAGCTGGCACTGCTCGAGGCAAGTTATCTTCGTCGCCCCAGAGACAGACATGTCACCTCCGGGCTCTCTGCCTGCCTGGTCGGTCACCTTTTGAGACAGCTCAGCTAGCATTCTGCGCTACATGCGCGCTTAGTACGCCGCCACACGCAATATACACATCCAGACCTGCCTACCGACGCCTATGATGCGCAGGTAGGTCATGCACATACAGGAGGGCCGTAATAGATTTGTCTACGCCCGCTCCACCAACTCCGATTGGCAGCGGCTCTCCATAGCGCACATACATCGGTCCCATCATCCCAGCCGCCCCCTTCATTCGCCCTTCTCTCCTCCCTCTCTGCGTGGCGGAATGCCATACCAACACGCCTACGCATACCCAAGTACGGACGGGCACGTCGTGGCATTCGGAGAGACGACTATCCGACTTTACGAGACCTGCCTGCTGCGCCTTGTGCTGGAAAGAAAAAGGAGGGGGAAAAGGGGGGGGGGGGGGGCGTCCGTATGGACCCGTACGCGTTGCCTAATGTAGGTACCTAGCATATATATCCGCCCAACCTACTACGTATACCAGACGCTCGATACGATACCTCCAGCATTCAGGCAATATGTGAACTCTCCGTCACGTCTCTCTCTTTACCTACCTCCCACACATAAACTTAGCTACCTACCGAGCCCAAATCCACTAGACGATGGCCACGGCACCACGAGGCCCGACATCCGCGCTCGGCTCCGCACGGCACGGCACGGCATATATACGTGCGCACGCCGCATAGCCCCCACCACTCCACGCGCGCAACGCCGCCCAGCCGATAAGCGCTCGACCGGAAGCGGATTCCGCGACGTTCCCGTGGTCAGAGCCTAGGGCTCTCTGTCTGTCTCTCCGTCCCCACCCCCGAACCTCTCGAGGCCCGGCAGCAGCAGCAGCAGCAACGACGTTACTACTCCCTTACATGCCTGCCTCCCACCGTACATACGTAGGTATGCGTAATCCCTACACAGCCAGCCCGCCAGCCAAGCCAGGGGAACGAATGTCGGAAGCGTAGCCCCCCCCCTCCTCATCCCTCCCTCTTCTTCGCCTCTGCGCGCCTCGCGGCATCCTCCATCCCTTGCCGCACCCCCCTCCGGCTGCTGATTCGCGCAGACGGCGCCATGCACCCGTGCGCGGGTAGACGGGTGGATATGCGCATACACGATGTGCTACCTGTACCTACGTCTGTACGCACGTATCATGTAGGTACGTAGGTATGTAAGAAGACAACGAAAAAAAGAAAGGGGGGGGGCTGTGCTCGGGAACGGCGCGTACGCGCATACATATACCTACATACCTGCGCCGCCGACATACACCACGCTGTCCCATCTGCGCGCTTGGGGGCAGAAATGCGTGCCCCACACCAGTCTGGCCTACGACTAGGAGGCTAGGTAACATATCCGCCCGTCAGGGAGGGACAGTACACGGAGGAGGCGACGCTCGGTCGACATTGACGAACCCCGCGCGTCCTCCTGTCGCTATCATTGTTACGTCTACCGCAGATACTTTGTCATCTTCGATCATCGAGTCTTGGATGCGGACGCTTTGTTTTTTTTTTCCTAAATTCTATTTTCATTCCGAGGCCGAGACTGTAGTACATATCTGCTCCATTGCCAGTATACCTGCATACCTGTAGCCACTCCTGCTGTACACTCATGTGTCCGGAAGTGGGCTGCGACGGTGGAGAAGACGACAACAGCGGCGGCTGGTATCGGCGGCGATGATGTGGCCGTAACAGAAGACCTTCAGAGAATTTCCCATTTCCTCTCGCAACCGGTCCGGTCACCTTCCACCGCGCTATAACCCCGCTGCCTAGTAATTCATACTTTGGTCCGTCGAAAGCAAAAAAAACAACGCGTCTCAAAAATTCAGGTGTTCTCATCATCGCAGGAGTAAGAGAGAGGGGGGGGGGGGGGGCAGTGGGACATGGCTGACACAGACGGACGGTGGAAAAGGAGAAAAACAAGAAAGGGTAGCTGAGCTGTTCTGACCTGCTACGAACTACCAATTAGGAATCGAAGGAAAAATCTCGTATCTATTTGCTGTCGGTGGACGCCGAACTAGCAGATATCTCTCGTGGCCACATAGGAGCGACCTTATATTTGACGTCGAATTTGTATAAAGTGAAGCAAGACGGCCTTCTCGTCGAGACTGACCGCGGGGTGGAGAAACGTCAAGGTAACCTAGTACCCGTGATAGGCGACTAGGTTGGTATGGCACACCTGAGGGGGTAAAAATAGAAAAGAAAAGGCAAACCCATTACTTGCCCAATCCAAAGTCCAAGCCGTACTTTTTACGTGTGGGGTGGGAGGACGGAGGGATGCTCAACGTCCATGTATTCGTAGGAATGATCCGTGGAGGGTAATGTACAATGTCGAGGTCGACCACCGGGTCCGGGGGGGGGACGACGGTGGATGGTGTGCATTGCTTCGCGCCGGCGAGAGCAAATAATTTATAAGGAGAAAAGAGGTGAACCGGACCACGTTCACGGCCAAGTGCGTCCGTCAGCCGACTACACATCCCACTCCTGCTCGACTTCCTCATTATCCTCCGTCTCCTCGGGAGTGAGAGCGGCAAAAGAAGAGTTGCTGGTGATGGGCTTCTTGTTGGTGCCGTTAACCGGGACCGAAGCCTTGGCAGCCGGTGCGCCGCCGGTACCATTCGTGGCCGGAACCGACGGGGCTGACGTCTCGCCGGGGGCTTCCTTCTTCTTGCCCTTCTTCTTAGTCTTGACTTCGCTCCACGAGTCTTCCTGTCGGATCATCTCCATCTGCTCCTCCTCAGAAGGTATGCCGGCCACCCATTCGTCAGACTTCTTGTCTTTAGCAGTCGTAGCACCGTTCGACGTGTTCTGTTTGACTGGCTTGACATTACGTTGTTGCTCGAACGTATCTAACGGCTGCACGACATCCTTGCTGTCAGAAGAAGCCTTCTTGTTTCCATTCCAGGCATTCTCGGTGTTGGCCATGAAGGATGATCCGTCCTTGGCAGCTCGTCCCTCGGCGATGCGAGCAGTTCGTCGTTGCTGCTCCATCTTGACCTTGCGTTCCTTCTCATCCTCTTCTCGGGCAGCCTTGGCAGCCTCGACCTTCTTTCGGTTTTGGCGTTGTTTCTTCGTCTCGACAACCTCAGGTGCCTTCTGCTTTCGCTCCTTGGGCTTCTTAGCATCGACATCGGTAAGACGTAGAACGGTAGGACCGGAAGGAAGAGGCTCTAGCATGTCAGCTACACCATGTTCGTCGGCGGCTCCGACGACAGGGGAAATTTGCGGGGACAAGTCGTCATCGGCATCGTCCGCGTGGGAAGAGGGAGCAGAAGCCTTCTTCTCATCAGGGAGTTCTTGGGCCTTGGACTGCTTGATGGACTTTTGCTTCTTCTCGTCCGACTTCTTGTTATTGAACTTGGTTCCGGTGTGGACATTGGACAATTGACGGGCAAATTCTCGGTCGGCTTTGCGACCGGCAGCTTCGTCCTCTTCTCGATTGTACTCGACACTCGATGTGAAAGCTTCGCTAGTTGGACTCGTAGGTGCTTTGGGCTTTGGTTTTGTAGGTTTTTCTGTCTTCTTAGCATCACCAACCGAGTCAGTGCTAGCCTGTTTTCCAGACTGCTTCGGGGCAGAACCGTAACGGTCGGTTGCTTTCTTCTGCTTCTGCTGACTTGAGTACCAGAGGGCTACACCCAGCCCGAGCAAGACTGCCCATCCGCCAATAGTGGTGAGGGTCGAGTGATCGGAGGAATGGTCCATGGTGGGCCGAGGTTTCAGAACGGGTCCGTTATGATAGCTGAATCACCACTGGGGCCGGTGCCAGATGGACGACGGACTAGGGGAGGTTGACGCGATGGTGGCACGCACAGAGTGCCCCCAAGAGTGGAGTGTAGATATCGAAATGGCCGGAGGTGCGAGGTGCGCGTCCTGCCTCGTGCTCTGTGCCCCGTTACGTGTTCTCAGGCACAGGGCGTGCAAAAAAGAGGATGGGGGAGTCGGACAGCGGATGGGAGAGATCGTGCTCCAATCGCCCTCCAATCGCCCTCCGCGTCCTCGACCAGGTGAAATCCAAGGCCGAGGGCCAAAGGCAGGCGATGTGTCGAAGCCGAGTCCGGAGATTGGCTGGTTGGCTGGTGGTAATTTGTACGAAGAAGAGGGAAAAAAAGAGGATTCCGGATCATAGGATGTACACAGTGGGAGTGGGGAGTTGGAAGGAAGAGGAGATGAGGATTGCCCGGTGCAATCGGACTGCCTCGGAGATGGTTGATGTGATGGATATAGCAGAGATGGTCAGTGGTAAGGCGATCGCAAGCATCGGAGGGGGGGGGGGTTAATGAATGAATGGACAGATAGGTGGACGGGTGATTTGGTGAGATAGGTAGAGGAATGGAATGGGTGGATGGATGGGATGAGACAGAACAGAATGGGCTTACCTTGGGATAAGAGGTTGTGCTGTCATTAACAGCGCCGAGCCAATCGGAATGGGCTTTGACCAATACGAAAGTCTGGAAGTAGAAGGTTATCAGTTTAAGGGGGTCGAAGTGGTACAGCTGTCCAAACTCCGTACCGGGTACACCTGGGATGTACCTCAAAACCGGTCTATGCTGGTTAGTTGCTTATAATACGTTTCGTATTCCAGTAAGAGGGTTATGTACTTAGGTACCTTAAGTACCTCCCACCTCCCACCTCCTCTCTCTGTAGCACCTGCATGGTGTTTATGACTAGGTAGGCATTATAAATCCCGTTGCGCTTACCTGCAATGCTACCACGAGCACATACGTACCTCCCTCTAGGTACCTAGGTACCTAAGGTAAGGACTAAAGCATAAGTACCTACCTACCTAGAGGTGGGTAGAGAATAATTACCTCCTGAGAGGTACCTACGCAGATATAGATAAAGATACGTAATAGGCTAACTACCTATATAGAATATACATAGATTAATACGTGCCTATGTGGTAGCTTTTGATAATTCATTCTACTTAGGCCGTTAGCACGTATTTCGCGTATAAATCTCCAGTTGCCTTCTACTTTTCTCCCTCTTCTCCAGGTACGTACCTGCCTGGTACCTGCCTCTACCCCTACTACCCTACCTACCTACCTCCTCCCCTCTTAGGTACATATATCCTGCAGGTACCTCAGTTTTAAAGGCGTATTAGTGTGCCACCCGCTGGAATATGTGGGTACCTAGGAGAAGCAGGTTAGCCTCCGCTTCGGTTCTATGGCTCGGTGCATAGAAAAACCCCCTAACCGGGCATCCAATCCATCCCACCCATCCCCATCTCCGATCCGCCCTGTTCTGCTCTGTCCCGCGCTGCTTCGCGTAGTACGCAGCAACAATGGCTGGGTGTTCGGGTTTCTTGCTTCCCATTCTGACTCGCTTGGCAGCAGAATGGAAAGATGACACTGGGGCCGAGCGTGTAGCCAGCATTCAACACAAGTCTGGCGTGATTCGCAACAAATTGCGGCATCCCACTCAGAACCACAGCTTGTGTGCACACATATGGGTTGTTATATCGACTCTCCGGGTTTCGGTTGGTGAAAAACCGCCGTCGTGCAGCGGGTGCCGAGATCGCGATAGCCCGTGTATAGATGCCCAGGCAATATTAATCACTCTTCAACGTTGCCACATATCAAGCATTATTACCTGTCGGCCATTCGTAAAGCTCGTCGTCGTCACCCTGCTTGGCTGGCACCGGGGCAATTCGATCCAGAATCTCTTACTTCAAGATTTGCTAAATTATATTTCCCCCTTTTGATGGAGATGATCCCAACGATGCTACGTTACGTAATAGCCCTCCTATTCGTATTAGCGGCTGTGGTCGGAGCTACGAACCTTTCCGCTCGACTTATTACCCAGCATTAACACAAGATACATCGCGACAGGCGAGAAGATTCGGTCCTTGGCTTCCACACATATACCTATGCATATGCCCATGGATGTAACGCAGGCCATGTCTGTATGTGCCTTGGGTATATATTTCTCGGCTTCCTTACTCAGACACGCAGCATTGCTATGTATGATGCCGGTAAGCGCGTACCTCCCTACTTTATATTCGCATACGCTCCCGCGCCCGCTTGGGTTTGATACGGAGGCGAGTCGGTACGTGAAGACAACCTACATTCTTTCTCATCGCTACTCGCGGCAGGCCTAGGATTTCGCGTCAAATAGCTAAAGCCGTTAAAATGCTTCCTCTAGTTGGGACTCGATGCGCCATCCCCGTGCACCGACTCCCGTGTTACAAAGGACGTGTCTCTAACATCTTTACGTGACACCAACCAAGTCATCAACAGAGAGACGAGTTTATTAAGAATCCCGAGGCTATCGGGTTTGCTTGTCGCGAAATGGGGATACCACCTGGTCGGCCATGCTCGGCTCCAGCTCATCCCTCGCGATTTTAGGTAGCGATACTAGTAACTTGGAACCTACCTATCTGTATCACAACTTGGCACGCCTACGTCTAGTATCCGTGTTCATTTAATTCCGCCCTGTGAAGATAGACACTTATACTACTACTTAACTTCTCAGCCGGGGCGCGAGCCAGTCACAAGACACACAATACCTTCGGACATGTCGCCTCTACCGCCGCTCTCGATCGCTGAGAACCTAGTTGAGGCTCTTCGCTTAGACAGAAAACAGCGACAGCAAATAGGCAAGGTTAGATAAGGTATTCGCCGATCTCGCCTAACTAAGTCGCCTCCCCCCAGCAGCTGAAACGTGGGCATACCGATATATATCTGGGTGGCCAGCGCGCTTCTCCATTTGCTATTTCGCTCGCCGGCAGGTCTTCCGATGCCACCAAGCCTCTAGTATAGCCCAATAGACGGTTGGCCATTTGTCATGTTCTCTCTCACGAGGTGCTGTGTAGGACTAGCTAGCTACCTACGCAGTTCAGTTTCTAGCCAGCACATCCCGCTACCAACACAACCCCCATCGCGATGACCCCTTACGTAAGCCGGGTTTTGGTGTCGATTGTCTCGCCTTATCAAAAAGGAGGCGAGGGGGGTGCGAGGGCGGAGGGGTGCGGGGGTTGCAGGCTTGGGTACGACGGTACATACGACGTAGCGCAGCCCGCGCTCCACGCCGGAGGACTCGCGCAGATCCGGGTCTCGCAGGTGACCGACGGCCAGGTCTCGCAGGTCACACACGCGCAGCCAGCGGATACGAAAAAGTACCTACTATTCAATGCCATACCGAATCACGGCCCTAACAAACCTGTCTGCAGCAGCCGCGGGTTTGCGGTGTAGCTGGATCCCGTTAGCAGGAGGCATCTTTCTTTTTTCTCCCCCATCTTGAACTTCGGAGCGAAACCCCTCGACGGCCTAGATAAGTAAGCCTCCACCGCCTGAGCGCATAGAGACCGAGAGACGAGGAACACACGCAGGCCCGCAAGCACGCAGCTGACACCCCCCAGGACGAGACTCGACGTTAAGCTCACGGTCGCGCAGCCATGGCTCCGAGAAAGATCATCATAGATACCGATCCAGGTTCGTCAAGACCCGGCCACAGCTGCCGATGAGGCACACACCCGCGTACGCACACAACGAAGGCCCGTTCTAACCCACCCATGTGCGTTCGCAGGCGCGGACGACGTCCTGGCCATGCTCTTGGCCCTGGCCTCCTCGCCGGACGAGCTGCAGGTGCTGCTGATCGCCGCGACGTACGGCAACGTGGCGCGGGAGGCCTGCGTGCGCAACGTGGTCGCCATGTTCCACGTGCTCGACCACGAGATGGAGTGGCGCCGCGCCCGCGGCCTGCCCCTCGGCTTCGAGGCTCTGCGTACCTACAAGCCTGTCGTCGCCATCGGGCCCGCCCACGCCCTCGAGGACGGCGTCCTCAAGGCCGACGGCTTCCGTGAGTCTCGGCCGTGACCTGGCACTCCTTTACGTCCCTTGTCGAAGCGACGAGAAAGGGGTCAGCTAACGCGCTAGGTGGATCATCCGCGACATAGATGGAGCTGACGGCTTACACGGCGTTCATGAAGCCGTACGTCAAGCTCCCCGCCGCGCCCCCCCCCCCCCCCCCCCCCCCCAACCCACCTAACAATCTTAGCAGCTTGAGAGACTGACTAACCTGACCTCGCGCGGTAAAGCACCCCCACCTATCGCCGGACGACACCTGGGAGACGCTCTTCGAAGAAGGGGCCCCGGCCGAGGAGAGCCTGCCGCTGTACTGCAAGTACTTTACGGCGTCGCGCGCGCCGGCGCACCGCGAGATCCTGCGCATCCTGCGCGAGGAGCCAGCCGACACCGTCTCGATCTGCGTGCTCGGCCCGCTAACGAACCTCGCGCTCGCCGCTTCCGAGGACCCCGAGACCTTCCTCCGCGTGCGCGAGGTCGCCGTCATGGGCGGTGCCGTCGAGGTCCCCGGCAACGTGACCCCCGTCGCCGAGTTCAACACCTACGCGGATCCCGTCGCCGCCGCTCGCGTCTTCGCCCTCACCTCCTCCGTACCGAGCTTCACCATGCCCCCTACGCCTGTCGCCGCCGCCGTGGCCCCGCTGCCGCCCTACCCCGAGTCCCTGCCCCGCACCCTCAACCTGAGCCTGTTCCCGCTCGACATCACGACGCCGCATCTGCTCAACGTGAGCTACTTCGACGCGCGGATCGCGGCGCCGCTCGCCGCCGGCAGCCCGCTCGCGACCTGGGTCGAATCGTTCATGGGCGGCATCTTCCGCCAGATCCGGCGCATCGTCGGCGACTCGGGCGAGGAGCCCGGCCTCTCGCTACACGACCCCCTCACCGTCTGGTACATGCTGACCTCGAACGGGGCCGACTCCGCCTGGAGGCTCGCCCCCGGCAGCCCCGAGGACATCCGCGTCGAGTGCTCGGGCCAGTGGACCCACGGCATGCACATCCGCGACCGTCGCGGTCGTGCGCGCGCCCTCGACCCCACTCACCCCGAGATCCCTGGCGATAAGTACTCTTGGCTCAGCTTCTCGCGCGGCAACCGCATTAACCGCTACGTCACCAGCCCTGGCTACGACGTCTTCGCGCCGTACCTAATGGAGCGGCTGTTCGGGCGGGAGAGGGAGGCCTTACCCTCATCGGACAACCCTAAAGGAGAATAAAACTGAGGCAGAAAGCTGGAGGAGAGAGAGGAGGGAATAGGAGATGTGTTATATATCCGATGGTCACGTAGTTAGCGAAATTGAAGAACGCGGGCGCCTTTTTAGAGGGTCACGTAATTTGCGGTAGGATGAAGACGGCGGGTTGTAGAAATTAATAACGGTGGCGATGATGACGGAGGAAGACAGGGGAGAGAAAGGCGTCAGCAGCACGCAAAATATGGTATCATATTTGATCGGAGCATACCTACCCTATTGAGATGTAGTAGAACTCCCAAAAGAACATCCCCTCTCTCCTCACATAAATGCAATTTTTCGTCCACTCTTATCCTCAAACGCCGTACCCGTATGCAATCCATTCTTCCTCCCATCTTTTCGTTCTCCCCCGGCTTCGAGAAGCTGCTAAGCGACTCTGGCCATCGTAGTAACGGTAGAAGGGCGAGAAGGACGAGAGGTGGTTATAGTAATGGCGGTAGTCGGTCATGGCACTAGATGAGCGATACCGTCCGTCCGTCCGTCCTATATATGCTTGATGCCGCCGATGGCCGACCCCTTCACCTCCTGCCAGTTGATGCTTTCGTCGAGCGGCCCGTCCACCAAGCCCACCACGCACACGTTGTCGCCCCGGACGAGGTAGAGGCCCAGCGGCACCTCGGTCGACGGCTCGCTGTCGTCGGGCGTGCGGATAACGCGCTCGACCGTCTGTCCGAGAACCTGCGAGTTCGACGAGACGCGCGTTAGGGATGTAGTTCGGCCGGAGAGAGAGGGGGGGCTCGAATCATCGTTCGAACGGGGGTAGGGAGCCGGGGAGCTGAGGAGGGGGGGACGGAAGAAGAGACGGAGGAGGGGAAGCGACGACGACGAGGACGACGGTTGCGCTCGTTCCACTCACCAAGTTCGTCAGTTGGTCGCAGCTTAAGAGGTTCCCCACTAACGTTCGGGAGTCGGCCGTTATGACCAGGACCTTTTCTAATATCGGATTGTCAGGCGAAGTTTCACGCTTGTAGGCTTTGCAGGCCTTGCCCCCTCCCTCCCCACCTCTACCTCCCCTTCGCTCCCTTCCAAAGCTACCGTATACATGTCGCGCAGCTATACGGATCGAGCTAGGGAGGGGAAGAAGGTAGGCAAGACGAGGGCCACTGCGGGGCGCTGGGGCGACTTACTATTAATGTACGAACCGAGGTTCGACATGGTGCTGTCGACGGTCGAGCGTGGGACGACGACGAGGACGACGATGTCGAAACGGGAGGGAGATCCGCGAGGTTTCGAGGGGGCTGAGGAGGAGGAGGAGGAGGAGGAGGATATTTGCGGGGCAGCCGTGGTTCGGCTACGCAGCCGCTAATAGATAGGTATCGAGATTAGTCGAGGCGGAGGTATTGCGGCTCGGACATCGAAGCGGTGACGATAGCAGAAGCTTTTCTTCTTCTTTGGCGGATGCGACACACGGACGGGGTTGAGAACGACCCCTGGCGACCCAACGACGATAGCAGCGATGAGGTAGCTAAAAATGGATGCAAAATGGAAACGGTACCTAGAAAAGCTTGAGCCACAGATCTCAGGAGGTACCTGGTAGACTGGCATGGCAGTACCTAGGTAGTACTTGAAATCTGGGCGGGATCTCGGAACCAGGCTAAGTACATAGACAGTACTTCTGTCATATGTGGCTGGTGCTGACGGGCAAGCGATGGTCTTCCCACCTGGATGGTCGCCTGCCTGTAGGCGCCCAACGTTAGCAGTCGTCCCGACAATGTAACCTGCCTTCAGGAGGGCGTGACATTACATAACCTCGATTCCTCCCCGATCCCCATATCCACTTGTCGCAGTGTTTTTATAGCATTACTAGACTCAACTGAAACAGCGTATTCGATACCGCGTTCGTGTATGTTGGCAACTTATTATAGCTCCGAGAAAATTAGGCATCCACCCGCTCGACGTGCTGCTGGCCTCTCTACCTACCTATCTCATCCCAGCGCCGGATTTACTGTTATTTCGAGGCCCGACCATGGCCCAACGTTGCCTCGCAAACCCGCCCTTAATTTCTTCCATTATTCGCTGTTCCTCATTGCTGTTGGGGGGCTGAGCTTCAGGGGTTTCCTGTGCGATCCCAATCGTTTCTATGAGTACGTCGTACTATACGTCCATACAAACGTCCGTAGTACCTATGAGTGGGCGCTACTTAGACCTCGACCGACCGACTACACTCCATCTACCGTCCTGTGGCCACTGGCTAGTACGGACCCCGTAGCCCGTCTCTGCTTCTGAGAGGCTTCCCTTTTTTGCGAAATTGGCGCGATGGGCCAAATTGCCGGACATATGTTGTTGCCTGATGGGCATCGTTGACGTAGCTGTCGCCGGTCCCAGACCGGAAGCTGACACGGAGGGCCACTCAACCTGAGGGATCGGCGGTGAAACACTACCAACAAGCGTCTGTGGCCGTTTCGATTGTCCCAGCTCGTCGGCTTCTTGTCAGCGTGATTGGCCACCTCCGCCAACCCCTACCTCTGGTTGGCTCTGGCTGTCTCTGATTGTCTCCGACTGGCTGGTCTTGCACATCACCGCCTCTCTCGTCCTAGCACAATCGGGTAAGGCCGCGGTGTGGAAGCAAGGCCATCGGGATTCCTTGCGCTCACCAATAAGCCCGCTCAGGGGCTTCCCTTCGATAGACCGGCCGCCCTTCGGGATGGGCCTTCGCGCCTAAGGGAGTTTAAGGTAGCCTATGGCGAGGGATGGGAACGTAGTAGAGGAGGATTTGCCGAGGGCTTGTAGCCACCTGAGTCGTCCGGATGAGTAGGCGTGACGAGACAATGCGGCTTTGTTCCCGTACCGGCCACCTGATATAAATCTGGGCTTGTCCTCCCTTATGAGATGAGACCCGTTCACACACACACATCAGCTCCTCGATTCTTAACTCTTCAGTCTTTCATTCGTCGTGTCTGGCAACAATTCGTTCTTTTCCACTTCATCACAAGAGGTCCACCCTTTTGATTCCACAATCAATACTCACATTCTTTTTTAACCAGAGCCCCAGCGGTTTCTTTCAACGTTCATTCTATTTTCATGACCCAGCACACAAAGCCACTACGTCGAGGCTAAATTGCACGCGCGAGCATTGTCAGATCGAGCCCTGGTTTATATATCGAGTGCCGATCATTTCTTCTTCTTCTTCTTCTTCTTCGCAGGTTGAAGAAAAGTCAAACGATTTCAAAGAGCCAGTCTCCATCTACTCCCATCAACAACACCGCCACCACCACCAAAACAAACCCTGACAACCACCATCACCATGAAGGTCCAAGTTGCTTCCGCCGCTGCCGTCCTCCTGGCCGGCCAAGCCCTTGCCGCTCCCGCCCAGCTCCAGGCCCGCCAGGGCAAGACCGCCGCCGCCATCATCGCCGAGATCGCTCCCGGCTCCGCCTCTTGCGATGGCACGCCGGACTGCCGCACGGCCGACCAGGCCGCGCCGTTCCTGATCGAGGCCATGGCGAAATACGGCCTCACCTCGCCCGGCCAGATCGCCGGCGTGCTCGCGCTGTCGGCCTTCGAGTCGGTCGACTTCAAGTTCAAGCACAACGTGTTCCCCGGCCGCCCCGGCCAGGGCACCTCCAACATGCAGATGTTCCCCTTCAACATCCTCTACGCCCAGTCCATCTCCGAGCTCGCGGGCCAGGTGTCGGGCGTCAGCGCCGACGCGCCCGACGCCCAGAAGAACGAGATTCTCGACCTGCTCGCCGACGACAAGTACAACTTCGGCAGCGGCGCCTGGTTCCTCACCACCCAGTGCGGCAGCGACGTCGTCGAGGGCCTCAAGTCCGGCTCGGACGCGTCCTTCGCCGCCTACATGGCCTGCGTCGGCGTCGGCCTCGACGGCGACCGCCAGGCCTACTGGACCCGCGCCAAGCAGGCCTTCGGTATCTAAGCGGATACCCCGAAGCGTCTCCTTGCTCCCCCTTGTTTTTTTTTCTTTCTTTTTAAAGAATTCTTACCCCTGTTCATCTTTCTCTCTCGCGGGAGAAAGCAACACGTGTGTCGGGCAAAGTAGACAAAAAAGACGAGGACAACGCGGACGAGTTATCACGACGACAACTACGAAGATGACGCATACACTGTACGGCACAGCGAGCGAGAGGTTTCTTATTTTTCTTTCCGGGGTGGGACATACACAAGTTTCTTTTCGCATAGCGGCGTTACCTGCGAGCATTACTCGTGTTGCATTGTAATGGCGGCGGGACACCTGGGTCGCGAATTGTTTGCCATTGTTGACTTCTATTCTGCTTGTATATAGCTACAATTCGTTGCATTTTCTCCATCGAGATCGAGTTCTGAGGCGTGAATATATTTATATTCCCCCTTAATTTCTACCTCAATGCTCCCATCTTTCTTACTGTGTGCTTTCGAGTGGGTGCGATGCTATCACCACCTGATATCCCCCTCTGCACGGATGACGCCGCAACTGCTCGCCAAGCCAATTGATTCCCCGGTGGCGCCCCTCGGCGTCGTACTGCGATCGACGCATCTCGTCGTCTGCAGCTCCTGTGCGTGGAAGGTTGGCGCCGAGGGAGGGCACGGCATCCGTCCCCCTGCCAGGGTGCGGCTATCGGGCGAGGGTCTGTCCACATGCGCGCGCACGCATCTATCTGGCCTAGGTTAAGCCCTATCGAATCCTCCTCATCCGGGGTCTGCCAATCTATCTCCGGCGACGCCGACTCCGCCCTGTCTCACGTCGTGCTCAGGTTCATTAACGGGGTTCATACACACTCTCTCTCTGTCGGGCAGTCTATGTCAAACCTCTGCGCTGCGTCTCCCCGTCCCCTTCGAGGCAGGCAGCCGCCTAGCTATAGGTATTCTTTCCACCCGTCGGGACCTCGCGCGCGGGGATACTCACTCCTAGTACGTGTATATGCATCCTCGTTAGTACTCACTCACGATCATCCCGGTTCCCATCCCCCCCCCCCCCTTTTTTGTTTTTCTCTGCCGTCTCGCGTCGCTACGTCTTCCCCTCCCCCTTCCCGCCGCCACCACCAATATACCACATCTCTCCGTCCACTCGTCGTCGTCCACGCAGCCCTTTCAGCCCGCCGTCCTCCCCAGCCCCGGTTTCTCCTCGTGCTCCCGATCGACGGACACGCTCGTCCTCCCTCGCCTGTCTCGGGTCTCACGTAAGCTCGCTCGCGGCGGGGTCCCCAACCTCAAGAGGACGCGAAATCGCAAGTGTTATTTATAACCCCCCACGTAGGGGCCACGGTGTGTATGGGTATGTAGGTGGGTATGTATTGTACATTGTGGTAGGATGTGCGTACTAGGCAGCCAGCCAGCCGAGCCGGAGGCTGGAAGAGGCAAGACATCGATTTGCTATGTCCGAACATGGCTATCCCCTAAGATCTCCACCACCACTCCTGCAACGCATAGCAAACTCCGAGGAACCGGTGAGCCTTCTGAGGGGTTGGAACTTGGGTGTTTTCCTTTCCTTTTCTCTTCTGTTGTTCTACACACTTACATACAACATGCCTCCACGTGTGCAATACGTGGTCTACCTACTTACTTTACACATTGATCTATCATACCCCTCTGAACCTGCTGGAACCTTTAGATCCCCATCGAGAGAAACTCACTTACTTAACGCTTCTCCCCCTTCCCTCTCCGCTCACAAGCAGAAATGCCCACCACCCAACTTCCCAAGGTAACAGGCTCGGGCTAGTGCACATGTGTATGCACGAATGCCTGCTTTCCCTAAGTTATACCATCGTCTCCCCCCCCCATTCGCGTCCTTAGCTTGCCTTATCTCCGTGAACCTACATACCTACCTACCTACTCCATGCAGAGGTACCTGTGTGGATGGACGGATGCAGAGTACATACGCGGCACGGCGTTAAGGCAATTTCAGGGTAGGTGAGGAGGGGAGAATCCACTGTTTTGGGGAATATTTTAAGTCCGTCCATCCTGGACTTTGCATCTCCGCGTCCGAGTCCAGACCCGCGTCTGTGACCAAGTTCGTACACACTTTCCTGCTCTTCTTCCTTATCTTCTCCCCACTCCGCCTGCTTCTTATCTCACCCTTCCTCCCTGTCCTTTTCCTTTCTTCTCCTCTTCCCGTCTCTTTTCTGTTTCCTTTCCTTCTTTTCTTCTTACCCCAAACGGTGCATCTAGGATGACGGACGACGATCGACGGGGAGACCCGAGAACGGGGCACCTAGTCTGGAGGGAGGCGGATCCTCCCGCAAGTCCCAAAGACCCTCTGAGCAAGGGCCGTCTCGTGAACAGCCGGCCCTGGCGAGATATCTGTCTGCTAGACGGACAGACAGACATCCTACCTTGCGACAGCTGGGGCATACCTGTCCACCATCCTACCGCACTGGCACAAAACTCAGACTCCTCAGATCTCGCGACGGCCTTGCCGTCTGCATTTCTTATTAGGCTCTTACACCCGAGCATCACGCCGTGTCGATCCTTCTTTCCAAAGCCTGCGCCACACACCGCGACAACCTGCGAGGTAGATGGACAGACAAATCAGGGGAGCAAGGCTCTCCGTCGGTCATCACCCGCACGTTCGACGGAATCGCCAACTATGGGCCGGATGGGCCGGGCGTGCTGGGGTTGAGGAAGGTGAAGGAACCGTCCGATGACCCCTGCTGTGACTGCTGGTCAACATTGCCCGCAAAGAACTGGAACGATGTCTGGTCCGGTCCCCAGGTCGCAGTCTGTGCGTAGTTCTCGAATGCATCCTATCGCGCGCCCGCGGCGTTAGTGCATCTCCTATCCTGCCTCCTCGTTTATGGACTCAACATTTTTCTGCCATCGAGAGAATAGGGAAGGGATATAGGTGGAGGTGTAATTTTGGAGAGTCAAGGTGCGTACCCAGTCAAAGTTATGGTCTATCGCCATATTGCCTCCGCCTCCAAACGTCGTGAACATCGTGAACGGTGACGCGGCGTTGTTGATAGGACCAGGATAGCTCTCGGGTAGTTGAAACTCAGGTGTGAGACCGGTTTCGGCCGTGGTTCCGGCTTCGGCGCCGAGTTCTACGTTCGGGTAGTTCGTTCCACCGGGAGACTGATAAGTGGGCGTCAACCCTTTTGAGAGCATATCGAGAGTCATGGCCGCCGAATGCTCGGGAATTAATTCCGTTCCAAAAGTCGTGAAGAGGTTCTCTGGCTGCGCTTCCGACGCATCTGTGCTGCTCGGCACCGCTCGAGGATTCTTGAGCTTTTCCAACATGATTTGGAGAATACTTGCTGCCTTGTAGGCCTCCACCGATTCGTGCGCTAGCGACCTCCATATCTCCGAGACGCTTTCGAGGGTTTTGATCATTTCCTGCCGTTGCTCAAGCGTCCAGAAAGACGCGGTCTGCGAGTCCTGCCGGGCACCGGAGGCGACCGCAGTGTAGTCATGGTGGAGGTCTAGTATGACCAGCATCGTGGGAAGCAGCGTGTCTCTCGACGTTGACGAAACGTACCACTTCATGGATCGAAGCCGGCCATGCGGCTGGCACTCTCGGTAGATCGTTCTTAGATGTCCCAAGATTTCGAGCGAGGCTTCGATCGCGCTACGGCGGGAATGGGCATACCGCGGATTCTGCCGAGCACGTATCATGTGTTTCCTGTGCAACATGCACATGACCTTTTGGTAAAGTATGTTCAAGTTGAATCTCGCAATGATGAGAGTTACGGGGTCGTGTGATCCTTCCAGCGGTTGGAGCTTCAGATGCCGCGGGAATTCGTCCATGATCTCGCGAAGTTTCCCATCGTGGAGCAAGATCTCGTCGTAGCTCACTTGCTTGCCTACTCGTGTAACTGCCTGGAGGATGTTGCCAAATTCGATACACAGCTTTGTCTTGCCGATCATATAAGCGATCGGGGTCGGCTCTGTCATGGGCCTAGATGGCGGGAGGACCTTGGTGTTGGTTCCGAATTCCTCGTCGAACAAGTTGTGCGGCAGCTTTGTATCGGTGTCGTGCTCGTAGATCATTGTCGGCAAGGATACCTTGGGGAAGGTCAGTATTCGCAGTCGGGAGGTTCCCAACAACGCCCCTATCTATCGGTAGCTTACCTGGTATGAAAATACAACGTCGGCCATGCGTAGCAGGGCCCAAGTCCTTCGGCGCATTTCCTGCTGCGGTGTTAGCGAAGTGGTGCCTATTTTGGTATCAACCGAATTTTACTGTTGCCGTACCCCTTGAAATGGTGTGATGGACTTGAACCAGTCTGAATCTCTGTGGTAGCCCATACGGAAGGCAAGCCTCGTGATGATTCCCGCGATGATCCAGAGCGAAAGATCTGCATCCCAGCGCGAGGAATACTCCCCAAATAAGTAAAGCAGCAGAGTTTCTACTGTGTATTCGACTGGCTTAGTGTAATCGGCGGCTATCAGACATTGTACCGTTCGCAGTCGATACTCCGCCGCAAGTTCCAGAGACCTGCCCTTCCACTCAGGGGGTTCGTCCCCGACTTTGTGGTAGCTAAGCATTGCAAGGCATAACATGGCATAAAGTAACCCTATCCACATGATACTCGACTTGGACGGGTCTAGCCAGTGATTCCGTAGCTGATGCTGAAACGTAGGCCCGTGAACGACGCTAGCGGCGGTATCTAACGAGTTAAAATACCTCGAGACCAGCGCCATAATGGCAGTTCTCGAGGGCAGTTCTGCTCTCAGCTCGGCTTCCGTAGCTAGCGGAGCAGATAATAAGAAGATGGGGGAATCCCGGGCGGTCGCAGGCTTCGAAGACATGACTCTCTGGTAACTGTTTTCGAGATCCTTCTTATGAGAAATATAGAAGTTCTTTACTTCGCTTATGTCGGCCAGGAGCGTGTGCCAGTGCTCTTGCCCGATATACATAGATTTGCCCTTGTCTGCATCGACTTTGAGCACACCTAACGAGGTAGCCAGACCGTCGTCCACGTCGCTGTCATCGCCGCCGGCATCATCCCTCATAGCACCGTCGTCTTCTCGTTCGACGTGGGCAGAGGAGCTATCTGTACTCGATAGGGCTGCCGGGGCAGCGGCATTTGATGTGGAAGGTATCTCGATATTGGCTCCACCATGCATGAGGCTCAGAACTAAACCTTCTAGACGGTCAATACGATTCTGCATGTCATCGGGGCTTGAAGAAGCTCCAGCACTACTTTGGTTTTTCCTCCGGCTTGTCGGAGCCGCGTAAACGCAGGATTGTGTATCGCCACGTTTGATGCAGTTCTCACAGCTCGGAGTTCCCCTATTGCATTTCAACCTGTTCAGCAGGTCAGCGACGCCGCATCAGAGAGAACTGCAAACCAATTGGATTAGGGAACCAGAACGGGTATGTTCAAGGGCGACTTGACTTACTTTCTCGTCCGGCACGGATAGCAGCTGAGCGGCACCCGATTTCTGCGACGAACGACCCTGAACTGCTCCTCGGGCGAATGGCCCGAGGATGATGTCGTAGCAGATGGAGGTGTGGGGGTCATTTTTCCCCTTCAAACTGTTGGGCAAATTAGGCAAGTAGAGGTGATCTTTTCGGCGCGCCCGCTCTCGTGTGCAAGATGTATGTCGGACTTTAGACTGTTATAAGGAGCTGAGCCCTTCTCGAGTCCACATAAGCCGCCCCTGAAGACGGAAAACGGGAGCGATGGGAAATGGTGGGGGTGGAATAGGATAAGCCTCGAAGCCGGTTCCCGATATGATACGCCGACGTTCGCAGTCCCCAACTGTCCGGAGATAGAGGACTCTGTGCAGGGAGCCCGGGGGGGGTATCGACCTGAGTGCTGCCAAGCACAACGCATGTGATATCCGCTCGACGGCTGCCGTCTTCGAAAAAAAAGCCCAATGAGAAGTAGTCGGTCAAGTGGCCGATGCGAGACTGGGACAATCCTGGGGGGGCAATAACGCAAACAGATACCCCAACGTGAGGAAGAGTAGGACGATCCCGAAAGACGAGGGGGAGCTCTCAAGCGTTGAGGCCGAGGCAGGCTCGTCTGCCAATGACAACAGGGTCAAATGTGCGAGGCGATTACTAGTCGGAGGTGTTCTGGAGCGCGGTGGCGTGCAGTATCCAGATCTGTCGACCGAGAGAGGGGGTGGGACCGGCTGTGTATAAATAAGCTGGGTGATCCCGCCTCCACTCCGAAGGTCCTCAAGTGGCTCTGCGAAATGGCCAACTACGACGGGATCGCCGGGGCAAAGTCGCGGAAATTCCCCACGATGGATACGATGAGGTTTCGCCGTTCTTCTCGTGGAGCGCAGAGCAGCACAGTTCGGCTAGGGGGCAGCTCAATAGCGGTCACAGCGCAACAAGCTATTTGTGGTGAGTGCAGCGCCAGCAACGGCGCTCTATTTTCCTAGTAAGCAGCAGTTCGAGCACCTAGAGTAGCTACATTGACGAAGAACAGAAGTACTTTTGAGATCTGAGGATTGGGGCTAGCATACGGAAACAATAGGACAGAAAGCTGGCCAGCACAGTAGCAGCTTAGACTAACCTGTCTACAGAGTTTCGAGGAACAAGAGAGCACAGCTGTTGAGCAGACTGCTTCGCTCCGTACATGAAGTGAAGTGGCCAGTAATGGTAAGCGCTGGGTGGAAGGGAGTGAGAATTCCTTAACCCCTCTCGAATAAAACGGGGGGAGGCGGATCGGTGAAGAAAGCAGAGAGAAGGGGTCAAAGGAGACGGGGGCGAGAGGGAGGAGTACGGGCGGGTGGCGGAGGGAGGGGTATATAAAAGTATTGCGGGTGAGACGAAGGCGAAGAGGAGGAAGATGAGGGTGAAGATGAAGCGAAGAGGAAAGACTGCGACGTCAAAGGGCTATGGAGTAGCAGCCAGGACGGCGCTAATCTGAAAGGGGACAGTGGGGGAGAGCTGCTGCGCTAACCGCCTGCTAAGTGGAAGGCTTGCCTTGAACTTGGGTACATGAGGGTACCTATGATAATTACCAGGTTCGCTGCCTCGCCTCTGCATCGTGGGATACACGACCTTCCAGACTCACTTGAGGTACCTGTATATTTACTCATTCAGGTACCTGGCGTCGTGGAGTGCATTAAGTTAGCACTGTGTATACGTACTTGACATTCTCTACTACGTAGGGTACCTACCTCCTAACCCAAGAGATGTACTTGCATTTACGCAATTAGCCAGGTATTTGTACCTACCTTCTATATTTAAGTACAGGTACCTTACATAGGGGGAGGCGAGGTATGCATATCAGGTTACGTACCTGAGGTATCTGGCCTGAGGTCTTCATGTAAGGTAGGTACCTTCGTACGGTAGGCGGCTGAGGTAGAGAGAGGTAGGTTCCGTTGTAGGCCAAGTTAAGCGGTTACCGTTGCCCACGGTACAGACGAGGAAGACGAGGCAGCCAGGAAGCAGTATCAAATGGCATACCGCCGCTCTTAAACACCTGCCTGCTCCATCACTCGAAACCTCCAGGGACATTCTCGTGGTGTTGCCATGTACCTCCTCGGAAAATGTGAAAATGGAGATTCGTAGAGAGTGCCCGCCTGCCTGCCAAGGCATCCATCTATCGTCTTCTGTTAGAGTTGAAGGGTACGTGTGGAGGAGACTTTGCCTACCTTGGGTACCTACCTACCTACCTCCTAGACGTCAACGCTATGCATACCGTTGACCCTTGTCGGTATAAGCTTATACTCATAAGGTGATTTGGGCACTTGGCGTCCTTCGTCTCTGCCGGCAGGTTGGGTGGCATTATCAGTGGGCGTATTCTGCCATGGCAACATTCTGCCATGGCAACACAAGGCTGTGCATGACATATGCCCGTAGATATCGGCTCCGTATGAGTCACATCCAAGCAGCGGAAGTCAGTAGCGTAGTCATGGTCGTGGTCGTGGTAGGGGCGGAGGCGGCGGTATTTATGTATACGTACGTGTGTTGCCTGCCTACCGGGGCCCATTCGGGCCACACCCGACCCCTTCGGAGACAAAGGCCGGACAGACCCGGACTTAAGCCTCTATCTCCATTATCAAATGCCTCGCCTCGTCGCCATCCCAACCCTGAACTATATCACTTCCTCTATTCCAGTATCGCGGGTCCATCGAGTGACGAATATCTCGAAGTTGGCTTGCAGTGTTGTGCGTGAGAGGAAACTCAGACAGGTTAAGTCAAGTTAGGTAGCTGGGAACCTCCACTTGCAGGCAGGGTCTAAACGCCATGCATCCCAGCAGTGCTACTGATCACTTCGACTCATGGCAGCTGAGTCTTGCTAGCCGCTCCCAGATGGTCTGCGTAGCTTTTTCGAGTGCAACTATCTGTGGTAAACCCACACCTTCTATTAATACTTGTAAGCTGAGAAATCAGGTTGTAGATTTGCGTATCGGCTTAGTAACGCACACGGAGGCGAATAGAGGGCAGGTAAGTATGCAGCAGCCACAGAAAGGGAGAAATGCAGCCCCGGCGAGACCTGGCTTATCGATCATCAGCCCCTCTCGAGTATGATTCCCGGCGAAATTGCCAATACGCCTACCCGATTATTAGCCAGTCGGTCCGTTGTCAGTCTGCGATGGTAACGAGGTGGAGGAGGCATCATATGATGTTAGGAGGTAGGTAACCCATTCACATACAGGGTAGGTAGGTACATAGGTACATAGCAGAGGGGCGCCCCCGCAGGTTACTTCCTAGTATACCTCCTAAGTACCTGGGTACCTAATGTAAGTCGGTGACGTGCCTAACTGTACTACTTGAATGACAGTCAGAGCTCTTAGGTGCCACAACTTCCTCTCACTCACCTAATACCTATGGCAACGCAAGCAAACCTCCACGGCATAAGCAGTGCACCTCTGCCCCAAATTGAATAACCCTACAACGCTCTTAGCTATAAAAAAAAAGAAGGAAAGAAAAGGGTCAAGTACTGCTGTTGGTCAAGCAGCTGGATCGATCCCCCGGAACACTCGACCGAACATGGGAAACGTCGGGAACGGCCCCGAGGAAAACCGGAGGCTCGGACCAAGCGGCGCTTTTCGGCGGTTGGCACCGCGACCCCATGCGGCACGGACTCCTTAGATAGGAGTGCTGGTGCGCTGCTGATAGGAGGCATACGGCAGCTCCCAGGTACCCGGGAGGCCTGACTGAAGGATGGGATCGGGGGCGGAAGGGAGCATTGTTGCGCCACGTATTTGCATATCGCGAGCCGAGATCCAATCAGAAAGACGTCGACGCTGCAGGCGACCATCAGGATCCAGGCCTGCCAATACGGCAATGCGACGACATCCCGTGCCCCGGCTAAAGATAGCCGGGCCGTCTTTACGTCTTCACACCTCTCATCGTTTCGTGTACCTAAGCGATGCACTGCGGATCCCGAACGCCTCGAGAACGCGCGCCGAGCTCGATCTAATATACCCGCCTAAGACAGTTAGTGCCCTTGGTAGGGCTTATCGCCAACAACCGTTGTCCGGATCAAGCTCGGGTCTTGCTGACCGGGCTAGGCTGTTTTGCGAGTCTACCCCCAAGAGTATGACGAGCCAGTGAGACTACTGTGCTACTTCTTGGTGGCACCGAGTAACTAATTCTCATGAACGATATACCTATAATTAGCAACTTGGGGATCTTGTCCTAGAGTCGCGGCGGATGTGGCCGCTTACTACTCCTTACAAGACTTATCGCGAACTGGGAGGCATCGGGACGATGAAATCAGCCGCCTAAACGATGTCAGGGAGGACATGGGCGAATAGGACCGCCTACTTACCTCTGAGAAAGATAGCGCCGGAAATATAGCGATAAAGACACAGCGAGGGAAACCATGGTGGCGGCCAGTGGCGCGTGGTGTCTGCTGCGTCGGAATCACCCCCATCATGCCATGGCTAGTATCGTCTCAGGTCATGTCCAACACATCCGGTGGGAAATCGGTGTTTAGAAGCAGCTCTAGGTGTCCCCGTACGGCGCCCTGACGAGGACAATATACTTGAGCCCGACTGGGACTTCGGCGCCCCCAACCAGGTGCGCGTGTGCAACTAGACCATTGTCGGTAAGGAACGGCATCCGGACGCAGCGCACAAGCCGATGATGGCGATCAACGGCTGGCTCCCCGAGCCACTGATCGAGGCGCGCCGCCCATCATCGAGACCGTTGGCATCGTCCCGGGGTAGACTCTTACGGGCGGAGCTTCTGCTAGTCTCAGAGTGTGTAAGTATCTGGGGGGGGGGTGGTTGTTATCAAGTGTGGGGCAGATGAGCTAAAGAACGAAGACTACCAAGTAGCGCTGTTAGGAATCGAACCTATCCTTCGTGAAGTAACCTACTGGTCTGGGGCATCCTCGAAAATACTGGCATAAAGAACTACCTAGGTACCTCTATTAGAGTATAATTAACACCTAGTGCTTCCCCCCTTTTTTCTCTCGATCCCCTTCGGCCTCTCTTAACAGCTCAGTGGCTTCTACAGAGGCTCTCCGCATCTGCTCCAATTGCTGACCTTTGGCGAAAACTGTGGTAATCTTTCTGAGCCCCAACCCCTCTCGTCTCTACGCATCTATGCACATACCTACGTGGTAAAGGGGGTAGCTCGACTACATTCAAGCCACGGCGTACACGACGAGAAACTACTAGCGTCGAATTCGCGCATTCGAATTGCTCTCGATACCTACGCCGGCGTCGGCGGGGATAGAAGAAGGAGAAAATGAAAAAGCCCTACAACTCCTGATTCCCCTAAGCAGATGATTTCGGCCGTTCCGTTTCCGTCCTCCCCTGCCCCAAGCCCTCCGAAGGTTTGTCTTGCGGAAGCGGACCGGGAGATGTTTTAGTGTAAAATAATAATCATAAAATAAACACAGCGGAAGAAAAAATCAGGGAGGAAAACGAAACCCAGAGACTGATATTTTGCGGATTACCGTATCCCCGCCGCCCTAGTCCCGACTCTATCCCAGTGCTAATTCCACCGAACGGTTTGGCAACACACGCTTCCCTCTCTAGCAGCGGCCGCGATGGGCCGTTGCCGTGGCATCGGTATATGTTCCGTGTGTATGTACGCGTTCCTAGGCCGACGTGGCGGTACGTCGCATGCCGCTGCATATGAGCATTGTGTCGATCACGAAGGTGGTTCCCTTGCTTTGATTCCGTTCCTTTTGCCCTCCTACCCCCCGCTCGTTGAGAGCGGGTGTCCGCTTCTCAAACGGCACTCTTCAGGCGGCGGCGACGCTCCCCTCCGTGGCGACACTGTGCGCCTTCAGGAAGTCGGGGTTGTTCTCTAGCTCCTCCTTAACCTGCGGGCGGACAGGCGCGTTAGCTACACCACACGGTGATACAGGCCGGCGTTATTCAAACGATGTGATGAAGAGGGCCAATCACCGCATCGCGGAAAAGAAAGAGGGAAAAAAAAGAAATCACTCACGATGTCCAGACCGCCGACGAGCTCGCCGTCGACCCACAGCTGCGGGTAGGTGGGCCACTCAGCAAACTTCTTGAGGCCCTGCCGGACCTCGTCGTCCGCGAGGATGTTGAAGAAGCCGTACTTAACGCTTCTCTCGCGCAGAAGGCCCACCAGCCGCCGCGAGAAGCCGCACTGCGGCGCGCTCGGCGTTCCCTTCATGAACAGCATCACGGGGGCCGCCTTGACGAGCTCGCCGAGCCGCTTGAACAGCTCCTCTTCCGCCTTCTCGGGGTCGGCCGTCGCGGTCTCGACCTCGTCTGGCGCGGGCGCGGGCACCGATGCGGCCGGAGCGGACGAGGCGGCGGCGGCGGTTATTGCGCCGTCCGCCTTGGCGAGGGTGGTGGGGTTGCCATCGGGGTTCGCGGCGTGGCGCTCGATGGCCTCGCGGACCAACACGACGTTGCTGCCGCTGACGGTCTCGACGACCTTGTCGTTGCGCTGCAGGACGAGGTAGGGCACGGCGGTGACGTCGTACGTTTCGGAGATGTCGCTGAGCTCCTCGGCGTTGATCGAAACCCAGCTCGTCGACAGCGGGTCGGTGACGGGGTAGTCCTGCACGAGGGCGCCGAGGGCGGCAGACATGGTGGCGCAGGGCGCGGCCCAGGGCGCGTGGAAGGAGATGATGAGGAGGGTGGACGAGGGCAGCGACGCGACGTGGGAACGCCACTCGTCCTCGGAGGCTATCTCCTTGATGGAGGACTCTTTGAATCCGGCCATCTTCTCCGGCGTCCTCGAGGGTGTCGTGGAGGGGCGGAGGTGAGTTTTCAGAAGTGTGCTGCGATTTCGCAAACAGTACCTAGATAGGGGGGAGAACCCGAGGGAGAAGTGGCAGGAGAACAAGAGCGTGTTGAGGCGGGCACGAGACGGGATGGGATGGCGGTAGCTTGGGTAGATTTGGACTGGAAGATGGCGAGGTTGCCCCGATGCCTGTGCCGGGTGGGCTGAGATCGGTAAGGTAGAGTTTATGGAGGGGTCCAATGGAGGGACAGTTGATTACGACCCTCGCCCACTTTTCTTCCTCTCCCACCAAGAGATCTTATCAATCACTTTGTTGCAAGCCTGTCGAAAGCTCGGCAGCGCATTGCGTCATTGCCGGCTTCCGTGGTGTCACGTGCGATTGTACCTATAATCCGAACGGCGCGGCGCACGGACCACAGAAACAACGGGTCCCGATACAACCAATCTCATTACTTAGATTACCCCTATACCTTTATACCTTCGGTACGCAGTTTCTTACCACCACCTAGCGTGCATCCATTGGATAGGACCCTTGAGCCCGGCGTCGGCCTACTTTGCCCTTCTTGAATCATGGGGCAGATATTTCCTCATAAGCTTTCACGATACTCCGACCAGATTACTCAATGAGGTGACATATAGACCTCATTCTCTAAGAGGTCCATCTCTCTCTATTATGCTCACTGCTACCGGATCAAAGCCTACCTACCTACAAATCAACTAGATCTCGTGGGCGCGTCACTAGGGGGTTGCCAGACTCTGTACTTCCGGGCGTACAGGGCATGTATACCTCGTACAATGTATATTAACTCCCCTATCCACATCCTACCCTTCGCTCGCTACAGGGACCTAACCTGTATGAGTACTCGTGTTTCCCTGTAGACAGTAAGGGGGGAAATTGTCTTGCGGGTATGAGTAGAGGGGACAAGATAAATCCCACATGTATCGTAGTGCCTCCATTGATGCTCAGAATTTTGAGTGTGACCTAGTACGGAACTTCTAGTCCGTGCCCTGGCTGGGACTGGCCGCCGTAACCTGAGAGCCGTTGACGACGTCCTGGCCGTCCCTTAGCAACGCATCCGCCTCCTCATTCTTGGCTAACTGGGCCTTAGCCTCTGCCCTAAGGACGAGCTCACGGCGCTGCCACCAGTCTTCCTCGACCTGGATCACCTGGTCCAGCAGGGCTTCCTTCTCCAACCATTCTTGCCTATACGCCTCTTCGGTCTCCTTACACTCCCGCCGGAGGTTCTCCAGATCCTTCGTCGACCACTTGAGGTTCGCCACGCAGAGCTTGTAAAGGGACTTGATGTCCATGGCCAGCTCCTTGCTAGAAAAGCCCTGCTGCTCCGTCAAGGGAGTGAAGAAGTTGATCAGGTCTTCGGGAGCGTCCCCGTCGTCGACGGCGTCGTCCTGGCCGGCGGCGTGCGATTGCGGGGTCTTGATAATGATCTTCAATTTCCCGGATTTGGGCCCGGACTGGGTCTGCATAGATTTGGGTACGGGGTCGGAGGGTCGTAGGGCTTCGGTCTCATGCACGGTACGCATATGCTTAGCAAGCGCGTCGGATCGTGTAAAAGCGCGGTCGCACTCTGCTACGGTCAGAACGAAATCCCGCCGGCGGACGGGAATAGCTAGAAAAGCGCCTTACCTGGCAGATAGCAGTAGAATGGCTTCTCCCTCGTGTGGCTTCTCATGTGGGCCTTCAACGCGTAACCGCTAGCGTGTGGCATGCTCTTTCGAGGACAGCCAATCCACTCGCACGTGTACTTCTTCTGCCGGCTCTCGATGTGATCGTTGTGGATGTGTTCGACGAGCTTATCCATGTTGCCCAAGTCGCCGGCCCGGCACCCGTCCCAGGCACAGATGGTGACCTGCTCTTGGAATTCATCCTCATCCAGCTTCGCATTGATGGGGGAGTTTGGTATGTCGCCCGAGGTATCTGACGAGATGTCGCCATCGAGGTCGCGGTCTGATTCTTGGTCGGCCTCGGGCTCGACGTGGACAAAAGAAGACGCTCGGGATCCGTCGCCTCGCTTTTGCCGCTTCGAGGGAGGGGGGATCGGTTCGTCAACGACCCCGGTATCGTCGAAATCATTGTCGGCCTCGGGCGAATCGGATGACAGCGAGCTGATCGACGAGGAATCCTCTGATAATAATACCATTGTAATTGACACAGTGATACTTGGAGGTGGATGTTTCCGATTGTTTTGCGGCGGATGGGAAAAGGGAGTGGAAGAAAGGGAGAACGATCTACGGGTGTAGGTGCCAGAAGAAAAGCATGGACTAGGGGTTGGGCGTGTGCGACAGCAGGCAAGCGACAGTAAGCCTCGAGTGCTTTATGGTTTCGATGAATCTGACTGGAATTAGCCAAACTCTAACGATAATCGGCCCGGGGGACGTTTCGATCCATCTAGGTAATAGGAATCAGGGAAGTGATGGGAGAAGGGCTGGCGATTGAAATAATAAACAAGGCGGATTGACTGTTTAAAAAAAAAATATCCCCCAGGGTGGAATTTGTGGCCATTCGATTCCAGCTGGGAAGAGGCGATGGCTTCTACCATCAGCACTGGAGGTGCGCCGCGACGGCAGCTGGGTGTTCTATTCAATTGCGTGGTACACGTATATTATAGGTAGGTACATCCTTAGGTAATGGATCGGACATTATGTACCTAGGTACCTCCTCTCTGGGCCACACACAGCCTGCCTTCCATTCCATGCATGTATTTATATGCAATACCAACTTTCACATAATGCATATTATAGGTAACTTGGCGGGAGATAGCAGTACTATTTATGTATCCGTGGTTGACCCCAGTCTTGGGCGCTGACAAGACCACACCGTTCTTTATTACCTTGGAGGGACCTAGGTAGGCAAGTACCTACCTCAGAATGCACCTAAGGCAGATGCATCAAATTGGAAGCAAGTAGCACACATACGCATGTACTAGAACATAGAGATGACCGACAGTGACAGGATGAGTTACTAACGTGGTATACTGTGCATTGCCTGGCAGCTGCATCACTCTGGTCTAGCTGGCCAGCTACGATAGTGCATCATATACCTAGTAGTAGTAGGTACCTACACCTAGGCGGGTATGTTGTACACGCCAGGTACCTGCTGACTGCTGGCAAGGTCTGCTGTCGCTCAGGTACCTCCACAGGACCCGGCGGCCAGGCTCAATGGAACACAACCCACTTTCTTTCCTAATGACCCGACTTGTCGATTTCCACGCACTTGCCAGGCACAAACCGAAGACCAAGTAAATTAGAACCACGAACTCTTCTTCGCTGGCCTTCTTCCGCTCTTCTTGTTTCTTTCACAAGCTTTCCCCCCTCAAGCTCCTCCCGCTCCTCTCGCCGTGCCTTGTCTCTCTCCTCTTCCTAGAGTCCCTCTGTTTCTGTAACCGGACTACGCCCTGGGTCCAGCTCTCATGCCACACATCTTTGACCAACGCAGATTTGTTAGGTCATTGTGGTAATCCTCTGGGCAACTCTCGTTATTGAATCCAGCATCTGTTAGAGCTCCCCGGATCCCTCTCAGCTAGCTACTCTAACATCTCCCACCGCAACTTCATAGGCCTATCACTCTCCCGCCCTCCGACACGATCAACAATTCCTTTCAGCACAAGGCCATCTTAGCTGCGACAACAAGGTACTGCCGAACATGGCCACGCTAAATCTCTCCGTAAACGGACCCTCCATCAAGAGCAGCTATCAAGGAGTCATCAACGCTCCAGCTCCCCCCTCTGGCAGCTCTTCAACCTATGCCCAATGGGCTCTATTCTACGTCCAAGCTCCGCTGGCGAATGCCTTCCAAGAGAGCGGGGCCAAAGAAAGCGTCCTAAAGGTCCAGTCCACCGGCTCTGGTGAGCTAGAAGAGCTATTTGAGGATTTCAACGAGGGTCGTATCCAATTCGCCTTTCTCAAAGTCAAGGATCCGAACACGGCCCTACCTAAACATGCCCTAATCGCCTGGGTCTGTGTGCTCCCCCCCATCGACCTCCTGCCGTGACTAATGGTGATTCACAGTGCGGCGGCGGCGTCCCTGAGCGGACGAAGGGCTACTTCACAAGCCATCTAAATGCTGTTACCAAAATCCTCCATGTACGAAACGCTGCCTCTTCTGTGGCCAACTACAAGTACTAGGCTGATTAGAACCAGGGATATCACGTACAAATCACTGCTCGTTCCGACACCGACCTCGAACCTGCCAACATCCTCCAGAAAATCGCTGACGCGTCCGGCGCTAAGTACACAGCTGGTGGGGGTGCACCGATAAAAACAGGAGGAGCCCCTCCTCCCCTTAAATCGAAGCCCGTCTTCGCTACCCCATCCAGTTCCAGCTCTTTTAACCCCATCGTAGCTGCACGAAACGCAAGCCTGAGGAAAGGGGGCGATGATGGCTGGGGCGATGACGCACCGCAGGTGACTCGGACCGAACTTCAGAAGGTGGAGTCGGCATACAAGCCAACAAAGGTTAACATGGCGGAGCTGATAGGCCAGAAGCAAGAGCCTTCGAGAGTAGCCAGTTCGACCAAGCAGGAAGATCAGTCGAGGGATGTAATAAGGGGTGGGTACCAGCCGGTCGGTAAGGTTAACATCGCCGCTATCCGAGCCGCCGCCAAGGAAAAGCAGGATGACCGGCCAACGCCTGTCAAGGGCGCTTACGAGCCGGTTGGCAAAGTTGACATCGCCGCGATCCGAGCTCGTGCCCAGAAGCCAACTGAGGCCGAGCCAGCGGCGGCAGATGACGAGCCGCCCAAATCCCTGGCAGAGCGAAGTGCAGCATTCCATCAGGCTGAGCGCATCACGGAGTTGCCCAAACCCAAGGTCGCTAAGAAGTGGAGCGGCGCCTCCACATTCGCAGGCACTAAGGCTCCTACTCCGGGGGCCCTCGGTTTCGGCGGCCCCTCACCGGCTGCGAGCGTCGTACCTGTTGGATCCGCAAGCCGAACCTTTGCGGACCAAGGGGGAAAGACGCCAGCACAGCTTTGGGCAGAGAAGAAGGCACAGCAGGGCAGTATCAGTAAACCCGTGACAACTCCCGTTGTTGCCCAGAGGAGTGGAGGAGCCGGATGGCAGAGCGGTTACACGGGCAAGAGCTGGGCGCCCGTTCAGACGGGATCATACGCCCGTGGCATCTCGGGGCAGAAAGATGACGAAAACGAAGCCAGCCAAGAGGCCCCGGCGTCCCCGCCGCCAAACATTGGCGCTCTGCGAGATCGTTTCAAGGATGCCCCCCCGATCACGGCGACTCCATCACCTCCCTCGGCACCGAGGGCGCCGATACCCGTGGAGGAGAACGAGCCGGCGCCGCCCCCGCTCCCTACGAGTACGCGACCTTCGGATGGTACTCCTACGGGAGGCTTTGCCCTTCCCGGGATGCCTCCTCGTCCGCCGCCCGAAGAAGAAGAGGAAGAGGAGCGTGGGCGATCGCCATCGCCCGTCCGCGTGGCGGTGCCCGTTCCTCGCGGACCCGAGCCTGAGATTGAACCGGCGCAAGAGCCTCCTCGATCGCTGCCCGTCCGACCGATAGAGCAAGCGCACCCCCAAGAAGAACTACCGGAGGAACGGGAAACCGTAGACCCGCGTGCCGTCGCTGCTGTTGTCGCCGAGACCCAGTTCAAGCATGAACCAGCTGTAGCAGAGGTGCCAGCTGCCTCGAGCGGAGGCAAGCGCGCCCTCATCCAGTACGACTATGAGAAGGCCGAGGACAACGAGCTGGAGCTCCGTGAGGGCGAGTACGTCACGGATATCGAAATGGTGGACGAAGACTGGTGGATGGGGACCAACGCTCGAGGCGAGACCGGGCTATTCCCCAGCAACTACGTGGAGCTCGTCGAGGATGAGGCCGAGCAAGCGGCGCCCACGCCGGCAGCTAGCCATACGGCAGCGGTGCCCCCGTCGGCCCCGGCCGCCGAGCCGGTGCCTGAACCAGCAGCGGATGGCGGGCACACGGCAACCGCGCAATTCGATTACGAGGCCGCGGAAGACAACGGTAAGCACGGTCGTGCCGCCTCTCGCGGGGTTACCCCCGATCAGCATCACTAACAAGTGCGGTATAGAACTGAGCTTTCCGGAGGGGGCCAAGATTACCAACTTGGAATTCCCAGACGACGATTGGTGGTACGGTTTCTACAAGGGGAAATCGGGGCTGTTCCCGGCCAACTATGTGCAGCTAGACCAGTGACGTTGCTGCTCACCTCGTTATCCTCCTTCCACCACCTTCCTATGACACCGTCGCGGAAACACGCCAGATTAGATGTCGAACGCATGATGACGTGGAGATGCGAAACGATTGCAGAAGTCTTGTCTCTTTCCCGATTTATGTTTTCTTCTCCCTCTTGTAAGTAGAACAGAAAAAAAAAGTAAGAGTTGTCAGCTTTTTTTTTTTTCTCCACCGTCCTATCGTTGCAGAAAAAGGGGATTGAAACGCCAAGATGCGAAGGACAGGCGTGCTCCGAGGCCTCGGCTCTTGGCGTTTACAGGCTACCCCGTCAGCCCTTCAGCCCTACTACAAGGAACGGTAGGTCGGTATAGGTTTGCAGGTTTTACTCTTTGAAAAAAAAAAAAGCGAGGGGGTATACATATGAGATGAAAGGACGTTAGTATCCGATTTTTTCCCAAGGTACGGATTTTCTCAGTACCCACAAGCCATGCCAAACGGCATCCCGAATACTGGCTAGGGCTATGCGGTGTATCTGCCTCTTCCATACAATAATTAGACATCACGTGTGTGGGTACGTCTCCGCCTGTGGTATAGGTGAGGCAGGAGACGAGACGTGGATTACCTATAGGTACGGGAGGTAGATTGGAGAACATCACGGGTTTAGCTACTGGCGACCATGGCGAGCAAAGCACGTACCCGTAAGAGGGAAGGGCGGACGCCATGTCTTGAATGCTCACTCTTGTGGTTCTGTTGAAGCGACCTAAAAGGTCGGTACTTTCTCTGCAACCTAATACGACAGCAGCTGGCCCTCTAATCTCCCGCCTAGATCTAGACATACATGCGATACACATCATGGAAACGCCCACGTTGGGTTTAGGTTGGCGGTTGTGTAGGAAGTGGTATTATGTATACATGCGCAGGCGTGGCGGTGGATGGGTGTGTCGCGGCAGGGCTTGGCGGCGCGCTGGCTGGTATCCAATCGATCGGGAGTGTGCGCCCCGTCGGCGGTTGTCTGGTCTCGCTCCTGGGCCCCCATCCCGGGAATTGGCTTCATCCTATTGTCGGATATGCCTAGGCCTGTTGATATACCACAAGTTGGGGTGGATTCTCACCTATATACAGGCACACACAGCCCGCAGAGCATTCCTCAAATTGCGGGTATAGCGTACACGTAGGTAGGTGTGCGCGCACGCGCGGTCCTCGGCCCCGGCACGGATTAGGCGGCATCTAGACTGGGCCACGCCGCCTACCCGCCCGCGCCATCACGTACACGATGTCGCTGCGGAAAGGGTACGTAACGAGGTGGTGTGGACTTGCGTACGCGAACAGGTGGCTGTGCGAATGTTATGCGCGGAGATGCGCGTAGGGCTCTCACGGATGCGCTGCTGCTATACATAGGCACGCGCTACGTAGCTACCAGAGCCGCACTTCGCATCCGGCGGGTCGGTGGACTGCTTCCTGTGGGCGAGTGTTGTCTCTTTCTTTCCCAAATCGGATATCTCGGCGTCGTCAGTACGAACGAACTCGTGCCAGTCGGACCGGATCGAGCGACGCTGGCTGGCTGAGCAGGCACCTGGGTAGATCAGACTACAGGGGGGCCCCCAGACTGAGGAGGAACGGCAGTCGAACGCACGCACCTACTACTCATACTCATACGTATCTACGCACGCCCTTCTCTTTGCAGGGCTGCTCAGGGCGGCAGACGTATGTCTCCATCTAGGCGTTCAAGGCGTGGATAGCATACCCACGTAGATAGCGAGATCGACCACCCCCCCCCCATACAGAGCAAGCGGAGCTACCAACGAGAGATACCGAAGTGACAGCGTGTGTCGGGGGCGTATTGGATGTGTTGGAGGTGTGTGTAGCAGAGAGAACGGCTATTGTCATGGAAGCTAGGTAGCCGCCTAGGTGGCAGCTAATATGTACCTATATTTCTCTATCCCCTTATGAGTATACCTGGGGGGTATTATTGGACAGGATAGGCCCCTGTATCGCAAGTCAGGTCCAGCTGGCAATAGGCTTTCCCAATATTCTCGAGTCGGTGCAACCCGCCACTAAACCTGGGGAGGGCCAGTTTCTTCATCCATTTTTTTCTTCCCTTTTTGACGTAAATCGACAAAAGAAGCAAAGCGTTATAGGCAATATCCGTTGGATCTATTAAACAAATCATGGATACTCAACATTGCATTAATACACACCCCCGTTTCCGATTTCTTTCGTAACATTCGCTCACAGGCGAGCCCCCGGGGCCGGGTTTCGGAAAAGGGCCTGTCATCGATACAACGGAACAGAACTACTCATGGTATCAAATGGTCGGGGCATGACACGCGTACCGCAGGGGTGGACGTAGCCGGATCCTGCCAATCATGCGGCGAGAGCCCGTAGGTGGTGCCCCTAATACTACCTACGCACAACTGCGACTTTCTACCAGTCGTGGCCATCCGTAGGATTGTATTCGTGCCGTATAGCCGTGTGCCGCCGCATCTTTGGCCACCCTCCTCGATACCACTTATACCAAACCGAACGAAGCCCATTCGGTATTTAGTAAAACAGATAAAAAAGGGTGAGAGGGGCGGGGGGGGGGAGACCTAGAATATAGATGGATGGATACATTGTACATAGGTATCTATCTAGACCGCGGACTTTCTTAGGTAGCCGCCAGTACCTTTATAGGCAAGGTTACATACCTATAAAGACTATTGATATCTCGCCAGCAAGCCTCACATCACCGAGGCGTCAGCCGCCGGCGTAATGTTCTTACCCGCCCAGGCCGGGAACCTGATATACCTCTGCCCCCATCATGGTCCTTAGCCTCCCTTGTCCTGAAACCCGCATGTGGCCGGGGAGAAGGGGACCGTAGCTGGGAACGGAACGGCCAGCAACGGCCAGCAATGCTGGAGTCGAGGCCGGTGCAGGTGGGCGTACCTTGCCCTCTGTCGATGCGGGTCGGGAACCTGGTGGTTAGTCACAGCCCGGACACACACGTATGTATCCTGTACGTACTGCTGCTGCGGCAGCAGCAGCCACCACTACTACGTGGGAGTCGAGGAAGAGATAGAGGGACCTAGGTACCTCCTCATCGCGCCGCATGTTCCCAGCCGGGATGGCGGTAGAGTAATATACCTACATGCACGGCCTACCTATCTACCTATCTACCTACCTGGTAGTTTGGGGGTATTAGGCGACCAAGTTAGGTACCTTGTCCACAACGGCTACAGGTGGTATAGGTACCTAAGGTAGGTACCTCCATACATATGCCTTTGGCCCGCCACTCGCACCGTCCTCACCTTACTCTGTGCCTGATCTGATCTCTCTTCCTGTTAACTAACCAGTTAAGACATCCCGTCTCTCTCTCTCTTTTTCTCTGTCTCCCTCCCCTCTGTCTCTAGCACACACACTCTCTCTCACTCTCTCGCTTTCTTCTGGCTACACCTACCATCCATCCATCCATCCGTTCGCTTGCTTGTGTCCTGCATCCTCTCCTCTCCTCATCCCCGTCATCGCATCCCTCTGCTTTCCCTTCTTTAGTGAGGTGAAGATTGGGCCACAAACCCCGGCACCAGCCCAGCCAGGTAAGCTATCTACCACTAGCTGATAACATCTGATCTACCAAGCCTTTTTAAAGGCCTGCTCGCCCACTCCCAACTCCTCTTCTCCCGACCGCATCCACCGCCGGCTTTTCTTGGCTGATATCCCACAGTATAGAAAACTTGCCACCATCCACGACATCATCGCCGGATCCCATCTCGAAATATAGATATTATAATTCGGTGGATCCGTCCATCAGGCAATTCGCCCTAGATGTCTAGCAACGACTATTACAACCAGGGTCATCCCCCCCAGGGCTATGGCTACCCGCAACAGCCTCAACCGGTACGTCACGTCGCAGTGCAAGCGAATCGCTCCAAGATCCCCAGAAATGTCGCAATCGCCAGCCCGCCCGCGCCAAGCCCGGCCTCTCTCGCCGGTCGCCGCATCGTACCGCATCGCGCATCCGTCGAGCCGCCCTGGTAGTGGACGGATCGGCAGTGTCGCGATTTCTGTTCCCGTTTCCGACATCACCCGCCGTCTCACAACACCGTTGGCCGAAAGCGATTTCATAACGCAATCACGTCACAAAGCTATTGTCCCCCTCGGCCTGCAGCATAAGTTTCTACGTGAAGAGAGTTGAGCTAACGAGACGACATAAACCAGGCTTACGGCCCCGCCCAAGGCCAGTACTACGGCCCGCCCCAAGGCCAGCCCCAGATGCAGTATCAGCCACAGCCTCCGCAGGAGAGCAAGTCGGGTGGTGGTGGCTGTCTCAAGGGATGTCTGGCCGCGTTGTGCTGCTGCTTCGTGTGCGAGCAGGGATGCGAGTGTTGCGCCGACTGCTGCGAATGCTGCTGCGACATCTGTTAAGAGGCCGTTCTACCTCCCGCCTCGTCCTCTGCGACGAGCGACGATGGCCCGAAACGATGGGATGTTTCACAAGCGGGCAGCCTGCCGGAGGAATGGTCGAGGCCGAGCACTGCTTATCGTATAAGCTATGGCTTCTAAGATACAGCCCGGACATCACACGGGGAGGAAATTCGTCTGGGGTGTGATCCAGGCAGATGTTTTTGTACCGAAGTGCGCTAAACTACGAGATGTTCTTCCCTGTAGGTCATGTTCTTCTTCTCTTTTCTGCTTTTTGGGGAGGTAGTGGGCGTTTTGGAACAGACCTATTTCTCTTCGCGCAAGGAGCAACTGGCATTGAGGATACTAGTTAATATGACACGAAACGAATTCTTTTCTTCTTTTACCTATATCGATCCCCGATTCTCAGCAGAGAGTAAGCGCCATATCGAGCGAAACCCGGGCTAGACGCTATGACATCCTAATGTGGTCTCCCATCGCCTTGCCATTGGGCTACCGCCTCGACGGACTGCTGGCTCGGTGCTGAAAAACAGGAACAGGGACAAGTGCGATATCTATCACGCCGGTCTGGTGACAGACTTGGACCTGCTAAACGGGACATGTGCTACGAAACGGGGTGGAAGAAGGCGTCTTTTCTCTCATGCCCTTGTTGGCAAGTGAAAGGGCCAATTATCTCTTGTATATACCTATACTTGCGCTTGCCTCTCGGACACATAGGCAGTCATATTTCAATACACCTGCGATATATCTACCGCTAATGATAACTCGGTATAATAATATATGCGGTACCTATTCACGCAGTCCCAGGTGCCGGGTGCCTCTGGCAGGTACTTTACGGGAACTGCGCTGGGGTCGCGAGAAAGACGCACCGGCCGCAGGAGGCTACGCCCCGTGCTACTCGTATCGCATGCCGATACTGGCTATCGGCAAACCCGCCCCAGCACCCTTTGCGACCAATGCCGTTTCGGGCTTTTTTCTAAGTAGCGTGCCCTTACTGCTAGTTGGCCACGCGACACGACAGAGAAACGAGGCGACAGCTTCGCATAGATAGCGCTGCTTGGTTGTGTAGGCCGTCGAAGAAGGGCTCTGGCACGAAGCTCGAGTTCTATATTTTGCTTGCCGTCTTGGCTCAACGTAGCGCCAGTAGGGGGGCTAAACGACACGGGATTCCGCTGTCGAGGGAGCATATAGAGTCGTGGTATTAATTACTGCTAATCGATTAGTAAGTAACGATTCGCAGAGTCCGGCTTATGTTGCCCTTCATGTGACTCTTGTTGTTATCCTATCCGGAGGATAGTCATCTATGATAGGTTAAACCCCCGTTCAATCGAAGTCAGTTTCTCTCCGTTCAATCGAGGTTAGTTTCTCTCCGTTCAATCGAGGTTAGTTTCTCTCCGTTCAACCAAGAGTCGATTGCTAATCCATCCCCTTTTGCAGTTCAATTAAGCGTCGGTTCCTACTTACCCCTTTCCCCATAACCTTCAGAGAGGTCCTAGGTTTTCGGTACGAAAACGTACCTAGAGAAGCGCAGAGTACTTCGACGTATTCTACTATTACTTATGTCTGTGTTAAAGTTTCAATTCCCTTACCTTTTTTGTTTCTTCTTCTCACCCTCTTCTCCTGCTCCGTCTTCTCCGCGTCTTTACTGCGCAAGATCTCTCTCTCAGTAGATCGTCACCTTGCAACGCGTCAATGTCGACGCCTTCCTGCTCTGCGACTTTTTCCTCCGCCTTTCGGACAGCAGCTAGTCTGGTCCTTTCGTACACTTTGCCAAACGCCTGCTTGTACCGTCAAGACTTCTTGCGCCAGCGCAACTTTTTGTGAGAAACAACACACCTTCGCATCAATATTTTTCCGGCTCAAATCCCCTTTAGACTTCGCGAAGGCCCGAACGGCTGGCCACGCGTCGTGCGGAATCTTCTGGCACGTCTGTCATCTTCGGAATGATTAGGTATTGCGCATATATAGCTTTCCGTCGTGGGGGAGCGGGGTTGGGAGCGGAGCGGATGGTTTCAATACAATTGTATAAGCACATACCGGGTTTTTTTCACACAGCGCTCGGCCCGCAGACGCCCGATGCGACCAAACCAGACTTTACAGGGTACGTCATTCTCCTGGTCGTTTTCGTCGTCGTTGTCGTTGTCGTCGTTGTCGTTGTCGTCGCTACCGCGACCGCGGAGGTGGTGCTGCCGCCCGTAGCGCCACCTGCGGCGTCCGCCTCTTCCTCCTCCTCGAGCCAACTCAAGCCGAGGGCGACCAGCTCTCTCCCGGTTCTCTACGTTGATCCCGTCTCGGCCGAGTTGACGCGTGGAAACGGATGGATAGGGAGGCAGGGGGAGAGCATAAATTGGATGAACGATACTATAGATTAGTAAGTGAAAGCTGAAACGCGTCAGTTCTAGGTCAGTTCTGCGTGGCGCGCGTTGTGTGCAATCAACCATAACTTTTGAATTGGGTCAGCCTCCGCATGGTCCTCGATAAGGAAACTCTACCTACAATTTGATATACCTACTTCGCCGCCTCCTACCAGGTATTATAACCTATCCGGACCACGACCAGCTACGGCCATTTAAGCTCGTCGTATTCACCTAGTATGGACGAGGCTGTCGAGGCGAGCCAGGTTGACTTCGCGTAGGTACCTCCGTGGCTACGTCCATCGATCAATACCTATAATAGGACCTGCCTCCGCGATGCCCTGCTCTCTCGTCCGGCACCTGGGGTTGCTAGAAACTCTCCCCGTCCCTCATCTCGTCTCTCCCTTCTCTTAACCATAGATGAGCTAAACAACGAAGACTACCAAGTAGCGCTGTTAGGAATCGAACCTATCCTTCGTTAAGTAACCTAATGATCTACCCTTTCTCCCCCCCCCCCTAACGCGCCATCTTGCACACGAGCTACACGCTACCCGACTTCGCTTACCACCACCACCATGTCCTCGCATATGGATGTGGCGCGGTTCGCCTACCTCCCCTCGGAAGTGGGCGCGTGCGAGGACCTCGAGAACTACAAGCCGGGGGGCCTGCACCCGGTGCACCTGGGCGACGTGTACGACGGCGGGCGGTACCGCGTGGTGCACAAGCTGGGCTTCGGCGGGGCGTCGACCGTGTGGCTCGCCGCGGACGGCGGCGACGGCGGCGGCAGCGGCAGCGGAGACGTCGTCGAGAGCCGGTGGGTCGCGCTGAAGATCGTCGCGGCGCGCGCCTCGGCCGCCGCGTCGCACGTCTCGGCCACCGCGTCGCTGCTCTCCCCCTCCCGCCTCTTCGCCGCCCCCGCCCGCCAGTTCTGGATCGACGGCCCCAACGGCCGCCACGCCTGCCTCGTGCTGCCCGCGCTCGGCCCGGACCTCTCGCGGCTCGCGCGCGGCGTCGACTCGCGCCTGACGCCGCGCTTCGCCGCCCGCGTCTGCCTGCAGGTCACGCTTGCCCTCGCCCAGCTCCACTCGCGCCGGCTCTGCCACGGAGGTAAGATAATAATAATAGTAATAATGATACCCGAGCTGGGAGCCGCCGCCCGAGCTCTGCCGAGCCGGAGAGAAGCCGCTGACCCGCCGCCAGACCTCGCCACGAGCAAGATCCTGCTGCGCCTCGAGCCCGAGTTCTACGCGTACAGCGAGGCCGACCTGGTCCGCGTCTTCGGGCCGCCGCGGACGGCCCCGCTGCGGACCTGCTCGGGGAGGGCGCCGGGCCCGCGCGGGCCCGACTACGTCGTCGCGCCGCTGGACTTCTGCGCCCCGAGCACCAACCTGCTCAGCGGCGAGATCTGCATCCTCGGCCGGGGCCAGCCCTCGACCCCCCCGCCGGCGGCCCCCCCCGACGTCTGGGCGCCGCACCTCGCGCCCGAGGTCGCCGTGGCCGGCGGCGCCGGCCCGGCGTCCGACGTCTGGGCGCTCGGCTGCGCCATCTTCCGCATCCGGTCCGGCGAGGACCTCTTCTGCGACACGGGCTGCGCCGACGACGGGCTGCGCCAGATCGAGAGCGCCCTCGGCCCGCTGCCCGACGCGTGGCGGGAGACGAGGTTCGACGGCGAGGGCCGCGCCGTCGTCGGCGACCGCGGCGAGGGCGAGCGCGTGCCCTTCTGGAGCTTGGACGACGCCTGGCCCCTGGAGGACCGCGTGTGGCCGATCGCCGACGAGCCCCCGGGCCTGTTCCTCAACGGGCGCGGCGAGGCGGCGGACGGCGTCGTGCCCGAGGACGAGGCCGAGCGCAGCGCGCCCTACCCGCCCGCGTTCGCCGGGATGGTGTGGAAGCCGACCGCGGTTTCTGTCGACGGATCTTACCTGAGCAACTACTCTGACGAGGAGACGGAGGTCTTGCTCGAGGCGTTCCCGACCATCCCGGAAACGGAGGCGGTGCTGCTACTCGACCTCTTGTATCAAATCTTTACCTACGATCCTGCTGAGCGCCCTACGGTAGAAAAGTTGTGTCTGCACCCTTGGTTTTCTGTAGCTGCGGGCCGTGAATGGGCGCCTGGCTGATACTTGGTAATAATTAACGATGACAATGCACTCCTGGGGGGTTGGGGGACCTTCCCATCTTGGCCTGTCGTCATTCCGATTTCCCAGGAATGCTTTGGTGCCGAAACCAAGGGAAGAGGGCGAAGGCAGATTCGTTGTAGACGCATCTCCTTTCATTGTACACTAGATAGAGATAGAGATACACAATCTACTACGGGGCAGTGCCATCACCTCTAGTCACCCCAGCTGTTAATGTTCGCGGCCCGTTGGTAAGACGGACGAGGTCTCTTATCAGATCAAGTGGCTGCGACACCTAGATTCCACGCGGGAGCCGGAAGAGGCCCCTATGTCAGAGACGTTACCAAGGGAAGCCGGAGGCACCCACCTCAGGGGCCGAAAATGTCAAGACACTCGCATTTCCTCGCTTGCATATGCAGGATTATATCAGTGGTACCTTTTACCAGTCACAGGACCTAGGCGAAACAAGCCAGTGTATTCATCGCCTAGCTATCGGTATATGGTCCCAGTCGTGTCCATCATCTCTCTGTCCGCTGCGGCTTCGTCTGTGCCGTTGGTCTTGCCCTTCGGACTCTGCGTGGCGCTGTCCGTTCTAGGCGTGCCGTTGGCTGAACGAACACCGATATCCTCTCCCCTCCTGCGAGTATTCTCGAGGATGAACACGGGTGATTGCGAGTAAGGATTGTCCTGTTTGCGCAGCGGGTTCTCGACATAGAACTCCGCCAGGACCTGGATCGCCCTCGCGCAGTGATCCTCGTTGCCGCCAATCGTCTGCCACCACGGATCGCCGTCGACGTCCTCAATCTGCTCGCCGGTGAAGGTGCTGGAAAAGAAGATGGATGCGATGGCGATGTCACGTGCATCCATGAGGAGCGGCAGGGCGGTTAGACAGGAATCGTTACAGAATGCCCAGGCTGCGTGTCGTAGGTTCTTGTTATGGATGACGCCTAGGCGACCTAGGAAGTCGTATAGCTTGAAGTGCGGGCTGTCGACCATGAGGTCGAAGGTTAAATTCTCGAGCATGATCTCCTCGAACATCAGGATGCTGTCACGCCATCGCCAGTATTCCTTGGATTGCTCGTCGACGACGAGCTTCGCGTTCTTCTGGGCGACTTTGGCGACGGCGATAATAATATCTTTCGTCTTGCGGCAGTTCTCTTCCGTCTTGTTGGCGAGGAACAGTGCCGTTGCTGCGATGTTCTGCGTCATGGTTACGATTAGTACTAGACTTCACGGCGCGGCGACAGCGTGGCCCGGCTCTTCGCACGGGACATCGGGAGGGGAGAGGCTGCAAGGTTGGCTGCATCGCGGGGAGACGTACGTAATGATGGATTCCGTGCTTCTCTTCCACCATGCTGCTCCTCATGAAGAACCGGTGGAAGAAGACGCCGGCGACGTAGAGAGTGGTCTGGGGGAGTTCGAGGAGGATGCCGGCTTGGTAGATGAAGTTGACGCCCTTCGCTCGCCTCAACCTCTCCTCTGCGGGGGACAATCCGTCTAGGATGCTGGGGCTGCTGAGGACCTCGTCCTGGGTGAAGAACCATTGGTTCGTCGTGGCGACTGGCGTCGGCGGCGTCGAGCGGCTCGGGGACGGCATGCTTCGTCGCGACTGGGGTCTCGGGGGCGAGGTACGCGACGAATTTGTGGGCGGTGAGGGAGCAGGGGGGGGGATTTCGCGCTTCCGGGATGGCGACTTGGAGGCGCTCTTGATGGGGTTGTCGTGAGATGGAGGCGCGGCTGGGATCTGATAGGTTTCTCGCGGAGGAGGTCGGTATCGGTCGATGCTCGCCATGGCGGGAGTACCAAGGGAGAAGGGGGAGGGAGAGAGGGAGGGGAGGGGCGAAAGGGATTGGCGGCGTCGGCAGTGCAAGTCGCAAGTCGTGGGCAGACCGCCGGAAAGGATTATTCTAGGGAGCGTTGATTGACGTGGGTATCTCTCGCACAGCTCGGCGAGGCGTTGAAGGGACCTCTCCGGTCGATGTATCGGATTTGGTGCTTACGTAGAAAAGGCTGGCACGAGGCGGCGCGGAAAAGAAAGATGGGAAAATGCGAATGCTACGAGGTGGGCCCGGTTCTTGTTCAGAAATCGCCCTTTCCTTCTTGGTCGGTTTCGCCTTTCCGACGTGGCTTCCAATATAACCTGGCATCCAATACCTACATATAGACGAGACCGGTGTGGGGCCGAGCCTATTACCTAAGCCCGCCGCACCTCCTGCAGGTGTTATTACGTAGGTAGTACCCACCTTCCAGCGTCCGTAGGTACGACAAGCCCTCATAAGTCACCTCGAGAGGTACATGCCGTTACGAGACACAGGAGGTACTCGTCCCGGGGAAGAGGTCGAACGATGTACCTAAGGCGCCTTCTCCGTCTTGTAACCGGTCGAGCATCCAATGTACCACCCAATGTAATACCACCTAATGCACCACCTTCAAACGTGTCGCAACCCCAAAAACAGATGGTACTTACTATTACCTACCCTCCAGCTCCAGACGATACATGCCTCCTTGGGTAGGAGATACCTACCTCTAGGTAGGTTTGTACCTATCCTACCTACCTCCCGCTCATTGAGTAGGTATAGATGCCTTACAGGTAGTATGAGTTTATGTAGGTGCCTCTCAAGAAGTGGAGGATGTACGTGTGGGCAATGCAGCGTCTCCATGCATGTACATGTAGCATCGACCATCCGCCATATATGCACGTTACTTAGGTACCTACCTCTTGCCGACCTCAGGGCACGTGCGATGGGCAAGATACTCACAGACACCTATGCTTGGGGGCATCCTGCGGGTATACACACTACCTTCGTGTCTATAGGGTATCTACATATAACAGCTTACCGCCTTCGCCCTCCTTATTACGCAAGCTCCGCGTCTCCCGTCAGATTCCCCCGCCGTCGTTGCGGCCCCATAGCTTGACCGTCCTGTCGTGCCCGCCGCTCACGATCCATCTCCCGTCTCTGCTGATGTCCACGCTCGCCACCGGCCCCGTGTGCCCCTCCAGAGTCTGCACGAGGGTCCAGTCGTCGGCCGAGAAGATGTTGACCTTGCGGTCGAACCCGCTCGACACGAAGAACGTGCTCGACTTCTTGGGGAGCTGGTTGCCCTTGTCGTCGAGCCCCGGCGGGTCGCCCGTGACGGGGTCGTCTAACCCTTTGTACCACCGGAGATCGGAGACCGCGCTGCTGTGAGCCCCGATGCCGCCCGTCCTCTGCACCTTCCGCACGTCCCAGCATTTGATCCAGCCGTCGGCCGAGCCGGTCAAGACCCGGTGGCCGTCCGAGCCCCAGTCGATTCCGTGGATCGGCTTGATGTGCCCGTCTCCGTGCCCGTCCAGGATCATCACCGTCCTCCCGGACCTCATGTCCCAGATCCTGCCGATGCTGTCCGTGCCGCCACTCGCCAGCAGCGACCCGTCCGTATTGAAGCTGATGGCGAAGACGCCCCTCGAGTGGCCTTCTTGGAGGAGCAGCTCCGTCGTCGATTCCACGTCCCACAAACGCCACGTAGTATCTTCCGAGGCCGTGGCGAGGTACCTGCCGGAAGGGTGAAATTCGACTCGGCATACGCGCTGGCCGTGTCCCTCGAGTGTCGAGAGCGGCGTGTCTTGGGTCAGAGACCACAGGTTAACCTGGCCATCGGCAGCTCCCGAAGCCAAATTGACCGTATCTGGGGAGACGTTGCTCTCGGGCAGGGTGGCGCCAGGATACCACGATATCCCACCGACTCGAGTGGCATGTCCACGTAGTGTGAACTTCTCTTGCAGCGTGGGGATTTCGATCAGCTTGATGGAACCTCCCCAGTTCCCCGCCGCTACGAGCTGGCCGTTCGGTGATATTCGCGTCATGCTGACATTTCTGTCCCCCGCCGTCTGGCTTCCCTGGAGCTCGAATGCGTGCAAGCACTCCTTGATCTGCTTGCGGAACTTGACATGCGTCCGCAACGGTATGGAGGCCTCCAGTTTCTGGAACGCTAATCTCCGTTTCGCCCGTGGCAAGGAGAAGCGTGCTATCTGCTGCCGCGCATGGAGCAATTCGTCGGTTCCCATGGTGTAAAACTCCTCTTCCTGGTCCTCCTGGTCCTCCTCGGGCGCGTCCTCCATAGCTACGTCTGGGGTCTCGGTCGGGACCTGTTCGGACTGCAAAGTCAAGAGCTCCCTTAACCTGTCTCGCCGGTCGGCCGGGCCCTCGCCGAAGAGCGTGATAGGCTCTCCGAGCTCTCGGAGTTTCGCACGTACTCGGCCATCGTCCGTAGGCACTGCAATGGTGGCGGCCCGCCTCTTTCGCTCGAACTGTGATAATATGGCTGACGCTTTCTCGGGCGCGATGCCGGCGGCGGTGGAGGGAATGTCATAGTCGCGGTCTTCGGGGACCTCGTCAAGGCTCATTCCACGTTCCTACGCGGGAAGGAGGTCAGCTACCTGGCTCTGAGGAGAGACGGGCAAACCGGTGTAGGATCGTACCTCTTCCGCCTCTTCGACGTATGCTTGCCGCGATGGGTGCATCATACTGGGCAACTTCTGGTCGATCGGCACGGTACGAAATATGATGCTAGGCGGACTATCGAATCTGCTTGTTTTAGGGATTCCAACTTCGAACTTGGGCCTTGAGCGTTGGACCTTCAGGTATTACGGCTTCAGGGGGGGTGTTTTTTTTGAGTACGTCGCGCCGAGAGCGAGGTTAGCAATAAGCGGGACGCGAGAGTAGTGGTCAAAGCTTCGGATTTCGGTAGAAGGTACCTATGTAACTATCTGCATTGACCAGGCGACTTCCCTCCATCGAGAGGTATTAGAGGCCACGTACCTACCTAGGTACCTAGGTACCTCCTACGCCCCTACGTAAGCTAATCTTAAGTACCTAACGTAGGATTATCAAGGAGTACCTAATTCATTTTCAGGGACATTACATCTTCCATTTCTAGGTACCCGCCCGGAAAGTACCTAAAGAGCAGTCTTTTTACTGACCGTGGGACTCGGAGGCATAGGGCTTTGGTTTTGACGTGGACGGCAGGCCATCATACGAGTTTTTGGAGACATCCGGCTCTTTGTTAGGTAATTGTATCTGTTCGTGGCTACCCAGGTAACCTTATTGTATGTGCCTAAGGCGCTGAATTAGATACCTATTATGTATCGACGCCGTGCCTACTTCTCTATGTGGGCACGTTGCGCGCGGCTTATATGTATCCACTCGGGTATAATGTACAAGATAGGCAGGTCCTCGTAAACGACTACCTAAGGTACCCTGTACGTAGCTATACATATTCAGCTGGACCCGGGGGCAGCTGGAAGCCTGAGCGGCTAATCACGGGCAGGCGGTACCAGGTCCAGTTGGCCCGGTTGGGCACCTGGGGAAGGAGCTTGCGATTCCTCGACCACCCCTGCCCCGCCTAACCTGGCCGGCTCTCCGTACCCCGACTGGCTGCCCTAACATGGGGGGGTGCACGGGGCTTTACGTGCAGCTGAGGATGGTCGGGAGCAGCGGATATATACTCTATATACCTACCTCTATATATGTGTGTGGTGTGTGTGTGTGTGTGTGCCTGCTCAGGTACGCCGAACCATCCCTATAACCCCTAATTACATAGATAGGCCGACGGATGTAGGGGTTGATGGGAAGCGAAGGCACCTGCAGCTGGAATTGCAGGAACCGTATATATGCCATGTATATACGAGGCAGCGGAAGGGATGAGAGAGAAAAAAAAAATTAGAAACATTAAACAAATTAAATAGGTGGAATAAAAAAAAGGAACCGCGGAAAAGTTAGAAGGAGAAGAGTTCAAAATTAGCTTCTGAAATTGAGATCCGCCCTACTAGATCCCCACTAGATCCCTCCCCAAGACACGCCCCGAGACCCCCCAAAAAACAGGACCCCCCCTTCTGAGAGAGGCGCATTCCGGCGCTACTCACACACCATTTGTGGGTACACTCCGCTCCACACACTTCACTAATATAATCCCGTGTTAGGCTTTTTACCGTCGCTGACCCTTCCTCTCTTTTTCCCTCCCTTCTTCTTCCTCAACCACCACCAAGTCATACGGTGAACCCCATTTTCGACCGCCTCGACTACGAAGAAAGATCCCCTAGAAAGCTACGCGACTGCCAATGCATCCGCAAAACAGCTACGACAAATTCGCTTCATTTCTATTCCACCCCCAGATGCTCATCCCACCCCCCCAGTCCACACACCCCGACTACCTTCGCGAAGCCCGCGCTGACGCCGAGCGACGACGTGGCTCTGGCCTCCCTTGAATCGGGGTGGGCTGAGCATTGGTCCCTTCTTGAATTCTGAATCCCTTAGATTTTATTAATCCGCTAAAATTACCTACCTACCTACCCGCAACTCGATCGAAATAACCAACCGACCCCGAGGGCCGAGTACTCGTCCGCCCCGACCCCGAAACACGATGCTCCCCCCAGCCGCTCCCGCGCTCACCACCGTGCGTGGTTTCGTGCCCACCCCGATCGTGTCCGACGACGAGGACTCGATCCACTGCAAGACCCCGCCTCTCTCCGCTCGCCGCAGCCGCCCAACCCGCCTCGACGATGTGGTTAGCGCCAACTGCAGCCCCATCCTGCGCGGCCGCAACTCGCCAGCCGTCAGCGGCATCGCCAAGCTGCGCATGCAGCTCGAGCCGCTGAGCCTTAACGACTCTCGCGCCAGCACCATGATACGGACTCGTAGCAACAGCCGCCATCGCTGCCTGAGCACCTCCAACAATAGCCAGATCGGCCACAGCGACGACGACGTCTCCGAGAATGGATCTACTAGTTACGAGGTTCAGCTGGAGCATGATTTTGTCAGCGAGAGCCTGCGCGAGAAGCCCAAGTTCGGCGCCGTCGAGGGCGGCCTGGTGCCGAACCAGAAGATGCAGGCCGACGACTTCGAACCGCTGCGCTGTCTCGGTAAGGGCACGTACGGCACCGTCCTGCTCGTCAAGCAGCGCGCCACAGGTCGGTTATATGCGCAGAAACAGTTTAAGAAAGCATCCCTCGTAGTACATAAGAAGCTCGTGGAGCAGACAAAGACGGAGCGGCAGATTCTCGAGTCTGTCAATAGGCATCCCTTCGTCGTGAAGCTGTTCTACGCCTTCCAGGACCACGAGAAGCTGTACTTGATCCTCGAGTACGGCCAGGGCGGGGAGCTGTTCACCCACCTCAACACCGAAAAGATGTTCCCCGAGGCAGTTGCCGCCTTCTACATGGCTGAGATGGTCCTCGCCCTGTCCCATCTCCACGACACCCTGGGGGTGGTCTACCGAGACCTGAAGCCCGAGAACTGTCTCCTGGACTCGCTGGGCCACCTGCTGCTGACGGATTTCGGGCTGTCCAAGGTTGCCGTCGAAGAGGACGCGGGCTGCAAGTCTATACTCGGCACGGTCGAGTACATGGCGCCCGAGGTCGTCCAGGGCCAGAAGTACGGCAAGCCTGTCGACTGGTGGTCGCTGGGGGCGCTGGGGTACGACCTCATGACGGGCAACCCGCCCTTCCGCGGCGGCAACCACGCCAAGATCCAGCAGAACATCGTCAAGCAGAAGCTCGTGCTGCCGTACTTCCTGGGCCCCGACGCCAAGGACCTGCTGACCCGCCTGCTGAGGAAGGACCCGGCCAAGCGCCTCGGCTCGAGCATGCCCCGGGATCTCCAGATCATCAAGAAGCACCGGTTCTTCCGGAAGATCGACTGGAAGAAGCTCGCGGCGCGAGAGATGGAGCCGCCGATCCAGCCGATGATCACGGACCCCGAGCTCGCCGAGAACTTCTCGCCCGAGTTCACGGAGCTGTCGCTGAGCCCCGTCGTCAGCCGCAACCCGTGGAACGACCCGTCGCCGAGGGAGGGCCCTTTCAAGGACGACCCATTTGGCGGCTTCAGCTTCGTGGCTTCGAGCAGCCTACTCGAGAACAACGGGTTCGCATTCGACGAAAGGTCAGGTTGATTGATCTCTCTGGTCCGATCGAAGATCACGACCACGGCCGTATTTACGGTCACAGTCGTGGGTGCGCGTGTGGAGGAAAGTGTTGGGCGATTTTGGTGTTGAGTTCATTTCTAGGTATCTTTACCGCGGGAGTCTTGGCAGGCGAGGACGGCTCGATCAGCGCACAGGTGGCCTGGCCGAGGTCCCACCCATACCCGTTATTGTTTTTTGCATGCGTGAATAGGATGGCGAGTTCGGGTTCTAGAACGGCATCCCTAGGCTCGAGGACATGACGTTGCGCGCGACACGCCGGCCTAGTTTCGACGGCCGCGTCTAGTCGTATAGTTTCCTAAATTGATTTTGTCTATCCACCCCACCATAACGCCCGTGTACGGGGGTGTGTGACTCGCGCCGTAGATACTGCTGGCAAGATCTCGAGGCCCATGGGGTGTGTAGAGACCGCTTCTTCGTCGCGGGATGTGCTTGCCGACTCGGTAGGGCTCGGGCTTGGCACATGGTGGGTATATGTATTTCGAGGCCCAACGAAGCCGGAGGCAGTCCGTCTGCTACGGATGACGCTCACTGCTTGATCCTGTCGCTGCAGCTGCTACAGTCCGGTCGTATGTTAGGTGCGTAGACGCAGCGAGTGCGGGCTCGATATATCTGCGCACGTCTTACGAGACTCGCTTGCGGGGGGAAAGTGGTGTGAGGTAGGAGGTGTGAGGTAGGAGGTGGACGGGAGGCCGAGGCGAGGGAGAGAGAGCGAGCGGGCTTGAGATTGGGCGTGTCTTGCTACACCCACATGTCCGGACATGCCTTTCCTCCAAGGGGTGTCTCTCTGTCTCTCTCTTCTCGCCTGTGTTAGTAAGGCCACGCAGGCGGCGAGTAGGATGGATGGGTATGAGGAGATGCTCGGAGAATCAGTAACGAGGCAAGGTGTGCCACGACATCGCTATGAGTAATACCGGATGCCGCCGTCGGGGGAGTTGCGTTACTCCTTGATAGGCAAGTGCCTGCGCTAGGAAGTACGTAGTAGGTAGGTACCTTAAGTACCGGAAAACGGAGACAGGGAAGGGCAGACAGAGAACGGACGAATCACGGCGGCCCCAAATCCAATCCATTTTCGTCCGAGGTATTTCGGGGTGTCTCCCTGGGGTACCTCAGAGGCAGTAGGGTGCCTAGGTTAGGTAGGTTGGGTACCTAAGTCTTGCCAACCCCGCCCCCTGGCGATCCCCTAGCCCCCCCCAGCCCGGCACTCGCAACGTCCCGTCTCTGTCCTATCCCTGTCCCTTATCCCGTCCCATCCCACCTCGCTCTGGATTCTGCACCCGCGTCTTGTACACCTTAGGCGCAACTTCACACCTTGGGCGCACGATCTGCCATCGCCTCTTACAAATAATCCCATCCTGTTCTTATCGCCATGCTTCCCCTGTCGTTGTCCTCGTCGTCCAGTAGCACACCTGTCAGCCACACACACAACCCCCGTACTTGTCTCGTCTCCATGCGTCGCCTGCGTTGGAAACACCCGTCCGTCCTATCCTGTGCCGCCTGTGCGAGCGTACGCGTAACGCACCTCACCACGCCTCTCTTGGCCGCCGCTGACCCGCACCAACGGACGTCCTGGGCTTGCGCGACCCCTGCTGGCTCACAGGCTGGCGGCGTGGGGGGAGGGGGGAGAGAGGGCGCCAGGGCCAGGTCCTGGTCCCATCTCCGCGCGCCGAAACGAGACATGCCGCGGCGCCTCTCTTCCCACCTCCCCAAGTAAACCGGTCTTGCCGCTTTTGCCCATCGCCGGGTTAGCCCGGTCGGGTTCCTGTTCGGTCGCTGTCCCAGCCAGCACGTCGCCCGTCCGTCCGCTGCTTCGCCTGGTCTGCGTGCGCGGATAGCTAACCCGGACAAAGCCCACCCAGCTACCCAGGTAACCAGGTGGTATATATATAATAGTGGCTGGCGGCGAATCGCACCTACCTGCGTCAGCTCGAACCTCCCCATGCGCCTCGCCCCGTAATTACGATGATAACTAAGCAGAGGCCGTCTCCTGGGCTAGGCGGAGAGCACGTTCCTAGGTTGGACCGCGCTGCCGGGACGAGACGGACCCGATAGCTCTTGGTATACCAGCATGGCACGGACGGACACGCGTACTCGCAGCTCAGCTAGAGTTGTACGCATGTGAGTGTGCTGTGCCGGCCCCTCTAGAGCCAGGACTAGCGGCCGTGATCGACAGCCCGCAGATAAGTCGGTACGTGGGCGGGCTGTGCATACATGGCCCAAGGAGACAGACAACAGACACCTCAGGTCGCTAGTTGGACGGGTAGATAGATTCCCTCCTCTCAGGTCGATCCGTCCATCCCACATGGAATGCTTCTAGACCCTTCTGCCAGGCCCACCTACTGGCGCGCGCAGCCTCAACCCTGGGACGGATATCAGAGCAGAGAAGTAGTAAGTGCTTGGTAGGTAGGCAAGGTAAGACGTGCCGATATAAGCCAAGACGCGGACGGATTCACAAACTTCACACATACACACGCACACACCGACAGACATCAAACACGTCCAAGCCGGGACAAACATCACATCAGCCCCGGCCAATGCCAACTTTACATCTCCTCCTCCCCTCTGCCGCACGACGACGCAACCCCCGGTTGCTTATCGGGCTTTATGCGAGACCACACAAGTAAAAGGGCCCGGGGTGGTACGCATCGCGCGCAGATCTGGATGCTACGCCGCCAGCACCACTCACCATCCTCGGCTGTTCGCTGCCTCCTCCCCCCTCTTGCTATCCAACTCCCTCCTCATACCTACCCGCCTAATTTACCTACCTGTCCGCGTTAAGCACAAGTAGAGGGTGCGCGTACATAGACATATAAGTCAGTAGGGAGGTAGTAGGTATGCTACGATGCGCGTCAAGCGGCCAGTCCCCCCCTTCCCCTTGGCCCTCGTCGCTTCTAGGGACCCAGCCGGTAGATAGACACATGTATGCCACCCACCGCCGCCCACGTCTATCCCGACCCAGGTAGCCGCGGCGGCTCGCTTGTAGAAATATCCGCGACGCAGGAGGCCAGGGCACGGCGAGTTAGCGAGAAGAAGAGTTTTTCTTTCCCTCTCTCTCCCCCTTCTTCTGTGCACCGCCCTCGTACGTACGTACGCACGCAGCAGACTATACCAGGGTGAGCTGGCTAGGAGCCAGCGAGGCAGAGCTTGGCTGCGCGGAGAAGCAACCGGAATAGCGTAGGGCAGGGCAGGGCGGGCGAATAAGCACACGCCGGCAAGGTCGGGGCAGGCTGATCTCCCCTTCTCGAGACCGCGCGCCGAGACGTGAGCGGACGAGCGAAGAGTTGAGGGGGGGAAGCAGAGACGGACCGGAAGCCAAACAAGTTTGTTGAGAGCTGGGGAGGGCGATCAAGGGCGCGGATCGGTACGTGTGTGTGCGCGTATAGTTAGCGTCTTGTGCACCTCACTATCCGCTCCCGCGCGCGTTTGTGAGCCTATCCACCTAGGTAGACGCAGGCCAGCTGGGCGATGCTGGGACTTGCTCTCCTCATCTATCATCTATAAAGAAACGAGCCCCTTCTCTGCCGTCACCCCTTGCTAACCATGGACAGCCTGCCTACCAAGTCAGGTTGTAGGTGGTTATCATCCCTGCGCTCCCACCCACCCACACATCTGTGTACTAACCACATAACGGACCTCTCAACCCGCTCGACGACTATTACCTGCGCTTGCTTCCCTCCCGGCTTCCATTCTCTTCTGCTGCTTCTTACGCCCTGCTCCCTTCTCCTTTCTCTCCTCTTCGCCCTAGATCACCTAGGTAGTCGTCCTGGAGAACACCTACTTAGCGGCTCGTCGATAGACACAAACAACACCGGAGGAGGGCGTGGAGCATCGGACGAATTTTGACCTCTCAACGCACAGCTGTTCTCGGAAGCTTGAGAGGGGACAGAGAAGCGAAACAAGGCAGGGCAGGACTAAGAGTTGTGGTCTAACGCCGAAAGCCGCGGGCTGTCCGTCGTTGCACCACCACACACCTACAACATCGCTGCCCGATCGAGACATTTCAAGCGACGGGGTCGTTCTGTGTGCTGTACGAGCGTGCGGGTCGAACGAGTCCGTGGCTGAAACTGCGCACTGCCGATACGATTATCGACGTACACACTTGCCAACGTCGGAACCGGAATCTGTCCGAGATTCTTCTTCGTCCCACGGGCAACACAGGAAGGGATATTTATCTGGGCGTATCGATCTTCGATCAGGGCCTTCATTTTTTCCGTCAATACTCCAGTCCCAACTTGTAGAAGAGCGTTGCAGAAAACAGCACACAAAATGAAGGCGCGATTTTTAGCCGTGGCAACAGTATGTAAGTTGAGTCTCCCCTGCTCGCCCAATCTCTTCAGATGGAAATGGCCGAGTTGGCAACCCCCGTATACATTGTGAATACCGTTTGTCAACTTGCAGATACGCGTTAAAGCTTGAAACGGAGTTTAACGATCCTGAAGGGGCCATATTGGGCTGACCATCGTACCAGCTGCCATCACGTACGGTATCCTCGCCTCTGCGGCGCCGGTGCAATACTGCCCGACACAGGATATCTGCTACCAGGTAGCAGTGCCGGAGGCCTCGGCCTCCTCCAACACTGGTAACATATATCTGCAATTGCGCGCGCCGTCGTCGTACTCGTGGATCGCGTTGGGTACGGGGACGAGGATGGCGGGCGCCAACATGTTTGTCATATACGCGAATGGCCGCGGAAACGTCACAGCCTCACCACGCTTGGGCACCGGGCACGCCATGCCCCGCTACGACAGTGCCACGCAGCTCGAGCTCCTCGGGGGTAGCAGTACCAGCAACGGTAGGATGGTGGCCAACATGCGTTGCGGGAACTGCGGCTCCTGGTCCGGAGGCTCGATGAGCCTGTCGGGAGACGCGACGGATTGGATCGCGGCATGGAAGGAGGGCGATGCCATAAACAGTGCCGACCCGGCAGCCGGCATCCAGTATCACGATGACCACAGCGAGTGGCAATTTGACCTCACGCAGGGCACCGTGGCCAGCGACGCGAATCCCTTCGGAACAGGACAGCAGGCTGACAGCAGTAACCGGGGCATCGCGGGGAAACGCAACCCGGTTGACCCTCGGGTGCTGATCATGAGCCACGGTATCCTCATGGCTATAGTCATGGTCATCTTATTCCCCCTAGGCTCTGCAATTATGCCCCTGTTCGGTAGCTGGATACCGCACGCCTTCTGGCAGTTTATCTCGTTCCTGTTGATGTGGGCCGGCTTTGCGGTGGGCGTTGTCAGCTCACAGGAAATTCAGCTGGTATGTCTTCGCGGATATCACCCCCTCCCCAAGTCACTCGAGTAGGAATCGGTCTCTACGATGGGAACAGGAGCTAACGGAGCCGATGTCGATAGGATTTGACCTCGAGCCACACGAGCTTCGGAACGGCGGTGGTTTGCCTGATGACGCTACAGCCAGGCCTAGGCTACTTGCACCACAGATATTTCGTCCAGAATCAGAAGCGGGGCCCGATCTCTCACGCCCACATCTGGTACGGACGAGCGCTTATGATTATGGGGGTGGTCAACGGCGGGCTCGGCATAGCTCTTGCGGGGAATCAGAGGACGTTCGTAATCGCATACTCAACGGTGGCCGGGGTCATGTTCGTGATCTACGGGGGTGCTGCCTTGTTAGGAGCCCTTCGACGTCGCCGAGGCAGAGTGGGCGGCGTATTGCAAAAGGACTCGTAAATGAGCGTGAATCTGCGGGAGAGTATATCCTGCTTCTGTCTGGATGGTATGAGATGGATTCATGTTGAATGGTTTTTATGTTTGGACGGGCAGGCCATGGGTATTTGGGATTATCTGGTGCTTGGCTTACCTACTGGCGTGTGCACGTAGGTATGCAGCACTCCTCACTCCGGGACGGCTTCCTCCATACATAGGAATGGCCGGTCTTGTCCGCAGTCGCTGATTTGGCCCACGATGAGGGTCCTGCTCTAATAATAATAAGAGATACTTATCTTGCCCCGACTGGACGACTAGAGAAAGGGAGAGGGCGTGGGGTGCTGCACGTTGCACGTTGAAAGTGGGCTCGCAAGCAGGATAGTGGATAAATCGCATCTATGGATGGCCATCACAGGCCCCGTCAGCATACCCATGCTATCGTAGGGAGGGTGGTCGCTCTCGAATTGGTTCGTGGTATTGGTTCGTGGTATTGACTCTGGAGAAGGGATCTATGCTTGCGGGTAGAAGCGAGGTCGATAGAGTGAAGTGACGTGAGGTGAAGTTGGAGCGATACTGAGACTTAATGCGCAGATGACGTTACATAATACCTGCAATAGTGGATAGCTATAGCTATAAGAGGTTGTACCCAAGGCACTAACCTTCAATGACGTGCTATCTAGCGTCGGATAAGCTTATATAAGTGTCTATGATGAAATAATGAGGCAAGAAATGACACGGGTTATATGCATGTATGCACATATACGGAACAGAATAGCGTATTAGCGCATGGCTAGCGCCATGGTCCGTGTTTCACTAAAGGCTATCCCTCCACGTGACTCGGTCCGCCCCTCTTCTCAGTTAGCTAAGCGCGCTAGGCCTGGGATTGACGAACGATATCCAACGGAAAACCTCAGATCGCAAAAGTCCTCACCACACAACCGCCCACTCTCTCCTCCTACCTACCACCACCACCACCACCACCACCACCGACCTATCGCCAAAGACACACCCCTCCGTCAATTGAGCATCCTATTCCACTAGACATCATGCTCGCACAATTGAGATCTTCGGTATGTTCATCATAGCCTATATCTCGAAAAACAAACCCCCCGCCCTCTACCCCCACAAAAAATTACCAGAGGGGAAAAAAAGAGGAGAGGAGCATCACTGACCATGTTTCTTCCTTTTTCCCGCAGAGTGCCCGATCGGCTTTCTCAGCCATCACCCGCGCGGTGAGGGTAAACGCCACTAGAGGATTCATCGCCCCGACTGTCTCGAGACGAGGTAAGAAATCGACAGTTCCTTAGGTTCATGTCTACGTAGTCGTTGTGTATACCGTGGCTGGTGGTTGGTGCCGAGAGGGGGAGAAAAATGCTGGAGTGGGATGATGGAGAGAGAACCCTCTCGACTCCCCCTCCTCCCCTCAAGTTGGAGATGCCCTCAACCCTACCCACCGTCCCATCCTAACTCTCTTCTCTTGCGAAAACCCGCAAATACCTCTTGTTTTTGTTTTTTTTTTCCCTTTCTTTCCTTTCTTTCCTTGCCTATTCTTGAAAAAACATGTACCTCCACATACGTTGTATATGCTCGAATCCAACCACCTATCCGCAACAACTAACAAACATCTCCACAACAGCCGACTTCGTACAAGAGCTCTACCTAAAGGAGCTCAAATCGTACAAACCGCCACCGGTCAAGGAGTCCGACTCGGTAGGCCAGGTACAGACTTTCTCTGCCCCGAAGGCGCCCAAGTCACCCGAGGAGGCCGACCTTGCCAACAGCCTGAAGGAGTACGAGAACATGGTTGTCGAGGTCGAGGGCACTGACCCGGCCGCCGCCGGCTCGTCCACCCCTGCCGCCGTCGAGGACTGGCTGGTGCTGGAGGACGACGAGGAGGAGGGCGCTCACCATTAAGTCGGCTAGCCCGCGAGGTAGAGGAGCATCACCACCAACACCAACACCAACACCGAAATAGACAGACGACGCCATGTAAGAATCAGCCTTTGCAGAGTACTAGGTAACTCGACGCCGGAGCGAGAGGGTAACGAAGGATGCTGCGGTATAGTAGAGAGAGATGGAGAGATACAGGGAGGCGAGCACTAGTCAAGAGTGCGCCGAGAGAAGGCAGAGAGGACGCGAGGCATATAATGCTGTGCCGACGACGGGCCGGGAAGGTAACCCCGTGTACATCTACGCCCAGGATCGCTGGCGCCCGAATCATTGACGATATTTGATTCCGATAATTTCACACACATCCACACACCACCCACACAGAGATGTTCATATTTTTACGTTTTTACGCACCTGCTTGTTCTCTTTCCCAATGCCTGTCCCCTCCTCCTCCTCCTCCTCCTCCTCCTCCCGCCGTCGTCGTATGTGATTGATTAGCTTGTGGTAGCTAAGCCGAACTCGCAAGCCGATCCTCTCGGTCGAACGGGCTACCTACGTACTCGACCGGCTCCCTGTGTACTTTATGTATGTATGATGTATGTATGTACCATAGTTCGGAACGCCGCGGCCTCGACGCAAACCACCCCAGGCAGGACCTCGGGGGTGCGCTCTCCGCCGAGCGCAAAATATAGCCACAACTCCCCTCCGCAGAACTCCGGTCCAACCGTGCGCACCCCCGTCGCCCTCGACTTGCCCCATCGTCCCTCCGTGCCACCGCCACCGCTGCTGCCGCTGCTGCCTACATACGCGCCCTGCACACCCGCACCCCGGCCAGCCGGCCAGCGATACGACGAGAGAGTAAAGAGAGTAGGAGAAAGAGGGGGGGGGGGGAGGGAGAGTGTCCTCCTCACCGGCTCAAGCTCGCCCCCGCGCTGCGCCCGTCCATGCCGCCTCCTCGGCGCGCCCCCCCTAGCCGTCGCGCCTCGGCTCGCTCGCTCGCTCGCTCCTGTGGCTGCCTCCCTTGTTCTGCCCGCCTCTCTTCTTCTTCTTCCCCTACCCTGCTACCCAGCGACGGCGCGGCAGACGCCAGCTAAATCTTGTAGTTACGCACCCGGAGCATGTACGCAGGCAAGTCGTCGTCGGTATCTCCCGATGCGGATGATGGGTAAGGTCGCCCCGTACGCGCGTATGCTATGTAGGTTGATATATGATGGAGAAGGGGGGGGGGGGGGGGGCGAGGGGGGAGAACGTATGGGCTCCTCATATCACTTACTATATAGCACACGCACAAAACATATATACGCGCGCCTCTCGCACAAGAAGCGCTGTCTGCCTGGTTGTTCGTGCAATGAAATACCTAGCTAATAGTAGAATTCAGGTTGAATTCCTAGCGTACTAGATAAATGACTTGAAAAAAAGAACTAGCTAGGTTGGCTGGCTAGTCAAATCCCTCCATCCTCACTTTTCTTCCCTTTTTTTTCTTCGTAGGCGAACACCAGCTCGCCGGCTTCCTTACTCGATTGCTCCGACGTCGGTGGCGTCGCTGCCGACTGCTTACACCGTATCACGAACACACAAACTCGTAAGGAACCACCACGACCGACCCGCCTGATCAGGGAAAAGTGCGCAAGTATGCTCAAGTGGCACGTGAAACCACCTGGCCTTCGCCCGCCTCGCGGTCGACATCCAAATTCGGCACATTCCAACGCAGAAACCAGAATTCCAAATAGAAAAGGGGAAAGAGAAGGCGGAGTCAGCGCTGTGTATGCGTGTGGGCGTGTGTGTGTGTGTATGTGTGTGTGTGTGTGTGCGTGTGTGTGTGGGGTATGTTCATGACTGGCCGATCCCCCCTGCGTGACGTTGTCGAGTTAGAAAGAAAAAAAAAGAGCACAAGGTTCGTTCCGCAAGTTTCCCGTGGTCTCGTGTACGTATGTGCCATGGTTCCTGACTATTTGCAGCCGAACGCCCGTACCACTCCGCAATGACCTGAAAAGAAAACCTCTGCCAGCCGTCATCTCATGCAATAATGCCGCCCCATGCTATGATGCCGTGGACAGAATCTCAGGGAAACAGTCGGAAGAACCGCTATGAATTTCGAGGATAAACGTGTGCGTTCATCCTCGCGCCGTACGGCTGCGGACACAAGAAACGCGAACGCAGGGTCATATGTCGAAATGGGAATCACCAAACGCCTCCTCATTAGTGCTCGTCCGGACGATGCCGCTCATCCTATTTGCCCTCTGGAGATCGAGGTCCTCGAGATCGTCCCACTCGCTGTCTCGACGATCTATGTCGTCCATATCCTCGTCAGCATACCTTCCCTTCATGTGATCATCTAGCGAACTTTCGTCGACGAAAGTGAAACCGTGGAAATTGGCCTGCGTCGTTGGAGATAACGGCGTCGACGTGGCGAATCCGGCCGCCAGCTGCTGCGCGCGCTCGTTCAAGGAACCGTTCGTGGTCAACGCGTTCGTGAATTCCGGGTCGAAGTAGGAAACGTCCGTCTCGGACTTCAACTTGGGTTTGAAAGGAGGTGTGATGAGCTTCTTCGATAGAATGTCCCAGTCTACGTCCAAGAAGAAGGCGTGGCGCTTCAACTCTTCCGCGTCGTCGATGGCGCCTAGTCGGTGTTTCGGGTTCCTGTTAAGTAGGCCCTTGACAAAGTTCCTCCCTTCCTGCGATAGCGTGTCTCGCGGAAATCGGACCTTGCCGAAGGCTATGTTCTTGTACATCTGCTGCGTATCCTCCGCGTAGAACGGGCTCCACCCACAGCACATCTCGAATACGAGGACGCCGAGGGACCAGAAATCCACCATCTTGGTATAGCCAGCCTCATCTAGCAAGACCTCCGGGGCTAGATACTCCGTAGTCCCGCAAAACGTATTCGTGGTGTCGTTCTGGGTCAAGTTCGCCTTGGACAAGCCGAAGTCGCAGAGGGCGATGTGGCCGTTCGCGTCGAGCAGGATATTCTCTGGCTTCAAGTCGCGGTAGACGATGTCGTTGTGATGTAGATGCTGGATGGCTAGGATGAGCTCTGCGATGTAGAACTTGGCTCGCTTTTCGTCGAACCGGCCCTCCTTCTGAAGATGCCAAAAGAGCTCACCGCCGGACATGTAGTCGGTCACGAGGAAAAGGTCGTTCTGGGTCTGGAAAGAGAACTTTAGGCCGACGATGAATGGCGACTCCGACATGGCTGTCCGGACGAGGATGTTCCGCTCGCCGACCGTGTGCGCCACCTCTTTCTTCTGAACGATGACCTTCTTCGACAGTACCTTCATGGCGTAGATGCGACCGGTGTCCTTCTTACGAACTTGGTAAACTTGACCAAACGTGCCCTTGCCGATTAAACGTAGAATTTGGAAATCGTCCGGGCCGTAGTGCTTCTTCTCCGTCTTCTGGTAGACGGCTTCAACAAATATCTCGCCGGTCGGGGTCTTGTCGGGCGTCGTGTCGGCATTTCCCCTCAGGGAGAACCAGCCTCGGACTGGCTCGTCTTTGCCAGGGGCGGTCGCTTGGAAGTCCACGTGGCCCAAAAACTCCTCTCCTTGCGTGCCGTGATCGTAAACCGAGATGTCAACTAGCATGTCTGAATCAACAACATCACTACCGGATAGGGTTAGTTCACGAGTCCGGAGGGTGCGGATCGATCTCGACGAAATTTTCAGGCACTCACAATACTGCTTCGGCGTCCCACTTGGGACTCGTAAATGACCTTCGCGGGCGATTGCGGAAGGTATTGTAGTCCGTGACGCTCGTGTTACTGCTTTGGCGACTGCGCATGGGTATCGCCATCGGGCGGCCCGAATCGCTGCCCTGGCGCTGTATGGCGATTCCACCCATGGCAACGGGCTGTGCCGCGGGCTCGTCCTCGTCCTCGAATGTTTGCGGACCGTGCGAGATCAACTCGTTCCTCTGGAACACGGCAACGACGTAAGGGTCACGGCTCTTTCGCAGTCCTCGCGCCTCTAGGATCTTGACGGTGAGCTTGCCCCGCTGCGGCGGCGCCTGCGCACCTCCGGTCTGGGACGAGACGGGCGTTTGCGCACCACCCGTATCCGAGCCGTCCCCGCTCAGTTTTGACGGTGATCTTTCGCTATGCTGGGACGGTTGGGCGGCCGAGAGCGTTCGAGTGGGCGTCGACGGGCCGCTCTTTCTCGAACCAATATCAGTTAGCTTCCTGAGTCGATCAATCGACGCGGACGTAGAGTGAAAACTACGAGCATCGCCAAAGAGGGGTTGAGAGTCCGAGGGGGAACTGGGTGTGGTTGTAGAGGCACGACTGCCGGGGATGGACAGATGACTGGCGAGAACGCTAGATGTAGTGACTATGCTCATGAGGGGGGCCGCCAAGGTGGCCCTCCGAGCTTTGAATTGTGGGAGATCTGAGGTAGCCTTTTTGTTGTTCAGAGAAGATCGACTCGACTGGCCGCTAGCGGCCGCTTCCGAATCGCCGCTGGCGTCAGACAGCTTGGCTCCCCTTTCTGATGGTGTCTGGGAACGGGGAGGCGTAGGGTAGAGATAGATATCGGATGGCGACTGCCGCGAGGCCTGCACACACGCCAAGGGTTCGGTCCTCTCATGTGCAAGGAGAGGCGAAGATTCTGGCTTGAGGTCCTTGCTCAGATCCGATTCCAGACTCGATAGTCGGTGGTGAGGGACGGTGCTTAGATCCTTCTCTTCCTGGGGAGAGGCAGGGTGCGTCGACTCAGTCTCCGGCGCTCGGGGTAGAGAGGGGCGACTTAAAGAATAGTGCGAAGAGTAGGTGCAACGAACCTGGCCAAAGTAGCTCATGATGCCCGGCAATCGCTTGTCGTGGAGATCCGGCTGAGGCGTGGCCACACCGGATCGAGGGGTATCATAACCAATTTGGTCGGCCCCATCGTCCTCCGTCGTCGAGGTCCTGACGAACGTGTTAACAGCGATCATTTTCGGGACATCAATACAAGTAAGTAAGCGAGAGGGGGAGAGAGAGGGAGAGGGGGAAAGAGGGAAAGAGAGACGTGGCTAGAAGGCCGACGGAAAATGCTGTTGAAGATGTTATGATGCAAAGAGGAATACCAAAAAATTATCAGAAAGGATGCATATTAAACGGACGGTGAGGGGAAGCTCGCGAGGCAGGGCATTGCGAAATTAGGGTGTGGCATAGGGCGTATCCGGTAAAGCGCTCTCTAGGGAAAACACTAGGGGACCTAGCTACGTAGCCGGGTATCCATCGATGCGAGATGGCGGGCGAGGCGGGCGGGCAGGTGGTTAAAAAAAGACGAAAATTTCACGAGCCATTTCGGCCAGCCGAAGATGTTGCTGGCATTCGAAGCGACCATCCACAAATACCCATGACACTCGCCATGTGGGAGGGAGAGGAGGGGAGAAGGGGGGGGGGGGAGCGGAAGTGGGGGCGTTAGGGGGGTGTTGGAGAGATGGATCGACGCCAGGTGGGGTGAGCGCAGAAGAAACCTAGACCGAGAGAGAGAGACAGAGAGAGCAGCAACATTGGGCTCCCCTGCGGGACCCGAACGGATGAGTCCAGGAGTCAGGCTTCAACACGACAGCGCTTATAAGCCTCGTCTCCCAGGCCAGACGAGACCCCGCGCTCGTAGCTCCCAGCCGGCTGCAGAAAGGAGCTGGACCTGGTAGACGTGGAATCTGTTCCTTGCGAGCATCGGCGGCCAGCCTTGACGGTGCGACGTAAGTAGACTACGATCAACCAGCAATGCCAGGAGTACCTGCTGGGCAGATGCGTCTCGGACATGTAGCGGCGGTATATTGGCGGGAGGGCAGTGATGGCGGCGGGTAGCAGTAGGGTCTGTGTATCTGGGTATGGTGTCTGCCGGTGACGACCTGAAGACCGATGACGACTGGGGATAACTCGAACAGAGGACGAGCCTCATCGGTATCCCTGGGTGTCCCTTACGATAATGTGGGAGGGATGATCTCGGCGTAACCTCGCATCCGTTTGCTGCTGGGTAATAGACGGCCAACCAGACCAGGGTAAGGCAGGAGAGGGCGCATAGCCGTCGGCGGTAACTCGCCCACCCAGCCGGGCCCGGTCTGTCCGTCTGTCTCTCTCTGTCTCTCTCTCATATTGCGGCCAAGTTGGTGGTTAGGCGGGCAGGGTAGATAAGTACCTAAAATAGCCAGGGTCTAACTGTAGAACGCCCTCTATCCTTCCTCGGGTAGTGATCCGTAATGCGAAAGCAAATACTGGCTAAACAGAAAAGGGAAACAACCTCGGTGGAGTTTCGATAAGGTTTGCGATAATGAGACGGGAGGAAATAAGAGAATAGGAAAAATACATGTTATTAAGGGGGCCGGGGCATTCAGCACATCTCGGGTACTTGGGCCGGATTGAGATAGGGAGGATGCTCGATGCGGGAGGAGGGAGAGGACGAGGTAGGATAGAGGTAGGACATGGATGGGCGATTGGGGTGATCCGATCCCGACTTCGAATTGGAGGGGGGGAGCAGAGACAGCGAGTAGAGAGGAAGAGATGCCCAGGGGGAAAAAAAAAAAAAGGACAGATACAGGAAGACGGGGATAGGGCAGTGGCGGTAACAGCAGCGCGCGTGAATCAATATAGGCACATCTTCCCCTCCCTCCGGGGTTTCTCGTCTTTCTCTTCCTCGCCCTCGCCTTCGGCGTGGTTCACTTACTTGGACATCATCATGGCTTGCGTTGCCCGCCGAAGCAGGTCATGTCCTCCCTCCGAACCCGACATGATGGCGGGGGCGCCGAGGCAGAGTTAATCTCTCTCCGACCTTAATGGCTGGTTCCCGGTCCAAACGGTTCCTGAACTCTGTCGAAAGCCGTCCGCGGCTAGGGATGGGTGGTGCACGACGGATGTGGGCGTGGTGTTGATCAGTAAGGAGATGCGCGCATGTATGTATGTACTGTGCTGGGCCGGTCGGGATGCGAAATGGCACGAAACCAGTAGGTACCGGAAAAGCTCACGCGGGCCTTGGTTGGAGACTTGAGGTTTGACGCGAACGTGGGGGTTTAATTTTTTCGGGAAGAAGCTGGAGGAGTGGGAAGATGGGGAGAGGGTGAGAGAGGGAGAGAGAAGAGGAGAGAGGAGAGGCGATGTGCGTGAGGGGAAAATAGTAGAGGTATCTCTTCCGTCTGTGGTCCTTTTCTTTTTCTCTCTTCCTCCCCTTCCTCCTGTTCCCCTGCTCGACGAGATGGACGTGTCGCGGGCGGGTGGGAGCGGTAGGTATGGCGAAGGGAGCAGCACGTCGCAGTCTCGTATGTAGGTAGGTAGATAGGTAGGTAGATAGGTAGGTAGGTAGGTAGGTGGTGTGGTAAGGCGGGAGTAAGTGAGTGGGAGTGTGTATGTGTGCTAACGAGAAAGAGAGGGAAATGTATGTACGCATCTAAGGTTGAGCGTGTGGCTAAATCATGTAGCAGGTAAGGTGAAGGTAAGGCAAGGCGGGGCAAGGCAAAAGGCGACGTGAAAAGCCCAGGTATAGTGTGCAAGACCGCAGGGTAACTCTGGAGGTAGGTAACAGGTAGGTATTATGTAGGTATTCCAACGGGGCGGCCGCGTGTTGTCGTGTGGCGTTGTATGTCGCTGGCTACAGAACGCATCAGAAGGGGGGGCCTCGACGCCTGGGGAAATCCCATAATGGGGATCAATACGGCGCTGAACCTCTATATACATTAGGTACATCTGAGACAGGCGCCGCTCCGAGATTTAACCTTAGGTACCTCCCGTGTGGGAATTCCAACATCGGAAAAGGGCGTGTAGCTTCGTCAAGAGAAGTACCTACTTTTGTCTGCATAGGTACCTCCTAAAGCCTAAGTAGGCATATGTTTGATGCATGTACATACTTACGTATACCTTAGGTATTTAGATACTTGTAACCAAAACTTCAATCAGGGCCCCTAACCTTAAAGATTACTACCTCCTCTATGTGCGATTCAACTCAGGTACCTAAGTACCTAGGGCACCCTCCCTCCAGACCCATCCTTATAGAGGTACCTGGCAAGTAGGTATACGCATACCTCTTAAGTACCTAGATACCCAAGATAGGTAAGCAGGTTATGTGCCTAACCGGGGATGCCCAGTGGCTGGCTGGTTGACTCAACATGGGCTCTTCCGGTCCCACCCCAGCACTACTGGCGGCACAGCTGGCCCCTTCCATCATAGTCCGCCGGATGTTTGGCTGTGGATGGATGAATCTGATATTGTACGTGAGGCAGCATGGCGTACTGGAGGTATTAGGATACCTGACATGTAATTGACATTTCTGACCTGTGCCTTTAGGTAGTCCGTCTTCGTGACTTGTCCCATTCTCTAGGGGGTACTTAGGTACTCTCGCTGTGAAGGCGTGTGTACATCGGGTATAAGAGAGGTTATGTACCCTACCTTCACTGCAGCCAGGCAGCTACCTCCTCCTCCAGGTACCTAATCCTGTGAGGTAGGGACTGCAGGTACCTACCTTTAGGTACATACCTACCTACACACCTGCCCAGGTCGAGGTGCCGTAGGTAGGTGGCTAGAAAGGGTACCTGATCTGCCTGGGTATATTAAGCCATTTTGACCTGCATGTAGGTACCTCCTACGTGCGTACCTCCAGCTACCTTAGAAGATACCTCTACTTCTAAGGGGGCAGCCCCAGAACAGGAGTATGCCAGGTACGTACCTGGATACCTCTAGGTACCTTATGGAAGTTAGTTAGATACGGTACATCTTTGGGATAGCCTATACGTTGCCTCCCCTAAAATTAGTAAGGTTCGGTACCTGTAGAGACGGACGGACTGCGTACATATGAGTAGATAAGGTATTCAAAGTTCTGGAATCGGATGAATATAAGTAATGCGAGAAGTACCGGTGTATGTACCGTCCCCACACTAGCTGACCGGAACAGTTCGAATTACCTATTATCTACTACCTATATCTGTATAGCCTCTCCCCCCCCCCCGCCGACTTACAGCGAATACATACATAACATCCTCTCAGCTACGGAACGCGGCCCTGGCGCAGGAGGGAGGGGAGGAGGAAAGACAGAGAGAGGGTCCCTACGGCGGGGTCGCCTCCTAGGTCGTGTACGGATTCGATAGGTGGTGAGGCCGTCCACCATCCTTCGCTGGCGCCGTCAGGGACCAAGCCCCGATCTACACTACGCCCTGTACGTGGCAACGTTGGGCACACCGATCGATTCCGGCTGTGTCCCGCCCCTTTTCCCTCTCTCTTCTTTCCCTTCCCTCCAACCCACCCGCACTTTTTTCCCTCCCTTTCCCTCCCGACGCTCTGACGTCTTTCGGTGGCGGGGATGGACATGTGTGTAGGTCGTAGTAGGGGTAGACAGGTGGGTAGACTTGGCAGCCATGTGGTATTGGGAGGTCGACGGCAGCTCAGGTAGCTTACGTAGCGTATGGATGCAACATGCGCGTAAGTGCGGGCGTGCAAGTACATCGGATGCTGGCTGACGATGCAGGGAGGCAGAGGCGCAGAGGCAATGAAATATCTTAGTGATAATTCTGTCATCGCCCAGGGTTGCTTAATGAGATTCCGCGCTCGAGGAATCGATACCGAGATCAGCCGACTGTCACAAGTTCCTGATATGATGATTCGGTCGGCGTAGCAAGAAAAAACGGCGACCTTCGGGTACTTGCTTGATCTCGAGGCCTCCCCCTTTCTCCTCCTCAACACCTCCCCCTCACCCCCCGCCGGCCTGCGTAGGTAGGTACTTGGGCCTTCTTCGCCTCCGCCTCCGGCGTCTCCTAAGCCCGTCTGGTATTGGCGTGTACTCACAGGTTTGAGAGGTGTGTACGCACACATGATCTCAGCACGTATGTTCAGGACATCTGCTACTGCGTATGTGCATACCGTACCCAACGGCATGCCGGATGGGGAAGGCGATCGCGGCTAGACCCAGCTAACCGGCCAGAGGTGAGCCAGATCGATGTCGCAATTCCTGAAACCCAGCGACGATGCGACGGCCTCTGTTAGCAACCGGCCTGACGGGAATTCCCTGCCACCAAACCAACCCAGAGGCGTGACAAATTGGCCGTAATTGCGCGCGCAGATGTCAAACGGAGACCGGGGATGCGACCGCATTTTCCCAATGGCAGGGCTGCCGTGCTATCTGAACATTCGAAGATTGACTGGTGGAGAATTCCCTCCACGCCTCACCAACGAATATTCGCCGGGGCCGGCAGAGCTAGGTAGGTTTGTAATCCAAACTAGGATCTCGTTCTACTACACATGTGCGTGTGCGTGTGTGTGTGTGTACGCATGGAGGTCGGCATGCTCCCGCACGCAGCTAGCTAGGTAGTTAGGCATATGTCACCGTCGCTACGTTAAAAACAAGTTTTCAAGTGTCCCGGTTTCATATGCAATGCCGCCGCAGGGACAGGCGAGCGATATCAGCATCCGGAGGGAGGGGCAGAGGGTGAGAAGCACGAGATTTGCCATCGACGGTCCAACGACATGACGTCTGAGAGGAGAGGGAGAGAGATGACTACCACAGGCACGTACGTATAGCTACCTACCTACCTACCCGATATACGTATACCTACCGGCACAAAAACACGTCCCGAAGAGATCCCCGTTCATCCCGTCATTGGACGGTTTCGTTGGTGGCGACAACCAAATTGAGGCTGTCTCTGGCCACTCTTGACAGTTGCCGAAGCTTCTGTGCAGGAGAAATCCTCAAGTTGCGGTGTCGACGCTATTCTCATAGTTTTTCTTTGTGTTCTGGTTTTTTTTTTTTCTTCTCCTATTTACACATGTAAGCCTAGCATACGGCAACGCGGGGATCCTTCGCGTAGGCAAGGTCGAGGTGGGATTGGATATCATTACCGCGGCACGACAATAATTCCATCTAGGTGAAGAGAGGGAGGGGAGGGCCTCGAGGGCTGGGAGCATACCGGTGGTTACTAAAATGGCGGCAGCGTCTATCATCGCTAAGAGGTAGCACTGGTAGTAGCACGCCAGCATCTTCTCCTCCTCCACCTCCTTCTTCTTCTCCGTGCCACGCCATGCCACCCAACCGACCCGACTCGGTCTGTAAATAGGCGGGTTTCCTCCCCCACCCCCCCCTCCACCCCTGCGTCTTTTGTGCTCGTAGAAAGGGAGGGCGACAAGAAGTACAAATTAAGAGGCGGAAATAAAAATAGAAATAAAAACCCGACAGCAAGCCGGACGAAAAGTTACCGGTTCCCAAACTACGTAAGATCCGTACTAGTGAACCGGGTTTCCAGAGATCCCCCTCCGTGAATCTTACGGCCTCCCCCCTCCTCATCGTGGCCTGCCAACCAAGCTGAGGGTGTACGCGACACAGCCTATGGCTAATGGCTCCGAGACAAAAAGAAGTGCCTACGATCTCTTTGCTAACCCGTCCTACCGCCGACTTGCCTCTCCCCGCCCTTCCCAGCGCGCCAATAACACTGAGCTGTGACTAACAGGCACTGTCTTGACGTGTACCCACATACTCTCGGTGTGCCCTGGAGATCAGCCCGACAATCCATTCGACGCGTCGCATTGCATATACGGTATATTAGGTACCAATCTCCCACCCAGGTATGTGCCTAGGTGTACCTCTGGCTTCGGCGCCCTCTGCGGCCCTGATGTGTCTCAACACACAGCGTGACGATCGTATACTGCATTACCTACCCACCTACATACCTACTTTAGGTGCCTTAGGAGGTAGGTATAATGCATACCTACATAGGTACCTAGAATACAATATTGGCTTCGACTTTGCCGTGTGTCTGAGATCGTATAATCCTCCCTTCCAGTTATTACTGGAGCGAATGAACAACTTGACACCGGCCTTACTGCATAGTAGCGCGTAGTAGTAGGCACCTACCACAGACATCCGTGCCATCCATTGGGTCGCCCTCATGGATTCGAGGCGGCGGATCACGTAAAGGTAAGCTTCGAACTCACCCCCCCTTCGGACAGGCGAGTTCGTCCTCTGCTAGAAACGGCGTCGAGGGGGAGGCTTTAATAACTCAGTCACCCTGCCCGCGTCATCAGTTCAACCGTTGGTGCTTCGAGATGGGAAAGGGGAGGGAGGGGTTGCCTCTGGTTGCCTCTGGCTGTCGCTGACCGAGTATTATCTGGCTAGGCTTGAGAGCCACCAGTTGTCGTCCCCGTGATGGCAGAAACAGGACGGGTGTGTGCGATTGAGAACCCATCCTGGGTGCAGCTGCAACGTGTCACACATGAGCGAGCGTCCTTTTTCTTGTGTCTCGTATGCTTGCCGCAACTCAGGCGCGCTCCAGAATACCGATAGATGCAGCCGAACTGTCACACACACGTACCACATCCACACACTCTCGCCCTCCTTCTCGCCCTTGCTTTCCATCTCGTGCTCGCTGCCATGCTCACGCTCTCCCATCTATATGCGCTCATGCACACCTGGTGGTGGGCTGGCGTAGATGGACGTCGACGACCGCAAATGCCGGGGCCATCGGGACTATCTATCGGCACCACCACGGTCTATTCAGAGTCACCGATTCCAGACGTTAGACCAGATGCGGGAATAGGCGCGGGATGGATTGTAGATGCAAGTCGCGGGCTTTTTTTTTTTTTTTTCTCGGACGCTACACCCGCTGTCCATACCCGGCGTTTCGCGCGATAGAAATACCCGCAGACTGCAGATAGATCCCGCCTTTCCTCTTGCATCGTCTGGCCTGGTACCTCCTCGTCGTAGGTAGGTACTTGACCGACGGCACATCGCCTTGTCTTTTATACTTGCAATACAATACTGCCGACGCTCCCTGACTTGACTTAGTCTCTTGGACCGTTGGCCACGCTAGCTATCCTACTCTATCCTATCCTTTAGCAGAAATTTCCAACGGTTCGGGCGCCAAGACCCGACTCTCCTCAGCCCTAGGGTTCTTATTTGCGGATATCCGAGCTTATAACTAACTAGGAAAGGAGGGGGGGGAGTAAGGAATTTCGATCGATCGATAGGGGGTGCTTTACTCAGATGCCCAGGCATATTAGAGTATGGCAGAAGGGGGGGGAGAAGAAGGAAGGAAAAGACTGCCCGTTCTGTCCTGCTAGACGCAATTAGCCTCTTATCATACGACCCTATCTATCGATCTCCGAAGGGAGGAAGAAAACGTCTCGAGCCCTTCTCCCCCCTTACCCTACTCTGGGTCCCCCCCCGCGTCCACCCGAATCGGCGGATCGATAGACTATTCACGTAGTCTATCGTATATCCATCTCAGCGCGCAAGTAGTAAGACCTGCCGCCAGTGGCAAAAATCCCGAATCCACCGGGATCTACTTACGTGTCGCCCTGAGGAAATTTCCCGGTAGAAGAATACCAAAGAGACGGGTAGCGAGAGGAAGAGGGGGCGGGGGGAGGCAAGGGGGGGGATAGAGAGAGAGGGAGCGAAATAGCGAGAGCAGAAGGAGTACAGGATGATGGGATGGGATGTATTGATGGATGGGTGGATGGACGGATGGATGGAAACCCTTGTTGCCATGTGGTAGTGGACCAGAATAGACGCTTGACACGCCCGTCCAGCCTATCCATCCATTGATGTAGACTTACACAAGCCCGCGGTGCTTACTTACGTAGCCCCAACGAAACGGCGCCGCAGCCTATCCCATGACGGTAGATGATATATCCATGTAGACACGGGAAGATCGGGTATCGGGTATCGTCCCCGCCCACCCAAGCCGTCCCGTCCGGGCCAGAGCAGCGTGGTTGAAGAAATTGAGACCGACCTGGGTTACCCCTACGACTTGCTGCCGCTGCTGCTACGACTATTTACTACACCTACCTACCTCCTACCTGTCCACCTGCCTTAGGTACCCATCTATCTCCAACCTGTAGATCTCGTGTAGGTACGCGGGTAAAAATACCGAAGTTCTAGAACGGCGCACACGCGTACATCGCACGCATACATTCCCGACACGATCCCATCCACCGCCCCGTTTGGGAAAGTCGGCTGGCACACGTCCTCTTTTACACCACGTCCTCTTTGGGGGTGGCGCCCGTCGCCTAAGTAGGCACTCGACATACGTATGTACACTTGGGTATTCCAGACCCTTACCGTCTTCCTGCCATTGCCACCCGTGGAAAATTACTCGAAGCGATCTCGCAGAGAGCGGGGGGGGGCCAGGCGACCCTGTGCCGTGACCCGTGCCGAGACGATGGGAACGTCGCGGTGGCTCGTCCTAGTTTTCTTTTCTCTTTTCCCACTTCCTCCCCTTTTATTTCCCTCTCTCTTTCTGGTTTTGGTAGGTAAATCCCACAGTCGCAGTCCCAGGAGCACGAGCGGCGTTTTACGAGTGAATGGCTGCCAGCTAGAGTAGTAAGATAGCACGGGAAAACAGCGATGCCATTCTCGTGAACCAACCCCCACCCCACAGCAACGTTATCATGAAGTCGCCCCGAGAAGGCAGCTCGCGGACTCACGTTTCCCTCTTTGTCGCGGCATGGCTCGTATCGCGCTCCTGATGCGCCGCTGGCGACCGCGCATTGACGACGGAGTCGAAGGGTGGGGAAGGGCGAGGACGGGAGAAGACTGAGGACGGAAGGACACGAATGCATAGGTATAGGGGACATCATCCTCCTATCATGTATACATATACCTACGTGGGTACGGAGGTATATCGTATAGTAAATAACACGTATACTTATATCACTACACCGGGAGTCGCGCCAACAGGTAGCATCGGTCTCCCAACCGATCTGCACCCCAACATTAAGGGCCACCCTCTCAGAGCCCGGCCCGACTAAGTAACCAACAGTGAATACGATGCAGACTGCATCGGCTATTGAACGACCCTCCGACCGGACGAGCCATAGCCCGCGCGTCCTAACACGGACGGCCCCAGACAACGGCTAGCCCCCGTGCGCCGGGTAGGGTGGGGGATCCAGTTCGTCCCGAGTCCCGGGCGTCCGAAGCCGGCCCGTCGGCACGAGCCCGGGTGCCTAGCGGCAGCGGAGAAGATGCGTTGCGGTTCGGGCGGAGAACTTGGGACCGAGAACACGACAAGAAGGCACAGCCGCCTAACTACCCTATAAACTAGCTGGCGACGTCTATCTTCGAACTCGACGGGCGCTCACGTCTTCAGTCTCCTCTGCTCGCCCCACGAGCAGACTGTCTCGTCGCAGTAGTAGAAAAGGGAGCAGAGGGGGGAAAATTCACCCCTTGGGCTGAACAAACAGCGTCCGTATCCAACGCCCGGATGGGCGGCAGCTGTGCAGGAAATCGTGCGGTCCGTAGAGCAAGTCATAAATGGAAGAGAGAGTCTCGGAGAAAGACATCCACACCTGACCGGTATAATTACGGGGGAGACGCTCAGGTACCTACCTACGTAGGGAGGTTAGGTACCTAAGGCAACTACCTCCAGGCTTACCTACTTTACCTACTTTACCTATATATATATATACACACATCTACTAAGCGTGTATGGCTGAGCTCTCATAGGTAGACGTATGCAATCTACGAGCGGATGCAAAGTGCACGTACGCGGCAATGCGCCAAAGGGAAGTAATCAGGTAAGCTGTGGTTGCGTAAGAAAGTTGTACCTACCTAATAACGGTCTACCTGCATATAGCAGTGCTCGACTGGCCAACACACCTATCTACCGTAGAATTCCGGCGGCGCATTTGGGTCTTTGTCAGTCGACCCTCCTCGGCCGGGCCAAATATCCGCCGTACGAGGCGCGACGCAAGCCCACCTCGTAATTGCGCGGGACACGAGAGACGAGGTAGCCGACTCTCGCGCGGGAGCCGCTCTCGTACCGCCAAGCCTATCGCAGCCAGCTCTCTCTCTCGTCTCTCTCCCTCGTTTTCCCCCTTCCCCTCTCCTCCCCCTCCCCCCCTCCTCGTCAGACTAAGGGAGGGGAGGGGGGGAAGCCGAGCCGCAATCACGAGGACCGGCCGGTCTGCCCGCCCGCCTCGCCTGACACGCTGTCGCGACCGGTACGTGGCAGGCTGTCACATGCTGCTGCGATCGCCGCCCGCCGCCATCGCCGGGGGGGGGGGGGGGGGGGCAGCAGGCGTCGTGGGCCCAGCTGACGGGGCCGTGTGCCGATGGCACTTCGGTGAAAGCAGCGCGGGCGACCTCAGTGGCTGCCGCGCAGTCGCGCACGCGCACGCTTGTCTCACCCCGCCCGAGAGGATGTCGGCGTCTGCATGTTTCTCTCGTCGTGTCAGATGCGGCTTGCATGGCACTCAAAGCGACAACCCCCCCGGGGGTGGGCTTGTATTACCTACCTACCTACTGCTTTGCGGGTGGCTTGCGACCCGCACCCGCACCCTGCATAGGTAGATAGGTAGGTACGTATCGCAATCCGGATACAGTGCGGATGTGAGGCTCCGAAGCATCGCCTTACAAGCCGTCGTCGTCAGTCTCATATGTCGTCCTCGGCCGCCGTAGCGCGGAGGCAAGTAGCGTTCAAGTAAAGTAGTGCGGTTTCTTCGTAGTTCGTCAGTCCTCCACGCTACCCTTTTATCGCCCATCCATCCCAATCCTCCACCCGGATATACACCAACGGAGCCCGTGGGAGAGAACGAATCGTCGGTAGCAGCCGCCCAGCAGCGCCTCACCACTAGATCGTCTCTCTCTCGCTCCGGTCCGTCCCGCCTTCGGGAATGTGATTTATGGAGGTGTCGCGTAAAACGTAGATGCCCATATTTAGCTTTGCTGTATGTAGGCATATAATGGCTGGCTCAACTGTTCAACTGCCACGTGACAAAAGGGATTAGGTTTAGGTATAGGTATCATGCGACATCGTTTCGTGTGTGTTGCATCCCGACCTCGCTCTATCATGTCGTGCCGCATCGTAGGTACTTGTGTCGCCCCAGGCTCAGTCTACTTAGGCCGCCGCTCCCAGACACTGAAAAGGGGAGGAGAGATAGTATGAGAGAGGAGAGGCGGCCTGCTAGTGGGTCTATTGGCTTCGGCGTCTCTTCTTCCCCCGCGGGCGCGCGGCGGCGGGGGGACTATCCTGACGACCAGGGGCTTTAGAAATGCTAGTCTTGCTACCAGCTTCGCCTTCGGCCGGCTCCCCTGTAGGCCTATCTACGGTCTCTGTGGTTGGTTCCGCGGCCGTGTCGGTGGCGGCGGTAGTGTCGGTCTTAGCAGTTGCCTGGGAAATCGTCGTAACAGTTGTTATGGTGGTGGTTGTGACGACTTTCAGGGCGCCGGCGGTGGTAGTGGTAGTGATGGTGGTGGTAGTGGTGTCAGCTTCTGTGTCCGTGGTCGTATCGACAGTGGTGGTCGCTGCGGACGCAGTGATGTGAGAAGGAACAAGTTCGTCGATGTCCATGGCCTGGAGACGCTCGTGGCGTCGTTCGAGGATTGTATTTTCGTTATTGACGCAAGTACACTTGGGGGGTATGGAGGATTTAGGAACCTTTATTCCCATTTTCTGGGGAATTTTGGTCGGGTTCTTACGGGCGTCTAGGTAGGGCCGAACCCCGTCCGGATAGGGACGGGCGTTGGCCTGCCCGTCGATGTAGTAGCGCAATGGATCCAGTCCGGACCACCGATCGTTGATCGAGGACACTGGAGCGTCGTCCTCGTAGTATTTTCTGGGAAAGTCTCTGTCGAGGGTGTCCTCGGACGACTTGTGCACCTTCCTGGCCTCGCTACGTTTGGTCGCAAGGTGAGGGGAGGTGTAGTCCCCGTCGTCAAATGACTCATACCCCTCAGACGATTCTTCAGAATCGGATGAAAGAGACGAGGGGATATAGTCGTCGTCGTCGTCGTCGTCTTGGCCGCTCGGATCCGCGCCCCACATCTTAGGGTTAGGTTGTGTTGCTATTTGAAGTCGTTAGAGACCTAAGCCTGTGGTAGGTGGACGAGAACCCAAGGAGAGAGGTTTGATGAAGGTTGAATTCGGTTTTCTGAGAGCTAAGGAAGAACTCGTTGGGGAACAGGCAAAGAGCAAAACCCTAAGTGATGCTCGTGCTCGTCAGAAAGTCAGAGAAGTTCGCTGCGAGGTGGCAGAGAAGATCTGGGAGGGAATACGTCAAGTGGATGGGAGGGGGAGAGAGGCTAGGGCTATTATATAGCTAGGGTTGTGGTTGTCGTGGCTACTACTGATCCAACTTTTTAAGAGTGATTATCCAAGAACCATAAGTATACAGTGATGGAATGGAAGAATAAAATCGACTGGTGTTTGTCGCCTACCCCCAGGGGAGCTGGTGATAATAATGAAGTTGAATCACAACTCATTGACTTGTGCCTTTATTGTACTGTATTAGTGACACACCGCCTTTGTGTGTAGGTGATCCATGGATTGTCTCAAGGGCTCAACACCCTATCTATCGAGTGAGAGAGCCTTGATAGGCACATCGATCCACGACCAGAAGAGATTCTATTTGACAACAGTCCCTCTCTTTCCATATGTATAGTCCGCATAGCTCCTGCTGTGATGGCTGGCGATGATGCTAGTAAGTTCCATGCAATGTTCACGTTAACAATAGCTCTGTATATTATGTATTATAGCTGCTTTGGTAGAATATAACATCACAAATGATCCGGTTCGTCGAATGAGTAGAAGAGCCTAGAGACCAAAACCATTATTGCCGCATGGGAACCAATATAAAACATACATAGCAGGATAGAAAAGTGTGGAGGTTTCCATTTTCTCGTAACTAGTACGTTTATCTTCTAGCGTCTTGTAGTATATATATGAGGGCGTAATCTCATATAATTAAAATTGGAGCAAGATTCATGCGACTGGATCTGGAGCTTAGTTTTCCCCCAGCGTTTTGAATCCATTATCATTAACTGTGGCTTATACAGTTTTGTGAGTTGCTCTATCTCGATATGGGGATGATGCCACCCCTTCTTACAACCTGGTTAGTGTACGGCGGCTTTGATCCCTGAAGGGAGCCATTGTTATATCCCCAACACAATACAAGGCACTGCGAACGAAACTACTTCGGCTAGGTACAAAAGCTAGGCGTTCGATTCTAAGCTATTAGTAATTCGTCCACTTTCGAGGTTCGTTTCAAACCAAGGGCTGGATGGGTTGGGTTAATCCTAGATGCCGTACATATTTAAGTATCCTAAATCGACATAAACCTTCGGAGCTTACGAAGAGCGAATAGAGGTCTTAGCCAGAGCGATGAGATTTTGTAAACGGGCCTCTGTCTCGGTGGTTACGCCCTTGGGATAGTAGTGAGATTGCGGGTGCTTCCGAGGTAGAAGAGGGTCTTCGTAGTCCTCTGTAATAACCGCGCTGTCGGTTAGTAGGCATGTTCGGATTTGGGGAAGGGTTAAGGAGGTTCTCGGGATTGCGATAATATCAGGAAGAGGGACCGGGCCGGGGTAGGGGTGAAACTGACTGATGCTGAACTTCTGATCACTAAGGCGGGCACGCGCAATGTCGAAGTCGTCCTTGGCCTTCTTCTCGGTCCAGGGAACAAGCCTGCCTCCAGCGCCGGAGTCCGGTGTCGGGGCACCCGCTTCGCTTAAGGAGTGGGTTGGCGTATGGAGCTGGCCGGGGAGGCGCGCAGCAAGCGGCCGAGAGGAGCTGGGCGTGTGATGCTGCATGGTGGAAGCGGATATCCAGTCTTTTCTTTCAAAGTGTTGTCAATAGGCGCGAGGCGGGCGTACCATACTACATGTTTAGGTCGTTTCGATGAGTTCTAGGTCATCAGACGAGGCATGCCTCGGAGTGTTTACTCACAGAGAAGAGGGAATGGTTGGCGACGGGTGCTAATGCGATGCAAATTCGAACTAATAGGAGCAGGCTCAGTTTGCCTAGAATTTATTGAATAAGCATAAGTATCCGGAAGCGTAGAATCTCCAAAGAAGTAGAATCGAAACGAGCCCGTCCTCCAAGAATGAGAGTATGTGAGGAGGTAGGTTGCCAACCATTAACGCATCCGATGTGTGTTGGATGTGTGAGGTTGATTGAGATAGGTATCTACATCAGATCAGGTATAAATAGGTGCCGAGTACCTATCTGGCCGGGTACCTCCTAGGGAGATAGGGTAGGTACCTTGGGTACATGACCATGTACCCATGTGCCTGGGATATTGAATGATATAGGTACCTAGGTAGGTAGGTACCTAGGTATCTGTGTACCTAGCCAATGTACATAGGGATGCAAGTATATTACCCTGGTGCCCGCCTCATTCTGATTTATACAGGAACATTACATCCTAGGTACCTCCTAAGTCTGTCAATCCATCCTCAGGTACCTGCCCGTATTGTGTACCTGCCACCGTACAAAATGTGTGGCATATAAGCTTGATCTGACTAGAATGTTGTTTCTGTGGGACCCCACACCCAACGTAAGGGGCCGACCCTGAGCGAACCAAACTTATCCCCCTCTATTAAATCGTCTCTACTCTACACAACTTCGTCTGCCGCCTCCGCGTAAGAACGGACGGCCTAATGTATAGAGCCGCTCCCCGGTCCCACAAGCCGTTCCAGATAAATATACAGAGTAATCCTCCATCGCTGTCGAATCCACACAGAGCACAAGCGACACCCAGGCCAGAGCCCACACAATGGCAAGGAGAACAACTGCCCAAGTCCCAGACGCCTGGGAGGACGAGGACTGGGAAGTACAAGCGGACAAAGCTGCCGCAGTTCCTGACGAGGAGAGAGGGCGTGAACCGTTAAAGGCACAGCAATTGAGCAAGGCAGAGCGGTTAGCACAGCACGCCGAGTCCAACCGAAAACTATGGGAGTCAGCGTATGCACCCACCCTTCCTGTCGCCCCTATACCCGTAATACGGGAGTCGTGAATCGTCCGCTTGCTTACCCTGGCTTCTCTCGCCCTCGGTCCCGACCAACAGCGACGCGCCATCCCCCGAGCCGCCCTCGTTTCACTACATCGCCTCGCGGTCTGAGCCGCCTCTCACCAGCACTTTCAAGCCCGCCGTCACCGTGCTCAGCCGCAAGCCGACGCCTAGCGACGGCAGAAACGGCGGCGGCGGCGGCGGCGGCGAATACGACGACGACGACGCCGACGCGAGGAAGAACGGCGCCCGCCTCACCCCCGAGCAGATCCTCGCCAAGCAGCAGCGCGAGCGCGACGAGAGGCAACGCCGCTACGACGAGGCGCGCGCCAAGATCTTCGGCACCAGCAACGACGGCGCCCCGACCGCGACAACGCCTCCTCCCCGATCGACCGACGGGCGTGGCCCTCGCGGTCGGGCCAGAGGCGGCGGGAGAGGCGGTGGTGCTGCCGCCGCCGGCTACCGGCACAATAACAATTACGACAACGGCAACCAGCGGCCGGGCCCCCAACTCGGGACAGGGGGAGCAGGCGCTGGCGCTGGCGGCCGAGAGCTTTACGACCCAAACTACTCTCCCATGCCCGGCTCCCATTTCGAACGACGGGGCAATAGCCACGGCCGACGCTCCCCGGCTGCCGCCCCGCGGGACGAGAACCAAGCCATCCGCGCCCCGCGTGGTCCGGACGGGACTGGGAGAGGAGGATTCGGCTTTGCACGACACCCCGGCTCCAAAGACAGCTGAGACTAGCTGATTGATTGTTGTGGCTGATTGACTGAATTACTACTACTACTACCGCTACTATTCCTACTACTTCACTTACCACCCACAATCGCATCTGCTGCCGCTACTTCTAATTCTTCTTCTATTTCCCCTTGGGCGGGACGGGGCTCAGGTTTCAGCTCAGCTACCTAATTATCCACTACCACCCGCCGCCGATCTTACCGGCTAATTGGACCACCCTCTCCATTCCGCCGGTCGTAGTCCCGCCCTTGCTGTTCTTACCAACGTCGCTGACTACCTCGCGATAACTCGTGTAGACTAGTCTATCGATATCTATCCCGGTTATATCTCCCCAATGTGCCAGCACGTCACGTATGTAGGACGAAGAGATGCCTCCGACCACGTCACCCCGTCCTTGCAACCGGTCTCCGTTGGTTACCACCCCCTCTAAATCGTCCGAGGAGTCCTCAGCCGAGAAGTACGCCTCGTCGACCTGCGCCAGCCATTGCTTCTGCTCCTGGGCCCCGGGCTTGGATCCTAGTTTCCCCCTCCGCTCCTTCACGATGGGATCGTCCACCTTGATCTGGCCGCCACCGTTTGTACAGCCTCCGGGACACGCCATAACCTCGACATATGCGTACTCTAGCCCGGCCGCCCCTCTACCCGCCGCTCTCCGGGCGGCGGCTCCCGGCATCCGCGACGGCCGCGCCGGCTTCAATCGACGGACTAGGTTCTGAATGTTGCGGAAGCCGTAATACCGCGCTGCCTTGAATATGAGTTCCCCTTCAGCAGATATCACCGTGTACTCGGCGACATCAGCGTTTCGACCGCGAACTGTCTCGATCCGCGACCCGGCGTGCCGCGCCGAGACATACTGTAACGTGTAGTATAGACTGCCCCCCGAGGTCCCCGCGAGCGCGTCCAGCTGGCCGCTTCTCCGACGGGGAGGGAAAAGGAAGTGGTGTAGTATAGGGTCGGGGAAGGGCATCTGTAATGTGTCGGGGACCGGTGTTCTGGATAGTGCGAAAAAATCGATACTCCGCGACTCAGTCAACATCAAAATCTCCTTGCTCGTGATAACGCAATCCACATCCCTGACCCCTCGGCCGTCCGAACCGGCACCTGCCCCGTTCCAGGCGGCGTCTGTCAGCTCCTCGCGACTCGCCTCGAGCTTCTTGTCGAAGCACGGCATGACGGCCAGGTGCCATATGCGGCTTGGCGGGATGCCTAGCGTGCGGCTCAGTGCAGTCTTGAGCAGGGTTCCCGTGAGCGCCTGAGGCGACTTGACGCGCGACATGTGCGGCAGGACGTGCGGGTGCGTCTTCTCGGCGTAGCAGACCCAGCCGGGGCAGCTCGACGCCAGGATGGGCTTCGTGGCGGCGCTGCCGTCGCCGAGCACCTCCTCGGCCCCTAGAACGAGGCACGCTTCTCGCGCCGCGTTCGTGTCCGCAACCCACGCGAACCCGTTACCCCACCGGCCACCGGCCCGCAAGCCATCACGGCCCATCAGCAGCTGCGCGATGGCGCGGCCGGCGTCGCGCTCTGACACCCCCGGACCAGCGGCGGCGGCCAGACTCGCCCGCGTCTGCGGCGACACGCTAGCTACGAAGAGCTTGCTGTCCGGGTTCTGGAGGCCGTGGACCTCAAACGCCGGTTTCGGCCCGCCTCCGGTGGCACCATTTGTGTGGGTATTGCTATGGCTGCCGCTGCGGGGGACTATGCGCAGAGCCGGGGCGCTGTCGAGGACGCTGAGGAGTTCGGCGTGGCTCTGCAGGCTGACGAGGACGGCCTCGGCGGAGGTCACGCAGCCGGAGCAGGCGAGGCAGTCGGTCAGGGAGATCTGGGCGGGCGCGTTGGCGGTGCCGCCCGGCTGTTGGCCATCGAGGATGACTTCGTGTTCGAGAGAGGAGTTCGCGCTTTGCGGTGCGGGCGGGAGCGTCTCAACCGGCTTGATGCAGGCCACACCCGGGGAGATGAAGTCGTTGAGGTCGTCGGCGGAGAGGATCGCCGACATGGTGGGCGGGGGGCGTCTCTGGAGAGCGAGAAGGCGGAGACGAGGTAGGCGGGAAGGGAGAAGGGAAGGACGAGACGGTGGCGAGGCCTCGTCCCCCTAAGGTTGAGGAGGTGGGCAATGCGACGTGATATGATGCGATGTGAGCCGTTCGAGTAGCTGCCCTTTTTGAGATTTTGGTAGAGGTTGTGGTTTAGGATTCGTGAACTAGAGTTTCGCGGGAATCGGTGCGGCAATGGAGGAGTGGCGGTTACTAGACAAGACAGGATAAAGGTGGAACGCTTTCTAACGATCGAACCCTTCTATATCACACTTCTTCTCTATCACGGGAGAGGACCAGGGAGGACGGATACTCTGCAAGTAGGAGGCGAGGAGAGCGCCAGACGAGGGTGTCTTTGATTCGCGGGTAAGTGGGTGGATGTCTGGATAGCTACACTTCCTAGATCGGGGTTACTTTAAGGGCATCGGGGACGGGCTGGCGAGAAAGTAAAGGCCCGGTTGGTAATCGAGAGAGCGACGGGAGGGATGAGGTAAGGATGCATGCTAGCATGCGAAATCGGCACCCAAAGATTGGGTGGCGGTTATGTATATGTAGGCGCCTTCTTTAGTGGGGAGGAGGGAGAAAAAAAAGAGAGGTACCTAGGTACCTACACAGGTACTCTATATTGCTTGGTAATGAAGTACTTGCCAAGGTATATACCGGCCCGGGAAAGTTAAGTAGGAGGTAGGTGTAGGTAGGTACCCTGCGGGGTATGAGATAGCTTAAGTACCTCCAGCCTAGGGTACCCCCCTCTCAACCCTACGTGTACATACCCGTACACAGCTTAGACAATTACCAACTCCGGTCGTCCACAAACCCATACAGGTACCTAAGGTAGTCAGTCTATTGAATATCACGGATAACAATTGCTACCGTCTTATAACTAAGGTGGCCTATAGTAACAATAGCATCCCTTTCCCTTGGCGCGTGGCCCCTCTTCATCTTCAGCCTCCATCTACCTACCCTACCTTTCGCACAACCATACCGGGGCCTGTCTGCGTTGCTCTACACGAGTATTGGTATAAGTAACCTCTGCGAATTGCAACATCGAGGTGTATATGGGTAGAACGTGGGAGACAATCTAACCAGCAACCTCTATTCGCTTTAGAATTCAATAAACAACCTAGATCCCTTATTACTTCCTCCACCTTCGATGCCATGTCGTATGTCACATGTATCACAACATAGAAGCCCACTTTGGTAAGGTAACCCAGGGATAGCAATGGAACCCCCTCCCCTCATAAGACGAATTACGACGCGATTAAATCAGTTGAGAGTGCGTGATCGCTGCTCGAGGAGTCCAACCTCGAGAAAACTAGGCCTTGTTGTTGATAGTCAACGGCTATGTTAGCCAATGGCTATGTTAATCAACAGCTCGCAACTGCAACTTGTTGACTAAGAGGGCCTGCCACTCCCCTGGCATGGAATGAATGAATGGGTCAAACTATCGAATTGCTACCTGTTGATTAGTCCGGGGCGTACTTGCTGCACGGACTCGAGGGGATCAAGGTCTCCGACCAGATCATACCAGGTACTCCTCCCCGGTTTCCGTTGATCGCGTAGAGTGCTAACTGGTAGTAGATGATCTCGAACACGAACTTCTGTCTTTGGGAGCTCCGGCCGCCGGCCGCTACATCGAGTAGGAGATACGCAGCAAGGATTTCTAAGAGGTAATCCATCATCAGTCGTACGCTACCACCCTCACCCGCCACATCCAGGCTTCGCAGCGTAAGTCTCTATACTTCGAGATCAACCATGGCGGCCCGGCCGAGGCATTCCTATCGTGGAAAGCAACGTAGGTACCTTGCAAGACGTGTGAACTATTGAAGTAGTCATTCAATCAAGTTGACGAGAAAAGTCGAAAGAGTTGCCGGAGCTCGCGTAGTGGGACGAGGGGATAGATATCAACGTGCTAAAGGGGGAGGCTACGAATAATACCTACCTAATGACCCAATAACACCGATCAATCGCCTACAAAGAAGCCCCGATTGACGAACACGGCATCATCCTGAAGCTGACGGTGAAGTAGTCCAACCAGCAAAGGTACTACAGCAGCACACACTCCTGTTTAGATAAACCCCTACGCGAGATTTCACGCACGTTACGCGTAAGGGAGGCCGGGAAAAGGCGCTCAAGAAACAATGAGATAATTGCGCTGACGCACCCACCCCGTAGAGAAGCCGAAGCCAGTATCACCGAACAAGAGGGCCTCCGCATAAATGCTTTGCACGGAAACGAGCTGTTACGAGGGGTTTTGTAATCTCCATATCCTCCGGGTGGGGGTATTAACACCAACTTTTTCGGGCGGAGAATCCGGCTACGATCTGGTGGGCATGGCACCGTTTGGCAAGGCAAAAATCGATGCCGGTACTATGAATAGGTGTTAGAATACACTGGCAGTGGTCTCAGTCTCCCAAAAAGAGCCTAGGAATTGCTATGTTACCACTGAGCCTACGAATGGTACAAAATGAAGAGAAGTCGAGTCGCCGGCGTCAGAGACCCGGGAGCAGAAACGACGGAATATTGGCTCGGACGGGGATGAGGGCGAGGCACCCGAGTAGGATAGGGTAGTCACCTAGGAATTGTCAGATTCCCCATCCCCATCCCCAGACACTCTTGTCGACTTCACGCGCCCTTCTCTTCTCAGACCAGGTCAGTTTTACTTTACTAGAGCATCCAGCCGAGCTTTTTGCAACGTTCCGGAAAGAATACCAGCGAGGTTTTTTTCGATGAGTAGCAGTCAGCACATCCGGGATCGTTCCGTTTAGACTTTTCTCCAAAACATGACCCCCAGGCCGCGTGTGTGTTTGTGTTGTATGTATGTGGCGTTGTCGAGTTTAGGGAGAGAAGGGGAATTTGCCTGCGACCATCGTTTTGCCATTACCCTCTTACGTCTCCACGCGGGGTGCGGAAGGGGAATAGGCCGATGCATTTTCTCTTTATTTCCCTCGGTGTGTGTGTTTTTTTTGTTTTCCTTTTCCCTTTCCTTCCCGACTCTCAGGTCCCTGCCCGGCTAGGCCATGATACCTCCGGGCACTTTTCCCATATTCCGCAGGGAGATGAGCACGAAGACACCGACTACAGCAATGACGATAGGCGTTCTGTCGTGTCTCGTCCCCTCGGGAGTTGCTGAGTTGCGTTTGTTGTAGCTAAGTCGACGTACACTAGAGTGGATACGCATGGGAAGCAAGAGGAGTAAGAGGAGGCGGGAGGAAGTCTCATTGATACCTAAGCCTGAGCCTAGACCTTGAGCTTCGAATGAATAAAAAGCTACAATCTCTGCTGGTCTTGTTCCCCGTGATTACCACTGCAAGTAAAGGACACAGCTGGAAGTAGATAGCAGACAAACAACCCAGGAGAGAGAGGGGGAGGGGAGGTTGCAATGGCGAGAACTATAAGCACGGTGGAAAGCGAGGAGAGTATATGATTCAGGGCTTGCAAGGACAGCCTTCGCTCCCCTCAGCCGTGAAGTCGAGGGGCGCAGTGGACTATACACCCATACTAACTACACTAGGTATCCAACTACCTGCCTCCTATCTACGTCTCATCCCTCTCCGTCTAGCCCATCTCCCCTCGGCGCCCCCCTCTCTCGAGCCCAGCGCTCACGCGTACCGCACGACCCCGCCGCTCCCAGGGTCCCGCTGCCGCCGCGCCTCGTCCACGTAGTCGAGCACGTCGATCCAGGACCGCAGGCCCGTCAAGTGGGCGCGCTCCTTCTTGGACAGGAGAGCCGGCCGCGGGCCGCGGGCACCTGCGACTTCGGGGTCGTCTCGCCCCGCCCCCGCTTCCCCGTCCTCGTCCTCGTCCTCGCCCTCCGCCACTCCCCCGTTCGTACTGCCGCCCTCGACGCCTCCGTCGTCGGGGGCCTGGGGGCTGGTACGGGAGCGAGCGGGCGGGCGGCGCGCGTTCTGGGGCGGACGCGGCCGGTGGTAGTACCCGGGCCCGCACATCTCGGTGAGGTGGTGCACGGCGAGCTTGAGGGGCAGCGGCGCGCGCGCGACGTTAGCGAGGAAGACGTCGACGGCGCTCCAGGGGCAGGCGTCTGCGCCGGCGAAGAGCGCCGGGTTCGCGAGCAGCGCGCGCGCCGACATGAGGCCGGCGAGGTGCGGGAGGTGCGGCTTCGCCTCGCCCGCTTGCTCGCGCAGGCTCGACGTCTCCGCGCCGCTGGCGGCGGGATGGGGCGGGACGACGGGGGGCGCGGACGAGAACGTGGTGTAGGGAAGCGCGGACAGCGGCGCGAACACGTCGCCGGACACAACGACGGGCAGCTGCGGCCCGAAGGTCGAGGTCAGCACGGCGAGGGCCTCGAGGTCGACGGGCGCGCTGCTCGGCGTGCGCCGCGTGCGCGGGTGCACCGTAATGAAGTCGACGTTGCGCCGCAGCGGGTCGCCGACGACGGCCGTGACGAAGTCGAGCGTGCGCCGCAGGTCGGCGTGAACCCGAATCTTGACGCTGATGCTGCGGCCGCGGCCACGGCCGGGGCCTAAGGGATCGTCGCCGCCGTCGGGGTCTCCGCCCGCGTGGGAGCCGACGGCGGAAGGGCGATAGGGGGCCGGGTGGTCGACGGCCCAGCCGTCGCGGGCGAGTCTCTCGCGTGTCGCGACGACCATGTCGCGCACGAGCTCGCGGCGGTCCATGAGCGCCGCGCCGAGGGTCGCGGCGCAGGCCCACGACTGCGGGCACCCACAGTTAATGTCGACGCCGTTAACGAAGGGGGCGGCGAGGGAAGCGGCGCGCGAGAGCTCCAGGGGTGAGTTCGCGCCGAACTGCGCGATAGTCGGGGGCTGCGACCAGGGCGCCAGGGAGTGGGGGCTAGGGGTGCCGTCGCCCCCGACAGCAGCAGCAGAAACCCCTCCCGCAGGAGAGGGCGGCCACGATGCGATGGTCAAGTCGCTGTCGCGCGCGACCGAGCTGCGGTTGAACTCCTTGGCCAGGATCATGGGCGTCCAGCACAAGTCGGTGCCGAAGTAGTGGACAGTCTGGCGGAAGGCGAGCTTGCTGTAGCGAACCATGGGCGCGCTGGCGTAGAGCAGACGCCCTTGCGCCCTAGCGATGTCGAAGAGCTTGAGGGGACTGCGAGGAGGCGATCACTTTTGTTAGCACAATGAACCCTGCAACTAGCTGACTATATCGACATATTTGGCTCCAACGACATCACAGACTGACGCATACGGATTGTAAGGGATAGGGGATAGAAGGCTAGCAGGAGTGTCGAATTCTAACACCGGAGGACGTACTGGATCAGGGACGGGAGGAGGAGCTCATCTTGCTGCTCCGGGTCCATCTTGATCACCTAGATACGGGCCGGTCGTGACGAGATGAGGAACCGGCATATTGCAGGCGGGTTCTCTTGCGCGGGCCGCTCAGGTCGATCGACCGACTCCGTCCGTACGTAGTCTGGGAAGATGAGGCAGGATGCGGGATGTTGTGCGGACTTTTGTTCGCATCCGGTGTATAGCAAGAGTCTCCTGACTAAGCACCTCAGGCACTGAGGACAGGATCGTGGGTGATCCTGGGGCAAAAGCTTCAATGTGGGTAGGAAGTACCTTCCATGTACCTACACACTAGAGAAACCTGCCAATGTTAGAGGAGTAGGTACCTACGAGATACTCAAGCCACCCCTTAAAGTTGGTAGTAGGCGCATTCTGGAGGGCGGTTGCCGCGGGGCACATCTATTACGTAGGTACATACTAAAAGCCCCGACATCTCTCGATACGATTGGCCCTGCCACCTCCCTCCTTCACCGCCTGCCGCCCCTGTCTAAGTGCGATGAGGGTCCGTAGATTTTTGCCAGTCCGTACTTGATTTACCGAGAGACTCTGGGGGGGGAAAATCATGGGAAGCTTGCAAATCCGAATATAATCGCCGTCTTAGAGCCTTGCTGTATACAGACGGCTCTGTCGAGAGAGGATCACTACAACTGCCATCGCCAACACTCGAGCAGATCGCAGCGCAGTGCCCCGGCGACACCAATCCCCACGCTCGATGGCCGGGAAAAAGCCTGTCATAGGTCTGCTGGGCGGCGGCCAGCTCGGTCGCATGCTGTGCGAAGCAGCAGGGCCTCTCGGGATACCCATCGCCGTCCTGGACACCGAGGACTGCCCGGCTAAGCAAGCCAACCACAACAACCTCCACGTTGCCGGATCTTTCAAGGACCCGGAGAAGATCAAGCTTCTGGCCTCACGCTGCGATGTTCTCACCGTGGAGATCGAGCACGTAGAAACCGAGGTGCTGGAGGAGATCGCGACGAAAGGGGTCGAGGTCCCTAGCGCCGACGGGAAAGGAACCACGCTGAAAAAGGTGCCCGTACACCCATCGTGGAAGACGATACGTCTCATCCAGGACAAGTTCCGCCAGAAGGAATACTTTTCTAGGAACGGGATTCCCGTTGCCGAGCAGATAGCTATAGATTCAGGAGAAGAGCGAGCCGACTCCATCGACGAGGCCGCCTGGAAGTTTGGCTTCCCCTTTATGCTGAAGAGCAGCAAGGGGTCTTACGACGGCCGCGGCAACTTCAAGGTCACCGGGCCGGAGGACCTCAAGACCGCCATCAAGCAGATGGGGAAGCTCGATGATCTCTATGCGGAGAAGTGGGTACCCTTTGAGATGGAGCTGTCCGTCATGGTTCTACGCACAGAGGACGACGACGGCGACCTCAAGGCCGTCTACCCCTATCCCGTCGTCGAGACCATCCACGAGGACAGCATATGCACCAAGGTATTCTACCCACCACGTAATATACCAGACGATGCCAAGAAACAGGCACAGAAGGTTGCGTGCGACGTCGTAGAGAGCCTCTGGGGTCGGGGCGTCTTCGCCGTCGAGATGTTCTTACTCTCGAATGGCCACATCGTCGTGAACGAGGTTGCCCCTCGCCCGCATAATTCTGGCCATTTTACCAGTAGGTCTATTCTGCCATTATTCTAAGATACCGGTCATTTTGGATCTGCCGCGTTCATGTCCTGTTGCTTTCTTGGACTCTTTTTTGTAACCTGAAGGCGATCTCGTGGCACAGTTGCTGACTCTTCCCCCCTTACTAGTCGAGGCCGTGCCCCAGATGTCACAATATAAGGCCCAGCTCTATTCCATACTAGACCGTATCCCCACTAAGGGAGCGAACCTGACGGCGAGGGTGCCCTCCGCGATCATGCTAAATATCCTTGGAGGTGCCCAAGCTACGTCCCATGATAAACTCGTCGAGCTCGCCGAAAATCCGCATGGGGAATTTACGGATGTGTACGTTCACCTTTACGGAAAAGAATCGAGGCCGGGCCGGAAGATTGGCCATATAACCGCCACGGGGCTCTCCTCGGTGGAAAATCTAGCGGAAACCGTCCGTCCCCTCATCGAGGCCATGGACGCGATTCGACTCGAGCGCATCGGGTCGGATATCCCCACCAAGTCTCAAACGGCCCGGCCTAAAGCCATACCCCTCGTTGCGGTTACGATGGGCTCCGACTCGGACTTGACGACGATGGCGGCCGGCCTGAAGATCCTAGATGAATTCCACGTGCCTTACGACGTCCGAATAACGTCGGCACATCGGACGCCGCATCACATGATGCAATTCGCAGCAGAAATGTCCAAGTGCGGCTGTAAGGTTATTATTGCGGGCGCAGGTAAGCCAACCTAGCACGTGCCATTCCTGCTTAGTACACCTATCTAGGCTTCTCCGACCAAAGGGGGGCGGACAAACGATACGTAGGTAGACAGGGTCGTCGCTAACCCTTGAGGGCTACAGGCGGCGCCGCCCATCTGCCAGGCATGCTGGCGTCGGAGGTGCACATCCCGGTGATCGGGGTGCCGGTGAAGGCGTCGGTGCTAGACGGGGTCGACAGCCTGCACAGCATCGTGCAGATGCCGCGAGGGATCCCGTGCGCGACGGTGGGGATCGGGAACTCGACGAACGCGGCGCTGCTGGCGGTCCGGATCCTGGGCGGGGCGTACCCCGAGTACGCGGAGCGGATGCGGCGCTACCAGGAGCGGATGAAGACGGAGGTGCTGTCCAAGGACGAGCGGATCCAGGCGGTGGGCTGGCAGCGGTATCTCGAGGGTATGCAGAGCAAGTGAATCTTTGGACCGTGGTTGAGGCGATGGAGGTGGGCAGGTGTGATCACTTGGCAGATATCCCTTCGCGATCACCATCTACTACCTACCTTCCCCTGTCTCAAGAAGAATGCACGCACAGTTGGATCAAACCTAGTAGAGTCAATTCCCAAGAGAGGGGGGGAATAGAGTCGACTTGAGAAGTTGTGTAAGTGTAATTGGCCTGCCTTGGTCTTTTGGTAGGTTGGGTTGTTCATACCTACATGCAGGGGCAGCAGCGAATATGCGTGGAGGATGGGTCCTGTGAGGCTCTGGCCTGTGGAAGTGGGTGGGTAAGTATATCGAGACCCCGATGGCTCACCGCATCGCCCTTTGCTCGCAATTACATTGCACTGCCCTCCATGCCCAGGCCGTGAAATGCGATCCCGCAGACCCCGTAGATTCCGGTATGGTCGGCGATAACCTCGCCCTTAACGCCGGCGGAGAAACGAGGATGAAACGCTGAGTTATTGCTTTTATCCACGGCCTCTTCTATTGGGTATCTGATGTGCTTAGTCTTCGAGAAGCACCTCGGCACTCAACGATACTACGCACATGAATTAGCAGCCCCTGCCACAGGTATAGGTAGGTAGTTCCTAGGTAGGGCGCTGAGCATGGGCAAGTCAACCGGATGGTCAAGCCAGCAACGCTTCGGCACTTACTGAAATATAAGCAGTTTTCCGTTGCCAAGCAAAGGATTCCTTCGTAAAAGGTTGCGTAAAATGATTCTGATTGATTTAATGCATCACCGGATAAGTTCCCCCTGGCAGGACGATGCCTAGATCATTTCGACACCCGGCCCTCCAGGCAGGTAGGTATGTACCTACGTCGTTAAGTAGGTAAAATTCGGAAAAAGCCGCAATGCTTAGAAACGTGCCAGGGTCCAATCACGGGCCATAAGCGGGAGCCGAGTGAGATTGGAGTCCCCGAACCGCATGCCCGTGGTGACGATAAAGCCGACGCTGTGGCAAGCAGACGACGGGGGGGAGGAGGGGCGCAGGCCCCGCTCTTCTCGGATTTGAGATCTGAGCGCGTCACAAAGCCGAGCGGGGCCATGACTTTACGGCTTGGCCAGCCCCGCATGTCGACGTCTCGAGAGCCATTACCTGTATTATTATAGTATTATCAGGCACCTAATGCAGCCTGTAGGCTACAGGTGCCTATGGAGGAACTAAGATAGGTACCTACTTGTCCGTTAACGTAGGCGACAGGGAGCCGAGGCGGGACGACCCGGTGTATCGGGAATCAGGGACGCCGACCTGCGTCATCGATATCAATGCGGGCCCCACCCCACGGCGCTACATGATCCTACCTGGCACTCGCCCGCCACAGATATGTACCGACCCCCTAGCCAGCACTCAGACCTCCTCGCGAGGCAGTACGCGCCTCCATCAGCTGCGTACCTGGCCTACTTCCCTAGGTGCGATCCCACTGCCCATCCTGCGCCAGGCCGAGCCAGTGCGCGCCGCGCAGGAGGAGCAGAGTCGAGAGAGCCATGGATGTCGAGAGCCACCTGATCTCTCTCGATTCCCTCGGTCGGCGCTCGAGATAGACCGCTATCCGCCAGCCCCGTCGGATTCGGTAGGTACAGGGAAAGAAAAGCGAGGGGAGAAAGAGAGGAGGAGGGGAGCGGAGGGAGGGCAGCAGGGGTATCGAGCTCGACATCAAGGTACCTATAAGAGAGAGAGGTCTCGCTCCTCATCCGTCACCCATAAGTCCGGCTCACTTCAAACCGATTCGTACTACCACCACCGCTGCCACCACCACTACTACTACTGCTATCTCCCTCCCTTACTTCCCCCCCCTCTCGAAATCGGAGAGCTCGTACTCGTCTACCTACCTGCTGCTTACTTAGCCGTTGACAAGCAACGGCACCGACAGCACCGACAACGACACGCGGAGAGAAAAAGATGCCCACCATCGTCGGCAGGGAAGTCGGCCCTATCGGGTACGGGATGATGGGGCTGACGTGGCGGGAGAAGCCGCCGACGGACGAGGAGGCCTTCGCGGCCATGCGCGCCGCGCTCGCCGCCGGCATGACCTTCTGGAACGGCGGCGAGATCTACGGCCCGCCCGAGCGCAACAGCCTCGTCCTGCTCGAGCGCTACTTCGAGCGCTACCCCGGCGACGCCGACAAGATCGTCCTCTCCATCAAGGGCGGCGCCAACTACGCCACCCGCCTCATGGACGGCTCCCCCGAGAACACCCGCGCCTCCATCGACCGCTGCATCGCCCGGCTCAAGGGCCGCAAGCGCATCGACCTCTTCCAGTTCGCCCGCCGCGACCCCAACGTGCCCCTCCGCGAAACGTTCGAGGTCATCGAGAAGGAGTGGTAAGTTCCCGCGTCATCGTGCTTTGTCCTCGTCTGTGGCGTGCCACTTGTCCATTCCAAGTGCCGGAAACTAGCTAACCGGTCTTTTCTCTGCAGTACGTGGCGTCGTTTTCCTCACTAAATCTGTGCTCTACGCTCTAGGCCAAAGGCCCCGTTTCCCTCTCGGGCCCCACGCATGGCGACGTCCTTGCGCTCGGAGAGCACGCCCTCTAGTCCCGGCATCTAGCGCTAACGTATACAAACCAGACGTCCAAACCGGTAAGATCGGTGGCATCTCTCTCTCCGAAGTCCGAGCCGAGACGATCCACGAGGCCGTCAAAGTAGCCACCATCTCCGCTGTAGAAGTCGAGCTATCGCTGTACGTCTTCTACCCCCCACCCCCCCCCCTTCATCTCTCCATACTTTCCCTACTCCCCCTCCCTGTCACTACCTACGCATAACTAACCCACCCGCCCGATTCTAGCTTCTCCACCCACATCTTCGAGGACGGCGTGGCCGCCGCCTGCGCCAAGTACAACATCCCGCTGATCGCGTACTCGCCGATGGGGCGAGGCCTGCTGACAGGGCGCGTGCAGACGGTGGCGGACGTGTCGGGGCTGCCGTCGCAGCTCGCCGCCTTCCCGCGGTTCCAGGCAGGCAACATCGAGAGCAACCTGCGGCTGGCGGCGCGGGTGCAGGCGCTGGCGGCGCGCAAGGGAGTCGCGCCGGCCCAGCTCGCCATCAGCTGGGTGCGCCGCCTCAGCTCCTGGCTGCCCGCCGGGTCCCTCCCCGCCACCGTCCTGCCGATCCCCGGCGCCACCACGCCCGAGCGCATCCGCGAGAACGCGGTGAATGTCGACATCTCAGACGACGAGATGCGCGAGATCGACGCCTTCCTCAAGGAGCTCAAGGTCGCGGGCGAGAGGTACCCCCAAACCATCCCCATGAACACCTAAGGGGGCCTGGGGTGGGGGTCGGGTGCGCGCGTTGGGAGGTGTCGCGTTGCGCCGGGTCGCCGTCCTTGTAGAAATATCCTAGCCGTTCCAGTCACGCGATAGAGACATACCAATGGAGCCGTAGCGGGGCGCAGGAGCGCGAACTGGATCTCGTGGCAAGGCCGCTCTCTTCTGAAGGGAGGCTAAACTTGTAGTTGTACCTACATATATTGATTATCAATCTCACAACCTAGTTAAAAAACCTCGTCGTCTTCGGCCGCGTAGGGTGTGTCTGGCGCATTGCGGCAAGAGTGAAAGGAATGAATGTTCTGCTCTTACGCGGACTTGCTATCATTAATCGAGTTGCCGTAACACAGTCTGCTAATTTCTGATTGCAGATCTGGGGCGCGTCATATGGTCCACCATAATAACGGAACCACGGCACTGGTCCCATTACTATATAGTAGATATATGCGTATGTGTGCTATTTGTGAAATCCAAACGGCTGCCCACTGGGGCACCGCGTGGGTGGAAAGTGTTCATTTTGACCAAGACCGCACCCACAGACCCTGCTGGATCTTCCTAGGAGCACGTATAAGCCCACAATCAGGCAAGAACTTTTCCACATCCAGAGCACGAAGGCTCATCTTGAGTATTGCAGAATTCTTGAATTGCTCATCATGTAGTGGGTTGGCTCGAAGGCCGAGGCAGGGAGGAGGAGGAAGGGGGGGAATGACTACTGGATGGCAAAATATGGCTAATAGATGGGACTACAGATGGCATATACCTAGATGGTACGTAGATGGCTCAAAGGTGGGTTTAGATGGTGGGCCGCACGTAGCGCGCACTGTAGATAGCAATAAATATGAGGATTATATAGGGCCCATAGATGGTTGGATATAGATGGCGGATAGATGGCATATATTAGATTCGAGAGATGGAGAGTAAATGACACATAGATGGCCTGCAAGTAGATGGCGGATAGATCGTAGCTAGATGGTGCGAGCATAGTGAAGATGGGAGAGATGAACGAGATGGGAGAGATGAACGAGATTCGGGTTGTTGGAAAATGGGAAAGGGTTTCGAACAAGTGGGTTCTGGTCATAGGGTGTAGTAGGTATACTGCCGGGCGGTGTGGATACTGCCGGGCGGTAAATAGGATGAGGTTCTAATGCGGGATACCTAGTACCTTAGATGTGGTGTGCACCTAAGTCCATCCCTATAAATAGTCGTGGTTGACAGAGAGGTAGAAATAATAGGCATGTCGGATCCACCCAGGGCGAGGACGTGACAGGTAGGTAGGTACCTATTGACCCAATGTAACCGTCAATGCCCCCTCGCTTCGTATGGAGTTGTCTGAGGCCGCTCGAGCGAGTTGCTTGATATACAGGTATAGAGCAGCCTGTTATCACTATTTTCGGGTTCTGCTATGCAGGTGGGCGCATTAGGTACTTGATCTGTAGACTGTAGCATATAGGTGCCTCGAGGCCTAGTAAGATTAATGAGAAACCCGGGCCTCTTTCATGCATGCATCTAGGTAGAGGTATATATGAGTATAGAGGTAGCTACATACCTCTGTCATAAGTGCGTACATTCGCATTCTGCATAGGTACTCATGTGTACCGTAGATGCCGGCAGAGTACCGACCCGGGTACCTCCTGGCCTGATATCTGGGCCTATATGTAAGTCATTACGCGCGACGGGAGCCGACAGGAGCGCGTGATAGGGACGTGGCCTGCGTGAGGTAGGTAGGAGGTAGGTACCTGTACCTACCAATGTACTTAGTACCTAAGGCAGGTAATATGTACGTATGCATGAGGGCACATTCGCAGATCACAGAATGGAGAAATTCGACTGATTACCTTCCATTCCTCCTCTATTCTAGCCTGAAGATTTCTCTTTGTGAAGATGTCAATCCGTTCATCATCATGTTGATATCTCGAAGCTCCCCGGAAACATCCCACTCCAGCTCGGTGCCTACACGACACGACCGTTCGCGAACTCTACTCCGCACACGCTGCCCGCATCCCTATTTTGCTGCTCGTATACCGATCGTCACAGGTTCCGCCGGGCGAATCCCACACATGTACGTATATTCCTGTGTGCTGGATGACCTGCATACCGAACCCACAGAACCAGAGATACCCAAGGTCCCCGTCCCATCTTATGCAGGCCACGTCGAAACGCGACAAGGGGTAGGAGGGTGTGCAGCGAGTAAACGGCAAGCTTGTCGTGGTTATTGCTCGTGTGTTTCTCGACCCCCTATTTCACCCGCTGGTGTAGGATTTCCCGCAAATTTCGCCCCATCCGGGATGCATGAATCTGGGAGCTTCCTGCGCTTCCCCCAACCCTCCGCAGGCCGGCAGCATGAACTGCTTGCCCTGGTCTTCAGGGATTTTATTTCCTTTTCTTTTTCGCTATGCACGACTGCGGTACCGAATGTTACTTTGTAGGCCTGGACGGCACTTGAGTCGCCATCTCCTGTCCCGGTCAACCAACACCTCCCCGTTTTGGACATCCTCGTCGTTCGCCGTGATAACCGCTCCGTCTACGTTTCCCTCTCTGCGTCCGCCCGTCCCTCTACGTGCACCTACCTGCCTGGAGGTAGTAACGCGCATGTTCTCGACCGGCTCTTCCTCTCAAGCCACACTCGATCGTTCCTAAGCTCAAACGGTGCTAGAGCCGGCAGGCACAAGAGCCACCAGGCCTAGAGTACTGCCGCTCGCATATAAAGGAGGTTTCGTCATTTCACCGTGGTTCCACCGTGCCCATTTCAGCGACCTGGAGGGGGCCAGGGATGGCTTAGCGGGCTTGCAAGGAACGGGTCGCGATACGTATCCAATTAAGCTGAGAGCGCGCCGAGTGGGAGGATCCAGCTGCTAATTCCACACCGGACTTCGCTGAATCAGATTGGCCCAGTTTTACCCACTCGACCTGAACACGGAGGGTAGGGAATTGGGTGCAATATAGACACCTTGAAAATTCGACGAGAACACCAAGGCAAACAACCACCAGGACCGACGACTAGGGCCAGCTCGCGATTCCATCAAGGACACGGTCACCCCCGGTTTGGCGAACCTATCTACACACTGCAACGCACACGTCCGGCGGGGATCGTGGTATCGGTGCGATCTAATAACGTCGAGCCAAGTCCGACAAGAAACAAGGCCTTCTCCTCTTTTCACCATGATCGCCCCTTGAGACGAGTCAAGCCGGCGCAACTCGATTCCTCTGATCGTCTAATCAACCTCCTTCTCGCATTCGCCCTCTCCTCTCATCCGGAACCCCCCTCCCCCCCCCCTTTGCTGCTCGCTCGTCTTCGAGATCCGCCCTCGTTTCTCGCGACATCACAGTCGTTTGGTGTGCCGTTTAGGCTCCCGGGAGCTCGTCCGAATGAACTTTGTTGTACTTTGTCGACACCCTCCTACGAGACCTGCATGTGATTAATCCCATTCGATTTGGTAGCTATCACTACGACTTGAGGCCTTCCGACGAGTCCAGACCTGACCTCCTGCGCCCAATTCCCCTAGTCTCGTTCGGCTCGGGATTAATAGTAGAGAGAGTGCGACAGAGAGCGAACTATTGCGGTTTATCTATTCGCCCGTGCCTGAACGTACCGGGAAGCCCTTTTTCATTGTCATTTTTTCACTTGCGCGAACGCTTCGCATCCCTACAACTGGCAGCCTCGCATCGACTGCCTCCCATCAACAATGCCTACTGCCTCTACACCCCCCATCCAGACCTCGACACCGGGGTCTGGGTCGGGTCAAGTGTCTTATCCATCTCTGCCGGCGTCGCCCACCCTAACGAACCCAGACATGATCTTGCCCGACTACGAGGACGCCTGCTCTTCTCCGGATCGATCGCAATCACCCCGAACCATGTGGAAGAACATACATGGCGCCGACATGAGCTTCGACCTCACCACCCAGGTTTTCACCGGCCCGATCACTCCCACCACGCCCATCATCTATGGAAATGGAACCATGCTGTCGGATATTGGCGAGGTCACTGAGGTCGAGAGCACATGCGCCCCAACGAAGCCGCGCTCCGGGTCTATGCAGAGCGACGCCTCGATGCAACTGGTCTCGGTCGCCCGTTACGAGGCTTTGAAGAGGAAGGACGGCAAGGCTACTCGAGAGAGGCGCGAGTCAATTGACTCTACCAGCACCATCACCACCCACGAGCAGGGCGCACTCTTCACCGATTTTGATGATTCTGTTAGCATAGACGACAGCAACTTCCAGGGCGACGATGAGGAGAGCGTTGCCGATTCTTTCGTCGACGATGCGTTAGCGCACGATGATGCAACGCAAACTAGAGATAGGCGTACGCCGACCGGCGAGGAACGCTACTCGACGGCGCTGAGTCGGAGAGCGGAGCAAATTCTGGCAAATGCTAAACGGCGATTGAATGTGAGGAGGCCCCCGGGTGTTCCTGGTTGACCTAGGCTGACAGAACAGTAGACCATGGAGGGCAATTTAAACCGAGCCCGAACGACTCTCTATTCCCCTACGTGGTCCTCGGTCGGATCGGATTCGACGCCCTCGCCAACAATTGGCCGTCCCGGAACCGCAATCCACCACGACCATGACGCCAACCATCGCCAGAGCGTATACGGACATGCGAGAATATCTAGCGAGAGCAATATCCAGATCGACGTAGCCAAGTCGTCGACGACACATACACCTAGATCTTCGAGCGCTTTGGGTGCAGCAGGCGGGTATCGACAGCCTCTCTCAACCTCTCGTAGTGCGGATTACGTGCGCGAAGGCGCGAAAGAAACACGGATTCACGAGAGCATTACGTCCCCCCGGATGTTGGAACCATTAAGTGAAGATTATACCTCACAAGGCGTCAACTCCGCGAGGGCGAGTCTAGAGGGGACGAGACTGGATGGCTTCTTGAGCCCGCCCCTGGGGTCGTATTCAGACCAGGGGCTGAGGCGATCCGTATCGACGGCGCAGATGCGAGATCTAAAAGACCACATGAAGGATCTCAAGGGGCGATTGTCGACGCTAAGGGATCAGGCACGGCAGGACAGCCTCAAGCGGCGGAGTCTTCAAAGCCTACGCACACCGAGTCCGTTCACGCATGCTCGCATTGACCAGTGGTACGCAGACGCCGCCAGATACGAGGACAATGCCTCCATCCATGAGGACTATAAATCGCAACCATCTATCGGCGATGTTGCTAGTACCAATGAGGGTGAAGAGGGGTCGGCTGCGAAAGAAGCTATAACAGAGGAGGACAGGGAACTAGCGTCGGTTGGCCTCTTCGACGTGGACGGGACTATCCCTCCCGGGAGCTTAGGCCCTGTCGAGAATGGATCGCGTCCGCCTCAGGTTGCTACCCCGGTCATAACTCGCGACACCGAGGACGATATGGATGATATGAAAACGGAGGACGGATACGATGACGAAGATACGGAGGAGAATGAAGAGGTGGAGTTGACAGATGGCGAGCGGAGCGTGGTGGATGATGGTGCGAGCGAAAGCGGTGCGTCCTCGTACTATGATACCGTTCAAAATCAAGTGTCCCACGAGGATCGCGAAGATGCGTTCGACTACGAGCACTTCTTCCTCCACAGCGCAATGGGAAGCATGAGTCAAAGCCGGATGAAAAGAGCAAGCCGGACCAGCTTTAGCTCCGAAGACTCGGTGGAGACTACTCGAGGCCCAACTCCGTCTGCCAACGCGAAAGCGGTCGGGAGGCCTTCTCGCAAGGGTAGTTTTGCCTCGGTCTCGTCCGTGGATTCGTTCGCGACGGCTACGGAGGGCAGGAGCACGAGGGCGGAGAACGAGTTTGTGGAGTATTACGAGGAACACGGCGTGATAGTGCCCAAACGTGCCCGAACGCACACGCCGAACACGTCGAGACGGGCGGGCTTCTCGAACGAAGCGAGCGATTCCGGCTCCGATCAGAGCCGACCTGGAGCGCTGGGTATCCGCCGGCCACAGAGCAGCGCCGCCACATTCATGCACCGACCCTCGGTATCGTCACTCGACTCTAGCAGAACCCACAGAAGCTTTCTGTCGGCTAACCGGGGCCAGGCAAACGGCAGCACGCTCTCGCCATTAGGCTCGGCCAATCCAGGACTGGGAAAAATCGCGGAGGCGCTCCTGGGTGAGAGCTTCCGCATCGAGGATGGGAACAGCAAGATATCTCCGATTCAGAAGTTGCAGAAGGATGACCAGATACTTGTCGAGCGATTGTTTGGGTCAATCGGTCAGTCTATTATCGGTCTTGCCGAGTCTGGCCGCGGGAGCACGGAATACCGGTCGTATCGAAGAAGATTAGAAGCGGCAAGACGAGTTTTGGACAGCTTGGAGGATCAGATCAGTCCGCGTAATCTCTAATCTGTTAATAAGGAATACGTAACCAAGGCGTTTTACGGACTATATACCATTTGACGACTGCGCCGAAGGCGATCCAGCCAGGCAGCGATTCTCTTTTTTTCCCCGCCTTATTTTACCGCCACATACGTCCTTTCTTTTTCTTCTCTTTTTTAGAGCTACATATTCAACATTTCTGTTAAATGGATTACTAGATAACGAGCATGAGGAAACCGTGATTCACATCTCTTTTGTTCCGGTTACGAGTGCACTGGTTTCTTTTTTTTTTCACTGTACCTCATCCGGAGGACGAGAGGCCGATATACTGTTGCCAGCGACGGCTCCATATATGTAATTTTTCGATACCCGAGGCTGGCCTATGACTCTGAGTGGTCCTCTCCCTTCTATTTTCTTCCCCCATTTTGAAATGTATTTATATCTCCGAGACGGAGTCGCCGGTATAATAGAGCGGTAAAATGCTTACGACTCGACGCCGCGTTCCGTGGGGCAATGTGGCGTCTGATTCGCTTTACTGCATATTGAATATTAGCTACGGATGCGTACATACATGCAAGATGTATGGAGGTATATCACGTTAGCCGTTGCTTGAGGGGCCGTTTAGGATATTATAGGTCCATGTCACGAGGGGGGAGGAAATATACCTATTTCATCGTCACTTTCAATATATTACAGAATGTGGTTTCCCCCAAGACAAGAACCGCACAGGGAGAGGTGCGGCGCGCCGCTTTCCCGGGAGATGCAATACTTCACGACTTGTTTTGCCTTGCTCGCTGTACGAAAAACATCCAACTTCAACAACACCGACACCGACAGCTCTGAGCGTAGCTGTGTTGAAGTACAATCAAATGGTGGTGCCTCTCGACCTCGATGCCGTTCTCTTCAAAATATGTGTTCGAACCTCTCCTCTCCTCACACGACTTCCCACCCCTCGATAGAATCTTCGACGGAACCCCGTGCATACGAGGGCCAGCTTAATATTAACCCTCATGGCCATGTTGGGTACGAGGGAGTAGAATTGCCGAAAAATTCAGGGTAGAGCTGGGGGGTTTTTTCTCAATTGGACGAATCTCGCCGCAGAACTTCCCTCTCCTCGCTGAGAGTGACAAAATGAGCTCGGGGCCATCTGCACATACCTAATCGTCAGAACCACCGCCTGGGGTGTCTTTGGTTGGGGTTGGCACGCCCATCTTTCATACACCAGCCCACCCATGATCCTTTCGAGCCCACGCTATTCCGATCTCGACTTCCGATGGTGGGCGGTGAACCGAAAGGAGACCAGATGGGGCTCCAGCTGCGAGACTAATTTTCCAGGGGAGAGGTTTCAGGGTCTATTCTCCGTTGTATTTCTCGCCAGCTCGACAATTTTTGCTGATGCACACCAACCGCCGACAAAACCGACCAGAACGTCAAACTAACCCATTGACCGAGCAAATTTCGACACGGCCAACGTCCTTCTTAGACAGGTCTAAGAGGCACCGGCTTATCGATTAGTGGTCTTGCAATCGCACAGTCCCCCTCCGCTTTAGCGAATCGGCCAAAGCTCTTGCTTCGACTGCATACCATCCCTCCCAGTCCGGGTCGGAAGGGTCTGGATACTCTCCACTATACCCGGATTCCCCCAAGATTCTGGCCATCGACTCGCAGCCGAGGCGAGGGAGCAATTTTGTCAAAATCCGCCCAACCCAGTCCTTCCGCTGGCGCGTGAGATGATCCCCTACCTCCGGGTTCCGATACCCGTCCCAGGACGCGCCGCGCTCGAGCAGCAGTCGGACGGCGGCCTCGTGCTCTCGCACGAAGGCCCACAAGAGGAGCGGCCGTCCCGGTTGTGTGGCCGCAGGAAGCTCGAGCCGTGCGCCGTGGTCGAGGAGCGCACGCGCGAGCGCCAGGTTGCTGGACATGGCAGGCAGATGCAGCGGCAGGTCTGGGGAGACATCATCGGGGCTGAAATTGGGGTCGGCGCCGCGTTCGAGCAGCAGGAACGCGACGTCATTGTGCCAGGCCCCGCAGGCCGCCGACAGCGCGGTCTGCCCTCGATTCCTCTTCCCCTGTGGGGGCACTCCGGTGTCTAATAGATACCGTACCATGGCTATGTGTCCCGCACTCGCGTGCCTGACCAGGTCCTCGTACGCGTCGTCGGCTGCGAGCGGCCACGGAGCTAGAGCACTCGTGAGGTATTGGTGGATGTCGGGCCGAGATGTGTATCGTCGGGCTTTGAGGATCCCAGTCCCCGCTGGGGACGCGCGCGTGATAGACCCGAACGGCTCGCCACCGATAGTCTCTACGCCGCACTCGCCGTCTTGTCCCGACCGTGGGGACAGTCTCAAGGCCAGCTTGAGGGTTTCCATGTCGTCTCGCATCGCCGCCCCAATGACTGACGATCGGTCGAAACAGGGTCCGGAGAGGTTTTCCTGAAACAGTTTCAACATGTCCGCGTTGCCGGCCTGCGCGGCAACTTGAATTGGGGCGGCGAACAGGTAATTGTGCTTGGTTGGGTCGTGGCCCTCTGCGAGCAATCGCCTGGCGAGAGGTAAAATATTGAAGTGGGCAGCGGCGGCTAACATGTTTAGGCCGAGGTCTGGCCGAGGTTTATAATCGCCATGTGCCAGCAGGCTGAATTTGAAATGCTCTGCGTGGTACACGGTGCTCGCTCCGTGGCTCAGGGTAAGCCCACACAGAGCCTCGACTACGTCTCTCAGGTCGCGCGCGGTCTCCCGGCAGATGGCCTCGGCGATGCCTCGCATCTCGACGTATCGGCCGACGGCCTCGTCCCTCTCCCCAAGGCATCTGTAGACGAAGTATCTCTGCCAGACCTCCACGGCGCCGTGCTGGTTCTGGAGTTGCCAGCGTCTCGTGCCGGGACCGGGATACCGCAGGCGATCCATCGTGCGTGTTTCGAACACGGCCGGGTACACTGCCTGTGCAAACACTTTGCACACGAGCCTCAATCTCATCGCCCTCCCGAGGCCGCGGCATAATGTGGCATACACCAAGATGATGTGAAGCATTTCTAGCGGGAGGTCTAGGAGCTCCATTCCGCCTGCTGGACAACTGGGGGCCGGGGGAACGAATGTGTTTTGGGTGGACTATCGGTAAGTAGGCAGGTAGGTGTTGGCGGAAGAGAGTGTGGTATTACGGCGAGATCTCGTAGGCATGAGAGAGTCAGTCCAGTCTAGTGGGCATACGACAAGGGCGGGAAAATGCTGGAACGGCCCTCGCCAATCGACCAGGATTTCCTTCCTCCGTCGTTCCATAGGGATTCCCGTTGACGACAGCCACCCGAGGCCAGCCGGTACCAGCCGGCCCTTTACATGTTGGATACGAGTCCCTACCTTCGATTGGGCCTTGGAGAATCCCTTCGGGGAACAGTCATGTGTTCTCGAAGGTTACTAGTTGATATACGCCGAAGCAGTTCGCTACGCTCTGCGCTCCTCCGTCACGATTTTGCTGTATAGGTAAAAACATAGGTACCTCCCCGAAGGCTAAGGAGGAGGAGGTACGCATAAGTACCTAAATTCCAAACAACCAATTGCGTAGTCTTTATTTTTGGCAGAGCCAATCAGCATAGGAATAAGACAGAGAAATTCCACAATTCGATAAGGTCTCACGTCTTATAATTACCTAATCCCTCGGATAGGATGAGGTAAGATGTGTGTCGAGGTACCTCAATAAAGCTTGTTTGGGAGATGTACCGCAAGTACCTCAGGCAATTAGTAATTCGGATTGGCTATGTAAGCTGCTGCATCCCTGTAATCGTACTTATACCTGCCGACCACATTACTAGGGTAGGAGGGAAGGAACCAGGGGACAAGCTGAGGAACATCTCTGCTTACGGCATACACCCAGGCAGGCGTCTTATCCTACCTCTCTACATCCCAACTTGCAACCTCTGGTGGTGATCACTCGATGCCCCGCAAACCGCCTAGACACACCATCACACGAGACGGAGAGTTACCCAACCTACTGCCGAGCACGGTTACGGTCTGTATCTAAAGTCCTACTTCCTCGCTACGACTGACCGAACTCTCTTCACTTATACCGCCCGGCATCCGGGCCAACCCCCGAGCGATGGCAGCCTTCCCGGCAGCCCTCACAGATGCCGCCTGGCTTGGAAAATACATCCCCGTTGGGTGCTTAGAGGTATCGGTGGATGAAACCCGCCCGTCATCACCCGAACTTCGCAGCTTGGTCGACCCGTCACAAGGGTGGTTGTTCTTCGCCCGGCCCCGGGACGATATCCCCGTGCCACTACGTCTTCCGGCTTCAGTGCAAGATGACTTTCTCAAATTACCCCCCATACTGCCCTTTGTCGGCTTATGGCGAAGTCGATGGATCCAGATGGCGATAAGTCCTTCCTCTGGCTATGACCGCATAGCGCGGATTCGAATATACATTCTTCCACAGGACGTTGATAGACGCTTCATTAACCTAACACCTGAGTTGATGAAGGCAACCTCGCGCCTTATTTCTTCGCTTAACTACTCGCCAGCATGTTGGGGCGGCGCAATCGACGCTGACCGTCAGAACCGCCCGACGCCGAATAGCAAACACGACTTGCCAGAGGACCAGGGCTCCTCGCCCTTAGCCATGTTCAACAGTGTCCCGTCTCCCGACCCTCACCCGGAGCTGGAGCCTGACCCGGACACCCGTGACGCCATGCAGTGTTTATTAGACAGTCAGCTTTGCGGCCTAACTACCAAGCTTTACCCTTACCAGGGCAGATCTGCTGCGCTCATGGTTCAACGCGAGGAACAACCGGGCAGGACTATCGATCCCCGTCTCCGGTCGGCGCTCGACCAGGAAGCGAAGCCTTGGTACTACGACGAGGTCTCTGGTTCCGTTCTGAGAGAGCCGAGGTACTATGACGGGCTACGCGGCGGGATACTTGCGGAAGAGAGTGAGAATATCTCAATCCCGTGCACTTTAAGTACCCTCCCCATGAGCAGCGGTCACTGACTAGGGTCTAGTGGGTACTGGAAAGACTCTCATCTGCTTAGCCCTGATCCTCAGTACAAAGCACGAACCAACAAAAGCCCCGGAGCCTTTCGTTGCGGAAACCCCCGCCAGGTCGAAGAAAGCGAGCTTGATGGATATGGCTGCTGCCACGGCGAATAGGCGCTCCATACCATGGAGACCCTACTTCGAGGCTTACGCTGCTCAATACGGTTACGAATTCCAGCATTGTATACGCGCGCTAACACACCCAGAAAATCGCGCCCTGTATAAAGTGCGCAACATCCTAGTGGAGCCGCGGAAAAGTATCAGGATCGCGCCGCTCGTCGTGCCGCCAAAGGAGGTCTATCTGAGCTGCACAAGCCTCATCATCGCCCCTGATAACCTTGTCAAACAGTGGCAGAGTGAAATCGACAAACATACCACTGGTCTACAGGTCCTCGTGCTCGCGAAAAAGGAACAGATCCCGCCGATAACGGTGTTGTTGGATTACGACATAATTCTCTTCTCCGAAACCCGCTTTGAAAGGATCCAGAGAGAACGAATGGATGCGGAGGGGAAAGCGTCCGATATTTATTGCCCGCTTGAGCACATTCGATTCAAACGATGTATTATAGACGAAGGTCACAAATTAGGCAACAGAGGCTGGAAATGGAAGAGCGACGTGATGATGGTTATCGACCGTCTTGAGATTGCCGCTCGGTGGGTCGTCACAGGGACACCGTCGCGGGGTCTCTATGGCGTAGACCCGCAGCCCCCCGTCGCTGGAGGCACAGCGGGCAATGGGAATGCTAGAGGAGGACTACAGTCTACTAAAAGGCAGGAGAGAGAGGATCTGCAACGAATCGGCAACCTTGCAATCAAGTTTCTCAAAGTTCGACCGTGGGCTAACACGAAGGAGGAGGCTGGAGACAGCGTAGCCGACTGGAAGGTGTACGTAATGCATCCAAGCCGGCACGCCCATGGCCACGGTCCCCACGACTGTTTAAAACGCGCCCTCGATTCGTTGATCATCCGCCATCGATTGTCGGACATCAGCACACTTCTTCCTCCTGTGGACGAGAAGATTGTACTACTAGATGGGTCTTATCAGGATAAGCTCTCGTTGAATCTCTTCTCCATGATGATAATCTTCAACTCCGTACAGTCGCAACGCACGGATATGGACTACTTCTTCCACGAGAGACAGCGAAAGAGCCTCATCCAACTCGTCAAGAATTTGAAGCAGGCGAGTTTTTTTGGCGGCGTATTTTTCTCTGCCGACGATATCGCCAAATCCATAAATACCGCAGAAGAATTCCTGCAGAAAAAAGCCGTCAAGATCAGCAGAGACGATGAGAATCTCCTAACCGAAGCGATTGCCTTCGCCAAGATCGCAGCGAAGAACAAGCTAAAAGATATTAGCAACAAGTACCACACAATGCCTTTATACCTCGAAGGCTTCCCCGGGGGCAGTGGGAGGAGATGGTCCCTCGACGACGACGACGACGACGACGACGAGGGAGATGGCAAGGCCATCTGCACCGACGCCGGGATGATTTATGCCCTTCAGAGGTTTCTAAATCCTTGCCTCGACGCCCCGACATCGCTGCGGGTCATGATAGAGAGTGGGCGCCTCGACCGGCAGGGTGAAGCTGAACGTTCCCACATCTTGCTGGCGGCTACGGACACAACCAACAACTCCACAGCACAGCCAGCTCGGGCATCGTCGTTGGCCGGGAATACCCCCCTGGGCGAGGACCACCATTCGAAGCCGAAATCCGGGGTATTGGAAAAGGCGATACAATCGCTCGCCGGGGCGGACACAGCAAGCCCGGGGAGTCATGTGGAGATCGCGGAGCCTCTGGCGAAGACTAGGATCATCTCGACTATTTCGGCCAAGTTGTCCTATCTCATTGACGCTATCATTAGGTATCAGGACGAAGAGCAAATCATTGTTTTCTACGAAAACAACAACATTGCATACTACCTGGCGAGCGTGCTAGAAATTGTGAGTACTCTTCGCCCTTGGCGCCTGTCTTCATCCGCACGAGTCCTTATTCGTTGTTGTCGTAGTTGCAAATCCAGCACTTGATCTATGCGAGAGCAGGCCTCGACGCGAATCGGCGTGCCCAATACGTTACGACCTTCACGCACAGCCCTAGATTCAGGGTTTTGTTGATGGATATAAGCCAGGCCGCCTTCGGGCTTGACATGCGTAGCGCGTCCCGTATATACTTCATCAGCCCGGTCTTGAACCCACAGGTTGAGGCGCAAGCTATCGGACGAGCGCGCCGGATCAGCCAGCAGAAGCCGGTGTCGGTTGAGACACTTGTATTACGTGGTAGCATCGAGGAGGTTATTGTCAACCGGCGCAGGCAGATGACACACGCCGAACATAGCAAGGTCAAATCAATCCTCGATGACAGACACATATACCAGTGGATACTGAACGCGAAGATCATCCCGATGCCTGCCGATGACGAGGACGGCGTCGCGCAAACCGCCCTGTTAACAGCGCCCCAATCTATCTTCGGCCGGGGCTTCGGCCGCCAGATCGACCCCAATGAGGGATTGGTTATGGGGAACCCGGAGGCCAAGGCTCATACGAATACAAAACTCGGGGCGATAGGCATGGATGAGGCTGTCCGGGTACCGTTCAAGCCTAGCAGAGGCCTAAAGCGGCCCCAGAGCCCTTCCCCGAGTCCCAGCACTCAGGGTATGCAAGGCCCCAACGGGGGAACGGATGAGTCGGCGCCCAAACGAAGGCTCCATGTAGCATTTACCGTCTGAGATATCAACTAGTCTATGCTCGTCCACGACCCGCCGTTGAACTGGCTATTCCGCAAGCCCACGATGGACATATCGGTCAAATATCGCACAATGATCTGAAAAACGGAGGGAGAAAGTCTAGGACCAAAAGTCAATACTTCCTCGAGTGCTCGCCGCGGACTGGTTGGAACCTTGGCGAAATCTTTGAGTGTATCTAGTTAAGTCGACGATATTAATATCAACCAGGCCCCAGTGGACTGCGGGCGAAGTGCCTGGCTGGGTTGGGAGGCGAATTGGAAGGAATTGTAGAGGTAAGTGAGATCCCCGCCGGTGTCGAGGTTAAAAAAAAAACAAACAAAAACATATAAGTAGACGGGTTAGGGGTTGAGGTGGACTGAGTGGTAGATCTCAGCCTGACTCACAGGCATCGGAAGAAGATTCTGCTATTGTTCTCTAGAACGCCAGCTAGGTCTTTGTGACGTCGATTACGTATGCATGTGGGGTAGATGAGTATGATGACGATGACCACGATGACCACGGTGGAGGAGGGAAGAGAAGGGGGGTGGCGAAGGAGTTGGATCGCATATCGTCTTACCGATGGGGATGTTCCCCCTAGCGGACATCAAGGCTTATACATACTTACGAGGCAAGAATGGCGTCGTTGGCTGGTGCTGATCTTGGAGTTATCGGCCGGTAGAGGCGGTAAAGGGCAGGCGAAGAAGGGAGAGGCGGAGGTGAAAAGGTGATGATTAGATATATTTTGACAATCTGAATAGTTACCTGGTTTCATGCATATCGCATATAGAATAATATGTTGTTGTTCTAGCGCACAGATCCGCACCCAAGACACCAACCAGACATCCCCCAAATCACTGCACGGCGTTTCTTCCTCCCCTCTCACTCTTCACATCCGTATATAGCCCTGATAATCCCACGAATGGGTGCTGCCGGCGCCGAGTAATAAATCTCGGAATCGCTAATCCAACGACCCGACGTTGCTATTGAACACCCTCATGCCGCTCATGATGCCTCGGGAATGGGGAATGAACTGGGCAATGCATCCCCCCTCCTCTCCCCTCCCTCGCACGTCCCCCACCGCTCCCACACCAGGCTTTGGTGTACGAGACAACCTTCCCAGCCCTCGACCACGCTCGCTCTCATTTCCTCACATGTGCGGTGTGGGTAGATGTGCTATGTTCATACAAGTTGGCCCTAGGCATTCACCAACCAACGTGTCTGTGTACTCCTAAACACCGAAACTCTTCGGTGCCACGGCGAAATGGATGATGGATTCTGGTGGTTTACTGTTCCTGTTTCTTGGGGAAAACCCCCGGGCTGATCCCAAGCGGGAAGGTCTCATTATCCAGTGAAGGGGTTCGGTTTCGAGTCGCCCCAACTTGACAATCATCATCCACATTTGCTATATTTGGCACACCAGCCAGCCTTCTCCTTCAACGTGCACTTGCCTATGTGCATGCCCACCGACGGATGTTCTGTGAGAAGCTCCCCCGGACCGTATTTGTCTTCCTCTGTATCAGATCGGAGTCTCTTACGTAGGTACGCAGAGCCTAAGACGGGCGTCTCGGTATTGCACCTGCGCCGAACCCTGTTCCCAACAGGAGCGGGCCACGACGGATAGGATCAAAAAAGCGGATGCCATATTTGGAAGCTTCTCCTACCTACGTATGGGCCACCGTACCGAGCTTCGAGCCGCGAGCTCTCTGTCAGCTTGCGGTCAGGTCGAGAGACGGGTCCCTACTGGTCCAGGGCCTCTTCTCGTCGTCGCCTAGCTTCACAGCCGGCCCCCACCGGGCAAATCATCCTTCACTCTGGCCCTGGTTGTAGCGAGGTAGGCGTCCTGGGAGCTCCGGAGGGGAAGGGGGGATGCTTACTCGGGCGAACGCCACTGAGGGCGAGTGACCAACGATGACAGGCGCTGGGCAGGCGACTGCGCGAGTGAAACTCATCAGCCAATCTGTTACACGTCGCCGTGACTCGGCATCCTCGAGGTCGATCAAGATCCGATCGTTTCCTTCGCACCCTTGCCGGGAGCCTAGGCGTCCTGGCCGAATAGGCTCCCTTGGCACGGCCATCTTAGCGCCTACTAGGTACTACATCTTATTTATTGGCCGTCGTGACAGCGAGGACGACGCCAAAACCCGCAGAGCCTAGGACTACGTAGTTGATGTACGGATGTATATGTATGCGTATGCTCCGCCTGCTGACGGGAATCCTGTTTCCCGTGGTTGTTTCGATAAAAGGTCTCATTCGCACGACGACTTTGCGCCTACTTTCCTGCCCGAGAAGTCGAGATTCTTATTGTATCGCGTGGTTGTCACCGCCACGTCTTGGACGAGCTGGGGTTGGTTCGGTTTCCGCGCGTTCTCTCTCTATCCATCGATCTCTTTGTCTCCTTGTCTCTCTTTCTCTCTTCCTCGCCCAGTTCCGCCTATCACCACGCCGAAGCCCCCGGTTCACGCGGTCTATCCCGGATGCTGGAGGAAAATCGACGCGAGAGAGACGAAGGTGCTTATTGGAAGACGACGCCGTCTCGGAATAATTGAAGTGTGCATATACTACGTAGCAGAGAAAACCGACCCATCGACCGCATCGACCCCGCGTCCCGCTCATATCGAGTGTTTCCTTAACCCTACTCAGTTCTTCCTAGATTTATTACGCACAGAACGCCGTAACATTTACCAGAAAAACGCTGTCCTAACACTCGCTCGGAAACAGACGTCTTGCTCAATACGGGCTTTTCGGTCAATGAGAGTCGCACTGGGCTTGAGGCGTAGCCACGATAGGATCTGGTGCCGGACGGCCCCTGCAACTTGGTACTGCAACGCATTCTAGCCGAGCAAGCAAACCGGCGGACGGTCCTGCAATAAATGGATGCTACTTCGCCGTCGCACTCGAGGCGGATGTCCCTAGCGGCCACCGCCTATACCCATATCTTCAGGCCGCGACCCGCGGCTAAGAAGATTCAGAAGAGAAGCTCGTTACCGGCTAACGAAGACGACGCGGGGGACACGGCCAGCGCGCCAGATGATTCCCGACCTGTCGCCAACGACAAAACGCACTCGGATCGCCAGAGTCAAGCTACCCAGATGGGAGAAAGCAAACCCTCCAAATTTGGATCCCGGTACGGTGTTTTTCCCTTTTTGTCTTGCACTTTTTTTTCTTTTGGTTTGGCCACAAATTCTCCGAATGGCTCAGAGCGAGAACGCGATCATCCCTCATCTCAGCTCTCTAACCACCGCGCTCGTGTCCCTCATCACTCATCACCCAAGTCAGACGGGGGTTTATTGGGGGACTAGAAAGCCCAGAAAATAACCCCCAGAAAAACAAAAACCTGCAGAGACTACAGAGATGGCCATGTGTTTCCCTCTTTTGGTTTGATTTACCACGTTGCAATGGCGTTATGCCCGGGTTAGCTACTTGGCCCCCCCTGGTAAATATGTCGGTTCCTTAAAGGGGGTTGCAACCATCTTCTCAGGGGGTTGAGCTGCCACTGTTGGTTCAGTTCTCACGGCGACGTGAGTAAGAGACGCGGGAGACGCGGGAGAAGAAAGAGAAGCAAGCGAAAAAGGGGTTCCCCTAATAAAAATAAAAAACAGCCTTGCGCTACTTCCTACGGCCAAGCGGTCGACTAGCACGAGCTGAAGTGACTTAGACTGGGGATTCAGTCTGGCCGCCATCTCCGTCCCAGTGGCGGCTGTCATTAGACCCAGGTCTATCCAGGGTTGGCAATCTGGAGGTGCTGCAGAGCAACACGGGACCAGGAGCGTCTTATCCGAGTAACTAACAAGTCTTCAGCCCAGGCGGGTGCAGGGCAGCCTGTTCGCTTGGGGGGGCTTTTTTTTTGTTTTCTCTTATTTAATCTCTCTGGCCCCATCAAACCACGTCCATCTCCTTTTCGGATGGCCCCCTCCCAATCCATGTATCTACATACACTGCTGCCCTCGTTCTGGGCCATCTTTATTCCTGTCGAGTCTGGCTAACGTTCCCATCTCTCTCTCTCTCTCTCTCGCCAGGTATCGGAAACACCAGAGATCGCGATCTGCATCCGCCGTCGTCTTTCGATCGAGACACGAAGAGAGCTCGTGGAAGTCTGAGCCACTGCCGGCGATGGGCTCCACAGTCGAACCTAGACCGTCGTCCTCACATACCCCCTACAACCGTAGACCCCCAATCGCTTCTTTCACCATGCAAGATTCCTCGACCGACCGTTCCTCTAGCTTCAGCGCACCCGGGCCGACCTCTGCGCAACCGACCCAACAACCGGCTAAACTGCCCCCCGCGATGATGGGGAACTATGCACAGATCGACATGCGACCGGCCACCGCCGCCGCCGCCGTCGGGAGACCCTCGAGCAGCGGCTCCAGCGTTGCGAGCTCGGTCAGGACGAATGAGAGCTTCGACGGCATTCTCGCGAGCCCCGCGAGCAGCAGGACGAGCCTCGAGTCGTGGAATTCGGGTCCGCGGAGACCCGATCACGGATGGCAGCGACCGACACCAATCAAGCAATACCGACGAAAGCGAGAAACGGGGGAGCTCTTCGCCGTCTTGCCCGAGGAGGTGCTGGGGCTCATGTTGGACGAGCTGAGGAGGTTGCATCTAAAACCGGATAGCACGAGCTGTGCGACATGCATGATGAGGGATCTGTGCTCCGTTTCCCTGTCGGCGCGGAAGTTTTTGAAGGTTGCCCGGGTTGCACTGTAAGTCTCTGTCCCGCTCGCGAAGACTGGAAATAGTGTAGAAGGAGGGGAGACTGACGACAGTCTCAGGTACGAGGATATCCAGCTGGTCGGGGCGGACTCGCCACTGCAGAAGAAGCGATACAAGCTAGGCTTTGGCTCTCGATTGGTTTTGCTCCGCCGGACGTTGAGATCGAACCCCGAGCTTGCAGCAATGGTCCGCTGTCTCAAAGCTCCCGCGGTGCCTCAGGGAATCGCCCTTGATCTGTACCAGAACCTCGTGGCCTCCGTCGTCATGGCATGTCCAAATTTCGAGCGGTTGGTCGGATTCCACCACAACCACGATCACTCGTTCAATCGTCTGTTCCACGCCTTGTCGACTAGGCATAAGTTGAAGGAGATGTACTGGACCATAGACGCCTCCCAATTCCAGAGGAAGCGCCGCATGTCGAACGCCGCCGCCTTGCTGAATTCGGATAACCTCCGCTATCAGGAAGTCCCCGGGGACCTTCTCCCCGAGCAGAGCGAGGCGTTCCTCGAGCTGCACGCGGACTGGGAAGACCTGAAGATCTTGTCGATACACTGCCTCCCGGGGGCCACACTTACGCCGGTTTCTCTGATTCCGGACATTCTATCCCGCCTACCGTCCCTCGAGAGTCTTCACCTGTCTCACCTGCCGATCACGGCTTTCAACGACGCGAATCTGCTATCGCTCCCCTCACTACAGACGCTCACGCTATCGCATCTCCCTGGCGTGTCTAGTGAGGGCCTGTCGTCGTTCGCGAGGCGTCCTTCGAGCCGGTCGATCCGGAAGCTAACCCTGCAGCACGTGGACGTAGACTCACTACCCGCTCTCGCACAGATATTCTCGAACTTTACGTCGCTGGAGACCTTCTCGCTGGTTCAGAGCTCGCCGCCGATCCTGCCGCCGAACGAGATGATCTGGCTGTTCCCCTACCTCGCCTCGCCGTCGCTGCGGAAGCTGCACTGGGACATCACGAGCAACCAGGCGTGGGCGAACCCGGCGGACTCGATTCTGGCGAAGAGCGTGGCGGCGGGCGGGTTCCCGGCGCTCTGGATGCTGCGGACGCCCAACGACCCGGAGGGCATCTTCCAGGCGCTCTGCAAGCCGACGGAGAGCATCGAGACGTCGAGCGACAAGTTCCGGGGGCTGATATCGAAGTGCACGTCGCGCCAGCCGGAGCCGCCGGCGACGCCGACGACGCCGAGCACGCCGCGGACGCCTAGCAAGGTGTCGCCGTCGAGCTCGGGACTGAGCTTCCCGATGGGCGACCAGCTCATCCCGTCGAAGGCGTCGAGCGACCTCGGGCGGGCGCGGCTCGCGGCGCAGGGGCGGCTCGAGGCGGCGCGGCAGTCGCCGCGGTTCGTGGTGAGCGTGACAGCCGAGGACGGCAGCGAGCTCGAGCGGTACGGGCTCGCCGGGTTCCTGGGGCAAGTCGAGTCGCAGGTGCGGTACCACCTGGGGCCCGACCCGGGGGCGACGGACGAGAGCGGCGGGCTCGTCGACGTGGCGGACGTGCTGCTGGCCGACGGCGGGGAGAAGCTGGGGCCGGGAGCGGGGGCGGGGGGGACCAGCTCGCGCGGAGGGCCCGGGACGGGCGAAGGGTGCGTCGGCCGGTGGAACTCGTGGAGCAGCGGGGCGGCGGTCGACAAGAAGGACCGCGATCGCTGGTGGCATACGGAGCGCGGGAGGTGGAGGGCCGTGACGCTGTCGTGAAGACGAGAAGAGGGAGGGTGCGAAGGAGTTGGGACAGACAGGCCGGAATATGATAATGGGTATTTAATGCGGCGACAACGGGCGCCAGGTGTTTTAATGAGGAGGGGGAGCGGAGGGGGGAGTGCGAGCCTATCTACCTACGACGTCTGACGCATACGTGCATATACATACGCACCCGCACGTATAGATACGCAGAAGTGTGTCTTGGGCACATACCGACATACGGACGGACATACCACGCAGCCACATATATATAATACCCCGGACAGTTGCGGATCGAGAGGGCGCGCGGGAGGCTCATGCTACCACTACTGTTCGACGGCGGGGGAGAGGAGGTTTCGTTCTTTTTGCGGAGGACGGGAGCGAGAAAACCGGCAGAGGCGACTTTATTCGCGCACTGCGAGGGAACATATGGCGATACATCTTAGGATACCCCTTCTACGATTAATTGGCGGGAACTTGGTTTTGCTGTTGCTTCTATTTTATCTTATAGGTACGAATGATGATCTGGACATGTACGTTCACGTATTTGTGGAATTGGTTATGATTGCGACTGGTGTCTGTGTGCATTCGGAGCTTCTTGCAGCGTCGCTCTGGACAAAGGGACAACCGGCACAGCTTCTGCCCGCTCTGCCGTCTCTATACCGGGTTTATACGGAAGTTGGCGGGAAGTTGGCGATGCAGTTAAGCAGGACACATCGTCGGCCGAGAGGGAAGGGTTCCTAACGGTGGAATTATGCCGGGGCCCGGAGCCAGGAGTAGAAGTGGGATAATTGCATAGGTACCTGCAGGTAGGTACAGATACGTTGCCCGATCCAGCCTAGGCTGCCTACCTAAGGCAAAGCGCCGCAAGCAACAAAGGAAAGGGAAAGAAGGGGAGAGGAATAAAAAAAATAAAAATAAAAACGTCATATCCCCGACGGCCGACGGGTGCCAGCACCTGAACATTCCTGCGCATCAACCACCAAACCACCACATGGGTGTCTAGGTAGTGTGTTATCGCTACTATCACTGCCTACCTATACCGCCACCGCTGCTATTGCTACCACTACTACTACCACTACCCACTCCTATTTACCGCCAACACCCACCAACATTCACCACCCGCCACCCCGCGCTCGCCTCCAGCAATCCAACCAGCTCGTCCCTCCGGCTGGTTATTTCCGATTGCTCACATTTCTCGGAGCCCTTCCCTTCGCCTCTTCACGCACCTACGCCTGACTTACCTGAACGTCGACCCTCGACCCGAGTTCGCCGGCCTCATCCACTTGCGGGATATACGGGACCTGGGCACCATTCACCTACCCACCAATCCGCATCTACCTACACCTGACGAGATCGTGTGTGTGCGCAGCCGACGCATACCCGCACCTACACCTCGCACCCCGCCGCATCCGAAATCGCACAAGAGTCGTCCACGCGACTGTCACGACGCGACCCGGCGAGACCAGAATGCGGTCCTCATTCCTCCCCGTCGTGCGGCCGACGGCCCGTCGCGCGCTCTGCGGCGCCTGCCACCAGCAGCGGCAGCAGCGCGGCTACGCGACGCCGCCCGGCTTCCTCCTCTCCCTCCGCCGCTCCCCTCGGCCCCTCGCCCGCCTAGCGCAAGACCAGCACGCAGCGCAGACGAGACATCTATCGGCGTCGCCGTTCCGCGCTATCGCCGCTCCGGCATCCGAAGGGGGAGGGGGCAGAGGGCAGGCCCAACCTGAATCCAAAAATTCGGAGCCCAGGGCCGACCCCGCACCTCCGCCCCTGTACGAGGTGCCCAAGTACTACGACCTGTTCCCGAAGACGCTGCCTCTGGGGCCGCCGCCGGCGGGGCCCTTCGCGATCGACGTGCGCGCGCTGCGGAGCGAGTTCCTGGCGCTGCAGGCGACGGCGCACCCGGACCGGTTCCCGATGGGGGGGGTGGAGCGGCGGGCGGCGGAGGCGCGGTCGGCGCACATCAACGAGGCGTACCGGACGCTGGGGTCGCCGATGCACCGGGCGCAGTACCTGCTGCGGCTGCGGGCGTCGCAGCTAGCGGGGTCGTCGTCGTCGTCGTCGTCGGCATCGGAATCGGCATCGGCGGCGGCGGCGGCGGCGGCGGAGGCGGCGCTGGCGATCGCGGAGGACGAGGCGGGGCGGGTGGATGACGGGGAGCTGCTGGCGGCGGTGCTGGAGGCGCGCGAGCGCATCGAGGAGGCGCGGACGCAGCGCGAGGTGGACGCGGCGCAGCGCGAGGCCGAGGACCGCGCGGCCGAGGCCGAGGGCCGGCTCGCCGGCCTGTTCGCGGCCGACCGCCTGCGCGAGGCCGCCGAGACGCTGGTGCGCATGCGCTACTGGATCCGGATCCGCGAGACGGCGCGCCAGTGGGACGTGCGCGAGGCCGAGGGCCACCGGATGCACGGCGTCGCGTGAGGAAAGCTGAGGGGGGAGGGGGGGGAGGACGGATACCGGGAATAGGAAGAATGAAGATGTGGAAATGAGGAGAGAGTGAGGAAAAGAAGGGAAGGAAAAAGAGAGGGAAGGGAAGGGGAGGGGAAAGCGATATATATGTAAGGGCTTGCCGCACCGGCCGTAGGGTGAAAGCAGGTAGAAGAAGAAGACTTACGAGCGATGACGAAGCAACACGCGGCGGGCCTCTTCTGGTGGATTTCGTGTTATCTCTCTGTCTTTGCCTAGGTTAGGTAGGTAGTTTTATGCTCCGTTCGCGTCTCGAGCACGGAAGACTTGTCGTGAAGGTAGGTAGGGTGGTGGGTTCTGTATTATTGATCCTCTGCGCTCTCGATCGTACGTTTCGTGAGATTTATCGTAAGATGGGTTCGGCCGTCGACAACCCCGGATAGTGAGCGGGCGCTACCTATGCGAATACGCCCCTGTGACTGCGCCGTGGCATGCATTAGGCTCCCTAACGTCGCCCTAGGTAGCCTGTCTCCTAGCACCTAAGCCGGCCTAGAAAGGCGCTGCATTTGGGTACCTGCTAACCTAAAAGCTAGGTAAACCGAAGCCGCGCCATCACGTGGCCCCATGCCTCTCACGCCGCTGCTATTACTTCTTACTGTGCTGGCCAGAGGCGATAAGGTGGGAGGGAGGGGACGACAGGTGGGTGACACTTGGCGGCATGTCCCCGTCCCCCACGTCACGGTCGGTCCGTCGGTGAGGCGGCTGCCAACACCTGGTAGGCCAGACACCCATAACAGGTACATCGGTACAGGCACCTACGGATCCCTACTGCTAGGTACCTAGGTACCTAGACCTGCCTTACCTACCCCTCCGTGGCAGCTTCACGACCACTCACAACCTCCACCACCTCGACACCACCTCGACACCACATCGGTCGCACTCACTTTACTTCTTCGCAACCTGGTCATCATTTCCACACACGTCGACGTAATCTCTCTCTCCCCTTTCTTTCTTCTACCTTCTCACTTCTCTCTTCTCTATTTTTCCCTCTTCCCCTTGGTCCGTTGGCAAGCCGGCTCGGCATCAATCCAGCTTCATCGCTATCAAGCATCTTCTTCTATACCCCACCAACCAGGTGCACGTCCGGAGAGAGCAAAGCAGAGCTCGGCACGTCGCCGACGACATGGCCTGCTCCGCAGTCCGCGAGGCCTTGGCTCAGGCCCTGGACGCTCCCAACCAGGCCGACGCGTTCGAGCCTCTGCTCGATAGCCTGAGAGCCGTCTCCACGCCCGAGACCGCCACCGGCGACGTCAAGGCCTTCGTCGACGCCGTCTTCAGCCCCCTCTCCTCTCTTGGCGCCAACAACCAGCGCACCCTCCTCAACCGCTTCGTCGCCGTCGTGCGTCACCAGTTCGACGGCCCCCAACTGTGGATCGACGCTGCTCAGCACGCCCTCGCCGTCCTCGCCGCCCCTGCCACGTCTTCTTCCTCGCCCCCCTCTGACAGCAGCAACAGTGCCTCCGCCGCCGCACCCGCCGCCGCCGCCGCCGGGGCCCCGTCGTCGTCCTCGGCGCCCACCTCTGCTTCCTCGGGCACCTTTATCGAGCAGGTGGCCGCGCTGCGCGAGCTCGCCGCCGACGGCTTCGAGGCCGCCGACGACCACGCCGCCGCCGCCCGCGCCCTCGCCGAGATCCCGCTCGACTCGTCCCAGCGCCGCGTGTCGGACCAGGACCGCGTCGGCGTCTGGGTCCGCATCGTGCGCAACCTGCTCGAGGTCGACGACACCGCCGCCGCCGAGACCTACCTGAACAAGCTCAAGAACGTCATCTACCAGGTCCAGGACCCCGTCCTCAACCTGCACTTCCGCCTCTCCCAGGCCCGCATCCAGGACGCCAAGCGCGAGTTCCTCCCCGCGAGCCAGGCCTACCACGACATCTCCCTCTCCCCGGCCGTGTCCGAGGACGAGCGCCTCCACACCCTCGGCATGGCCGTCCGGTGCGCCATCCTCGCCCCCGCCGGGCCCCTGCGCCGCCGCGCGCTCGACCGCCTCTTCCGCGACGAGCGCGCCCCGCACCTGCCCGAGTTCGGCATGCTCGAGAAGATGTTCCTCGACCGCCTGCTGGCCCCCGCCGAGGTGCGCAAGTTCGCCGAGGGCCTCGCCCCGCACCAGCTCGCCATCACCGCCGACGGGTCCACCGTCCTCGCCCGCGCCGTCGTCGAGCACAACCTGCTCTCGGCCTCGCTCCTCTACAGCAACATCGGCTTCGACGGCCTCGCCCGCCTCCTCGGCCTCGACGAGAAGGAGGGCGGCGGCGGCAGCGGCGCCGCCGACGACGCCGCCTCCCGCGCCGAGGACATCACCGCCCGCATGATCGAGCAGGGCCGCCTCGTCGGCCACATCGACCAGGTCGAGCGCACCATCTGGTTCGGCGGCGGGGGGCTCGACGCCGCCGCCGCCGCCGCCGCCGCCGCCGAGGACAAGGGGCCGACGGCGGGCGCCGGGGGCTCGGGAGGAGGAGCTGGTGGTGGCGGTGGCGGTAGCGGCAACGGCGGCGGCGACGACGGCAGCCACGGCGCGTCGGCGGCGGCAGCGGCGGTGGCGGCGACGGCGGGCGGCGTCGGCCGCGAGATGCGCCGCTGGGACGCCAACGTGCAGAGCCTCGCCGAGGAGCTCGAGAGCGCGACCAACGCGCTGCAGCGCGAGTTCCCGGCCTTCGTCGCGGCGAACCTGGTGGTGTGAAGAGCGGACCCAGGACGGCCCCGGTCTGGCCGGGCGCGGAAGGAGAGGAGGAAGGGGGGAAGAGCAGAGCGCGACGCGGCGCGGAGGGAGAAGGGAAATGAAAAACAAAAACTTTTTTTTTTACGAGCTTGGAAGGGAGTGAGGGGAGAGGGAGAGGGGGTGGGGGCTACGGTTGCGGACGCAATGGACACGGCCCAGCATAAAGGGGTAAGGGGATATCATACCTACGCTGGTGGGAGGAGGGACGAATGAGAGGACGAGAGAACGAGTACGGCCGGTGGACTGAGTAATACTGAGTAATTGCTACGGCTGCTGCCCACTGCTATTACTACTTACTCACTGCTATCAGGGTATGTATGGTATGTGTGTATGTGTGTGGACAGGCAGGGTCAAACCAGCCAGCCAGCCAGCCAGCCAGAGAGCTGCTTGCAGGGCGGCGCATTGCGTATGGCCGTCGCTCGACGGGACGGGAAAGGGGAGGGGGGGAAGGGGACGCGGTCTGTCTAGACTCTACGCCGGATCCGCACGCAACACGTGCCGGGTTTCTCCTCTCCCCCTCCTCGCTCCGCCATCTGCACTAGAACGGCGCGCGCATCTCTGCCTCGCAGGAGGGGGATGGACGGACATGCGGAGAGGCTGAGATGCCAGGGCTGAGTAAGGCGAGACGGGAAGTCGTGAGATAAAAGAGGAAGAGGAATAGACACGGGTTGATGAGTAACACAAGCTAGTCGGCTCATTAAAAAAACTATATGGACCATCACGTAAACCTGCCCTCCCCCGAGAGTCTAGCCAAATCGTGTCGAGTCTCTTCGTGTCGCGCCGAGTCGGATGGAGTCGCTCCCTGCTCCAACTCCCATACTTCCTTCCACACATACTCTCTCTCTGTCTGTGTCCCTCGTCAACGTACCCAACTCTAGCTATCCGCCGCAGTAGTAATAATAGTAGTTCCCCAGCACCCACCCGATGCCAGGGGCAAAACTTGCGATAGGCAGGTCTCTCCGAGGCCGGTGCGGCATGGCACTACCGGTAAGTATTAGAGTGTGGTCCGGGCCACGCATAAATACATCGTTCAACTAAACCCATCGCGAGCCCCTCCTATATATATACATATGTGTATATCCCGTCGGCACCAGTCATCGCCGCCCCCGTAAACTACGTCGGCGCCTCTCAGTCGAGGTCCCCCTTGCGCACGACAATGTAGCCTTGGCTGAGGAGCTTGGGGTCTCCGCGCTCCTCCTCGAGTAGGGCGCGCTCGGCGGCGGCGCGGCGCTCGGCGCGGGAGAGCGGGGAGCGGACGAGCTCGGTGCCCTGGGCCTCGGCGAGGTGGAGGATGCGGGCGAGCGCACCGCCGATACGCTCGCCCATCAGGTCGTAGCCCTCGGCCGTCAGGTGCAGGCCGTCCATGTGCCAGTACCGGGGGCGGTCGGCCGGCAACATGTCATGGTAAGGGAGCCCGGCGTGCAGATCGTAGTAAAAGCTACAGATCCGCAGGAGGAGGAGGTTGTAGGTTAGCTTGCGCGTGTCGAATTCGGAGAGCGTCGAGGTTATAGGCAATAACTACAAGAATCAAGTTGAAGTAAGCAAGGGCACACGTACAAGTTCTCTCTCTTATATTCCTTAATGGCGGTATTCAGCTTCCCGCGGCGCTCGACGAGGCTTCCCATGCGGACCCTCGTGTCCGGAACGGTCAGCGCGAGCACCTTGCCGGCCCTGGACAGCGGTATGTCCCAGACGTCCTTGAGGCTAGCCAGAATGTTTTCTGCGGGATGCCCCCACCCGAGATCACTACGTGCAGATGGAATGTCAGCGTGTCGGGTCCCACGTAGGCACGCTTATAGCTGGTTTCTTCCTCTTCCTTTTGTAGGTCTTATCGGCCCATTGACGAATAGATATAGGTACGGGGGAAACGGAACCTACTTTGTGCCGCCCAGCACGATCGTCCAGTCGTACCACTCTTCAGGTGACCCTAGTGGTCCAAGTTAAAATCTTGGTTAGTTTGACGGCTTATCTTAACTAGATGTGGAAATATTTAAAAGGAGAGGGGAGAGGCTGGAGAGAGAGAAAGGGGGAACAAGCAGGACGCGGAAGTCTGTCGACTCGCGGTTCAAGAAGGTGAAGACGAATAAAAGTGGGAAGATAGCTCACAGGCGCTTCGCATCCGGGAGAGGTAAGTGCCGTTGGTTACCTTGTCCCCGGGAACGCCCTCGACCTCGCACTGGACCTCAACACCAGCGCCACCATTGTCCCCACGGAGGGCCACTTCGAGCGTCTCCTCGAGCTTGCCAGCGTACGGCTGGGCGGCTGGGAAGCCCGAGGTTAGCGAGTCGCCAAAGCAGAGGATGCGCAATTGGCGGCGGCGCGGTTTGGAAGGGGGCGGCATGGTGTGTAGGCCGCCTCGGCGCGCTCGGGGAGGTAGACGAAAATGCGAGGTGGGCCGGGGAGGTGGTGGTCGCAGGAGGGTGAGGCGCAAGACGGGGGGGATGGTGTTCAGCCGCGCCGTGGTATGCAGGTACAGCGGCTTCGCACCGACGTATTCTTAGCTGGCGAGACGAGGATGGAGAGCGAGAGAGAGATATGTACCCAGGTGGGTGCCTGGTAGTAGATAGGTACCTAAGGCTGCCCGAGGTGTAGACAGAGTAGAGCGGATTAGGATATGTATCGATGCTGTCGCGTTCGCGGTGTGCCTCCAACGGACGGTGCGTGCGAGGGTGCGGAGGCGAGCGAGCCGGCGTAAGGGATGTAAGGTAGGGGGGAGGTAATGCCTCTATACCCATGCACATACACGAGATTAGAGGGAGAGTGAGAGAGAGGGGGGGAGGCGGGATGAGAGAAGTAAAAAGAGGGACGGAGAGAGGTAGGTAAGGTGTAGGTAGGAGGTAGAGGTAGGCAGGTGGATGAGTACAGGTAGGCAGATTAGTACGTTAATTAGTAGGTAGGTACTTACCTAGGTACCTACCTCCTAGTTGCTGACTTAGAAGCAAGGCTTGCCTAGGGGCTGGGCAGCACCTGCCCCTCCGCTCATGACATCCGCCGGCTGCACCTTTGATAAACCATATGGAGGGGAGAGTGCTTGGCTGATACGTAGGTACGTATGTATACATGACCTAAGGCGCAACCGATTTGCCCCTCCCCCCCCCTCAGCCCTGTCGACCCCACGTCAAGTGTAGTCCTACTATATACCTATGTATAATCACACGCAGCACTAGCAGCAGCACTTCCCTTACCTTGAGAAAAGGTACCGAAACCTACTAAAGCACCTAAGTAACTTAATTGGGGGACAGAAGTACCTCCCTACCTCTAGATGACCGGGGAGGTACTCGTCCGAGGTGGGTTGGGTACCTTAGGTACCTTGGATACCTAAGTGATTAGGTCGGTACCTGCCTGAGGCTAGGACGTACCTAATATCCACAGCCATGAGCAAAGCCAAGGCTACAGAATCTACCTAGCACCGGCCCACCCACCTTAGCAAGCCTGAGAAGATGCCTACCGTATACCACCACCACCACCACTCCGCCCAAGGTCAACGCAAACCCCCTGCCGTGCCGCGAGTGCTTGTATATATTGAATATATATGTGTATGTGATCTGTATGCTGTACCATGCTACCAGAGAGACAAGAAAAGAACAGGGTCACGTTGAACCCCTGGACTAGACAAGAGACCCCCTGCCCAAGACAAACGAGATGCGACATGCTTTGCAACCTTGCGCAAGCGTGGTGTAGAGTACTAAGTACAACGGAAACTTATGGAGTGGCCTGACTCTGCCTCTCTCTGCTCTACCGAGTCCATCCTTCCTGAACCCCTGGCTGGTGCTCACCTCCCGGCCACACCGTTAAAATGCCGACTCGTCAGCCCTCCCCGGCTTTCAGCAGATCGCCATCGTTCCTAGCCAGCATCGCCTCCCCTCCCCTCCCCCACGCCGGGAACCGTCCGTCGTAAGAAGCACTTTTCTCTCCCGATCGTGTCAGAACGCGTGCCCCTGGTAGGAATATTGGTTGTACCCTCGTCCCGCTGGCGGCGGGCTCTGCGTCGGATACGACGGCGCCGGCGACGTCATGCCCTGGTGGGGGTTGAAGCGCGGGTCCAGGTTGCTTGGCGGCGGCGGCGACCGGAACCCCGGCCCCGGTGGCGACCAACCCCCATCCTGTTCGAGCGGCGGGCCCATCGTGCTTCCGTAGCTGACGTACCCGCCCCCGTGCGCCGCGTTGCCGCGCCCCATATTGGAGTACATGCCCGCCGGTGGCGGCATAGTCGACGGCGACACCTGCTGTTGCATCGCCTGTTGCAGCTGCCTTTGGTTGATGGCGTGCTGGGCGGCTTGGCTGCTCCATCCTTGCTTCATCTGTAGCTTCTCGCGTTCTCTCGCCTGGATTGCGCCGACTAATCCCGCGTTAGTCTGCGCCGGACTTCGGTTGCCCGCCATGTTGATCAGCGGGGAGCCCGTCACCCGTGCCACATGCTCCTGCTCCCGGGCTGACAGGTGCGAGTCGCTGCCACCTTGGCCGCCCAGCACCGCCCCGGCGCCTCGAGAGCCTGGGCGTTGTAAGAGGTCCTGGGAGTTGTTTCGAGAGTGCGAAATGCCCACGTAATCATTGCCTTGGCCTCGGCCGAGAGGTGGGGTGGGAGTGCTGGTTCTGAACCCGCCAAGCGTATTCCCCGACGAGTGCCTGTGATGGTGAGAATAGAGTGGCGCTGCCGACGCGGCCGCCCGTTGCTGGACGTATTCCTCAGGCGATATACCTTGGGATCCCGGGTTGCTAGATCCGGCGTTGGCTGCAGCTGGCTGCCAAATGACGCTTCGTCGTACCGTGTCTTCAGATTCCTGGCGGCTATGTCCCATTTCAGACCCGGGGGACCTCCGTGCGGAGGTGGTAGGCGTCGCGGTTCGTGGCGCTGTCGCATAGTTGAGGGTCGGCCCGAAGTCTATACTCGGAATATCGTAGGTAGAGCCGGCAGGTGAGTCGTCTGCGTTTCCCGTAGTGCGAAGGACACCGGCTCGTGGTCGCTCGCCGACCGAGGACGCCGTATCCGTCGACGGGCGAGAGCTGGCGTAGTCGGGGCTACCCGTCGATGCCGAATCGTCGTAGCGGCTGCTGGCCTGGCTCACGCCAGTGTCTTGGCGTCGCATTCCGGTATTCGGAGGAAGTCGACCTTGGGGAGCATTGATAGGGCGGATCTGGCCTAGCCCAACAGCGTCGATGCGGTTGCCTGTAATACTCCCGCTACTTGTTGAAGGAGATTGAGGCGTTATGTCGTCGCGAACCTGTCGATGCTGCAAACTGTCGGAACGGGTGGGTAGGGGCTTCCTGTGGATTGGGGGAGAAGTATTCAGCGGTGGTAGAGGGGCGCGATTAGGGGGCGACATCGGCCCCTCTGGACCGCCGGGACCTGGTGCCCCCTGTGGTGGATACCCCCTATACATATCGTCGCGGGGAGGGTGATTCGGATTGCCACGTCCTGGCGGTGGCATGTTCGGTGGAGGGCGACCGCGACCCCGTCCGGGAGGGGCCATGCCGTAAGGAGAGGGGCCTCGCTGCCCTGGAGGCATATGGCCGGGTGGTGGTGGTGGTAGTCCATGTCCGGGAGGAGGAGGTCGGAAGTTCGGAGTCTGCGGTCCCGGGCCTGGACTGGGGCCCCGAGGACCGGAAGGCGGGGGGCTCATGGTTTGGTTTAACGGTGATATTGATCGTGTTGTTTCAGGGCCCATCGAGGAGGGTGCGAGCCCAGGAGAGCGTGCTTGGTTTTCCGTTAAACCTTCACGAGATCCGGCATTAGCAAACGTCCCATTGTTGTAGGCGTGAGGATGTACCGGTGGCTGCTGTGGAGGCGGTCCGCGACGCTCCATGTCGTTTTGTGCGGGTTCCCATGCCCCCTCGCCGACGGAAACGCCGCTAGTATTGGTTATCTGGGCGAGGGTAGTTAGGGATAGGCGGCTGTTCGCGCGGCGCATCTCGGGCGAATGGTACGGTCGCGTCGTAGGTACGTGTCCCGGGGCGTGAGAGAAGCCCGGGGGTTGAGAGACCGGCTCCGGAGTGCGCATCCTTTGAATTCCGTCAAAATCACGCATGGGGTTGGCCAGATCTTCATCAGAGCTCACGGGTTCTGGACCATGGTCGTGGGCTAAGTTGCGCGCTGGATTGGGTCCGCGTCCCGAGAGTGGGCTAGATGAGTATGGCCCGCCCTGATAGGTAGGGGGTTGCGGTGGCGTAGGGCCCGATGCGCGGGAATCCGATGCGTTCCGCGTATGGCCGGACTTATTCCCAGGCACCGCGGAAGGATCCCGTTCTTGATCCGAAGGGGGAGCCGAATCGGTCCTTGGGGACGGTCGACTATTTAGCGACATTGACCGAGACGAGCGGACCGAGGGAGGCGACGGTCCATCCGCAAAACCGACGCGAGGCTTCGAGGGAGCCCCCCCGGCTGGGCCGAAACTGAGGCGCTTGGTACGGTCGTTGGTCTGGCTTGACGAGGCGCTCCCTTCGTCGTCTGCGCTGTTCATTCGGGTACCGGTCAACTCCTTGAGCTTCTTTCTCCACTCGCGCTCGTTCCAACTCGCACTGCCATCGGTCGAAATTAGTCCCGACACATCTAGTGGTTCCAAATAGCCGTAATGCTTGTGCTTGGGCATCGCAAACATGAGGGATCTCGAGTCTAGGACGCTCGCAACCAGTCTGCCGGGACGACCATAGAGGCCAAACGTATCCCAGGTGGGGAACAAGAACCGCAGCATCATTTCGAACCCGCTAACGGCCGGGTGGACCTCGGGCATGATGAACACGAAGCCCTCGCTCGACGTCGGAGGATCAGAGTGGATGGTAATATTGCCCTCGATTTTCACCAGGGTCGAAGCATCAATCAGCGACCTGGCCTGGGGGTACAGGGCATATGCCGAATATGCGTCGTTGATGGTTGCGATGGGTAACATTTTCTTATGCTTCTTCCCCTCCTTCCTCGAGTCGTAGAATTTGATGTCTCCCTTCAGGAGCGGCGCATGCGAACGGTCATACGGGGATTTTTTCTTGTGCTCCTTTTGCGCCTTTTGGAATTCCTTCTCGTCAGGCGGCGTGATGACACACCAACAGCGCCTCCACGGCACGCCGGCGCCAAATCGGACCCTAACCCATTGATCCATGGGGATGCGCGCCCTCTCCATGATGACTCCGATATTGTTCAAGGTCTTGCCTTTGCCCGCAATCAGAGCGCCGGTATAGGCCTCCTGCAGTGTCGAATGCTCAAACATGGCCAGTCGGATGCCGGCCGTCCATTGTATCAGAGACTGGCGAGAACTGAAGTGCAGCAAATAGCGGTTCCGCCCGGCCGTCGACACGCTGAGGATGTTTTGCAAGGGTTGCTCGTCGCTCGATCTCGTAGGCAGCGACTCGATCTAGGTATGCAGGCATTAGTCCGAATCCACGCCGACCGGAGACCCCGGCCCCACGACGGACGCTGGCACTCGTACCATCTTGATAGAAGCATCCGTCAAGTTTATGAACTTGGGCAGGACTTTGCCGTCCTCGCCGGCGGCATCCAGCTCGGCCGCGTCCCAAAGGGACAGGACAGTCCCCACCAGCTGAGCAAAGCATTCCGTCCATGTGCGATCGCTATTGGGTTTCCCCTCTGCAGGATATTAGATCGTCGGCCAGCGGCGGGGTCGGAGGCAGGTAGGCTTACGGATATTCTGGTCATCTAATTTGACAAAGTACCCTTCCTGGTACAACTTGTTGGCGTGGCTGTTGAGGAAGGTGAAGATGGGCTGGAGTTCGGGGATCGTATCCTCGCTGACATCCATGAGGGGCGGTTGGTAGGTCTGCACCATGGATAAGGGCCTCGATGAGCTACGGCTCGTCGTCCTACGGTGGGTTTCGGGCGATATATGCCAATCTGCTAGAGGCAAACTGTCATGGTTGACCGGTGCAGATGTTGCGGGAATCGGCGTCGACGCGGCCCGAGAGCGGGTGCGGGCTCGGAAAGCACCTACGTTGATTATGCTGTGAGTTTTGGAATGGCTGGCTACGTTCGGCCTGCCGTTGGGGAAAGGAATCTGGTCGCCCGGTGGTGAGGGAGAGCGTGAGGGCGAGGCGCCGCGGGCGTTTGGGACGTTTTTAGGATCGCCGTTGAGCTGAGAGTGATGGGAACCAGAGAAGTGGGACATAAACGAGAGCACTACAGGCCGTGGTCCCGAGAAGGACGAGTTAGCATAAGAACCAGACGGGCATTGCATAAAAGCGACAATACGGCCACGAGAAGGGAGGAGTGGGACCGGAGGAGAGGCGGTGGAGGATGTGATTGGCCAAACTGGGCGGTGGAGGCTTATGCAAGTAGACGTAGACGGCTCAAGAGTGACCGGTAAGCTCCCAAATTTAGGTACCTGGGTAGGTACCTAGGTAAGTACCCCCACTTGGGTCCGTCAGGTAGCCCTGTGACCGGAGGGCGCCTGTGAGATCGAGTAGCAAGTACCCGGGCACCGGACGAGGAACTTCCATAGGTACGTTGCGCTGTACGGGTCGGGGGGGTGGTAGAGGGGAGCCTCAGCAGGCCCATGCCGCCCGCTGCTAACTTCGCAGTGCATCAAGTTCAACTCGATCGATCACTTCGCGTTAACCCCGAAAGCAGACAGGTAGACAACAGACAGCAAATGCCGGGATTGCGCTGCTGTAGGCGGCCCTAGGTACCCATATAGACCTGAAATTGCAGGCGGCCCAGGGGTAATGACAATGCTCAGATACGTGCTGAGGACTGCGCCAGGTCCAGGTCGACCGCCTATCCGTAAGGCCAAGTAGCGGACGGGGTGGGCAGACGCCGCCGTTGGACGTGTACCGTAGCAGATAGATGAATGCAGAGGGCAATACATGTGCGCAGCAAAACGGAACAATGCCGCGACGCGTATACATAGAGGCGTGTTGCGTATTCCCGCTGCACCTGTCAAGTAGATCCCGGCAATGCGGCACAACTTTCGGTGTGCACATACCAGGAAGACGAGGACAGCCAGGGCACCATCGTCTCCGTCATACAGAGGCGAGAGATGAAGATAGATGTTGATGATAATCTTGCAAAGAGCTCGGGCGGACTGATGGGCCCACGTAGAGGACCGGTATATATGTAAGAAGACTCAGGACCCGAGGTTGGGAGCCACGCTTGTAGGAGGCAGCATACACGACAGGAATCATCTCTCATGACACGATATTCAGAAAGAGATTGCTATTATCATGCCTGTAGCTTGCAGAACAGCTACGTACGGGATGGGCAGATGACGAGGTACCACAGGGGCGGGTGCAACTCAAGGATCTCTCCGAATGTATCCTCGACTGTTGGTGCCAGGCGAAGCAACCGACGGGGGGGGGCAGGCAAAATTGACGATATTAGGAAAGTGTACTGACCTCGATTCCGACCCATTTTGACCCCTAGACGGACTCAGCAGCCTGCCAAATAGCAGGGCAGACCGAGAATCTTTATCCCGCCAGCTTAGCTGTGTCAACTTTTCGGCCCTTTGCTGTACGCAGGTTATGTACCTAGGTGAAGGGCAAGGGTGGCCCACAGGGGAGACAGACGACCAGACTGGTGATGTTAGATTCCGATGCTCCGTGGGCTTCGATTTTATTAGTCGGCTATTAGCTCGCGTCGAGATGGGTTTCGTCGTATTGAGATCCGCCGCGCTGGACGAGAGAAGAGCGAGAAGGGGACCGGAAATAAAGAGGAAAAAAAAAGGTTACAACAAAAAAAGAAAAGAAAAGAAACGAGGGAAAAGAAGACGAGAGGGAGGGAAGAAAAAAAAAGAGTAGGCCTAAGATGCAAATGGCCGGGAAGTCAAACAAATCAAATCGGAACTGTCCTGGAACAGGTGGGCGTATATGCGGGTTTTGTAGCTCTAGTTATAAGTGTCTCCACGCAATACGAATTTGTGGAATGCTGGGGAAGGGTAAAGTCTCGGAACCCCGTATCTTGGTGTGTGAGTTGATATCCTGCGACGATGATCCGGCCAGCCCTCGCGCTCTCAATCTAACTTCTCCCCGATACGTCCTGATTCGATTCGAGAAAATCGAGCGAAGACGACGAAAGCGCATCGAGGTCCTAGCCCAGTGTTGATTATGGATTTGGCTATCGTCGTTCGGGGCGTTGCCGAAGTGCGGAAGCGCCGGGGGCAACTCGATACGACCACGAACCTGGCTCGGCTTTACTAGGCCAGCGACGCTGCGGTGCCCTGGAGGGTGTGCGTACGATCACGCGACGGGCGAAGTGATTGTCTAGGGGGTCTTCGGAACCACGCTCTATGTGATCTGGATTAACAATGACCGAATCTGAAGAAACTAATAAAGAAAACACTCGGGGCGGGATGCCTCGCTAGCGTCGACGACGGACGACAAGATGGAGATGGCTGGTTATCCAAGAAGCCCTGAGAGACGAGAGACCAGAGGACGGGGCCAAGAGACAAGATCGGGAGAGACTGAGCGCCCCGTCGGACTTGAAATCTTCCTTACCAGTCCACCTACCTACCCGTGGCGTACACAGCATGCGCCGACAACAGGTGCTAGAATCGAAGCTGGCGACCACACACAATAGGAGGTACCTACTAAGAAAACGAAAGAGGGCGAGAGGATGGTAGGCGCAAGGACATACGTCAGTGTCCAAGACCACATGGGCTTGGGACCTCATACTGATGGATACGCGACTCGGAGATACTGCACGCTCACTCTAGCCGCTAAGGCCTCCTGGCTGTAGGTATTGTACCTCCCGTAGATGGGGAGGTGTGCAGGTACCTAACGTGTTGTGCCGTGGCGCGGGTTGTGGAATAGCATCCGCCAAACTACATCCTAGGCGGGAGGTATGTAGGCATGTACTCCCCATACCGTGATGGGCTTCGCGGATCTTGGATATGCATGCCTACCTAGGTACCTACCTACCTCCTACATATATTAACTGTTGCATACAAAATGTACATGCATATGGCGTCCCTTGAGGTCGTACTATACATGTAGGGATTTGCACTGTCGCACTGTCGTATGTATAGAAAGTCCCCAAGGTATACGTTATAGGTATTACCGCATCTGATACACGTACATATTTATCGACCCGCATCGTGCGTCGGTAACACGGTGGCTTGCCTAGCGCTCTATTTTTCATCGAGGCCATCATGTAGGTACATGTCATACCTAGCGACCTCGGGAGCTTACCAGGCAGGCGGATTGCCCTAGACAACCTATTATGCTATCTCCTACCACCCGTACGAGGAACGGGTAACGCGTAGTAGGTAAATAGTAGCAATCCACTGCCATTAGGATCTTGAATACTTGCCTGTCTCTGAAGTAACAGGTAGGTAAGCACACACACACACACACACACACACACACACAGAGTAAGCTTAAACATTTGAGGAGTCGCGGTCCTTTCCGAGAGAGACAATTGGGTCGGGACGAGTAAGGATAGCCCGGACGGATGCGACGGATAGTCCCATTGCAGCATGTAGCCATGCAACCAAGAGGAGGTGGGCGGGTACTTTGGAAAGTACCTTAGGTAGGTCCCTCCTCACCTCACCTCACCTCACCTAAGGGTCCGTTATGTAGGTACCTATCTTAGGTAGTAGGCAGGCGGGTATACATCATATATACTCGTATGTCCGCTCTCTGGAACAAGTGTTTTTCTCCCTTTCCTTTCCATCGGCCTACCATTATCTCTGCTCTTCTCGATCCTCTGCCCCCGCCCCCAAATCTCTCCTTACATTAGGTACCAGATAAATCATACACACATACTAAGAAACATTCGCAGGGGACTCCGCTTCGTTCGCTAAGCGATTCGGCGTAGCGAGGATTTTAGCGTGACATGGCTGCATAGGTGCGAATACGATGGAGATTTCGTATTCCGTATTGCATGCCGATGTAGATGCGTACATACCGCGCAGGCACCGAGTTAAGTTCTGTGGGCAACGGGCGGATATAAGAGATGTGCGCACATACATCAGCCCCTACACACGCATACCTATCTACATACATACATACATGTGTATACATATGCGTGCAGCAAGCAGGCTCCCAAGCACAGGCTCTTGGCTGCCAGATGGGCTGGCTACTGTCCAATCAGCCAGCCACACACCGAGCGATTCTCGACAGCCATATACGAACGGCCACCGACGATCGCAGGGGGGTTGGTGGGTGATGATGCAATTTTTATTTTCATTGGGTCTCGAGGTACCGCCGAAATCGAGCTTGGGGCAACTGAATTGGTTACCCGCGGGTTCGGCTGCCTTCGCGCTCACAAGACCAAAGAACACGAGGGTTTCTATTTGAGTACCCAAGCTCACATGCACATACACACCGGTCGGGGAATATACCACACGTACATATGGGTAGAGGAACGAGCCAAGGACTCCCGCAGCGCCCAGCCTCCCGCGACGCGCGTTTTCGCGAGACTGGATTCTTCGAGATGGAGGATGAATTTGCCAAGTATAACCCGGACAGAACGGACACCTCTACCCCATATACGGATGGATGGATGTAGCAATACTGCCAAGTACCGGCCCCGATGTGTACGTCATGCCTAGGCCTGCCGTCTGCTAGAACGGACATGAGGCTGGATGTACCTATGGGAGGAGGTACCCAGGTACCTAATGGTAGGTGTATATGGACGTTAGTATGTTGCGGCGCCTGGGGCGAGGGAGGCTAGAAGGTAGCGCGTTAACCAAGGCCTTGGAAAGCAAATTAAAAGTTGGCGCCTGTCGCTGACGGACCTAGAAGCCTTGGGTCGAGTAAAGGGATCGTGCATATCGTACCTAGGAATCCTCCGTACTCATATGGAGAACGTCGAGGCTAGGCCAAGCTCTAGGCGCAACGCTGAAGTGGCCAAGCGCCTTGAGGACCTCGAGATGTTGTGATGCCGTAAATACCTACCTCGAGATGTTCCGTTCCGACTCTTGAGCCTCCCCTGGCCCCCTTTCTTTTTTTTTTCATCGCATGTCCGTAGTGAAGGATGCGTCAGCGGGTCGAATTCCCCACCTCCTTGGATTCGACTCCTACTTCTTATACAGTGCTACGTAGCACAGTGACACAGCGAACAGAAGAAGGTCTATGAGAGAGGTAGGTGTTCGCTCAATCAAAGGCCAATACCGCTACAGCTGTTTGACTTTTTGGTAATGATAATAGGTGCAAGCAGACGTAAGGGGGAGGGGGGGAATTGAACACATTGCCATAATAAGGTAGGTTAGGAAGTATCTGATGCTCGCTAGGACCTACTATGAGAATGAGGTTGAGGTTAGAAAGGATGCCTAGATATCGGAGCTGTGTGAAAATGATGTCATCATCATTCCTAGTAACTCCATGAGCCTTCGCATCAAGTTCCGATGCTCCGAGTCCCAGACTCTCGGGATTTTGTCACATAAGTAGGTATTTTTAGTCAATCACGCTATATACATACCACCTCCAACGGGCGGAGGTTACTTAACACGTAGATAAACGATAAATAATAGACAGTAGCTCAGTAGTAAAACTTAAGTATATTAAATATAGAGTATATTTACTATAAAAAGAAGAATGAAGTTTTTTATAATATATTTATAAAAAATTTAATATTAATATAATTTTTAAATTATATAATATTAATGAAAGATTTTATAAAATATTAATTTTTTATTAAAATTTTTATTATAATTATTTAATTATAATTAAATGTGAATATTATTAATTTTTCATTTTAGTAATATTCATAATGATTTTTGTTATTTTTATTTTTACTTATAGATCTATCTGAAAGAGGTACCTGAAGTACCTATACCTAGGTACCTACGTAGGCACTGTGCTTAATAAGGCGTAGGCAGGTGGTTTAACGCATTGCAACATTGACCGTCGTCGAGTGTAGCGCGTCTTGCCAGGTGGTATCAACCCACGACGACATCCGGTTGCCCGCCCTCAAGGTCCGCGGTTAGACCTCACCGTGGGTATGAGAAAATCACCTCCGTCCTTCCTGTTGGTCTCCAGTATTGGCCCAACCCGACGGACGATATTTCCCGTTTTTCTAGCACGATGGCATCGGCGTCCCCAACATACCGCTGGCGGTAGCCACTCCTTCGGCGCCGCCGCGACATCCGGCGACATAACACCACCGCTGCCCGATTCCGGTCTCAAACTTCCGTTCCGCTTCGAGACCGGCTTATCCCTCTTCGCCAAACGAACTCCGAGACCATTCCCCCCGCCGTTCTTATCCCCTCCGTCTGGCTCCTTCTCAGACCCCCTCAGCACCCATCACCGGAGTCGCGACAAGCGGGCGTCTGTCGGTGGTGAGCCCATTCGTGGGCGGACCAACGGGGACGACGCCGTATATGCCAGCGACTACTTCATATGTGCTAACGACGGGGTTGGCGCCTGGTCAGCTCGCCCGAGGGGCCATGCAGGGTACTGTTCCACCGCCGCCCAAGCCTTCGATTAATTATCACAGCGCGCCGTAATTAACAGTGGCTACAGCTTATGGTCTAGGTTGATACTGCACTTCTGGGTGGCCGCGATGCAGGAAGATATGGCAAGATCACGATCGACAGACCAACCCTACCGCCCAGATCCCATACGCTATTTGCAGCATGCGTATGAGCGCACGATCGAGGCCACCTCTGGGCCGAACGGTTTTCTAGGGACCACGACAGCCGCCGGGGCGCAACTCTTCTACAAGACTGACACGGCTGACCCCACGTCGCCCGTATCGCCGCTTCTATACGTGACCAACCTGGGCGACTCTCAGATCATGGTTGTGCGCCCGAAAAGCCGGGAGATGGTGTACAAGTCGAAGGAACAATGGCATTGGTTCGACTGTCCGAGACAACTCGGCACCAACAGCCCAGACACGCCAGTCGACAACGCGGTCCTAGATACCGTGGAGCTGATGGAGGGCGATGTCGTGCTGGCGATGTCGGACGGCGTCATTGATAACCTCTGGGGACACGAGATCGTCGAAAACGTGTCCAAGAGCGTTGAGCGCTGGGAGGCGGGAGAAGGAGGCGAGGCGAGCGGGCCCCGCAAAGACGGTGCCAACGGCGGCATGCTATTCGTAGCACAGGAGCTCGTCAACGCCGCGAAGCAGATCGCGACCGACCCTTTTGCAGAGAGCCCCTTCATGGAACATGCCACCGAAGAGGGACTAGCCAGCGAAGGAGGTATGTGTCGCACGGGCGTCGATCGACCTCCTTCTGTTTTACTATTTTATGCTAACGGGTGTAGGGAAACTTGATGACATCAGTGTTGTGGCCGCCTTGTGCCAACGGAATGCAGTTCCGTAATTCGATGATAGGTCGCTATGCACGGCTATGTAGATATTTTGCTCGCAGGCGGTGCTGGGTCGCCCGTGTCATGGCACGGGCACGGATGCGAATAACCCATTCAACACCTACCTATTTCCTAACACATTACACGGCCTTGAGGCGCCCAACCTAGGGATAACTTGAAGGGATTAGATTTGCTTAGATATATATACAGGATATACTGGGAACATAGGAGCGTTGGGAGATTCGTATAAGCCATGGAGATACCTGAGTAGGTACCTGATAATCTATAGTAAAGAAGACGTGGAATAAATAACTACGTACATTGAAATTCCATGTCATGAATGAAATGGGTATAAACCCAGTGGGTGGTTGAGCATGTGATGTCTACGTGCCTTACCTAATGATGTACCTACCTAGGGACCTCATGTATAATATGTATATGCACATGTATCGCCTATATCCATGCAACACATTATGGGGCTCTGCATTTCCGGTCCACATTTTAAAGAAGCCAAGATTACCTGACCTGGTATCACTATCGCTATCTTTATCGGTATCGGCTAGCTAGAGAAGAATCTCGGCGGCTTAAAAAATTGGAAATCCCAATTCCCGCGACTTCAATACACGAGAACTGCCCACTCGTCGATCAAAGCAAGATGCCTCGGGCGAAGCGGTCGAAGCAGTATCGCAAGCTCATGGAACAGTTCTCCATGGGCTGGGGATTCCGAGAGCCGTACCAAGTCCTCGTGGATGCCGATTTCATCTCAGAGGCGAACAGATGCAAGATGGACCTAATCCGACGCCTAGAAGACACTTTGCACGGACAGGTCAAACCGAGTATGCTTTACGCCTCTACTCCCCTTGGGTAGTATTGCTTCTGCCATTTCGCTGACCACATATCGCTAGTGATCACGCAGTGCTCTATGCGGCACCTCTACGCGCAAAAATCAGAACCGGGTGTGGAAGCAGCTATCGAGCTGGCAAAGAGTCAATTCGAGCGACGACGATGCGGCCACCATCCCAACGAATACCCGACGCCCCTGAGCACGTCCGAATGCCTCCATTCGGTGGTGGATCCTAAGGATAACGGGGTGAACCGTCACCGTTATGTGTGTGCTATCAATGACGACGCTGTCAGAGCAAATCTACGCCAGGTAGCAGGGACACCATTGCTATTCATTAGAAGATCGGTGATGATCATGGAGCCGATGGCAACGGTTAGCGCTAAGGCAAGATCCAAAGACGAGAAGAGCAAATTCAGAGCAGAGATCAAGAGGTCGGGTGATAAGAGGAAGAGGGAGGAGGAGGAGGAGGACGGCGGCGGCGGCAGCGAGAGGAAAGACACGAGCGAACAGAGCATTGGAGGAGCCGTAGGAGGTGAGAAGACTGAGAGGAAGAAAAAGAAGACCTACGGCCGCAAGGAACCCAATCCGCTCTCCGTCAAGAAGAAGAAGAAGAAACCAGAGCAAGCTGCGGACGACCAACATCCCAAGACGTCTCCAGTAAGGAGGGCAGTCGTGTCAGAAAAGACAGAAGGAGGAGAAGCGCCAAAACGAAAACGCCGAAGGAAACACAAGGGTAGTCGCGTATCCGCAGGGGACGAGGCGGCTTCTACAGTCAACGGCCCTACTGCTACGGCGACGGATGCAGCTAATGAAGACTGAACATATCCAATCCTCGCAAAAGGAAGCGCCTTGACAGGGGCTACAGCGCCCTGACCCGTAACAGTGCTGCAATTTTGTACATTTATGATACAAGCAATTGATACCACAATATGTTGTTTCTCTCCATCACCTTTGGGATCAATTACTGCCTGGTCTTAACAGCAAGTTCCCTACGCTAGATGGCTACCGGGGATAGTTTGTCGAATGCTGTATTAGCATAGGTAGGCGCTATGTTAAGTGGACAGGTAGTGGACCAGTCCGGAGCCCGAGGTCTACGATGCCCCGGTTGCTCCATACCTCAAGATATCAACATACGTATAATACAGAATGGATGCCGGCTAACCGGCCAAGCAAGCCATTCGTTACTTCGGGTACCCAAGACATCCCCTAACCTCTCCTTACTAACCTCCAGCCTCTGGAATGCCATCCATCCCATCCACACCCATTTATATGTACATGTATAAGCACCTGGGACTTCCGGTACCTCGCGGTTGATTCAAGGCTACCTCTAATATTGCTATATAGGTACATAGGCGCCTATAGATGCCGAACTTAAGGTACCTACCTGAGGTAGGTGTAGGTACCTCTAACCTATGGCGTATAGGTATCTTCTCAGGTACATAGCATGGGCCTGACTCGCCCCTTACTCGCAACCACAGCTTAAAGTGTTATGCCTGTTGCACTCTTAGGTGCATAGGTATGTACATGTACCTACAGCTGATGCTGGGTCCTCCCCAAGGACCGCATACAGCGAGCAGTAGGTACCTTAGGTACCTACCTATACTGGAAGGCAGTACATGTCCTGTATGGTGGGTACGTGCTGCTGCTGCTACGAGGTACCTGATACCTGCGAAATGCCAGCCGGCAATATTCCTGCCGTTACGTTAGCAGGTAGCGACTAGTGAGGGTACCTGGCTACGGCTTTTGAAATTCTAGTCCCGATTAGCATCAGGTCCAAATCCAAATTTCGAGCTTCCTCTTCTCAGTCCTTCTCAACACCTTCACACCTCACCTTGCGGAGCCGTCGTGTTCGAAAACTACTTGGGCGCTTCATTTCGACGCAAAGCGCCCCTCTGGTACCGCTGGTCTTGTCACCAGTCGCAGTCAACCAGGGTTCGAAATCGCTTACAGGGGTCCGGAGAGGTCCATTGCTGATGATCGTCTGGAATCCCAACTGCTCTTCTCCGCCTGACTGCTATTATCGTGGGGAATGCGAACCCCATTGCGATCGCATCGAGTCGGTGAACTAAACGAAAATACATGCCTGGCAAGCTGGACCCATGGCGCCGGTAGGAGCTCAGGATTTCGACGACTTCGGCCTGCCCATCAGGAAATACGTCAGCCCTAGTCCGGAGACCGGCCCAGAGAAGCAGCCAGAAAACCTAAACAACGCACCCGCTCCGGCGATAGGCAAGGACGTGAGGAAGGAAAAGGTCGATGCGACTGAGGAGATCAAGACGACGGAAGCGAGCTTGAAGTCGTCTCCCAGCCAGCCGGCGAAATCAAACGGAACCTCCGCCGCTACCAGTGACGATGACAATTTCCAAGATGCACGCTCTACCCCCTTGCGAGAGACCGCGCCACCCATCAAGCTGCAAGACGCCGACGAATCCAAAACGCCCGCGCCCTCGCAATCCGAGATAGGAAAGCAGACCGATGCTCCGAAAGATAAACTGAGCGACGGCTTGTACTCGTATGAGACAGAGTCTCCGCAAGATCACAAGCGTAAATATACCCCTAGCAAAGATGTGCAGGCGATCTCGGGCCCAACGATCAGGGAGATCCAAACCCGCAAGCACGTCGACGAAACAAAGGGGGCCTCTCACCACGCCGACCACACACGAGGCGCTAGCGTAGCTAGCACGAACCATGACCTCTCCGAGTACTCCCATCAGCAGATACCGGACCACCATGAGAAGGAGAAGAAGGATGAAGATGAGGAGTGGCAGACGATGCCGTCCTACGCGCCTTATGATATATATGACGACGACAATAAACTTGTGGCCAAGGAACACAATCCTGATGAAGACGATACGTATGGGTATGCGGGTCTCGGCGGCGCTGGTAAGGGGTATACGAGGGTCTTAGATGATGAGGATGCCGAGTCAGAAACGAGTATGGATGACAACACGCGCTATCTCTTTAAAACTGGCAAGACCACGAGTCTAACGGAACTGGATGATGAGCAACGAGATACCGTCTCGCAGCTACAGGCCACCAAGGATTTATTAACTGAAGGGCAGAGGATAGCTTATGTTGGCGTCACCCGTTTAGAGCTTTCGGAGATGGTCAAGGAGGCAGAACGTGTCGAGAGACTAAACAAGGTCAAGAAGGAGGTTCGGATGGCGGTCGAAGCGATGAAGATGTGGTCACAAAAGATCATGATCCGTCTATATGCTCACATGGAAATCAGTCCCGCCGAGCAGGTAATGATTGAGCAGTTGGCTGAACATGGAGTCATGCCCAAGGATCTCACGCCGGCCCTCATGCAGAACGCGAGGGTGAAGAACCCGATGGCGGAGCAGACGCCCGCCTCGACCCCAAGGCTACCATCGAGAAGCCCGCGGTCGTCCGTTTCGACATCTATCACGGAGGAGCAGACCGCGGAACCGCCTCCACCATACGTCAGCCACGAGGGCGAGGAGATGCCGGAAGTGAGGACACCCTCGCAGCTACCTAGCACCGAAAAGATTGATATAGACCTACGGTGGACCGTCCTTTGCGACCTCTTTCTAGTATTGATCGCGGATTCCATCTACGACTCACGCTCTCGAGTCCTCCTCGAACGAGTGGGCAAAGACCTAGAGGTGCCTTGGCTGGATATCTGTAGATTTGAAAAACGAGTCACCGATGCGTTAGAGATGCAGCAGCAGGCCGAGAAAGAGAACTGGAACGAGGGGGAGCATCTCGAGAACCGGAGGAAACTTGCCCTCAAACGGCGCTACGTTATGATGGGCTTGGCCACCGTTGGAGGTGGTCTGGTCATCGGTCTCTCCGCCGGGCTCCTAGCGCCTCTCATCGGCGCTGGCCTTGCCGCCGGCTTTACGACTATCGGGGTTGGTGGCACAAGCTCCTTTCTAGCGGGGGCCGGGGGAGCTGCTCTCATCACCTCCGGCGCTGCAGCCTCTGGTAGTTTTATGGGCGGAAAGGCGGCGAACCGACGAACCGGGGCTGTCAAGACATTTGAGTACCGCCCGCTGCATAATAACAAACGCGTCAATCTGATCGTAACCATTTCTGGATGGATGACTAGCAAGGTCGACGATGTCCGTCTACCGTTCAGCACCATCGATCCGGTAATGGGTGACATCTATTCGATCCTATGGGAGCCAGAGATGTTGACCAGCATGGGTGACACCATGAACATTCTAGCAACGGAGGTATGCGAGGACATGATCGTCGTCCCATTCCTCTCCTCACCCGTACCCTCATCGAAACAACTCAGATCCGAAAGCTAACGTATGCAGGCTCTTACCCAAGGTCTACAGCAAGTGCTAGGCAGCACTATTCTCATTACTCTAATGGCTGCTCTACAGTTGCCAGTTGTCCTTTCAAAACTGGCATATCTCATCGACAATCCTTGGGCTGTGTCCCTGGATCGCGCCTGGGCCGCTGGTCTCATCCTCGCCGACTCGCTCATCGACAGAAACCTAGGCACTAGACCCATTACCTTGGTGGGCTATTCTCTCGGCTCGCGGGTTATATTCGCCTGCCTCCTGGAGCTCGCTCGAAAAGGCGCTTTCGGGCTCGTCCAGAACGTCTATATTTTTGGTTCCCCGATCGTAGTGAAGAAGGAGGAATTCCTTAGGGCTCGTACCGTCGTCGCCGGCCGATTCGTGAACGGGTTCAACAGAACCGATTGGATTCTCGGCTACCTGTTTCGCCTAACCAACGGTGGTATCCGCCGAGTAGCAGGCCTAGCCTCTATAGATGACATCCCTGGCTTAGAAAATCTCGATTGCACGGAGTTTGTGGTCGGCCACATGGACTATCGTACAGCAATGCCTAGGCTCCTGAGAGAATGCGGGTGGCTTGTCGAGAGCGACGAGTTCGGTGAAATAGAGGACCCCGATCCGGATAACCATAGAGAGCGGCAACGGGAGCTCATCAACGAGATTGAAGAAGCCCGCAGAGAAATGGAAAAAGAAGAGGCGTCGAAGAAAGGAGGTTGGGGCATCTTTAGTCGTAGAAAGAAAGCCGCACGCCAGGAATGGGAAGTTTACGAGGACAGCAAAGGATCGGAATCGACCAAGACGGAAGACAAGGAAGGCAATAACCACGGCGTCTTGTTCGACGTCGATGCGATCAGAGCCGAATTGGCGAAGGAGGAGAAGGAGATACAAGTTAAGGAGATAAAGTCCACACTACCGCCGATGAAGCTCGATCTGTCTCCGCCCCCTATAAGCAACCCGAGGAGTAGCCTTCGCGAGGCGAAGAGCGACGACGGCGCTTCCAGTTTTAAGACCTCCTCTTACGAATATCGGTTGTCGCAGGAGCACACGCCCACATTACCGCATCGGGCCGGGCTCGGTACTGATCCCCCACGTAAGCCCATAGACGACGACGACGACGAAATCCAGATGACATTCGATACCGCCTACACAGCAGATTCCTCCGGAAGCCCACAGGTGGGAAACACAGGCTATACGTCGGGAAGCGTCCTAACGCCCCCGCCCGCGCGGCCGGAGGCGAAGACTACCCAGACGATGCCGAACCTCACGCTAGCGGACCCGTGGGCAGATGACGATGACGATTTCGGCAAGGAAAAGGAGATCTCAATGACATTCGCGTAGTCTATGCTATGCCAGAACGGTTTGTCCGGGGCGGCGTCTCTCGATAAAGCTTACCCGAGGATCTATCTCGCCTTGCCTCTCCTTTCATCTCCTGGGGTTCTTTTGCTTAGAGACGCTTGTTCGTACTGGGCTCTGTTTTCCGGCGCTCTATACGGGTTTGGTCATCCGCTATCTCGGGCTTCTCTCCCCTCTTGTTCCCCCCCCGGTGGCGTGCGTGTATGCGTCGGCCAGGAGCAAGGGGAGGAGTGACAACGCGTATGAATGTGGCGTTTTTGCGTTTATTCGCGCCGCAGATGCTCCTTTTGAGTCGAGACGACAGACGGAGCGAGATAGAGAAAGGAGAGAGAGGTTTCCGTTAGCTTGGCGACATACCTTCTCTCCGTCTTTTTTTTTTCTCCTTTTCACCAAATTCGCGCCTGGGAGACCAGCCTGCCTGCATATTTCGATCTACGCAACTGCAATCATATGTCAAATTGGACTAGACCTTCCCGACTACCGTCACCGTGGAGGATTCGAGGCGATGAAATAAATTAGTATAAATCTGCAGCATTCAGGGACAAACTACGTGAGGCTGGGCCCAACGGATGGGTCCTCAGGGGCGGGGATGAAAAGAGGAGATGGAGGAATGAGGAAGAAAGGGGACTGTCCTTACGAGCACACGTGGGTGATGGTGCTCGTCTGCTTGCCGCGGGCAGGTATAGCTAATAACTATGTCCGACGATCAGCCGGATGGAGGACGCGAGCCGCGTCTCGCGCCTGTGTATTTTGTGTACTAAGGTGATGGCGGTTGATGATGGGGGTGGGCTTGCCGGGTTCGCTAGGCTTTAGCTGTCCGCTCCTCTGCAGGCCGTTTTTTTTTTTCTTTCAAGCCGGGAAACACGAATGGACTGGGGTGAATGGAGTATCTAGGTAACCTACTTGAGTTGCGTGTACTAGTGGGAGTGCTCCGGCAGATGCGTAAGAAATATATCTACTAAGTCAACGTACATACTCGCGTGCATGTATAAACCGCGGATGGCATTGATAACATGGGATTGGGCGCTGTCCAGGGGGGGCAAAGGGTGGGGAGGAAATAGAGGAAGCCAGTGTGGTCTATACAACATCGACGGAGACGGAATAATGGGTTGTAGAGCCTCGATAGGCCTAGCTACACGTACATGCTAGGCCCAAATACTCGCTTTGTCTTAACCCTAGTGCTCAAAGTTCTCGACATACATGCGCATGTATACTCATCAGCAGCGGCGGACGGCCCGTAGAAAATCATGCGCGCCGCCCGGCCAGATTAAACCGCCCGAGGGATTCGATCCTGCGACGAGGGCTCGCTATGCTACGTAGGTATGCATAGGCCCGCGACCGGTTTGATGGCCAGCGGCCAGCGGCAGCGGCCATCCCGCCGTAAGAGGGGAGGGAAGGAAGGGTAGGAGATCATGCAGACGATCGTCCTGCAAGCGAGACGTCTAAATCTGTATAGTAGCGGGTGATACCTATAGCGTGGCGTATGGAGGGTATGCTAGGGATGGAATGCCTACGTGTACATGCTACTATTCTGTTGAGGAAAAGGACGATGTTTCGCGGCGCGTTTCCGGTTCGTTTCAACAGAACCTACCTACGGGTTCTCGGGGCTGGTTTGCACGGCTTGTTTCGAGTGCGATCCTCCGTTCGCTATGAGTACGTGCGTGCGTTACTGCTACCTACCTACCTATCGGCACCTGCGTATCGCAGGGCTTGGGATTGCGATATGCAATGCCCACATCCCCTCGCCCCCGTTTCCGTCCGAATCCGGCGGGTCGGTTAGGGTAGGGCGTGGGTTTGGAGATCGAGGCGGGATAGATATTTAGGGAGCCAGACACAACTGCTGCCGCCCACCTACGTGGTGGCGGGCGGGTTGGGCCGTGTCTTATAAGTATTACTGCCGGGGCAGCGGTTGGCTGCGCAGCTAGCACGATAGCTATGCTGTCTGGAATGGTAGCGAGCGAGCGGTTCTGAGGGCTTGCGCTAGCTTACCATAGGAGGCCCATATATAGGTAGTATCTGTGCGTGTGTTTATATATAGACTTGTGTATACCGACTCGCCTTTGTAATGAATGCACGACGTCAATCTCGACATCGAATGCGTGGATATTACCGCCGTTCGGCCTTCTCACCCATGTGGTGGCATTCTCCAGCGACCTCGCCGGCCAGTGAGTGCCATGCGCCAAGAGGAGGAACGACGAGGGGGGGGGGGGAGGGCGGGTCGGGCTGACGAGACAAGGGGGAAGGGAGAGCGAGCGGGCGAGTAGCAGGCGGCGTGGAGGAGTCGGGCATGCGACGGCGCGGGGCTGACATTGTAAGCGAGGTACCGTTCGATGGGCGCCGTCTATTTTTATCGTAGGCGGTAAGGGATGGGTGTGGGTGGGATAGCGTGGGAGTGAAGTCGAGGGCATACTAAGTATACCCATGATAGGTTACTGAATATGGGGGGAGGGGAGAGCGAGAGAGAGGAGGGCATTCCCAGATATCCGTCCGTCGACCCCTATACACTATACCTGAGAACATACCTGCCTAAAGTGACATATGCATACATATATCATGCTATGGAAGGTTAGCGCCTATTATGCAGGTTATACCTCCTACGTATCCGCTTGGGAGCCTTAAGAGGTACCTCCCAACCGAAGGTATGCACATCGATATTCAGGGAGGTACCTATGTGGACTTATACTCCGTGGGTGCACTGATATCCGTCATTAATTTACGCGTCCGCCTCGTAGGGCGCCAAACCACAGCTAGGCTACCTATAGTGTGTAGGCAGGTACCTGTAGGCACACCGAGTACGGATTTGCATTTTTCCTCGTTTTCCTCGTCTTCTGGCTCAGCCCTCATCGTCTGACACGCAGCGGCGTGCCGCACGCGCGCGCGCGCACATCCCACCCGCGAACTGAGATGAAAGCGACAGAGAGAGCGCGAGAGGGTAGAGAAAGGAAAAGGCGTTGCTTCTACTTCTATCTCCCGCAAGACGACGTCGCTCTGCCTATCTTCTTCTTCTTCTTCTTCTTCTTCTCATTAAGTATTTCTTCTTATTTTTCTTTATCTCTCCCCTCGTCCTCACCCAGCGTTCCAAGGCGACGGAGCCTCACACGGTAGGCGAGATTGGGGTCGGAAATCCACTGCCCCCGGCCTCGCAGGATCTAGATCCCTCCCGTTCGCGAACCGTGTAAGTACCTATGCAATTGCAGGTAGAAATGTTGTTCGTTGTCGCCAGACCCCGGCGACGGTGTCAGCGACATGCTAGCCAGTCCTTCTTCCCATTGCCGTGACCGAGCCGCTCTCTACAGATGCTCTACACGCCCGGCGCGAAGCCAGCGACACTGCTGCAGTACGCCTGGCTTGACCTGTCGAGAAGACGTGCACGCCAATCTATAACTCTAGAACGAGACGAGCGAACGGCCTAGTCGGCGCGCTTATAGGAGGAGATGGTACCTACTATTTGCATCACACAACTGACTTGCCTAGGTTAGGTACCTCCTACTCATCCTTCGCGGACGATGCGCCTACCGACTTGGCGCCTGCATTCCTTTGGTTTTGGCGCCCGCGGTTGAAACCTGTCCTGGTTTGCCATCTTATACTCATACTCTCTCCCGTTCTCCCACCCCATCTCCCTCTCTCCCTCTCTCTTCCGCTAGCCTCAGCTCTCTTCTACCTCGGATGCGACCTCCGAAAAGCGCCGCAAGCCCTCAACACACCCGTATAATAAGTATATATGCCTACGTGCATGGTAGTTCTCTCTCTAGAGGCCAGCCGAGCCAGGCTGAGATTCGACTAGAGCCCGGCGGATCTGGGCAATCGCACCGACACCAGCGCCGACACAACGTGGGCCAGCTGAGATCGTCAGCGTCGGCAGGGCTACTCTACGTAGTACGTACAGGTTCGTCCGTCGGTGGCACACACTAATGACCTGGGCGAAAAACAAGGGGGAGAGAGAGATCGTCTTGCCCTCTTTTTGTATCGTGACGCGCTACTCCTGCTACGTATTACTATGTACATACACGGGTAGCAATGGGTAGGATTTGGCGGCCAGAGGAAGCGTAAAGCACTATTGGAAAGAAGGATACCAGGCCGGGTCCTCTTATGGGGTTTGGCGTAGATCTCTTCTGCCTTGGCTAAACCTGATGGTGCCATCCACGCCCATCTTCCGCCTCCCCGTCTCCTGGTTGGCCCTGGGGGGGCGCAGTCTTGGCTTTGGCCTACTGGGAACCCGGGCCTGTCTGGGTTGGCGCCGCGCCCCAGTTGACAAGACACAGAGACTGAGACTAGACATAGAGACTTGCCTGAAAGAGAAAGAGAGAGAGCTCTCAGTAGTGGGCGCAGCTGAGGAGCTGACAGGCCGTGCAAACGATGGATCAGCATCTACCATCAACCAACCCCTGCTGCTTGCTTTTGCTCACGAATTTTCCTTTCCTGTCCTCTCCCGCCCTAGCTGGCTTTCCTTCTGATTATTCCCACACTGTGGTTTGGTTTTATTCGTTATTTTCAGGCTTTGACTGGTGCGCTGGTGCTGCTGCTTTCGACTGAGCGTTTTGGCTGCATCGGCAAGTACTGCGAGTTATCTGCATAGGTTTACGCGAACAAAGGAACAGCCAGGAACAACGGCTTCGAAGAAGAGGGAACGCGTTTAGCCCATTCGCGACAAGACACCCTCGGCTGGGAGGAGGGCATGCGTTGAAGGTTGGGTGTGTTTCTTCGCCGGGCTTTATAGCCTTTATTTTTCTTTCCATCGAAACACAACGATGCGGCTCGATGGCTCGATATACGGGGTCCTGGCCTGCCTAGCAGGGTCGGCGGCGGCAGCGGACGACGGCACTCCGTCAAGTAATTCGATATTCACTTTCAGCGGGTTCTCAACGCCCGCAGTCTACCCGGTGGATGGGGGAACTAGGCAGATACAGTACCACCGCCTAAGGCCCGAGATCGAGGCGTTGGAGGTCCACGCGGTCTCCCTTAAACGCCACGACAACAACTTGACCATCGCTGTAGGCGCTATACCATCCGGCACCAGTCTCAAAGAATTAAACAGGATACTGTTAGAGAGGCAGACCGAGCCGCCATCGATTCCGCCATCGTCCTCGCAGCCAACCTTCCAAGGTATGTGTTAGCCTTCCGCGATAGTGACGGCTAGAGTATCCGCCGAGTACCAGAAAGAGAGATGAAGAGGGGGGGGGGGAGAGGGAGAGGACAGCTTATATGCTGATACTTTGGATTTTACAGTGACCAACGGCGCCCTGATGCTGGACACCACCTCGAGTAGATACACTGGTTACCGTTTCCTCAACGAGCCGCTGTACTACGAAATCCAGTGGGGCAACTTGACCGTGAATGGTAGCAGCTACAGCCAGCTATTCGTCGTTGCAACCATTGATTTGCACCAACAAGCCATAAGTAATCTCGAAAGGCTAGGAACCGACCCGGCGCTACCTGAGAACGTTGTAAGCTCTAGTGGCGACGGCAACAGCACAGCGACCGGTGCCGCCGCTACGGCCATACCCTCGGCCTCAGCGGCGACGACAAACGTGGCGTCGGACTCCAGGGCTGGCCTAAGCATAGGTGCTATCGTGGGTATCGCCGTCGGGTGCGGCGTTGCGGGCCTGCTGCTCATCGGCTTCCTCGTGTGGTTCTTCGCGTTCCGGCGGCGGCCGCGGGCGCCCGGCCGCGGGGGCGACGACGGCGGCGACGACGACGACGACGACACGGGCACGCGGTCCATCGTGCGAGAGAAGGAGGCGGCGGTCGCGACGGCGACGACGACGGCGGTGACGACGATGACGGACTCGTCGCCGCGGTCGGCGTACGCCGACGACGGCGGGCGCCTGCACGACCCGCGGCGGAGCGTCGGCGGGGGCGGGGGCGGGGGACCGGGGATCGCCGTCACGACGGACGACGACGACGACGGCGGCGACGGATACGACGGCGAGAGGGGCGCGAGGCAGCCCTCGACGTACGCGCCGTACTCGGACCGGGCGGCGTCGGCGGCGTCGGGCGGGCCGAGCGCGCCGACGCCGACGCCGGCCTTCGCCTCGCGCTACGGGCACCTGATCGAGGAAGGCATGACCGAGGACGAGATCCGGCGGCTCGAGGAGGAGGAGCGCCAGCTCGACGCCGCGATCGAGGATGCCGGCCGCAACAGCCGCTTGGCGCGGTCGTCGTGAGGCGAGAGCGGCAAGGCGAAGGGAAAGAAAGGGGTGCATACGACGGGGAAGCGGGAGGGGATGGAGAGCGAGAGGGAGGGGCAGACGGAAGAGTGAGCGGGGAACAAGAAAGGCAGGCAAGCAGGCAAGCAGGCAAGCAGGCAGGCCAGCGAGACGGCCCTGTACGGCGGCCCATGATACATGCGACTGGAAACATGAGGCGTGGTAGTATCGTATCGTATACATATATGGTGTCTATATATCCGGTTTTAATATCTGCCGGAGCAGGTCTTTTTCCCCTTTTCCTCTTTTTCCCTTCCACCCCCATCCCCCCCTTTTTTTCTCGGTGGGGAACCTGGGTTCGTCGAGTCCCGAGACCGGGTCCGCGATCCAGCGCCGGTGGCGGCTGTAGTGCCAGCACTGCGCCGCGCCGCGCTCGTGTGTTGGCGCGCCTCTCCGTCGAACGCGGACGTGTGCGAGCAGGCAAGTGAGAGCCGGTGGTGCGGAGGCGCGGGAGAAAGGGCCGGCGGCTGAGGAGTACGCTTGTCTTTTCCGCTGTTACGTGTATATACGGATCGCATGGTGGTTGTTGGTTATAGGTATAGCCTACTAAATACAAGCCGGTCGAGGAACGCCTTGGCATCCGCTCTGCTGCTGCTACACCTCGCGGGAAGCGAGGCCGCCTTTTTCTTCGCTTGGGTAGACTGTCTCAATGCGCGTGGGGGGGACGTCTAGGATGGCCCTGGCAGCACATGTTCGTTTGGCCACAGGAAGGCGAGGGGTCGTCGTATCGTACAGCAGGCTCTCTTCAGTCTGAGCAGACATGCGCATAGCAAAAAGCACAGATACACAGCGATATCATCCTTCGTCGCTACATACCTAGGTAAGTAGGTGGTACGTTGGCCACAGGCAGTGAATATTTGAACACAATTCCATCCTGTGTGAACATGACCCGATAGAACTCCCGTCTGACGCAACCTCCCCGACCTGCCCTGCCCTGTCCTGAATGTTCGGTCTCTCCCCTCGCCCCCCTCACACCCCTTTCTTTTCCTCTTTTCGAGAATGTCCGACGACGCGGGCCCGCGATCTAATAGTACACAAAATGCCAACCACACAACCGGTAGCAAGGATATCGTGATTGCGGCGGCGCGCGGGCTACGAGCGGCCGAAGGTGAAGAAGCGGCCGATCATGTTGGTTGCGATGCCGCTGGCGAGGTTGCTCGAGTAGAGGGCGCTGCCGGCGATGTTCGTGGCCTGGCTGAACTTGTCGCAGCGCGAGAAGGCGAGGCTATTCGTTATGGTCAGGGTGAGGGCGATGGCTACTCGTATACCCGTCAGCATATATATATATATACGTACACACGTGTGTGTGTGTGTGTGTGTGTGTGTGGCGCGGAGGTGTGGTAGTGAGAAAGGAGTAAGGGAAGGCGGCGGAGGGGGGGAAGGGTAGACCGTACCGATGAGCGGTAGCCACATGAACTTGAGGCGCACGAGGACGAGGATGGCGAGCCCGACCCAGAGCAGCGGCTGGGCGTAGAGGGCGAGCCAGAAGAAGCGGCTGTCGGTCGCGTTGATGGTGCGGGTGTTGGGGTCGCTGCTCTCGAAGACCCAGCGGCTGTCGCCCGTGTTGGTATCGACCTCGTTCCACCAGCGTAGGCCGACGAGGCGCCGCCCCGCGATGTTCTTGAGGTAGTAGAAGTCGGCGGCGAGCAGCAGGATGGTGATGATGAAGATGAGCACCATGTTGCCGGTAAAGAGGAAGCCGAAGAGGTACACGAGGAGGGACGCTAGCGAGACGGACATATGGGTTAGCCTGTGCTGCGCTGAAGCCGGAGCGGAGAGGGAGTAGAGACGGCAAAACCGGCGTAGGCCGTCCCCGCCGCCACTTACAGGTTCGGAATGCCAGGAAGGTGAGGAGAGTGATCGGGTGGGAGCTGAGGCGCCAGCTCAGCGAGCCCTGCGCGTGCGACTGTGCGGATTCCATCCTAGGCGTCGGTTGAGTATCTAAGGTATAATATAGGCGGGTATGCGTGCCGTTCGTGGTACCGGCTGGCTCGCTGTGTCGAGGGAGGCGAGTCCAGGTCAATTAGGCATTGCGTTTGTTTTACACGCGACGAGGTGTCCCGTGGTTGACAAAGCTCTGTTGAGGCAACGGTAGCGGGACTGGTGGTGGTATTGGCGACGATGGTGGACGGCGGATGGTGGAGAGCGAGCTTGAGCTGCCCTCTGTCCACTCTGGAGGTACAGAGGTACCTCTCTGTAGGCGGGGGCAGCGTTGTTCCGGCATACAGCGACCGAAAGCGGCCGCTTCGAGTTGTTACGTGTACATACCTTTAGGTAGGTATATGCTGTTACCGTATAGGTACCTACGTATCGATTTATAGGTAGGTACCTATCTGTGGGTATTATAGCATATTCTCTTCGTCGTCGGCAGCGCCTAGTTGTATACCTCTATACTTACAGATCCCCTAGACACTGTCTAGATCAATTATCCATTCGCTTACGAGGTAGAATGGAGGTACAAGGTAGGTAGATTATCGAATTAGACCAAACAAACGCCCCAAGGCCTATTGAACATCGCCTGAGAGCTTCTCATTTGGACAACTCGATACCGATGCGGACAGACCTTCCCGCCTATGCCATCCTGAAAGATGTGCCGCCTGCTGTTGTCCCATCGTCTTAGAAGGGAAAGGATCGCAATTCGTCCTCGCGACTGAGATCCAGCCCCCTCTCGACCTGCTCCTTGTGCTTCTGGTCGAGGTACTCGAGCAGCACGTCGCCAAACATCTCCCGGCCCTTATAACGGCTCACGTCGTCCCCCCAGCTGCGCACCGCGCTCGCGAGCCTGCCCGGCACATAATCCTCCTGTGCGATCTCGGTGATGGGGTGGAAGTAAGTACGAATGGTGAACACGATGGCGCCGGTCCTGGGCAGGCGCCGGAGCGTCTGCCGCTCGGAGCGGAAGAAGTGGTGCTCGACCGCCCGGTTCTTCTCTGCCGTGTTCCAGCTCGTCGACGACGGGGAATCCATCGACGGGGAATCCTCGGGGCCGATGCTCCGCGACCACGCCAGGTTGTCGTCCACCTGCACGAAGTAGTTGTTACGTGCCACCATCTCCTCCGGCTTCAGCCGCCGAAAGAGGTTCATCATACCCTTCTCTAGCCGCTCCTCATACTCCGGCACCTTTCCCGACGTGTGGACGTCCGACAGCCGCATCATGTATTTGTCCGACAGCCGCCAGAATCCGGCGAGGAGGACGGCGCCCGCCATGAGGTAATACTCGCCGTCGGTCTTCTCGATCATGATGGCCAGGTCGTCTTGCACGAGTCTCGCGCACATCTGCATCGGGTCCTCAGGCAAGGGCCGCGTGGTGATGTCGAAGCGCTCGCCGGACCACAAGTTATCTAGTCCTAGAGGCGTGCGCCGGTAGAGAGTCGGGTACCGCGCCGGCAGGTAGTTGGTCAGCTCCTCGAGCAGCTCGACCGCCGCCGGGTACGCCTCAGGCGCGGTTCGGCAACACTTCTCGCCACGTTCCTGGATGCGCCGCGCCTTGTCGGCGTGGTATCGCGGGTAGTGGTTGTCGAGCTCGATCCAGTCGGTAGGTTTCAAGGAACGCAGGCCCATCGTGATGTTGTACTTGGGGCCGTATCGAAAAGGCCGGTACGGTAGCGGTTTCGTGTCCACAATTGACCAATTTGGATACGGGTCCGGCTTGGGCATAGAGTAGTCGGAGGGAATCCATTTGCCCCATTCGCGCACCTGTCTCTTTTCGCTGCTGAAGGTTGCCTTCTCGAGCACCGGTTTCGAGGGCGAGGTGAGACGAGCGGCCTTCGTACTCAGCCTCTCTCCGTAGACGATAAAGGTAACAATCACGGCCGCGAGTAGCAGAGCGACGCCGGTGGTAGCCAATACCCCCTCTAGCCGGCCATCCTCGAATTCCGGAGTCATCTTGTATCTCCACTCATTGCTCTTAGTGAAGGTCTCAGCGAGTCCCTTGGCGAAACTCGCATTGAATCTTTTGTATAGGCCAGCTACCCACTTATAGAACTGGTCGTTCACCCAGTTCATCGTCATCACAGTTGCCTTGTCGGGCTGAAGACCATCCCACTCCATTCTTGATAGTATATTGAGAACGCTCTAGGACATGTGAAGTAGACATCAGGGCTCGCATTGAGCGGATTAACGAAACTAGGACGGCCGCACACGAAGGGGTAGGCACCGAAATATACCTTCCCACTTCCAGACCAGACAGGTGGGCGATTCTCATGTACCCCTCTTCACCGTTCTTGGAGGCCACGGAAGAGGGGGACGGCTTGAGATAGACATACGCATCTCCGACGCGACGACCGCCCAATCGAGTAACTCGACGGCGGGACCCGCGGGGGGCGGGAGATATCTCGGTCTTGGGGTAGATAACCGATCAGGCCCCTGATCCAGGATCATCCTCGGCCGCGGCACTAGCGGCGGCAGACGAGATAAGATGGGCGGCTCGGAAGATAGGAAGGTGTCAGAGGCCTATCGTGTCGGCCTCGTAGGGCCTGTTAGGTAAGAAGATGGCTTCCCTTAGTCGCGGGATAGATAGGCTAGAGGCGCACACACAAAATCCATGATGCTGTACAGCTCCGGCAACTCCTCCCTCTGCCTCTCTCTCCCAGAGGGAGGGGGTGCGCTGATGAAGAGATAGGGGTGATAGGAGCGAAATGCTACGTCAAAACGACCAGTCACGGCACATCCCTTATCACCTGCGGTCGGAAGAGGAGATAAGATATATATTGGCCAGATTTATACCCCTCGGCCGGTCCGCTCTCATCTGGGCTGCAAGCCTCTCAGCTACTACGAGGGCGTGCAGCCGAGACAGGCGAAGATCGATGTCCGGTTCGGGATGGTGGAGGCCACGGCGATGTGTGATTCTGTCTGCATCGCAGACGCCAGACTGGCGAGACAGACCGGTGTGATGATGGTATTTTTGCCACTTACTAGACCGGCCCTTGCATGTTGAGCTATCATCACTCACACGCGCGACTACGCGGAATCCATGCAGTGAGAGTATGTACGCGAGAAGCGTATGAGCATGTGGTCTACTGTGGACGACCCTCTCGCAATGATGGAGGGCCCACGCACACGAGACCGTGGTGTTAGGAGGGCTATGAATCCTCAACGACTTAGTGCGCGCCGTCGTTTGGGTGTGTCCAAACGGCCACACATCCGGACTGCGTCCCGACGCCACCTAGACGCCTACCGTGCACTACGCAGTACGGGTACTGAGCCGTGTGGGCGCCCGCTCGCAAAGGTCACCGTCGACGTGCTTCTGGGTGTCTGAAATGCCGCCACGTTGAGAAAGAAGCGAAGGACTCAGCACCCTGTATGGTGTGCGTATTTACATGCATGGTCAATACCACGAACTTGTCGGTTGGCACTAAACCTGAGCCTGAGAGAATATCATGGACACAGGTACGGCACCTATATACACAGTTATCCATCGTCATGTCCTCACCGTGTCATGCCCACGGGCCTAAATAATACATTAAGAACAACAAGTCATAGCAAAGTTTCCGGGACATGGGTTATCACTTGCCAAGCCACTTAGCAGCGCATCGAGCACCATCGTGTCGATCTCGAGACGCATGTCGCGGAGGCGTAATCGGTGAGGGACACTCGACCGTCCTCCCAACCGCCATATCCATCTAACTGCCTATTCTCTCGCCCAGGCTAGGGAGAGATCAGACGTCCATCGATCTTTAACCAAGATTCGGGGAGAGCCTTGCACCCTACGTGAGCATTCACCCACAGTCATCGTATGGTGCTGTTGGTATCGGGGTCGCTCACCTTGGGGTCGGCATGATCATCGGCTGCACTTCGCGTATCGTCTCAATGGTTTCACGATCGAGACCTTGCACGACGTCTATCCAATAATCGCCATCGTCAATGCAGTGAGAACTATAGTGCTGCCAGCGGTTAAGCCAGCAGTGCCTGTCTTCGATGTCTGCTCCAAAATATGAAATCCAATCCTGCACCTGCCAACACCAAGTCTCCCCGGTCATGCTCCGCTCATCGGAAAACTGTCTGGGCCGGACGAGATCGTTTGGGATAGGTGTGCCAAAGACTTGAGGCAGGATCTGTCCTCCGCGGGAGACATTGAGTTCTGGGCTCGGAGCCGGGGCCTTGTTCATCTCGTTGACCTGGACGAGAAGCGCTAGAGAGTGGATCGGGTTCGGCTTTCCGATCCAGCACTGAAAGGGGGGGCAGAACGCGCGGAGACGAGCCCCGGCCACGTCGGCTTCGAATCCGGGACCAAACCAGCGGCCCAGCTCATTCACTCCGATCAGCTCGGTGACACACGAGATGGCTCGGTTTCGGCCGCCGGCACCGACGCAGACGCAGTTGAGAAGAAGGTCGACATAACGATCGTCACCTTCCTCCAGCTCCCGAGAAAAGACTGTTGAGGCTCTGTTAGATTCCGCACGAGGAGGCGGGAGGAAGCAACGCCCATCGACAGCATGGATGGACAACACAAGACATTCGAAGAAACCGAGGAATTACATTGGTAAAAAAGATAGAGAGAGTAAGAGAGAGAAGGGGCTAGTGGGAACGTGGGTTGAGTAGACTGACTTATAATCTTCGCACTGCTTAGGAGAGCTCGGGCGGTACGGAGCTCGCAGATCTCCACCACGGAAAACTTAAGCCAGAACTCGCGGTATAGGCTGTGGTAGCAAAACGCGAACATCGGTTTCTTGTTTGCGGGGTTGATGTGGAAGGCCAATTTGGCGACCTCCAAGGTAAGGAGGGCGCGGGACCAGCGGTCGAGCTCGGCCTGGCTCGGCTCGATGTTGGCGGCACGGAAGACCATCATATGTTGAACACCAAGATCGATGATCCTGTCGACGGACTTAACGAGGTTGCCGACGCGGTCGAGCAGGCGCACGTCCCACTCGGAGGGGCTGAGGGGGCCCCGGCGGCCCAGGTACTTGGCGATGAGGCGGCGGACGGCCTCGGGGTCGGCGGTGTTGAGGCTCTGCGCCTCGGCCGCCATGAGGGCGAGCGTGACGACCGAGTGGCTCGCGCTAATCCGCTCGTAGATCCCCTTCGCGATGGCCTCCCGCGAATCCTCGAACGCGAGCCAGAAGCTCGAGTGCGTTGCCCGCAAGTTGCCAATGGCGGCCACGTCGTCGAGCTCCTTGAAGATCATGGTCTTGAGCTCGGGCATGAGGTCAATGAGGCTGGTCGGAGTGTTCTCGGCACCACTGGCGACGTCGTCAACGCCGTCGTCGCTGGTGGTGGCGATGGCTCGGACGGTTGGAAGAGCGGGTTTCTCCTTTTGGGACGGGATCTCCGTAAAAGAATCCATGATCGAAGTGATGCGGGTTTCTGAACGTATCAAGGATGGCGTGTCTCGTGCAATCCAAAGGGGAAGGCTCGTGATCCGGGTTTGACGGGAGGAGAGAGACGGAAGTGAGGCTGTGGGGGGGGAGGCGGTGATGTAGACGTTAGATGGGGATCGGACCTGTTGGTTTCCTGGCCTAGAACGTCGAGATGCCTCAGCATGGAGATCTGTAACTAGGCACGGCTCTGAGATGAAAAGTGAGGCCTCTTCAGGAATCAGGTCAACTGGAGAAGGTCTCATGTATGTGTGTATACGTGTCAGAGTTGTCTGTCAGGGAGGAAAGTAAGGAGTTGTGTGTTGATGTGGGTGGTGTTGGGAAATATGTTGCTTAGGAGAAGGAGAGGTCTTCAGACAGACAAGAGGGTAAGAGGGCACTCCTATTTACTTTGAAGCCTTGTAATCATTAACCAGCAACACAAGTTGACGTGACGAGCTTTGTTTACTCGTTTATTCTGTGGAACAGTGTGGCTTCATTCTTGCCTCCAAGTCGAGCAACCATGCACTGTCAAGAAAGGGTGAGACTGTGGGCGTCGGAGGGCCGTTTCTAGGGAACGACATCATAGAAGAGGGGCTATACAGGACAACAAATGCAACGACAACGAGGTCATATTGACGAATGGGGACTCAATTAATGGGCCGACACTGTGTTGAGTCCGGAACAGATCAGACTTCTGGGCTGGACCTGCTTACTATCAGGATGGTCAGATGTATGGGGGTCACCGATGGAAATTGTCGGTATAGTCGATGGCATAGTTGAGGATTCTATACCGGCTTTGCGAGGAACTGGTGTTTTCCCTACCGGATCAACCGTATCTAGTCAATAAAGCTTCTGCAGCGGGGTTTTGTTGAGAATTCACTGTCCGTAGGCCGCGCAGCGGGACTGCCGAGGCTTGTGTAAATTTCCACTGTTCTGGTTTGGCTCATCCTTGCCGAGCTTATCTAGATATAAACGCGGGCTTCCGCAAGGATGTAGTGAATAAACGCAGGCTCAAACAACGAGCGCACCCGCGGAACCCGCGAAGCAGATAGGCGCGGGGGTGAGTCTTAAAAGAGCCCCCGAGTTGCGAAGGCTGGTGAGGCCAAGGATGGCGGCTATCTAATAACTACAGGGCAAGTCTCTTCTCTACTGCAAATGAGAGACTGTATAGCTCGACTTGATATCAGACACCACCCCCCCTCTTGTTTTGAAGAAGTATCTTGTGAAAGCTACGCAATGTATATAAATGAACCACCTGTAAGGCCGCCGAATCCGGAACGACGCGATCTTAGTATAGTTTCGAGTCGTCCTATATTTCTTGCTATGCGCCTAAATCGGACGCAGATTAGGCGACGAGTAGAGCCATAATCGCTGGTAAGAGAGAACTTAAGACTTGTGGTAGTAATAATGTCAATTAGACGCGAGTGTAGTTTCTCTGCCTTACCTGGCGGCCAAAGCCTCTCGTTGAATGCTGTTATATTCCGAGTCTTGACCTTAGTTCTGTCACCCGGCGGGGAAAGGATTACCTACAGCTACATATTATTACGTTCTGCCACAGAAATTCAAATGCGTCGCCACCGCGCGTAACTTGGCGATAGGGGAGCGGCGAGTGGTTGGGAAACTAAATCCGGGCCGGATTGGATTGAAGTTAAGACCGTCAGGTCAATGTTCCGACTACCCCGGTAGTATCAACAGGCTTTTCGGGCCTCCTATAATTATCACCAAGCCTCGGGGTATAGGTCGGTGCAGATGTTTTCCACAGCGTTGCATGCGAAGCCCTCGTGACTAAGACTAATACTTCCTACTCGACCTTGATCTTGGTTTGCTTCTTCGGATGATGATTATTCTGTTTCATATGTGACGAATTATACCGGTTAAAGAACGCAACCTGGTTGTGTAATATTGTCACGTGAAAACGTAGACACACATCTCCCTCGTGAGTTACGCAGGTTTACCATATAGGTAGGATTCCCTGCGTAATATAGGTTGTCACGTAGAGGTTGCGCCTCTTCGTTACTTACCTCAGCAATAGGAGCTCCTATATATACGCTCCTATTACTTCCATTCCTTTAGCTAGTTCTTAGATAGAACAAGACCTTTTCTCCTTTGCTCCTCCTCCCGTTATTCGTAAGATAGCTCCTCGCGCGCGCTCTCGCACACGTAGCTCCCTCGATCTACGTAATATAGGTATATAGAATAAAGACTGACTTGATTTATACCTATTCTTAATCATGTAACATAAGCCTCCAAGGCCTCATTGACTACCTATATACTGATCTATATGAGACTAGCATCGCTACAGCCCTATGAACTTATTGAAGGTCTACCCGTCGCAGCAGATGAAGCTAATATTATAACAGGTTTCAAATAGGACGCTGCTCAGTATTCCCTTTTCGATCAGGTCATATTAAGGTAAGAGTGGTGCTCCGTTTTCCTGTCTCAAGGACGATGTTTGGCAATGACTTGGACTGTGAGATCTCCCCATTTCTGGCTCACGAGGTCGTTGTACACCATTATTAACGCCCTGTTCTGTTTCGGAAACAAACAATAACGTGGACTCTCGCTTGCATGTCCCAGTCGTGGTGGTAATCAGATGGGAGATGGGCGCTGTCCCCACCTCCTGGCTTCGGAGTCAGAGTTGGTGGTTGTTCTGCCGGTAGCTAACCCCGGTTCCCCCCACCCATACGCCGGCATTCGAAATAGAAATGCTCAAGGCAAGCCCACATCGTATCTACTTGTTTACCTCGCGACACACACACATTCCCCTTGATAGTATACGCCAATCCCCCCCTTAATACTTGAGAGAGCCATATCAGGCAGGTAGTATTTACGCCGTGTTTCTGCCCAATCAAGGAGCAGCGTTCTACCATATCTGGCTGTCCAGAGACTTCACAAATACCTGAATACCACGTTGTCAATTAGGGTCCCTACCTACGGTGGGGACAGCAAGAGCCTCTTCGCCTGCACTTCTCACGGGGGACGGGACTTGAGATTAGTTATGATGGTACTGCGTACTAGGTATATATTTACGTTACGGGTTTTGGATTTGTGTGGACTCTCTACGTTCTGATCTGATTATGTGCGCCGTTGCGACGTGGGGCGGAATCCTTCGTGCCATGGGTCTCGATGCGGACGGACCTCAAGTCTGTCGAATGCAGGCTGGGTCAGCCCAGTCAGCTTACAACAGCGATAGGCAGTGATGGGCATTGCGTGCAGGCGTGCAGCATTTGATTTTTCACACACACGCACAGGGAGTCGCCAAGAGAGAAACGAAGTGTGCGAGTACCATATGCACAGAGAGGAGGGGAAGGATTTATACTCACCTGTTAGTTATCCCGGTGATCTTCTGCGTGGAGTGGAGGAGGCGGTTGTGCTGGGGTGATGAGATGGATATCCAAGGTACACCCGCAACCGCCACACCTAATCGATCGGTGACATGACGATTCCCTGGAGTGATCACCTTCGCGTCTGTCCGACATACGTTTAGTTCTCGCCGGTGTGGCCCGCCAGACCCGAGAGAGAGACAGGCCGGTTGGATGGAGGCAAGTAGGTGGGTAGGCGGGTGGAGGCGGTGTGGATGTGGGATGTGTCACGCAAGGGAGAGACATACCGAGGTATATATTTTGCTCTCTTCAAACAAGTGAAGAGCTGCAAGGCTCTAGGCATTCTAGGTAGGGAGGAGTCGAGGTTGCCCAGCATGCGTAGACGCGGTCATGGTGTGATTTTTGCCTCGAGGCCGGGGTTGATTTACCACTGTGGCTTCTGGGCCATGAGCGTCGTGAATATAGGTATGCCTGCCTGCAACGTTGAGATAGATGGGAGAGGGGACGGAGACGCGATGGGAACCAATCCCGCGATTTTCAACGGCGCCAGGGGCAGAAATGTGCATTGCTACGTGGTAAGATACTACGTACAGGCATGCACGTATGTGTGCAGTGTCGACACAGAGACAAAGCTCAGGTTTACACAGTATGGAAATATAAGCATCGGAGAGATCTGGGCGGATTTGATTTTCTCGAAGCGGCAATACGACGTCGCCTCCCCCCTCCCAAGGCGATGAGGATAAGCACCACACGGGGAGGAAGAGAAGGGATGCGAAGTCGAGGCCGGAGCTCCAATTTTGTCGACGCAAATCACAGCCCCCAGGAGTGCGTGTCAAGGACTGAGATCAGCACGGTCCTCATCCTTCTCCCATCCACGCCCTCTCCCTCCGGAGCACGTCGTCATTTCTCACATTTCCATTCCACATCTGTGTTTCTCGGACTACCGGTTTTGGCCAGCAGGTGTAACATATCACGTTGCAAGATCCTACCTTGGTCTTCACCGTGAGGGCGCCGCGGACGTCCCGAGGAGGAGAAGCGAGGGGCCGATGGCACGGCACGGATCTACTATATAGTAGGCTATGGCGTACGAAACCAACATGATAGTAGGCCGCGCCGTGGGCGGGGTGGCACAGATCGCGGTGGGTGCTGTGCGGCACAGCCAACTGCATCTTTCGGCTCCTGTATAAACTGCCCGTTCTAGGCGATGAAATACTCTCTCGTACGTATTTTAGGCGTGTACATATGTGCGTTGGGCGTACATGTATGTGCGTATGTGGTGCTGCGATGTCGTAGTCTGAATGGAGCTTCTGTTTTTGGCCTCCTGTCGGCTTCGTAAAGTGATCAGCGCGGGTGGAAGACCATAGAAGGCCAGGTTGCAGTGCATGTTCGTTGGAGAGTCAGAGAGCTGATAAGGGCCCAAAATCTAGTCAACCTTAGTCACTAAGAAACTCGCGGCTTTTCTAACGCATGAAGGATCCCGAATGGGCATCGTGACACTTCGTTCCGGGGACGAATGCTTCGAAAAGAAACACAGCTGCCCAGTCGTGATACCAAAACATATATACATGGCATCGTAGCGGACGATTGCTGCCCTCGACATGGAGTTGTAGGTTATAAATACAGTATTAAGGAAGGCTGTAGCGAGCAGCGAGCATCTCTTGCCCACCGTCCATAGAGCCGTATAGTAATATGTAGCTTTTGTCCTATGCCATTACCGCTCTCCCGTGTTCCCTTGTATAGGGATATTATGCATTATTTGTCGTCACGGTGAATTCCCGGGAGACGAAGATATCCCTCGAGTCCGAAGGCGGCGACTTGGAGAGGGCACTTGGCGCGCTCTGGACGAGGATCTGCTCATCGCTTCCCCATCTTGTGGTCTGCGGCAGGGAGAGCGGGTGCGTGCCTTTCTTTCGCGAGAGCTTAATACCGGCGCTTCCCACTGTGTTGGCCCCGGACGGATGGCTCGCGCTGCTCTTTGTCGACTTGCTGAAGAGTCCACTCAGACCAACTTTCTTCGCGGCCTTGCGTAACGCTGGCTGGATGACTGGGAGGTTCGTGACGAATATGGACACGAACACCTCTCGGCAGGCCCATTGACTCCCAGATATAGCACCTTCAGGACCAGCCTAGCGCGGATAGTATTGTTAGATTGGAGGCAGAAACCAACGGTCAAGTGATGCTCAGAAAAGAAAAAAAGAAACTACGCCTTCGTTTCCTTAGGACAGTCGAGGCATACCTGTAAGATGGTAATAGCACGAGCTAAGGCGGCCGCGATGACGAAGACGGCACCGCTGAACAGGGCCATCAGCGAAAGTTTGCGGCGGAGGCCGATATTAACCACCCAGAGGAGCTGGTTCGGTGTTAGTTCATTACGTCCTATATATATTCGTATTGGCCGTGATCTTAATCATACCGGTAGAGGAATGGATAGGAGATAGAGGTCTGTCAGAATATCTGGTATTACGACCCCGTACACATTCAGCTTCGATAATGTCGGTTGACAGAGGTCTGGGGAGTTTTTCGCGTTAGCACTCGCGGGTTTGACGGCCCTGTCTCGCGTACAGCATGTAACTTACTACCGGGATCGGGGTATATCTGCCAGTTCTTTGACAACGGCTGGCACCCCAGAAGGATCGAAAGAGCGGCGATGAGGTATGTGAATCCCAACAAGAAATACGCAATGCGGACACGGGATCTCAGATGCGACAAGCCAGTTCTGCTACCGGTTAGTATTTTCGCCTCTCTCGCTCACTATACCGGGTCGCGAAAGCTACTCACGTCAGTCGTCCGTAGAATACCGCGACGCAGAACTTTAGGGTCCAGAGTCCGAATGCGTACAGGGACCAACCGATGACCTGTATCTTGGATCCCCACTGGCGATTGAAATATTCAGGGTCGTCGGGGTGTAGTCTCTCGCGTTCCGCATCTGTCATGTACGAATTGGTAAGACCGCCGAAGAGAGCCACTACGAGATACGCAGCCACGATATCGAGGGCGAAAATGATCTACAGCCATCGAAAGACCGGAGGGGAAGACCTGTCAGTTCCGTCCGTGTCACCACCAAAAGCTGGCCTAACACCGAGGGTGTGTTCGGATGCACTTCTCGATATTAATATGCGAATGCGCGACTTACCCCGGATAATGGCATGAGGTAGTCGTCCGCCTGCCAGTTCGCGGGTCCGACCTGGACCCATCGGGCGTAGATTCGGACGCCGATGAGGCAGATGGCCAAGGCCAGCTCGGTGAATGCCTCCACGTCAGCTGCCATGCTCGATCACTCAGAGACAACGTCCACGAGAAACCGCCCGGGTAGGCGGGTCACATGAACTGCGCTAAGTCGGTTAGCGAATATGGGAGAAATAGGGCCGGTCGACGGGCGCTGGCACGGGCGCGAGCGCGAGAGCTGGTAGCGGAAGTGAAGTTATCGCCTATCTTTTTCTTCGGGGGGCAAGAAGAAGAAGGAGGAGGAGGAGGAGGGGAGGAGAAGAAGCAGAACGGTCTATAGGGAGCCGCACTCCCTGGTCGTGTAGATACATAATCACGATGATCTTGTCCAGGGTGCTCGTGCGTGCGTGCCTCTGTGTGTGTGTATGTAGGCATGTGTGTGTGTGTGTGTAGGGATCCGAGTTCGAAACCACCAATATCTGGGATAGGAGACCGCCACTGCGTTCCGTGAAGAAGCTGACTCCTTCGCTCCCGCTCGAGACCGGCATTGGTCGACGCATAATAGACCGTGACCAATTCGACCGTAATAAAACCAGTCTCCGGACCAGGGATCGCATCCTGAATTCTGTCGTGGCACCTTGGTTATCGTGGCTGCGAGTAAGCATAACGGCCCTGTCGAGTACGTAGTATCGCAACCGTTATGTAGGACATGAACTCGGCGGGGGATCTCGGCGGTAACGGGGGCAAGGGACCAGGGACGGGTGGAGGAGGGTGAGGGAGTCGGGGAGCGGCTCTCCCGTTTTCTAGACAACAAGGAACCCTTGTTCTCTCTCCCCTCCCTGAGCCTTCGTCCCTGTTCCCGTCTGTCTCCACCCCCTCTCCCTCTCCTGCGTGGTATGCTGAGCGGACCGAGACGGCTAACGTGAAATAATTGTTGCCGTCTAACCCATCCCAGTGTGCTATTCCCGCAGCCCATTCTTGGCTGGCCATCGTCTCGGAGACGTGATTGGTTGTGTGGTCTTCGCTGATGGAATACCCCTGGACTCTTCTTCTACATACCTATCGTTTTCAGTGTAAATCTGCCGTCAGCTGAACTGCCGTCGATAATCTGCGCTAGAGACGACCGACTGTGAGCTGGTGAAGTATTGGCATGCCCCTCCGCTCTCTACCCCAGAATCCAGTAGTTCTTTAGTCTACGCCTATACACTTACGGGATAGTTGTCCCACCTCTTCGGCACGGGGAGGTAGGCGGGAGAAGGGGAAGGGTAAGAGAGGGCTTCGAGAGCCCGCCTATTGAGCAGGTCGAGATGCAAGGAAGAGCCTTGGGGTGCCGCCGATGGGACCGTTACCTCTCTGCACGTGGCAGATGCATCCATCGTACCAAAACCGCATGGACTCGTGTTTATGCGACTCGCACGCCGTGATTGTAATTACTGGTACGGTTGACAATATACATGGCATCAAGGCATGACAGCGTCCCAGTCTATTACTTCGTCCTCCCTTACATCCCCAAACCCCCCTCCCATTTCTCTCACTCCCAGGAACACATGTTGAGCAACGTGGTATCGAGATTATATAGTCTTCCCAGGTCTGAAGGGCGACATACCGCGTGGCCAACTGCATAGTTTATTACCGTTGGTGCAGACGCACCTGAGGACGAAGATGTGGGGAAAGAGGGGGAAAAGGGGGGAAGGGGGAAGAAAGAAACGTAGAAGAGATGGACTCCGGCGACCCCGAATATCTCTTCGTCTCTTCAGCCAACATACATACCACCAGACAAACTTATATTACAACCCAATTCCATTCCACCCAGTATCACCTCAGATCATATCAATTTTCATCTTGTCCGTTTCCTCCGTGACTTGTCCGGATCCTTTCGAGTTGCATGACTCCAACGCAGTGGTAAGCGCAGCATCGCATCCACCCGTCGATCCATCCGTCTCAAGCGTGAGACGGATAAAACAAACCGCCAAACCACACCCGGCTACTCTCATCCTCCCTCTCTTCCTCTCGTCCTCTCTGCCTTCCATCGCCCGTTAAAGGTACCGCTTCACTTTATTCCCTGGACAGCTCACGTCAGAACCCCCGCTCCTATCCTGATCTTATCTCTTCCATATCTTGCACCTTATTATAGCCCGAACATCACTTCCGTCCTCGGACATCGTTCAAATTAGATCCAGGTGTTTCTAGTGTAGACATCGCATAGCCATGGCATCCAAATACGACTTCGTCGTCGTTGGAAGTAAGCAGCCTATATGCGCTCTGCGCCATGAGTGCATGTCGGGTCTAACGAAGGCATCATATCACAGGCGGACCGGCGGGCTGCTCCGTCGCATTCGGTCTAGCCAACGCTCCTAAGAAGCCGACGGTGCTCCTCTTGGAGGCCGGCGGCGAGAATGAGGGCCGGGATCTGCGCGTCGACGGTCAGCGATGGACGACTTTCATGAACAAAGAGATGAACTGGGGGTACAAGACCACGCCCCAGGAGCATCTGCGCAATCGCGAGGTGGACTACTCGCGCGGTCTTGGCCTCGGCGGCGGCAGCGCCATCAATTTCGGGGTCTTCAGCGTCGGCGCCCGCGACGACTACGAGGAGTGGGCTAACATCGTCGGCGACGATTCCTTCCGCTGGGAGAACATACAGAAGCGTTTCAAGCGCCTGGAGACCTTCCACGGCGCGCTGCCCGCCGGCATCGACAAGAAGTATGCCGCGCCCAAGCCTGAGGATCACGGCACTTCGGGCCCCCTGAAGGTCGGCTACGCTGCCGAGTGGGAGAAGGACCTCCCTGACCTGCTGGATACCTTTGAGAAGGCCGGTTTCCCCCTGAACCCCGATCACAACTCGGGGAATCCTATCGGCATGGCGACGGTGATCAACTCTTCGAACTGTGGCGTTCGCTCAACTGCGGCCGACCTGATAACGCCCCCGCCAAGCAATCTGACGGTGCTTACCCGGTCGACAGTGCAGCGCGTGATTCTCGAGGGGAAGAAGGCTGTCGGCGTAGAGTCAAACGGCAAGAAATGTAAGCACAGCCAAGCGAAATCAGCCCGCCCTCCCTATCTTGTACAAGTACATGATTATACCCCACAGGAAATAGACAAAGGGCGCTTTTACATGCTGACCATGGCCAGATTTCGCGTCCAAGGAGGTCATCTTATGTACGGGCGCGCTCGACACGCCCAAGATCCTTATGCATTCTGGTATCGGACCCGCCGAGCAGCTCGGAAAATTTAACATCCCCGTCGTCCAGGACTTGGATGCGGTAGGGAAGGGCCTGCGCGACCACATGTTCTGCCCGATCGTGTACACGCGCACAGAGACGAGCACGAGCCGGGCGTCCTTCTACGGCGACGAAAAGGTGATGGAGACGGCGCTGGACCAGTGGAAGCGGGACGGGACGGGCCCGTGGTCGACGTACGGGTGCGAGACGGGCATCGGCTGGTTCAAGCTCGAGGACATGGCGAGCTGGCCCGAGTTCACGGCGCTGCCGGCGAGCGAGCAGCAGTACCTGCAGCGGGAGACGGTGCCGCACTACGAAATCTTCACGCACTGCCCCGTGCACTGGATCCTGCCGGACTTCCCGGCGTCGGCGCTCAACTACTCGTGCCTGCTCGTCTTCTACTACAACGCGCAGAGCCGCGGCGAGGTGACGCTGCAGTCGGCGGACCCGGCGGTGCCGCTGCGCTTCAACCCGCGCTTCCTCGGCTCGCCCTTCGACCGCCGCGTCGCGGTCGAGGCGCTGCGGCGGGTGGTGCGGTTCGCGGCCAGCGAGGGCTACGCGCGCGACAACGTCGCCCTGTTCGCGGGCCCCGCGTCCGACGACGACGACACCCTGCTCGACTACTGGATCCAGAACCTCGGCTCGAGCTGGCACATGACGGGCACGGTCAAGATGGGCACCGCCGACGCCGCCGACGCCGCCGTCGACAGCGACTTCCGCGTCCGCGGCATCGAGGCCCTGCGCGTCGCCGACATGAGCGTCGTCCCCGTCCTCGCCAGCTGCCACGTCCAGGCCGTCGCCTACGTCACGGGGCTCACCTGCGCCGAGAAGCTCGTGCGCGAGTACGGCCTCGAGTAGCGAGCGAGGGTCTCGACCAGGAATAGGGAGCATACGTGGTAGGTAAGTATCAGGTAGAAACGTCTCGGTATGAGCGCAGGTTTCCCGCTCTCGACATCCGCGGCCGTGTGCGATAAGACTACGTTGACTAATACGCATGCATCGAGAGTCCCGCGTATGTACGTAGGAGAGATGCTGGTTAGTTTCAAGGGTTGAGTGGGGGAGGAGAGAGGACGAGGCGGCGGAGTTACTGAGCAAAGCTCTCTCTCTCTCTACTACGTAGACCTATATCCACACCTACCCACGGCCCTCTTTAAAGTAAATACTACACACCTACATGATGCCAAGCCGTTCTGCTGCAACTCTATCGCAGCAGGAGGATTCCCACCCAAGTTTTTTCTGTCGGCGAGCAGCGATGCGCGTCGTGAACCGCTGTACTCATACCTATAGCATTAGAGATCGACGTAATGGCCCTCTATCCGGTCGGAGTTTTCGGAGGGAACGCAACATTCGGGATTCCCACGAGCAGATGCGACCTATCAGAAATACCTACCCCAAAGCGCGGGCTTTGGTTCGTAAAATAGCACTCTCTTCCCCGGGTGATACGCAGCGAGAGGTGGCCAGGGGTGAAGAAGCTCCGCGCCCTGGACCCGCCAGAGACAAGGGCAGAAGAGCAAGATCGAGTAGGCGCCCGAGGTAATAACATTTCCCGACCGAGGCACCGGCGTACGACGAGAAGGCCTTGCTATTCTTGATGCGACCTGGTTCGATTCATGTTTTGGCATTCCCTGTTTACAGATCCTCCGGTAAATGGGTGGCGGTAAAATAATAACCCCCGGCTCGCCTTCAGGGACTATGATAGTGGAGGCGAGTTGCATTGCCGGCCCTAAGCTCGCGATGATAACATCACCCTAGGCTGGAGGAAATGAACGAGCGGCATTGTCACCGTCGACCAGGGGGAAACAAGGCTCTGCGAGGCGTGGCCAGAGGTTAGAATAATATATATACATACCTGGGTATTTGTGCACGTAGCCACATATTACTATATTATCATGCTGTGCCATGATACAATAGTAAATACCTACCTACTTACACGTACATGGGATTATATACTACATATCTACTACATATCATACACAAACGAAGGACCTGGTCTCGACCCTGCGGCCTACTACTACGCAGTAGGTAGTTATAGTCCAACGTTCGGCCGCACCCACCATCCCTGACCGTACACGATCCGTGCTGCGCAGTAGGTATATGTGTTACGCGTATATGTATGCGCATGCGGATGTGAATGTACACACGATTACATACCTCGACATGCTTCCAGCCGCCTACACACCTACACACCAAGCACGACAGTTGGAGAACGGGATCTTCCTACTAATTGCTGCTTATAGGTAGGCTCGCCGTCGGTCTTCTCGACGGGGGTTCTCGCCCAATCATTGCGTGGCCAACTGCCGCATCCGGCTATCCGGATCGCCCGCGAAGGATTTCGCTGCAACCTACCACCCTCCCGCAGCTTTACGTATCAAGACGTAGCTCCGAGAGGGGGGCGGAGCAAGGGCTGAACCCGTCCACTGTCTGCGCGATGAAAGCCCCCGGCTCTGCATAAAACTCCGTACGCGCGTAGGTGTGTGTGTGTCGACCGGCGCGCTCTTTGCCCTCGCCCACGTGGTGAAGCACACCACCTACCAGCATACCTACGTTCTACGCGCTTCTGCTGCCGGAGGGCCGTTGCGCGATAATGCGTGGGTGCGTGCGCATGTAGGTATGTGTAGGCGTGCCTCTCACATCGCTTTGTTCTGGGGAGGGGGGCCAACTCGGCGTCGAAGGACGGGGAGTCCACGCGAATACGCACATAATCACCTGGGTACATGCGCCTGGCTCGTCTTGGCCTCTTACCGAGAAGAGCGTGCAGGAATTTGATACCTAATATAGTAATCGCCTGCGCGTCCCGTTGGCGGGTTTTCCCGCACCCGGGCCGCTCCCCTCCCGCCAAGAGAGAGGGAAAGAGGTTTATTGTAGCATTGTCTTTGCCCTCCGGACCAAATAGCGAAACGAGAACGGATGAGAACTTCCCTGTGCTTGCTGTTACATGTCGGGAGTCATTTCAGTGCAGCTATAGAGAGGGGCTCAACAGGGTCGGGATATCTATACCTAGTATTACAAGGGCTCGTCGTCCCTGGCGCGCTACCAATGCAACGGCTTCTCATTGGCCGTGATTTCCGCACATCTCTTTTCCCTCGAGAACGGGACAGGCATAGGCGCCGAAAACAGGAAGCAGTTATGCTTCTACGGTTTCAAATCTGGGCGGGGACGCGATGCGTACGACGGGCACCGATGGAGGCCGGATAATGCGGATTGGTTGTAAATGCGGCGAAGGCTTACCAGATCTATCTTCTTCTGCTATCCTCGGCGCTAGTCCTAATATAATGGCCGCAATTGAGGTAACCAGATGTTTTTCCTCGAATGCTACTCAGGTATATGTCATCAGCAACTCTTCGCCCCACGCTGCTCCAAATCCCCTTTTCGTGCCAGTAAAACGTGGCTTTTTTTTCTGCCGACGAACCAGAGATTCCTAGATGGGAGAGAATCGCGATCTTCGTTGTGCAGTTTCACTCTACCTAGTGTAATCCCGTCGCAGCAGGATGGGCTAGTTACCATTGAGGAAGTAAGAGGACTTAGAGGTGTCACGTAGCAGTTGAACCAGCCCTTATAAGCCTACATACCGCATAGCGTAAATGTAGGCGTCTACGTTTTACGCAACAAGAGGTGTTACGAGAACATCGCTACCTCGGTCATGTTACGTAGATCGGGAGAGCTACGTAGGCACTGAGGTTGCTTCTTGGGAGCAACGGAAGGTGGGAAGAAGAAGGTGAATTGACTGACTATCTAAGAAGGAAGGAGATGAACAAAGGAGATGCGAGCTGCCTATATATAGACGATAGCGAGCTGCGAGCTATGTTAGGTCAGCGAGCAACTAGAGAAGAAGTAGGGAGCCATGTACAGGTGGCTCTCTACGTGACAGGTCAGAATCAACGACCAAAGTTGTCCTTTATTCCGTAGCACCGAATCTGACCTGTATCGTCGGGATAACCCTCCCCACACATAACTCGGGCAGTCGGCAGGCACATCCTGTCTCGTATTAGGTATAAGTATACCGTCACCCCTCCCTCGAAGCAGCACCTATTAATGATCGGAAGGCTTCCTCACTCCACAGGTCGATCAAGAATGTGCGGGACACGACTTTTCGCATTGGCCAATCTGCTTCGAAAAGGGAAAGTCAGGCAGTTAGCTCGAAGTTGGTGGTAGATGTCATATGCACCACCAGTACTTTTTTTTTTTTTTTTGCTAATCGGGTTGCCCGTTAGCGAACTGGAGACTTTGCTACGGGAATTAGCGCAACCTGGACTGATCTTAGATTCCCAGTGAATATGTGACTCTCTTCCTTCGCCATATGGCATCGACGTAGTTATGCCTTTGTTTACTCTCTGAGATAGTTCTTCCGAAGAAACTTCCCCCTCGCTGCATGCTCTCATCCCTATTCCTAAACCGCCCAGGCCGCTAGTCTCTCGCAAGGCTAGGTATTTTCTGCGTTCTGTTTTGCCGTTGTGGATGAGGGCCAGTCGCTGATTAGGGTAAAATTTTGGGGATTCATTCTGTGAGGGCCCGATTCGATGGCTTAGGAGCTTTTAGGAGTTGTTTTCCGTGTCCACCGGAGTCAGTCCGTCAACAACCCACAACCCAATAGCTATTACCCCTTCTCGTTAACTCTGGGTCGGCTTACCAAAAAATTCTATCGATGACCGCTAAGTTTCACCAATCTTGCTTCTCTACATTCGCGGTTCCAGTTGTTAATTACCCCCTTACGCCTAGGGGTTGCTCGGAACCTACTTTCCCCTTTAACTCCTAAAGCCCCACTAGAATATGCCATAGTATATACATGGGTAGGAGGTTCTAGGGACTTCGAAAAATACTAAGTAGTTGGTTTGCTCTTCCCACGCGATTGCGTTATCAGAGATTAATGGCTTCTCGGCTGGTATGTTAGTTACAAGCCCTACATGAAGCTGTTCGGCTTTGGTTAGTGAAATGTAGTAAGGTTAGAAACCAATGTGCACACAAGTAATTGCAGATCGCGATAATTGCCCCAACATGTCTGGCGACTTGCCATAGCTTCCATTAACTTCCCCGTAGTCTCCATCGGTTGTCTTGCTAGAGAGACCGCCTACCTGCCCTCCGTGTTCTCGTTCAGCCTTGGCCAACCTTGGTGGCGTTTCCTTTCCTTTAGGGAGGTAAAGGTGGGTTACTTTCAGTTTCTTCGATCGTTTACTATTACATTCGCTCCTTTCTTGGGCCCTTGCGAGGCTACGATGGCCGCTAAAGTCTGTACGTCAACCCTCCGATTGTTGTTATCCGTACCTTGCCTTGCCATACCTTTGCCAGACTTTCCCTCCCCATTCGTAGTGGTTGTCTACCAACACCAGGGAGGCAATCGGCTCCTCGAACTACGCCGCCCTAATACTACATGAAAATCCGGACGGTTGGATTTCCTTATGTGGATGTACAGGCTTGTATGTGTTGCATTTTATGTTAAGATTTGGTTAACCTCACTATAATATGGTCAATTAAGGCTACAGCCATATTTAATAAGTTTAAATAGCTTTTAGACATAGGTAGCTCAATCCTTCGTGCAATCATCCTGTCCGTCTTAGGTAACCTTAACGAATCGAATGCTCAGCGATCCTAAAAAGACGTAGATTGCCACTCTCTAGATGCTGGGGGCGGGAGACCTGTGTATCGTTTTTACAACGTACCGGACTTCTCCTAGAAGCGCCTGGGAACTTCTCCCGTATTCTTGGACCAGTGCGTAAGGGATAGAGAAGATGATGTAGGTACATGTCGGGCAACGGGTTGTTCTCTGCTTCACATCCCACTAGAAGATGGGGATATGAAATTGGCGGGAGGACAAAGTTTGAATCTTTTTTCCCCATGGTCTAAAGCCATTGACCGATGGAATGAAAGAGAGCCTGAAGGTTAGGCTCAAGTTGAGTCTTAGATAGGCTAAACAATAGAGACTACCAAGTAGCGCTGTCAGGAATCGAACCTGTCCTCTATTATCTAACCCACTGAGCTGTCTTGTTCGAGGGAGATGAAATACCTACGTAAAGTACCTGGGTACGTATTCGTATGTACCTGCTAGGTATGTGCATAATGGCAGGGTGGCTTCTGCTTAAGTAGGTAAGTCGCTACTCGGGGCTGACCTTATATCTGGGCGATTGTGATTACCTAATGGGGGACCGTTTTGTTTCCGGGTCGCGTTCCTCGGCCTCTCTCTCTCTCCTTCGCGTACTCTACGGATTATCTCCTTATCTGCCCAGCACACAGCACATACGCATCAAGGCTCGTCTTCGTCCCAATTTCCCACTGCCGGCCAACTCAATGCTCCTCGTTTTCGTAGCTGCGTCCCACCCTGCTGCTACTAACCATGCCCCGCCGTCCTGGTCGCGCCGCTGCTAAGCGCGCAGCCGCGAAGCTTGGTAAGTTTTTATTATTTCTATTATTTTGCCCTTGGTTGCCGTCCTCCTCCCCCTGCCGTAATACGACAATCGGTTACTCGGCAGTACGTGCGCTTCCATGTCGCAGACGTCCAGGCCTGCCATATTCCGTGGAGGACCTGCTAATTCTTCCCTGGATGGATTAGAGAGCACGCCTAAAAATTTGGACGAGATCGAGGACGAAGCGATGCCCGACGTAGATGTCGATGCCGACGCCTCGGAGGTCGAGCAACAAGCAGAACCCGAGGAACAGGAGAACGAAGACGAATCCGGTGCCGAGCCCGACGAGAATCCGGAGTCCGATGGCCCGTCTGCGAAATCGCCCTCTCCCCCACCGCAGCCCGTCGTCCGGCGACGACGTCTCGGCCGTCCCCCGAAGAATCGACCTCCCGATTGGGACACCCTGCCGCTCGAGACCCCGCAGCGCGATGCGAGTGACACGCCTCGACGACGTGGCCGCGGTGGGTGGCGAGGCAAAGGTGGACGCAAGGGTGCTTCCTACCAGCCTACGCAGCAGACGATCGACAAGGAAGGCAACATGATGGACATCGTCGACGACGAAGTTGCGTTGCCCGAGGACTCCGAGGGCGAGACCAAAGTTGACAAGTTCGGGAACCTCCAGAGCGGTCGCGAATATCGCTGCCGCACATTCACCGTCGCTGGTCGTGGCGACCGCCTGTACATGTTGTCGACCGAGCCTGCCCGTTGCGTCGGATTTCGCGATTCTTATCTCTTCTTTACCAAGCACAAGAGGCTGTATAAGATCATCGTCGACGACGAGGAGAAACGCGACATGATTGACCGCGACATCATCCCTCACTCGTACAAGGGTCGTGCGATAGGCGTCGTCACCGCCAGGTCGGTTTTCCGAGAGTTCGGGGCCTTGATCATAGTGGGCGGCAAACGCATCATCGACGACTACGAGGTTGCCAAGGCGCGAGCCGAGGACGTCGTCGAGGGCGAGCTCGCCGACCCGAACGACAAGTTCGTCGAGGGCGAAGAGTACAACAAAAACCAGTACGTTGCGTGGCACGGTGCCAGCGCCGTCTACCATTCCGGAGCGCCGTCTGTCCCCGCCCAAAGCGGCAAGGTAGACATCAAGAAGAGACGCGTGAACGTAACAGACATCAACTGGCAGCTGGAGCACGCGCGAGAAGCAAGGTACGTTGGCGATTCCTGGCCCATCACGTTACACTACATCCATGCTAGAGTCGGCTGGCTGATGTAGCCCGTCCCCCCCCCTAGTCGGTTCAATACCGACATCAGCGCCCTGCGACGCCAGAACCTCTCCGGCGTCTACGACGTGCACACCAACCTGATGCAGTTCCCCGCCATCATGCAGCCGACGCACGTGCGGTTCGAGCAGGTGCGCGACTCGACAGCGGAGACGGGCAGCGCGCGATTCCCGCCTCTGGACCCGACTATCCCGCGCAACTTCAAGGTCCTGGACACGCACATGGAGACGCCGCCGGCCGGCCTCGCGGCGGCCGCGTACGAGCAGCGCGAGGTGCCCGTCTTCCTCGCCGAGTTCCAGGGCCTCGCCGCCGTGCCGGACGACATCCGGGACGAGCTGCCGCCCGAGTGCCGCGACGCGTTCGACAGGGCTCTCGACCAGGAGGCCGCGTGGAAGGCCAGGTGGGGCCCCGAGAAGACGGCGGCCCACCGGCGCCCGCCCATCATCGACGCTGCCATCGTGCCTTATAATAAGATGTGAGAGGAGACGGCCACCAACCTCGCTCGAACGGATTATGACTAGTTTCGTGGGCGGGAATGACGGTTGGGGGGGGTTAGTTGTGCTACACCAAATGTAGGATTAGTCCAACTTAAGGGGGGTGGTCTTTTGTGACGAGATAGGGGGAAACGGGGGGTGACGGCGTTACCATATCTTCCCCCTCTCGTTGTTATTGGTCTGGCTGATACCAACATAAGTGCCCCCTAAAGGCATGGTTTTCTTTTCGGATTGTCGTCCAGGACTGGACGTTGCTATGCATGCAGGATTCCATGGGCAATAATACTTGCTGACCCGGGTTCGAGCTCGATGAGGAGTAGAGAGGCCGAGAGGACCATACGCAGGCTCCGCTCTCGCGGGATTAATCGAGCTGGATGTTTAGCTGAACTGCGAATTGGACTACTTTACGTGCTTGCATGAGAATGGGACTGGTATGCAATCACTGCTTCATTAAAAAGATACATATGTGGATGCTGAGTACTAAATGTTCTCGTAACGAGGTTTCAAGTATATAGGTACACAATATCGAGATTACACCAATCCGTAGGCCCTGTGCATATGCCAGGCAAGCGTATATCCCAGTCAGAACCGCGAAGACGACGGCAGCGGAAACGACTGGTGCAGGAAGAGAAGGCGTGTAGCGGTATAGCTGGAACGCAGAAATTTCCGACGAGGCGGCGGCGGACGCCTGCGATGACTGATGTTCGGACATGTCAGTCAGAGAGAGAGTTGCGAGCTTCTCGTCGCGCGTCCGCAGAGATACGATTTAGTGAGACGACTTGGGCGGGATGCTTGTTCGTGCGGGAGAAGTTGGCTCGCCGGTGTAAATATTACTGCCAATATAACATGTGTATACCTATGTATACGTATGGTCCGACTCCTCCTGATAGCGCCTGGGACTGCAGCTCGGCGGTCGACGCCAGGGTCGCACGGGTATTTCCTCCCCCTCCACTTCACACACGGCCCGAAGTAGCACGCACCTTGGACTTGCTCCGCGATCTCGCCCCGTAAGGCGCCGGAGCCACGACGGTCCTCATACGCAATGGCGCACCCTCTAGGAGACACGCCGTGTTGCTGGATGGATCTGGGCATTTGGGGGGACCATTGCACGAGAACGCCGAAAGGACTGTGTATATCTCGTAACTATGTGAGTAGTGTCACGTAGGAAATCCCGTCTTTTACTCCTCGTGCTTCCTGTCAACGCCTGATCCTCACTTAAGATTGTTAACTCGACATTTCCCCCCCGCCTGCTTTAGCTAGGCCCAAACGTTGTATCATTGTGAAAGTAATTTGAAGAGGTAAAACGTATATGGGTCGCACAAGGCTTCAGCCAGGTCGCTCACTGTCATATTGTTCGCATCCCGCGCGGTTAGATCTGCCCCCTCGCCTATGAGCCACTCGGCGAGACTGATGTCATTTTTCTCAGCCGCCAGGTGGAGGCAAGTCCGGTTGAAGTCGCGGGGCACCCTGGCGTCAACGCGGGCGCCATGCCCACGCAGAAGCTTGCACTGTTCCTCATCCTTGCGTGCCACCACACAGGTAAGGGGAGTACCGCGCGACCCTGCTGCCTCGAGGTCGCTCCCAGCGCCGATTAGAAGCTCGACGCCCGAGGTCCAGCTTCCTGCTACGGCCAAGTGCAGCGCCGTCTCGTCCTCTTCATCCCGTGCCTCCAGGTCCGCACCGGCCCTCACGAGTAGTTCCATTACGCCATGGGCCTTGTAGAGGGCCGCTACGTGAAGCGGCGTCTGCTGCTTGGTATTCTGCGCTTCTAGGGACGCTGCCTTGCTGAGCAGGAAAGATGCGGCCTGGCAGCTGTCGTGAACGGCTGCGATGTGTAGGGGCGTGTTGTAATCGTTGTTCCAGGCATCAATGTCGACGCCGTGGCTGCACAACATTTCCACGATGTCTATGTCCCCCTTTTCGGCCGCGATGTGAAGCGCTGTTTCGCCTGCCTCGTTGGTCCGTGTGGGATCGGCCCCACGCGCCAGTAGGAGATCAACTACCCTTGCTTTGCGGTTGCGCGTTGCTAACATGAGCGCCGTGTGTCTGCGGTCGTTCGTTGCATCCACCGTGAACCCCTCTTCGAATAGGACAGCCATGACGTCCTCGTGCCCCCTCCAAGCCGCTATCTCCATGGGGCCTATCCTAGCCTCGATCTGCCCATTCACAACACTACCACGCTTCAGTATCTTCCTCACCTCTCCAGCTCTGCCCTTGTTGGTGGAAAACATCAGATTTGTCCAATCATCATTACCCTTGATACCATCAAGCGGACTTGGGGCACCGGGGGATGCTGAGCCTAGAAGAAGCAGGACAACGTCAATGCTTCCAAATTTGCAGGCTCGAAATAACGCCTCGTCAGTGACCTTAACATGGCTGTTTATGAGACAGTCCACTACAGAGGAATGGCCGCAACCCACAGCTAAGAGCAGAGGGGTGCCCCCTGACTTGTCCATGAAGTCTAACTCAACACTCTCTGTTGAGACGAGCCTTCTAACCACAGACTCGTGGCCCCCGAGACTTGCCCAGTGAAGTAGGCTGCGGCGGAATGAATCTCTCCCGGCTGGAGATGCCCCGTGTGCAAGGAGTAGATCCAATAGATCAGCATTGCCATGCTCAGCGGCATATGAAAGAGGCGTCCGGCCATCTGAGTCCTCAGTATCCGGGTCAATATTGCGTTCGATCAGAGCTTCGACTAACTCTGAAAAGTTATGTTGGGCGGCCCATGACATTGCATCTCGCCCTCCCTCATCTCTCTCTAATACGTCCTGCCCATTCCTGTCGATTAACAGCAGAGCAGCCTCCAAATTCCCGTCTTTGACGGCTTCCATGAAAGTTGTACCCTCAAACGGCGGGTCCCTAACCCAGTTATCCTTGATGTTAACATCTAGCCTGTTAAGGAATTTGTTAAGGCCAGCCTCGGTGGCTATTTGAGTAGCAATCCACCTATAGCGATAGTAGATATTGGGGTTTTCCTCCCAGGAGAATAAAACTTTGCACATAGAAGACACGCCATCAAAGCCGAACTGAATGGCATCGGATTTCCCGCTCCTCAGGGCCGCACGATATAGCTCGCCAAGATCCCTCTGGGCCACGACAGTGTATCGGGACTCCATCATCTTGTAGTAAAACGTAGCCTGATTGAGAAATTTCTCAGCTAGCTGCCATTTGTGTTCCCTCCTCCACTTGGCTGTAACATTCCGAGTTTCCTGAACCACTTCGCTCACCCTCGGCAACTTTGAGTGCATGCTAAGTGGCGGGATGATGCACATATATGCATCTTGTCGGGAACCAAGCCCACTGTCAACAAAGGCTGTAGCCATCTTGTCCAAATTAGTATTCAGGAGTGTGAATTCAGGCATCCAGTTAAAATTGGTCAGATCCATCTGACCTTCCGTAAAAGGGTCCCTAATGTGTGTCTCGCCGCCAACATCCCTCAATATTGCAGCAACAGCTGTAATGAAAGAAAGGTATATATCTTGGGCGCATAACTTTTCAAGTGTTTCTTTCGTCTCAATGTATAGTGGCATGTGACTTGACTCCTGTAGTAGCAATGGGTCGCTAATAAAACCAAGAGCTTGCCATCCAAAATATCGCACGCCATTAAGCGTTGCGCCGGATGAGGCGACCTTCGGAGCGGATTCCCAATCTGCAAAATTCTGAGTATTACCTTCCAAGGCCACCCTACCCCGACAAACCCAAAGAGTAAAGTCCTCTGTTGGCTGTTGCCTTTCGCCGTGCGACTCTGAAAAGGAGAAAAGCCTTCTGCTAGGCACGGGGTCGTTGGAGGCTTCGCTGCTCTTGAGAGACCACACCCACAGGCCAAGGACAGCCTCTAAGTCGGATATATCAACTTCCCAGGGATCCGTAAAGCTAGCAGACCGCCGGAGAATAAGGTGCACAGGGCATATCTCCTCCTGACCACTACCATTTGGTGTAGGTAACACGCGAACTTGGATTCCCCATATAATGATGGACACGGTGGCCCACGCCTCCTTTAATTTCATGAATCGAAAAATAACCTTGGCTGATTCCTCTAAGCTAGACCCCCGCTCTACGGACCACCCCTTCACGGACCACCCTTTTTATATATATTTACATACTATAATGGGCTATGCCTATAGTAGGGCCCTGGCTAGTGCCAGGGTATAGTACGTAATTAGGCCCTCAGTACCTACGGCGGATAAGGCTAGCTATCGTAAGTACGGCCTATAGGGTATACTTTCTTCCTTTTTCTTCTCGTCTAGCTTTAGTTTATTAACATACGGCTTTTACCTAGCGAATAGCTCTTAAAACCGTAATAAAAAGCTAAACTAACCTTCTTTTATCGTTTTACGGATTAGCATCTTAGCGAACGGAATTAATAATAGGAACGGCGATATAATACTAAAGGAAGCGGTAGTTAGTAAAGTTAATGGTCGGAAAGGCGGTATTAGCTTTTAGATATACGCGCCGGCGGCTCCTACGAAGAGGACCGACGAAACTAGCATATCTTAATACGTAAGATTAGTAGTAGGAAAGGCGATACCGTACGGCAAAGCTAGTAATCGGAAAGGCGGTATTAGCTTTTAGATATACGCGCCGGTAGCCCCTACGAAAAGAACCGATATAAGATAACCCGAAAAAAAAACGACCGATAACCCCGAGAAAACGTAGTTTAGACGGTAATTTCGAAATAAGAATAACGAAAAATACGGCTAGGAACGGCGGAAAATTTTTTTCCGGAGAAAGATAGTAAAGCGCTAGAGCATAACGCTCGTCGCGAGTTAAGAACGCCCGAGGCGTAATATAAGGAAGAAACGGCGTTAGAATAGCAGGAAATACGACAAGATTTCGGCTAGAATAATAGTACTTCGATAAAGGCGCTAGCGGCGCTAGTAGTAAACGGGAGGGCGCGCCCCCGCGCGTCCTTAGGCGGAGCCCTTTAAACTCCGCTAGCGGTATACGATAGACGATAGTCTTTAAACGAATAGGAACGGCGTACCTTAATACGTCCTCCGGCGGAGCCTCGCGGCTCTGCTAATAGTACGGATAGGCCCTTAGTCTTTAAACGGAAGGATAAGCCCCTGGCCTTTAAACGGTAGGAGAGGCCCTAAGTCTCTTAGCAGTAAACGGGAGGGCGCGCCTTAATACGCCCTTAGGCGGAGCCCTTAGCTCCGCTAGCGGACGATAGACGATAGTCTCTAAACGAATCGGACGGCGTACTTTAGTACGTCCTTTAGCGGAAGATAAACGAGGATCTTTAAACGGCGGTAGACGGACCGACGATCCCGTAGCTACGGGAGCTAGGCTAGACCTAGTAGGCGCCTATAAGCGACTTCGTACGCGGGGCTTTAAAGCTTTACGGTTTAATAAAAGGATCGGAACTAATAACCCCTGGGGAGTAATAATACCCCGGTGTAATGAGCTATGCCTATAGTAAGGCCCTGGCTAGTGCTAGGGCATAATACGTAATCAGGCCCTTAGTACCTACGGCGAATAAGGCTAGCTATTGTAAGTACGGCCTATAAGGTATACTTTCTTTCTTTTTCTCCTCGTTTAGCTTTAGTTTATTAATATACGGCTTTTACCTAGCGAATAACTCTTAAAACCGTAATAAAAAGCTAAACTAACCTTCTTTTATCGTTTTACGGATTAATATCTTAGCGAGCGGAATTAGTAATAAGAACGGCGATATAGTACTAAAGGAAGCGGTAGCTAGCAAAGTTAGTAGTCGGAAAGGCGGTATTAGTTTTAGATATACGCGCCGGTAGTACCTACGAAGAAGACCGACGAGACTAGTATATTTTAATACGCGGGATTAGTAGTAGGAAAGGCGATACTAGCGTTTACGCCGGCTAAGTTAATAGTCGGAAAGGCGGTATTAGCTTTTAGACATACGCGCCGGTAGTAGCCTACGGACGAGGACCGATAAGATAACCGAAGAAACGACCGATAGCCCCGAGAAACCGTAGATTTAGACGGTAATTTCGAGATAAGAACTACGAAAAATACGGCTAAAAACGGCGGAAAATTTTTTTCCGGAGAAAGATGATAGAGCGCTAGAGCATAACGCTTATCGACGAATTAAGAACGCCCGAGGCGTAATATAAGGAAGGAACGGCGTTAGAATAATAGTACTTCGATAAGGGTACCAGAGGTACCAGCGGTTTACGGAGAGACTACCGGTTTCTTAGTATCGATAAGGGCGCTAGCGGCGCTAGCAGTAGACGGGAGGGCGCGCCCCCGCGCGCCCTTAGGCGGAGCCTTTAGCTCCGCTAGCGGACGATAGACGATAGTTTTTAAACGAGTAGGGACGGCGTACCTTAGCACGCCCTCCGGCGGAGCCTCGCGGCTCGGCTAGTAGTACGGATAGGCCCCTAGCCTTTAAACAGAAGGATAGGCCCCTAGCCTTTAAACGTTAAGAGAGGCCCTAGGCCTCTTAATAGTAAACGGGAAGGCGCGCCTTAATACGCCCTTAGGCGGAGCCCTTAGTTCCGCTAGCGGAAGATAAACGAGGGTCTTTAAACGGCGGTAGACGGACCGACGATCCCGTAGCTACGGGAGCTAGGCTGGACCTAGTAGGCGCCTATAAGCGACTTCGTACGCGGGGCTTTAGAGCTTTACGGTTTAATAGGAGGATCGGAACTAGCCCTAGGGAAGTAGTAATACCCTAGGAAGAAAGAGAAAGCCCCGGGGAATAGTAACGTCCCGGGGAACGAAGATAGTAGCCCGGGAAGCGGATAACGCGACCCGGGAAACGGAAACGGCGGAGGAGGAGAAGGAGGAGGGGCTCTCGGGAGGAGTAGCTACCGGGAAGGCGTACCCGGTAGGCGAAGAAACCCGAGAAACCTAAGGAAGGAGAGGAGGAGATCCCGGGAAAGAGTAGGACCCGGGGGAAGAGCGCCGGGAGGCTAGAGGCGCCCGGTGTAGTACCCCGGGAGACGAAAGGCCCCGGGAAGGAAACGGCGGAGGAGGAAACCCCGGGGTATAGTATAACCGCCGGGGAAGAGACGAAGGAGGATAAGGCCATACCCGGGGAGCATTAATACCCCGGGAAACGAACGAACGGAGGAGGAGGAGGCCTAGGAATATATTAGTACCTTAGGCGGCGGAGTTAGTAACCCGGGGAACGAGTAGCGTATCCCGGGGAACGGAGGTAGTACCTAAGGATGCGGTACGTATCCTAAGGCGTAAGGAAGGAAAACGGGTTAGGTTATTAGGGCTAAACGCCGAAGAAAAGGGCGGTAAGGCGTACCTTTTTTTTCTAGGAAGGGACCTTATATAATAGGCTATGCCTATAATAAAGCCCTAGCTAATACTAGGACATAGTACGTAATTAGGCCCTTAGTACTTACGGCGGATAAGGCTAGCTATCGTAAGTACGGCCTATAAGGTATACTTTCTTCCTTTTTCTCCTCGTCTAGCTTTAATTCATTAATATACGGCTTTTACCTAGCGAATAGCTCTTAAAACCATAATACCTAGGGAACGAAGATAGTAGCCCGAGAAGCGAATAACGTAACCCGGGAAACGGAAACGGCGGCCCTAGGGAAATGATATACCGAAGGGCTAGATAATACCCGGAGCGCCGGTAGTACCTTAGGAGGAGGAGGATAAGGAAAGGAGCTTTCGAGGGAAGTAACTACCGAGAGAGCGTACCCGGTAAGCGAAGAAACCCGGGAGACCTACGGAAGAGGAGGAAATCCCGGGGAAGAATAGGACCCGGGGGAAAAGCGCCGGGAGGCTAGAGGCGCCCGGTATAATACCCCGGAAAACGAAAGGCCCCGGGAAGGAAACGGCGGAAGAGGAGACCCCGGGGTATAATATAACCGCCGGGAAGGAAGGAGGCTATACCCGGGGGGTATTAATACCCCGGGGGATAATCGGAAGGAGGCCTAGGGATATACCAGTACCTTAAGCGGCGGAGTTAGTAACCCGGGGAGTAAGTAGCGTACCCCGGGGAACGGAGGTAGTACCTAAGGATACGGTACGCATCCTAAGGCGCGGAGAAAACGGATTAGGTTATTAGGGCTAAACGCTAAAGAAAAGGACGGTAAGGCGTACTTTTTTTTTTTTTCCGGGGAAGGGACCTTATATAATAGGCTATGCCTATAATAAGGCCTTGGCTAATGCTAGGGCATAATACGTAATTAGGCCCTTAGTACTTACGGCGGATAAGGCTAGCTATCGCAAGTACGGCCTATAGGGCATACTTTCTTCCTTTTTCTCCTCGTCTAGCTTTAATTCATTAACATACGGCTTTTACCTAGCGAATAGCTCTTAAAACCGTGATACATATAAACGATTTTTCCCCGTAAAAAATCGGAAAAGAATCGGAAAAATCGGAAATTTAATTACGTAATTAGCTTACCTAATTCGATTAACATATGTTTTTTCCAAATTTTTCAGTCCATAAAATAAAGAGTTTTATACGATTTTAGTTTTTTTTTTCTTGCACTAATAGTTTCCTATATAATTTATTAGGGAATCTAATATAATAGTACGAAATTACCCTTTTAAAGTATTTTTTTTACCGTAATTAAGTGGAGCTATTATATAATTAAAGATAGGCTAGTTAGAAAAATGATTACTATTATTAAATATTATTTTTATTACTTTATTTTATTTTTATTTAATTTTTTATCCTAAAAAAATAGGTAAATTTTTAATTTTTTTTAGACATTATTTTATATAGAAAACGTAAACTTTTCAAATTTACCCGATTTCCCATATAAAATTCTGAAAAGATTTTAATCAAAAAACGTCTATTTTTTAAGATAATAAATTAAATAAAAATAAAATCACCTAATAAAAATAAGATTAAGTAATAATAATTCTTTTTCTAATTAACCTATCTTTGATTATGTAATAGCTCCACTTTATTACGGTAAAAAAAATACTTTAAAAGGGTAATTTCGTACTATTATATTAGATTCCCTAATAAATTATATGGGAAACTATTAGTGCAAGAAAAAAAAAACTAAAATCGTATAAAACTCTTTATTTTATGGACTGAAAAATTCGGAAAAAACATATGTTAATCGAATTAGGTAAGCCAATTACGTAATTAAATTTCCGATTTTTCCGATTCTTTTCCGATTTTTTATGGGGAAAAATCGTTTGTATATAAACATATATAAAAAGGGTGGTCCGTGAAGGGGTGGTCCGTAGAGCGGGGGTCTAGCTTACGGCCGCAGATGCTGGTGTGCTGGGCCGGCTCGATCTAGAAAAGCACACCTCTAAGCACAGAATCAGTATCTTTGTGGTACGACATTACCATATTGCGGAATTATATGCGGCCGGACAAGGGCTAGTTCTCTAGCACGGCTTGCGTCTCGGTCGGGAGGTATTTGGACTAGACGGAGCTCGTGAATGGCTTCACTCAAGTGACCGCCTCCGCGGACATCTCGAGGCGAGCCCAGTGGATGATAAGCCATTTTAGCTCGCCGCTGAGCCCCACAACGCTGACGAGCGCAAGGCCGATGAGCCGGACGTCTAGCCCTTTGGCCTTAACGGCGATCTTCGCGAGGATGATGGCGATGCCGCAAACAACGAGGTGTAGGACGAGACCGAGCCACCTCTGCACGCCTAGCAGGAAGTAAGCCGGCCGCTGAATGACGCAGACGAGCTCGTCGTTTTGTTCGAGGAAATCTCGCTCCGAGCAGAAGGGCTAGCGTTTCGAGGAAGTAGGCGAAGAGAATAGACTTGGATTTAATATCCAGCAGTAGGAGCATGCGTAGTATTCGCAAGTGAAGCTTTGGATAAAATAGGCGGCGACGAGGCTGCGACAATGTGGCACCGACACAAGTGCCCGTAACAGCGATGAATACGCCCCGAGCAACGATGACGAAGATCGTGATGACGGTATGGATCAGCAACAGAGGCACCACCATATCGATGAGTTCAATGTCCCGGCCGAATCTGTTGGCGATAGAGCCAGCACCCGACGTGTAGAAAAGGGACATAGACGCATTCATGACCATACCAAGGAGGCGTTCGTGCAAGGTCTTAGTTACCCGAGGCGCGAAGCTTGTGATGAGGAAACTGGTTTCGAGAATTAGCAGGTCTCCCAACAACAAAGAAGGCCGTCTTATCGACATTTACCCAGTTGGGACTCCAAGATTCGCAACGATCAAAAGGCCGAGCAGAAAATAGATACCTCAATAGTAGCCGGCGTTTTCCCACGGGTGCTTCCTGTTATCGTCGGCCCGCCATCTAACCCATACTTGCGGGAATACGGGGAAGGATCCGAATGTCGCGCAGAGGAAGGCGAAGACGGACCATCTACCCCATCAGAAGCATTCAGTATAATACTTATACGTAGCCAAACCACCAGTCGCGGCGTCGGCAGCGTTGACACCGGGGAGGGCCTTGGTCCAAGGCATCCCGCACCGCTCCAGGCGGATGTGACTGCTCCTTGCCTCTGGGGGCGCTGTCGGCTCAGCAGCCCATTCTTCGAAAATACCAACTGGAACACTGCCTTCTCGGCGATCGCGTCAAGCCCGCTCAAGACGTCGTCGTCTACCATGAACATGCCTTCACACGAGTATAATGCCCGGACCAGTGTGAAGTGCATTTGTTACCCGCCGCTGAAACTGATCCCGTTGCGTCCTACCAACGCGTGGTCGCGTTGCGGGAGCTACCCTATATCGTGCGAAAGAGCGCATGCGTTCACCGCCGTCGAGCACCACTCGGGGCCCAAGGGAAGCGAGCCTGTGATATTCTTTTGGATGGTGTCGCGGACGACCCACGGTGACTGCAAGCAAAACGAGATATCTCGGAAGCTTGAAATAATGGATCCCATCGGCAATTAGGGTCTCGCCTAAGCGCGTATTGAAGAGGGTGGATTTCCTGCTTCCAACCGACCCGATGACTATGACCAGCTTGCCCCGCGGGATCTCTAAGCTGATATCCTTCACACCCAGTTGCCCCTCCCCCTTCTAACGGGCGGAGACGCCTTGCAATTGTATCGCTATAGTGTTTTCGGCTAGCTACCCACGCTCTCCCAGTTCCCTCAGCTCATAGGCCCCGCCGAAGGGTTGCCCCTTTTCCTCGTGGTAGCTGTTCTCTACTATGAGCTTTTTGTCGGCCTGACTATTACCGACCATCGCCGGCGTCAGCGAAGAGGGTTTGGGTTGAGGTTTCAAGGACTGTGATGGCGTCGAATTTCGGCGAAAGGGGTCGACGTGCTTCCTCCCGCCGATGCATACCTCGGTGTGGAGATAGTTCGGTATCCTCTAAAGGCGTCCCGCAGCGTCCATGACACCGCCGAGAATTTGCACCAAAAACGACACGGAGGCAATAAGGAGTTGCAACAGAGTCACAGTGGTTACTACTTTGGTTGTGTCGAGGGTGGATAGTTCATATATCTCTGTAGTAGTATTATATAAATCCCGAAAGCGCCGACGGGGTCCATGGAAAGGGTCAAGTAGCCGATCGATACGATCTTGAGAAGCACGAATCTGTAGCCGTATGAAACCTTTACCTCCCGCTCTCGAATTTCGCGTATTGATCTGCCAAGCCTATCCGAAAGCACAGTCACCCTGACAGCTTTCATACTGGACTACGTCCAGCTAGGCGTTCAACGCTGCCGGGGGGGCGGAGGCCACCACGGTGCCTAGGCCCGCGTACTTGACGAAGCACTGCCAGGCCTAGATAGGGATACAGTAGCCACAAGACGATTCCGGTCTCCATCGGCGACGCCCACAGTTTGTGCAAAGTCCTAAATCCCGTCACGATTCTCTCAACGTCAGCGCTCATCGGTGTCACGGCATCGGATTCCAACAGAGAAGTAGAGCGGATCTCCAGCACACAGCGATAGATCGAGTCGATAAGGCCAGCCTTGATGCTCGTTATAAGCTAAAAGGTCCATGCTGCGTCAAAGCCGTTGACACCGCAATCCCGGTATAGACGATGCCTTGTTGACACGATCAGACCAGTTACGAGTCCCGACCTATCGGCAAACTCGAGCTCCTAGGTGTACGCGAGCACGCGCTCGACGAGGAAGGGCTCCGCGAAGGTGAAGCCGATCCGCAAAATTCGAGGGAGCAGGCTCTCGTAAAAGAGCCCTCTCTGATGCGACATGCAGACCTCCAGCAGGGAGCTAGACGTCGCCCCCCTCCCTTGCCAGGAAACCCATCGGCGGTGTAGACTCTTCCCCTCCGCCCCGATCCTCAGCTGCTGGTCCACGTCATCCAGAGTCTCGAGCGAGAGCCGTCCCGGATGCCCCTGAGAAGGGTCCGGTTGACCCACCAGGCAGGAGGTGGGGCCCCGCGCTTCTCTGCCAACTCGAGCACCACCAAGAGCGCTTTGATCGCGACGGACACGCTCAGGACCGCGGGTAGCGAAGCGCCGCTGACGAGGGCCCAGAGCGTCCGCGGCGCGCTTGCCAGCTTCGTGGTGTAGTGCCACGTCTGCACGACCTTGGGCGGGCGGGCGACGAGAAAAGGGGGGCAGCAGCAGCGCTATCGCGGCCGAGGCGACGGTAAAGATCGTCTCCTTGAATAGAGGCGTAAGGTTGAAGCTGTCATAGCAGTCGGCGGCGGGGCTGAATTAGTCTGAAATTTGACTCGGGCATTTCGATATGGCGACGTCGTCGGGATCCGGATCCGCGTCCTGCGTCGACTACGGGGAAACCAGCGCCAGACTAGGGAATGAAGCTCGTACGATAGTGCGTTGTTGCTGTTACCGTTTTAGCTCTTCCCTCTCGGATACCTCGCTCTCCAGAGGATCGCAGGGATCGCGCAAAGATTCGCAACGGCCAGGCAGCCGTCAACCATCTACGCGTCTTGAAGGTCTGTGCCGAGAAGGCCTACGGCATGGATCTCCGGCACCCCGGAAACGATTAGTACTAAGCGAGAGGATTAACAAGAGTAACCCGAATCTCCATCGGGCGTAGTGCTTATCGGTAGGGCTATGGCCTATGTGGCGGAGCTGTCTACAACACACTACGGAGGATTCGGTGGGCGACTACTTTAGTTCAACCCCTGACAAGAAATGATGCCGGGGGTGGTCGAGATTTGCGAGAGCATGAGTCGACAGCCTCTAGCGCATACTAGCAGTAACTGTGATTACCATTGGGCGAAGAACAAATTTCACCCAGAATATAGGAAAACGTGCTCCTACTGTAGTGGTGCGGTGGATCTAGGCCACGTAGCCTTTTCGATGTGTATTTATATGGGTCGCGTACTCATATTTTCATCAGCCAGACTTAGACCTATAGATATTACAGCCTATAGCCATTCACTCCTTTTGCCATGCCTTTCTAGCCATCCTCGTCTTTGCCTTTCCAGTCTCTCCTTTCCCAGCTGCCGTTTTCAGCTGGCCGATCAACCGATTACAGCTGTTTACAGCTGTGATCTTTTGTTGATCGGCACTGGGCCAGTTGTTAGCAGTTAGGTAGCCCTTTTCGTACCTCCGTCAGCGTGCCCACGCTACTCCTATTCAGTAGCGACCACCCAGTAGCCCGAGCCGCAACCTCGTCAGTCTTAGGAGCGACCTTTTGATCGACCGTTTTTGCAGTCATCAGGTTCAGGATTCGTCGATCAGGAGATTCCCTGTTTTTCAGTTGATCAGGAGCTGTTTTCGTGGCTCCAGAGCCGTTTTCGTGGCTTTCGGATTAAGCCCTTTCAGGCCACAGCCTGAATTTTCAGGTGGCTGGATCAACAGGGAGGGCAGACAACCATGGCGACCATCAACAACCTACGCCCTCCCATTAGCTTTTGATCAGCTTACCTAAAAGCTCGTTCGCCGATCAGTGGATCTATCCTATCCTCGTTTCTTAGTTATCTCTTTTAAAGGAGCTATGCCCGTTTTTATCTGGTTTTGCCTCCATCGTTTTTTACCAGTACCTAGATGGCAGTTTTCTCGCCCTTAGTTAATCTAACCAAGTTACCGCTACCACCCCCTTTTTACAACATACGCTTAAAGGCATCCGTTCTTTACCGATCGATCTATTTCAATTACAAGAGGCTTACCGATAGCTCCGATTGCCCTTGTTTTATTCCTGCCAGCTAGTTACGGTACCTGGGGAGGTCTCTCCTTGCCTCCCTAACCGATAGGTACCACGATGCCTTTATTTACCATACGAAGATACCGATAGACCTTATACCTACGAACCTAATCGGGGAACCTACCGATTAGCGCGATAGACCTATAAACGATACCGCGATATACGAATTAAATAGGATATTAAATAAGAAAGCCTAGAAAAAACAAGTCATAAGTTACAGTCGGAAACAGCTATAATAATACCCGGAGACCCTTCTTGTCGCCCTTACCGATATATAGTTAGTAGGAAGAGCCTAGAGAGCCCCTAGAACTACGTATAGGGGAGGGATCGAGGGTCAAGGGAAGCCCGGTAAATGCTGCCGGACGAATAATAGTTAGAAACGAGAATAGTCGGGTATGAATAGGATATATTAGTTAGTTTATAGGATTAGGATTAGTTAAAAGGATCGGTAAAGCTAGTTATGGACGAGAAGGACGGGATTACGTTATATCGTATGGGATTATTTCTTTATTTCTTACGGAAGCTACGCTTGTTTTACCTGCCCGTTATAGTTCCTATTTCCTGACTGTTAATCCCTGTTATTTCTTGGTAGCCTTTAATGGAATTAGCTTATTCCTAGTTAATTAGGGTTAATTAGGAATAGGTCGATTAGGTTAGTTATAGGTTATAGCTCCGCTAGCCTAGTTATTTTTGTTATTAGATCTTTCCTATTTCCTATTAATCGTTAGTTAAACTAGCTGATGGTTTACTAGCAATCAGGGATAACGCAGGTACCTCCGTACCTACGTAGGATATAAGGAACGATTTTCCTATCCTCCTTAGATAGATAGCTCCTAAAGAAGAATTAGATATATTAATATAACTAGTCTTACCTCTAATCTTTCTTATTATTATTTACTATTTACTTTACTTTACGTACGTACCTACTAATACTGATTAGTATTACTAGACTTAGCAATATAGATTAGCAAGGTTAGAAGAGTTACTGCTACCTTAAGCGGGAGAATTACCATTACCGTGGTAATATAAGCGATACTAGTAAAAGAAAAATCTTCTATTACCTTCCGTTATTATCTATCCCCTTCTAGTACTTTCTACGGATAACGATTTCATAACTACCCCTTTCCTTACGATTATATTAAAAGACGCTATCCTACCTCTTTCTTTATTATATTCCGTAACTATAATAAGGCTATTATATCCTCTTATTAAAGGTTAATAATCCTTATCTTCCCTCGACTTTTACCGTTAATTTCCATCGATTATATCGGATTTAAAGGTACCGGAAACCTTAACCTAAGGAGCCGGTAGATAACGAATAGAGCTAGGACCTAGCGAACCTAAAAACCCTATCCCCGTACCTATCTTCGGACGTAAACCGCTAGAAGAACCCCTAGGAGGCTAGGACCTAAGGAACGTAAACGATTTCCGCGAATTTCTTAGACTTATTATAGAACGACTAACCGCGATAATAATATAATTCGATTTATAAATAGTTAAATAGTAATAGTTCGTACCGGAAA